TTCTTGATGCCCTAATTAAAGGTGGTCGACGATTAGACCCTGAGGTGTTTACCGGGTACTTTTGGTCGCCAAAGTATTCCAAATTAGTCCAATTAACTCCGCTCTCTTTTTATGACTTTTATTTTCTTCCTGAATAACTTTTATTTTACTTCGTTTACTCCTTTTTTGCTTCCGAATTGTAGAGTTTACAATTGAAGGGGATTTCCAGTACAGTGAATTTGAATTTCGATTTGTTTTCAGTCAAAGTTTGGATGTAATTTTGCTCTTTTATTCAAAAGTTTACCGTCCGTTTGCCCTCAAATTGATCTCTCCCATGTTTTTTATATTGTTTTCTACCGGAAATTGACCGAATAATCCTTGGCCGACGTCACACGTGAAGGCATATCTCTTATAAATTACTTTACATTATCCATGCCTTTTCCCGATGATTTATCCTTTTGTTTTGTGACGCAATTCGAATAAAAAAAGCGGCCAAAATAGCCATTTGGGTTAATTCGGGGTATAAAACTAAGTAGCTGGCCTGTTCTGAGTACGCTCTTAACATACCCTTGCAGTTTGGAGGCACAAAACTTGGAAAAAGTAAGTCAGATCGGGAGAAAATGGAAATTAATTTTCTTACCAGAGAGCTGGCCTGTCCAGATCTTGAAGATATTTGGCACTGTTTACACGATGTTTAACTAGTGCTTTGAGAAATATTTAAAGGTCAAAATTTTTCAAAAGTCAGTGCTTTTTTCCAATTTAAATAAAAAATCTTTAGCGCCAGTTTATGGGGCAGTCTGTAGGGTCGTTAATTTCACTTTAGTCTGACGTCAGTTTGACGCAAAATTGGCGTTGTTTTGATCAAATTCAAAGTTGTGGAATGCGTCGCTTTCAAACGTGGATTCACCACAGAATGCGGTAAATTATATAACCGGTTACAAAAAGTTGTATAATTATAAAAAATTTCGCCTCTTCCCTTTTCGAAAAACAGTCAAATGTTTCGAAAATTTTTTAATAAAAAAGTAAAACTCCTGAGGGCATCGAGCATTTCTACTCGGATGAATCCCACATTTGGAGCCTACCGTAGCCTCGGGCCTGCTTTGGGTGATTTAAAATGGCTGTTCATTCATGTAAATTACCTTCATTTGGCCTGAGGGAATCAATTTTTGAGCATAAGGAATGTGGCCACTTCTGGATTTCCTCTTTTTTCGAGTAATTTCTCTCCATAAATCGCGAAGAAAGACCGGTAATCCCGATTACTTTTGTTGTTTTTTTCAATTTGCAAGACATCTCTGGCCATCTGTTGGCCAGATAAGGTAGGTGTGGCCATGTCTTTCCATTTTCCTTATTTACGGGTTTTATTTTTTGACCTTGAAAATAAACCGATTAAAGGCAGACTGGAAAGCCTTGGGCAGTAATTGTAAAGATTTTTCTGGCTGTCAAAAACAGTGTCAAAATGAGAAAAGAAAATAAAAATGGAGGTGGGGGTGGGGGTGGAAGTTGTAACACCCTTTTGGCCTTTGATTGGGCGACGTTTCCATGCCCTGAGGCGGCTATTAATCGAATTCTCATTCGACGAGCAAAGTGTTTTTGTAGTCGCCGAACAGTTTAATTTTCGTTTTCTAATATTGTTATGATGAAAATGCCTCAGGGCATTTGCGTGCAGACGCTCGCGGGGGTGTTATTTTTACCGTTTTTTGCCTGTTTTTATTTTGCTGCAAACGGTGTGAAATTAGATTGGAATTGATGTCACTTTTTTACAACACTTTTAAGATACTAGTAGTAGCAAAAGATACTAATACAAGAAACTGTTCTCTTCAACTCTCCCCACTTCTCCGAGCTTTGCCTGAAGCGCTTTCCCCTTCATCCAAACCATGTTCCAAACTTCCATTTCAAGAAGATAGTCAGGCCCTGAAGGCAAGGTGTTGTTCTCATGGCTACCGAAACGTTTAAAAAGCCGTTTTTTAAAGATTTCCGAGTGTTAAACCTCCTCTTTTTTTGTTTTGACTCTAACTAGCGCCTCAAGCGTTTGAAAAACGGTCGGCAATTATTTTTGGGACAGTTTTTGCGACTTCTAAAGGTCGCGAGCTTGGGTTGACCTCTTGAACTTCTGCGAATGCTGCAGGGCAAAAATAAATTTGGTATTTTATTTACGAGAGAGGTTAAAGATTTGCTTGGAATTTTGTAAATATTCTGTATATGGGCCTCGATTTAATTCTTGAAAATTTTAACACTTGCTTTGCAAAGTTCTAATTTTTTAAAAGAATATTTTTTCGGCAATCTCCACAAATTTTTAAACCCCAAAGTAGCAAAAGAAAGCGTAGAGCTTCAAGGAATGAGAGCCAATTTTACCTCAGATTTTGCTGTCGAGTTCAATCCGCGAAACAGTTAATGATATTAATACTCTCAAGATTGTAAAGCGGAAGGGGGTTATGCGATGGAATGGAGTCGAGATTAGTGCAAGATTAATATATAAAGTAAAATATTTGGAACTGAGTCATCATGCAATACATGGCGTTCTTTTGATAGAGATTACTCAAAATTGTTTCAAATCTTTAGAACGTTTTACTTAACAGTTGTTTTTTTTATTTCTCTCAGGTCCTGTACATTCTAACTCGTAATGTAGTCAACTAAAATCGGCAAAAAACAGGTGTACAAGAAGTCTGGTGAGTACTTGCTTCGTTTGCTTCTGCCAAAAATACATAAACAGAAGTCTTTGTCCCTTTCTCATACCCTCAGACCTTATTTCCTGTCCGAAAATACAAAAGAAAGGAAACCCTGGCCTTATTGCCTAGTCTAATATAATGCAATCTGATGTAGACTGGTCTAATTTGAAGGCGCTCTCCTGCAAACTACCTGAAAGCGAAACGTCTGACTTTTGTTTTAATTATTTATTTTCGGCCGCCGTCTTGGCCGAATGGCTTAATCGTTTTTAATCTCGCGCCCCCCCCCTTCTCCGCCCGCACCCGCTCTTAATGTTATAAAATGCCCTGAGGCGGTGTTTGCGGGAAATAACCGCTCATCGGGATTTTTGCAGGTTTTTGGCCAAGTTCTTTTTCGCTTCCGCAGGCTCGATTTTAAACTGGTTTATCTAGCGCTGTGAGTATTCGCCCTGAGGGCATTCCGCTTTTAAGGGCTTAATTAGCGTACGTTTGGAGGCCCTTACTAACCGGGTTAGCCATTAATGGGTCATTTACATCTTGTACCCTCAGGCAAAGTGCAATATTCGCATTTATTGGGCACTGGTCGGGCGCATCTTCGCCCATAATTGGCTGAGTCTTGGATTCTTTATTTTGTTTGCAAATTTCGCGACCCAAAAAACGCCTGAGGGCTTCTGCGATGGTCCGTTCCAAATTTAAAAATGTCACCGATTTCATTAAAAGGATACTATTTACACTCCGGCTATTTGTAATGGCATCTAAATACAAGCTTCCTTATTTATTTTTACTCGGTCTGACAAACATTGTCGTCAAGATACTTGGTTCCATAAAAAGTAATCTTTAAAACTGTTATTTCGTTGATAAGTCAAACATATTAATCACTAGGCAGTAAATTTTATATTCCTTCACTCCGTGAGGACCACACAAAGCTGAAGAGGGAACTTACAATTTAAATATTATACTAGTAATCGGGAGCATTTGTAATTCTGAAGGGGGCAAGACTTTTATGGAGAATCTAAGCTTGCCTTTAACTATGTACACTACTGGGGAAAAAGAAAAAGAATTATGTTTACTGAGTACTTTTGAGATTGTAACAAAGAGAAAAAGTTGCGTCCACCGAGAGAGTTGATGATGTTTTTCGGACAATGAAGGTTATTTTTCATGTACTTTGAAGCGACGAGTCAAGAAATTGAGGTTTTTACTGTGGTTTCTTTGGGTAATTTAGGTGAATAAAGTAAATAGTTCAAAATGTAAGGCAAAAAAGTTGTTTCAACATCTTCCGAGGAGTATGTATTGCGTGTTTTAACATCATAACATCCTTCTGAAGCCACTAACAGAAATTCTTGATCGTGTTGTGTAACCCGTCATACCAAAGCTACTTAACTTTACAATTTGCTTTTCTGTTTTCGCATATTCCGTCAACCATTTCCCCTGCCATTCCCAAACCAACATTCCTCTCTTAAATTTATATCCGATTCCGTCTCAAAAATCGAATTAAAGCGTATTTTGGGAAGAAGACTACTTTTATGAGGACATATGTAAGTATCTAGTATTTATGTCCCCCTAAATTATTTATATTTTCACGCCTCGAGACTAATTCTGGGCTCCTTTCGGTTATATATTTGTCCACAATGATTTCGCGTTTATATAAATATTCATTTCGTAAATCGTGATGGTATTTGTATGCTGTAGCCCGGCTTACAGTCTATGCAAAATTTACAGAAATATTTACGTTTATTTTCTCGAGATTTGGCCATGATGTAGACCATAATCACTTGGCCATAATGACTCGTAAATAGTTCTCAAAAAAATTGTGGGGTGGGTTGGCGAGGGCTCTTATCTTGCACATGCCTGTTTACATTACAATTCTGGGAGACCCAATTGCGACTTATGCCTTTACTGACCGTGGATATTTTTCTTCAAATATTGCTAAGAGGCCCACTTGTTTACAGTCAACTTTACTTTTAAATACTCAACTTGACAGGCCCTCAGGACATTTAAGTGCAAGTTAAAGTGCGAAAAGTTCAAAAAGCAAGCTGACAAGAGGGATTTGACGTATATTTTGTAGATTTTAGGGAAGTAATACTAGTCGACTTGTTCCCCTATAGATTACAGAGATCTTTCAGACCACAACTCCTTGATGAATACATGTTTGTTTTGTTGTCCTTAATTGCAGATGTTATTGTCCTATAATCCCCAAATTGTTCTTCTATTTTCTATTTTTTGCACATGTATTCCATTACATTTTGCGTGTAAATTAATTTAATTTGAATGGTCGTCTGAATCACCGTGATCTGCATGATTCAGGAGTCGTTTAATTCGCCTTTCTCTTCAGATTGGTCTGGATGAAGAAGTAGAAGGATGAAGTTCCGTTCGCTGGCCCTGTCGCTGCGTGTCTTCAACCTGAAGCGACATCATCACAATTCTCAGAATGAGGTGGGTGCCTTAATTCCAGTTGACTTGGCCCTCCACTTATGGCCCTTTAATTCTTTTCACCCGAATTACGATAAAAGAAAGTAAAGTAAGAGTAAATAAAGACCCGACTTCATGGTTGGTCTGGCTTCTGCTCCGACCTTTCGGTCTGATCTCCAAGCTGGACCTTTCCGGGCCCCGTTTACGATGTCTGTCGGTGATTTGGAGGTTATGGGTGATTAACTTTCGGGGATTATCACATTAACAAGGCCATAAACTGGGTGATGGAACTCCATGATTAACAATACGGTCTTGGCAGGTCTCCGAAAATAACTTGGCCCATGAGTAATGCGATCCCTTCCTCTCCACGACCCTCCAATTTTATAGACATTAGCACCGAAGTCTTGCCAAACTTTTTTATATTATCCATAGCCTTCTAATCAATTTCTGTCCTTCTCTTCGCGGTTCCCAGACCCTGAATCTGCTTCACGTCACTCTCCAGTATTTATTTCCACATTTCCAAAATTAAGGCCCTTTTTTGAATTCATTTTCTCCAAGTTTTCTCCCCAGCATATGCACCATGACATAAACATGTGCTCATCTTTCCTCCCTCTTCTGCGTAACCATGGAATTTAAATCATTTTTGGGGAGTTCTGGATGGATGTGGTCCAAATTTAAATTCAATATTGGTATCTGGCTCCAATTAAATAATATGCAAATTAAGTAAAAAATAAGATGATTTGCATAGTATCTTGGTCGTGTGTTTTCATGAATATTCCAGGCCAAATTGGACGCCTCAAGATGTCGGAGGAGTAGTAGTAACACAGACAATTTGGTTGACTAGTTTATAATTTATCCATTTTGAGAATGCCCTGAGGGCCTTGACAAAATTCTGACTGCAAATAGGGACAGGTGCCCCTCGTGGACATCAATTTTAATCTGAACGCTTCACTGAACTCGAAGCCGGCTTCATTTCCTTCCATTTCCTTATTTGGGCGAATGGGAAATGGGAAAATGTTTGGTAATTTTCGTATTTCAGTAAAGTTTAGATTAGTTTTCTGCAGCTCTAGTAGGTCCTCGGGCTCTGTTCATTTATGACTGTAAGTTATTTCGTCCATGTCTATAGTCATCTTTTTAAAAATCAAGTTTTGATGACATACAAGATAGCTGTAATTTAATTGTCTGATGACCTCACAAACCCGATCTCACACCCATTTTACTATTTATTTTGACTCCTTTACACGCAGTAACTTGGATTTCCGCCCAAGTCTTGGCCAAGTCCCCGAATCCGGCTTCGAATTTCGTTCGTTAAATTGGATTCAGATTCCGTTGTTTGGGGACAATGCCAATCAGAATCCCCTTTTCCGGCCCCGATTTAACTTGATTTCCCTTCTTCTCCCTTTGTTCCCATGGCCACAAATATCGCAGTCTTTATGGCCAAGTCTATGACCTCAGGGCTGGGCAATCAAATTCAGGAAAATCTTTTATTTTATTCGAAGAATTTATGCCGCCTAGAGTTGTAAGGAGTTCGTTTTGCAGTTATTTACAGCCCCATTGACTTGTTATTACCCTAGAATTACTGTATTCTCAATAAACGGTAGATTACTCTACTTTTGTAGGCTTTTTTATATTATCCAAGAGACAGATGACATGTATTGATGTTATATTGTATTTAAAAATCAAAAACCGTGACTTCTGGAAGCAAAAGTAATTGTTTAGTAATCCCACAGTTTCATCGTTACTCATTACTAAAGTTTAAGCCCAAAACTTAATTTGACTTTACAAATGCAAGTTTTTCTTCGTCTACTCCTCTCATGTTACTCTTACTATCCGTCTCATCTTTCGTTTTTTCTTTTTTATATCCCCGTTCTGAAGCTGCGGGTTCGGCGGCTATCTCAACAACTTTTGGTCGCTAATAGCCGGAGGGCATTCTCCAGTTTCGTGTCGTTTTTGGTGTCGTTTTGTTGGGGGATATCTAATTTATTGGCAATTCGATAGGTGCCCGGAGGGCATTGGAAAGGCTGACTTCCGTTTCCGATCCAAAAAGGGCTGCATAATAGTGCAATTAGAGCCGAGTTTGGGCATCCGCCAGTAATGCCTCAGGGCCTAATATTTGGATAAAATTTTGTCGCTATTCTTTTGGAGGTTTAAGTAAAGACTAGAATTAAAATAGCATCAAAAACATTTTAATTTTTTTGGGGGAAAGGCTCGTGATTTTCTGAATATTGAGAGATGACCTTTGCATATTTATATTAGGTTGATTCAAAAGTTTTTCCACATGTCTTTAAAAAATTTTTAAAAATTTGGACCAAAGCCAGTGGGCCTGATATATATCTTGTTAGAAAGAGGGCTGTTTGTAGATTATAGTAGATTAATAACTTTTTACAACTTAGCAATTTGTAGTAGTAGCGCCGTGTTAAACCTTAACTACTCGAAGGTAGAAAAAGTAAACCGCCGGCGTTACGTCTAGAGTGACTGTATCTTCTTAATATTCTAGAATATGGTATGCCTGTATGTAATCTCTATGGCATCGAGGGCAATTTGCTATAGGGCTAGTCGAAAAATTTTTAGTGCGAAAAATCAAAAATTAGGGTCTGGCAAAAGTAGACCCTGTAGACGCAGCTATTAGAAGCACTAAGAGATAACGCTTTCTGTTATTGTAGTGTATGAGTAGCACTACAACGCCAATGCTAAACATTCGCGCTAGCTTTAGCTATGCGGCAGAAAAATCGAATCTTTCTAATCTACCAATATTTTACGAAGTTTAGGGGATTTTTACAAAAACGTTTTCTGTTCATTACTCTCGCCCGGTATCCTAGTTATTTAATAAATAATTGATCCTACTTGACATACACTATCAGTTGCTAGACGCGCTAAGCTGAAGGTCCTCTTGCCATACCAGTAAAAAAATTACAAAAATCGTCTAAAAGTGCAGTTTATGCTGCTTTTCTACCTTATAAGGCAATTTCAGTTGGTGACTTTTTGAATGTATCATCAGCATACTGTCTTTGTACAACCTGAATAGCAGCCGAGTCAAAAAAGTCTAACCCCTTTCAAAAAATTTTTAAAAATCTGCTTTTGATCGGTAGCTCGGCTCTTCGGCCAACTTTATGGGATGCTACAAAAAACGTCAGTGTAGATATAAGTAGAGCAATAAATTCAGAAGAAACTACAGCCATCCCCAGTACGAATAACCCAAAACCGGAGACTTTTTAGTCGGCTGGAAAATTGCTAGGGCCCGGGATATTCACCATGACGCAAACGGAGAAATTTTTAGTATTTTTGAAATATTCTGAAAGGAAGCTTGTAGAAAATAAAATGCTACGAATCAAAAATTTTGCAATGGTCTGCCCCATACATCTATGCTCTCAGTTTTAACGTACATTCAATCAGGCTCCAGAAATTTTATTTTGAAATGTCTCAAAAAAATGTGGAAAAACTTTTGAATCAACCTAATACGAAACCGTTTGGAGAGCGATCGCTTATATCTAAACCCTATTACAATATATTTTTGCTTTCGCAATTCTCGCTTGTAACTATGATTTTTAAAAGAAAATTTAGTGCTTAAAGTACAAACTCGCGTAATTTGTTAGTCAAGCCCTGAGGGCTTATAGAATTCCATCCTTATCAGTGATTGCGCGCCCCTTTTTTTGCAGAAAGTCGATTGGAAAAAGCGAAAAAAGAAATAATTTTTGAGAGAAACTTTTTCGTTTGCCCTGAGGGAATGAAAAAAAAGAGTTTTGGACCGCTTTTTTGCAGACCGATTTCGACTCCGGGATTCGATTACACTGGTTATAACACCTGCAAGTTGCTTGTAAGAGTGGGCTTACAATTACTGTCTAATTTTAGATCGTATCTTGTTTTTTTCTTCTCAATTTTGGCGAGCAAAACGCCTAAGGGCGTGAATTGGGAGGGAAGTCGGGTTTCTCCGTCTAAATAAGTAGTAGTAAGCAGAGAAAGGAAGTTTACTGGGCCAGGAAACCTTGTTATTCCAAGTTTTATTGCATTTTTTGTTCATCTCCACAATCTTTTCCCTCAAAAATATATTCAAATTACAAGACTTTTGCCGTTTGATTCCATTTTTTGTTAATTTTTCTGATTTTTTGCACTTTTTATTAACTGATTTTAAAAGTTTTTCCAATCTTTTGCAGCAAATTTGCGTTTTTATGACGTCTTTTTGAGCTTTTTGATGTGATTTCCTTATTCTTCAAAGTTTACTTCCTGTTTTTGGACGCAAAATCACCAGAATCCCCTTTCTCGCAGCTATTAACCTAGTTTTGGGTCGGGATTTTATTACTTTCTAGCCGCATTACATAGTTGCCAAGTGTAAAAAATGTAATTTTGAGTACTTTTTGGTGGCATTATTGCGTGTTTATGCTCTGAAGCGGGGTCTAATACTTATGTTGGGCCCGTTTTTCCCGTGTAAATATGGTAAATGTGAACTGCCAGAGGGGTCAGAGATGTTCCTATCTGTAAAAGAAGTCTTTGGATTTTGATTAACGACCCAAAAATTTTATATTTTTTACATTTTTTTGATTATTTGTACGAGAATTTTACCGCGAAAATTCTCAAAAAAAATAGTAATCTTGTTTGAGGTGTGCTGGGACAAAAACAAGGATTTCCTCATGATTGGGGTAGAAAAATTGTATCATATCGTGTAGAGTCAGCCTACATAAGAGTCCACAGTCGGAAGAAATCGTATCTTTTGATGATTTATAGTAAAAAATAGAGAAATTCTGTTAAATTAATGCGAAACCAATGTCATCACTTAAAAAAAAAGATGTCCCACTCCCGATTATCAACTTTTGCTTATGAAAATACCAACTTATCATGTAAAGTCTCAAAACTTTCGTTCAAACCCCCCTTCACGACCTTCCTTACACACCATCGTCCATTTCTGACATCACTTCCGTTGCAGCGTCCACTTTAGCGGACCCCTCTTTAGCCATGACCTCGTTCATTTACAGCCCATCTTCTAACCCCTTTTATTTGCACTTGTACCAACTTGAGCCCCCTTTGTAACAATCTTTTCTATTCTATCCGATACAAGGTTTCCTAGAATAATATAAAATCCCTAAAATATCCTCGTCCCTTAAGTGCAATTATCCATAAATAGGAATAACATCAACTTCAACCCCAATCCTCGTACACGTTGTTTTTGTCGCTGTAATGTGTTCGCGGAACCTTTCCGGACATTAATCAATTACTCGTAATTTTGACGGCTCTCCGGGACACCATTTATGAAACAATTTGTGGCCGGAGGGGACTTTCTACTCCTTTTTTTGTTATTTTCAAGTTCCTCCATTCTCTAACGACATTCCCATACACAGAAAGAAAGCGAGGCCCTCAGGGCCATTAGCACTGGGGCTATGAGGCCTAGAGAAACAGCTGTGACCTTTGTTTAACCTACACTTGGCTGTAATGGGATCTACACCTTCAAGTGCAATAGAGAATATCTCAGAAAAAGGGTAAAGTAATGGCTATTTTAAGACCAAAAAATCCAAAAAAGATGTTTCTTTGAGGGAATGAGCCGATTCAAACCCGTTTAAAGTGCAAAAGTCAAACAAAAAAGGCAATTTGAGCGGATACATCCTCGGATTGGGTTACAAGAAAGAACGATCCAGAATGTTGCCAGAGGGCTTACATCCACAATAGCACCGCTGGAGATGAGCAAAGTTTTGCGATGACCAAGTTGGGAAGATTATTAAATTGCGCAGCCTGCGCCCCGGACTCGGCCCAAAATGGGAGGGCCTAAGGGCTCAGCTTGGGAAAAGGGAAGCCACCTCGCTATAGTGTTAATATTTGTCTACACTTCTTTTCTTCTTCTTTCTCCAAGAGAAAACGAAAAAAAAACATTTCGTATCTCCAGGAAAGGGAAAATACGGCGATTACGCAGCAAAGCGGCTACTTTTCCTACCCGGATACGGTCTATTACCTTATCTGCAATTTGCTAAAGCAATCTACGACACCATCTTGTTAGCATTATGTCACGTATTACTACTTTTCTATAGCAAATGGTCTTTTACGACCATCCGATCGCTAAGATGATCTAAAATGAAGTTGGGGACGCTGTTGCCGAAGCGATCAGCGGCCTTCCTTCAATCGCTGGCTCCGCCGACCGAGGCCCAACGCCGAGGAACGCAGTCTGCGCCCATAACCCCCACACAGCAAACGGGGAAACCCAAGTTTGAGGTAAGATAACCACCAGACTACCCAATTTCACAGACTTGTAGTACAATTTTGGGTGCACTCGGGTTGATCTTTTAAAGTTAATTACGTCCCGCTCCTCTGTCTAATGCATTTCGGTGCAAATGACAACCGAATTCACTCTCGGCCCCAGTAATGGCATTGGGGATTTGTTCAGAAACAGATTCCCGATGATTGCGTCACCAATTCAGGGCTCGCGAACCGGATCCAAAACCGCGAAAATGGGTGTAAAAGGGATTTTTGGAGTTTTTGCAGGATTCAATCATATTTTTAATCATCAAAACAATACCAAACCATGTTTTTGTTTTGTAAATTTTGGAAATCTCGCTTCTCACTTCCCTCCCCATCCCCAAACATCTGAAACGTTCTTAAATCAATTTCCCCTCCGGGCCAGTGAGTCTGAAATTTGAATCCATTTTTCTCTCTGGGCCCAATCAGCATTTCCTTGGCCACTTTCTCAAATTGGCCTCGATTTGGATGCGCGACGTCCCCGGTCTCATCTCCGTGCAGAATGTGGCCAATTGGCCTCGAGGCGGTCTGGATGACATTTACAGGGTTTGGGGGGAGAGATGTATTGATATTACTCGTTGACAGGGCCTTTTATGCAGCTTTGACAAGGTTTCGGATATGGGTTTAGGTCTTGTTATACTATGTATGTACACGTACTCTACGTCGAAGGTCATTTACTTCAATTCAGGGAAAATCGAATTGTAAGGTCATTTCCTTCAATTTAAGACAGGCCTAAGGTCATTTCCTTGAATAAAAGACAAGTTGTTTCATAAACGACAAGCTTCTTTTTATTGACTTTTACTGTGGGCTCTAAAGTGTTTATCTTCCAAAATAAGATTCAATTCAAGTCGTTGAAAAAACAGCTCCTTTTGGAAGCGGCGACGTCACAATGGAAGAGCGCTAACCTCTGACCTGACGTCACGGAGATCGCGTCACAGATCAGGAACCAGTCCATGACTCAGCCTCCCCGCTATCAAAGTTAGTTCCCCAGCAAAAGTTTTGCATTTTTGTTGTGTTATAATAGGGTCCTGGTCTTTCGCCGCGACGCACGTGAAGAGGGGGGAGAAGCGAGAAAACCGTGGATCGCTGTCCCCCTCCTCTTGTCGCTGCCCGCCTCGAGCGATCGCTCCCTCCCCCCCTTTACCTTGAGTTTTTTTCCTTTACTTTCACCTTTGTCGCGCTTCATTTAAACCATTGATTTTGGGTGTTCGGCAGGTTGTTTATCAGCCACTTATCAGCCTCGGCGGTTTGGCTGATTAGATGGGGGCTCTTCCCTTTCGGGATGATGTCATCTTTCTCCAGATTCGGCCTGAATCAAACTCTTTTCTGGGAAAAAAACAATCGGAAAACGGGAGTTTAATGGGGAGAACGTGATCGAAGATGGGAGGGGAGACGGCATGCACGATTACTTTTGACCATTTCTTACAACTTCTTAGCTACAAATATGTTTAAAAGAAAGTCGACTCAGCCCGGCAAGGTAATCTCTCTCTCTAATCAGTCGGATGTGTAATATTCCAGTATAACATATTGTTATGGACTCTCTAGACGCCCTTAATTGGCCACATTCCTTACAATTCCTTATAACATACAATCTGGACGTCATTTATCCACTTATTCCACCCATTAATTTCCGGCAGTAATTACACTTCCTTCCTTTTTTGTAATATTTTGCCTGCGGGTGTGTTGACGTGAAGCGAGTCTAAATGGGGGATCTTTTGTTCCCGGAAAGGCTGTTATCAGTTGGAGAGAAGAGAGCCTTCGTATTCCGATATTATCATAGAGGTCAGAAAAAGAAAGGGAAAAGTTTTTATTCCTTTTTTATAGCGATTAAAACTATAACAAAGTGGGTCCGAAAAGGTAGTAAAACGGCTATTGATAGGGGATAGCATGCGAAAATGTTCTCTAAACTGCGGTTATATCACCAAAATCGGTATAAACGTCATCATTTTTCCCAAATTTTTATATTGTCCTTGTCACTTCTGTTGGTCATTTTTCTTATGATGTATATTCCTTGATTGCACCCAACGTTTCGGTGATGGTATTCTGTCCTCTTTTTCTTCCAGATCCACGATCTTTTCCCATTGGAAGATCTCTTGCAGACGGTTGTGTTGGACGGTGCAGACCTCGAGGATCCGATGACCGCCCAGACTGATGCCGCCGTCCGTCTGAAACTCCTCAGGCCCGAGCTGCCGGAGGAGCAGATCCCGAAGGGCGCGGCTCTGAATGACCTGACTTGTGCCATCAATGTCAAGGAGAAGGTCGATATTAACGGTGAGCTTATTGAGTATCTATTATCGAGTTTTAAGCATCATTGGAATGTTTGATTATAATTATTGCAACTTTTACAGGCGAAAATAGGCTCATTCAAAAACGAAAAACAGTGCAAATAGATTGGGACAAGTGTTTCGATGTGGCCATTATGCCGGGACGGGTATTACAAGTTCTTCTTCAACATGAAAAAGCTCAAGTCGCCGATGCAACAATGCGATTAGAGGTAAGAAACATCAGTGTTTAACTCTGCAGCATAATTTGGCTCTTTTGAAACCAGTTATTCAGACTAATATGTATCAACTGTTTTCCAGGACATAGCCTCGAAATGCAAGCACGACGCGATCACTCACATCTGGATCAATCTCAAACCCTGCGGCAGAATCTTGGCGCAAACTCGAAGAGTCGGCTCGGCTCCCTCAAACAAAAGCGAGGATCCCAGTACTCCGAGAGGCTTCGAATCCGGAGGAATGGGACTTCAGCGACGTCGAGGTGCCATCAAACATCAGAAGGTCCACGAAATCAGAGGCCATCAGTTTGTCGCGACCTTCTTTAGACAGCCAACTTTCTGCTCACTCTGTTCCGAATTTATGTGGTAAGTAACTCGGTAATTGACTCGTTATTGTGTCTAAAATAATGTTTATTATGGCACATCTTGCATTTGCATTTCCAGGGGCTTGAATAAACAAGGCTACCAATGTCAGCTGTGTTCGGCGGCGGTGCATCGGAAGTGTCACGAGAAAACGCTGAGTCAATGTCCCGGCTCGGCCAAAAACACCAAGGACACAATTGTAAGTAAAGATATTATAGTATTCTTGCCAAAGCCGTCCTCGACATTAATCATCACAATGTTAAATTTTAGTACCTCAAAGAGCGCTTCAAAATCGACGTCCCTCATCGGTTCAAGACCTACAACTACAAATCCCCCACCTTCTGTGATCACTGCGGCTCCCTCTTATACGGTCTCTTCAAGCAGGGCCTCAAATGTGAGACCTGTGGAGTGAATTGTCATCATAAATGTGAAAGGCATATGCCCAATCTGTGTGGAGTCAACCAAAAACAATTATCGGAGGCCCTATTCGAGATCAAAAGAGGTGCCCATTCCTCGGTAAACTCCACTCCTCCAAGCCTCGGATCCTTGAGTATTTCGGGCTCTCCGGTCGACAAAAATGCCCAAAATGGAGCGACAAATGGCGTGGGAAACAAGTTCAAAGCGTTGTTCAGAAATCACAATTACAGCATCGAACAGCCCGAGGAGTAAGTTGTTTACAGATGGGAGAGTTTTTACAGTGTCTTGTTCAGATTTTTTCAACCAATTTCCAAGAAAAAAGAGAATGCAAACCTCTTGTATTTACAGCTTACGAGTAATTGGAAAACCGTATTTTTAAGAATTCAATATTATCCATCTAATATTTTAGCTCTACTGCATCGTCCCCAGCGTCGTCAGATGCTCCCAAGAAGTATAAACTTAACAACTTCACCATCCAAAAAGTACTGGGAAAGGGCAGTTTCGGGAAAGTTTTATTGGTGGAATTGAAAGGGAGACAGCAATTTTATGCGATGAAATGCCTGAAAAAGGACGTCATCTTGGAGGACGATGACACGGAATGCACATTTATCGAGCGGAGGGTGCTGATCTTGTCGTCGGAATGCCCTTTCTTATGCCAACTTTTCTGCTCCTTCCAAACTAATGTAAGCATTTTTTGATGAGCTATTTATGAGTAAAAACATTGTCTTAGAATTTCAAAAGGATGATTTGGCTAATTTAAATTTTAGTGGCTATAAATTTTAAAGGAAGTAGAGATAAGAAAAGAAAAACTTCAATAAGTTATAAGCCAAATTTCATCAAAATTTATTCCTCGAACATGCAAAAATTTCAGGAATACCTCTTCTTTGTGATGGAATACCTGAACGGCGGAGACCTGATGTATCACATCCAGCAAGTCAAACGCTTTGATGAGAACCGCACCAAATTCTATGCCTGTGAAATCATCTGCGCCCTCCAATTCCTGCACACCAAGAATATTATTTATCGCGATCTCAAGCTGGACAACATCCTCCTTGACGCCGAAGGGCATGTCCATTTGGCTGATTTTGGAATGTGCAAGACCGAGTTGAACCGAGAGAATGGAATGGCCAGCACTTTCTGCGGTACCCCCGATTACATTGCCCCCGAAATCATCAAAGGCCAGCTGTACAACGAGGCCGTCGACTTTTGGAGCTTCGGCGTTTTGATGTACGAGATGTTGATTGGACAGTCGCCTTTCCATGGGGATGGAGAGGATGAATTGTTTGATGCCATCTTGAATGAAAGGCCTTATTTCCCAAAATCGCTGCCAAAAGAAGCCGCCAAATGTTTGAGTGCTGTAAGTTTTTTGAATGTAAAAATCTTTTGCTTCTATTTTCTGCACAATGCAGTTTACAAAAAAATAATTTTTAACGGTAAAAAAGGCTGACTTTTGATCACAATTTCAATTTTTTTTACACTTTTCAATTTTCCCACCTTTTCGCTTGCCACAGCACAGTGCGCATCAGTATATTATTTCTTCGCACCGTGCAGTTTCTTCTCGTATTTCCTTTGATTGCACGATACAAAAAGTCTATTACAGTACCCTTAACGATCTTATTGACGTTTCAGTTGTTCGACCGTAACCCGAACACCCGCCTTGGAATGCCCGAGTGTCCAGATGGTCCCATTAGAACCCACGCCTTTTTCCGTGGTGTTGATTGGAAGAAATTCGAGGCTCGCCAAGTCCAGCCACCCTATAAACCTCTTGTGGTAAGCTTTTTCTTTTTTTCGAACTTCCATGTTTTCGTGGTGGGAGCCAAAAATATTTGATGACAAAAAATTATGGCAAAATTTATTAATATAGGAATGATTGAAAATATTTTTTTCAGAAATCAGCCAACGATACGAGTAACTTTGATGAAGATTTTACGACCGAAAAGCCGGTCCTGACCCCCATTCAGGACAAGAATCTGCTGGCTTCGATCGACCCCGAGGCATTCGCCGATTTCTCTTACACCAATCCCAAGTTCGCCTAACTTAATTTTTAATTAATAATCTCCCTTCCGAGAACATATCCCATCATCCGAGTGGATTTCCTTTTCTTCTTAGTCTAGTATAATGTCCGGCCATCGCTTTGGCCATAATATTTTGTAGCCAGCCATATTTTTGCACTGTAAATTTAATATTTTTTGTGGCCGATTCACTGAAACGTTCTGTGAAAAGAAAACGCTTAAAAATATTTAGGTCTCGTCTCCCATTAGGTTGTTTTTTTTTTGAAAATATACAAAGGAAAGTACTGTTGTTATCGTTGTAACCGATGCTTCTGAAATTCGGGTCCGAAAATCTCTTTTTTCGCATAATCCATAAATTTTGAATAAAGTTTTACATTTCGGTAGGAATTAATTTTAATAGATGTCCAGTATAATATAAAAATTTATTCCAACTCTACAAGGTGTAATTGGTAATGTCATCGTAAGATCTTTCTGGTTTTAAACGCTTCACTTCGAATGGATCTTCCTCTAAAAAACACAAAATATTTTTAATTTTATCCATAAAGTCATCATCTGCTACAGTATCCTTACCAACGATGCCCAGTTTCTCCTTGAATTCCATCTGATAATCCTTGAGATCCCGGACCAATCCGTTTTTATACACATCTTGGACCTCCTCTCTCTTCGGAATCATCACATTATAATCTTTAAAGAATCTTTTCATTTCTTTGAACATTTTATTCATCTTTTTCCTTCTCAACTGAGTCGCCACATCCAATGACAGCATCAACAACATTGCGAAGACAGTGTATGAAGCCAAAAAGTAGACATGGAAATAAAAATCAGGACTTGGCTCCCTCTTCCAGGGAATGGTCGGGGATAATCGACGTTTGGGGACGTGTAATAAGGAGGGGGGAACAAGGCGGGTGAATCCAGTGACAATGAAACGGTCCAGGTGGAAGAGACAGGTGGTGTCGGAGCCCGATTGCTAAAAAATAAATTTACAGATTCTGTAGAAATTCCATCCACAACTTTTGGTAACAAAATCTCCGAAATTCAGCAAATATCAAGCTAAAAGATCGTATAATTTTTATAAATCGAAAAAAAAAATTATCACGACACTCCGACCATTATTCACATGCCGAAGAATATACATATAAGCTCTTACATCGGACACAGTATTGACATAATAACTGCAGTTTCCCATGTCCTCCCTGCACTCCACAGTGATCACCACATCACTTCCCACGTTCAAAAACTTTTTCATTTTGTATCCATCACTTATTTTATGGATGGAATGTTGCGTCAAATGAGTCAGCACTGATCCTTCAATATACCTTTGGATATATTGTTTGAACTGTGAAGTGAAAAAGTATATTACAGTCTGATTATTAACAGACTGGACAAATAATTTGTGGGCCACATTATTCTGATCGGTGAGCTGAGTCTGATGAGATGTTGTTCTGAAAAGATGATAAAATCACATTAAACTCGCATAAACTTACACTCTGCAAACATTTTTGCTTTTACATATAAGATGAACATCAATTCTGAAGAGTCTTTTCTGACCGTCCCAATAATAACATCGAAGAGTAGATCTTCTCGTGGTCCTGCTCATCTCATAACAATCTTCAAATTGATAGTCAAAGGCGAGGGCAAATTCAGCGGCATTGGTTTCCAAGTGGCGATGGAAAACATCTCCTTCTTCTGATGGGAGATCTTTGGGGCGAATTCTAAAAATAAAAATGTAATAACGGGAAAGAGGTACTCCCTTTTTCAGCAAAAATAGCGGGGATTTTTAAGGGGCTAATTTCTCGATTATTGTTGACCCAAAAATTTTAGTGTACAAATGATGGCATACGTACAGATAGAACAAGTTTTCGCCATCCTTCCTGATGATAAAATGGATTGCGTTTTGTCTTCCGATGATTAAATTCACATTGTTTGCCCTGCACGGTCCGTCTCTCCCCACATAATATTTATATGCCTCGTCATACTGTGACATGCTCTGATCTCCGTAACGGTATTTCCAAATGTAAAAATCGCATACCTCAGTCAACAAATAGCGATACACAGGGATGGAATGGAAGGTGGGGGAACTGGAAGCATGAAAAATAACTGGAACAATGCTGCTTACAGAGTACCACAACTTTGATGTTGATTTTCAAAGCTTCCTGTACATTCGGCGATTGTTAAGGCAAGGAATATTAGAAAAAATAAACGGCCGCACGGCATTTTGCAAAATGAAAAAGTTTTAAAAATGGTACAGAAAGGAAAATTTGTAAATTTGACACCACCTTTTTAACCTTATGAATTTTAATATTAGAACATCTTCCAAATTAACTTTATAACTTTATGAGTCAATAAGATCAACAATAACATGCGGTTACAATATAATATACCAGTATTTCCCTGAACCATGCAATACTGTTATTAGTACAGTATCATACCTGTATTCATTGGTGGAAGCTGAAAAAATAAGAATGACATGACAAAAAAACTTATCAGGAAGACCATCTTGAGCGATTTGATGGCCGATGCCCTCAGGGGATTTGTGAAAAAGATATTGAAAAAACTCGAGGAAGACTCGGGGAGGAAAGGAAATTGGTCATGAGGAAAATAATGTTTACATCGTATATAATACAAATAACTTGCCCTTGTTATCCAGAAGACGGAAGGTTGTTATTGCTAGAACAAGATATATAACTGGCTCTAGTGGAAGTTGTGAGGCTCTCCAACTCGTCATACGGAGGTGGAGGGACACTCGTTGGGGTGATTGTGGTCGAAGTTGTCGCTGATCGATAGCTGGGCAACAATCCCATACTAAAACCTCATAGATAATATAAACTCAGCTCAGTTTTCTTGATGCAAAACATAATTTGAAGATGAATTATTTATGATCATGTAATCCTACCTAGAGCTCGAGACCACACTCAGCGATGTTTGTCGAGTCCTCTGACTGCCCGGCCGACATCCCATCGACCTCAAAAACAACATAACCGAATTCCGACGCTGATGTCGGGGCAGCCACATCATAATATCATAATCAAGAGGCCCGTTGAAGCTAAAGCCTGAGGGCAGACGAGCAAAGCCAACTCTGAAATCTTTGATTCTATGTCATCAAAAACATTGCCCTGTAAAATAAAAATTTACTCACTTTGGTTTGGTCAATTTCATGATGACAATTGCGCAGAAAACAGCGATAGATATCAAGAGAATGATCCCCAGAAAGAAGGTGGCATGATCTTCGGGAACATCAGCCGGGAAGTTTAAATACACTGGGGTCGAATACACATTGGGGGCTGGCTATAAGGATATTGTTAATAAAAAAGAGCCCACCTCAACTCTCGTAGTGTCGTTCTTCATGAACTCGGAGTCGCAGAAGGGAACTCTGAAAGTGGAATGAAATGTGAGAAGTCCCAAGCCCTTAGGGCGATAAATCCCGCCCAGAAAAAACGTTTACTGGCTCCAGAATCAATCCTAATTCTCTTCCGCCGGCGTCGGATTCATAGTCAGATTTCAGGAAAGATTAAAGTACGGGGCGCAAAAAACAGTATGACTGTTACGTAAGAGATGTGCAAGTCCATTTTGGAGAGCTTTTAGGGCGTAAAAGAGATGAATCCTCAATATTAGGACATTGTGTTAAGGAAAATTTAAAGAGTGGGTTTCCTCAAGTTGGACTCTGCAAGTTCCCTTCGTATTTTGAATACAGCGTCTGCACAGTCCAGGCTTTTATTTTTGAAACCGCTAGTTAATAATCTGCATTATCCGCTGAGGTATTGAACGAAATTTACAGGCTTGAGATTATGGAAAATGTGGAGGAAACGTTAGAGAAAAAAGTTTATTTTTATTATTTTGTTTTTCTCTCGCGAAGTTTTTGTAGGGTCTACTGCAATTTTCCTGACGAATGAGAGGCGCTCAACTCTACTTTGGATAAACTGCTATGGTAAGTTTGCACTTTGACAGTTTGCTTGACTAGGAATTACTTAAACTTGGATATAAAAAACGGCAAAAGACACAAATTTTATTTGAAGCTTCATTAAGATGGCGCAATCTATTGACCCATTTGCCACAAAAATATCCCTAAAACAGTTAGGACGACATAAACCAATGAAAAAATCTAAAAACGGAATTTATAAAGCTCTCAAGTCCAGTTATTCGATGCCGTTTTATCCCTCAAAAGAGAGCACAAAGCCGAAATTAAATGCTCTTTTGGAACGGACGGAAAGTGCAAGATAGGAAATGCAATTATGCATTCACAAAAAACATGAAACCCGCACTACGGAAGTAATACTGGTTTTAAAAAAAAATAACTCCGAATCTAATGAGATCCTTCGAGATTTTTAAATAAATATTGGGCAGAAGATGTTTTTTGGTGTCAGAAATATCATGATGTAAGTGAATTTTTGTTCAACGAGGAAAATGGAGGGCCATAAAATATGTACATATTTGATGACTTAAACTACATGCAGTAAGTTATAGTTACGATTTTATGATGCAGAAGAGCGTTTAGTTAGACAGATTAATAAGCGATAAAATGCTTACTTGTTTGTGTCGTTGAGTAGTTTAACAAAATGGCAACAGGCCAGTCGACTGAGAGCTCCCGAACGTTGACATAAATGCATCTAAATCGGTAAATTAATACTTGTTTTGAACCCCAGGAGATTTGCGTCATTTAATTTCTCATACAACGATGATAACCCCGATTAATCAACAAAACTGTCATAATCGGCCGTTTCTTCACATCTGATGTCATGAGTAATGTATTACCCGGCCTAACCCACAACAATCTGGTAAGGATATAAACATATGAGGAAAAATGGTTTGTCTCTTGAATCCCGACTTCTTCTGAAGCAGTCGAATACCCTAAGGGGCATATATAAAAGTCGATCGCCCCCCCCCCGCCCCTTTCTTCTCGTTGCACCGTGCAATTCTGTTCGGCCGTTCCTCCAACACCCGAACAACAATGTTGAACTGCGATTAAACGGCAATGCCCTAAGATTTGAATAAATTTTGAGACAAAGAAGACGGATTGTGGTTATGTAAAGCCCATTTTGTCGCCATTTCTGGTTCCCCAAGGCATTGAATTGGAAGAAAAATGACTCTGTTTTTGAGCCTGGGTGCGGAATTGGGCTCAAATTTGTGTAATAGGCCATGACAGACTCTGTGATTGCAAAAACATTCAAAATAACAATTTTTTGAGGGACGAACTAATCAAAATCGAAAGCTTTGGCGCTACAACAATTGACATTTTAAAAAATCAAAAATTTTTTTAATAGTTTCTAGGAAGTAATCCCTTGCAGTCATATTAACTTTATGGCAACTACTCTCATCTACTGACGCAAGACGATCGCCTGGGCCGGCCATAATTTGTTCAGTTTTTTCCCGCATTTTTCGCAATGTTTGGCATTCTGTTTCAACCAAATTTTCCCTTTTTCTCGGCAAATTTTTTCGAGATCTCGTACGATCGTCGTGTACGAGTCGTCAACGACGTCGTCGCTACCCGAAAATGAGTGGGAAAGCAGCAACATCCGTTGCCTCGGTTCCCTTCATAATTCCCAAGCAGATAAAGGTGCGTTTCCATAATTTTTGTTTAGTTTTCCTTATTTTAGAGATCAAAAACTGCCGTCCTCAAAGCTTTGGCTTCAACTGTCGGAACTGACACCACAGCTCCTCATTTCCAGTTCATCGATGATCCATTGACAATTCCATCTTCTAATTTCACAAAAAGGAACTATTTCCTGGCGAAGGAATTCGGGAAACGGGCAGCCAGACATCTAGCAAAAGAATGGCCAACTTTATTCATGTTCGACCGTGATGAGCCGAGATTGCCCGTCTTCCGACCAGAGAATTTACCGGCTTTGGTGGAATCAGAGGCTCCCAGTGAAGATTTGTTGATTCGGTTATTAGATGGACGAGAAGTTCATGGTGCTCTTCAGGTGAGTTGCATAATGTAGTAGTTATCAACAATATCGGTTTATTTTGGTTTTTAGGTCTACGAGAAGATCAGAGCCGGCAAAATCGATGTTTCCAAGGATACTTTGGACAGGTTGTTCAAACAGGCCGCATATTATAATGGACAGAATCCACCAGTTAGCGAAGAAGTTGAATGGCATGGAATCAGGAATTATTTCGAGGATTTTGAAGGAAAGTGGGAAAGGGTAAGTGTCTTCTGTCTTCCCTCACATTTTTATGGTGGAGATTTGATTGTTTCGCTTTTAGAACGGTCCAATTGAACTTTTGTTTCAAACGGTTGAGCAAAATGCTGAAAATTATTCGATTTTAATCGCCGCTAAAGCCAAATATGGTGATACGGCTGCTCTGCTTGAAGCGTACAAGCATTTGGACGATATGATTGGGAAGAAGCTCATTCCAGAAGAGTTCGCCTTCAATTGTCTGCTCAGAGTTGAACAAAATCCCAAGAAAGCTTTCGAATTGTTGTCTAAAATGGCTAAACTGAACGTCAAGCCATCCATCAGAACGTTCAATGCCTTTATTATGGCGCAGAACAAGGTACGCTGATATTTCTTGGGTCTTATCTTTTTTTAGAACGTTGATTTTGCTAACAAATGGGGAAATGTGAAGAAAGCTTTGGCCGAAGTGAATCGACTAAGGTTGGTGCCTTCGTTGACAACTTTTGATCTCGTTTTGGGTGGACTGAGAAGTCAGAAGGTCCAAGGAAGTGAAACCCCACCAGTTCAAGGCACTCAGGAACTTGTAAGAAATGTTTCTAATATTATTTTAGACATTTCCGTTTCATTTTTTTTTATTTATTGCTCTGCTTTAGGTATTGGCGATAACAGCGTTGAGTGAGATTATGGATATCCTCGAATCCCGTCCTCAGATTGATCCCCATGACCATACCGATCAGAATTTCTTTGTAACAGCCATGTCCGTCGCCACTGCCGCCAACAACGCGGAAATGGTTGATAGAGTCGAGGCTCTCTACAGATCGGACAAAAACAATGTCAAGATGACTGCCTTTACTGTAGAAGCCGTGTTTTACAATCGGTATTTGAATTATAAGATATTCACACAACTAACGGATATCAATGAAATTGGAGAAATTTATATTTCTTTGGTCCCAAGATTGGTTGGAGTCAGTCGAATGGTCATCAAAAACGTACTCAATAAATTCCCTGTGAGTGAACTCTACTTTATTACGCGAAAATTTTACAGTTTAGCCGATAATTGATGTTATTTTAGGCCGAGAATCCTCCTTGGGCTCTTTTAAAGCGAGTTATTGAAGATGGAATTTCCGGAAGACAGATCACTGATACCGATTTATGCCGATCATTCCTCCGACATCTTCTCAAAGTCAATGTTGATGTAAGTATTGCAATTACAGTCATTTTTACCTTATTTTAGTCCTTGGACATCCGAGAATCAGAACAATTCCGTAATCTGATTGTCAAGTTGAATGATATCTGGTTGGAATTTGCAAATTTCACAGATGAAAATCTGAAGAATCGCCAGATTAAACTCCGCCCATCGATGGCGACTCAAACCGCAATCTTGTTGTTAAAGGTCGGGGAGCACGAGAAGGCCTTTTCTCTGATCAATCTGCTCACTTCAGCCGATTCGGACGTCCTTAATTTAGAGGATAAACCAAGCTTGGACTATCTGCTAGCCTTATTTGATGCTGTTATCGAGACCAATAGTCTCAATCAAGCCTCCAATGTCCTGGAAATCATTGCCAGGCATTATAAAGAAGGTCCCTTGGAGCAATTGGCCGAGAAAATCACCAAGAAATTCGTGTTGAACTCCACTCAGAAACGAGTCATCACCAACTTTGTTAAACTTAGGAACCTTTGAGATTTTGTTGTTATACTAGGAATTGTTGAAAATAAAAGATTTGTAAAGTTTTGGTGACTGCTCTAACATAAGATATAACCGATCTTACTATACAGTAACAGAATAAGAACTTATATAGCCAGTAGATGACGTTCCCAGTTCTAGTTTCTATAGTTGGTTCATGTTCTTTGCAATCTTACGTTTTGCAAAGTTTTTTTTATTTTAAGTGACGATGATAAACTACAGGCTTGTGGATAACATCGCTCTCGGATGTCTGTTGCTCTGATAGTACCGTTTCGTTTGGGCTTCAAACAGCGATCGGTCCTTTTCCATAGTGTATATTACATCCTGAAAATAAGATCGTTATAAAATCGCTATTATCAAAAGGTCTGAACTAGTTCTACAACTTCATTTATTTTCGTGCTGACCTGCATGAGTTCATCGACATTTCCGTTCTCCGCTTTCCATCCGATCATTTTCCTGACTCGCGTTGGATTTCTTCTCAATCTTTTCGCGTCCTCCACGGTGTGACAAAAGTATTTCAGGAGGATTTCAATGGGTTTGAGGCGGTCGTCAATCTTTGAGATGTTAATTAACTCAACTTCCCGTCTGAACCATACAAATAGCATTATAAAATGGACTTTTAAGTCATTACTGACTTGACAAATTCCAAATTTACCTTGTGATTTCCGCGGAATCGAAGTAATATTTCCTTCGGCTTCCAAAAAACGTATTTTGCCTCAGGGTAACTGCCAACAATTTCTTCCAAAACTAAAACGAACTTGGTAAATACAGTAATACTCACTTTATCCGGCCTTTTCTTTATTTCCATTTTGCCACTGCAAATTAAAATAATATAAGAAATAGTAGCCTAATGGATGGTTTGAGAAACGTCGGCGACGTTTAAACCGCGGTTTAAACTGAGTCATGTGCGTTTATAAAGTAAGTTTATGTATGGAAGTAGCGGAAAATAACTAATTAATTAGCTGTAAAGAGGAAGCGCGCGGAACATTGCCTTGTTGAACTCACCGAAACACGAAACTAACCGTGGTTTAACGAGTAGGCCAGATGATTTATACTATATGTTTAAAAAAGAGGGCATGTATAAGATTATAAGTTTATGGGGGTCGCAAATCAATTACAAGTGGAATGTATTTTGATCAAAGTGTAACAAAAAAAGAATCCTGGAAAAGGTGGGCGAAGGAAGCCACAACATTCAAGGTTATTTACCACGTATCTTTTACTCAAATTGTCCAGGCATCAAGTATAATATAATTTCAAAATATCCTCGGATTGTTATAGAAGTTTTTTTAATTACCTAATATCATCGGTCTAGCTGTTACGTAATATGAAACACAACTGGTTAGGCCCGTTGTTGTCCTCACAATGGGTTTTGTCTCCGTCTGTCCCCATGAAATGGTTGGCCGATAAGGGCCTTTCTGGGCAAGGAACAACAAGAGGAGTAGCTGCTCTAGAGTTATGCCAAGATTCCGCCGACTGACATCTTACACGTTATTATGTATAAGATTTAATATCCCATGTGATCATACAGTAACAGGGTTTATTAGTGAATGCCACAGAGATCAGCGGAACAAAATAAATATCACAGGATTGGAGGTAGTAAAATACAATATAAAAGTTAGTATTATTAGATGACTTCAATCTCGATGAACCCGGAAATTGACTAGGACAATGGACTGATGCTGTTCATGGGTGGGAGGGAACTCGTAATGGCCAGAACGGGACTCCACAAGCTTGTGGAATTGATGGAGAAACCGTTTGAAAAGGGGGATCTGCGACTTCTGATGACGTTTCCATTGCTTGGTGTACTCTTTGATGATGGTGGAGGAGGTGGTGAAGCTGGAAATAGAGGAATTTCTATGAGAAAGTAATGAAATCTATTTGGTGTACTGTGTCTATGTTAAATAATTCAAGGGCCAACTCACTCGACTGATGATGGGTAATCACTGATCCCGGAGATCTGACTTGTGATGCAATTGCTTCTGGAGGGAGTGCTGGTCAGCATCATGGGCAAAGAGACCTGAAAAAGAAGAAATAACTTTCAAAAGTAATATAAAGCTCTCGAATCTCAGCCGCAAAAGGGGTGTGCAAATGTAAATATAAATGCCTATCTATCACATATCCAGACACAGTCATAAACAAAGACTGGATTATTCAGAAGGAACCCCCAATTCTCATCGTTCATTTTTTTATTCGTGCAATTGCATTTCCCAACTTTTGGGGGATAAAGTAACAGCGAAGGGCATTCATTTTTACTCGGGGTCAAGAAAATTAGATCCTGACGTAATGACAGAAAATAATCGGCAGAAAAAAATGTTTACTTAATTACGTTGCAATCCTTAAAAGTTGTATGTTAGATGCGCTTTACTTGACGGAGACGTTGCACGTATAATATTATTTCTGGAATATCACAAATAGCCCTTTCCGAGCGGTAATGTTGTTCTTGTTGACAAAGTCGGAGGTACAAATGACAATTGTAGATGTATGATCGGTCACAAAAATTTTGGGTAACTCTATGTGTCCTTCCGTCCATTATGTTGCTTTAGTCCACATAAGCCGTTTACTTGTACAATTCAACTATAAAACACTTTTTTGAATTTGCATCCTACTGTTGCAGTAAAATGCAATGTTACGTAAGTTGTACCCTTTCTGCCCATTATTTTCTGTCATTATGTTTGGCTTGACTTCCTGACCCCGGGTAATGCCTGCCATTGTTATTTTATCCCCCCAAAAGTTTTGAAATGCAATCGCACGAACACAAAAAAGAGCGTTGAGAATCGGGGTTTCCTTCTGAATAATCCAATTTTTGTTTATGACTTTCTGGCCTCGGGGGAGAAGATTTGAACGACTTGCGTATGTCTGGCTATCTGATATACAATCCCTTTATTCTATATTTACATTTCAGCTTTTACAACGTGTTATTATTTTATATTACAATTCAAATTTATTTCTACTTTTTCAGGTCTCTTTGCCCATGATGCTGACCAGCACTCCCTCCAGAAGCAATTGCATCACAAGTCAGATCTCCGGGATCAGTGATTACCCATCATCAGTCGAGTGAGTTGGCCCTTGAATTATTTAACATAGACACAGTACACCAAATAAATTTAGTTTCTTTCTCATAGAAATTCTTCTATTTCCAGCTTCACCACCTCATCCACCATCATCAAAGAGTACACCAAGCAATGGAAACGTCATCAGAAGTCGCAGATTCCCCTTTTCAAACGGTTTCTCCATCAATTCCACAAGCTTGTGGAGTCCCGTTCTGGCCATTACGAGTTCCCTCCCACCCATGAACAGCATCAGTCCATTGTCCTAGTCAATTTCCGGGTTCATCGAGATTGAAGTCATCTAATAATACTAACTTTTATATTGTACTTTACTACCTCCAATCCTGTGATATTTATTTTGTTCCGCTGATCTCTGTGGCATTCACTAATAAACCCTGTTACATTATAATCAGCTTGAACTTTTTTGATGACCATTTTGAGACAAAGAAATACAAATTTCATCAATTTTGAAGGTGCCGGTTACTGTAATATCATAATCTCATGGGAACTTCACTACTGCTGATCAATATTCAAACCACTTACTTCTTGATGCTCAAACAATGTGAAGTTGTGCTTATCGACCTCTCCTTCCATTCCCTAGACGTGATCATTAATTTGGAGCGTCTTCCAAGTTCCATTTATGACATTCTTCATGTTTTATGTTGTAATTTCGTCATTTCTTTTGTAAAAATCAACAAAACGGAGGTGGGAGGGCCTGTAGTTTACCCTCCTTAATGGGCAATTTGCCTTTTACGGGGTCAGAACAGATTGAAATTGTGCTTTTACATTATGGGATCGCTTGGCGAGTAAAAGTTATAGTCAATGTCAAGGAGAATTGGGGAAAAAACAAGTGATACGAGAGGAACAAGAACGGATATCCAGCAGGGCAGCGGACAAAAGTAACTTTTTCGTGTTTTAAAGTAGTCCTTTTTTTGTTTTTTTTCTGAGGGAAGAGTAAATTGTAAAAGTTTGTAAAAAGTAACGCCAACTTTTTTCTGGCGTCTGAGTTCCGTCAAATTTACGTCAAGAATTTGGAAAGAAGCCAAGGGATTACTGTAACAGGAATTGTGGTCTTGTGAGAGCGAAGGGGCCAAGGTCATTCAGATTACCCATCACAAATCATGGATAATATAAGCAAGTTTAGAAACCCAAATGAATTGAAAGTGATTGTTTTTTGTTCCCCCAAAATTTGCATTTCCTCGTTACCCTCGTTTTCAAGTGGACGTCTTTTTTGATCACAACACAGAATTCAACGTTTGGAGAAGAAATTTGATGGGAAAAAAGAGGGAGAAACAAATAAATCATCGAAAAAAGATCTCAAGAAACATTAACGAGCAAAACTTGGAGCTCAATGCAACTCAAAATGATCTTTAAAGTAGGCAAATTACGTTTTAAGTTTTCGAGTATATGTCATCGGTGGATGAGGTATGCTAAATGGGCTGTTTAATTTTGATGACATTGATGGAATTACAATAATTGAACAAGTTACGCTTAGATTTTTTTTGCAGAAATCAACAATAATCAAGAACACAAGAAAATTCACGAAGATTTGGTCATCAAAGCTTGAAAAAACAAAAAAAGTTATCTGACCGATTTTTAATTAGCATATTCTCTCGCTAAAAATACCCCTGAAAATCTCGGCTATGCCACGAAACGAATTGTTTTTTAGGAGATAGGAAGGTGCATACGTATCAGAAACTAAGATTAATGGACTAATCCACTTTCTCTTCAGCAACCTTAATCTGCATACAACGAACCATCCTTCAGAATTCAACAATTTTTATTGTACTTTTTCGATCAAAAATACTGTAGCCTCATGACCTGGCCTCTCGCTTGCTCAGCACAAACCTCTTGGAGTTTGCGTAATTGTGGATAGAAGAGTAAGAAAAGTACCTCCCCCGTACTTTTACTTACTTTCTATGTTCAAGAATTTGTATAATTGCCGGAGAATGTTTCGTCGTTTTTTCCTTCAAAAAAGTTTTGTTTATTCTGTAAAAGGGAAGCAATTAAGAGACTCAAGGACAGCGAATTCACGAAGGTCAACAGTTGAACACTGAAGATGCACATGGCGAGGATTAAATCATTTTCATTACGACTTGTTAGGGTCTTCAGGTCTCAGTAAACAAAAATATTGTGCTGACAAACATGTTATGTTGATCCAAAGTACGAACGAAACGAAGCGAAGAGTACTTTCTCGGAATTCACAGAAGCGTTGAATCAAGAAGAAATAAATAAACCCAAGACCTATTACAATACACATTTGGCTCTTAAACATGTATCAAAGTAATTGGAATTCAAAATGAACACGTTTACGCTAATGAATTATCTATTCCAACGGTTAAAAGGCGTAGCAACAAATTGGGCATCAAAATCAACCAGAGACCAGAATTACACACTGATGTTACTATTTTTAAATTGATCAGTTAATGAAGTCATGCTTACCTTCAAAGTTTCTTTTGCTTTTGTGGAGTTATTTTTATCCCGACTACTTGTTTTTTTTGTTTCTTCCTTTTACGGGCTTCCCTTTACGATCCTTTACCTGCATCGCGCCCGTCCGTTGATTTATGAATTGTTGCATAAAACGGAATCAAAATGCCATTCAAAATTTATTTTCGCGATTTCGCAAAGTTTGTGAAAAAGTAGGCGAGGCCAAAGACCGGTTTGAATGTGGCACAGCGAAGAGGGAGAGAAGGGAACAGACCGTCCTTCCTTCTGTAACCCCTGTCGCTTCTCTCCACCCCCTTGAGGTCGCCTTTTAAAAGGAGTGATCCCAACACAACCTCAACAGAGTTCCATCGCCTTCAGAATGAAACTTGGTCTGGTTCTTTGCCTCGGGCTTTTCGTCGGCATCAATGCCAAATCGCGTAAGTCCATTGTACTTCTTCTGTTTATTGCGCCATTTTTAAGTCTTCAAAAGAGACAATAGTTATGGAGATGAGCCCGCAGCTCAAGTAGCAGCGGCCGATTCTGCCCCCGCCCCTGCTAGTTATCAGGCCCCTGAAGCTGCTCCAGCTGCCGTCCAACAACCAGCCGCCGCGCCTTCTGCTGTCGCATCTTCTGGTTATAGGAAAAAGCGCGACAACAGCTACGGAGATGAGGCTGTGACCCCAGCTCCAGCTTCCGCTCCTGTAGCTGCAGCCCCAGAAGCTGCCCCAGCTGCCGTTGAACAACCAGCTGCTGCCCCAGCCCCAGTTGCTTCTTCTGGTTACAGAAAGAAGAGAGATAATTCTTATGGAGATGAAGCCGCACCAGCCGTCGCCGCAGCTCAAGCCTCCGAACCAGCTGCCAGCTATCAAGCCCCTGAAGCTGCTCCAGCCGCTGTTGAACAACCGTCTGCTGCCCCAGCCCCAGTAGCGTCGTCTGGATACAGAAAGAAGCGCTCCAACTCCTATGGCGATGAGGCCGCTCCCGCTGTTGCTGCCGCTGAGGCTTCGGCCCCCGCTGCCAACTATCAGGCCCCAGAAGCTGCTCCTGCCGCCGTCGAGCAGCCAGCCGCCGCTCCATCCCCAGTTGCCTCTTCCGGCTATAGAAAGAAGAGAGATAACTCTTACGGAGATGAGGCTGCCCCAGCTGTTGCAGCCGCCGAGTCCGCCGCTCCTGCCGCCAGCTACCAAACGCCTGAAGCCGCTCCGGCCGCTGTTGAACAACCCGCCGCGGCCCCAGCACCAGTCGCCTCGTCTGGCTACAGAAAGAAGCGTGACAACAGCTATGGAGATGAGGCTGTGACCCCGGCTCCAGCTTCCGCTCCTGTAGCCGCAGCCCCAGAAGCTGCGCCAGCTGCCGTTGAACAACCTGCTGCGGCTCCAGCTCCAGTTGCCTCATCCGGCTACAGAAAGAAGCGCTCCAACTCGTATGGAGATGAGGCCGCTCCAGCTGTTGCTGCCGCTGAAGCCTCGGCCCCAGCTGCCAACTACCAGGCCCCAGAAGCCGCTCCAGCCGCTGTTGAACAGCCTGCCGCCGCTCCAGCTCCAGTTGCATCATCTGGATACTAAGAATCCCTGTTCTGAAGAATCTCAATTCTCTAAAAACTGCCTGAATTCTTGCCTTCAATAAATAGAATCACCAAGTTTTCCGTTGTAATCGCATTGAGCTTCCTCAAAAAAAAGAACACAATTATAGCCAAGTGTTTGCTTATCACTCGTACAGCAAGTATTCGAATTCGTTCGCATAACCGGCCCTCAGGGACATGAAGAAGGTCATTCCTAATGAGCTTACCGTCCGGTTCGAGCCGTTCAGCCACATACATGACCACGTCCGTTGTCCTCTTCGTCGCGATTGTTTGCGCAACGAAATCGCACGAATAAATTGCGCGCTGCGGTCATTCACGATTCCTTGAGGGAGGCGGGACCGCCCCAGGGCGTATTTGAGGCCCGGTTGGCCGAGAAGTTCGTTCATTCAGTGCTCCCTTAAATCGACCATGATCAAGTGGCTGGCAGTCGTTTTTTTGTGCGCGCAGGTCGTCTACGGTAGGTGCAAATAACCGTTCGAAAACATGTGCAAAACATGACGTCATATTTCGTAACGAATATAATTTAATATGGGCTCTCAATTCGATGTCATTATTCTCGTATCTTCAGGTCAGTTCGACAAGGAGAAGGCTGTTGGACCATGTATTAATGGGAAATGCCCTGAGGGTCATGTGTGTCATGATGAGGAATGCTATCCAAATGTACAGAACGATGACCCCATGGATGAGATGTACGACAGCGATGTGAAAGCCCGTAAGTCCATCCGAAAATCGACTTATATTTGCCCTAGGTACCTCAATCGGTCCTTGCGTAAATGATCTCTGTCCGGCGGGTTACAATTGTGTTGACAACAAATGTTACAAGAGTAAGTTGTTTTCCAAGATTACTCTGCAAGACACAGTATTGTGGCTTTTATTGTTTTTGCAAGACTTTCTCCCTCTTCTTCAGACACCCACCTTTATTTTGAATTCTTTATTTTTGAAGGGCTCGTTTCCTTTGATTCGTCTCACCCCCAACTCTCCGACTGTACTATTTAAACACCACTCTTTCTCAACACTACAGGTACTTCCAAGAATAGTGAGGGGCACTCTTCTCCAAGACACTCAAGACCTACTACTTTTTAAGGGTCCAATCAACTTGTTTTAGGCGCCAAAAGAAGCGCTTCCCAGCCAATCGGGCCCTGTATCAATAACCTCTGTCCCACTGGATATACCTGTAACCAATCCGACTATAAGTGCTATTAATCCGTCATGGAGAAGATGCCAAAAAACGGGGAATAATTTATTTAATAATAAAGGTTAATTAAATTAAAGAGATTACGGTAACGAGATCATTGCTTCACGTCGAAGGGATCGTCCGAATACTCATCGACCTCTTTGATGGGCTGGGGACGGGGTCTGAAGGAGAGCGGGGATATAAACTGAAGTCAACTCACGTGTCCAGTCGACGGATGTTCAAATTGACTCGGATCTCCTGTCGCCTTTCATCTCTCTAAAATCTCGTCTTTTCATTTGACCTCAAACAAAACCTCCCGTTTATATTATGCTGTCTGATTACTAAGCTGTTTTAGAAACTCCTCGTGATAATTAACTCACAACTTCCTTGGCCACGGGCGCCTGATCTTCACCATCGATCTCCACCTTCGGGATATCAAACATGTGAACTGAAACAATGTCCCCTTACTCTCCGAAACATCGTCTCTTACTTGACTTGGAGACGGTATTCACAATTAAGGAGCCCATTAGTAGTATTAACAATAAATTCCTGACCGACGCCATCGCGAAAAACAAAGAAAAATCAAGCCGAAATGGGCTTAAATAGTTGTGTTTAAACTAATTTAATGTGGGGGGAATCGAAATTAAGGGAGCCCTTTGTGGCTCCGGTTGGGGGACAATAACCGGGGACACGCCCCATTATTGGTCAGGTATTCCGAACAATAAGTTCGGAGCTGCGAAAGCAAGGGGAAACGGGTTCCGAAAACAAAAAAAAATCGACCCGCCGCGAGGACTTCTGGTTTATTTCCCAACAACGACCCGAGGGAGGGAAACGACATTACAGTACAGGTTATTACAACAAAAATATTTTAATTTACAGGCAGTCCGAGCACAGGCATCGAGGCTGGCTTAACTGCGATCCAAGAATCCCGCGTACCGGACCAGATTCTCCAAGATGGGGCGGTTTTCCTTCTTCGTGGATGAGACTGCCGCCTTCTCGGGTCCGAATTCATTTTGATGTAAAAGTTTGAGGAAGTTTTTGAAACCCTCCGTCTCTTTGGGTTCAATGAATCCATCTGGAGCTGTTATCCATTCTGCAGCTTGCAGAAAATGCTGAACATGTTCGGAATCAGAAGGGAGAGCAAGGAGGGAACAGAGATCATCCAATTTTAGGGTCACATACCCTCTGAGAACTTGTTGGAGACGTCGGGCAGTCAGTCGATTCAACAACTCATCTTTGTAGGGTCTAAAATATAAATAATTAAAAATTGGTAACAACCCTACAAAGAAACCCTTTATTTATTACAATAAAAAGTATTACCTGAAAGACTCATGTAGTTCCACATTTCTGATCCATTGCAAGCATTGTGTTAGTTCAATTTTATGAGCAAGATCAGCAAATTCATAGGCCTGCGATAATTCGGGACAGTTCGCGTAGGCTTCAATCCCTCGAATGGCGGCATAACGACCCTATAACAAAAATGCAAGGTTTAATAAATTGATAATTCGAATCAATGACATGTAACCTTCCACCTACCTCATTTGCTTTGTTCTGAATAACATAGAAGAAAACGCATGCCAAATACTCTCCGGGAGTCAACTTCTCATTATCCAATTCCTTCTCCAGAAGATCCGCAAACAGCTGGTCGTAGGTCTTCTAAACAATAACAATAAAATAACACATCTTTCACTTACATCCGTCTGTGGAGCAATCACATCAAATGAAAGATTATTCACCGGGTTTGGCAGAGCTATATCGTTCGGAATTTCGACAGAAGCTTCAACTGCAAGAACGTTTCGCAAAATCAAAAAGAAGTACGAAATATCCCGACTTTTAATAGCAATCTTATACTTACCAACTACAGGAACTTCTTCAACAATTGGATCTGGTGGCGGAGCTTCACTCATACTCTATGGAAACAAGATTTGAGTACAGAAAGGTCCTAGAATCCTCTACAAAATAATGAAAAATAATTTATTTGTGAAAAGCGGAAAGCCAACAAACGTTTTCGTCGTGAATCCCGGAAAAATAAATTCAGAAAATATCTCGGAATTCTGCAAATTTGACGCGAGCTTGTGGAACAGATGAAATGATTGTAAAGTCAAAGTCGGGAAAGAGGAAGATCGAGACAACCTTTCTTGGCGAAATTACAGCACCGAAATTGTAATGTCTCTTGTATTGATAATACGTCCAAAAAAAATTTTAGGAGGCAATTTGATCCTTGTAGTTCGCCACAGACATCAGTTCAGATCTCAGAGAATACTTTCAAATGCTCGGCACATAATATTCCGTCCGCCAATATTGTTTACAAAGCGCGACAAACGAAGGTAAGTCGTCTGCTACAATATTTTTAATAAATTGAGTATAGGTCGAAGAATATGAAGTAGCAGCAGCAACGGATCGGCCAATCGTCGAAGCCGTTTTGGAGAGGTTGAAGATTCAGGCATCTACTAATGGAAAAACGCAGATTGAACCGCCAAAAGTTCAGAAAGTCTTGAGTGTGAGGTTGAGAAGTGTAAGTCGAATTCTTTTTTCTTTTTATTTTGACTTTAGAACGACAAGAACATAAACCTGATCCAGGTGCAAAATGTGGAAAGGAAGATTGCCGAAGGAGCGACTGTAAAAGCGATGAATAATGATTTAGTTGCTTGGACTAATCATGTTTTTGAGAACATTATTTTGTTAGCTGCAAATGAGTGGGTTTACTTTATAGATTAAGATATTTAGCATCTTCTATGGTTTTTACTTTTTGATATTGTAGGATTTACACAGCGATTGTAACTTCCTGCCAATCTCTTCAAGTTTTCCACACGTCAACTGGAATGAAACTGCTCGATTGGTTGATAGATAAACCCGTTTCTTTAGTCACACTCAACTGCGACTTTCTACTGCTCATTACTAGTGATCTCAATGTGATTGTAATGTAGGTTATAAGTGTTCTCTTTTCAGTTTACCCTTTTTAGAAACTTGGATATCCAGACGATCCACGCAAAGCTTAGTTTCCAAAGTCTACTGAACAACAAAGGGGTTAGTATTTCTGCAGCTGCGTTGACAGACAACGGAGTGCCTCTGGTTGTATTGAACAATGGTGAATCTCTTTACTTTGACCTTAAGATTAACGTCTGGTAAGTAGTCTATTTTGTGATTTTTCATCTTGTTTAGGGTTCAAATCGAGACTGCGAGTAATTCATTGGCTTCAATTGATTCATATCTGGATGTCATAAAGAAGAGCGTACCCTACGGTGTTATCAGTCGGTTATTTTCTTTGTCCAAACCTTACAAAAAGTTTGATATCTCCTATCAGAGTGCGAAGACAATTGACGAAGAGAATGCCTTGGAGGTTTTGATCAATGCTTTGATTGCGCTTGACAGTCCGGAAGAGCTGAGGTTGATCATTATCGTTTTTGTCCAAAGACTTCTCGTGAATGGCAAGTGTAATATAATTTTTGGTATATTTATTACTGTTCGTGTTTTAGGCCGCCACCACAAGCTGAATCTTGTTGTTCACCGATTGGAGAGCACGTTAACAGCTCGAAGTATTGATTTCAGCCCGATAAAAGAGGATATTCAGAGGATTTGTAAAGAGTTTAGTGTTACTCTCGAGGAGATTGAACGACGAAGTGCAACTCCTCTTATCAGTGATGACATTTTGAGTGACGATGAACTGCTTTAATTGATTTTCTTGTACATTTTATTTGATGTTTATAATTGGAATAAATTAATTTATCCTAGAACAATATCTTTCTGTAATGTCAAAAAGTCATTAGCAATACTGAACGAATTCAAACTTACACAACTAGAGCGATGAATAGATGTTTAAGGTCTCAGACACACCTATCAAACGATCATGGTGTTCTTGTACATTCCCTCCGATCTCGTCTTATTCTAGTCCGAAGAAGTCCAGAAATGAATTTAAATCTCCAAGTCGGAGCGCGGTAAGTCATTTTAGATTGGTTCTGTTTTGGTTTAGAGACTCTTGCAAGTGGTTTGGATGAAAATAAATAGCCTTTTTTCTAGTTCCAAGCATCGACTTTATACATGAACGAGAAATACAGCGATTTTACATTTATTTGCGAATCCAACGGGGAGTCTCTCAAAATTCCAGTTCACAAATGTATAGTCGGCTCTATCTCTCCCTACTTCGATGCTATGTTTATGGGAGATAATGTCGAAACAGCAGAAAAGAAGGTTACAATAACTGATTTTAGTGCTCAGGCAAGTAGAATTTGGAATAATAACCTCATTTACGGTTTATAAAATAAGATTGGATTTTCAGGTGATGAAAGAAGTGTTCTATTACATCTACCATGGCTGCATTTCCATTTCCTTTGGCCCAATTTGTTATGAATTAGTTCGAGCGGCCGATTACTTCCAATTGGATGGCCTCAGGGATGATTGTATGGACATGATCAAGGAGAATCTGGCCAATGACAATCTCCTCGACTCCATTTGTATGGCCGCTCAGTTCAAACGACATGATATCGTGGCCAAAGTGAAACGATTTATCGAATTATTTTATACCGATAAGGCTGTGGTAAGAATTTTAATCAAATTTATGGGTTAATTTCCCTAAACAAATATTACGGTTTTAATATTTATTTGATAAATCATGTTCAGGAGGAATTATACTCAGATCTGATCAGGAATCACCCGGATACTGCCATATATTACTTCTCCAAGACATGAATGATGATTTGTTACATGGCTAAGTCAATATTTCGTATTACTTTAGTGCATTTGCCTCCGCTAACCCTTTTATGGAGTTTGTAAATACTTGCGATTAAACCCAGGAAGCCTTGGGACTTTGTCGACGTCCCAGACGCTAAAATAATATAATTATTAAGAAGTACAGTAATGTCGTTTATTCCAATAATAAGTAAACTTCAATCTAGCCCGTATAATAATTGAGGAAAAAATAAGATGGAGATCTGAGGAAATATCTGAATGTACATGAAAAAATCGCTGAGATTTGGAATACCGGTATCAGGGAAGGGGCATAATCAGACGAAAGACGAGAATCCGTTGGCATTCGTGAAAGTCTGGTGTTTGGGGGAAGTGAAGTCGGTCCGGAGGTTGATCCCGCCCACTTCATAATCGCGCTGACTATTTAGAGATGAGGGGTTTCGATCATCGGAACCTGGAAACGATAAGATAATATTGAGAATTTAATTTGAGGATGAGTTGGTAAAATTTTATATAAAATCTACTTACCGCTCTGGCCAGTCTCATTTGTAGCCTCCGAATCCGGGCGATTGGGCAGTAGGTAGACCGGGGAATGATTATTCGTAGCGAATCCTCCATTCCGCCCACTCTGGGCCCGCTGTCTTTCTGTTTCGCGACTTCGTTTCCACGTCGCTCGATAGTTCTCTTCCTGAGGATTGCTTTGATAATGTCCAGCGAATGATTTCTCCGCCTGAATCTCTGCATCGTCAGTCGTTTCATTAGCGGCGGGATCTTCATTGATGACTCTGGTCCCGTACGGTCCAATATCCACCTGAACTGGGGGCTTCGCCCAGTAATTATTGGCCCGCGGAGAGACATTCAGCTGATTCTTGGAGGCATAAGGATTAACGGCTTTGACTGGCTTGCTATTCCGGTGAATCTCCGGGACATTATCCGTCGCCAAGGCATGATAAACACTACTTGTACTGTAGGGATTCTGTCTGTTGTTAAGCCCCGAAGCTATGGATCCATAAGGCGCTTCATTGTGTCTGAGATTCTCGTTTGACAACCAGGAAGTGTGGGTTTGAGGGCGGTCTACCGGGCTGCAAAAATTTTTCATAAATTTATCTCCTACTAGTTAGTGTTGAAAAGCATTGTTTAATTTTAAAGTGAAAGCATTCTAAATTTATTTTAGTATTACCTTTTGTTTTTATTCTGGAGTTCGTAAGACACCACAAATCCATCAGCCAGCTGATGGGTGTCAAAAACATCGCTCTTCTCATCCTTCTTATCAGATTTGTGATTGATCATGCATAATAAGAAGACGAATAACATAACAATGATGACCAACACTAATGCCACGATGATTAAGAACCACCAAGTTGTGTAGATTGGGTCTTCAGGGATTGATGCTGAAATTTTTGGAGTAAAGGAACTGTAAAAGAGATAACATAATCTTGGAACAGATCCTATTCATACTTATCTACTACAGTATGGTTCCTTACCAGGTACATGAAGTTGTTCCGAGGCCTCACTGGGTAACCCAATTCCCAAATTGTTTCTGGCGAACAGTCTGAAGACGTAGTAACTGCTGGGCTCCAGCTGTCGATAACTAATTCGATACTCATTATCAGTGCCCAGAACATTCGAGATGGTCACCCATTCCCCGATCACATGTTGGGGTCTGTACGGATCGGTGTCCACAAGTCCCCTCTTCCTTCTGGCCACAGTTCCTTCGGTTGTATTCAAATCTTCATAAGCAATCCCGACTCTCTTTGCCTGAATCAAATATCCTTTTATGGGAGTTGTGCCTTCAGGGCCGTCGCTCCATTTCATAAGGAAACTCGACTGTTCCGGCAGAACAATTGGCTTGGTCGGAGCCCCAGGAGCACCTCGATTGTAGCCGATGGTCACATTTCCGGAGACCGGGACTCCCAATCCGACCGAAGTTCGGGCCTGGACAGTGAAAGAGTAGGTGGTATTCTCCTCCAAATTGTCCGCCAAAAGGAAAGGAAGCAACGTTTTCTCTTGAATCTCCTTCCTAAAGTCTTCGGAGAATTTGTAGGTCCGATAAGTAACGGAATAGCCGGTGATTCGGCCATTTGTTTGTTGAGGAGGAGTCCAGCTGACATTCACCGAATCCAGGAGAATATCGCTGAATTGGAGCTCCCCGACAGGACCGGGGGTGTCTTCGAGAGTGCGAGCACGGACAACGGAGGCTTGGCCATCACCAGCACGATTATAACCGGACACGGAGATCTGGAAATACAGAAATCATCATGCACAGTTAAGACTACTACCTATTACAAAAGTTACCGTAATATTTGATGACACTCTTACCTGATACTCTGTGAACTTCCTCAGTTCAGTCAGAACGAGGCTGTTATTCTCAGTAACCACCACTTCTTCCAGACTCTCTCCACCTTCAGCTTCGGCCGCGATTTCTGGAGACATCGAGCTCAATAACGGAGAATATCTGACTCGATACCCAGAAATGACGTCATCGTCACTGCTCTCCCAAGGCTTCCAATGGACTTCCATAGAAGTGCTTGACTGGGCTTCCACTCGAAGTTCTTTGATATCCTGTTTAGGAATCGAATATCCGACATAGACAAAAGCCGGGGGTTTTGATGGCTGGGAAGTCCCGAACTTATTGTAACTCTGGACTTGGACAATGTAATGATGAAAGCTGAAATATCACGACATTTAAGCATAGACTACACAATCCTTACCTGGAAAGTTTGTGGATAACATGTCTGACGACTCCATCACTCGGATTTCTCTCCATCAAGGGCAATGTCTCGGACAAGAAGGTGTTATTCGATTGATAAATCCGATAGAGAATCTTGTATCCAATCTGATCCGCATTCCATTCTAACTCATTTATCGGATTCCATTCCAAAAGAATCGAAGAGGCTTCATAAGGTTTGGCCCTTACATTGCCCGGGGCAATTTTAGGAGCCGAGCCAAGAGTCTTGGCCCAATCCGATTCGGCTGACCAGGTGGTGTCATCATTGTCTCCAATATACCTTATCCGTGTTCGATATGCCATATTGGGGATCAGGCTGAAAGAATTTTATGTTGTACTTGGATGTGATGAGATATGAAAAATATTCTTGCTAAATCTGATATCAAAACTCACTCCGATATCTTGAACTTTCCCTCGGCTGGTAGAATAGCCCTTCTCCATCTATTCCAAGAGTCCTGATTCTTCCTCTGGTACTGAACTTCCACCTCTCTGACCTCTCCTTCTCCCTCCGGGATCTCGAAATGCCACCACAAATTATCTGCTCCCACCGCATCCACCGTCTTGCTAATTGGTGCCTTTGGAGAGGGTAGATTGAGTTTTCGATTGGTAGTGATAACTCCCAACTGAACTTCTTTGCTCACACCCACTTCTGATTGGGCTTTGATTCCAAAAATATAATTGGAATCTGGACTCAGGGAAGCGGCCGAAAACTGGTAGATACTGTGGGGTAGGACGGTCGAAACAGCGCTCTCTTCTCCTTTTACGGCCTTCCAATGCCTGAGGACATAATTGGTGATCACTCCGTTCGGATTGAGAGGGGCTTCCCACTTCAGAATCAGGCTGTTATTCGAGATTTTACTGAACTTCACATGAATTGGAGGCTCCGGAATATCAGGCGGAGTGTGGATTAGAGGACTTTCAGATGAAGGTGGACCCTCTCCAACCAAATTGTACGCTGATACAAACACTCTATAAGCAGTTGCAGGTCGAAGATCGCGGGTTTGGAAGTATGTCATCTTGGTCTCGGGACTTGGGATGATCGTCTCTTTAGTGTGATAACCCCTCAGATTCTGATCCTCCGGCACTAACTCCACTTTATATCCCTCCAACATCCCTCTTCGATGCTCCAATGGGACTTCATCCCACTGAATTCGGACTGTACTTTGATGCAAATCCACAATTACACTTTCCGGGCCTTCACTGGGACTGCTTTCGTAAGTAGTAGCCGTAATTACAGTCGAAGTTTCACTCAGTCCAAACGAATTTTCTGCCGCCATTCTGATCTGATAAGTAGTGAACGGCTCCAAGTCCAACAAAGTCATCTCACTGGCCTTGTGATTCAACGTTTTTACCGTGATCCACTCATTGTTATTTCCCTCCTTTTCTTGGCTGTTGCCCCCGAGTTTTTTGGGTTTCATCGCTCGGTAATAAATGACATATCCGCGAGGTTCTCCATTCCAATGATTGGGCAAAAGAGGAGTCCAAACAAGTTGGATTCTATCTGATGCCACTGGCTCTGCATAAATTTTCTCCGGAGCATTTTCTGGCTCCGTGGCTTGGGTTTCGAAGGATCTGCTGGGATCTGAAGGAGCCCCGCGACCTCGGATATTCTCCGCAATCAGCCGGACCTGGTACTTGGTGAATGGACGGAGCTTGTTGATGGTGAAAGACCTTGCCTTAGGCGCTGTGATATTAAAGATCTGAGTGAAGACAGTAGACGATCCAACTTTGGCTTCGACAATCCACTTTTTGATATAAGAATGGCCATCAAATCCGGGGATGAATTGAAGCACGGCACTTCTGGGGCCAACATCCGAGATGGTTAGGGCGGATGGGCGGCCTGGGAGTTCTGGAGGGACCCCGGATTCGAATTTGGCTTCGGTTCGAGGAGAGGCGCCCACTTTTGTCAGGGCCTGGATATCCACTGAGTATTGGGTGGATGCTTTGAGGCCTTCAACAGTCACATTATTCTGGTCGGCGGTCACTTCGATTGTCTGTTTGTCATCCGGTTTGGAAGTCTCCCAATGGCGCAGGATGTATTCTACAAAGAAATAGAACATTATTCCAAATAATGGCATAGACACTTACTAATCAGCACTCCATTTGGTTCAACAGGAGCTTCCCATTGAACAACCACCGAAGAAAATTGAACTTGATCGAAAGAAATGGAGGGGACAGGGCCAGGGACATCCTCTTCGGTTACTACCTCAATCGGATCACTCCTCGGCCCATCTCCCGCATTCGTGTAACAAACTACTGTCATATTGTAATGTCCAAATTTCTCCAGATCTTCCACTTTTTCTCGGAGCCGTGTTTGATCTGGGACCACTTTCACAGTCCGGTATTTTTGGCCGCCAACTTCGCCTTTCCAGAAATCAATCTGAAAATTATGATGTCATAGTATGAAAAATTGTTCCACGAGGCGATTAAGAAGTTCTAAAACCAACTTTATATCCCTGATTGACTCCCGGGATCATTTGTTGATCAAGTGGATCAAATTCGACCAAAACTTCCGTTGAACTGAGTACTGTAACCTGCACGTTGTGAGGGGCTTCCATTGGGGCTAAAAGTAACCAAAATCATTACAAAAATTGTTAATATTATACACTTTCCTCATCTAATTGTCAATTACAACATAACTTACTTCCTTCCAACGGTTGAACTTCAATAGGTTTACTGTAAACCCCCAATCCTCGATTATTAAACGCAGCGACTTGAACTTCATAATCCCTCCAGGTGATCAACTGCTCAAGAAGGGCGTTTCTGGCATCCGATTTGCTGACATTTTTCTCTTGCCATGGGAGATTATACCCAGCCAATCTGTATCGAATATTATATCCCAGAATGTCCCCATTCCATTGATCTGGCGGAGGGGGTTGCCATTGGACCATCACTGAATTGGAGGTCCTTGGACTGGCCGCCACTGATCGGGGACTAGCCGCCGGAGGGGATTGGGGCATGGTGACGTTGTTAGAGGACAAAGAAGGACGGCCAGGGCCATGAACATTGAAGGCGACCACTCGAAACTCGGCCGTTGAGGAAGGACGGACGTTGTCGATGAAGACGGAGCAACAAGTCTCGGCATTCACGTTGTCCACGACCGTCTCCCAATCATTCCAGAGACCCGAACTTCCAACAAATCTCATTTCCACGGCATGTTTTATGAGTGGAGAGTTTCCATCGAAGCCGGGACGCCAAGAAACTTTGATTTTGGCGGGGATACTGTCATTTATAAGTTGGGCCTGGACTTGAACGGGCATTCCTGGTCTTTCTGAAAGGATTATAATGTTTTTGTTTATCTCTCGATTGTTTTTTCTTATACCGATGATCTGCAACGACGCTTCCACACTCTCCTCTTCCATTCCGCTTTTCACCGTGCATTTGTAGACCCCAATGCTATCCGGGCCCACTTGATTGATGGTCAACTGTCCGTCCTCGTCGATGCTCACTCTTCTCATCGGATCCCCGCTCTTCGGAATTAATTGGCCCTAAAACATTGGCCAAATTAAAAGTCTGTTTTTGTTTGCTCGAGGGGTTTTAATTTAGGATTCCCATCAATAAACGGCGTCCGTTTTGTGGACAGTGGCCATTAAATAAGGTCTAAAAGGAAAGGCTCGCGCACTCTTGACATTTCCGGGCCACGAGAGATTGACCTTAATCTTGTTTGGACAGATGACAAAGGAAAGCAACTTTATACTCTCAAACGGGCTTATAAAAAACGGAATTGATGTTATTTCAAAGGAAACTCCCCTTAGGCGCCGAGTCAAAAAATAAAAAAATGGTGACATTGAGATAAAAATGTCATCATGATGTCAAAAATTTAATAACTCACATTTTTCGACCAGATGGGTTCGACTTTCCCTCGAGATAAGGCCTCCTCGGATATTATACATGGCATTTTGATGTTGGTTCCGATCAAAAGCGATTGATTTGAGGGTCCCACTTGGATCAGTTGGGAGCCTAAAGTAACAAAAAATTATTTTTGAAACGTATTTTATTCAAAAAGATTTTAATTCCTTACCAGAGACGTCCAACACGGCCGATGCCCTGATAACTTGTCCGTTTTGATTAGTCGCTACACAAGTATAGACTCCAGAATCCTCCTTGTGAGTGTCATGGATGACAAGGGAACTGAGATTAGTGTTCAATCTTGGATTGTCCATCAACAAGGCCTCATCGTTATAACGCCAGGAGATCCGGCTGTTATGGGGATCGGAGGTTTTACACTTGAAGAGAACATCTTTCCCTGGCTTCGTGAAGACATCTTCTGGTTGCTCTTGGAATTCAAAGGCTTGTGACGACTCATCTGCAGCTCGGACAAACATTTTGTCATCTGAAAAAAATTTGGTCATCATTTTCTTCGACAAAATTTTTTTGAAGGCAGACCTTTTACACTTTGTTTTCAAAAAAAAAACTTTTTTGCGACTTACCAGGTTCATGAACATAGGTTGTCGCCAAGTCCAGCCCAGCAGAATTTTTTGCCACACATTGGTAGATTCCGTAGTCATTTTCGGTTATTCTATTCACTTTTAGGATCGTTGGAGAATTCTCCAGCTAAAGTATGATGATTAGTATGTATGATGACTACAATTACTAGTAACTTACAAGTTTTCCATCATGATACCAGGAGATCTTGGGTCTTGGCCACCCTTTTTCTGTGGGACAACTCAACCGAAGGTTGTCGCCGCGGAAAATAGGGCGATTTTGGAGAAATTGTGAGAGATCGATCTTGGGAGACTCTAAAACAAGGTTCAGATTAGAGATTTTATAAAGAAAACTTTTTGTAAAACGTAAAACAGTTGGACTTGTCTATTCCTCACCTAGATACATCAATTCAGCCGTCGCGTAATCACTATAAACGTCGTCTCCACTTCTCACAGCACATTTGATCTTTGCCGTATGAGATTTGGGTCCCATTAGGTGGGAATTTGGATAAATGATTAGTCGCCGTCCCTCGTTCTCTAGATGAATTCCATTTATCTCCTCGAGAACGGGCTGAGCATCTATAAACCACTTGATTTCAGGCGGCAGGATCCCTTGAAAAGACGGAATACACTCAAAAATCGCGGCTTCCGAAAGATCTGGCCCCGTGGATCGAAGGGAAACTGGCTTGGCTCGGCCCGAGATCAGCGTTTGGTCGGTTGGACCATAAAGAATTTGGAATTTGGACTCCCGAACCAGAGAAGTTGGGTCTTGTTTGACGATGTAATTGTGGACAAAGATCCCGGAATTGAGATCGCGGACTTGGACCTTGTAATTGAAAGTGTTCTTCTTCGGATTTATGGCCACCAAAGTACCCGTGGTTGTTACGTAATAGTTGTCGTTTGTAGAAATCTAAAAGATACGGTAATTTATTTTTAAAATACGATGATTTCGCCATAATATGTGCTCATTCTTTGCACCACAAATATAAAAAATTACCTCTTCGTCACCAATAAACCATCGCCAGCTGAGGCCGAGGTTCGGACTAGATTTTATAGCCGGAGGGCGGATTACAAAACTATTTAAGTCCTTGACAAGCCATTCTGAGGTCTCCGTCGAGGCTGCAAACCCATCAATATCTAAAAAATAAACTATGTAAAAAATTAGTCATCATTTATTATAAAATTTTAAAAAATCCCAAAATTTTAATTTTAAAAAATTTTCGTTCAATTTTTCAAAAAAAACTTACAAACTACAGTAACATTCATTCCCCAGGAGAACGCAGACCCCTTTGAATTTGTCGCCAAACACTGATAGAACCCAGAATCCTCCCTGGAAACGGTTCCTTGGTCGTAAAAGATGGCATTCTCTCCAATCAGCCGTTTCCCGTCTTTAAACCACTGAATACTCGATACTTTGTTCACCAATGGACACTTTATGTTCAGTGCAGATCTCTCGGGCAGCCAGATTTGTGTGGGATTCACACCAGCCGAGTCAATCGGCGAGAATTCTGGAGGATTTTCGGCCGAATTTACTGTAGAAATAAAGGAAAATATAAACAAAACTGGCCACTGGGGCCATTTATCTTTTCGTCGACTCATCTAGTATCATGCCCTGGAAACGGATCGTAATTACAGAGCTTACAAATTACGCGACGCGATATATAATTTGCGACTCCGCCAGCGAGACAACAGCGACGCCAATCGCCCCGTTGGAAATTGCATTTTTCTCGCGCGAAGCCGGCTTCGTTCCACTCAAAAAGACATCATTACTCTTACTATTTAGCCGCCTTCCCACCGATCCTACAGGCAGAAGAAGATGGGCGTCAGAAACTGAGAAAAACGACTCCAGGACAGTGATCTGGCCCCGATAATGGCCAAGTTTTTGTAAAAAAGGAAGATCGCGATCAAAAGGACCGCGATGAGTGTTCGCTTGTGGAGAAGAACGTGGCCAAGCGCACGATCTTGCGGCCATTTTGTAAAGAATTCGAAAGGAATTCGATTATCCATCCAAATCTTTATTATCCTTGGGAACAGGGGGGTTCCAATCAAAACATTCTCAAAAAATATGTCATTATGACAGATTTAAAGGCTCAAAATGAAAAATTATGCATAAAATTGAGGAAAGAGGCCAAGGAAATTAAACATTAAAATCCGCTCTCTCGGATGTCCATCTGCTTTTCGAACAAAATGGACATGGTTCATATAAATTGCTGAGAAACTATTACAAATTATGCTGCTACTCATAAACACAGCGAATTTTTGATTCAAGAAAGAGCCATAGAAAGAGAGAATAGCAAAAAATAAACAAATCGCGGCCTCAAAATTATACTCCCCGTACAATGTTTTGACCCCCCTCCTAACTCCGTCCATAGTGTACTAATTCGGACCAAATTTGGTATGTAGTATAACCACAGGCTAGTAACAAAAAATAACATAGCTGGACCTACCTTATAGTTGAATATCAAAATCTAGGGGCAATTTTCAAAAATCACCTTAAAAAATCGAGGAAAAAGTTTTGACCCCCCTTAAAAAACGTTTGAAATCGCCAGCAGATGCAACGCAAGCCTATTGTAATCGACGTCCCATACCTGAATACAGGTTAATAAATAGTTTTCCGTTGAATGCTTCGTTGCATTTGAGGAGTCAACGCGTAAAACCGTTTTTGATGTAGAGCTGCCCAAAATTGTAAAAATCTTGCCCTAGCGCTTTCCTAGAGCTCTAAATTGGGTTTATATTATGTGCTTTAGACCTGTATTTACCTTCTCCTTTCAATAAAAGTGCATGGTGGCCTGGCGGTGTAGATTCGGCAGATACCCTCTTGTCATGCCCAGCCTTGGTGAGCCATTTTCTCTTTGACTCAAGGTCGAGATGTGGTCGTCAGGTCCTCAGTGTAATCCTGAGACTCCTAGTTACTCTCAAACAAAGAATAAACTCCGGCTGACACGGTCTCATATGGTTTGCAGATGCAACTTCGCCGATTTGCACCTTAACGAAAAACCCGCGTTTTTCAAATGGATTTTTAGCCACCAAAAACGGCTTCCATTTGATAGACCAGTTAATTTAAGACCCTACAGCACCCACCATACTCATTTGAGACGTATGAAACGCCAAATGGTAGGTGGGGATGTAATAGTACTCGGGGTCATTTACAGTAACGGCAAAGTTAAGATTAAGGTGAATGAAACCCATTACAAAACGTGTCAAATCAAAACATTTTATATTACTGAGAGTAACTAGGAGTCTCAGGATTACATTGAGGACCTAACGACCACATCTCGACCTTGAGTCAAAGAGAAAATGGCTCACCAAGGCTGGGATGACAAGAGGGTATCTGCCGAATCTACACCGCCAGGCCACCATGCACTTTTATTGAAAGGAGAAGGTAAACACAGGTCTAAAGCACATAATATAAACCCAATTTAGAGCTCTAGAAAAGCGCTAGGGCAAGATTTTTACAATTTTGGGCAGCTCTACATCAAAAACGGTTTTACGCGTTGAATCCTCAAATGCAACAAAGCATTCAACGGAAAACCATTTATTAACCTGTATTCAGGTATGGGACGTCGATTACAATAGGCTTGCGTTGCATCTGCTGGCGATTTCAAACGTTTTTTAAGGGGGGTCAAAACATTTTCCTCGATTTTTCAAGGTGATTTTTGAAAATTGCCTCTAGATTTTGAAATTCAACTATAAGGTATGTCTTGCTATGTTATTTTTTGTTACTAGCCTGTGAGTATACTACATACCAAATTTGGTCCGAATTAGTACACTTTGGACGGAGTTAGGAGGGGGGTCAAAACATTGTACGGGGAGTATAGTCAAAGTTCTTTTTTGATGATGAAAACCCGTTTTGATGACTAATTACCCAAATTTTATAGTTCGAAATGCAAACAGCCCTCCAGTATAATTTCTTCCAATGTGTTTGGAGCCCTTCCGGCGTCTTTCAACTCTCCGATGTCTTCTTTTTGTAATCCCTGACCTCCGGAATTTAAATTCTTTTTTTTGAATTAATTCCGCAACTTGAGGGCAAACGAAAAAAAAACTCGTAAAAACACTCAAAAAACAGGCATCGCTACTCTCCAAGAGTTTTTACTTTCAAAAGCATCTCCTTTTTTAACTTCTTAACCCTCAAATCAAGCAAAACGTCGGGCGTCGCTAGGGCCAGAAGAAGGGAAAACGGGGAAAGGATCTATTTATTTCATCAATTCGAATGCCACTGGTAACTAGTGGATTAACAAAAGTTTATTCGAGGTCCTGTTCGACGGAATTCGGAACAAATTCGGACAAAAGGTGTGGCCAGAGGTCTGTTTTTCTTGGCCATCCATCCTCGGTCATGAATAATATAATATAATCTGGTCAAGGTCACGAAGAGAAAGCACTTTCCAAGAAGTTTTTTGTCCGAATGCACACAAATTTGCATACATAAATAGGCAAACAGTAAAACGTATGAGAATGTTGTGAAAAACAGAAGAATGGAAAACAATTATGTTGTTGTGGGTCAATTTTAAAATTACTGTACGTAGAAGAAATGGAAAAATTGGGCTAAAGTTTGAAGTTGTTTTCTGTAAAAGGTAGAAACTTCTTTTTAGGCCGCAAACCCGAGTATTTAGCAAAATTTTTGGCGAGAGATCATGACAAACGAAGAGTTGGTCAGAGAAAAAACCATTTCCAACCATAACTTGAGAAACTTTTTATATAAAAGCATTTTGATTCTTCTACAGCCTATAGGCTCCTACTATACATATACACGAAGAAAATATAAACAAAAGTCTATAATAAATATCCAAATTGGAGTGAAATGCACTGCTGGAAATGCAATTAAAGGGTAAGTGATCCTACGGTATCCATCCCCGTCCAGAAAAAAACACATGTCCACTCTGCTTCGCGCCGACTCTCCAGATCCTTTCCAAACATGGCCCCCAGATCCTTGGCCACTTTTACCCGAAAGGTCAAACAAAAGTAGGGACCGCCCTCTCGGTGGATCGCAAATTGCGTGGCCAAAAAAAGTAATTTTTTGTTTGAAATTTCAAAAAAACCCAAATCCGAGTGACCACGGGAAGAGAACCCCTCCGGCAACGAAGACAGTTTTTACTTTACACTCGCCTAAAAAAGGTAATTACGGGAGCGCGGCGAGTAATCCGCCCAAATATTTTCCATAAAGAGATGGGAATAATCGCCTCCGGACGCGACAACCTGAATTAAGATCGGAAGAAAAGTGATGCTGAAGAGCCGCTAATGCCGTCGCCTTCCTCAAGGTCCACTTGCAACTCCGCGCCGTCCCCTCAGGGCTGATAAACGACACATAAGTAAAGTAAAATAAACGAAAACGGAAAGGTCATTGGGAAATTGCCTGAGGGGAAATCAACCGGAAAATGGAGGTGTTCATCCATTTAGCCCATAAAAAGAAGGGAATGCAGGAAGTGGACATTAATTGTAATTATTTTCTCATAAATGGAGTTGAAACAAGTCATCGAGAAAGCTTCAGATTGACAAGTTCCATGTTAGTATCAAAACGTCATGTATATTTTGTTCAAAAATATTTTTTCCGATTTTAAAATCGGAATTAAAATCTCATCCAAAGCTTGAATGACAAAAAAATCTTCGACGATTTACGACACAAGAACAAAGTATCAAAAAAATGATGACATAATCTGCATGAAATCAAATACCATATTACGAACGGGTCTCCAAAAAATATATTTTACATAAACTTCAAAGATATCAAATTTCGAATTCCTTAACTCGCCTCAAGGCCATTCTCGGAGAACAAAAAGTTGGGTCGTCGTGCCCTGAGGACAACAAGTTAAAAAAGGGGGATTCCAAGTGACCGGAATGGGTTTCGCGCCCTCGGAAGGGTACCCATAATTGGGGAAACAAACGCTTAATTTGGACACAATGCAAGGCCAACGGCGTGAAGAGCGTTCGCCTTCTGAAGAGGCGATAATGAAGGCCACAGAGAATGGCCACAGCTCCGGACATCTTCAGATTTCGGACACAGGATCTGGGAAAATCGCCGTTTAAGGGGGCCCGAGTTCGAAAAAAGTAAAAAAAAAGAAAGAATTAGGGCTTAAGAAGGGAAGGAGAAGGTCTCCAGGCAAAGACAATACCCCTCCGAACTTTCTTTCTCCCAATTTGCATATAAAACGGAGAATAACAGAGTATGGAGGAGGTAATTTCGAATGAACAGACCCCTTTTTATATGAAAAAAGTAGCCAAAAGTGAGGGACAGGACATTCCTAGCGGTCTGAATGGCTGACATTATCCCTGCGAATGGTTAATTTGATTATTTGGAACCAATAGGAATAATGGGGAGAGGAAAGGAGACCAGTTTGCAACATTAAAGCAGTATAGTATAAGACTAATAAAAAAAGTAGCTGATTTGGCCGTAAAATACACGGGGAATGTCCGCTTTGTACTCCGCCTTCTCGCAAGATACGAATTTACCCTACAAACAAAGATAATTGCGTAACAAAGGCCGGAAAAAACGACCCTTCTCTCTGTAATGTCCACTCAAAGCGGCCTCCTTATAAGGCAAGGGCACATAAAAACCCTCGGTAAATCTATAAAAGTCAAATATAATTTATTTCCAGGCTCGGTACATTCATTTCCAGGGGTCAGTAGACACATAATTCTGGGGAAAATTGACCATCAAGTACAATATAAATAAAAAATGTCCTAGATTTTGATGAAACGAGCTGTCTGAAGGCCTACCAGGCTGTAAAACGCTACAAGAAGCCTTCGGACGCCGAGTATTTCATTACTTTCCACTTGAAATACAAAAGTCCGCTTCTTTTGAAGGTCACTCCCCCCAAAAAACAAGGTTAATATAATTGATCGGGGTCTTCGCAAGTGTCAAGAATAATATGGAAAAGTCGGCTCCGAGGTTATTTTACAACATGAACTGTCGAAAAGAGCGATCAGCTCGCAAATCCCGCTTCTTCGAGAGCCCAAATTCGGCTGATTCATCCAGGGAAAAAGAGCCGAAACGCTTATGAATCGCTTAAGGAATCATAAAAATGGGAAAGGGATTTAATGGACATTACGCAATCAATGGACAACGTGTTTAGGGGATGATGTTTGTGCATAAATTTCACGCGAAATTTATTTTATTGAGGATGCGAATTCAAATATCCGAGTGAATGAAAATGGGGCATCGGAAAGGAAGAGGAAAAAGGGGATCGTGATCTAATACAGAAGAGGATACCATGTCAAGATTCGGAAGTAATCCAGGTTATTCCATACTTCTTTCTCGGCAAGACAAATTGGGAGACGAAGAGATCAAAAAATACGAAATTTGATGACATAAATTTTATAAGGCTAACATTAGTAAAAGCTCTGATTTTGACGTAATTAGATACAAACTGAGATCACAATTTTGCAAAATAGATGGTAGATTGTTAGCTTAGGCTCAATAAGGTGAGAAAACACAGGAGTTTTTTAAACTTTTTTCTATCTTCAAACCCAGAAATTGTGCATCCAAATATTCGAGGTAACGATGCCAAAAATACTGCAAAAAAATGTTCTATCGCAAACCCCAAAAGCAGTTGATAAAAAATATATTTTCTCCCCTATCGTCTTGACAACAAGCACTTTTATCAGTTGTTTTGCTTCCGTGAAAAACTTGAGTTAAGATTACCCATAACGTAAATTTAATACATCTCCTATGACCACATGAAAGGAAAGTGTTATATAATCCTTACGTAAGCCTACAGATCATATCGCCCAGTTTACCAAGGGTAACTTTCCCCCGTAAACCATGACCACACCTTCAGTAAACACCCTTTTAACCTTGGATCTCCTTCCCTTAACCTCATGCAAAACAAAACAAAATTGCTAATTTTTCTGCAGGCATCTTATGCACGTCAAAAATCCAGATGACCGTTGCAAAGAAACGTCTCCCGAAATTGTTTTGAAAAGGTCCAAGAAATGGCGATAAGATAAGGCCAAATCTCGGGGACAAAAACAAATAGTTTCTTATTACAATCCTGATTCAGACGCCCTGGGAAAAGGGATTCTGAATCTGGTCGGGAATTCTCTTACAATACTTTACAATGCAAGATTTATGGCCGGGTTTTGTAGTAAAAAAGGCGTAAACAAAATTCTGAAAAGCCCTAAAAAATAAATTTTGACAAAACCCTTTTCTAGTAACCACAAGCAGTGCTCTCAAAACCTTTTTAGTCAAATTTAGTAATAGCAACCGCCCGCTAAGATCGCTCAAAAACGCCGTCATTTGAGGCCATTCGGATCCCCGGAATTACCGGTCGCATTCCAAGGTCCCTCGATTTTGCACACCTGTGCCAATAAAATAAAAAAACATGCACCCCTCGAAATGACCAGTTGCATAATCAACGCGCCATTCTTGGTCGAAAAAGGGAAGACCCAACTTGAGAATAAGACCCTCTCTTCTCCTCAAAACCCACATATTTTAGCCTCTCAAGGTGCGTCGGACGGAAAAAGAGGGACATGCAAATATAAAATATAAGGTAGGTACCCTCGCGATCTCTCTAAACCGCCGCCCCAAGCCCCGCTCGCCGAGTAATGTCACCAAAATGGCCTTGAGGCTGAGGTCATCCCCATCCCTGGAAGTGCCGAACGTCGCGTGATAGAAAGGGTTCCGTTTTCGGGAATGGGATCAATCAAATTCACAGAAACATGATCGGCCTCATCTAGTGACGAGTTAACGGCAATAATTTGTCAGTAAAACCAAATAAAAACGGAAAAATGATATTATAGAGGAATGGTATGCCTAAAGTAATATCCAAATACGATGACCTCCATTCGAATTCGATTCATCCGGAAATGGGATCATTGTGGATATATTTGGGATCCGAAATTAACGAAACACACGATCCCTCAGGGAATGGGAAACCCCACAATTTGAAAAGCGAAACCGAGGAAATAAAAGAGAAAACGTTCCGGGGATACAGGTCAGCATTACCGTACTTAACCTTCTCTCTACTAAGAATAACAGAAATCCACCATATAAAATATTTATTTTATAGCACATTAAAACAGATTTAGAATAAAATATCCGTAACTCCTTCAGATTACTGTATTTTTTCAACGATTTCCCCTGAGGGTCTGAGCCGATCCTTCGAATGCCTTAAAATGGTTGACGGTGTGCCCGCCAAGTCTGTTTCCGCCGAATGGGACCACCTTCTCCCGTTTTTTCTCTCTGATTTCTTTCTCCAAAAGCTCTCGATTCTTATAGGCATATCTGATAAAATCCAATTGTCCTGGGCGATATGATTCATCCGGGATAACTTCAGCGATCTGTTCTTCTGGTTCGGGCGCCTTCTCAACGGAATCTCTTGAAGGACCGGCCGAGGAAGTGGAGACCGTTCTGGATTTGCTGACCTTTCCATCCAGTCTGACACCACTTCCTCCAAAAGTTTCATCTTTCTTGATCTTGGGCTGAACAACCGGTGCTGCTGGCTAAAACAATATGAATCGTCAAAATGAATATCAAACTTGCCATTTCAGTTTGAGCGGGCTTATAAGTAGGTTCTACGTATCCCTCAGGGGCATCAAATTCCACATTCATGTCACATTCAATGATGGTTACAGCATTTGCCGGCTTTAGATCCATTACTTTGAAGTCCATCACTTGATCATTGTACTAAAAAAATCCAATTACTATCCTCACTAAAGCCATTATTATATAGAGGAAACACTTACATCCACAGAAATGATATCACCCTTCGTTAAACACGCGAATTTCCTAAGCTCCACCTCCAAAACAGCCTTGGGATTAGAAATATTGAGGAATTCCGTTGATTGAGGCTTAAACTTGGCATAAGTGGCGCTGGGAAGTCGAGTGTATTCGATTAGACACATGTCTCCCTCGTCCAATTTGAGTTGTTCCATCATCTAAATAACGAATAAAACAATGTATAATCATTATTACCCATTTCGGCAGATAAGCCTTTCCTTCTTCGGCTGAGAACTCAAGAACACCAGCATGAGTGGTCCGTTGAAAGGCCGGGTCCAGACTCATCAGCTTGAACATCATCGGATACTCGATATTTAGTCTAATCAAAGCGTCCAGAGCGGAGTTTGGGAGTAAAATCTAAATGGTAAAATAACAATTTGGAGAACAAGCTTACCTTTCCACCATAATTAATCTCCTGGATCTTTTTGGCATCTGCTCGCTGATAATAAGGGGCAGAATAACATCGTAGACGAGTCTGATAACGTCCGCCGACGAGTCCACCCATGAAATTACCCATAAATTCTCTTCCGAAAAACATTTTGACACTGGAAAGACAGAATTAGGTATAAAATTATATTATTATAAGCAAATCACGGAGAAAAGTGCGACAAAGAATGAAATGACATTGAAACAGGTAATTAGTAAGGTCATAAACCGATAAAATTAAAATTAGTATTAAGAAACGTTGAATTTATAACATAAAGTAGAACGAGATCAAGCATAACATCATGTCTGACTAAAATCTTTAAACGGTATTTTCGGCAGAATCTGTCGTTCTGGGATTGGCGACCTCCTTTGGCGTCGGACCGGCTCATCAACAGTCCAGTCGGCGGGAATTGCACCATGACTGGTTTGTTGCGTATAAACTGGCTGTTGAACTAGAGCTGAAGGGCCAATTGGTCGAATAGAACGCTTATTAATATCAATGAATGTGGTGGGAATATGTGAGACCTGCTGTTGATATGAGAGGGGAACTTGAGCTCCATTATACGATGGAATTGAGGGAGTTTGGAGTATGGGATTCGGGATGGATGGAGGTGGAATTTGAGGATTATAAAAGCCAGGCGGTTGGGTTTCTCGTTGTACTACCTAAAATAGAACACGAGCTCAATTAACGGGGCAAGAAAAATATAAATATTGAAGACGTTGACTATATTGCCTAAAATAAGATATACAAATATAAACCTCTTACCTGAGTCAGTTTCCCCACAAAATTAGGGTCACTATTGGCCAAGGCCATCAATCCTTTAATAAAGTCCTTGAGTGTTATATCTTTGACCATGACAGCAATCTGTTCATCTAAACTCATCTGCGGCAAGGTCGGAATGTCGGCGATTGGCTGTCTCGAGATAGAATTCCTTTGTTCAGCTAGCTGTTGGATCATCCCTGTCTCCCAATCTCTAAACTGTTCTACATATTGCTCATATTCGGCTTGGCCGGCCATGCCGGCATTCTCGACCATCCAACTCTCGAATTTGGCTCTTTGGTTGGCCAATTCGATCTCCAGTCTGGAGATGATGATGGCGCGGCTGTCATGCCCACTCATTCCGCAGGTTATAACCTAAAATTGACAAGGATTGAAGAGATAAAACTGAACTACCTTCTCAAATCGATCAAAACTGCGTGAGATTGCAGAATTATTTGCAAATTTTTATTTTTTGTTGGTACGGAACGCCAAAAAATGAGTGATTTTGAATAAAATGGCTTGTTTTCCGCTTGAGAGTTCAAAACGAAGCCTCACAAACGACAACTTCGAAGCAAACACGCACAACCTTCCCAAATTTTACATTAGCCCACATTTTTATGATAGATTACTTTATGTTATGAGTAATTAACATTAGATAATAGCAGTTCATAGGAACAACAACAATATCCTGTTCTACAACCCGAATCCTCTTCTCACACTCCTCACGGATCGCTGTCCAACATGGCTGATAATGTTCTTCGACGGTCTAATCGAACTTCTCTCACTTTTTGCCTTTTCTTCGGCGATTTTCCGAGCTTCTGCCATCTCTGCTTCCATACTTTCGGCCGTTCTTTTCTGTTCCATCATCATTTCCCTCCCAGTCATCATCGTATCTTTGATTGCGTAGAACATCGGTCCGACTTCAGCGAGCCATTGAGGTTCTACGGCTGTTACACACTGCATATATTCCCTTGTCGTCATGATCAATTCGTGATAAACGATGTAATGAACAGTGTACCCGATTCCATAGAGTGAAGAGGTTGGGTGTAAAAAGCAAGGGAGTCCATTCCTCATGTTCACATATTCTCCAACACCCTTTAATCTTGCTGCATTGTGGAAATAGGCCGAGCACACACATTTCCTGACCACGTCCCATTCGGTTCCGCAAGAGATCGCTTCAATTTTGAGACTCTCCATGATATCTGTCAGTTGAGTCCGCACTTCTCGGACCTTCCTTAGAGCTTTGGCGTGGAGAAAGTTCTCAGTGCACCAGCGATTACTGAACTTGTGCTTTTGCCATTGATTATAGACATTCAGGTAGGTCAGATGGTCAGATTCCGGTACCTAAACAACACAATCATGATTAATACAAAAAAAAACAAGATATAACACTCATCATGGTTATTAGTTTACCTGAAACTTTTCTTTTTTGGCATCAGCATCGTCTTCTCTCCCCTTCGGCCTGAAGAATAAAGAGGGAACACTCAGCATGGATACTATCGTCAAGATCTCGGTACTGCATCCCATTTCCTCTGATACTATCAACATCTTGGACAAAGTCGGATCCAATGGGAACTCGACCATCTTCCTTCCCAATGGGGTCAACTGTCCAATATTATCCAATGCCCCCAGGGTCCACAACTGATACATTGAATTGAGCATGTTATCCTGTGGTGGTGGATCCATGAAATGGAATTTGAGGAGATCATCAACAGCCAGAGACTTGAGCAGAAGAACCACATTCGATAAGTTTGTTCTTTGGATCTCTGGGACAGTTGAAGTCAACATTTCTTCCTTGAACTGCCTTTCGGTGTACAGTCTATAACAATGGCCTGGACCGGTACGACCAGCACGTCCGGCACGCTGATTGGCGGAGGCTTGGGATACGGGAAACACCTAAAATAATAAACCTACATTAATTTGAAACTCAAAACAGACACCTCGTATCACACTAGACCCACCTGTAGAGCGTCCATACCAATTCGTGGATTGAAAACTTTCAATTTGCAGAATCCCGGGTCAATCACAAATAAGATACCATCCACAGTCAACGAGGTTTCGGCGATATTCGTGGCCACAATGCATTTCCTCATCCCTCCCGGAGCTCTTTGGAAGATCTTGGCCTGCATATCTGATGGCAATTGAGAGTAAATAGGAAGGACTGCCAATGGAGGGGCCTCATCCAATTCATTCAACTTCTCCCTAATCAAAGCACAAGTCACTTCAATGTCTTCTTGACCAGGCATAAATATCAGCATGTCTCCATCCATAGGACCCAGATGAATTCGAATACTTTGTTGGACAGCTGCATCTACATAGTCTTCAATCGGAGTTTTGGCATGGTATGTTTCGACCGGGAATGTTCTTCCAGGGATAGTAAATGTGGGGGTGTGGCCTCCGAAGAAATTGGCAAACTTCTCTGCATCCATTGTGGCTGATGTTACTATCAATTTGAGGTCCGTTCTTTTGGCGACGACATCTCTGAGAAGACCGAAGAGGACATCCGTGTTCAAGGACCTCTCGTGAGCTTCGTCCATGATGATACAGGAATATTGTTCCAGTTCGGGGTCTCCCAGACATTCACGGAGAAGAATACCGTCAGTCATGTACTAAAAATAAAACTTATAATACAAAATGACAATGTGTAATATAACCTTTATCAAGAAATCTCTCAAAGAATTTCCTACCTTAATCATAGTCTCATCGGAGGTGCAATCTTCGAATCGAATTGCATATCCAACCTCCTTCCCAAGCTCCACCCCCATTTCTTCGGATACTCGCTTAGCGACAGACATTGCAGCGACACGACGTGGTTGTGTGCATCCAATCTGACCACTCTTCCCATACCCATCCTCCTTTAGATACTGAGTCAGTTGAGTTGTTTTGCCGGATCCGGTCTCTCCAATCACAATGACAACTGAATTATCTCGGATAACTTGTAATAACTTTTGACGAACAGCAAATACTGGTAGATATTCTCGCTGTTGTTTTATGGTCTTCTCAAGGGCAAACTCCGAAGCTGCTTCTGTTTCTTCTTTCATGTGCTCCGCAAATTTGTGAGAGTCCCTAAAAAGAAAAACAAATTATTTTATTCATGACAGCTAAGCACAAATATAGTAAAAACTGACTTGTAGTCGCTAGATTTCATCGCTTCATCTTCTCCCGTATCTTTTTCCGCCTTTACTCCCATAATATTTCCCAAATTACTTCCAGCCAAATTCCAATGTTTCTCTTGAGCCTTCCTTTTCTCTTCCTGTTCTCGATAAAACCGAACTTGACGTGATCCTTTGGAAGCAGCGATTGCCATATCACAAGTGACATCCTTGACTGGTATGACTGGCTGAGATTGCTTCGTAAAGACCATGCGTCCATCCAAGAAAGGAGGAACGATATTCTGGACAAGTAAATTTACAGCATTCTCATCTTCTTCATCATCAAGAACTTCGTCCAGGTCTTCGGCAGAAAGAACAACACCTAAACGCAGAATAAATAAACTTCGCAAATCACTCACCTGACCGTGCCAACCGATCGTTCTCCCATTTCTCATTGTCCTTCTTTATCTGCTGTGCTTTGGCACTCATCCTCGGCTTGGCCTTGTTCCTCTTGACTTGTCGTTCTCTCTTCTTTACATAATCTTCAGATACATTTGAGAAGGGATTAAAGTCGTCATTGTATCCCTGATCATTCTCATACCATTCCCTTTCTAATTGATACTGCTCTTTCTCCCATTGTTTCCTCTCGTAATCATCCATAAATGAAGGTTTTACTTCTCCTGTTCCAGGTTCATCAAATTGTGGTCGATTTCGTCTAAAGAAAGACATAAAAAGAAAATTAGTCATACCGATGTCGCCGCCGGTCTTTCTCTTCTCTCCAAACACTGTCCAAACTTCTCCCACCTACTTGGGTAACTGGTGTTTCAGCATCCCAATCAGATCTTCTCCTTTTTGGTCTGGAATCATCATCCCAAGCTGAACTTGAAGGAGTGTTCGGAATCTTAAAGTCAGGAGTTTCTGGTTCATTGAATCGCCTAGAGGATGTTGGAGATCGTGACGACCTTCGGCCACGATCTCGTCGGTCTCTATCTCTATTTCTGTAATCGTCTCTGTCTCGATCTCTCCTCCTATCTCTCTCTCGATCATCTCGGCGTCTTCGATCTGGAGAATCCTCATCGCTGTCATGCCGTCGTCTTCTGTGTTCTCTGGAATCAACTTTCAATCCTCTCCGTTCTTTCTCGCGTTCCTTATCATGTCGCCTATAAATAAACTATAAATTTTCAAAAGTCGAATCAAGAATAATATTAAAAAGATAACTTACTTTTGTATCTCTTTTCTTACTGAGTCCCCTAACTCACTACGCTCACTTTCGTCTCCTTTCCTTATCCGTTCAGCCCGTTTCAAGAACGCCGGGACTTTGAAAACCTCTTTTTCTTCCCCATCGTCCCTCTTCTTCTTCTTGATGATCAGACCTCCCTTTTCGCTTTCGTCTGATCCTTCTAGTCGATCGCTTTGATCCCAAGTTGGCATCGCTCAAGACGTCTCTTCACAAACACCAAAAATTCACGAATTCAAGGTTTTTCGGAAATAATTTTGAAAGAGAAAATCTATAATTTTAATGACGAAGTGTCAAAAAAAAGAGATTTTATACGATGAAACGTTTTCGATTACTTCTGTTTTGTGTCTCGGAGTCTTTGATCAGTCCTTGATCTTCTACTGTAATTTAATTTCAAAGTATTATAATTTCTGCGTTACCGAACCAGAAGCCCAATTTAATGCGATGGCAGGAACGGTTGTCAATTAGTGGAATTTCCGACCAGCTTGATTTATTAATTACACAATCTGATAATGACTACTGATACGCGAAGGTGAAGAAGGTCGGAATCTCGGTTTTTGGTTTAAAGCACCAGTTGAAAAATAAAAATTGATATTGGAAATAAGATTATACAACAAGATGGTCAACAAGAATTCAACAACGGAAATGAAAGCTACATAGAAGGGGAATAAACTCGTATGGGTGCTTTTCTCGGTATTATATTATACTTGGTCATGGACAGAGAGTTAAAGAGAGCTGCGAAATTATGATATTGTTCTAATTATGAATTATGGCATGCAATCGGGAAATATGATAGTAATGAGTGATGTGGGGAATATCAACTATTGGGTGGTATACTTTAACCAGAAGAGTTTTGGCTACGCGAGGACTGTGACGGATTCAGTTTGAGTCGTTCCGGAATTGGCCGATCCTTCGATGGCACTGTCCACCGAAGCCATCTCATCCTCGTCTCCAAAAATACTCTCTTCATTCTCGTTGTCAGAGGTCAGACCAACCGCATCAGTACCGTAATATCTGTCGCCAAAGTTTCCCATTCCAGGGATGATGTGGCAGAGCTCGTTTATACGATTGTCAACCGCGGTGGTGACCAATTTGACTTTCGGAAAAGCGTAGGCAATCGAATGGACTCCAGTTTCGGCCATGAGGAGGGAAAGGAGCGTGATATTCTCCTCTTTTACATCATGATCAAGCAGAATTCGGATGGCCATGATAGCTGCGGCTCCTAAAAAAGAAGAAATGATAATTTGAAGTCATAACTATTGTAATTCAAAATAACAAAGAATGTAAATAACATACCAGTCGCTACATTTGCATCCATAAGGAGGACCTTATAGTCGCTGACATTCTTTGGAAGCCTGAGGTAATAGAGTTCGGGTTCCTTAGTCCTATCATTCGTTTGGATCAAGATCTTTCCGATCTTGCAATCCTTGATTACATTCCTCAACGAACGTTCAATGGTCTCTCCAGCTCGCATAATGGCGACTCCGCAGATCTGAGAGGCCTTTTTGACTCCTTGGAATCTGAAAAAAGTCATAGTTCATATCCCATTTTCAATGATGAATCGCTGATTTAACTTTACTTACTCTTCGCCGTCCGGAGTAATAACCACCGTTGGCTCGTATGGAATGAATTTCATGGCATATTCGATCAGAATCTGCATTAATCTTTCAGCGACAAAAATGAATTCATCTCTGGGAGTTTCTCGATTCCTGATGATTGTATGTAAGCCTTTGAGTTGAGGAGTTTCGTCCACAATGAAGAGACTGTCCGGTCTTGGCAACGGTCCATACATTGGCTCGGATTCAGCGGGTGGAGATGATCGGAGAGCCGACCATTCCAGTTTGATCTTGGTGGCATCGTACCCTCTCTCTGCAAGCTGATTCTTCACTTGACGAACGATGAGATCAATGGCAACTTCGTTGTCGCCGCCACGTGGAATGATGATATCAGCCAGCTTGGCCGCAGGGCCGATGAAATTGTCAAAGGCCGGTTTAACGAACTTGAAATACTGGTCGATAACTCCTGCAGCATCGCGGCCTCTTTCGGCCGTGTCTCTCTTCAGTCTCCGGGCCAAACGAGTGTCGGAATCTGTGTCCACGAACACCTGAATACACAAAGTTATTCTTTCTCATCTTATTGTTCTCTAAATTTTTAGAAACAAAGAATAGTGCTTACTTTAATATCCATCATGTCAGCAATGGCAGGACGGAAGAATGAGAGGATTCCCTCGAAGATAAGCACATCCGCGCCATACATCACCTTGGAGTTCTTGTCTCGAGCATGTGTCGTAAAATCGTAGACCGGGACATCCACGGACTTGCCTTCACTCAGACGTCTCAGGGTTTCTTCAAGGAGATCAAAGTCGAAGGCTGCGGGATGATCAAAGTTATAGTTCTGCTGTCCAGCTCGCTCACGTTCTTCTCCGTTCAACACCTAAAATAGGAACACTTAGTATTTTTAATACTTTCCGACCTAGCCAGTCCATATTACTTGATAGTTGAGTAACGCTTACCTTATAAAATGAGTCCATCGAAAGTACAGTAACCCACGGCATCTCCAATCTCTCGATGATACGTCTGGCTACCGTAGTCTTCCCAGAAGCCGATCCACCGCAGATTCCGATCAAAAAGGGCTGCTTCAGCCGCTTCCCAGCACGATCGTACCATGGAGGCCGACCTTTGGTGTAAACCTTCTGGAAAGAATTAATTTCCGAATACGGTAGACATAAGATCTGATCTGAGAGGACACCGGTGTAGTCATCAATGTCCATGCTGAAGTATTGACCAAAGACAGACGGCGATTTAAGTGATAAGAGCGACTTTCGTCAAGATGTTTTTTCTGTACAAATTTTCTGCCTTGCTTCAAATTTTCATTGCCCGATCTGAAAAAGAGATCTGAAACAATGAAAACGGAGTCTCTGCTCTTCACGAATGTCTTGTACAATATCCAGGAGATAAAAAAGCAGTCAAAACAGGCCGCGAATTTCGGAGAGTGATCAAAAAAGTCTGGTCTCCTCTCTCCCATCTTCGAAAGGTCAATTCTACGCTTTTTTGTCTATAAACGGGGGGAAAGAGTCTGTTAGATAATAGGCGGGGTCTTTGTGCGACTGTAGGGATGGTACTTTTGCCCCTAATTAAGAGAATAGCAATGAAATATACTCTGCCCTCGATTTATATTATATTATACAAACGTGGATCTCTCCCACGTTCTCTTCTGTATTCTAATGCTTTTATAATCCCAGCATTTTGCATTCAAACACCCCTCAAATTAACTGTAAACACATCAACTCAGCGTCAACGAAATCGGAAATAGCGAAACCGAAATTAGCGATCAAAATAAATCAGAAGACAAACTAAACTCCCTTGGCGAGTACAAGCGGAGAAATGAGCAGTGTTTTGGAAACAAATGTGTTTTTATATTTACTGGTTACTGATTCATTTGCACTTGTTATCCCTGAGATGTTTTCTATTTGCGCGCCTTAATTATAGTCATGGGAATATAACGGATACAAAAGTCAATATGTTACAGTAACCCTAAGATCTGCCTCGGAAAGAAATACGTCATAATTTAGCGAACGCATCTTTTCAGCAGGATCTAAGACAATAAACGACATCAAAAAGATCAAGAACCACTTCTTATCAATTCCAGAAAGATACGTGATCCCTTAGATATCAGATGGATGAAGATAAAGATATGAATCGTATTGTCCAAGGGGCCGGCAAGCGCAAAGACAGACTCACCTGGCCACGTTCTGTAGTCATCATATGATCCTCGCTCTTGGAGCCGGAGATCGTTCGATTCCTCCGCATCGCCTTCAGCGGTGGGGACACGTCGTCCGAACGTTCTGAGTCGTCCGATCGGTCGATGGCTCGTCGCAACTCGGCTTGAGCAAACTGATGGCCAAGTCCTGAGGCGTCTGTCGGATCCGCAACCCCCAGATGCGAGACCGAGTCGATTCTGACCCGCTTCGACTCAGAGTCCTTGCGGCCGGCCATCGCTGAAAAAGGTCCGCTTTTTGTTGCGTTCAGACTCCGTAAAACGCGATCAGCCCTCCCCTCCACAAAAAAGCTTGCGAGATTACATCGACCTTGATGAGAAGGTTGCGAGAAATAACAAAAAGTGATTCCAAGACAAAACGGGGCTCCTACACGTGCCCCGCGGTATGGTTTCCTAAACAGCGATAAAAAACACAGAAGAGAATTCCTAAGCTGAACGGGACGCTACTCCAATCTCGATTAGTGGCTTTTGGCCCTTTACTTATTTCCCATAACCTTAGTGACATTTCGTCCAAAGCTTATGGCTTTTCGCTCACCTACAATTCTATTTTTTTGTGAAAGAATTTTGCAGAATGCTCGCTAAGTTTTACTAAACGCGTTTAGTGTATAAACAAAACTCTCGAGTTCTTTAGTGTTTTTCACAACCAGACACCATTTCTACGGCGCGCAAAATTACTCCTTTGATCTAGTATAATATAAACTTATTTCCGCCTTTCAGAAAAATGCTCCGTCTCGGAAATCAGACACCCCGTCCTCCGCCAGCTACCGGCAGATTCAGCACTCTGATCAACACATATAACGACCCCATAAAATGGTAAGAAAGTCTTTCGACTTTTTTATTCTTCTTTTAGGCCTTTTGTCAAAAGTCTGATTGGATTTGGAGTCGGCGTGTATTTGGCCAGAAAGATCTCGGAAGAATGGGTCCTATCGGAAGCCGGCCTCTCCCCACCATCCCTTTGAAAAGAGTATGTATTGGATAATCTGTTAGATCCGTTGATTTTCGTTTAAATAAAGTCAAAAGGATAATAAATATTTATCGATATCTGATATGCTCTGCTTAGAAGAGGACATGATTTCACGAGGTTAGGTACTATGAGATTCAATATTGCAATGAGGAATGTAGCAAAAATAGTTGAGGTATAAAAACAACAAAACAGACAAAAGAATTGTTATTGGTATTTACACGAATGGAGAGTTAAAGAAGTAAATTTCACACAAGAGATAAACATGCCAATAAGTTGCGGAATGGATGGCAAGATTGTTAGGTGCCCTTTGATTTGAAATGCTGAATCAGGAAGTCGTCCAACAATGAATTTCCTCGGAACTCCCGCATGAACTTCGCTTTCATTCCGGCATCCCATTGGGAAAACAGGGTAAGTATGTGTTCCAGATGAATTTTGCTTTCCAGGAGCTCGTATTCCCTGAGGGAACTTGTTTTTGGAGTAGAGGGGAAGGGATTGTACTGAGATATCCGTGTAGACTCGGTAAAATCCATTGATTCCCTGTAACATCAATATTACACATACGAGATATCTAAACGTATAAAAAATAAGTTAAACATACTTACATGTTGCTAAAATCAAGGGTTCCCGCATGGAAACCAACACTTGGAAGCAGCTGGTCAGAGGCGGACATGTACAACGTGTGCTGAACCTGCGGACCCCGTGGAGTTGCACAATTTCCACTTCTTCCAAATTCAACTCCATTCGGTCCGTCAAGTTTAGGAAGTTCAGCAAAGTCATCATCCGCCTGAACTGCAGCCATCGTAACATCGACTGGAACCGGGCCCAACATGATATTCGCCTTCCGAGCAGACCTGAACTCCATCAATTCCTGTTCATTCATGTTCAAGAGACCCTTCCTCGAATCCATCATAAAATTCTCTGAAATGGGAATTACAAACACTCAATGAATAGCACGTAAACTGCACGAGAACAGCGTTGTCGACAACATTGTTTACGCAAAAATAAGCAACGAATTCTCAGCAAAACTTCCGAAATTTTTTTATTTTTTATTGCGAAATGCCAAGATCACGCCGTTTTGCCTGAAAATATGGGCCCCGCAACGATAGAATGCCGAAAAAGTTACGGTATCTTCTACCTTCTATATTTTTTTAGAAATTCTTTTTCTGGGGTTTTACAATTTTTCAAAGTTTGCTTTTACATTTTGCGCGTTTTCTTTGTCTTTTTGGCCACATTGTTTTAGATCAAGATTTCCTTTCTCACAAAATTTTGGCTCCATAGATGGCCGACTTTGCTTTAGAGAGTTTGGCTTGGGACCTTCGTGAAATTTTATTTGTATTGCTTATATACCTCGATCCTTCTCGCGCAATTAGTTATGTTTAGAATATAGTTTACCGTCTTTCAGATGGCGTCTCACAAGACCTTCATCATCAAACGCAAACTGGCCAAGGCCGCCAAGCAAAACCGCCAACTGCCTCAATGGTTCAGAATGAAGACTGGAAACAAGATCCGATACAATGCCAAGAGACGTCACTGGCGCCGTACCAAGCTGAAGTTGTAAGCTGGCCACTGGACTGTACATCTCTCCGTGCTCGCCCAATCTTCCGACGTTATTTTGTTGGTTTTCTCTTCAAATAAATTTTTGTTGTTTTTGAAGGTAAATTTACTATTTATTATTCGGTATTTAGAAGTTATGTTATGAAATAGAAATAGTTACACGATTGGAGGTTTGAGAATCTGGGAATTCTTTGGAGAGGACTCGAATGTGGAAGATAAGCCTTCTTCGATATTGCCCATTGGTTGCTGAGCGCTATCTAGTTGAACATATTGATGGAATCCTTTCGAAGAAAGAACGAATAGTGCGTTGTCGTTTTCAACAGGGACTATAGATAATATAGGTGAAGCGACATTCAGTGTTGCCAGAGGAGATATTTCCGAATATCTGAGCGAATCTTCCAGGGAGTAGATAAGTAGTTGCTAAACAACTTCAGAATTTTAAAGTTGTCTCTTACCTCTCCGTAAGTGCCAATAAGAATGAATTGTTTGGTAGTTGTCGCAGTTATTACTGCATCGTAGACTTCTGATTCCGTAAACTGAGTTCGCAATTCCCAGAAGATCTTGTTTTTCTAAACAAATTTACCTAGTCATAGCAACACTTATATTTACCTCTATTCGTAATGCCCAGATAGTAGCGGGTCCAATAGTTGATGATACCAGGACCATCGCTGGGCTGGTCGCTGACTGGGGTTGGACTACTTGAAGGATGCTGATTGGTCCACTGAACTTCAGGGTTTTCCTAAGCACCGTTAGTCATAGATGGTATTTATTACCTGTCGGAAACAGTATTTGTATTTATCGGAGAGATCGAAGCAATCACATAGCCTGTATCGAATCCAGCCACAACAACTCTGATCGAATTCGACGCCCAAGTATCGCATCTTAGGACGGATCCCGGGAGATCAGAGATGTCCAGAGCTCGAAAGTTGTCCACAACACTTCTGGGTCCCGCTATTCTCTTGTTGAATGGTACCTAAAGATGAAGAACATTACAAATCATTGCACAAATACGTTACCTTGACGTTTCTGTTAATTTCAAAAAGATCTGCGCCTTTGGAATGACTGAAGATCGACCAGTAAAGATTGTCCGGAGCTGTAGGATTCGATGCGATAAACTTGGTGAACGTGGGAGCATCTGGGAGAGTGATCCTCATCCATTGGCTCACTTGGTAATCTTTGTTCACTTGAAACAAGGCGGCAAAGAACGAATGGGGAGCGAATAACTGGTCATACACTACCCAACTAAAACACTGACAATAAGAAACAGGAAACTAAAGCTTCATACAAAAACAATCACGTGTAATATCTCCTTCTTTCTTACCACGTCCCCAGATATGCAATGGGATCCGTATCAGACCCTGTAGTGAGCGGATAAGCATCCGAAGAGACCAACTCCAAAGTGTGGTCTTGCATTTTAGGCTCCGTTACAATAGATTTCAAGTCGATTACAACATCATTCCCTCTCCATCTGACCAATCCGTTCAAGTCAACCACCATTACTTGTAGTTTCTCATCTAAACTCACAAGATGAAAATAAAGAATAGAATGACTTACTAACGTTAAAGACATGCATGCTGTAAGTGTTGCAAAGCGGGACCGGGGAGAAGTATACCAGGCCGTATTGGATCATGATTTATATTATTCGATCTTCAAATCCCGGACAGAAGCGATTTCTTCAGGCTTTACAATTTCTTCCGAGTCAACTTGGTTCTTCTCTGCACTAACTTCTCTTTCAATAACTGCTCCTAAATACAACGAAACTTTATTTTTCGACTTCAATTCTTTTAATGACTAGTATTAGATGATTCTTACCGATTGCTGTAAAATCGACACTTTTAAACTCCAGCTGATCGTTCTTAAGCAACTTCTTCTTCTCCAGAGTGTTGATTTCACAAGTTTGAGGAGCAATTTTCCGTTGGATCCACGGCTTTTCGACAGCTCTGCCTTCTACTACCGATACAGAATCCGACGTCAATAGCCCAAATAGATTATGATCACGGGCCTGCGCCAAGTCAGACAGAAACGCCTTGGGTTTGGCTTTGGAAATATTGGGGTCGTTCAGGGATTTTAGACGATCTTCTGAATGTAAAAATGGACAAAATCAAATATTATCCTACCCAAAGACTTCAAATACAATTTATCAATCTCCTCCTCAGTTCTCATGAAGAATAAATAAGAAATTACTATCACTGCAGTGAACCTGTTACAGAATAATCAAGTTTATCAACTTTGGCGACATTAGATGCCAAAAATATTTATTTTTCGATATATGGGACATTTTATACTATGAAACATTTCCGGAAGAAGATTTTGTTTTTCCCAGAGAGGAAAACAAAAAAGGAAATACCAAAAATGGCATGTTTTGTGTAACTGTCTTTGTTGCCAATTGTTCTGTGTGCATTTCTATTAGTTTTCTCACCTTACAAAATGCATGTAAAAGCCATGTCTGATCCCTGGAAATTGAATCGAGATGTAAGTTTTTATTCTTGACTCGTTACTGTTTTTAGGTATGGCTCCAGATTTTGGATTGCCTTGACGACGATATGGATGCTCTCTGCAATCTGGCGAGTTCACATTCCTTCTTCTACCGGTTGATTGGAAAGGATTTCAGGAGAATCTGCACTCAAAATCTTATCTATCGTCTACCTGGAGAGACATGGGCAAAAGCCTGTGCTTGGTGGGTACACATATTTTTTATGTTTTCCTAACTGTTTTACTTGTAGTTTATCTTATTATTCTCTAGGAATTTGTCAATTTATATGCCACATTTATATTATATAAGTTTAGTGCGTACACGCGTACATGGATGGATGTAGTTTCTCCTGATTACTATAAGAAAAGAGTCAATATTGTGAGAGGTTACAATTCCGAATTATTTGGCTTTTTCTATACACGGTTTGTTGTTGTTGTTAGCTTGGATTTCTCGAAGCCTTTTTGTCGCTACGTCTCCGTCGATTTTAACATCAGACGCGTTGCTTTGCATGGAAATGGGAAATATCTGGTAGTTTTTGTAAGTTGAAGTAATTTTTCACTCATCAATTTAAAATTATAATAGATTTTGACCATTGCCGAATATAAATATTATTATATTTGATACTTTTTCAGGGATTTAGGGAAATTTGTGTGTTCCGAGTTGATACTGGGCGATTGATTCTGAAACGATGCCGAGAAGACTTTGTCTTTAGTTGCCTTTCCTGTGTTTACTATTCGAATAACACTATCTTATACTTCCCCAAGATGAAAACATATCGCCTTCAGCCGAAGGAGACAGTGACGTTCATCAGCGGAGATGGAAAGAATGGCCGATATGTGTGGTACAAGACGTTATCCTCGAGACTGTTTGTATTGGACACTGAGGACGGACAGAATTATCTTGTTGTAGATGAGGCGTTTGCTAAATATGACTGTCATATCAATGTTCTTGGCGATACCCACTCATTGGTTATTGAAGGCAGGTTATACCTATTGCCTTTGTTAGTTCTTTAGATGAACGAAGAAACGATTTGCGGATCTTTGAGATCCACAGTGGACAAGTTTTATTCAAATGCAAGTCTCGTGATGGAAGATTGAGTTGGTTGGAACTCTCCGATTACGTCATCCAGAATACCATAACTGGTGAGGTTAGCAATTATCCTTGCTGTTGATTCTCTTTAGATTATTTTCTACAACGAATCCCGACAAAAATGGACTCTTTCCCCGGACATCGTACTTGCTCTCGGAGAGCCTCATGATTACGGAGCCATTGCTTTGAGATCGTTCAGTAACGGGCAAAAGGACATGGTGGTTGGCGATTACCAGAAATCCATGTATTGCGATCCGCTGGTGAAGGTTTTCATGTTGGAGGTGAAGAAAAGTAAGCGCAGATCACGGAATTTTATCTTGTTTTAACTTTTAGACTCGGTCAATTTAAAGTCGATGAAATGTATGGTACACTCTACCCACTTCTTTTACGAACTCTACACGAAATTGCAGAAGCGCAGAGATTTCTTTGATTTCAAGCATAAGTCAGCTGACGCTTTGATGACGGAAACCTTGAGTCAAGCGATCAGAAAGATGTCCAGAACTGGATTCAAGAGATCTCCAAAGTTGAATTACTAACCTCTCTTGTATTTTGTATTTATTGTGGGTTCATTATTCGGTGTCTTATTTATCCTCTGTATTTTTAGCAATTATCTAATTCTAATGTGAACTTATTGTACATCTCCGGGTGCCTTACTTCTTTAACGGTCTTTCAATTTTATAACGAGTCCTAATTTTCTAATTCCTGTATATTTTTGATAACTCATAGTCTTTTATTTTGTGAAATATTTGTGGTTCTATGAAGGATAATATAAATTTTGTCCTAAAATATGCGGATTATGTGAGATAAGCATTAGTTACGGTTTGACAAGGATAAAGAGTTTCTTGGATTACCATTCAGAGTTGACTTGAGAGGTTTCATAGTTTATAAAATGAATAATTCATGATCATGAACCTCTCCAAGATCGCTTCAAATGTCTGTTTCTTATGTGTCTGTGTTTATATTATACGATCGGCCGAATTTTAGGCAACTACATGGAAGTAAGAGAGGTTTTACAAACGTAACTATACAGTGTTGTTAGATTTGATTATTTCGGGCGTGTTTTTCCTCAAAACATGACCTCTTCCCCGTTGTAACGGCGGTTATTCTTCGGTTGTTTATCGCGTTCCAAATTGCTGGCGGGTTGCCATGGCTCTTCGCATGATCCCTCAAGTCCTCTCCTAATATTACATTCTCCATCAGCTCTTCTCTGACTCCGAAGAAGGCGCTTCAGCTCTAAATTAAGGTCTCGAACTCGCGCACCGCTTTTTCCCGCACTTTATGGCCCAAAAAGGGGCCATGGAGCGCATGGCCAGGGGTCTTTTTCGGCATTCCCGGGGCTTTTTGGACTTTCGATTTCTTTTCTTTCTTGTTTACTCCAAAAGAAATGTGGTAAAACGAGATTTTTCCATCAAATTAGGTCAATTGAGGTCCTTGGGAATGATGTGGGAATGGTGACGGGTTGCGGTGATTCTGATTTATTGACTTTATAGTAACAAAATCAAAAATACTGTTAATATGGCGTCGGCCTTTAATTTTATTACTCATGTGTCATATAATATTGCGCAATGATTACATACTAAATTTTTCAATCTTACTATTAAAATTTTTAATTTAGAGCTTCATGGAGACCGCTGTCGCTCCATCTCGCGATAAGTAAGCGTTAACGTTTGTCTCGCTTTCTATTTTAAATTAATTTAGCCATCAATTATAAATAACCTATAACGGCCTTTATAAATGTAATTAAATCGCGCTTACAGCTCGCTCAACAGGACTATGGTGATCTCCAAAAAGACCCCTCGTCCCGCTCTCCCCGAATTAAAAGCCGGTGATGTGCCTGCGGAGCCGAATGACTCCCAAAAGTGAGGAAATCCCCTCTTTTGGATAAATTTTTTATTAAACTTTTAGTCTGCCCAAACGAGCCCGCACTTCCACGGTCACGTTGCATTCTGAGGACATGGACGAGGTGAGGAGGGGTTTAGAAATGCATGGATACTCTAAAAGTGGTCATATGGCGGGCACCATCTATTTTGCACAGTGCATTCCATTTACAGCCGATTTTTTGGCCGTGCTGGACGTGAAAGACAAGGAGATTTAAAAATTTATTAATTTTGGAGCAGGCAAACCTAGTTGTAGAATTTTTTAAAGAGATAGTATTTCAGAGTCCAGATAATCGCCTTCTAATTATACAAAAGTGCACTGTGCGTGTTTGAAGCCAAAAAAAACGTTCTATATGTACTAAATCTTAACATTTAATAAAGGATAACTGTTACAGCAGAGTGCCATGGACCGAATTCGGCGAGAAATGGAAGAATCGCTAGAGCAGAAAGAGAACTTCAAGCAGAGAGTCATGGAGAATCCGATGGAGGAGATGATTAAACTCAAGTTTCAATTGGAAATGGCTAGAACCGCGGCCTCCTATGCCGATCAATTCTTTGCTGTCTGTGAGAAGAATGAAATTGGTAAGTGAATGTCATCGGAAATTGAGCATTTTCGTATTTTAAGACATCACAAAGGTCCTCCAAAATGATCCGGATGTGTTGTTTGAAATGAAACTAAAGGGATCCCTGCTAACTCCGACCTCTTCCGAAGAACATACAAAAGAGTTGAAGACCCTGAGGGCAGAACGAGACCATCTGGCAGACGAGGCGAAAGCGCTGAAAGCCAGCTATTCAAGTTTATTCAAATCATACGAAAAACTGAGAAATAATTATGATATCCTGAGGGTCTCCAGGAATGAATTGGTGGAACAAGTGGAACAACAGAAGGCAGCGATGGCACAGATGTATAAAGCATCCATGGATCTGAAGGAACTGATGATTGGGCAGGTCGCGGAGTAAGTTTTGAGTTTGAAATATTATATTCAATAAAAAAATCGTCAAATTTTGATATCAAAATTTTTTTTTCTTCGATTTGAATAAGAAAATTCCAGATCCTGCATTTTTAAAATTAAAAGTTCACTTTTCAGAGCTGATCGAACCATCGCCGAGACCAAGGGGAAATACGATAACGATACCGTAACCATACGAATGGATCTACTCAAATTGGAAAACGAAAATAAAAGTCTCAAGTCTGAGGTTGACGGGAAAGTAAGCTCTTGTTTACATTACAACTACAATCTCATCTTTCCCTTTCCAGAACAACGAGATCTCACAACTTCGCAAGATCGTCCAAGATATCATAAAACAAGTAAATGTGGAAGTAATCGAATAATAAGACAGTTAATAAACACTACGGTGATCTAATTAAAACTTTATTGATTGTATATGTAATAGAAGTATATTGAAATTGAGAGAAAGAGTGTGTAAAACGAGAGAGGCGAGGTCCACGAGGAATTACAAATATCATTGGCACAACAGCACACATAATCTGTGGTACCATCCTCGTCGTATGTTATCGGAGCACAGCCAATACCCTGCAAAATTTAGCTTATTGTCTAAACAACTGAAAATAAAAAAATGTCACCGACGGGGCCAAAATTTTAAAGTGAGATTACACGTGGCATGGGGATCATGTTTTTTCCAATTTTCATTTACTTAAAAACCTTGGTAAATGAAACTGGTTGAACTTTTTATAGCAAAAATCAATTTCTTCCTAAGAACTCAGAAATTTTATGGCTTTAAAATATATTTTTTCTAACCATCTCTCCGCGTTTTCTGTAGTCCCTCACCAAGAAAATTTTTTCGAATATCGCGGGACTCCCATGACAACGGAAGCTAAGATTTTCAGGAATTGAAATGCGGCCTATATAAAGAATTTCAGCAAAATTTCATAAAATCTGAGAGTCGCATCTTCAGGATCTCTCCAAAATATATTTTTATGTCAACAGATTACAATCCCACTTTTGGAATAAATTTTTGACCTCTCATGTGCAAGTTGCTTACCTGCGGACATTGCTCCAAAGATGCGCAATTCCTGTAGACTCTGCCATCATAACTGTCGGCCTTCAAACAGAACGGGAACTGCCGGGAATCACAATATTGTACTTGATAATCGAAAGAAGGGGTGTTTTTAAAACATTCGAGGGAGGTGACCAGACGATGAAGGAGAAATACCAGTAATCCTTGCCTGAGAATCATACTGAAATGAAAAAAATAATAAAAAAATTGTAAATAAAACTTTTTAAATACAAGTAAAAGGTCGACAGAATAAAGATAGGTAAAAAAATCAATAAAAAACAAAAATGTGGTGCTTGTTAGCTATAAAAACTTAAACGTAGTCAAAAATTGATCAAACACCGTTGATTCGAAAATACTTTGTACCTAACAATAAAGCACAAATGTTTTGAAAAGTTCCATTCCCATGTTTGCAGTCAGATTTGAACCACGAATTTGTCCGCGGAAACCAAATAAATATAAAGTTTTTATTGTACAAGTACATGTGAATACCGTTGTTTATCTCAAGTGGATCGTAAATATAACGGGTAAAGAGATCTCTCTCTTTCCCTCGCGACTTTTGGAACTGTGAAAGTCAAGGTTTTCAAAAAAAAAGTCTTGTCGCGGTTTGCAGGTTTGGAAATGATGACTCAGGAAGGGTTACTGTAATGTGTAAATAAGAGAAATTTTGAGTGTTCTGGAAAATTATTTTTGAATGGATTGCAAATTGATAGTTCTGAATTTAGATCAAAAATAAAAAGATCAGGGCTTTTCAGTTCGGTAAGGTGACATTAACATACCGTATATCAGTCCCTCAAGTAGAGGAAAATAAAATACATTCCGTTTTTTGGCATTTTTATACTTCCATTTGCCCTTACAGAACTCCCCAACTATTGGATTTCCATTACAAAATATTGAGACAATAAATTTTTTATAGTTTTTCCCCAAATTTTGACCGGATTCTCAGATTATTTCGAAAAACGACACAATAAAAGTGGAATAAAAATATTTACTGAAAAATAAAATAAAACGGATATCCATCATAAACTGAAAACCAAAAAAATGTTTTTCTTCAATTTATACCAAATTTTGGTGGTTAAATCTGAAATCATCAGGCTTAAAATGTTCATAATTTCCGGGATTTTGATGAAAAATAAAGCTGATATTAGACTAAGAACCCTGGAAAGGAAGTTTTGAAAATATTTATAGGATTTGTCGCGAAATAAAGCGAGGCTTGGTCGACGATTCTTTATCCTCCAACACAATGGACAATAAATTTAAGAGGTCCGCAATTGTTGCGTCATAATCTCCAAAAAATTATGTAAGAAAACAAGTGTAAAAAGTATGCCGAAGGCAATATTTTGAACCCGGAAAAAATATGACAAGATGTCTGCTGAATATGGATTAAATTGACCGTAAAAAAGAAGGTTGGGCGGGTTGCGGGGGAAGCCAGAGGTTGCAAAAAATTATAAGCGCTACAAGGAGGGGCTGGATTTTAACTTTTCAAAGTATAGCAATCGCTTTGCAGGGAAAACCGGGATACTTATAAGAATTTCAGACAAGATAATAAGGAAAACTAGGAGACAGTCAGGGAAAAAATTTATGGCTGGATCCATCCGAATTTTGCGGGAAATTTTTTGTAAAACGATTTTCTAAACTCCCAAAATTTCGTCCACTTAATAAGCTACTGTAGAACATGCACATTTTTTATTAGATTTCTGCAAACTGTCATCAAAATCTCCGAAATTGATGGAATTTTTGGATTTTGTAAAAGCTTACAATTGACAAAAAAGTTAACGCATTTTATTTCGCATGTCTGATTTTTTAATTGAGCCAAAAATGCAAAAGAGTGTCCATCCATCAAGTATAGCATAACAAATTCCAAGACTCCTCTATTACTCTTTATTTTGCCATTCAAATAATTTTTAAAAACGCCACTAATAAAGGAAAAATATAGAGCCCCGGGAATTAAAGTCATCAAAAAGTGGTTCAATTAATTTGTGGTCCAAATTGGATTACAATTATTGCTAACTGGGACGCAGATATGTAAAAACATCCTTCAAATCGTAGCTTAATAGCAGTAATATTGGAATCTAGGTAATTTAAAAATATTTGAAGTAGATCTCAAAAATTTTTAATAGCTACAGTAAAATTATCAAAAATTAATTTCTCAAGTAGTCAGAACATTTGAAAAAGTAATTACTGCGTTTCTGATGACTTCCCAGGCAGTCACATCAAGACCGCCTTAGGGGAAATGAGTATTTTCAACTAAAAAAAATATCGAAAGAAGATAAAAACGGAAAAAGTAAGGAGTAGCCAAGTGCAAAAGAGTTGTTGGAATGCGCGAATATGGCCACGAATTATAAGTGGATTCTGAAGACGTCGAAAGGGAAGGCAAGCAAATTGGAGGGCGGGCAAGAACTTCACATATTACTTAAATTAATTGCCAAAACAGTTAAACAAACAAAAAAAACCGGCACTAAATGTGAGGAGAATAAAAGAATTAGAGGCGCGAGATATGGAGTGCGTATTTAAATGACATAACAGGGTTTGGAAACCATAAATCAGATTATTTTGTGGAGAAAAAGGAAGGGGAATTGATGAAGGACTTCGACAAAAAAGTGTTGCAGAATGCTGCCAAGTTTTAATGGATGTATTCAGTATTACAGAAAAGTAATTGCTAATGATTGTTCAGCACTGACAAACATTCTTTTGTGGCTCTGACCTTTAGAGTTGACAAATAATTTTTTTTTCTGTATCGTTCTGTCAAAAATCATTTTACATTTTTTTAAAACGAATTTTTTCCTTAATTATGTAAGTTCAATGGTACATTGCAAGCATTGAATAACTTAGCCGCAGAGACGTGCTAAAATCAATTCTAAATGATTTATGGACAAATTACGAATGCAAAGTTTTAACAGGTTATACTTTAAAAACTTGCCTTCCTTGATTCTTTCCATTAAACCTTCAACTCAAAGCAACATTTGAAACGAGAAATCAAATTTTTCGAACACGCGAAAGTCCTTTCTTTGCAGACGTTAAGTGAATGAAGGATGTCGAAGATAAAATCAAAAGTTATCAGCCCTTCGGCCGCTCTTTGTCTTCGTTATAAAACGGCCAAAGAGGCCGAATTTGATGATGTTCCGGGAAAGGAACGGACGTTTCAGTGTTTCCCTCGGCCAAGAGACGCTCCTTGTGTGGAATAAACAACGCTGTGAACAAAATGGCCGGATATACGAAGCGTCAACGAGTGTAGATGTAAATTTAAAACTGAATTTTCAATCGTAGTGGACGTTTTTGTCCCCACCCCGGTTTTGTCCCCAAGACGGTTTTGTCCCCAGGACGTTTTTGTCCCCACTTTTTTCGAGCCTTTTTGTCCCCAGACCGGTTTTGTCCCCAGGACGGTTTTGTCCCCAAGACGTTTTTGTCCCCACATTTTTTATTTTTTTGTCCCCACACCGGTTTTGTCCCCAGGACGTTTCTGTCCCCAAGCTGGATAGTGCGATTAAAAATTATGCATTCAAATGTTAATGCTGTTGGTTCGGTGCCCAGTACTGCTAAAACAACATGTTCTTAGCGTTTGGTACTGTATAGTACGAGGTGGTACTATATAGCACGAGGTAGAAGTTAAGCTATATCGCGTGAATGACGTTGCTTTGGTATGCAGTACTGATCAAACGTTCATTTTGTGCAAAAACAAATTCGTGCTATGTAGTACCATGTGCTAAAACACATTTTTGAGAAGTACTGGGCTTTAAACCCATAGCATTGACGTGTTATGGCTTAATTTTTACCTCGTGCTATATAGTACCACCTTGTAATATACAGTACCATGCGCTAAGAACATGTTGTTTGAGCAGTACTGGGCACCGAACCAACAGCATTAACATTTGAATGCATAATTTTTAATCGCACTATCCAGCTTGGGGACAGAAACGTCCTGGGGACAAAACCGGTGTGGGGACAAAAAAATAAAAAATGTGGGGACAAAAACGTCTTGGGGACAAAACCGTCCTGGGGACAAAACCGGTCTGGGGACAAAAAGGCTCGAAAAAAGTGGGGACAAAAACGTCCTGGGGACAAAACCGTCTTGGGGACAAAACCGGGTGGGGACAAAACCGGGCCCAATCATTTTCAATAGTAAAAGGGTGTTTTTCAAACAGATAACATTTATGCAAAAAATTGCCTGGGTTAATTTGCTCTCCTCCTTACATGATTCAACAAACTTTTTAGACTCTTAATTTGCATTCTCTCTGCAGGTTTCTATTTTATTTCCGCTTTTGAATTGAGAATTCCACTTAAATCGGGCTTAAAAGTAGACTCTTCAATTTAAGGGGTTGCTGTATTTATATTTCATCAGACTCAACGTAAACATAAGCACTGGTTGACTGTACAAAATGGGCCTCAATAAATATACCGTAATTTGAGAAAATTAAGGGTCGAACTGACAAGAGCGAATGGTCAAAGTGCGATGGCAGATTTTGATAAAGAAAAATTAGAAAGTAAAAACAAAAATTTATTGAAAATTTCGCGAGACAGAAAGGATTCATTTTGGCGAGAAAACATGGAAATTTTGGAGAGACGGGAAGAGAAAAAAGGTGCTGTTCGTATCTTTAAGAATTTTTTTATAGAATCAATTCTTCATTGACTTAAAAAAATTTTTTGCGGTACCCTCTGTAAAGAATTGAATGTTTGAAATTTTTAATCCAAATCCGTGCGTTTCTGCAAAGCGCGATCCGAAAATCTCGAATTTTTATTCGAAAAATAGGATCTAAATTTATGCCAAACTTGATCAAAATCGCATCAAACTTTGAGCTCTTCCCCTATTAGCTAAGATACCGTAATCTACTCAAAGAGCACAGTTATTCACAAATCCTTTTCATTCAGCCAAATATTTCCGCTTATGTCTGTTCTGCCGATGATTGGTCCTGACGTGTTGGACCAGGTCCGTGGTCAGCCGGAAGCTCTGTCCACAAATGGCACAACAATTATAATTGACGGGTCCCTTGGTTGTCCCCAGAACCGTGTCCACGATTGGATTGTGGACTGGCCCGGCTGTCGAAGGCGCCGCGGGCGGATTGTCTTCCGATTTCTTTTTTGGGGGAGCCGGCAATAAAGGGGGAAATGGGAAGAACGGAGGGGAAACTGTAATCAGATTATTGGATGTGAGAAATTCAACGAGGAAACGGGGGTTTCAGGAATTGGATTACCATTTGGCTGGGTTAAGAGTTGAAGGAAGGGATGGGGAAGTTGGGGAGCCGGATTCTGATGCTTCTGGAGCAGGGCCAGCATCTGGAGACAGTTCTGGAACTGAAAATGAATTTTTATCGACAAATCATTGCATTTTCCTTACGTTCGCCATCGCATTCTGGTTCTTGGCCTTTTTCTCGACCTTCTCCTTCTCTCCAGAATCCTCGTCCAACGCAGGGTTCCACAGATTTCGCTTCTTGACCTGCGGCTCTTCAGCCATCTCCAATCTGAGAATAAACACTCAATGCTACAGTAATCCCAAGATACGAAGCAAATAACAATCTTCTCCCGCACTTATACGGCCAACTACCCCCACCTTTCGCGAATCATGCCCGCAGGGCATTAACATATCTCAAATCCGGAGAATGTAAATGAACTCGTCTCGAGCATAAGTAAGTCCCTTTTATGAATATTAAATATCCAATTGGGCCTTGCGCAACGGCGAAAAGCGGCCCGCAAAGAAGGACCGCACTGATTGACATTCAAAGAAAAGACCGGCTTTATTCAAATACTCCCTCAGGGCATCCACAGGGATACATGACATGCCAAAACAGCCGGTGGGTTGAAAGGGAAGGGGTGAAAAGTTATGGAAAAGATTTGAATACGGACAGAAAATGAAAACAAAAGATTTGAGGAGATCTTGGAGAATGAGACGGAGCTTTGAGAACTTGAAAATTTTAGGAAAATATAGCCTGAAACAAGCTCGGACGACAGATTTTTTTTGATCAAACATAGCACTAATCTAGATTGCAGAATACGAACAAATACACGCGAGTTTTAGGCCGCGTTCTGCGGGAATTGACGAGAATTTGAGGTCAGGAATTGCCGATGAGTCGATTTTTTGCAGCCTTTACGTCAATATCGAGTTGTAAACCGTAGATCGAGACTTTCAAATTTTTTGGAGAGGGGAAAATTTTCCAGATTACACACAAAATTTCGACGGTACTGTAACAGTGAAAAGTATCCTATTGCAGTGTACCAAGAGTCGAAGAAGCAATAATATTTGCCCTCAAATAACTGTATCTACAAGTCCTACCCGGGAAAAGTAACCCTCATCCGGTTTCCAATCCTCCATACGCCCGTCCATTCCCTTCCAGAACTTCGACTTGTCACCCCGATTGAACATCCTTTTCCGGAGCAAGCGAACACAAAAGTTGTGATTCGGCGGAGCCCTCAGGGGAGCCGCCTAACTTGATTAAAAAACGTTACCCGAGGCCAAAATAAAAACATATTGTCAAACATCTTTTGATAAATTCGTCCATCCCCCGAGGGCACGGCCATGTTCGGGTCAAAAGCTACTGTAATTTTTAATATTTTCGGCCGTAGGGTTTGGCCATAGACGTATCCATCAAAACCGAGGGAAAAGATGTTTTTTGGGATCCGAATTTTGAAGGGATAAGTTGAAGTACGCAGAAAAGTCAACTTCCAATGCAAATATTAATTTTTGTGCAAGAAAAAGAGCGCAGAACTTGCTCTGCTCTTGACATCCCATCATTTTGGGGATAATCCGCAAAATTCATGGCAGAAAAACAATAGGATATGTTAATCTGGTGACGGCGGAGAAGAATGCATATTAAGGAAGACACCTGGGCAAAAAAGGCGGGTAACACGGTAGGCAAAAGTGCTACTCATTATGCATGGGGAGTACGAAGCAAAATTAACTTCATAAGAAATGTTTTCCTCCCCCAATATCATCATTCTCAATTTTGACTCGCCAACTTTTCCAATGTATTTCCATCCAGATTTAAGTGTGTAAACGACGCATTTGGATCTCCAGCAGAGAATCAGAATGCGATTTGCGACGCGTTAATTGGAACAGAGCGGCTTTGATTGGCACCGCACTAAAAATAAAAAACATTACTTTCGCAGATTGAAATACAGCGATCACGGATTTAAAGGCTTAATTTATTGATTAAAAATAAGTGAGAATATGAGATCAAAATTAATTTGGAGAGAAAACAAGTTAATATTGGAAGAGAACATTGGCCAGACAGGCGTCTACATCTCCGGCGGTCACATTGGTCCGCCCTTTCTTTTGGGCCAATTCAATCGCGCATTGGAAAAGATCTTCGGCCATCACTTGAGCACCGGCGGCCACAAGTTGGAAGACATCATCTTTGATCTTCTCCTTGTTGTCATCGCTGATCAGAGGGCGGACATGATCGGCGGAAATAAAACATTCGAGTTTGGAAGACTTCGTTGAAGAATTTGTGGGGACTGGGTCCATTCAGGGGTAACTGGAAGCAAATTAAAGCGTTCAATAAAATGTTAAATATCCTTGCACTTCCATACAAAAAACATACTTCCCCAATCAAACAGTAACACAGGACATCAAACCTCAAGTACAACATCAAAAAAACCCAACAATACTATCAAAATTTATTCAAAATGCGAAACTCAACAAAAATGTAAGTGAAATTATAATCAACCTGTCGATTCTTCTCTAAACTCTTCATTCTATCCTTTGCAACACTCCCGATGGGTCCATAGCAGCATGAACAAACATAATATGACCTCTGATGGCTGCCATTTGTTTCCCAATCTGATCCAATTTCTGATTTAATATCTCCAACTTTCGTTCTAGGAACTTCTCGGCTCTCTGATAATCCATTTCCACAAAGATATCATCAATCAGACACACGATTATCTTCGAATTGGCAGGGCTGGAAATAAATTATATTTACTTCATCTGGTAGAAAAGCTACGATTAAACTCTTTTTCAATAAAAATTGTTACATTTTAGCCTTTGTGTAGATGTTACATCCGATATTCGTCATGATATTTCGTTCAGATTTGTCGCCAAACTCCTAAATAGGAAGTTAAAAGCCCAAAAATACGGCTTACAATCTCCTTATCCAAAAACATTTTCACATTTACATATTCCTCGATCTCCTCTGCCACTTTCCCATAATTTTCATTGGCTTCCAGTAGATCATCCTCCAATTTCTTTAGGAATTCCAGTGATCTGAATTTTAGTTCTGAAGAAATTTGTGGACCTGACATTAAAATTAAAACTATATTATTTTAGTCGTCAACTTCCATAAACTTCAAATATTTCGAAGTAATCAAACTCTTTATCAATTCTAAAATCCAAATCCTTGCAGAAATCTTTTTGTCTTTATATTCATTATAACAACCAACTATAACGTAATTTCAACTATTAGATCACAACTATTTGATACATGAGGTCAGGTTTCTTTATCTCATCTTCGTTTCCACGAAATCCATGCACAAAAAGGGGGCCAAGACATCGCTGAACATATCGAATATCCTGCTGAGGGTTGACCGGTCCAGCTTTTTGTTATACATGATGGCTTCGATGTGGAATTCGCCGTTCAAAAACTGTTTGAGTCTAAAAAATATGTCATAAAAGAAACACAAAATAAGAGATATCTCTCAACTAGATATCCAAAACTTACGACAAGAATGTGCTGAGTAGCCAGAAGAACTCTGATTCGGCCAATCCAATCTTTTGGGCGTCTACGGAGATCCTCGTGAGGGCATCTCGATAAACACTATCCTTGACTTGTCTCAGCTGTGTCTTGATTCTATTGGATAAGAGGACCATCTCAGCATCTGAGACTGGATTTTTGAAGCGGGCTACTTGAGTGGATGGGGGCATCAAGAATAAATACGTGTGGAGTTGGGTTAGGAAGTTGTTTCTCAACAGGAAGATCAACATCTGCTTTCGGATTTGAATTTTGGTGTATAATGACGCCTAAAAGCAACATTAAAATTATATATGCTCCCCACATTTCGTATACTATCTTTCCAATTAGCATTCAACAAAGTTTTAGTCAAAAATTGCGTAAAAACGACTTGTTACATTATACTACCCATTCACACTTACTTCTTCCAGAAATTCGGCCAAAGTGCAAGGTGGATGAAAACGAGCGAGTAATCGGGGCAACGAGACTTCAGGAAACTGCTCTTTGAACGCCTTCTGAGTTCGTTGAGTAATGACTTCACTTTGTGCCGTCGAATAAAGGTTACTTGAACAGATGGGGTAGATGACTTTCGCCCGAGCCCACAATAAACAGTGCCGAACCACGTCCTTTACTTGCGGCAGGGGCATATTAGAGGAGAAACTGATCTCTTCGATGCTGAAAGTTCATATCATACAATGAATTAGGCAAATTATAAAACAAAAAACAACAAAATACCTCTTTTCAATATCATGATGTTCGACAAACTTGATGAAGAAGGGGTTACAGTCAGGGCTTGGAGCACAATCTTCGAAGAATAAGATGGTATGGTAAGGTTGAAGAGACTCCATCAGGATTTCTACATCTCTGGACGGGTTAGGCGTAACCACGACACCATTTAGAGAGTTGGGCTCTACACAAAATCCAACTTGGATGCAATCGTTGATGAAAACATCGACGATTCCATGTTCGCAGATCTCTTCGTAGACGTCCCTCAAACTTCTGGCCAGTTTGCTTTGTCCTGCAACAAAACATTGTATTATGTTGAAATTATTATATCAAAAACATTTCAGACGACGTCCAGTACAATAGCAAAAAATAAAAAGATTTTCACACCTTCAATATCAACGAAAGGATTGTAACTTTCATCGTCGCTACTCTCGGCCTTATCCAGCAATGGCTGGATGATATGGATCTGCTCTTTCAGGAAGGAACACCTCATTTCTTCACTATGAATAGCCACCACCAGCTTCCGACTCAGGGATTGGAAGGCCTCCACAATGTAATTAGAACATGTTCCTGGGAGGACAAAGATGATGGAGATGCATTGCCCAGCTTTGTTTACTTGCCAAGGCACCCCTGCGTACCTGACATTGTCTACTTTGATCTCGAATGGGACTTCTCGGACCTCTTCTTTTGGTTGCAAAAGGGCGGCAAGCATCTTCACCGGGAAACTGGATGAATCATTTTTAGAAAAACCTCTCAACGAAGCCACAATGAAGTAAACGACCTTACCAAGGAACTCGCTCTTCCTTCTTATCCTTTTTGATTTCATTTGGATCAATTCTTTTGTTGCAAATCTCCAAAGAACACTTGCCATTGGGCCGGAAGTCCATCTCATCATCGATATTTTCCTGAGATTCGGGAGAATTCAAAGCTTCGGAGGATTCGGAAGAGTTCTCCGAGAGCTTTGCGGCTAAAATAACACAAATCAATAAGAAGATTAGCATGGATAACATAACAAATAAATCGATAGAGCTCTAAACTGAGCAAAACACCCACCTTGAGGGATGTCGATGACATAAGGAAACTTAAACAGTATTCTCTCGGGCGTGTCGTCCTTGGCAATCAACACAATCCCCAAGGGTCTCTCATTCTTTTTCATCTGGGGCATCTTTGACCCTGATCTCTACCCGTCACATCGGATTTACCCTGCAATTCACCCTTATATCTCCATCTAACTTATTCTCAAGTATAATTGACAATAACAACTCGAATGTTATTCGAAATTATTAATAATATTTTATGGTCCACTTCATGAATAATATGTAGAGAAAGCTTGGCAAGAATATTAAGCATTTGGAGATCAGTCTTTGAATTGGAGGGGGACTTCGTGTTGTTGGATGAGGGATTTGAGATCACGGACATCAAAGTCTTCGGTCAGGGAATCTGTGATCCGCACAAAGTTACCAATCAGATGCTCTTTGGAATAAATCTGGAGAGTTGGAAGGGCATTCTCACTCTAAAACAAAAATAAAAAATTTACAAAGGCTTTTATTGACTTACAAATTGCTTCGTCATGTCCAAGGCATTCGCTCTGACCTTATAAAACCGAGTGTTTTTGGTTTGAGCAGCTAGATCCAAAAGCGCCTCATTCAAGGTTTGTGTGGCCTCAAGACCATCCCTGTAGATGTGGATCACGGCATCGCCGACTGTATTCGTACTCTCAATGACATGAAGGAACTCTTCTTTGTTTGGAATCTCTACAATTCGAGCTCTATTCAGATTCTTCAGATGCTCGATGCGCCTTTTCCTGATGGCCTCCAGAGAATCCTCATCATCCGATTCGTCTGCTTTCCCGGACAATGTAAAGCGTTCGGCGTCTTTTAAGAGCTGTACAAAATTTAGACATTAGCAATTCTCCCGAGACCATCGAAAAAGTCAATAATTATATTATCCCCGAAGATTCTCAAGGCAAAAAAGGCCAAAGCCCAATGGAAATGGATGCAAAGTTAATTACTATGTTGGAGAAGAGCAAGCGCAAACCAGCAACAAAGAATTCCTCTCAATACCAAGCAATATAAAAAAGATGATGCAACCTAAAAACCATACCAAAAACGGGAATCCCTTACCTTCTTCTCTTGTAAAAGCTGTTTTTGCTTCTCGGCTTGTTTTGCATCCCTGTAATCGGCCAGAACTCCTTTGGGACCAGTCTGAGGTGCATTCCGAGGATCTGTTGGCACTCCCGGACCTCCTGATGGCTGAGGTTCATCTTCGTCTGATGATGAACAATACCCAACATTGGGACCATCCAAATAACGTTCGTCTAGCGTGGCCATTTCGACAACAACTACAGGAAATAAGAATTGAGCCAGTTTCCGAGTGAAACGAGAACGGAAAAAATATTTTCTCCCGCTTGGGGCGGAATGCCAGGGTTAGCAAAAAACGTGGGGAGATTTTGGATTTGAATTCTCATTTTCAAAAGTCAATAAAATAAAGTTTACATCGAATGCAAGTATAGGAAATGTAAGGATTGTTGGACGTTTCGCATTTCAAAACATAAATATTGATTTATCCACCCAACATAAATGTTTATATTATCTAATTGGCTTCCTTATAAGCGGTAAGGCATAATTATACGAAATAAATGTCTTGTTTCGTATTCACACGAGTTCATCAGTCTAATTCTTCTTCTTTAGGTTGTCTTGGATCAGTTTCAATCGTCTCATCTCTTGCCCTGAGGGGATGAGTGCTGATATAAGCTCTGGCCTGGTTTGGATCGATTCTCTGCAATCCGATTTGGGGAAGAACTTGGTTCATAAGGTTAACAAAATCATCAAAAGTGACTACCTTTTGAGGGAATGGGATACCCGGTAGAATTGTTGGACGGACTGTGGTAGTGATGGCAAATGGATTGATCAGAGGGGGTAGAAGTGTTGGCTTCTGAGTCGGGAAGAGGGTGGGTAATGGGGGGAAGAGGGTTGTAGTTGGAAATAATGGAGGTATTGTGGGAAGAGGAGGAAGGAGAGTTGGTGGAGGTACTGTGGTTGGGAAGAGAGATGGGAAGGGTGGGAACAGAGGATTCTGTTTGGCCACGAACACTCCGGGGACGTTGGGTCCAGGTAAGGGAACTGGAGGACTCCTGGGATTTGGTGGGCTTGGAGGTTCGGACTGAGGCCCTGGATTGGCTGGACCTCCGAAAAGCACATTATTAGGCGGAATCGGTGCGACAGCCGGTAACGGTGCAAATGTAGGCAACGGCGGAAGAGTAGGTAGATTCAATAATAATGGAGGCAATGTGGGGAAAGTTGGGAAAGTAGGAAGTACAAAAGGAGCCGGAGTTACGATTCCATTATTAGGAGCCCCTTGGCCATTCCCGGGCACCCCATTTATTCCATTGGGAGCCTGGCCTGGCGGGCCTTGTAATCCATTCTGCGGTTGTGCCAATACGGTATAAACAAAGGCTAGACTCAAGAGAATAGATTTAGCCATGGTATAGATGGGTGCAGGCTGAACGCTCTTCCCAAATCCCTCTGTTTTTATACGAAACAACTTGTTTTTGTCACAGACGAGAAGATCATAATTCCCGGATTGCGTGTTCTCTTTTTAGTCCTAATTTATTCAAACGCTTGGGGCGGTTACTGTTCTAGACAAATATTTGTTTTCATTCAAGTCCATTCGTTGCGTAATCGATGAAATCGGAGTCATTAAAGAAACCGATTTATTACCTCAAAATTTGATGGCGTTTAAAAATTAAGGATTAATCATTTAGCACTGTTTACCTGTATAGTACAAAACTTGGTCGGTCACTTTATAATCCATGCATTTTGAATGCGAGGGAGCCTGGAGAGTGCGCTAACCTTTTGTTTATTAATAATGTACAATAAAAAAAACTTTAAAAGAAAACAATTAAAGAAATTTGTGGAAATCTATCTAACATGTAACATTTTGGGCGGCGAAGAAGTCGTGAATCCAATTTTCTGAGCAAATGCTTCAGCCTCAGCTTGATTGACTTTATCCTTTCCCATTTGGGTTAAGACTTGATTCATCAGATCAATGAATCCATCGAAATCTAACCGATTTTTTAGGTCTGAAACACCAACGGTAACCCCTGAAGGATTTGTTGGTAATGTTGGCCAAGGAGCAAGCGTCGGCAGGGTAGCAATTGTTACTGCCTGAGGGTTTTTTTGAAATCCATTTAGTTGGGCTAAAGGGGCTAATGTTGGTTCAGGGATCCCTAGGATTTTCCACAAAGAAGGGAGCGTTGGCAATGTGGCCAACGTTGGTAGAGTTGGCAAAACAATTGGCGTCGGAGGCGGTGGAAATGTTGGAATCGTCGGGAACAATGTGGCCACAGTTAGGGGTGCATCTTGTAATTTGATGACTATTTATAAACTTCCTTCAAAGTTTCCTTACCAGTCGTTGCAACCGATGGGGATTGGGTTGTCGTTGCATTGGCTGAGTTTACAATAATAGGGAGCAATAGGAATGCGACGAGCAACAAAGAGGACATGATATGTTATGATGGGATCTGAGGTCCGCACTTTTTTGTCATGATATTACAGATGTTTATGAAAACATAAATAGATCACCGCCGGAGTACTTTTGTTGGTCGTAGAACTTTACTTCAGTACGTACTTTGGTAATGTGGTTGATAAAGGTACCACATAACTGTTATAGAATCGAATAATCATTATAAATCCGCAGAATCGCCTCTTTATATCAAACGCAGAGTTGTATAATAAATATTTATATAAAAATCAATATGATTGCGTTTATTGTACTATCCAAAATTTCTCGCCAGTATAATTTACAGGTCTTATATTTCGTACTCTGTTTGATTCATTTTCTTCATCTTAATTCGACTTAAAACTTGATTCATCTTATCAATAAATGCATCCAAATGAACTGGCGGTTTGCTTGTTATGGTCCCCAATGGTGACAAGTTGAGTGTTGGTAAAGTGGGAAATGGAGGCAGAGTCAAGGGGTCTTTAAGAACACCATTACTGGATTGATTTGATGGTGCCAAAGCCGTTGTTTCCGGCAATCCGAGAACCTTCCATAGGGAAGGAGGAGTGGAAAAGTTGAGATTAGATGCTGGTATTGTTGACAATGCAGGAAAAGTTAGGCTCACGGTGGGTAATGTGGGAAGTGTCGGAAGGGTAAGGTTAGCCGCAGTTAGTGTTGGAATGATTGGTACGGTAATATTTCCTAAAGTAGGCAAGGTTGACAGGGTAGGATTGGCTACAGTAGGCAACGTTGAAAGGGTTATGTTAGTGGCCGTTGCGTTCGATGACTTAGTTGTAACACTATTGGTTGTTGTTGCCGTTGTAGCTGCAATCGTTGTGTTTGCCGAATTTGAACTTGTGTCTGCCTCAGTCGTATTTGTCGACTTCTTTGTGGTAGATGTATCAGAGGCATGTAAAGTAATTAGGGAAGAAAGAAAAAGAATAAACAAAAACGAGGACATGATATGTTATGGTGAGATCTGATCTGCCCTTGTTAACGCTGTTTTTATACCCGGGATGTTTATGGAAAAGAGTTCCTTTCATCTGTTTCCGGAGTGCAGGGATTCCATGTTCAACCGACCTTTAGAAGTTTATTCTGTTATGCAATATGGGTTTGCCGTGGTACGACCTCTCTTTAATCGAGTAAAATGGCCATCAAGAAGAATACTACGCATTGCTCTGTGTAACAATTCAAAAATCCTTTGATTCTGGTTTATCTGAATCAATCAAAAAGTAAAATTTGTAATCGTATTTGAAAACTTCTCTTTTGCCAAGTAAATTGTGGAAATCTCTCAATATTCCCATAAATTAAGCACGTGACAGGTCGTTTTTCTGCCAAAAAAATCGTTGGCCTTTCATCTGCTGGCCCCTTTTGTCTGGGACATTTCTTCGTGGCCAAGGAAATCTGCTAAATGACTCAATTCATTCTGTTTCCTTGCGCAATTTTTGTTTCGAAAGGAAGGAGGGGTAAAAGGCGTTATAACGGGGTTTTCTTGAGGGTGTAATCAGTTGTATTCTAAAAACTGCCCCTCTGTTTTTAGCAGATATCTTACACTTGGTATTAAACAGATCAAACAAAAATTAAAAAATTTATTTTCTGTCATAACTGTTTGCAAAACTTGACGTCATAATGACTAAAACAAGAACACCTCGGCCTTGTTTTCTTTCCTTTCCTTGTCAACTACCAACTCCTGAATTAATGAGCCTCTAATTATTTCTCCTCTTACTCCTCTTCCCGTTTGATCCATTAAGCCCGGAGGGCCTTAAAAAATCAGTCTTGGCCAGCAGGTCAGTTGGCCGCCGGAGGGCAGAACGAGCAAAAGGGTCAAGGAGAAAAAGCAGGGGATTAAGTGGATAGAGCGGAATCACCCTTTGACCGAATTAAAAACGATTTTTGGACAGAACGGACCGGTGATAAGGCCGACAAGATTTGTTGTAAAATGATGAGATTCCAAAGTTTTTTTTTTGGAAAAAAGAGACTAAAGTTATATACTGGTCCTATTTTCAGATATTTTAATTTTACTTTTTATAGAAATTCTGGTCCCTTCGTTATGTAAAAGTCGTGAAATCCAGTCGATAATGTAACTTTCGCCCTATCATTTTGCGATTTATGCGTTTTATGAGCTTTTTGCATGAGAAAAAGTTGGATTTCATATATCCGAAAGGGCAGTTTTTTTAGTCTCGAACATTTTTCTTCGTATTTTACAAAAGAGCATCGATCAAAAATTTTTCCATCGTCATAAAACCCCGCTAAAACCCGATCCCATTTAATTTTGCGAGTTTTTAAAATCGTTTTTCCCATTCTGCGAAACAATTGAAATCGACTTCTGATTCCCACGGGGGCCTTTGATTCTGATGCCGATCAAAGAATTAGAGGTTTCAGGATGGGCGAGAGTCAGATTCAAATGGAGCTGAATCTGAAGAACGGACCGCCGTGGGGCTTTCGGATGGCCGCTCGCGATAATGGACAGGTCTTCGTTTCGCAGGTAAGAAAAACGCCTCAGGGAAAAAAATTTATGGGAAAAAGGAAATGAAGCGAACACCTCTTTTATTTTACTGAATAATTATATTTAGAGTGTGATTTGATGCATTTTTAAAGCGTAGTCGTAAATAAATGCAAGTTCATGGAATTTGTCGCTCTTGGCAATTAATTCGAGATTGTTTTGAGTGAAGTAAACCTGCATCGTATAAGGAGAAGTCTGCAGAAGAAAATGGATTTACAACTTTTCTTTTATTGAAGGGAATTGAATTGCATTGGCAGAGAATAACACTGTCAATTTACAAAATTGAAGCAGTTTTGTCATCAAAAATTAACTTTTTTTACAAAAAATAGGTTCCTAACTTTGCAATTACTCTTTATTTAATGCCAGGTCCTTCTGAATGGTTGTGCCGATCAAGCCGGCCTCGAAGTTGGTGATTTAATCGAGAAGATGGCCGGCTGTCCGATGACTGATCTGGAAAAGGCCCATGGTGCTCTGCGAAACGCCTCAGGAACGCTTTGTTTGGCCATTAAACGGTTCGTTTTTTGTATTTTTTGTTTGTTCGCGTTTCCAAAAATGACTTGTTTATAAAGTGTTGCAAAAACAGGAAGAGTTCTGTGGATTCTGTAGTAGAAAACAGCTGAAAAGTGAGGGAATTGTTGGAAAAGAAGGGGAAGATCCGGGGGAAATTGAGTCAAGACCAAATTTGAATATTTTTAGGGTCAATTTGGGGATTTAAAAAGGAAAAGGAGGAACTGGAAGGGCTTCAAAGTTATGCCCCGAGGAAGTTTAAGGTTTAGAGATGTTAGATTTAAATAAAGTCTTGTTTGTCTGTCAACTTTGACTAATTTTTATATTGTTTTAGTGAAAACAACGACTCGGATATCAGCTTAATCAACGAAAACGACCCTCCAAAGCCTCTGAAGCCGTTTGAAGGACAAACAGAAGGCCAGCGACTCCAACATTACCCATTTCAAGGGGCCTACCTTACCACAGACGGTTATAAAATAACTTCTGAGCTCATCCAAAGCTCCGAAGATCATCAGAAAACCCCGGAGGCAAAAGAAACGCCAAAGAATTTAAATTCAACCCAATTCTTATCGGAAAATCGACCAGAAAAGACAACTTCAGGGCATAATTTGACAGTTCAAGATCACCTAACAGTCGACGTGCGACATTCTCAGTCACCAATTTCATCATCGCCCATTCAGAGTCCAGAAAGCCATCAAGCCGAGCTCATCAATAGCCCTGGATCTGTGGAATCTCATAAACAAGCAAGTCCAATTCTTGAACGGAGTCAGAAGAGTGCTTACAATAATGGACAGGCTCTGAGTCAAGTCTCTCCTCAAGGTTTGCAACAGCCAGTTCAAGTTGATCTTCAGAAGTCAGTGACTTATCAAGGGAATAATCAAGAGAAGAACCCATCGGCTGGGAGGAGAGTCCTCAGTCCAATTCCAGACAACAGTCAGAAGATTGGTCAAGAAATTGCGGTACATAACCAACAAAGGCAAGCCAGTCCTTTGACTAATAAAAAAATCTTCGCCCAGCCGACAAGTCCTGTAGCTCAGCCAAAGTTTCAACGACCGCCTCAACTTTCTACTGTAACTCCTTTTCAAGCGTATCATCAAGCGTCAGAGAATCTTGCAAAGTCTTGTCAAGACTTGAAACAAACTTCTGAAGGTTTGAAAGTTGAGGAGTCACAGAATAAGAGTCCATTGGCTCAAAGGAAACTCCCTCCGGAAGTGTTGCCCAAGCCTCCAGTTGTTTCAAGAAAACCTGACGCTGAGAATTCGTCAATTGAATCAATTGATCCCCAAGAACATCAAGTCCAATACTTGGAGCAACAAGAAAGCCAAGTCCAACATCCTCGACCTTCCTTGGCCACTTTAGAAGCTAAACTTCAACACTTTGAAGAGAAAATCCGTGAAGCCGAGATCCCGAAGACTGCGACGAGGCCCGACGATATTCCTCGGGGCCGAATCAACCTACAGGTCGGAGCCAACGACTCACCCAAGGCCCCAAGATCCGTCTCTTTAGTTGCGGCCCTTTCTCGGAAACCCCCTCCGGCACAGAATTATTTGGGAGGATTCAGAGGAACAGCATCGGATAAGAAGAGATTCTTCGAGGTTCAAGCAGCTCGCCTTGCATCCCCGCCGAGAAAAATGGGAAATCGAAGAAGCCGACCAAAATCAGTGACGGGTTACGGTAGCAGAACTATGGCCAATACTCCCATGTTTGACAGGGATTACAGTAGTTATTATGAGTATCGATCCGAGAATTCAACGCCTGTAAAGTGAGTAGGACACTCTTAAAATCACTTTTAGCTAATTTTGAGGACTTTGGGTTACTGTAACATGAAATTTTTAGTTATTTCACTCCTCCAGGCATCCAAATACCCAAAAATAATCTCAGCCACTCCATTACGGCGCCAGGTATGTCCATTAATCCCAATAAATAACCTGCAAATGACACATCATCCTTCAAAAAAAGATAATTCCCATATTTTGTCAGCTGTCTTCTTCTGATCTTTTGACAAATGATTATTTTATTTTTTTGTAAATTTAATTATAAACATTTAGAGAGCAGTTCGAATATCTGGAATGGAAATAGTAAACAGACAATGGAAGAGGTGGAGCAATCCCTGAGAACGGAGGGATACCAGGAGGTAAAGTTATATTACCGTTGCCGTTTTGGAAGGAAAGGTCGATGTTTTGGATATCATTTCGAGTCATTTATATATCACTTGTTGTTACATAAGTCTATTTCTGACCGAATCCTTAATTTCAGACCGTCGAGAATTCCCAGAATTCGAAAAAAATAGCCCCGACACCTCCGCCGAAGCCAAAATCACGCCCAAATTCTTGTATTGGCATGCCCGTGAATGAAATGACCGCAACTCCCATAAGTTATCATGTTCAGACAACTCAGACTGGGCTTGTCAACGACAATAACAACAACATTCAGGGGGAAAATAAAACTGAAATAAATGGAAATATTGCTGATAAGGAGAAGAAAGAAGTGATCGTAACAAACAGATCCGTCGAAGTTGAGCCAGTCGAACAGAAACCAGTGCTAAGCAGAGTTCAGACGCCCGTGAGAGAGTGGAGCACAATAACGGCAGTAAGGAAGGAGGTAAGGGGATCAGTTATATTTTTTATGGTCGGATAGGTAGTACAATATAAAATTTATAGCGGAAATTGACTCTGAGTAAGTAATAATACTAATAATGACATTTAAGCGTAGTGTATTGCAAATTTGACAACACTAAAGTCAAGAAGAAGTAATTTCTTATATTATCCATGTTCATCTCCCACTTCCAGATTCCAATTCTCGCCCAGCCTTACTCCCCACCTCCTCAGATGCCGAGATTTGATTCTCCAGAACCCCGAGTATCTAATAATTCGAATGTTGACCAAATTCGGTGAGTTCTCTTCTTCTCATTTGTAAATTATAATAATAAGAAAGGAACGGTCTTTTATCAGCAAAGCCAAAAAGATATACTTCTGATAGGGTCTTTATTATAATTTTCCGGGAGTTTCTGGGACTTTATAAGACTCGATTTGATATTTAAGTGGTTTAAAATACGGTTAGATCATGAATTTTGAAAGTGATTTCGGATTTGATGACAGGTAATAAATAGTAAATTTAATGGTAATATAAGTTTTTTTTAAATTTAGATACCCTTTATGCCAAATATATTATTTTCAGCCCATTGTCTCCCTCTCAGCCATCTCTTCCATCGCCGAATGCCTCTTCGGACACCGGATTTGCCTCAAATCTCTCAACTCCGCAAGTAAAACCTGAAAAAAAAGTGACACCCTTGGCACCCCAAGATACCAACGAGTCCTCAAAAAGCTCTGTAGACTCTGCAGTCCCTCCTATTAACACTTTGGAGCTGATTACAAAGAATGGATACGCCGCTTCTTGTGAGGAGACCGAAGAAGAAGGGATCTCACCGATGAGGAATGTGGATGACCCCAATTGGTACAAGGACATGTTCAAGAAAATGCATGTAATTGATGGAAATGGTGAGTGCAGAGGGCCGGGATACTGTAATTTATGGGAAAATAAAGAAATGATGAATTTTCAAATTTTGAATCGGAAAAATCAAAAGATTTATTTAAAAAAATGCGTTTTCGTTGAAAAAACATTTGCGTTACAGTAAAAAAAGTAGCCTTAAACAAATCTCAAAGCGTTGGCGAGGTATGTCAAAACAAAAAGTCTCACATTTCCGCTTTAAAAACGTCACGGTGACCTATTTTTTTAGAAAAAATTTTAAAATAGGTATCACTTCTTTCGTTTGCTTTTTTTTATTTTTTACCTCAAAACTGGAATGTCTGTAAAACGCAAATACATTATTTACGACCCCTTGCTCTTATTCTTGCAGATCGTAGCCTAAGGAAACGTGACTTTTTGAACTTTTTTTTGCATTATGACGTCATCACAAAATCAACCACATAAGCGTATAATACCCTCAAAACTCGCCTCAAACCTCCCGCAGTTAAAAATTAATAGTTTTACAAGATTGTAAACCAACCTTTTATCGCATTGACCCGATTACTTTTACTATTTTTACAGCTTTTATTTACTGTGCTTTCCATTTTTTATAAAATATTATAATTTATTTTTAAATGACCAAAGATGGAAATGAAATGGTCCCGGAAATTCTTTTTCAGAAACAAAAATTGTTTTAAACCCCCGAGGGCATATATGATTGACAGATTAAAATGGGGATTTTTTTATGGATGTGACCCATCTTTCGGGATTTATTTTAATTTCGTATTGGTCTAAAAAGGACGAAGTTACGAAGGATTTACATGTAGATAGGATGAGTGATTATAACTGTAATTATGAGGATGATGATGGTAAGAAATTTTGCATTTTTCGAAAGAAAATAAGTAAACTTTTTAAATTTTTTCCAACTAAAAACCAAATTTTGCATCTTCAACTTAACGTCACCGGACGGCAAATTACTCGATTTTGGAGCTAATTTCAAAACATTAAAGTCACCGTAAAGTACTTTTAACTCGATTGGAATCTGTCCTAACATTTGATCAGCGTGATATCATGACTTGAACTCTGAAAGGTGACTGGAAATTAGATTTCGTTTTGCATGAATTGGTGCACTGTGCAGAGGATGACCGGGTCGTTGTCTTTTTTTTTTGTTTTTCACAATGCAATGAATAGAGGTCTTTCTTGACGCCCCTCGCACGGTGCAAGGTGTTTGATGTTTTGATTTTGCACCGTGCAGTAAACAGCAAACGTTTTTTTCTTTGCACAGTGCGGAGGGAAAACGGTTTCTGACATCGTGCACTGTGCAGTGAATGGTCAAAGTTGTCCTTATGACTGCAGTGTTACTATAAATAGTTCTAAAAATTTTTGCTGGATTAATTTTGCAACTTTGCCGGCCTCTTCTAAAGCCTTTCTGGAATCACTTTCAGATCGTTTCACGGTCGCTGACTCTTCTTTTTTCCCCTCCTTCACGTTCTAAGAGATCGCAGAAAGAACAAACAAAGAATTTCCCTCCGAATCTGTTCCCTCCCCTCTCCGCGCACCCTCTCTTCACCTGTCTGATCTCTCTTTATCTCGTTTTATCCCTCGGATCTGGCTGATCTCGAAGTTGCGGGGCCAAGTCGCCTTGTTTCCGCCAAATCTTTTTTTAAAACCCTCCAAAGTGCGTGAGACAAAGCGACGGGAGTGACATGATACAGCCTGAAGAGAGCGGGGGATCTCTTATTAAATTATTATATTATCCATTCCGTTTTATACGACATCTGTAGAGCGAAAAGGGTAGTTCGAAAGAAATAAATTTTTTATTTCTTTCAAATTCTGGGTTTTTTGGATTCTGCAAGATTTTAAGAGGTTCCAGACGAGATTCTTATGTTATTCTGCGCTTATTGTTCCCTTAAAATCCCGAGTTTGGAGGTATTTTTTCAAACAGTGCTGTGGAATTTACTTACTTGGCCTTCAAATTGAGTTTCGAATATTAGTTTAGGCTAAAAATTGAGAAGGGAACTTCTCCAAAGACGCACCCATTTTCTTCAAAATTTACAGAAATGGTGTAAATAGGCCACAAATCAATTCTTGAAATTTTAATCTTTTTCTTTGCAAGGAGAGCCAAGATATACAACAAAAATTTTTGGCGAAAGTTCATGAAAAATGATGAGAAACGGCAGAGAAAAAATATTTTTTTTTGTTCTTACTTCTTTCTTTAATTTTTTGGCGGCTTTATTTCGTATAGACTTTAATTTTTTCAAATTAAAATTTCAAATAAAAAATTTGCATTCCAATAAAAATTTGTTGGTGATTTCAATTTCGGGCCAAAAATCGTAAGTTGCTCCAAGAAAATTTCAATTTTTACTTTTGAAAAATTTGAATTTTTTTTGTCTGGTATATTATATAACACCTGTAATCCCATACCTGAAATCTCCAAGAATTTAATACCCGAAACTTTTTGGAATATTTATACTTCCTCCGGCTTTGTTTGCTTACTTTTATCCTTTTTTGGCTCGCCGGAAAGGTTTTATTCCCATAAAAAGATTACTGATAATGCTTGAAAGGTTCAACTTCCCCCTACTATCTGTTATTGTTTGTAAATATTAACAATCTTCTCATCTATTTGCAAGAGAACACTTCCAAGTGCGCCGCTCAGATTTCCTTTACATTTTTCATACAGTTCGGGCATAGGCCGCGTAGTAATTCTTGAAAGTTTTAGCTCACGCTTTGCAGGCTCAGCAGATATATTTAACGATTTTTGCCGCCGAGAGAGGACGCGAAACGTGGATAGCGGCCGGAGAAAAACACTTTTAGGCCATGTCTTTGCCAGTTTCGTACGGAAATTTTTTTTGTGGAAACAATGCCCTCTCTGGTACAATTAGACATGATAGTTTTAATACCAAAATTCACGAAGAAGTGCCGCATTTTTGCCGAGTTTGGATCTAAAAATCTCTGTTTGTTTCTGCAAAGTGCGAGTCCCGTAAATTAATCTAAATTTGTCCCCAGTATCATCAAAATCTGAGCGTCGCACTTGTTGTATTTTCTTTAATTGCATTCTTCTCGTTTCTTGGAGAAAATTCAAAACTTTTTCGCAAAAAAAAATAAACGAAAAAGGCTTGGCCAAGCCCCTTGGATGGCCACGTTCCCTTCTCCAGAAGCCTTTTTATTCATATTTTGGAGGGAAAAGGTCAAAACATATGTTCGAGGACCTTCTTCAGCTAATTGCCCCAATTTATGGCAATAATAATATCAAAGATCTTAGGATTTTAATAAAAAAAATAATTTATTGCTTTAATTCATAATTTTTATGACATTCCAAGGTTTTTCAAGAAATGCCCGCAGGGGATTTCCTATGAATATGTTGCTAATTGCCCTATTTTTGCCGTAAATTCCTTAGGAAGTAGAGGTTTTTCCAAAATTATATTATTTATTTTAGTCATCGCTTTTGAGGTTTGGGCCAAAAAAGTATTTAATTCTGGCAAAATTAATCGTTTCAGAGGGCCGGTCAATCCTCTCGGAGCGTCTTCAGCGTGATCAACACCTTGCTCCGGTCCGTTCACCTCTAATTCCAGTCCAATCCAACCAATTCGCCCATTCAACCGAGGATTTGGGCGGATTCGAAGCCGATCCCCCTCGAATTAGAGCCCTAGATCAAGTGAGGAGTCCGACCGACGACTTCTTTGCCCAATCAACCCAAGATTATACCAGACCTCAAGACCTCCAAGTCCAAGATCATCTCCAAAAAGGCGAAGAATACCTGCAGCAAGTGCAGGATCAGCTGGAAGAGGAGATGAATGGCCGGAATAGCCGGTCCCAGAGTGTGCCTAGACGCTATGATCCCGTCGCGGATATGGAGATCGTGGATCGAGCATATCAGACGAGGAAAAGATCGGGAATTGGGAATGGGGGGAGGTTTTACTCGAGTCAGCAGTTGAATGGAGACGATGCAAGGCTCAGCCCCTTTGATGAGAGCTACGGTAAGACTTTTTAAGGAACTTTTTTAGTTACTAATCTCGAGCTTACAACTAGAAAATCGGGTGCTTAGACATTTCTTTATCTTATTTTGTTTTATGTTAGCTAACTTAACGATTTGATTTATTAATCCAAATGTAGCCCTTGTAATCATGGTTTAGGACTATTTTTTGAACTTAGATTTACCTTGAGTACTAGTAACAACCCTTTAACAAACTTCTGGCGAGTCCTTAACCATTTGCAGAAGAGATTTACAAGAACGCCGGGGCGATTGCTCGGCTAGCCACCACTCCCAACATCTCGGTCCGTCGCTCCTCGCCCTCTTCTTCCGTCTGCTGTCTCTCCCCTCCTCCCAAAGTCCCTCCATCCCATTTTCATTTACCTGCTCACCGCCTGAGACTTTATTCCGAGGATCGGCCCAAAAGTGCCTCAGGCTACAATCGATCAGTCCGCAGTCCAGAAGTCAGTTGGTTGGAGGTGGAGGAGTTCAGCGAGAGGCTGGGGAAACCTGCAACAAAGCTGCGATGGAAACAAAGATCGCTGGAGAGTGTGGCGGATCAAGTTGTTCAACATCAGATAGAGGATAAACTGGATAAAGCTTCGAAAGACCTGGACAAACTGCTCAATGATCTTCAGAACCAGCATCTCAAGGCACTCAGGGCTGATTCCGGGGCTTTTTGTTCGAGCAGATCCACAAGTTCTAATGAATTCACAGGTACTAACATTGCCGTGATATTAGACTTGATATAACAGATATTGTTGATAAAATTAAATTACAAGTACTGTATTTTAGGATTTCTTCAAAACGGAACTGCTACTTTGTCCAAGGGAGCCCGCGAATTGAAGAGACTGCAGAAAGAAGAGATGCTCAGCAGACAGAGAGCTGGAAAATTGACTTCGGAATTGGACGATCAGAGGTCCAGAAGACACGGATACATGTGAGATCGCTAAAAATATTATTTTTTATATCATCTATGATTGAATAATCTGACTATTTTTTAGTCCAAACGTCTCCCCCGCCCTCCAAAACAACTACAATCGTCTGGATCAGCTGCTGGTCGACTTCGATCAGCCTCGGCGACCAGCAACTTCTTTAAGTGCCCCGCAACAAAGATTGATGCACTCAGCCTCGGCTCATTCGTTGAATCGACGACCGGCCACCAGTAATGTAATCACTTGCACCGCGCTCTACAAATTTGTTGCTCAACACCCGAGGTAAGACTCGAAGCATCACGTATGATTTCGATGCCCATTACAATATAATTTCAATCTAAATCTGTAAAAAATGAAATGCTTAGGGTTCCTCCAAATTTTGCAAGTGATGTTGGCCGGTTATAAATTCCCAGAACTGTTAGCTTTTGCACCCAAATGTCAGCCGAGAAATTCAAAAAAAAACCTTCTCTAATGTCATCAATTTAATCTTCAGAGAATTATCGTTGAATCGAGGTGACGTTGTCCGAGTCCATCGAGAAGTGGACGATCATTGGTTGGAAGGAGAGAGAAATGGACATATTGGGATATTCCCGGCCTCCTATGTCCAGGTAGGCATTATCCTTGACCTCTGACCTTGCTTTAGATGGAATCTGACCCCACAACCAGCGGGAGGAATCGAGTTCGTGCTGTTTATCCGTTCCAAGCCAGGAATCCCAACGAACTTTCGCTGAAAGCGGTGAGATTTAACAAAAAAATATCAAATCTCATCAAAATTTGATACTTTTACATAAAATTTTGTCGTATTTTAGGGTGAAATCCTCAAACTCCGCCGAGAAATCGACGCAAATTGGGTGGAAGGCCACAATTCGCATGGAGCCATCGGAATTTTCCCGCGGTCTTATGTCCGCGACCTTGATTTGGACGATTCCGACTTCTCATCGGGCTCTGGAGGGATCCCAGATCGACCGAAAACACCTAAAATCCCCTTCTCCAGCAGCAACAACACCTTCAGCAGGTCAGTTTACATCGTAATATCATCTATTTTTCACAAAAAAATATTATTTTTGCAAAAAAACTTGATATTTTATGCGGAATATACGTAAAAAGCCGCTTTATTACGTAATATTCGGCCTGTGAATGAGTCAACTGAGCAGAGATTTGAATAATTACATCTTCCCTGTGACTTTTCCCTCCGTTTTTGTACGAAATTTGACGTTTTCCTCCATTTATTTTGGGAAAACCTGTTTTTTGTCGTCGAATTTGCATAATTGGTGTGAATCCAGCCTCCACCTGTTCGGAAAATGGCTTTAAAAGTTCGAGCCCAGCGCCGAAAATGCCTGTTTACAGGCCTCGGACTATGAATAATATCGCGGGATTGTCTGAATCAGCCTTTTTTAAATACCTTAGGAGCTGAGTAATTGGCCATTTTTAAAGTTTATGTTTATTTAATGATCTGTGGAAGAAAACAGTGACTTTACAGTTCGAAAGTCCTCTTATGACTACCGCTTTACAGTGTTTGTTTATTTGGATCACGGGGGATTGTGTTATAAAAACTGGGACCAGCTGACTTCTGCTTATTTATGGGCATTTTAATGGGGCAGGGTAATATGATTGATGGCTTTATTCAATATGCTGCTTGGATATTATAAATGGAGCAAAGGGTCAGAACAAAGACCGTCGAGGATTATTTTATAATCAAATCCCAGAAATTTTGTCACGGTGACACTTTTAATTTACAAAATTGGTGGCTAAATTGTGAGTCTGAAGTATTATGATGGCTACAAAAAGTCTTAAAAAAATTTGGGCGGTCAGATTTCCTCGTAGATCAGTGTTTGCTTACGGTCATCATATTTATTCCTGGCGGATAATAATACTAATTAAAATGGGTGTGTTCTCTTAAGGCACAGTGATTACACATGTCCGCTTCCCTCCCCGACGATTGTCAATCATCTGAGTGATTTCTGGCCCTCTTTTCCCAAACTTTTCAACATTATCCATCATTTCTTTGATCTGTTTACTTCCATTCAATCCCTTTGATCCGGCAATTAATGAGAGGGTTTATTAATCGCCTCAGGTCATGTGCTTCTATTTCCTGAGAGAAATAACGTAGTTCTGGGCGAGAATAGCACTTTTTATTTATTTATATTGTAGTAGGGAAACGTTGATGATTGCGGGCGAAAGACAAGAGAATTCGATTCCAAATCGACTTTTGATGCAGTATCTGATTACAAATGCATATTAAAGTCCGAGGTTCAAAAAGCCAGAGCGCAAGCAAGGATTGTTATCGTTGCGGGACCCTGCGCGGCTGGCCTCTCTCGCTAAAAAATAAAAAAAATTTTTATTTGTTGTTTGTAATGGATCATGTAAGGTGAAAGATGAATGAAGATCGCTGAAAAAGGTATGTTTTTTGTGTTTTCTGATTTAGGGCAGCTCGGCAAAAATTTGAACGACAGCTGATCCAAGATTTTTTGTGTTTTGGGCGAATGCAGGTAATTTTGGACATTCCGAAGCATGAAAATGGGTGTAGCTTTCCAAAGAACCATCCAGGAGTGATGTTGATCGAGTTTTTGCCAAGTTAGAGTCAATCCCTTCAACAAACTACCTAGTATAATATAATTTTTTCCAGGATTTTGAATTGGAATGCAGCCAGACGGCTAAATTTCACCGCAAGGACTCGTTGAAGCCAGAAGAAGAGACGACACCATTCAAATTCCATGTGGAGTGGCTTTTTCCGAAGCTGATGTTCACATCGAAAAGGTGAGTCTTTCTTGGTTTTCACCTTTTAGGTAGGGAAATCCATTGCTCCTTGAGCAAGGCAATAGGTATAGCCTCCCAATCATTCTATCTAGAATGCGGTTGCTTCATCTTGCGCCACATCAGACCCAATGTTTCTCGTGTAATATAATTTTTACAGGAAAACCGGCCCATTCGCCTCCCATGCCCGCCGGCCTCATCTAAAGAGCTCAGTAAAGACAGGTTCAACAATATCCAGGTCAACGGTATATTTTATGATTAATATCAAAACATTTGGTGTGTTTTTACAATAATAAATTCGGTTCTCCTCAGTGTTTGCCATCGATGAGAGCTTCTTTATCGCCCATATACTGTCCCAGACGTTTCGCATCGTCGAAGCTTCGCGGTCGGGGAGCGTTTTCACCTGTAAAAATTATATTACACTGGAAACAACAGTGGGCATGATGTGGCGCAATATGAAGCAACCGTATTCCAGATAGCATGTTTGGGAAGCTAAACCCATTGCCTTGCTCAAGGAGCAATGGATTTCCCGACCTAAAAGGTGAAAACCAAGAAAAACTCACCTTTTCGATGTTGACATCAGCTTCGGAAAAAGCCATTCCACATGGAATTTGAATGGTGTCGTCTCTTCTTCTGGCTTCAGCGAGTCCTTGCGGTGAAATTTAGCCGTCTGGCTGCATTCCAATTCAAATTCCTGGAAAAAATTATATTATACTAGGTAGTTTGTTGAAGGGATTGACTCTAACTTGGCAAAAACTCGATCAACATCACTCCTGGATGGTTCTTTGGAAAGCTACACCCATTTTCATGCTTCGGAATGTCCAAAATTACCTTCATTCGCCCAAAACACAAAAAATCTTGGATCAGCTGTCGTAAAAATTTTTGCCGAGCTGCCCTAAATCAGAAAACAAAAAAAACATACCTTTTTCAGCGATCGTCATTCATCTTTCACCTTACATGATCCATTACAAACAACAAATAAAAAAAATTTTTATTTTTTAGCGAGAGAGGCCAGCCGCGCAGGGTCCCACAACGATAACAATCCTTGCTTGCGCTCTGGCTTTTTGAAACTCGGACTTTAAGAGATTTGAATAAGTGATGTAGCCGTTTTATTGAGGGTGTGATCGGGATTTACAGAGTAGAATGACCTTGAGAAATGAGGGTGCTGATCAGAAGGGAGCGAACAATCACTCTCTGGAAGTATTTAGTAGTCAGTTGTATTCGTTTTAGTGCATCGTAGACTTGTATGGTATGAGTTGGCTGTAATATATGTAATCATTTAGATTACTCATGAAATTGATATCCGACATTTCATTGAAGCGGATAACATGATGTAAACAGCTTAAGTAGTAGTCCTTCAAGGAGTAACAAGTTCGCAGAAGAGCCCATAAAAAGTAATAGTCCGTCCTTGAGAAGGGTCGAGCGTTTCCTCCGAACTTATGACGTTTGATCTCCCGGTTCTTCAAATTTAATATACTATAATGCCTAGGCTCAGTGGGAGATCTCTTTTTGGGAGGTATTTCCAGAGATCAGCACGTCTCAAGAGCTGTTTTTACAGTCAAAAACCAAGGGTGTGATCTGTGAATGTCGAATCGAGTACACTTCTTTGGTCGGGTCACAAATCCTTCGGGTATATAAAGTCAGTATTCGCTAACAGTAATCATATTTTTCTTGTTTTTTTCTTAGAGACCACTATTTATAATTTTTTTCATGTTTCAAAAAAATTCGTCATCATGACTGATTTTGAGGGAATTTAATTTGAATTAAATGTGTTTGCATTCTGAATTGCTTGATTTGTGATCTCTAATTGTTCTTTTCTTGAGATGTCACTCGGTTTCGGTTTAAAAGTTTGTTTTTCATTTCTTTTTCCACTCCGAATGTCTGACATCGCTTAACTTTCCGACCTGAGGGCTTCAAATTCGGTGGCCTGAAATGCCAGTCTAAAAAACTTGAAACTTCTCGCTTTTCAAACAGAGGCCCTAATTACTGCGATTACTGTAGCCGTCTCAAGTTTCCGATATTATCTATGAAAAAACAAAAAACGACAGGGATCCCCTCAGGGGAAATCCGAAGGAACTTTTGTCACCCATCCCGAATGTCGTCTTCGTTTGTTTTTTGGGGGCAAATCAAAGTTCGAGGCCTCAGGGGATCCAGTATTGGGCTCTAAATTTTGATGGGGTCAGCTGTAAAAAAGAAGGCGGCACTTTTTAATGGCCTTTTAAGTGGTAATAGTAAGTCGTTGCAGAAATTCGCTTTATTTTCTTTTATCTTGGCAGTATTTTGCAGACTTTACGATGTTTTTCTGACCTTATTGTGGATTTATAACTTTACATCATCTTCTGTCTCCGCAAGCACCTCAAATGGCATTAGAGTGTAATGCGATGTCGCAACGACCTTTCCCTTACCATTCTTATTTATTCTCGACCCGGCTCTTACTACAGGGTCTTTCAAGAAATGTGCAGGAAAGTAGGAGGCTATAACTTTCGGCGGAGGCGGCGCAGAGAGCTCGTTTTTGGAATATGTATTTTTCAGTGACATTATTTTTTGCCTACGAAATAACAAGATTTTTAAGTGCAAACTGAGGTCGCTACAACCTTTTGAAAAAGGGGTCTTTTACCCCGAAAACCACTGTTTTTCGGTTGAAAATGATTGAGAAATTTCAGAGTTTTTCGGTTGAAAATCACCAAGAAATGTCGTATTTTTCGGGGGTTTCGATAGAACTGACGCTGAAAAAAGGGAGGGATGTTGCCAACACGTTGAAGATCAAACAAAAAATTCGGCTAGCCTCAACTTTGGGCAGATTTCGAGTTTATTTTCAGTATTTTCTGCGAAGAATCGTGACATGATTTCGGGATTTGGGGGACCTGGAATCGGCTAGCCAAGGCACCAGAATGGCTGTGAAGTCTTATAAAAACTAGTCAAAAGGGTGTGATGGGTGTCAAAGTTTGGAATGACAACCAAACTTTTAAACTGCTAGCAAAAACTGGTTGGCTAGCCAAAGTGTCACAATGAAGAGTAGCCGAATATTTGCTTAATTTTCAACGTTTTGGCAACATCCTTCCCTTTTTTCAACGTCAACTCTATCGAAACCCCCGAAAAAATCCGACATTTCTTGGTGATTTTCAACCGAAAAAGACCGAAATTTCTCGATCATTTTCAACCGAAAAACCCTGGTTTTCGGGGTAAAAGACCCCTTTTTCAAAAGGTTGCAGCGACCTCAGTTTGCACTTTAAAATCTTGTTATTTCGTAGGCAAAAAATAATGTCACTGAAAAATACATATTCCAAAAACGAACTCTCTGCGCCGCCTCCGCCGAAAGTTATAGCCTCCTACTTTCCTGCACATTTCTTGAAAGACCCTGTATTTTTACTTATTCTTTTATGATCCATCTTTATGGCCAATTCCTGGGCCAAATCTGGGCCACTATACGAATCTCGAACAAAAGATTTATTACTCTTTTGCTCTACTGTAGATTGTCGCATTTGTCAGCTGACCAACAAGTCTTACAAACTTTTCTTTTGCGGTTTTTGTGGAGTCGGAAAAAGAAGGAGAAGATCGGGGACGGGGAAGGGAAGGTTTTGGGGAATTTGAGGTGTCATCTGCAATTTGTTTTGAGAACTTGAGTGTTTGGGTTTTGAGAGGACTACGGCCATGGATAAGTGGTGAGATTTGTCAATTGAGAGCTCAGGATGACCAGTTTTTTAGACGAAATTCGAAAATATTTGTCATCATTTTTTAATTCCAAAAAAATGTTTTTATGAAAAAATTGAAATCAAGCCTGACTTCGGTTAATCTTTATGACTACTGCATTACTTGTAGTTCCTATCCCATTTGCTTCTTGGAATTTCTCAAATTTGTCCTTGAATTTTCTGTTTTATCAGTTTTTGCAAAAAAAAACACAAGACTGCAAAAGAAAGGTTGTGATAAATTATCGTGGTTTTGATAATAATTATTGGTCGGTAAACACTTCCGGCGATATCTTTTGATAAATTATGACAGTAATTTTCATTTAAAGTCCACTTTTTTACAAAAAATTGGTCTGTGATACCCAAACAGTATAAGAAAAAAAAATATTTTATATTGTTTCGATTTGAACAAAGTCATCCCATTGATCTACCAGTTATTCCTACTATCATACCCCACCATTACAATTCAACCAATTTTATTATTAGCCAGACAGATGTCATGAATAATATAACCTTTTACATCTGCTTCCGTTTCATTGACTTCCCTTTTTGGTCATGTTTATAAACGAACGGCCGACATCTTTCAATTCATTTTTTTTGACTCTGTAAAATTTGTTTTTCCCGGAGACTTCAGAAGTTTGGGCGATAAAGACTCTTGAGACGTCCTAAAAAAAATATTTTCCTTCTCTCCGCCCAGAAATGAAGGATGAGGGGCTGTTTGAAACTTTTGACATTCTGAGGAACGGATTCTCGGGATTCACAACATCCGAGACGGGCGGCTCCGGCTTTTAGAGAATTTATTTACAATGACGAAATTGTAGCATGGTGGCAGTTGCGAGAGTTTTTTTGATCTGCGAATTGATCAAGAGACGATGCATTTCTCCACATTCTTGTGAATGATCCTCAAGCGCTGTTTTCTGTATTTCCTGGAAGTTTTGGATCGAGGTAAATAGGCGTGGTGGAAAATTCAAAAGACATTTTTATTTCAGTGACTATGAAAAATGAAGAGAGACGGTCAGAGAAAAAAGATTTTCGAAAGTGTCTGAGGTTAATTTGAATAACTTTTAGACTTCAAAAAACCTTACTTCTTACCAATTTTTGGCCTTGATTTTTGGTGGTTTCTGCAAAACGCAAGCTAAATTTCTCACATCTTTTATAAAAATTATGGGTTTAGTTTATGCATAGAGCCATAAAAATGTGTTTCCCAACAATTTTTTCCAAATTTAACGGTGATACGAATACAATAGTCGGCATTGCTCTTTGACCCCGAAGCAATTCCCCCGCTTCAGAGTCTTTTGAAACTCCCTCCCGGAATCCGAAGCCATTCTTTCCCATTGTCCCCAATCTACGCACTTCCCTTGTTATCCCACCATTAAAATCTCGGCTCTTTTCCGGATCACCAGCTTCAAAAGTATCATTTTTATTCTCAAAACATTGTAAATACTCTCCTTTTCTGGTCAATTTACAATTTTGTTGTCCAGTATCACTCTGCACATGGTGTTTTCTACTTTATCGAGTGCATTTGGAGAGAGTGTTGCTATAAAAGGATAGGCTTGGGGTCCGTTTTGTGATATTTTTGATGATTTCTCGCTATACAAACTCCACAGTCATAAGTTTTAAGAGATTTTACAAACATTTTGAGTCATCATTCACAATTTTTAATCGTAAAGTTACGCAATTTCTATTCCCGGAATCTCTTTTTCGGTATGTTTACAGTGTTTCCGTTTTCGGCCACTCTTTCGGCCGCCAGAAAAACACGGAAATTAAAAGTTGGTTGCTTCGAAGGTTTTCAAATTAAATTCCAGGGCCTTACAGTTTAATCCCTTATCCAGTAATCGAATTCTAATTAAAACCGTCATGACTTTTTTGGGGATTAATTGTAAGCAACGTCTTTTTTGGAGTCCCAAACCAACAATTTAGAGGGCGTTTGGTGGTAGGGGCGCTGAAAACTTCCAAAAACCTCAAAATTACCATGCTTTTAATAGATTCATTTTGGTATTTTAATGACGTCATCTCTGAAATAAACTAAAAATATGACAAAATTTCATTGGGCGTGGGTAGAATGCTCTCAATACTTTACAAATTTAAATTTTATTTGCCATTCACCTTAATTTATTTGTATAAAAGTTTTTCGAACGAATTTTTCGAAAACTTTTGTTCGAAAAATAAAAAAATAAACATCCGTTTGCCACAAGTCATTCTCTTGGCTTTGTTTTTTTCGGACAAATCGCTTTTGCGGCTTCAAATTGAGTTGTAGATGAAAGGGCAAGGGTTTAAGGGTTTAATGATCAAGGCGAAAAGATTAGGTTCCCATGTCGCTTGTATCCGAATGTACTTTTAAAAGCTTTGTAAACACAAAAAAAATTAAGAGAGAAGTTTTGATTTTTAAGACGGGGATTTTGATGTCGTAGGTATGCCAGATTTGTTTACTGAATATCCCGGCTGTCCGTGCAAGGCATGAGCCACTTTCTTCACAATTTTAATTATGGCCTAGATAGTATAAGCAAAAATAAAATTTAAAGAAAATCTGAAGTTTGCACCTTGACCGATTACGCATTTTTTGAATACCCTGATTGATGCCTCATTAAGATATAAAACATGTCTACATTTCTCAGCTTGCTGCTCTCCTTATTAGTCCATAAAATGCACCCTGTATTTTTTATCATCCCATTCGTTGATTCCGGATCCAACGACCTTTCAATTTGGCTGTCGCCGACAAAACCGATGACATTTTCTTATCGCTGACGTCACAGCCGACCATTTAATGGGTTCCGGAACACAAAACGACCAAACGCATTCCCCGTTCGGTCACACCTTTTTCAGCCCGAGGCGTCAGTTCCCAATTTAAATATTCTCTTTTTGCACTCAAGATTATTTTTATGACCTCGAAGTCTGGACGTCGTTTTCAGGGGCAGACTGATTGCTTTGTGAAGGGTTATCGGTGGAAGAGAACGGTTTTCTTCACAACTCGACCTTTCGTTGGGAGTGTCTGGCGATTATCCCCTCAAGGGATAATGTTTGGACGAGCCGAAGAGGACTTTTGTAATCCCTCAGGGCTTAGATTATACATGGCCTAGGGCACAATTCCTCAAGTCATAATGGAGAAGGAGTGGTCCATAGGAATTCGGGGACACAAAAAACAGCGAATTCTTGGTTTTATTATGTCAAAACGAGCGATTTTTTTGAAATGAATAGCTATAATAGTATTTTTGGATATTATTTTAGCTGAAAACCACTTATCTTTTAGGAATTTGGTAGTTACTTTTTGGACCCAACTTTAGTCATCGTCGCCCCACTTTTACTGTAAACTCCATTGTTCCTTCTTGACTTCCTCCTCATCGCGTGGCCACTATACTTTAGTATTTACAGCCCCAGTCAAGGGCCTTTAAATCCTGTTTTAGTATGGCCACAGGCCTGGCCATAAGCCGTTTCCCAACAAACAAAGCCGTGCCATTTCCATTTTTAACCGATCCAAACATAATTTTAATCCCTCGAAACGTGATAGTAATCGAGTAAATGAATACTGGAATTCCTGTTTTTTCCCACCCTACTGGAGTTAATTCTGGCCGGACTTTTGTTCAAATTCACTCAAATTTATATTGTTTTTGTCTGGGGAATATGTTTATTAAATAAGTTTTGGGGTTACAAAGACAGGGTTGGGGATACAACAGGGAAGTCACTGTATTTATTTGGCCATTTTCCATTTCTAGCGCTTTTTATTTTCATCTCTAGACACTTCTAAAACATAGCAGATCCAATATCAAATTTATTGTAAACTACGATCGTAAATGCAACCTGCTCCCCTGTTCTCAAATTACAAACAAAATTTGGATCAGATCTTTCCCACTTTTCTGCAGAAACCCCTATAAAAGCGGGATTTATGAGGCGATCTCTCCCCATAAATCTCGAGATGTTGGTCAGTGTACCTATACAACTGTGATCCGAAGGGGAGAAACAAAGAAATCCAGGACAAAAGGCGGTTATCAGGTCATATGTTGGGGATGATCAAAGGATTTATTTTTCAACCTACTTGTTTTATTTTTTAACTGATACCTACGGAATTTGGGGGAGTTTTGGAAGTAAAAAGTGATACCGTAAAAGTGGTCTGACTCTGTCGAATTGAATTTTCTTTGCAATATTTGCTCTTTGGATTACTGTATTTTGACAATTTTATTTTTCGAACTTTGATGACTGCACTCTTATACCACCAAAAGTCAAGTTCAAGACCCCCTACTGGCTGTCCGGATTTACTGTAGAAGTAATCCACGTGTCATTTAATCACTTTCTATCCTCCTTTTCATCAATTTCGACCATCCGTTTCACCAGATCGGTGCTTTTTAATGCACTGTGCACACAAAAACTCCCAGCTGACGGCAAATAATCCGACCTCACGAATTGGCCTTCCTTTCCGTTCGAATCAAGTTAACTTGAGTTATTGAAGGCAAAAGGGTCAAAGGAACGTAAGGTAACGGCCCAAACGACACGTCTTTTCACGTTCCGGAATTCCAGCGGATTCTGGCGAAAGAAATGACGCCAGATTCCAGCCGAGGGGGGTTTCCGTAGACGACATAAGGTTTGAAAAGGACTTTTTGACGTTCGAACAAAAGTTTTCAACAATTTTTATTTGAATTGGGGGCCTCTTTTTATATTATCCATGATAAAATCTGACTTTTTGTCATGGATAATATATAGAAAACTCGTAATTAAGTGTTATCTTAAATTCTCACCCAATTCTTGCAGTTTTCTCTCATTTTATTCGTAATTCTCTACAAATTTCATCCAAATTCTCCATGTTATACAAGCCTTTCCACTCAATTTGTGGCTATAACTCATCCCATCCCTTGTTTATTATCCCCAACACCTCCTCCTCTGCTCTCATTCCCTATTCTGACCCTGTTTTATCGCTGCATTCCCCAAAACACCTCCGGAAACATCCGCGGCCCATTAATTAGTACCCATTGGAAGTGTAATATAATGTGATATCCCTGTTTACTTGTCCCAATAAACTGGAAACAAGTGTTATATTTCTCTCCCAACGTTGTGCCGAAACCTTTTCAAATTCGAATCGCCAGCTTCTGAAAGAAGTTTCATTCGATTTTCGGCTAGTCTGGCTCGGCTGCCACAAGAAAGGCCGTTTCCGCCTCAGGGCTTTGTTTGTTGGGGACAACACTGGAGGCCAAAAAAAGTGCATCCAAGTGTGACTGGATTTCCGGGTTTCAGCGCTTACGACCTGATTGCCAAAGGGCATGGACTAAAAAACAGATTTGGTGACAATTCTGAGCGTGAATAATGTTGGTTTAGGTGATGTTTTGACGATCAATGGGCTCTTTCGGACCGTCAAGTTCAGTGTCATTTTGAACTTGTTTTTGGATTAATTTCTATCCAAAATGCGGTCCCATTCCAAAAATTGCCTTCAAAACGACCGTATCCTTTTCCGAGTAAACAGTTTTGTTTGCGACTACATTCAAAGTTAGTCGCTCCTCATTTTTTGCAATCTCCCCTTAGGCCATAAGCCCCCGAACCGAATGTTTATTGACTGGAAATTAGTGTCACGTAACACCTTGCCAGTAATTTGTGTAACAAGCTCATTAGGCGGACATTCGAAAAGTGGCGGAGGGTGGGGAGGAAAGGGAACCAATCTTTTCGAGGATTTCGCGGCCATTTTGTTCCGGAAACCGGGCTCAAAAAGGTGGCCGCCTAAAAGGCCAAGTTGTCAGGGGCTATAAACAAACTCCCGGATTTGGAAACTATGGCCATTACGCAATAGAATTCCAAATTTTTTGGTCATTGTTCTGAGACCTATTGTAATATTGGCCCCTAGTCTAATATCCGCTGTACCTACCAGCTAATCCTTTGTTTCTTTCTTTAATTAAAGATTAAATATTTGCCATAGTTCATCGTATCCCTCCTCCACGTCATGAACTTTTAATTCCGAACCCAATTTCGTGTTTGAGCCCTGCCATTTGTGATGTAATTGACCCTTTTTAGGTTGATAACCCTATTCCAAACTTGATCTAATCCCAATCTCCATTCCAAATTAACAATGAACCTGAGTTCCGCGCATTGTAAACTTCTGCAACGGGTGTGGCGAGAGCTGCGTGAAGAGAAGCTGAAGCAGATCGAGCGGCCGACCTCCGTCTATTCGTTTGAAGAAGCGGCCTCCAGTTCCGAGGATCCGTTCTTCGCCTTGGACTGTCCGCTCAGTCTGAATCTCCCATGGTCAGATCCCGCTCAACAGACCCTCTACCAGATCGTCCTCGGCTTCGTGGACAACGCCGTTTGGGAACTCCGCAGCCGGGAGTTCCGTCTTCGCCTCAGAGCACATTGCCGACGATTCGGGCGACAAATGGCGGCCGTCTTTCGAGGAACGGCCGATCTGGATCAATCCCTTTCCTGGGAATTGCTAGGCCTAAGTCAAGTGCTCGAGGGCATGATCAGCTCCAGTCGAACGCTGAACCCCTCACATCAACAGAGTTTCCGAAGGAATGCGACAAAGCTAATCATCTGGCAACTCTTCCTCGAGAATCTGTCCACCATGGTTTTCGAGGCATTCTGTTGGAGTGTGGCCCGAGATTATACTCCCAATCCCCTGCCCACCATCTACGAAGCCGACCCCAAGATGTGTTTCCCTCATCGTGTCCACTTCCGTCAAAAGATTCCCTTCTTGAAGCGTCTTCTAGCCAAATTTGTTAGTTTTTGATATACGACTCTGTTTTCCTAGACCCAAATGCTGTCGTTATTTATGGCTCAACATACGTAGAGGGCAAAATACTTAGATTTCGCAATGGACTTGAAGAAGAGACTTTCAGAAATCCTGAACTTTGAGAAAAAAGGGATAAATCCTTCGAACTTTACAATTTCCCCAGGATTAGACCCCAAAAAAAAAACACTCAAATCTCTGCTCATCTGACTCCCAGCCCCTCATTTGCATACTAATCATCCTCATTTCAGAGCCGAGGTGCCGATAAAGAACGGGGAAAGCCGTGCCCGCGAAGTGAAAGTCTGGGAGCGCCGCCATTCTCAGCTCGGTTTGTCAGGAGCCGCACATTTTGTGCCGAAGAATGCTGAAACGTAAGCCAATTCCACTGCAATTTAAATCTTGTTGCCGGCGAGACAATGTCTGCGCTGACGCTAGCCTACAAATAGCGGATGTCCGTAGATTGTGCAGCAATTTCGGGGATAAAATGCGATAAATTAGGTTAATTTCCAGGAATTTTTGCTCTTTCGCTGCAAAATAATTGTTTCCCAGTTCGTAAAATACATTAACTATTTGCTAGACATCCTTTTTACTAATCTTTTTCTGTTGGGCATTGTCCATCCCGACAACAATTTATGTTCTATTTTCATTCTCCGTGGGGTTCTTTGCATTGCACTTGAATGGCAGATGTCTTCTCCCAAACTACTGTATCAAAAGAGAGTCCAATGCGCTCTAAAGATCAAACCACACATTTTTTCGCATTCCGCCCTCCAATTGCGTATTTCCTGCCCCATTTTTCTATTACCCTTGGCGAAAAAGTATCAGGTGGATGGATTGATCGGGCGTAGGCGCTAATTACCACAAAAACCAATCAATCTGCAGCCCTTTTTTCGTAAAAGACCACCTGATCCATTTCGTATGAAATTCGAGTCAAACCCTGAGGCAGACCGAAGCTCGATTAATCAACCCGAATGCCCCTCACCAAATGCCATGGATAACATCGTAAAGGCCTGGAAAAGAAACAAATGGACAAAGCCAGTCACAAACACGAGCCGAATGTAGATTAATCATTTAATAGGGAACGGAAAGACTCCAATATCCATTCTGAGATCATAATAACTTTGCGGGGATATACATTTAGTGTGAAATTCGGAGGAAAACCTTTATTCTTGGGCGAAAAGCGACGCCAGACCATCAAGTTTGAACTTTCTGGCCTCATGGATGTTGGGTGGAGAGTAGAAACGGTTGAGATCGGGGTTGTGAAGAGACGAGAACTGTTCTTCCGCCTTGGGAAAGATGGGATCCGAGGAAGTCTTCACAACATCCGGATAGAGACGACGGAGCTCGGGATTCTGAAGACTGATCGGCTGTCTGGACGGCTGAGGAGCCGATAGAGTCTCGTTCACCGAGGCCGGAGAGCAGGAAAGCGACTGAAATTTATGTTACACTTGATTGAACTCGTTTCGTATCAAATTTTATATTATCCATGACATAAATGAGCAAAGTCCCTCAAAAATTCCTCTAAAACAAGCTCCCGGTCGAATAACTTTATCCAAAAAATCACTTACATTGTCCGACTCCCCACCTTCTCCATCCGTGCTCCAGATGGATGTAGATCTTTTCCTCGACGCTTTCATTTCCTCACCGAGTCCAGAGTCTTGGGAGTTATCGAACAGATGTCTAATGTTGACCAAATTGAACATCCTCTCCTCCTCATCACTTGGGTTCCGATAGAAACGGTCGAGGGCGGTTCCCGGCGAACCGGAGAGGAATCCCAGCGGCTTGATGTTATTCATGGTATTTACAATAAAATGATGATGGAGGTGTGATTAGTACGCGCCGACAATCCACTTCGATGAGGTCAGGGCAGAAGAGGCTCCACTTCTCGATCCACTCACTTTTTTCCCGCAATCGCGCATATTCTGCTTATCAACGTCGGGCGCAGGTGGGGGGGTGGAAATTTTATACGACTAAAGGTGTACAAGATTTAAATTGCATGATAAATCACTGCAGTGACTGTAGTGCACTGCTAACTCGAATTTCTATTGTCGTCTACAATACTTATCAAATATGATTGCAGATACCGCGTTTTGTATCCATATGAGCCGAGGCAATCAGATGAACTGGAATTGGACGAGAATGACATCATTTTTGTGGTTGAAAAGTGCGAAGATGGATGGTTTATCGGTAAATATTACTTTTTTTTATCAGTTTACGTGAAAATTAGAACCAATTTAATGAATTTGGATTGCAGGAACGTCGCTGAAGTCGGGCCAATTTGGTACCTTTCCCGGGAATTACGTTGTGAAACACTGACCTCCAGAATCATCGCGCCTTGTAGTCATAATGCCTTTATTGTTCGCGTTCATCCTAATCCAGTTTCGTTTTGTTTTGTCCTCTATTTTGATTGCTTTCGAAACGGTGTATCTTATCATTGACATTTACTTTTGTAATGATCTAATATTGAATAAAGTTTGCATACATTTTAGATTATTGTAATTATATCAAATCCTCTCAAAAAGGATGACTCGAAGTCACTTTATCGCCGCAAAATACCTGACCTCCTTACTAAAGAAGGTGCTAAAACAATTGTCAAAGACTAGAATGTAATCTCCCGGTTGATGACAAACAATTCTGTCGTATTCGGGCACAAATTCGGTGAATATTTTGATCTCGCATCGGATAAGTCGATCCTTTGTTTTAATCGAGAAACAGATATCGCCACTGCATTCGAAGAACCATTGCAAATGTTGGCCTGGTTTGGAGCATGTTACAGTAACCTCGCGGAGAGATCGGGCGGGAATATTAAGCTTGGAGAGCCTGTCATTAGAAATATGGAGGGGGTTCTTCAATGGGGAATACCTTAAAACAACATCATAATTTAGGACGCAAGAAAGTCTCAAAACAGCTTCTGTAGGCAAATAAAGCAGTTCAAAATAACTCTGACATACTTGAAGTCTTCAGGCAGGATCCCTCCCATCCGTATATGACCATGATCTGGATGTCCGTGCTCATATTCTTTGGTCCCTCCAAACATTTTTGGGAGATTCTCTTGTCCCAACGCTTCGAAGAGTGCTTGATGATAGTCACTTCCCAAGATCTGCACCTTCTCCTTTGTTTTTTGGGATAAAATTGGCTTTACAAAAGAGAAAAGAGTCTCGAAAAGGGGCGGGGCGTTGATTACAAATATAGTTTTGGTCACTTCGGGGAATAATTCCTGAAAACAGAGCCAAATTTGAATTAACAGTGAAGACAAGACCCATATTTGGGCCATGTTTCAGTGATAAAAGCCCGATTTCTTACCTGACTTGTATAAATAAAATTTTTGTAGGCCTTAATCCCCGGGGTGAACAGATGGTCCCGATTATAACCGGTCAGGTCGATGATGATATTGAACCTCAGCTGACGACCACTCTTCTTCTCCTGTCTTCTGTAATCAGCTACAGTAATTTAACACACAAACTATAATAGCTGCTCTCCATAGTCCTTACTTCATATAAGAATACCCCAGAATTCCAGAATAAATTCCATTCAACGTGACTTCACTAACTCGAGCACATTTTAGTAATGATTTTGAGTGGAATCGCCCAACCAGTGAGCAACTGATGATGTCCCCGTCCTTGTCGAACCCAATCAAACCCCCAGGGCTATACTCCATCATCTTGCTGAACCTCCGAAGATTCAGTTCAACATCGTCCACTGAGTCAAAATTTATGTGATGCAAAGGCGGGAACGTGGAAATAACTTCAGCTGCCGTCTTTATTCGAGGCAGGATGTCATCTAAAATATTTAATTACATCAAATATAAACCTACCATGATTGTTATCCCAGCCTTGAATCCATCTCAATAAACAGAAATCATCATCGTAAAACTTCGGGACCTCATTATTCAAGGCTTTTCTCAGACTTTTGATCTGCTCAAGCTCAGTTTCCGTAAAAGTAGCGGTCATTTGCTTAGAACTACTCTCTTTATGAATACTCTCGGAAAGACTCTTTTGCAAATAAAGGAAATGATAAGGATAGTCTGAAGGAACTCAAAATTATAAACCTTTCTTGTGATCTCTCTCGCCCAGAATGAAAGTTAAAAGCGGCCGAATACATTTCGTATGTTCTCTGGCATGAATTTGTCTAAACAATTATAACAAAACAAAATTAAAAACTAATCGTTATTCTAAAAAAGACCAAATCGCAGCCATCTCATCAGTTCCTAACCTTTATTATCTCATTACTATGACAAACATAAGAGAACTTGTACAAACTAGAAGAGACCGGCTATTGGTCTTCCGTCCAAGATCACCGGTGATTTGGGAGTGAGAACTTTATGGGGCCTTGGCCGATTCGACTTCGATGTATTTGATCAAATCAGCTCGTTCATCGGCCTTCTTGAGACCAGCGAACACCATCTTCGTTCCTGGGATATACTTCTTGGGGTTGAGCAAGTATTCGAACAGGGTCTCACGAGTCCAAACGACACCCTAAAATAAGAAATAAAGATGATCAATTAAGCCTGAAACAAACTGACCTTGTTCTTGTTGGCAGCGGAGTAATCGAAACCGGGAACGGTACCAGACTTCCTTCCGATGATTCCATTCAGAGTGGGGCCAGTCTTGGTAGCGGTCGAGTCAACGACGTGACATTGAAGGCATCGCTGCTTGAACACCTTCTTTCCCTTCTCATAATCTCCCTCAGGAATGTCAGCCATCTCCTCGGTTGATACTAAAAAGTAAATAAAAAAGCACAAAAATGGATAAAAAGATATCTAAATGGATAAGCACCAATAAGATGTGAAACAAGAAGACAATCCAAGCAATAATAATCATGTTTATGTAAAAACAACAACAAAAAACTTGTATCCACGCAAACAAACACCAAAATTTCGCTTAAGCGAAGTGAGTTCGAGGTCGGCGGGTGGTGAAGAGAGAAGCGTGGTTTCTCTTGGGGACACGGTGGGGCAGAGGGAACTTGATCTTGGAATCATGGAACTGCTTGACGTTGGGGCGCTTGGTGTCGGCGGCCTCTACACGCTGGACCTTGATGATCTGGATACGGTCAGCCTGGGCACGATGGCGAGCACCCATGTCACGGTAGGCCTGAGTGACGGCACCGGCGACGGAGACGTCGCGGTACTCACGGTACATGTTGTGGTGACCAGTTCTAGAGTCGTAGCGGAGCCAGACACCGAAGTTCTTCACATTTCCGGATTTGCGCTCGAACACCTGAAAAAGCAGAAAGTGAAGCCGATGAGCCACAACTTCGAAAAAACATATCGAAAACAAATTTCCTAACATGATTTTTGATGTTATAACGTCAAAACTTTGGGAAATATCCAGAACACATCTAAAACTAAAAAAAATAACCCAACAGCCCAAAAATTTTTTATAAAAGGGTTCAAAATACAGCAGACAGCCCACCTCTTCTTCGTTTTATGCACAAAGAACACACATCCCCTGAATCAACTGAATAAACGCCAATGTACGAGCCCATTAAAAAAATAAAATTCCGCAAAGCATAAAAATATCCCAATGAAGTAAAAACGTCCCAAATTTTCTTCTACTTGTTCAACAGACCCAAAGTTTTGTAAATAAATAAAATCGATAGAGCTAAAGCAAAGAAAAAAAAAAATCGAAAGGCCAACTGACTTCTTCGCATGAAACGATCTCTCCTTGGGTCTTCTTGACTCGGCGCAGAGATGAGGCGAAGTACCAGAAACGAGACTTGGCAACAACGTGGTTGGAGGCAAAGATCTGCATCTTGTAGAGTCTGGGGTTGGGGTCGCGCTCGGTCGGCAACTTGCGACCGACGATGATGTATTCTTTCAGCTGAAAATCGAAAAATTAGAGTTGAGTTTATGCCGTTGCAGTTGATTACATCAATGTCAATATTATACAATTCAGCAGAATTTTCACCACCGACAAGTAAACCAGCTTTTACAGGGAAAGCTTTTTACCTACTTCTAATCCCAAAACTGGGCAAACATACGCCTAATATACCTCCTTCTAACCTTATAATTTCAGCAATAAACTTCGCTAAAAAGTCAGCTAAAAGCATCTTCCATAGTCGAAATTATAACTAGCGATCCTAACTTACAAAACAGACAAGAAAGTAGGCATTTAAGCGATAATTTATCTTGAGCACACTGAGTGAACAAAATCAATACCATAACTACATAACTCTCCCTGTTTTAACTACGTACATCGGATTTCCTCCTAAAACTTGAAAGTAAAAATTCTAAAAGCAACTTACAACTTCACCCGAGGCCTTGATTGGCATGATTGAACCTGCAAAAACAATAAATAAATCGAATATAATTATTATTACTACAAATATACTCGAAATTGGCGTAAAAATGTCAAAGCTTTCAATTTCTACATTTCTCTTGAACATAGGAAAAAAGAAAACTAAAATTCCGACCGTATCCTAGGTTTTTCGTGAAAAGACTTGTTCTCGTTGCGGGACCCAAACGTAATTTTCTGGCATTCCGATTTATGTAAAAAATAAATTATTTTTCTTGGAAATTTTGGCCGAAGTATTTTACTGTGTTCATGGTGTAGATGTTGCAGAAAGGTAGGTCAGATTGCGTCTATTATTTTGTTTTACTTGATAACGACGTTTTGATTTTATACATTTTCAGGTAGTGTAATATGCCGTCGTTTTATATCTTCGTCCTTTGTCGTCCAGGCTCATTACGATCCAGACAAACGACCAGATGCAAGCTTGACCCATATCGATGAGAAATTTGAGAATATTCCCAAAGAGAATCGAAATAAGTCAACTTTTTTGGCAGCTATTGGTAGGGTCATCTTTTTTGCCTACTTTCTGTGTTTAGATATGTTTAAAAAACAATCAAGAGGAGAAAGAGGGCATGTAGAATTTATAACATCAGCACTGAAGCACATGAAAGATTACAATTTGCATAAAGACCTTGAGGTATACAAAGCTTTGCTCAATGTGTTTCCTCCTGGAAAATTTCAATCGAAAAAAAACTGGCATGTAAGTTTCTGATCCTGTTTTTAAATGATTACGTCATGTTCTGTCTTTAGAGAGCTTTTATGCACTTTCCACATCAACAAGAATGCGCAGTGAATGTTTTGGATGAGATGGAGTATTACCATGTGTATCCGGACAAAGAAGTGGACGACATTATTACTAGGAATTTTGGAGAATGGTCTACCACATCAAAGAAAGTGCGAAGAATGTTGTATTGGCTTCCAAAATTGCGATATACAAACAAATATTTGGACGTGAGGAAGGTGGAGAATAAAGATCTAGGCTTCCTGGAATTAGCCAAATTGGCCTTGGAAATGATGTGCCGAGATCCGGGGACCAAAATATCGGTGTCTAAAGTGAGTGTCTGACTTATACATTTATTTTAATTATTTTTTCGGTGTTTTTTATCAAGTATTACATAGTGCAATTTGTGATGTTTGTAGATGACAGATGGAACTCTCATCGCGTCAGGGCAGTCCCCTCTTCAGCAGCGATTAATAGAAGAGCTCCCGAAAGAGTCCACATGTTATTATGTGGACGGTCCATTCCATCATTATGTCCGAGATAATTATTGTGAATACGTGGTCTTATCAACGGATCCGATTGGAACTGCTGAACGATTGAATGACACCTTCAGAGAACACAAGGACATTGAGGACATCGACAATACAACGTTGTATAAGGGAGTCCTCGATGAATTTTACGAAGAGCCAGATGAGCCGACCATCCATGAACAGACTGATCAGACCATATTGGCCTTGGGAATGATGGACATCATCGATCAGAACACTGCATCTGCTTGGGTTAACCATCTTCAAGAGACGAATCCGGCATTAAAAGAGTCAACGGTTATTTTGAGGATAAAAGAAAATGAAATTGGAAGGAATGAAGGGGAACAAAAAATAAATTTCCATGGAGAATATCAAGGAGAAGGTCAAGAAAGTGGGCAGACTCAAGAAAAAACATGAGAAAAACAACACTTAACTCATTAGGATGTTTATTGTTGATATTGTTGTTAGGTTTGATTATAAATTTTTCTGTTTTTTTACTATTTGATTACTGTAACTTGTTTTTGAACGATATTATATTGATAAGTTATAATTTATTTAGCAATTGTAAATGTACATGTCTAACAATGAGTACCCGTAGAAAAGTCCCTGAAAATTTTAAAAAATTAACCGCAGATAGGATTGAGGCCGGTAAATTGAGCCATTTTGCATAACCAGAAGTTGGTGATGAGCGGAAAGGGGTTCCGACTAACGACAAATCCTTTATCACTCATCGATAATATGGTCGCTGTGGAGTTTGTAACAAAACGAGGCCAGAACGGATTATTCGGAGGGTTGGGATCGCTAAAATATCGAGATTATTGTCTAGTATTATATAAAAATGTTGTATGAAATGAGAAACGAAGTGATTTCGTAAAAGGAAATGCTATCTGACCCCGTATGGACAAAGCTGGCGACCGCATCAGCGAAGAAATGTTGCGCCTTCACATTGCGATGGTCATTATTTGAGTTGAAAAGAAGATTTTCGATACAAAATCCGGTCGAGTGGAAGTAATGGGTGGTCGTTTCGCCCTCCAAAGCTCTCAAAAGTAGCCCTGATAATGTGTGGAAGTCAAATCTTATCTGAAATGAGATTTTTCAGAATTTGGATGACTAAAAATGTGATGATTTGTATAATTTTTACCTGCTTCATTGCTTGTTCCAGACCTGTCTTTCCCCCAAATTGTTCCACATAATATTCTACGATCTCTTGCTTGTAAAGAAACTCTTTGAAGTCGGGCAAGTCCACTAAAACTTCTCTGAGGCTGTCTTCCAGCACCTTTGTATCATTTTTGTTATTTTTTGGGTTCCAAAAACAAGATCCGAGTAAAGTTGGGAGGTACCTTTGCTTAATTAAGCGTCCATTGGTGTAGAAAGCGCTCTGATCTAACGGCCAATCGTCTCCTCTGATGTCCAGAGTCTTTAATTGATCGTGCAATTGCTAAAAGAACTAAATTGAATCAAAGTGCAACTAAAATAATATAAATTTTAGAAGTTGATATACAAAGTAAAATAAATTAAGCTCAGATCTCGTAGATATTAAGTGTTTACCTTCCGATCCACCCTCCTCAGACATCGTAGAGCTTGATCGGCCTCGGTTTCTGTCGTATTATTCATCGAGGTAATTGAAGTGCAGTTTAATTTCTGAGCTAGCATGAGGCTATTTTCCTTGACGAATTCGTTGATTGGTCTGAATAGGGTTGGAAGCTCGAGAGCGGACTGAGTTTGGATCACTTGTTGGAATAGGGGATCTAAAATAATATTACATCACATTGGCTAAAACATTACTTTTTACTTAAAGTTTTCAAAGTTTAATATGTATTATCAAACAATGAGACACTCGGAAAATACGATTTTACAGTGTAGAAATCCATATTTTTGCCTTTTCCCCTACCTTTTCTCGGGTCTTTGCTCATAAATTCGACCACTTTCCCTCCATGGCCAGCTCCGAATACGGTAACTTTATTTGGATCCCCATGAAAGGCATGGATAATGTCTTTGATCCATTTCAAAGCCAATTCCACATCCTTGACAGCCGGGGGAGTGTAATCAGTTTCGTTTTTGAGGTTGAATTGTCCCATTCCACCTTTCCTGTAGCCAATTGTAGCAATAATCATCCCACGGCAAGCCAAGATGCGTGTCAGCAAAGTCGGGTCGAGGTTCTGGGTGTTTGGACCCACATTGATGAGGACTAGCACTGGCAGAGGATCGGATTTGGTCTGAAAATGAAGCAAAATTTGTGTTTTGCACATTTTTTAGGGGCTATGGAAAATGAGAAGAGCTAAGGTATGCATTTACTTCAAAATTCTAGGCCAAATTTAATGAACCTCAATCAGTTCCTCATACAACATTCTTTTGTCATCACTCACCACTCCTCTGCATCGATATAAATTTAGATAAAGGCAGTCCTCGGCCCCTTTTTTATTTTGTTTTCCAAAACAGTCTTTTGGCCAGAATGTCGCAACCGTCGGATTGTCGAGTGGACTCAGTTTCGGGTCTCCGAACCTCTCGGCATCGCCGTATTTTATACCCGTGAAGTAATCGCCTTCGGTCATCTGAAGTTTCCGGCCGATGATTTCCGTGGATCCGATGTTTACTTTGGTCAGAGTCTGTTCCCCAATCTTTTCGCTGTTCCAGAGAAATATCAGGGGGATTGCGAGGCCAAAACAGACACATATTGCTGAAAAATGTTGGTTTAGGCAGTGAAAAATAAAACCGTAAAAATTTTTTTATGGTAAAATTATAATATTATGTAATTTTTTGGTTACTGTAATAGGACCACAATTTATTTTGCAACTCACCGATGAACCCGGCTTTCCTGACACTTTTCTCCCACGGCCTTCCCATCAGAGCGTTCGGTTTGGCCATTCTGAAACATAATCTTTAAAAGAAAGGACTTGTGTGGGACAAAAACCCAAGGAAACAGAGATTACTATTCTAAATTACTAATTTATCCACTAAATGGAACGTGCAAATCTCTGAAGACATTAGACATATTATTTGGTGGAAAGTCGGCGACAAAAAACGATCCAAATACGGCGTCGGAGACAATGGAAGTGCGAATGAAGAGAACAAAAATAATAATATTCGAGGGATCTGCAAAGACTCCAGAATTAGCCGAGAGAATGAGGTTGGAAGGCTTGTTACGCAGCCGGAATTAGGAAGAATTATATTGGTTTACATTACTTCCGGTCAGCTGGGAAGGTTACTGTAGAAAGGGAGAGGGAAATCGCCGTATTTTAAGGGGAAATTTGAGATTTTTTTGAAGAAAAATTACTGTTACCCATAGGGAAAACGAGTTTTTAATAAAAATGTTTTCGTATTTTGGAGGGGAAATTCAGTTTTTAAAGAAGTAACGAGCCCGTAATTGACAGCGACTTAAATGGACACTCCAAATTTACTTCCAGCCAAAATTTTTCATCAAAATATGTTAATTTAGGCAAAGATTAAGGGAAGAATTAAATACTGCATATTTTGAAGTAAAATTTATCGTATTTTAGGTTTAAAATTGAGTTTGAACTCAGAATAGAGCAAAAATCATATTTTTGTTGAAATCTCCGGTCATCAAAGTCACTAAAAATTAGAAAAATTCAAAATTTTTCTCAAAAATCATCCAAAAAATATGGTACATGCAGGTGTGGGTTTGAAAACTCAGTAACCCTACTGACTGCATTACGTGAAGCGTGAGCTCAGATGAAACACAAAAAAAAGATAAATTTGGGAGCTTTTCATAGTCGAATTTACGTGAAAAGAAAACGAAAAACGAAGGGATACGGGCGAAGACTTGTTTCAAATATCCCCCCAATGTCACCAAAGTTAACCCAAAAGGTTTTGTTCTTCAGATAGCGATAAACAAAATGAGGGATATTGTTTTTTTTATCATAAGGAGGACTTCTTTTTAACTTTTTGATGTTTCTTAGGGCTCAAAAGTGAGAACGTGATCGAAATGAACGGTTATTTATCCGGGAAGGGGCGTTTTTTGAGTTATTACGAGTTAATCTTCTCGATGAGAAAGAGGAAAAGAGAAATAGAAGAGAATTGATGAGAATTTACTTTGGGAAATGAGGTTTTTCTATAAAAAATCATGTTTAAAATCCTTAAAGGTAATAATAAAATGACTGTGATATTTCTGGCCACACTTTACACTGTTTACCACTCTCAGTTTAGTAACTCTTTGAAGAAAAAAATTGCGCTGTTTCCCAAAAATTTTCATTATTATTTTTGCAAAAAAAATTTTTAAAATGTCGTTTCATAATAACGACTAGTAAAAATATAGTAAAAATATAGAGTTCGCAAAAAGCCGCTGTCAAATCAGCCATCTTACCGTCGTCTTTACACCAAGAATCGAGCATCATCTCCTCTGAATGCCTTGAAAAAGACGGACAAAATTAGCAAAGAAGAAGAACACTTGTTACTCTGTGCTCGATGGGGTAAGAATAAGTGGGGTAATAAAGAAAAAATGAGCACCAGCGCAAGACGACGCAAGCACATTAATTGCCTCACTTCTGAGGAGAAATTGGGAAGTTCGGACAGTTCATAGGGAATATTCAGGGGGAAAATGGTGAGGATGGGGAGGTAAAAGTTGCGATGATTATTTGATTTGACAATAGGGCTATTTGGCGTAATTTATTTGCCTTATAAGGAGTTTTTTATTGTATAAATGTAAGGGCTGTAATCTGGAAAATTTTTAAAATTATCCAAAAAGGGTTTCTGGATTAAACTCGATGTATCCCGCGAACACGATTATCCCCGGTAACCTTTACTGTTCAAGACTTTATTCAATTCTATCATTCGCTCTTTGTGTATGGCCAAAAAATAATAAAATACAAGGAAGTTATGTATGGCCCCTCGACAAAACTGCTACCGAATTTTTAAATTTGTTGAAGTAAAGTACGAATCTCAGCTACAATGTCCTCCGAACGAATTTAGCCGACAGGCGAGACATCGAAAACAAATGTGATATCAACGGGTCTACTTTCGTATAATGGGTCCTCGAATAACAGAAAAGGAACGGTGCATAACGGATTCCGCTGTCCTCGCATGAATGGAAATTTTTGGCAACCTTTTTTAGAAAATACCTCAGGCAAAAAGAACAAACCATCACTTGTTCTTGACGTATATTCTACTTGCTATATATAGACCTGAAAGAAGTAAGCAAAACGGTTTTGGTCACTTTTTAATGAGTCTATCATATAACTAATCGCAAGTAGATTATCCTAACACAAGATATAACAAATTGGTGGTAAGTATGAGGACTTTGAGTATTATTATAGGACTTAGAACGTAACGTTCACATTACTGCGTAAGACAACTGCCTGAGGGGAATCCTTCTCAGAAAGGCTGTCAAATTGAATTTCCGATATACGAAGATGATCTTTAAGGTCTCTTACGTTCTCTTTCGTAAGTAGTAATTCGATAATGATCGAAAAAATTGAAATTATTCACAAAGTTTCAGAATTACTCGTTTACAATTAAAGTTTGGTAATTTACCGTACTTTATCCCCAATAAAAACGCTATTTACGGTAGACGCAGTTAAAACCTGGCCCACATTGTCAATAAATGCTGGCGAAATCCTTGGAACGCCTTCAGAATCTTCAGTTTTATTAGATTTCCTCAAATCTAAATTCCAAAAAAACGTTTCAGTTTAAAATCCCCTCTGGGCATTGGACGTGAACTGAATCCAAATTACAAATTACAGTTTATGAAGCATGGAATTGTACAAACAAGTTGAAATAAAGTTAAAAGGAGAACGGCGACATTCCCAGAGGATGGACGGGATTTGGCTGTTTCTGGGGCCGGTGGAAAGAAGGCGCTTCTTTCGGTGTGGACGACGAGTTGGTGGATGAATTCGAGGTAAATGGGGACTCGAAAGCACTGTGAGATCGGTACGAGGATTTGGTCTGGTAAAAGTTGTCCGCTGAAAGAAAACTTCGGTTTTCCTTGGGGTTAATTCAGATCTGGGCATGGATAATATAAATTTCTTGCTATATCTCGGGAATCTTATTGTCCAGTGCTATTTAAAAAGAAAAATCATTCATTTCCAAACAGGATTTTTAAAATTTATAGCCTGAATCTCTCAACGGTTTTTGTCAAACGCGGCCTAAACATTTTGCAGATGAAGTAATACTCAAGCAGACAGGCTAAATAAAATAACATTTACAGGCCATAAACTATCTGAAAAGCTAAAATGCAACGTAATTTTTATTTTTCCTATAAAGGTATCAAAATGTGAATGAAGTTGAAAAAAAACTTACAATTGCGACTGAACACTTCTTGACGGTACTGTTTCTCCGATCCCATCATCCAGAAGTCCGCGGTCGGCTGGCTTGGCCCACATTGGCCCTTCCTTTGTCCCTTCTTCTCCCAATAATCCTTGGAGAAGTGATTTGAACTCTCTGAAAACATGGCCAAGATGAAGATCCAACACGAAGACGCTCCCGTTTATATACCCCCAAAACTGCTTAATTATTTATTGGTCTTGGGGAATCTCAGACGGGGAATAGTTAATTTAATTGGGGACATCAATTTTCCCATCATTTTGAATGTAAATGGACGTAAGTTGGGTGCCTTTGGGGTTGAATATCCCGAGAATGGAGTGGAAGAACACAATCAATCGAATGATCAATTAATTTGGACCTGAGAGTTATTGGATTTCTTGGATTTACTGTGTTTTTGGGATCAACTTTGGGTTGTGAGACTTTGATGCCTAGCGCAATATAAAAATGTCGGTAATTTCGAATTCCGAAATCCCAGGGCTCGGAATTCGTTGCAAGGTGCTAAATTATAATTTATTTCGTCTTTGTGAGATTACAACGACCCGTTTTTTTGGGTATAAAAAGTGAAATTTAAAAAATGATGACTTTAAAAAATTAAAAGTTTCATCGTATAAAATGACCTCCTAAGCTCACTAATCATCCAAAATCTTGAAGTATATATCCCTGAGGCCCCTTTTTCCCCAAAAACACCTCTAACATCCAGTGTAAAATAGAATCCCCATAAATTACAGTAATCCTTACCGCCGGCTACCGTCCTCCGCCTTGGCATTCCATACTGGGGCGAGTACTCTTTACTGTAAGCACTCGACTTGGCCATGCTTGCTCCCATCGAATGATTTGGCCTCCGTTGTCGGTGGGGGTTGGATCTCTTGCCCTGAGGGGTTTTACTTAACCTAATTGATTGACAGCCTCAGGGCACGTCTCAAAACCACAAATATCTGAAAAAAACAGACTGCTTCCCAATTTTAAATATCGAAAAATCAAAGGGTAATGTTCGTATTTTAGGCACAAATTTTAAAAAATAAAGGCTTTCGAAACGAGTAAAGAGCCCTTAAGCAGTAATCTTATGATGGGAAAACCTCGGAACAGCTGTCAAGTCATGTTGACACAATCGTTTGGGTAATCAATAAAGCGATAAACGAGGGCGATAAACGATGATTTTAATGACATTTGAAGCGGTTTTTTGCTGATTTATGGGGAAAAAAAGGAAAAGTTGTACTGGAAGGTGTAAAAGATACTCAAAATAGAGAACGAACGGTGATTTGGGAAGTTGAAAAGACTCTGATCGCATTTTAGGTGAGGAATTTGCAATGACAAGAGGACATGACAAGTGTTTGGAGAACATTGCCTCAGGGCATATGTTCTTTTGAGAGCAACATTACGTATTTTAAACCATTAATCATCAATATACGGGATATGTTGTCTCTTTAATGAAACGTTATGATGCGACAAAACAATCATACGTGGTTCTATTGCGGTTAATCATCATTTCCGGCACATTTAATCCATTAACTCAACATTTACACACGTTTCTTTTCATCAAACTACCTAAAAGAATATAAATCTGACGTAAACTTTCCCACCCTCTAAATACACTCCAGATTTTTTCTAAATACGATTAACAACCTGTTCCAAATCCCTTGACTCGTTAAGAGGTCCAACTTGGCCATTAAATCTGGCCATTTCAAATGTCCAATGTTTTTTTCGACAATTGTCTTAAACGCCCTCCGGGCAAGACTTCAAAACGATCTATATTTTTGGATATCCGATTTCATATTTGTTCTGAATCAGTTTTCTGAATCCACTTGAATCCCCGGCCTTCTGGAAGAGGATTCTATAAAAAAAACGTCTGAAAAGTAAAAAAGCAAATATTTGGAGTTTTAAACTGACAGCGGAAGTACTCCAAGTCACATTTTGATCAATCTTGACACAGATTTAGACAAATTTTTTGCTATGCAAGACTCCTAACCCATAAAAAACGACTATTCTCAGTACGAAACTTAAAAACATATGGTTAAAATTTTGTAGTAACATCTTGCTAACAAACTCAGCAGAATGTAGAATGGGAATGTTGCCCTTATATTACCGTATAATCACGCAATTTTGAAGTAAAAATAAAAAAAATTAAACTTTTACCACGCCACTTTCCAAAGAGTGAACTCTTGAATCGACAATCATCGCGTGGATATGCAGTAACTAAAATTTGTAAATGCGCTCGGAGCTTTTTTGAGTTCCAATAGCAATATTTCTCTTTAAAATAACAACCAGTTTTTTTTTAATTACTGTAACTTTTGTTCTCTGACTTAGAACAAAGTTTAGGTCGTAAATAACTTCCCGAACGCCCCCTCGTCTTCTGATTTCCATATACCATACGATTTTGGGTATCGGATTTCAGGGATTTGAGTGACATTTACAAGATAAAACGGCTCAAAAGTAGGATCGGAACAAGTTGAACACTTTTTATTTCAAAATATTAAAACCAACTCTAAAACTCATCGAAAATACGCGTTTGAAATTTTTAAAATGCCAAAAATTAAGCGTCATGCCCTGAGGCGACGTTCAATTAAAAGTCCAAAAAGTCTCCGAAAATATCTTTTTGGAAGAGATTTGTACATTAAATATGCACCCAAGGAACTCACAGGCCATTATTCCGAAAAAGGTAAGGGGAATTAAAAAAAAGGATGTTTTTGTTTTGGCCATTGGTTTCTATTTTTCGGACACTCGATTATACGAATAATTTGAATTCATCGGAAGGGCATGGACTTTCCGCGATTTCGAGTAACCGGGGCTTAAAAGTTGGGGGCTTATTTTCGGCCATAAAATGGGAGTGGAATTGTCAGCATTTTTGGAAAATTAAAAAATCCCATTTTTAGAAAAAAAATCAAAAATTGAAGAATACAAAAAATGAAAAGAAAAATTGTAATTTTGTTCGGAAAAGAAAAAAATTTGGAAAAATACACGTTTTGATGAGAAACTTTGGGAAATGAGGAGATCGGTCAGAGAAAATTCCCTTTTTGTAAGCATTTTAATGAATTTTTGTTCCATGTTTTTCTAACATTATATTTTCCGAACCTAACTCTTCATTTAGCCGTCAAAACGCAGATTACGTTCTCCCAAAATTCCCTCGGACCATAAAAATGCTGGACATTACTTTCAAAACTCCCAATAAACTAGTCAAACACTATGTATCCCGTTTTTTATTAATTTTTGCACTTACAGGTGTAAAAAAACCCTGCTGAAATAGTCGATTGCTAATAAGTCCTCCATCTCAAGTGTTTTGAATTTAAAATTAATTTGACTACAAATGTGAAGATTACTGTAACTCAAGTATTTACAAAGACGCAGTGAAAAAATTTAGATGTGGGAAAATGAAAAATCCAAGTTTATTTGCGAAAAAATTAATAAAAAATGTGGAAAAATTGTCAGAATTGCTGTGAAAAAAAGCGGGTGCACAAGTTTGCGAGACTTGGAAAGTAGCTCCAGGATTAGTGCAAAAATTTTTTAAAAAATTAAGGAAAATAAATTGAGCAATGTGAAAGTGAAATTTTCGTATATCCACGCGATGACTGTCGATTCCACTACGAACAAAGTTCATTTGATGGAAAGTAGCGTGATAAAAGTGTAGTTTTATTATTTTTACCTCAAAATTGCGTGATTACACGGTAGTACAGGGTCTCACAAAAAACGTGGAGAAAGTGTACAAGAGCGACCAAAATTTCCATTCTAGATTATTCTAGTTGTAAAATGGTGTGCAAGATTCTATGATAGAATTCTAGCCAACGTTTTGCGCGAAAGCTTGAGAACTTTGAGAATAAAAAACCTCTTATGAGTTTGCCTAAAACATCCATTTTGTAAATTTATAAAATCATCTTGTGAGTAGTACAAGATAATCCCGATAAACCCAATCCAAACTCCCCCGACCCCTCGAAACCCCAGTCCTTCTATCTTTTTTATCCAATTCCCCGGCTAATCGTATTTTCTCCAAAAAATCAGTTCTAAAGTGAGTGCCCGAGGGGTCTAATGCTCGGTCTGATTGTGCCTGATACTAAACAAGATCAATGACGTGTATTCTGCAAACGAAAACTGTTTAAAAATAGCCGTTAAAATCTACTTCACTTGACTTCAAATCCAAGAAATTTAGTCTGAAAGGCCTCTAATTGCATGATTACAATATAAGGCCCTCAGTCAAAACAAGTGACGTTCTCTTATGCAGTTTTCCGCTTAATTAGTAGCCCCTCAAAACAAAGAACCGGCAAGATTTATTTTTATTTGTAAATCTGATTATAAAATATAATATTTTCCACGATAAACATAACTGCCAAAACAAAATCTGATGACTCGAAATCCGACCAAATCTGTCCCCTTTTTAAGGCCTTTAATGCTGATTAAAGGCGACGTTAATGAAGCTGCAAAAACAGAAAACAAATGGACTGCAAGTGTGCTCTAGACCTGTCGACAAGTTCACATGAGATTGGACGATTGGTCGTTAAGAACTGATTTAAAGGATGGTGAGGAAGTGCAACGATCAAGCATCGGAGATTGGGCTGAAAACATCCTGTCACTTGTGATTTGCAGGAGTTGTGAACTCTGGATAAGGCAAAGATTACGGTCATCACTTGAGAGTAATTTACCTGCTGAAGCGAAGACATCTAGTCGACAGTTGATGAGAAAAACTCATAAACAATACATCCAATACTTGAAAACTCTGATTTATTTGTTTGCGTATTTTGTAAAAGCGATCTTTATATACGTATTGATTGAAATTTAACTCTTGGAAATCATTGTGATGCCCTATCCTTGAAAGCGTTTTTTTCCGACAAAATTTCCATTTGTATTTGTAAATTTACTTTCCTTTATGATGTGTAGAACCACGTCTGACCTCCAAAAAATAAATTTTAAAATAATTCGGAGACTGAAATCGGCGTTTGAAAAAACACATAAGCCCCCGATGAGTAATGCTCTCTGACAGTTTAAAAAGAGTGAAAAGGAGAAAAGAACACTCTTTTCGAAGAAAGGATGGGAGAAATTAGCCTCAGGGCAAACTTCTTTTAGATGGAAGAGAATTGGCGATTAACAGCTGATGTAAGTGTAATGTAATCTAATTTTGATGTATTTAAACATGGAAGACTCATATTTTTTAGATTTGGCGTAATATAACGGATGAATGTGCGGATCTCAATGTAATTTCGAGTCTTTCCATGAGTAATTCCTTCTTTTATTACATTATGAAACCAAGTTTGGATTACAAAAAGCTCTGTTTGGATAATCAGCTGTGCAGATTGCCGGGGGAGAGCTGGTTTCAGGCTTGCAATCAGTAAGTTCTCTCTCTTTATTTCAATTTCGGTGATGGCAATTTTCAAGAGTTTAAACAAATCTTTCACTTAAAAATTGGCAAGGTTATGACAATCATCGCTCTTGCAGAAATTACTCAGTTATTCATTATCCCCTAAAAAATTCATGATTTAATTTCAGACTGCACCATCTCTACCACATCAACGCCTGCGGGCGTTTTATTTACTGCAAGGACAGTGATCGGTTTGGTCTTGTTTTCGAGACCTTTATTCTCATCACGGGCTTTGATTTGTCCGAGAAATACCTCAAATATATCCCTATTACCTCTCGAATTCTTATGGTCAATCTGATAAATCGAGGGAAAACTTTGGTTCTACAGGTAAAATATTATACGAGCTTCAATAAGCAAATAATTTTTACAGCATATGGATTCACTAACAATAAAATTTATTGACATTGATTCGAATACCGTAATCCACACGGTAACCTCCTTTGATGGGCATATTTGGAGAGGCCACTTTCGTCACAATGATACCATCCACAGCCCTTATTTTCCATACGAATGGACTGCAAATGTTGGACTTCCAGACAACCCAATCTGTCTTCCGGAAAGCTTTCGGAACGCCCGAAATACGGAGTTTACGTTTTTACATGGAGAAAATAACATATTGTACCTGATGGATGTAAGGGAGAAGAAAAAATGGATGATCCCTTACAATGCTTTCCATATTATTGATTTTCTCCCGAAGATCAGATGTGTTTTTGTCAAAACAAGTAAGTTTTGTGACACTATCCTTATTTTTCATATTGTACTTTATACGAAGGTAATTCTTGTTTAGATTTTATTCGAATATACAATATAGATACAGATGATGTAGTATTCGAAGAGAAATCGAGCAACGGAAAAGTTGGATGGGAGATAATAAACGATTATATTATCCATGACATTTTTACGGGAAGAGTAAGTAAAAACGGTCGTAACTGGCAAAACAAAGTTCCGATTACATTGAGATTTTGCAGACATACAATATCTAGGCTTGGTATAGACTGGCTAAAATTGTAGGTTACGGCTTGCAAGGAGAGCTAAAATTTTCAACTAATTTTTTTGTTGGGGCAATGGGAAAAGATGACATAAGCCCCCAAAAAATCCGCCATTGCTCGTATAAATCTCGGAATAAATTTTAGGTAGCGTATTACGATGAAAGAATATCTCAATTCCTGGTACATCCAGAGACTCTGGGAGATATTATTTATGGCATCAAAGGCCCAGTTGATATCTACAAAAAGTCGTCGGATTATCAGAACTTTATTTACATCCGGCCTTATTTAAAACCGGGAGATCGGAGGGGAAGAAATGAAGCAACTAAGATTTTGATGCTCACTGTGGACAGAGGTAAGAGACAAAGGAATTATTTTCAATTTATGAAAATTAAGTTTTTGAAAATATAATATTATTTTAGGAAACTTGAAGTATCGGAGATTCAAACAAGAGAACGGAGTGTTTCCAATCTTCGAGAAGTTGTATGAAGACATCAAGAGATCTCTCAAAACAATCGATGGGGACAAGGAAACGATAATTCGAGATGTATTTAACAGTTGGTACGGGGCATTGGAAAAGAAATGTCTGAATTAATTACGTTTTCTGTACATAGTAATGAATTGGTAAACGAAATGATCGGGTATCTCATTGTACATCGGGATGTAAGAGTCTTGAGAATAGGCGAGCACTACTGAGTTTATACATTCGCAGTGTAGGACCATTTTCTGAAAACACTTTAGAATCTTCAAAACAATCATTTTCCCCGCAAAATTCACCGATCTATGACTGAAAAGGTCTTTTTCTCTGACATTTGAAATCCCTGATACCCCCAAATCAAATGATTCCGCAGTTTAAAAAAGGTATTTTACCTTTAACTTCTCTCCAAATCCCAAAATCTTTTGCAACCTTCCCAAATTATGTCCTGAGGCTTTATTATACCCCGAAAATTCATTGTGAAGATGGTGGTGATACGACGATACCATGAAATTTACATTTCCCACTGAAATGTGTGTGTATTTATCAGAAATTTTTTACCTTACCAGTTTCTAAAATAACTTTTCCAACAAGAAATGCGACCTCTACTGGATGAATTTTCAATTCCCTCCCTTCGTTGAGGATACTGTGGAATTGTTTGAAGAATGGAGCGACTGTTTTTACAACTTCCCGGAGCTTCGACTACAATTTAAATTAAATATTACTGCTTTTATTTAATTTACAACTCACGTCATCATCAATATCCGCAAAATGGCACTCCAAATCCACTAAATTACAGTAATATCCGGTATACGGCGAGACAAAATCGATGCCCTGAGGGAATTGGCGGATGGACTGAAGGATTTTGTGATACCAGGAGATGTGATTGGCCAAGCCCTTGACTCTCTTGAGGATCAATTCGTCTTTTACTTGTAATTTTAACAAAAAATTCGTTACAAGTTGAACTGCACACCTCAAAATTTTGGGCTCAAGTTCCGTAAATTGAACGTAATCCATGTAAATTAACATGGAAGACGTGAAGTCATGGAGCTCGGACTTTTGTTGGAGCGATGAGAGGAACTTTTGTTGCTCATCGAAACGGCGGAACAGCGTGGTTATGTCTCTGAAACGACATCTTAAAATCACTGAAATTTAAATAGTTGATCTTGATAGACATTTTTCTTTAAATTTTTCAGTTGTATCATTTCTAGTCCTTGGATTATTTTCTGAAAATTTCGACTCAAGACTTGCCGAGACTGCCGAATATTCAACAAAAATTTTTAGCCAGAGACGATGACAAATGGGAAAACGCGGACACTAAAATTCCAAAAAGCCCCAAGTTTATGCTTTTTACGTGGCTATTTTCCTGCAAAAAATACTAAAATATTGAATAATAGGATTAGAACTTACCTCAGATGAGGCAGATTGATCGGGGACTCTTCCAAGAACTTCAAGTCCCCGTCTCTTTCACCCACAACTTCAGCCTCACCCCAACTCTCGTATCCACTGCTGGTTGAAGGTTCGTAAGCAATATCAAAAGCATTCCCATACTCCCTGCACCTCTCTTCACTCATATTACACTCATCTGATCCCGAGAATAACAGTCCGCTCAGGTTATTCATGCGTTCCTCGGGAGTATCTTCTTCTGGCTGTCCATTCACTTGAACTACAAGGTTCTTTCCCCACATTCGAAGACCGGCCATGCGACATGCCCGGAGGCGACATTTCATGCAGAAACGGCGAGGTCCTGAAAAATGAGGATAATCGAAAATTATCGGCGAAAATGAAAAAACGTCATCGTAGGACTGAGAAATACATGGCTTACCTGATTTGAGATTGCATCTTTCATCGATGAAGCGACATCTTATGCGAGGAAATGCCCGGAAATTTCTGAAAAAATAGGATTTAAATATTTTCAGGGGCAGCACAGCTACTTTTGAATCTCACATTTTACGGCTTGGGAAACGAAATATCAAAAAACTTTTTTATATCGTGCCAAAAGTTTACTCTTTACTCCATGGCTTCAAACTTTGAGCCTCAAACTCTCACAAAATGTTCGAATTTACCTTCGATAAAACATGGTGCAGGCCGAGCACACAAATATTTTATAACAGAAAATCCTTGTCATCCTTCCACAAATCCAGCAAGGCTCGTGTCCATCATTGGTTCCAGTACTGCTCGTCAATTGCAACATTGTAATTGAAAGTTGAAGAGTTTGATCGGAAAGTCTGAGCCCTCCCTTTAAATAAGGAGCCATAAAATGAGTCAGACGGTGATCGGCGAGACCAGGAACTGTCTGATAAAGTTGTCCATCAGCCGAACTCTTAATTGATTTACAATAATTTGAAAAGAAAAAATACGGTATGCGGAAGGAAAGGTGGTCAGTTGTATTACAGATTAATGAGAATGGAGGGGAATTCTAAAGGTTGCGATTGGGTGGACGAAGGTGATTAGGACGAGTAGAATTAGATAAAATTAGACAAGGAAGTGAGGGGAAGGGAAAGGAAGGAAGACAAGGAAGGGATGACAAATGGTTATTACTGTAGTTTAGACAGCCAGAGTGGTCTTTGGTTGGTGAGGAAAGGCGTGGTTGAAAGTTGTAATTTTACGACTCGAAAACGTGACGACCGCCCCGAAGACTGATTTTTCCTTTTCTTTTTCTCAAAAATACTGTAAACGTTTGTTTCCAAACTGACAGGGGAAGTACTCCAAGTGCGACGCTCAGATTTTGATGAAATTTGGCACAAATTCAGAGTAATTTTTTCTAAAATATATGCGAGAATCCTAGCTTTGCAGAAGCAACCGAGATTTTTAGATTTAGGACTTTTTGCCGAATTTTGGCACGAAAAGTTTCATGCCTATTTCTACCGTAAAGGATAATGTTTCTACAAAAAATCAAATTTTTCCGCACGAAACTGCCAAAGTTATGGCCAAAAAGCGTTTTTCTCTCTGACCGGTCTCCACATTTAGCGTGCTCTCTCGGCGGCAGAAATCGTTCGATATCTCGGCGGCGCCGAGATATCGAAAAGCCCGAGCTAAAACTTTCAGGAATTGATATTTAGTCCATACCCGACGTGTGTGCAAAATTTAAAGAAAATCTGAGCGTCGCACTTGGAGTACTTCCCCTGTTCTCCGTTGCAGCATCAAAAGCGTGTTAGTTGAGTTTCTGCACAGCAGTTATTGAAACATTTAAATTGTAAATTATTTTATCAAAGCAATTTATTTTTATGGCTAAAGGAAGTCAGATAAATGATCAGAGACCGAAACGAGCTGAGCGATTATATTTATTTTGAGGGTCATTAATAACCGACAGTGATTTTGGGAAGGACAATAGATCAAATGTACCTCGGGAAGACGGCATTACACTCGAGGTGAGATCCGCAACTTTAGTTTTGTTATTTTGGACCGATCAATACGTATTACGGTGATCTTTAAAAGGTGCAAGACATTTCAAAAGTTAAAGTCCAATACATGATTTCCCTTCTTTTTTAGTCATAAATACCAAAAAAATTTTGATATGTCATAATTTTATTCATATTCTTATATCTAACTACAGTACTATAAATTACAATAAAACACGCTTCAGTACATCTTCACAGGTTCTCAATTTCTCATTGATCCTAATAAATTCCACAGTCTGACGGAGTGGGCGGTCCAGAATTTTTTGTTGCTCGACAGTGAAATTGGCCTTGCAAAATGCCTAAAAAAGGTGTTAATATAAGTCTTAAAGCAAAATAACAAGCTTGGAAATACGACAATATTTTAACAAAGTTACCTCAAATTCATCGATAAATTGCTTGGAACTTTGTTGATTTCCCGCTAATTTGAAGGAATTTTGAAAAAGATTTGAGTTTACTGATCCAAATTTGGTTAACAGTAGTTGTAAATTGTCTTTGAAGAAGGTCCAACAATAATCCTGTCCTACTTTATGAGTGACAGCACCATAAAAGAACGAAGCAAGGTCCTGAAATTACATCATTCTTGATGAATTTTGAAAAACTGAAATTTTTATCTCAAGTATAACAAAAAATTTGATTTTCTTCCCCTACCTGATTCCTAACCTTCCCATTGACCACTCCATACTCGAATACATCCTTCAACAACTCCCTTTCCGGCACTTGTCCTAAGGAAAAGATGACGTCATTCTCGACTTCGCTGAATCCGCAAGTTTCAAAGATCCTTTTCAACTTCTCAATACCATCTTTTCCACAATTTCTGGCCACAGTTGAATAAATTAATGCTCGCTGATCTGGCAGTAATGGAGATCCATTTGCGACATGGGCATTGAATTTGGAAATGGCAGTCGAGATTGTTGGCTGATGGCCGCATTTGGAGAGACGGCTCAAAATAAGTGATCGGAGGATGGGAACTTGAGAACCTGAAAGGACACGGAGTTAGTTGAGGATCAATTAGTCGCCATTTAGCGGTCAAAAATACATAAATTGTGGACAAAACTGGATCATGATGACATAAAGATGGACCATATTTCACTTTTCAATTTTTATCAAATTGTGTGTAAATGACCTACATAGTCCGCCCATCAATTACTAAAACTTTTGGACATCGTTTGTCATGGGCAGTCGAGAAACTCAACAAATTTTCGCCACAGATCTAATACTGGGAGAAACGGCTAAAATGACGAACCAAGAACCGCCCACCTCTCAAGTCTTATATCCTACTACCCACCATCAAAATCAAGTACTCCTTACCCTCTCTTTCCTTCGGTGTCCATCCCAAATCTTCTCCGATCCCCTCCATCACCCCAATTATAAATTGATCAAACTTTTTCTTCAAATTCTCGTCCTCATTCCTTGCCAAAACGTTGGCCAAGCTTCCGATTCCACTGTCCAATGTTTCCCAAACGACGTATTCCCTCTCATCTTTGGCATTTTCGATTAATTCAATGAATCTCAACGCCTCTGTTTTCCCCGCGTTCAGCAAAACAAAAGTGTCATTGGCCAATCCAAAACGATCCGCTGTGGCCAACTCCCGATACTTCTTTAGTAATCTATCGATTAGACTCGTCGAGTAATGAACTCTGTAGAAGCCCGTCGTTTCCGCGTTCAATTTGATATATTCGCCATCAGAAATGCCATCAATAACAAAAGAATCCTCCTTTTTTGATAGCAAAAACTTGAAATCCTTCCTTGATTCGGTTGTTACAGTAATCGGGACATGCCAGAGAGTGGAATCAGTGCTTCCATCAGCAATAAATCGATCCTGTTTTAGATGTAATCTCACTTTCCCATCATTTAGCCTCTCTTCTGATACCGAAATCAATGGAAATCCCTCTTGTTTGGTCCAAGACGACATCAATTTATCCACATCCTCTCCTGAAGCCTCTCCCAATGCTCTCCACAAATCTTTTGTCTCGGCATTTTTGAATTTAAATTGATTTAGGTAGATCTGAAGGCCCTTTTGATACTTTTCGGCGCCCAAATAACAATACAACATCCGGTTTACAGAGCAGGCCTTGGCATAAGTGATGGCATCATAGATCTCGTCCAATTCATTCGGATTCGAGATCTCCACTTCAATAGGATGCGTCGAATTCAAAGAGTCTAACCGGAAGCCTCGAGAGACCTCAAAGGTCAAAAAATGAAGCCAGATCTTGAATTCGGGAGTATTCTGGTCGACGAAAACGTATTCCATAAAGGATGCGAAACCTTCGTTCAACCAGAGGTCCGTCCACCATTTCTAAAAAGGGAAATTATCTATGACTCAATTTTTTTTGTCATCAAAAACTTACAAGGGAAGTACCCCAAGTGCGACGCTTAGATTTTCTTTAAATTTTGCACACACGTCGGGGATAAACTAAATATCAATTCCTGAAAGTTTTAGCTCGCGCTTCGAAGGCGAAGCCGAGATATTCAACGATCTTTGCGGCCGAGAGAATACGCTAAACGCGGAGAGCGGTCAGAGAAAAAAAACACTTTTTGGCCTTAACTTTGCTAGTTTCGTGCGGAAAAAATCATATTTTGTGGAAACAATAACCTTTACGGTAGAAATAGGGATGCAACTTTTCGTGCCGAAATTTGACAAAAAGTCTCAAATTTTCGTCGACTTTCGACCTAAAAATCTCGATGGTATCTGCAAAGCGCGAGCTTGAATTCTCGCATATATTTTAGAAAACATTATTATAAATTTGTGCCAAGATTCATCAAAATCTGAGCGTCGCACTTGACGTACTTCCCCTGTTAGTTCAATCACTATAAATTTACCATAGTGACCAAATCCCCAAACCAAAAGTGTGCCAGTTCATGAGCCACGATCAGCGCAACTCGAGACTTTTGTTTACTCGAAGACTTGGTGTCATCAATGAGGAGAGCCACCTCTCGGTAAGTAACCAGACCCCAATTCTCCATAGCGCCCATTGTAAAGTCAGGAATGGCAATCAGATCGCATTTGGGCAGGGAATATGGGATATTAAACCACTTTTCATACCAAACCAATGCTTTTAAGGCGACTTCCAAGGCATACTTCCCTTGTTTCTGCTTACCGGGAGTTGTATACACTCGGATCGGGATGCCATTGGAAGCAGTTTCCTAAAAAGTTGCCTTCTATTCATTAAAAATTTATGTTTTCAAATGTTTTTCAGCTGATGCCATGGATAATATTAAAAAATCAGAGCCTACCTCGATATATTCAAGTTCTCCTACAGCAAAGGCTACTAAATATGTTGACATGGGTGGAGAAGTCACGTATTTGAATAGTTTTGTGTCATCTTTTTCAATCTGAGATTCCACTGGCATGTTAGATAAGGCAGTTAATCCTTTAGAAACTTCAAGTTCCACTTGGAAAGTGGCTTTGTAGATAGGCTCATCGTAACAGGGGAAGACTTTTCGGGCATAAGTGGGCTAAAATACGATCAGAATTTGTGTAAGACAATATAAATTCGAGATTTTAAAAAATTTAGGGAATTTGATCAAAATAATCTCCTAAGGTAACTTACACACAAAAAAGTAGACAGCAAGCACTTCTGTTTGCCCTCAGAATCCTTGTAATTAGAGCGATAGAAGCCATTCAGATGCTCATTTAAAGTAAACTCATATTCAAAGGTCAGTTTGATCAGTTGAGGCTCTATTTTAGATCCGAGATCAACAAATAAAAGACTCCAGGTCTCATCAAATCGAAGAGAAGGTCGTTCCAGAGCTAAGACAAGGTAATATATCAAGTATAATATCAAATTATGACAATTTTATATTAATTTACCTTTCCCGCTCTCCAAAACGAGTGAAACGTCGGTGAATTTCAATTTCTCGGCGTGAAGTTGCAATAAATTCGTTGATTCAACTATGTTAATAGTAATTGTAACCTTCCCCAGACAGTTGAAAGTGTTTATATCCGGCTTTAGATAAATGGAATAGGCTGTGGGATAGGCAAAAGTTGGGAGTTTAGAGAATTCTTTGGTCATTTCGATGACTTTTGGCGCTTGTAAACAGCAAAGTTGGGAACCTAAACCTGTAAAAAAGTGATAAGAAGAGAGAGAAATAAAAAGTAAACGGAGAGGAACGTGTTTTAGGACTAAAAAGGGCGATCTAAAATAATATCGAGATCCAAAAACATCTAAATTCATTTTAAAAAGTCAAATTTTTGATTATAATACGTTAAAACTACAGTAATCTCATTCAGAAGCCCGATTCGACCCGGAGAAAAAAGAGAAAGAGCGAAAGATCCAAAGTTTCGACTGTCCAGGGCGCAGCTCGCCACATTGGAAACTGTAACTTGTGACGCAATTAGATGTAAGATGGCGTAAGTGTTGCTCAAATATGATTAGTATGTGCTTTGAGGTATAAAAATATGCAATTTTGGTATGAACTTTTAAATTTCTACAAAATACGTCGTCACGACATCTTTTATTAGAAAAATAATGTAATGTTTTGTCATTTGAGACTCTTTTTTTACATTTTATATGACATTTTATGTTATTGAGTTCTTGCAAGTTCCATATCACCTCTCCTTTTGGCCCATTAGACCGTTGGCCAGACTTCCGGCATCCAAATAGACACACAACTAACAGTTGAAACGTTCTGAAACAGTACGCCCTGACTTCTTCGGCCGAACTTCCGATTTGGCCTACTCAAAACGAATAAAGAAAAGTTTTGGACTCGCAGAATTCCTCCAGATATACTCCTTTAATCTTGATGTTTGAGCTGCCATACTCTCTAAGGACTTACTTTTCGTTGGGAATTGTAAATTATTGTCAGAAACCCCGTGATTTCTAGAATTGGCTTGTTTTTAGTAATCACAAAGAAGAAAAACGTGGACAGATACGTTTATGTGTTGTTGTACCCGGGTTTTCCGCACTCTTATCACTCTTTTGCCCCGAGGCAAAGATTCTGTTTTTGGAGGTGCCTGTTGGATCAACAATTTGACATTAATCTTGCCTTTTTTTATTGTTGCCTTAAGTTGATTTAAAGAATCTCAATGAAGATCCCAGTTCTCTGTCTTTGGCCTAAAATTGGCGCTTATTTCATGACTAATCACCTTCAAAAAAGCACGTGTTAACTGGGCCCTGAACGCAGTACAAGGACAAGTTCTAACATGAGACCCGTCCTTTTGTTTATCACTGTGATTTCTTATTTTTACGTTCCGGTTTCTTGATCTTTTTTCTTTTCTCCAAAAGCAAATTTTAAGGATATATCTTATCTTTCTGTTTTCCGCAACATTGTTATTGTTTTTTGTACACGTGAAGAGTTTCCTTTGATCTCCAAAGTAGCAATATTCTTATTACAAAAAGACGATCGAAGCTTAATCAAAAGAGGATCATAATTTTTTATAAGCCCAACTTTTACCTGGGATGATGAGAAATTGGGCAAATTAACTAAAAAGCTTTGAGTGCAGCCTTGATAGTAATAATTTGGAGTCTATATTAGTAAACACTGGTGGTAATCCTACTGTTTTATTGACCTCTACCCCATATTTATTGGGTTTTTGCCTTTTTTGAACTTTTTAAAATGTAATACGGTATATAATACTGTAGTATATAAAACAAATCATTTTTCTTACCTATTATTTTACTACTTCCTTCCAATTTGATTGTTAAAACCCCCATTTTGCGTTGTATTTTCTCTCTCCATTTACAATTCGTGTGTGTTTTATCAGTAAAGCGATTTAAAATGCTTTCCTCCCTTTACTTGTTATACAAAAAAAACTCGTTGAATCTTTGTCTCTCGAGTGTTCAAGATAAAGAGATGAAAATTTTTAAAGCTCTTGTTTTTCGGTACAAAAGCGAGGTTGTTTTGAGGGTTCGGAGAGTAAACTGGGTACAGGTTGCGATTACTTTATAAAATTTTTGATTTTAATCGTTTCAAAGAGTTATTTGCTGAGAGTAATGTGGTTTGAAATAATCGGAGGATTTGGTGGATGTGAACAGAAAGGCGTTTGACAAAAATTTCAGATGGCGTTTAGCAGAAAACACGGATTTCTGAGTTTGAAAAATCTCGATTTGCCCAAGTTTATGCCAAAATGGTGACTATTCGCTCAAAAACCATATTTTTAAACTCGAAGAGTTTTCAAAAGCCATGCGCTGAAGGAATATCAATTGTCAGACATACGCTCCTCGATGCTGACGATCTTTAATTCAACTGAATATTCAAATCTCCAATAAAAATTGTAGAAAATTTTTTAAAACCAAAGTTCATCTAACCTTGACAAAGTTTACAAAGCAAAAACTAATTCCAGTGGGACTTTCGGGCCAAACTACTACAATAACACCAGTTCTAAACTTTTCCGCTCCTTTATATTACACCAGGCACAATCAGATGTCAACACAAAAAGAAAGACCCTTTGTGAGAAATTTTTTGATTATTCTGAGCGTTCCGTGGGTTAATCGATTACACGCGACCGTTCTTCGATCGGAAAAGCCCCTCGGGAAAACGTTTCGAGCAAATGTTTTATATCGGGATACCATCAATTACAACAATTTAGAAGACGCTGACTGATTAAAAACCATCAAAAGCCAAATAATTGGCAGTTGCATCTACAGTTGTAATCATTGGGAACAACATGGCATTCATCCTTACACCTGGTAGGTTACAATTATAGTTTACATTTCAATTAAAGTAATACAATTTTGAATAAAAACTAATAAAATTGTTGCTAGTAATAATGCAATTGTCAAGATCGAGTCAATAAACTCTTTTGAGATTGTGTTTCCAACAAAAGAAGCACATTTCCTTCGAATTGCTCGTAAATAATTCGCAGAGACAAGGGCGAGCTGCGCCCGAAATTATAAAAGATTGCGCTCGGCGCCGAAGATTGATAAGAGTTTCGACAGAACCTGTAAATAGGAGTGATAACAAGAAACTTTTCGTTTTATTCTGCACGAAAACAATATTACTATCAAATTTTTGGTCGCTTTGACTAGTTTCATTACGACTATTGTCAAAAATTTTTAAATAGTTGTATGAGTCCACTTATAAAGAGGTCTAAACAAGGTCATGATTGAGATTTAGAACTTCTTTTACACGATTTGATTGACTTTTACTTACAAAACTGGTCGGTTTCTCTCAAATTTCCAAAACGAATTTATCCTCGGGCGCAGCTTGCCATTGGCCAAACAATTCGCGGCCGAAACTTCTTGGCCAAGAAACATTTTTCCGTGAAAAGTCGGAGAATTTCCTTCATCTGAATGTAAATTCTAGAACGAGATCTACAAACTATGAACGGACTCCATCTAAATGGCCAGGACAGTCTAGTCCAACCTCTTCTCATGGATTTTTATCAACTGAACATGTGTTATGGCTATTGGAAGAGTGGAACACATCTCGATCTTGCATGCTTTGACCTGTTCTTCCGTAAGAATCCGTTCGGAGGGGAGTTCACGGTGTTTGCCGGTCTCGAGGATTGTCTTCGCTTCACTCAAAGCTTCAGATTCTCAAAATCAGGCAAGTCTAACAAAATGAAATGGTTCAAAACAGTGTTTATTCTTAACATGTGGTTACAAGCTCTTTTTCTCTTTTTTAATTTACCCCTTAACCACGCGTTTTTCTTTTCAGATATGGATTTCATCAAGGAGAAGGTCCCTCATGCCGAACCGGCCTTTTTTGAGTACCTGGAGAAGCTGGATTGTAGTGAATTGAAGATCTATGCGATCAAAGAAGGGACCGTTGTCTTCCCAAGAGTGCCATTACTGACAGTGGAAGGACCTTTGGCTCTCTGTCAATTGCTGGAGACCATCTTTTTGAATTTGGTCAATTATGCCTCTCTGGTTGCCACAAATGCTGCGAGATTTAGACAGGCAGGTTTAATATGGATTACATGCCTTGTTGACTATGATTTATGTAATTGTTTTCTTATTTTTTAACGAAAATTTATATAATACATGTTCAGGTAGCAGGCGAACGAGTTGAACTTCTTGAATTTGGTCTTCGCCGCGCTCAGGGGCCCAACGGGGGTCTTTCTGCAAGTAAATACTGTTATGCGGGAGGATTTGACGCAACTTCCAACCTCTTGGCAGGCAAATTGTTTGGAATCCCGGTGAAAGGAACCCAAGCCCATTCGTTTATCTCTTCATTTGGATGTGAAGAAGACCTCCAAAACAAAATGCTGAAGGCCAAGGATGGCTCCAGATGTGTGGACTTGCTCCAATTAAGTCAACAGAAGATTAAGATGCTCATGGATAAGGTGAGTTGATGCAAAAATCTTATTTCCCTTTATATCTTTCCATTTCCAATCTTCTGATCGTTTCTCAGATTGATCGACACACTTTGGTGGGTTACTGTAACTTTATCTTTACAGTTTTCTGAATAGTTCTGTTGTCGTTTGATCTCTTTTTGTCCTCTTTGGTTACTGTAGTGTCACGTTTAGTATTATAATGCGATTATTGCAGATTGAATGGGGAATCTCGCAAGCTGAAATCTCTGTAGGAGAGTTGGTGGCCTTCTGTGCATATGCGATCGCCTTTCCCAACACCTTCCTCGCTCTCATCGATACTTATGATGTCTTGAGGCAAGTCAATATAATGAATACAGATTTTGCGACCGATAGTTGTTAAAATTTGTTTTCTGATTAATTATTATTTTAGAAGTGGTGCGATCAACTTCTGTGCCGTCGCCTTGGCCATGCACGATCTCGGATACCGAGTTCTTGGCTGCAGAATCGACTCCGGTGACTTGTCTTATCTCTCCAAGGAAATCCGCTCCCGGTTCAAGAAGATTGCCGCGTTAGATCCTAAACAACTCCAATGGGTCGCTCATTTGACTATCGTAGCATCAAATGATATTAATGAAGAGACGATTGTGTCCCTGAATGAACAGCAACACGAGATCAATTCGTTTGGAGTGGGCACCCATTTGGTCACATGTCAGCGACAACCAGCTTTGGGATGCGTTTATAAGGTATTTAAAGGGCTGTGTTTATAGACTATGTACTTTAGATAATTCCATTTTGACTATATTTGGTAATACAGGGTGTTTCAAGAAATTTGGAACAAATGATTTGCTTATATCTTTGTGTTCTTTGCAGCTATCAACGAATTTCTTTTTGCTTCTAAAAATTGACAGCGTGCGTTTTTAGAATCTCAAAAAAAAATTTTTTTCGTCGGCGGAGGGCCCATTTCTCGGCGGAGAAAATTAGGGCCTTTTTTAAAAAATCACAGCGTATTACGTGGCGGAAACGCCGTTGCAACGGCTGAAATCAAGTTTACGTTACACCTCCGTCGATTTTACGGTATGCATTTTTTTGTTTTCGATTTTACGCGCACCGCGGAGGCGCGACGGAGACTTCAGATTTCGGCGGACGTTGTTTTGGGCCTTCGGCTGTTGCAATTCATGTTGGAAAAGAACTTGGGGTGATTTTTTGTTGTCATCCGATGCACAAATGGCAAAAATTTCGTGCTTTTTTTCCCCGGCGGAGGATTCGGCGGAGGCTTTATCAAAGGGTCAAAGCTGTCTTACGAGTCCGGGAAAAATCTCAGCTACAAGAATCCATCAGAGCAGCATTGTCTTTCAAAGATTTTTGATTTTTTTGGTCCGGCGGACAAATCGGCGGAGTTTTGTTTTTACCCTTTGATAAAGCCTCCGCCGACTCCTCCGCCGGGGATAAAAAGCACGAAATTTTTGCCATCTGTGCATTGGATGACAACAAAAAATCACCCCAACCTCTTTTCCAACATGAATTGCAATAGCCAAAGGCGCAAAACAACGTCCGCCGAAATCTGAGGTCTCCGCCGCGCATCCGCAAAAGTGCGTAAAATCGAAAACGCAAAAAAAGCATACCGTAAAATCGATGGAGGTATTACGTAAACTACATTTCAGCCGTTGCAACGGCGTTTCCGCCACGTAATACGCTGTGATTTTTTAAAAAAGGCCCTAATTTTCTCCGCCGAGAAATGGGCCCTCCGCCGACGAAAAAAATTTTTTTTTGAGATTCTAAAAACGCACGCTGTCAATTTTTAGAAGCAAAAAGAAATTCGTTGATAGCTGCAAAGAACACAAAGATATAAGCAAATCATTTGTTCCAAATTTCTTGAAACACCCTGTAATTTTGTATATTTTTAGCTGGTAACAAAAAGTGGAATGCCCAAGATTAAGCTGAGTCAAGATGTCGTCAAAGTCACAATTCCAGGCCGAAAACAATGCTACCGACTCTACGGAAAGGCTGGCTTTGCCATATTGGACTTGATGCTGACTGAGGATGAGCCTGCCCCCAAGGCGAATACCAACATTTTATGTCGACATCCATTCGAGGAGAGCAAGAGGGCGATGGTGATCCCAGCGAAAGTCGAGAAACTTCAATTGGAGTTCTGGGATGGGAAAGAAATCATCCAACCTCTGCCGACCTTGGATAAGATAAGGCAACATGTCCACGAAAGCATCTCTGATCTGAGAGGAGACCACAAGAGAATACTCAATCCAACACCTTATAAGGTAAAGTGTACTGAATGTCATGTGGATAAGGTGACTATTGTCAATTTGTCTGATGTGATTAATGTTATACGTGAAGAATTTATGATCTTTTTCAGGTTTCCGTATCAGAACGATTGTATAACTTCCTGCACACACTATGGCTTCAAAACGCACCAGTTGGCCAACTGGAATAGACAGATGTTACTTTAGATCATATTACAGTATCCATTCCTTAGTGTCTATACGAATCTCCCTCGTATTCCGATGAAAATTTCCAAGTTCCCAGATTTTTCATATTTCGTATCTTCCTATTTCGGTCATCGCCAACGAATAAAGCATATATAGTCAAACATTTAGATATAAAAGTGGTGCAATGAAACTCACATCAAAATATAAACTAAGAATTTATTCGCTCTGTATCAACCGATTAATGGATCTAACAGCCTAGAAGTTGTGTTTGTCCTCGACGACCTGGTTCTTGGCAGCCACCTTGGTTTCCTTTGAGACATAAGAACCGGGCACAAGGTAACCAGTGGTATTGCGTCTGCCAATCATCTCTCCAACAAAGAACCAGCAGATCACTTCAACACCAACAGCCGTGTAGACTAGAAATTCCTGAAAAACAAAAAAGCTATTCAAAATTGAACAGATTACATATTTTTTATAGAAACCATCGTAAGGTTTTTTCAACCGTGAGTAAATCATGAGAGTGCTTGCGCTCCCGCTTATGAACGATAGAAATCACTACAATCCCTAAAGAAACAGAACAAATAATAATTAAACACCTACTTTGAGTGTAAGGGTCTTGTACTGCTTGGTCTCGATGGCCTTCAACAAAGCAGAGAAGTCTTTCTTGATGGCGGGAAGATCCTTGGCAGTTGGTGGGGCCAACTCTCTTTCGGCAACCTTCTTCAAGAGGTCCCACCGGCGGGGGAATTGGGCGGCATGATAGCGGTAGATGACACCACTCAAGTTTGCGATCTTCTCGAAGAAGTTGAGTTTTGGTTGGGCCATCTTCCAAACTAAAACACGCCATAAAATATATCTAGAAACGGGTTACACAAAATTTAAAATTCACAAGGCGATTAAAGAGGAACGAATCCGACGTCGACAAACATAAATCACCCAAAGTAAGGCAAGAAGCTCTAAACTGTCAAAAAAAACCCGCTTTTACGCGATGGGTATCCGCAATTCCGTATTTTATACCAACCTTCTCGGATAGGAAGTCAGAAAAGCAAGAAAAAGTCCAATTGAACGTAATGCCAAACATGTTGCGAAGTGTCCCACTGTTATTGGAAATCTTTATTCACAAACAACTAAAGTAAGGTTTATTCCGAAATTTAGCTAATGTAATGTGTCCTTTATATCCCAATCTTACTAACCCAATAGAAAGATATGCAATACTGTTCTCGATTTATCCGCAGAGATCAAAATTACAATTCAACAAGAGAGTACGCAGAGATGAGAGAGCGACAAAGAAGATAGAAAGAACGAAATGCCATAGAAGTTGCGGAATGTCACACCCCACTTATTGACGGGCAACTATAATTCTTGCATTGGAACTCAATTTTCACGAGATTTCATTGATCTTGTACTTCTCCTTCCTTCGTGGTCTGTTCTTTTTCTTTTTGAATCTCCACTTGGCCTTCTGAATTCTTTGCCATTTGACTGAATCTCTTTTGCAGGTCCTAAAAACCGTGAATTTCACGTGAATCTTTCATCTTACGTTGATTATTTCTTTGGGGAATCGATGATGTTCGCGTTCCACACAATAGAGACAGTAGGTGGAGTTGTAAAAAAGGGAACACGCCTAAATATTTACATTATGCTTGACAATATTCTACTTCATACTTGCCAAATGGGCTGAAGCACAAAAAAGATTGTTTCCCATGTTCGGCTTTTCAAAATTTCGAAACGGATATAAGTATTAGTTAGTGTTCGATGCTTACTTTTGACACGCACACGGGTGATTGGCAAATACTACACTTGGAACCGAAGATCACAAAATCGCTAACTCGGAAGTCGACTTTGTGAACATCATAGGGAACGAATGGGTCAGGGATGTAGAAGACCTCCTCGTGAGTACTGAAAGTATAGAGTTAGTGGATAACAAAATTTTGAATTTAAATCAATTACCTTATAGTTTTATGCTCCAACTTCCCATATTTTGTCAGCTCAGCAAGTCCACAAACACAACAGGTGAACTGAAGACGGTCATCTGGACGTTGTTGTGCCTTCTCCTCCAAGTTTTTCTTCCTATAAAACATCCATTACCTTTATTTTCCAACTTCTAGTTATCGTTTATTTTGTACTTTTGGAAGTGTCAAGTACAAGGTTCGAATGCCCTTTAGAGACGTAAAGTTGTTGGCTTACCTCCTTTCTTTGTCATCAAGTGCTTCTTTCTCTTTGTCCTCATCCATCTCACACTGTGGAATTGACCTTTTCTTTGTCGTTTTCCACCGAAAAATAAGAAAAAACTGGGCGCGAGCTGCGCTTTTATGTGTCGTTCATGTCTCGTCGAAACGGGAGAACTCTGACGTCTCGTTTTCAGCACTCTCGAAAGGATTTGGCCCCACAATTAGAGCAAAATTTACCCTTTTCTTTCACGTGCAAAGTTTTCCGGGTATTTGTTCTCGACTTTTTGAATCTTACACTTATTAATCTTTGTTTTGATCTTTCAGGACGACCGAAAATTATTGAATGCGGGTGCTAGATCAATAAGAACAATATTGTCGTTCTCAACATGGTGGTAGAGGCTAACCGCGACGCCTCTAAAGAATGTGTCCACAAGGCCGATCAGGCCATTGGAGCTGGGGAGTTGGGAAGGGCCAAGAAATTGTTGGCGAGGGCTCAAAGGTTGGATCCAAGTTTCAATTGTGATCGTAAGTCGGTAGCAATATTTTTTATTTCGATTTTAGGGGAAACGGGAGATTTTATATATATATCTAGAAACGGGTTACACAAAATATATCTAGAAACGGGTTACACAAAATTTAAAATTCACAAGGCGATTAAAGAGGAACGAATCCGACGTCGACAAACATAAATCACCCAAAGTAAGGCAAGAAGCTCTAAACTGTCAAAAAAAACCCGCTTTTACGCGATGGGTATCCGCAATTCCGTATTTTATACCAACCTTCTCGGATAGGAAGTCAGAAAAGCAAGAAAAAGTCCAATTGAACGTAATGCCAAACATGTTGCGAAGTGTCCCACTGTTATTGGAAATCTTTATTCACAAACAACTAAAGTAAGGTTTATTCCGAAATTTAGCTAATGTAATGTGTCCTTTATATCCCAATCTTACTAACCCAATAGAAAGATATGCAATACTGTTCTCGATTTATCCGCAGAGATCAAAATTACAATTCAACAAGAGAGTACGCAGAGATGAGAGAGCGACAAAGAAGATAGAAAGAACGAAATGCCATAGAAGTTGCGGAATGTCACACCCCACTTATTGACGGGCAACTATAATTCTTGCATTGGAACTCAATTTTCACGAGATTTCATTGATCTTGTACTTCTCCTTCCTTCGTGGTCTGTTCTTTTTCTTTTTGAATCTCCACTTGGCCTTCTGAATTCTTTGCCATTTGACTGAATCTCTTTTGCAGGTCCTAAAAACCGTGAATTTCACGTGAATCTTTCATCTTACGTTGATTATTTCTTTGGGGAATCGATGATGTTCGCGTTCCACACAATAGAGACAGTAGGTGGAGTTGTAAAAAAGGGAACACGCCTAAATATTTACATTATGCTTGACAATATTCTACTTCATACTTGCCAAATGGGCTGAAGCACAAAAAAGATTGTTTCCCATGTTCGGCTTTTCAAAATTTCGAAACGGATATAAGTATTAGTTAGTGTTCGATGCTTACTTTTGACACGCACACGGGTGATTGGCAAATACTACACTTGGAACCGAAGATCACAAAATCGCTAACTCGGAAGTCGACTTTGTGAACATCATAGGGAACGAATGGGTCAGGGATGTAGAAGACCTCCTCGTGAGTACTGAAAGTATAGAGTTAGTGGATAACAAAATTTTGAATTTAAATCAATTACCTTATAGTTTTATGCTCCAACTTCCCATATTTTGTCAGCTCAGCAAGTCCACAAACACAACAGGTGAACTGAAGACGGTCATCTGGACGTTGTTGTGCCTTCTCCTCCAAGTTTTTCTTCCTATAAAACATCCATTACCTTTATTTTCCAACTTCTAGTTATCGTTTATTTTGTACTTTTGGAAGTGTCAAGTACAAGGTTCGAATGCCCTTTAGAGACGTAAAGTTGTTGGCTTACCTCCTTTCTTTGTCATCAAGTGCTTCTTTCTCTTTGTCCTCATCCATCTCACACTGTGGAATTGACCTTTTCTTTGTCGTTTTCCACCGAAAAATAAGAAAAAACTGGGCGCGAGCTGCGCTTTTATGTGTCGTTCATGTCTCGTCGAAACGGGAGAACTCTGACGTCTCGTTTTCAGCACTCTCGAAAGGATTTGGCCCCACAATTAGAGCAAAATTTACCCTTTTCTTTCACGTGCAAAGTTTTCCGGGTATTTGTTCTCGACTTTTTGAATCTTACACTTATTAATCTTTGTTTTGATCTTTCAGGACGACCGAAAATTATTGAATGCGGGTGCTAGATCAATAAGAACAATATTGTCGTTCTCAACATGGTGGTAGAGGCTAACCGCGACGCCTCTAAAGAATGTGTCCACAAGGCCGATCAGGCCATTGGAGCTGGGGAGTTGGGAAGGGCCAAGAAATTGTTGGCGAGGGCTCAAAGGTTGGATCCAAGTTTCAATTGTGATCGTAAGTCGGTAGCAATATTTTTTATTTCGATTTTAGGGGAAACGGGAGATTTTATTCTGTTATCATGACTAATCACTACTTCTTATGAAATTGTTTGCAAGTCTACCTAAAATTACTTGCAGAATATTTAAAATCGAAGGGAATTCCGTCGGACAGTGCTCCGTCATCGCCAAATCCCCCAAACGAGCGGAGTTATTCCCACGATGACCATTATGAAGAACCAGACGGGTTAAGAAGCCGGAGGAAGCGGTTTGAGAATCACTTTTCTACAGAATCAAATGACTCCAAAGGTAAGAGCACTCTAAACTCCATTAAAATTGTTTTGTCTTTTTTTAGGTGGTCAATCTAGCCGATCTGATGCACCCGAAGCTTCAAAAAGAAGTAGAAGCAGGTCAAAGTCGGTACCTCGAAATACGCAAAGAAATGAAGACGATGGTGATTTCCATGTACAAAGGTAAGTTGTGTTGGCTTTGCTTTCTATTCAAACTTTAGAATACGACATTCAAAGGATTATTACGAGATCCTCCAAGTCTCCCGAGATTGCACGGAGGTCGTCCTCAAGAAAAAGTATCGAGAGCTTGCCCTAAAGTTACATCCGGACAAATGTCAGTCGCCTGGCGCAACGGAGGCATTCAAAGGTACGTATTGGTGCAATTCATCAATTCTTGACACTGTTTTGACCAGTAAAATTAATTGATTACCTTATTTTAGCTCTTGGGAACGCGTACTCGGTTTTGTCAGACCCCCAGAAGCGGGAAAGTTATGACCGAAGAGGCACAGAAGAAGTAACTCACCGACGAACCCGAGGCTTCTACGATTATGATGTTAATCGAGGATTTGAAAGTGAGTTTTGGCTATATTACAAATGCTTGGTCTAAAATAAATTCCGATTTATAATTTTTTAGCCGAAATGACCCCCGAAGAGATCTTTGAAATGTTCTTTGGAGGTGGTTTCCCGGCCGGAGGTGTTTACAGAAGAAGAGCCCACTTCCACAGAGCAGAAGAGGTCCATGAAGATAGGGTAGGTACCTAATTCTATGCAATAATTTATTGCTTCTATTGCAGAGTTTGTTCTCGAGTTTGTTACAATTGGCTCCATTGTTTGTATTGTTATTTGGAGCCATGTTTGTCCAACTCTTGGCCGGTGAACCCGCTTTTTCGTTGAGAGCAGAAGGGTAAGTTAATATAATTTTTTGTTGGATGTTGATGTTTAGTGGATATACTGTCCAAAGATTCACCAAGGATCTACGAGTACCTTATTACGTCAAGCCGGACTTCATGTCCAAATATGGCGATCGAATATACCAGGTGGATGTTAATGTGGAAGAAGAATATATCAGCAAACTACGGTTGAATTGTTACAGGGAGAAGAATCAGAGTGAGTATTGATCAGATTTTGATGAAATTGATTCATTTCAGGGGAAACTGCAATATGGAGAGCCAAAATGGCCGGCGATGGGAATCTGTACGCTCAAGCCCAAAGAATGGAACTTCCCAATTGTAGACGCCTCGAGGAAATATACCGTTAATTTATATTACATTTCGTTTATATTATCATATAAACCGATGCATTGAAAGAGAATCGTGGGTTCCCCTTCCAATGTCTACTATAATATACGATGATAAGTATATTATCCGGCCTCTTCCTCGATCATCTTTTCCTATGTCTGAATGCTCAAGATTCTACCTTTTTCTTCCCTTTCTGGTCATTCTCGGTTTATTGTATCAGAAGTCTTCAAAACCAACACAATCTTCCTACGGGTTCGTCCGAGCTTTGGCCTCAGTCTTGCTCTCATACCTCGCGGTATGCAGAATTCATCGTCTTCACACTCCGTCTTTAGGGATTTTCGTATTTATTATTTGTATTAGATACAAATAATGCTACTTAAGATTGTTTCAATCCATTTTGTGATCATCTAACCGTTAATAATAAACTCAATAACATTTAGAATCCAGCAATGTCAATAATTTATCATACTAACAGTAGAAACCTTCATTTTTAGTCATTAATATCGTCAAATTGCTGATTAATGTACTTATCCACATCGAAGAAGCTGACAGTTAATGCCCGTCCGCCGTAGTAACGCTTGCTCAAGTCGATTACAGCCTTCATTGCTTGGGCTTGGTTGGTAAATTCGACGAATATTCGAATTGACTCATTCTCGGGCAAGTCTTGGACCTAAATTAATATAATCAGCTTTTAAGTTTGTAAAATAATTCAAAACCTAACAACAACCTACTTCATGTATTACAACCTTCACAACAGTACCGTATTTACTCATCTCTTCTTCCACAATCTCTTGGATTTCATCTTCGCAATCTGATGGTGTCACCATGTTCTAAATTTCAAAAATCACAACAAAAATTAAGTTTTACCTTGACCAGAATGACTTTGGAAGCATTATTGACCATCTCGGCAGTGTTAAGATTCACCTTCTGGCTAATAACTGAAACAATTTATATTAAAGTAGGCAAACGTCAAATTTAAATATAAAATAAGATAAAAACTTACATTTGCCGTTTTCATCGCGATCCCAAGATTTCTTAGTACCATCCACAATCATCCCCACGTTTCTTCCTCTCTTTTCAACTCTCAAAGCCGAGCTTATACCAGTTTCATCTTTTCCGAGACCCTTTCCTTCTTTGTATCCCATCTTGGACATGATATCCGCGGCCAAATCAAGACCGCGTTTGACTGGTCGAGGAACTGGAACAGCTGAAAAAAAGAAACGGTCGCTCAAAACAGGCTATTGAACCCAAATCATCAATAAAAGCCTAAAATAATATAAAACATACGCTGTTGAGGCTCCTTTATTACCGTCGAATCCTCGATTAACGCCTGCGGAGGGGCAAATTGAGCATAAATCTTTCGTTTCCTCTCTTCTTCTGCATGCTCTTTAGCTAATCGTTCAGCTATTTCTTTGGCTATCCTCTCTTTTGCCAATTGAAGTTCTCTAAAAATGAAAAAGATAATATAAAGAATCAAAAACAAACCTTTTGGGCTTATAAACATTGTAATCAGTAGGTGTCAGAGGATTATATTCATCCACAATCTCGACTTCATTAAAAAGTATTACCTAAAAATGAAAATAACTAATAAAATGATAGACTACCTTCTCCTCTTTGACTGCCTGAGGAATAATACTAAAAGATGGAGGAGCGTCCAAAGGTAATGGTTTTGCTCGTCGAGGTTTGAGAATGTTATTCGGCTTAGGTTGGACAACGGGAACAGGCACTTGTGGTTTCAGATTCGATAATCCTGACGCTTTCTAAAGGGAACGGATAAGATTAGATAAAAAATAATGACAGGATTTACGTAAAGTATAACTTACGGGCTTCACCTTACTCTGTTGAGCTTGTGCCTTTTTTGCTTCCAACTGTTGTTTCAGGAAGAGGAAGTTCTGAGCCGCTGTTTTCGGTTGGGCTTCAGATTCTAAAGAAGAATAATATAAAAAAACAAGGGTCTCACCTGGCTTAGAATCATCACTAGATCCGGGAAGAATGTCGTCATACAAGGACATGTTCGTGGGCAATTTTCTAGAAATTATAAAATTCTGTAAAAAAAATAAAAATAATTTCGGCCACATTTCATCGTATAAAATGTCTATTTTTGGAAATAATTTCGGAAAAATAAAAAAAAATCCGAAATCGGGAGCAAAATCAGGGGGAAGTATGCTTCTTCGACGGGTCTCCTCTAGAATTCTAGTCCAGCGACGAGGTAGAACAGACGATGGGACACTAGATGAACATAAGCTGGTAATTCCCACCGGAAAGAGCGATGTCGGCTTTGAAACACGGATCACCTATCTCTCGAAGGAAGCAACAGACGACAGGGTAATTTTTTTTGATTTTTATTTTATGTTTAGAATCCAGCAGTATGATCTGTTACCATGTTTTATCCAAATTTAGATTGGGATACGTGGGATGAGTCAGACTGGCTTTCGAATGTATGATCTCAACTTTCTTTGGGGCCCGATTGCCTGTTTCCCCACCGTGGCCGTCTCTTGGAAAGTTAAAACGCCCGAAGAAATCAACGAGGAAAGTTTGGACATGTTCTTTGCCCTGAGGCCAAAATTGGATGTGCTTGTTCTTGGAGTTGGTGCGAGGAAGAATGTAGACATAGTTAGGAAAAACGTGGTGAAAGTCGCAGCCAAACACAGAGTAGGACTTGAATTGATGGTGACAGTAGGTTTTAACCGTTCTTTTATATTCTTCTTGGTTTAGGAAGATGCAGTCACAACATTCAATTTCCTGAACGCTGAACACCGTTATGTGGCTGGAGCATTTTTCCCTCAAATAGATCTCAAAGTGAGTGATCGAGAGAACGCCGAGTCGCTGAATCTCCATCAATCCATCGATTACGTCCCAATGAATCCACTGCTCGAGAACTACACTCATCCCTTCGATGAGGGTGTCGGTATTGTAAATCGAATGTTTGGACCAGGAAAGAAGGCGGATGAAGTGTTGGAGATCGCGACTAAGATCAAGGAATTGGATCGGCAGATCAAGGAAAGCCGAATGTACATGAAAATGAAGGCCGAAGAGGAGAAATTGAGTGGAAAGCTGATTACCAGAGGGCTTTACGGAGAAAAGGTGATCGCAGATGGTGAAGAGAAGAAACGCAGTGAACTGACAGTACAAAAAGAGGTCGAGCAGAGGTATTTGGAAGGGAAATTCGTCAAGAAAAAGGAGGTGAAGATCAGCCGAAGAGACATGCAACTAGAGGATTGATTAGGACTTAAAATATTTGTCACATGCTTGTTGAAATTTTGTTATTTTTTTAGAAAAAGAAATATATGACTATATTGTACTTGAGATCTGATGTTTATTTTGAGAGCGAGTCAAAACTTTACTTTTGGACGCCACTGGTGTCGTTTGGTGTGGAAGAACTTTTTTCCCTGTCCGTGTTCGTATTAGTTGAATTGCCGTTGGGGGGAGAGCACAGGGATATCCGGAGGAGTTTGTTGCAACTGGGACGGTTTTCGCGATCCTTTTGGAGGATCATCTGGAACATTTTTCATATTACACATGAAAAAGATGCCTTACTTTCAAAGAAAAGAGGACATCCTTGTCAGTGATCTCACTCAGATCTATGTCCTTGTTCAAGATCGCGACTCTGGCCTCCTTTCGGGTGCCTTTGAAGGGCGTTGTCCCCACCATCATCCAGAATAACAGCACTCCCAAGGCCCAGACATCCGACTCCTTGCTGATCATCCGATATCTCAGATATTCCGGGGCCATATACCTGGTCGTGCCGAGTGTTTTTCTTCGGACCACAGCCTCCGTCAGGGGCGACAATCTGGCTGCGCATCCGAAATCGATGAGTTTTACGCGGATCCCGGGCCCTTCCATGGTCACAAAGTTATCCGGCTTCAGATCGCAATGAACAATGTCATTCTGGTGGATGAAGGAGACCGAGCGGAGGATGGGAACCCAATAACTGGCAATATAAGACGTGCTAATCGGGACTTTGTCCGCTCTTTTGTCGTAGAAAATCTTGTGCAAGGAATCGAGGGCCAATTCCATGAACATGTACAAGGTCTGACGAGGAATGAGCTTGCTACAAATTCCAAATAAAAAGAAAGACGGTATAAACCTTGCGTAAATTGCGTAATCTGACATAATTTTTCAAGAAACTCCCTATTTTTGCCAATAATTGCCTCGCCTAAACATCTCCGATTTAAGCTTATCGAACAGGGCGAAAAACTTACACCGCGATGAGCTCGATGACAAATTCACTGTGCTGGAGCCTCTGCAATACTTCTACCTCAAATTCGGCCTGTTTCCCGAGTCGGATGACCTTCGGACTGGTCAGATCTATACATTTGACAGCAACAAACATCTCCTCATTGGAAAGGTCGTTGGCCAAATGGACGGATGAGTAGCCGCCTTCTCCCAGGGCCTCGCAAATCATGTATTCTCGCTTCTTCCCGGTCTCCAATAGGGTAACCTTCAATAAAATAGGGGTAAATGCGTTCATAACATCTGATTACATTCTTGTAATTTTAAATTACACGAACAGAACAATATAACCTCACCTCCACGACCTGTCCGTATCCAAACTTCTCGTTTTCTGGATAGGAATCCTGATCAGGCTGGGTCACATCAATCTCCAGATCCGCGGATTGCATGACCGTCCCACCGGTGGCGTACAAAAATTAAGTGATTCATTCGGATTTTAGCGAATCTATGACCTAAAATTTTGCATAAAATTTTAGAAATCGTAATTTTAGACTGCCTAAATGACAAATAAAAATTTTGGGATCACATAAAAAAGCCACCTTTGGCTGATTGCGCGCATAACTCGATTTAAAATTATATTATTCATGAATTAACTTATTTTGTAGCCATTTCGATTAGAAACATCAAAAAGAAATGAATTTTATTTATTCTTTCCAATAATTCTAGGAGAGATCCGTCGAAGAAGCATTCTTCCTGATTTCGCTCGAGATTTGCGTAATTATTTTGTAGAAATAAAATTTTATACGATGAAATGTGTGCACAGAATACTGATTTTCGAAAACAATGCAATTTTACCCGTATAATTATAGTCAACAACATAAAACAAAGAAAGATTCAATTCTTGGTCATGAAAGAGCCAATTGGGATGATTTTGGGACGATTTTGGCGACTAAATTCCGTCGTTTTTCGATGTTTCCTGGGTCTTTTCTACAATAAAAGCACGATCAAATGGTGCTTAAATCAACTTACAATGCTCCGACAAGCATCATAGACATTGGAGCAAGCGCAGAGCATGGTGGGGATGATGAATAACCCATGAATTACACCCAGGGAGACCACCAAAACCATCGTTTTCACGAAAACCTCGCTCATATAAGTGTCCACAAACCGCAAACACATCACGAAGAAGATGGTGCTGAGGCCACACTGGATCAGCGGGTACCCGATCGAGACCAATGAATGGAAAATCCTCTGCTGCGGCGACAGACAGCGATGATCTTCGCCCATCCGGTAGTAATGGTAGGTGATGTGGGCGGGGAAGTCGACCGAGAAACCAATCGACATGATCGTGGTGGCCATCGAGATGGGATCCAAGTCCAAGCCCCAATAAAACATGGACCCAAACACCCCCAAACAGATGGAAACGATCGACAGAGTGGCGACGGAGAGCGAGAAAAGATGGTGCATGAACAACAGACACACAACGATCATGCAAATCAGCGTGCAGATTGAGGATTGGATAGTCACGGGGACTAGGGTCTGGATCTGGTCCAAGAAGGGAGCGTCATCCACCCAAACCGAGGCGGAAAACTCGGGAAATTCGTCGACAATGGAGCGCCATTGATTCAGAAGAACGGCACGGTACTCCCACGCCACCAATTCTTTGCCATGGAACCCCATTATCACCATAAATTTGGACAAATCACTGAAATTTATAATGTTTTAGAAGGCAAATGCACAGTGCGAGTTTCCTTGTTTACAATTTGCACTGTGCAAAAAAAGTTGATTCTTCAAAGTGCACAGTGCATCCACAAATTATAGCTCCGTCGCACGGTGCAAACAACAACATTCCCTTCTGCACTGTGCATTCGAAATCCTCGGCTCTCTTTTTTCTCTCCTCGAAACGGCCACAAATAAAGGCAGCCGTTTGAAGTCTACTCGGAAAAATTTCGCACAGTGCAATGAGTGGGTGATTTCACGGTGCATTCGTAGTTTTTTTCCGCACAGTGCGTTCCTTACCCAGTTTCATTGTCAAATCTGAGAAATCCGCCCCAATGGTGATATTCAGGCCAGTTCAGGAAGGCATCCAGATGATGCCTATCGTATCTGAGACTGTGATCCGAAACTTCTTGCTCTTCTTCTTCCGTTTCTTCGGCAGCCGTCTCCTAAAACATCGAGTAAATTACAAAAAAATTGACAAAAAATCTAAGGTGCAAATGGATTATTGGACCCACCATAAATCTATCATAATCTCTGAGCCAAAAATGCGAGAATTCCGCGCCCAAACTATGTTTTTCCCCTTCAAATCGTCGAATCATCTCCCGGATTCGCGCATTTCTAATCGGATCCTCCAGATTTGTCGCATTATTGATAAACAAAGTCATCGGGGAGTAACTCTGTTGAATATATTCGTCTCTCAACATGTTCATCTAAAATAATTTGCATATTTGAATGTTTTTTGGATTCAATTCTGATCGGCTGCTTATAACATAAAAAGTTATTTGTAACTCACATCATTGATAACAGAATCAGCCAAAAACAATTTTTTGGGGGTAATCCGAGGAGTAATCGAGAGGGTTCCATTCAGACTTGTCAACCAGTAAACAATCAAAATAAGGAGTACTAAGACCGAGGTAAAACTATTCGAGATCCAGGCACAGTAACTCGACATAAAGGTGAGGAGCTAAAAATGAGATTTTTAGATTTTTTGGATACAAATGACATTATTTTTGACATTAAAAAATTATCCAAAATTTTTTTTGACATTAAAAAAATTATCCAAAAAATTATTGAATAAAATCCTAATAAAATACGAATAAAAAGTCTCAAAATTAAGTACCTTTTCCCTCAGCCAACGCCTCAGTCTGTTGTGATCTCTCGTTTTCCTCTGATCCATCGCCTCCTCATCGCTCATTTCAAATTTCCCCACCAACGCGATGACCGGACCATACATAAACAGCTGATAAATGTAGTCAAAAAAGATGGCCATAGTATTTCCAGCACAAAACAGACGAATTTCGGGGGTCGGAGCAAACGTTCCAACTCCGAAAGCGAGGATATTGGTCAGGGAAGTGATAGTAATCGCGGGGCCAACATCGACCATAACTTCGGCAATGCGATCTCTCAACGAATCACCCAAGAGGACATTGCGAGGGGCCAACGACCTCTTTTTAGATTGTTTCGAACAGATCCGTTGCCAGGAATGGATCATCAAATAGGCGTCGTCGACACCTAAAATCATACAATTTTGGACATGGTTAATATAAAAAATCGGTAAAAAAATAAATGTCATAAATTAAAAGGATTCAAAAACACGTTTTAAAATATTATTTTGTCTATTTTCAGCAATACAAATCCTAAAATCACCATAAAACGGAATGCCAAAAATGGCGCGAAATCAAAAATTCAATTTTTTTTTACGTTTTTAGGCTGAAAAAATAATGCACATGAAACATTGAGTATTTTAAAGCACTTTTGGATGATTCAAAAATTTTTGCTTACCGATAGCCATGACCAAAAATGGAGTTACGGCCAAAATTGTTCCGAACCTAACTCTGAACCAAAACAAAAATCCCAGAGCACTGGACGTAGCCAACAATGGACAAATGCACCCCATGATTGCCAACGATAACTTGTGTTTTGTCCATTGGTTATAATAAAATGCACTGAAGAAGACAGAGATGATGGAAAAGGTGACCATGATGGCAAAACCGACAGACAAGTAGGGGAAAAGGGTCATTCCCGTACGGATTATCTCATCTCTGGCCAAGGTGACGGTCAGGGCGAGAGGACGGATGGAACGACCATTGTACTGTCTAAAATACGAGGGTTTCATAAAAAAATTTTTTTGGGCCTAGATGTTAAAAAAATTTGTCTTGGAAATGTGGCCAAGGAAACTTCGAATTTGATATTTCTTGTACAAATGGGCCTACCATTTTGTGATAAAAGTTGCACGGCATACTGTATTTTCAAAAATCTTATTTTTTCAATTTTTATTTTTTAAGCTTTTTTTAATTTTTTAATAATTATTTTCAATTTGACACAAATGCCGACTTCCGGTTACAAAAATGTACCTTGAGGTCTGCTTTTGCGACGCCCATTTCTCAAGGTTCCTTCCGCTTCCATTTAAGGTCAATTACAAGACTTTACAACTTGAGAATTGGGGGAGTAATTCAGCGAGTAATGATGAAGGAATCGCTGAATTCTCAAACATTACGGCTTCATCCTTGACAAAATTTTCATTTTTATTTTCTAGAGATTCTAAAGGAATTAAAAAGATACGAAACATTTTTAAAAAGTAGCACTGCATTTGAAAAAATGTTTTTTTAAAACTTTTTCAAATTTTTTTCGCCTAAAATCCCAATTTTTTCAAAAGTTCCTAAAATGAACTTTTTGCCTCCGGAAATGGGTTTGATCGATGACTTGTCGACGGAAAGTCGGCGATTGCAGGGAAACGCCTGCGGAAATGTTTGCAAAAAATAAACAATCTCTGATTTATGGGATCCCCGCAGGCGATTTTTGCTTCTAGAATTTTGGAAAAGCGGCAAAATCAAAAAAAAAAAAAATTTTTGAAAGAAATTTTACCTAAAAGTATTGTAAGACTTACTTGTTGACAAAATCGGTGATTTGCCGCTCGTATTCGACTACATCATTTTTGCTCGCATTACTCGGCTTATCGGCTCTCAACTGCACCAAAATCAGCTTCAAGTTCTTGATATTTGTAGGCGATCCCGCGGTCATTTGATCCACCAAATTTTCGAATTTTTCGACGCCGAAAAAGTTGGGCGATAAGTCCAATTGCTTGCCCAGAATGGACATAAAAGGGAAGTTCAGTTCGAGGCGATCGTCCGAGGTGTCCACGGCTGTCTGGTTCGATTTATTCAGCTCATCGTTCAGGATTATTCCATTCTGAAAAAACGAGAGAAATCCCGTCATGTTGTGGAAGATAACTGGGGAAATTTGAAAAATTTAAAGGGCGCAAAAATTGCGATTTGGTAGAAATAGTCTACCCTATACATAAAATCATTTTGTTTTAAATTTCGAACCTAAGATCTCGGCGGTTTCTGCAAACCGCAAGCCGAAATTTTCACATCTCCCAATCAGAAAATTGTAATTCTAAATTCAAGTCAAGTGTCATCGATATTCGTAAATTTTTTAAACATACTCTGAACTGCCTAATTGGCTCATTCATTTCGCAAAAATCGGTGCAAAACTTGTAGAAAGGTCGGCCAGTCAGTTTGAAATGGGCCCCAATGTAATCGACCAGTTCCATGGTCTCGTTTAATTCCGAAGCTCCAATCATACTCCCATTTGGATACTTGGGCGTCACGAATATTATAGTATTCAAGGGTTCTCCGCCAATATTATCGTAGAATTTCTCGTAAGCTGCGAATTCATCGTAACTCCGAGCTCCGATGGGCGTGTAGCCGGTCTTGAGGTCATCTTCTTGGTCGGTTAAAGCTACTTTCACTGAGGTAATCAAGGTGAAAATGGAGATTATCTGAAATAGGGTTCATTATTTAGTCATCAAAAATGTTTACTGCAATTAGTAATGGGAATGCTTTCTGATTTAATCAAACTTGGCTCTGATAGGTTCTATAGTATCATTTTTAATCTTTTACCGCCAAACATGGCAATTGAAGGTTACACAAACTTTTTTTGAACTTTTAAAAGTTTGACCTAAATTGTTTTGCAAAAAGCGATATAAAATTCTCTCAGATTTTTCTAAGTTTGCGCCCAACTTCAATTAAAATTGGTAAGCATTTTCCGTGAAGATTTCTACAAAAAATGCTTACAATTAGAGTTGTGACTGGATAATCAGCCACAAGATGGCCAATTTTCCTGAACATCTTGTCGGACATCTGATTCACACAAGTCCCGGAGAGTTTTACATTCTTTTCCGAGGTCAGATCAGCGTCCGAAGTGGTGGGAGTGGACTCTTCCGAGGAGGTGACCGAGATTGTCGTCACTCCGAACCCATTTTCCATGGATTGCACCATGATCTTTGGGAGAAACGAAGCACTATCGGTTATGGTAGCTCTTGATCTGGTGTTTGGGAGATCTGAAAAGAGTTCAAGTCAAATTTTAAGATCATAAAAGTTGAAAATTATATTATCCATGGCACCAAATTCGAAAAAATAGTTACTAATAAAAGAAAAATTGTTCTATTATATACCAACGGGCTGTACCATGGCAAAAACTGTTTACAATTTTTCTATCTACTTCCTTTTGATTGCGCAACAACCAAAAGTCGGAAAAGTTCATATTCTTTTCAATTTTTGCGTAAAATCAGCGGGAAATCGAGAGTTTTGGAGGCACAAAGCACAGTAGAGCAACTACAGTCACAGTTTCTTGGGCGGGAATTACTTAAAAGTTCAGATTTTTGGGTTGCCGGACACTGCAGGACAAAGCTCGACTGTAAAACACAAGACACAAGTATTTGTAGGAAGCTTTAAAACCACACGTACAAAATTTAGGACACTCTTGGAAAGATGTGCAAAAAGTAGAGTTGATATTAAAAAATAATCATATGAATTTGGTGACTTCGAGGGGAAAAATTGCACTTCCCTTATGGGTAGTTACCCATTGTTACATAAAATCCAGATTCCCAACAAACAAACGACCATGCTCCTCCGGCGGCGAGTCTTAGAGCTCGATGACGGCGGATTACCCGCCCATTCCGAGCGATGTCATTTGATGCCCGTCTTTCCGGTCATTTCCGCCAATTAATCGAAATATTTCACTCTCCCCAAGGTCCCTTATAAGGGCCCCTTCTTTGTTTGAGATTTTCAATTTGTCGGGATGTCAAAAATCTCATCTTTTGGAATAAAAAACGCGACAGAAGGGGGGATTGTGACATAAAGCCGATTTCCGCAAAGACCGGTTTTTCAGGACTTTCTGGAAGGCAACCGAATATTCCCCATTCCAATTACTTTTCACTTTCAACAAAGTAATCATTCCCTCCGGCGATTAATATGTTTCCATCGCCCTACAAGGCATGTTTCACCAATAAAAAGTCATAAAATTGTACAAAAAATTTTTTTTTGGGAAAGAAAAACTTGGCGCCTATAAATATGACCTCAATCGCGTCGACTTTCAGACGTTTTTTATTACAATTTTTAATCGGATCATTCCAAAAAAACGTATTTGAAATTAAAATGCGCGGCCCAAAAATGGGAAAGAACTTGATTCGGAAAGAGTTTCGAATCATTTTAAAGTTGAAAACATAACAAAAAACAAAGTTATGGGGCTGAAAATGGAGGGAATGGAATCATGTCACATTACTCTGAGTTGACATTTTTAGGACGTCATTTACCTGGTGGGATCAAGCAATAGGAAAAAGTTTATTTTTTCGCACAATGTGAGCTCGGCAATGGTGTCTTTTCTCTGCCCGCCGCTCTCTATTTGTCATAGTCTTTTCAACAAAAATCATGTTTGAAAATCTCAGCTATGTTTCCTGAGTATGTACAGCTGAAATTTTCAGTATATGAAGTAGTACCTATAGTATCTGTGAAAAATTTATAGATGATCCGATAATAAATTCTTCAAAATTTCATGAAATTCAGAAGAAAGTCCCCCATGACCAGTCTCAGAATTAAATAAAGACATAGTAATCAAAGACAGAAAATCCTTGCCCTTTTGGAGGTAAAGCCAGCAAGCATACCAAACCCCCTAAAAGATGCGGTTTACCTTTCCGATCACAAAACTCCGAATATTTTTTTTGGAGGCGATTGTTTGGAGAAGAGCCGTGAATGGGATGGCTGTGACGTCACAATGCCATCTTTCAACGCCTTCTCCAAGTCGGTCACTTATCATTGCCGGAAACGGTTCAAAACGCCCGTTAATTAACAGCGACCTTGATTCGGAGAATTTTTTTTTGAAATTTTTAAAAACCCGTTGATTTATGTAACAAAAAGAGAGATGGAGATGGTTACACGCTTACAATTGTGATGAAGAGATGTCTCGTTTGCAGTAGCGACATACACTTTTCTCGCGAGATTCGAGCGAAGTCGGCGATTAAATTATCAGAACTTGGTGGTCTGAATTTGTAGTATTGGAACTAATTCCTCTTAATTTTGCGTAAAATGATGACGTCATCTGTTTGATCTCTGTTGATTTGGGTGTTCATTGCAATATGGGATCGATTTGCAGTCGCTTCTTGGGATATCTTTTGGGTCATCGATTTGGCTTCCGATATTGTGATGCCAGAAGAGTTATGTTGACTGTTGGCTTAGGCTAGTTACTTAGATTTATTAACTAAATATTATTAGTAACAAGGCACGTACAACGGTTTGTTTGCGCAGTCAGAGAGACAGGCGAAACCGCCCGGCGTTCCTCCTTAGGTTCTCTTTTCATCCTATCCTCAATCTTGCCAGATCGAGGTGGCCGGAGCTTAGGCTAGGAATTACAAGGGCAAATACTAGTCGCGCCATAAAGTCCGTAGAATTTTTTTCGCCGACGTCGCGGGTGCAATCGCCGAAAAGTGCATGTCGCTAGTGCAAAAACGGGGAATCGTCGCGGTGCGTGCGAAAAAAAGGGTTGAATGCACTGTGCAAAATTCTACGGTCTTTATGTCGCGCCTAGTAGGATAATTCCGTTATCTTCCCCAGATCTCGAAATTTTCGTATTCTTTTCCCGTCTACAAAGGATCCAACGCCTTGCAAAGCTGGGTTGAAACATTTATTTATTTTTTTTCAAAATTAAATTCAACTGTTTGCAATCTTTTCTGGCGTCTTTAGTAGAACCGTGGCCGCTCAGGAGACGTTTGGACCACCGCCGAGTCTCGAAGCGATCAGATTGACAGCATTGGCATACCGTCGCAAGCCGTTGAAATGTGAATAATGGGGACAATTTGGACAATCGGTTGGATAATGGGCATGTAGGAAGCAGCCGAGAAGTGTCGAGGACCGCTCGAGCTAGAATAATCGCCGGTGATAGAAGATCCGATTCGTATTTATTTACTGGTATTGTATTCGGATTTGAGGCGGATAACTCGTGTGTTATTTGTTATTGGGATTTGTTGAGTTTTAGAAAAGGTCTAAGGAAGTTGTTCCGGACCACTTGTAGAGAAGAAGCGGTACCTGATCGTGTGAGAGAAGGACCGAGAATTCCTAGTCTTTTAAGAATACAAAGCTCACACCTAGGAATAGTTTAATCACTGATTAAGGAAGAATGGGAAGGGCACGTTAAGTAGTGTGATAAGACGTCTTTTGTATTTGTTTTTTTCATTGGAAACTCTTGATAACAATGCTAACAAGATGACTCATCTAGAATTAACTAGAACTCAATTTCAGGGTGTTTACTCATGCCACAAACAAAGTTTTTGTGAAATTTGTTTGTTTTCAATGTATTTTTCAGAGTAATCGATAAAACCGCAAGTTGTTGGTCACAACGACCAAGTTGGAAAGTAATGAAAAGTACCGGCCGCGCCTTGCAATCCCGGCTTTTTTGTGACTACGATTTAAAATCAGAGTAAGCCTTTAAAAGCAAACTAAGCGGCTTAGAGCATCAAACAAAACGACACCCACCTTCGTCAACACATTTACTCTCAATTACAAGGTTAACAACAGCGCTGCTAACAAGCAGAACACATTAATAAAGGCCATGACTGCACTTTTCGGGGTGGTGGCCACCGGATCAGGACGGACCTTAGCCTTATCGTCAACAAACTTCACATCGCTATCTAGCTCTTTTCGGGCTCCCAAAGCAATCTTGGGCTGGGTTAAAGGATCTGCCGAGATTTGAATACAGTAATCTCTCAAGAAACTCCTTCCAAGGATTGCGTGTTCTTTCTCGTGAGACTTTACAAGCACTATAACTTCCTCACGGTACGTATCGGTGGAGGAATAATGTTTGAAGTGATCCGGGTTCACAGGATATTCCTTGTTGTCAATCTTCACAGTGAACGAGGGAACATCTTTCTCTTCCTGGATCTTGGCATAGAACTGATCGTAGACCGCCTTTGGAAGGTAGGTCTGGCCATCAAAGGAGAATGTAAACTCATTAATCTTGGTATCGTTTCCATTGATTATCAAGCTGGAAATAGAGCGATATTTGAGAAAGCCAAGGTTTATAAATGGAAATAATAATGTCCGAATTTACTGCTTGATGTCGAATATCAGCAAAACTTACCTTCCTTGGACAGTCCATCCTTTTTTGGCCACGGTATTCACAGCTGGGTTAAGAGCGTCACAGCCTTCGAGTTCATCGTTGTTAGCAATAAGCGTACCTTTAGGGTTTACCAATTTCTTGTCATGCTAAAATAATAATTTTAATAGTACTACATAAGACGGTTTAGGACCATAAAAAGATCCCCTTACCAGCTGCTGCTCAAACGGTCCTCGTCGAATCAGCAATTTCTTGCTTTTGGTTAAGATATCATTCAGAATTGTATTCTCGTCAATCTTTTCGGTGAAGCTGAGACCAAGAACTCCTTCCGAAGCCAAGGTCAAGATTTGCGGGGGTTCTGGAGTCTTCTCTACGACTGGCAAAATATAGTTGCTCTTGCCCTCGAAAAGTTCCGATTTGAGGAAACCTTTGTAATTCTTCCCAATCAGCTGTATCTCTTTGTACTGAAATTAGTAGGCAATAATTACAGGCTTGAGTGATCGTAGCGTGTTCATATTAAATCTTACAATTTGTGGAGCTGTGATATTCAAGACTGAATCCTCGACACCGTTGTAGGCCCTGAAAGAAGAAATGAGAAGATTCTCAAAAAATCCGTCTATGATAAACTTGTACTACACTTACGTGGGATCGTATGTTTGCTTGTGCTCGAATGTGTAGTTCTTGAAAGCGGGACCGAGGAAGAAGTAATTCGCGTATTCAAGTCTCAGCTCAACCTCATGCGCGTCAGTGTTATCGTTTTTAAACTTGACTGCCACAAGTGGGATATCTGCAAAGATCGCATCAATTTCGACAAGTATATACATTTCTTCTCTTATTGAAATCATATCAAAACATCTTGAAATGGTGTGGCAATATGACCGGACTAAAAGTATGGTTCGGAATGAATTTCCAATGTTTTTTCAGGCATAGGACATTTTTGCGGCTTTGTTTTGAACCTTCGGACCAGACGTTATCAAGGACCAGAGCCATCCCTGACAAAACAGAAGCCTTATCATATCTTCTATAGGATCCATTGCAACGTCTCTTCAGAGCCAGTAGATTCCCACCACTTACCCCCAGAATATTCCGTTCCCACCTCTGCGCGGATTAAGATGACATTGCACAAGAACAACGAAAGAACGAGTTGTCTCATCACTGCTTACAAACTGATTGCCCAAGAATGTATAAGGCATTATTTATAAGAAGGACTCGCCTCTTCCATTTTTGAGATAAGAAATCATTTTCCTGATGAAATCGACATTAACAAAGGAGCTTAAGTTGCAATGTCAACATCGAATTTAGATCGCTGAAGCGTATTTGAAACGATAATGAGGCATTTCGTATTCGTTTACGCGATAAAGTCTCAGATGTCAAAGTAAAATTCTATTCAAAAAGTAAAAAAAAAAGATTTTGTAAAATCATGATCAAGTATACCAAAAAGGGAGTGCCGATCGTCTTATTTGCATCATTCGTTTAGCATTGATCTGACTGGTTAAGCTCGAGGTTAGTCATGGCTCTGAGTAATTGCCTCACCTTCTTTGCACTTTAATCCACTAGTCGACAATACCAAATGCGACATATTCGCGTCATCCATGGCTCTTGGTCCCGCAACGAAAACATTCCAAATTAAAAAATTCCAATCTCTGATGACCCAAAGTACATAATATAGAGCGCTAAGAAGATTGCGACTTTCTTATTACGTTACTTTATTACGTAGAGAATAGATAAAACAAAATATTTATAAAGTAATATTGTACTAGAGAGTTCATAAAAGAGTCTTCTCGTCGTTGTGATTATTGTTGAGATGTCCAGAAAGTGTTCTCGACTTTTGCTTCTTTCTCCATTTCCGTCTGCTCCGATTACTCCAAATCCGCTGGTTGAGATCGCTGAAGAATTTATTATATTATACTAGACATCAAGGCCAATACAAATTTTTGTGATCTTTTTTTTTGTAAAAGGTATACGACTGATGTAGTAGACAACTTTTCGACCACTTTTATTTACTATAGCACTACTTCTCAACTATTTTACACCGCTTTATACAATCTTCTGCAAAAGCAGTAAGGTATACAAACAGCGGTCGGTTGTTTTCGCAACTGCTTAAGAAGTCTCCGATTTCCGTAAAAATATCCTTCTTTTGCCTTCGGCCGCCTCCGCAGGCGATGTAAGTCGAATTGATGAATTGGGCTAACTATTAAATTTGACAGGGTCTGATTAATTTTGAGGAAAACAATTGGCCCAGAGACAAATGCTGATTGGATAGCGATGTCATTCTAAACAAGTACAAGTAGCAATAAATGTGTCTGTAGTCTGGAACTTCAATTCATGCTGTTTTTTATTGCTGATTTTCAAGGAGAATATAAAAGATAAGAAGAACAATAAATTTCACAAATTTTGCTACAAATATGAGAGGCAACAAATAAATACATGCCTGCTTGATGAGCGAGCTCAAAACAGACTGTGTACTACCTCTTAGCTTCAAAAAATCCGTAATCCGAAAATGATGCCTGTAACCATTAAGTAAATTCTCCATTTTTTTGAAAACTTATCAAAGCAAAAACATGACAAAAAAAATTAAGCTTCTTGTCACCCATTCCACTCTATTCTGTAATCGACGACGAATTTTCTGAACATTTTTTTAATTTGCTCGATTTTCAGATTTTTTCGTATAAAATGTCGCCTTGTCGGATTTTTGGCTTATTCGACTAACCTTCAAGTTCCAAAATGTTCGAGTTTTAACTAATTGGCGCTTAAACAGTACAAAGTCTAACCATTTCCTTTTATGGCGCCATTCGAGCCCCATATGGAGAGGTTGGGATTAGATATGGCCTCGGGGGTTGTGTCCTTCTATAACCTCCTTTACGCCTCAAACTGCTTTTAGGAAGTCGAGTTATTGTTCCTAACATCAGCCACAACTACATGATGCTGAGTAACCTTATATTATTTCGAATGCACCGAGGCCATCTTCGCCCCGAGGGCCTAAAACAAATGCCATAAAAGTTTTAATGACATTCCCGAATGGACGGGGATGAAACTGTTTGCTAAGACGCGATTTTTCGAGATAAATTGAAGGACTACTTATGTACTTCGAAGAACGTCTTCTGATTTACAAAATGGGTAAAATCTGACCATTTTCTGGATTTTCAAAAACTATGAGAATTTCAAATATTTTTCAAATTTTTGCGTCGTAATCCTTAAAAAATGTTTGAACTAGCTTTTGATCTTCGAGCAACCCACCTTAAACAGTACTGGGTCCCCCATATAAGCGGCCGAACCGCCGCGGCCGTAGAAGCCGGGCCGGAAGTTGCCGCGTCCCGACACCAACGACCCGCCCGACGGCGCCAGACTGATCCACTTGGCGTTGCGGCGGAAGTAGTAGCTGTCCATGTCGTCCGCCTTGCCCGACTGCACCACCAACAACATGAACAGGGCGAGGATTACGGTAGACAACGGCGACATTTGCAATTGGACCGGCTTGGGCGCCTCGAGAGAATAAAGTGCGACCGTCGAGCGACGTCCTCGCCGCTCGTGCCCTCGGGGGCTTTGTTTCACTCGCGCCGCCCCCTTTCATGCCCTTAGGGCCCACAATTGACAATCACCATAAAAATAGACAAATGGCCACAAATTCGCCCCGCAGCGTAATCAATGAGCCCATTCTTTATTTTTGGGTTAATTTTTGATTAAATCAAAAGATTGCCGCAGGGCAAAAAGTTAATTTAAATTTTATAACCCCAACACCCCCTACTTTTTATAGCCCGGAGGGCATTACGTTTCGGTGAAATCATCGGGGAAATGACCACAACGTTACGCAATCTTCACGGAAATCAACATAGACGTTGTAAACACAATAACACGTAAACTATCTGTCGGGAAAATAATGTGTCGCGCCTTGAAATCGTTCATCATCCGTTTGCGACGGCTTGCCGCGGTTAGAGATTTGGTATGCAACCAGGCGAGACATTTTGCTGCTCTAAATCCACGTTATTTTCCCGACCGACTAATAAAATTAGAAACAATTTTTGGAAAAGAACCAGAATAAACACAAAAGTAGTAATAATTTCTCCAATCAATTTCATATTTTCGTTTGTATGAAGTTCTATGACCATTTATCTTACAATAATCGGCACCAATCATCCCCGTATAAGTAATATCTATATCTCAAACACTAATCGAACTTATTGTTTCTCCGCAATTCTCTATTTCTTCCATAATATTCCAAATCAAAGTGCAATCGCAAGTTGTAGTCTTGATTTGATTTCCTGACCCTCAGGCGATAATCTGACCTTTCGTATGACTCAATAATTCCCGCGATTTTTTAGTCATCATCCATGTCTCATACTTGGAATTTGAAACCAATTCTTGATCTCAAACGGGTCCCTTATAAGAGCATGCCAGATTTGAATCAAATCATATTAGTTCCCTTTTTTATCAACCATGGTAAGTCTTATTTGCCGGATTTTTTACATTACTGTGTGAATTACAATATATTAGGTTGGACGGAAAGTTCGTACGATTTGCTACCCAACTTTGAAATTAATTTTTTTTGCGCCACGACCGACTGTCTACCGTAGATACCTAGTATATACAAGAGTACAGCGTGCAGATTTATGTGATATGTGCCAGTCGTTAGTTCGGCCAAAACGAACATAATTATAAGAGGTTCTCCGCTTTGGGGTAGTTTCGGGTGGGGTGCGGAATGCAAGCTCTAGTTTCCAAACCGTTTTTGCTGAAGCTCTGAAACTTTTTAGGCTATTTCTAGTGGTCCATCCAACTACGTTAACCACAGTTAAAACTCTTAAAAAAGTCTGTGGGATAAAATAATAGCTATTGTTTCAACCAAATCTTCAAAAAACGCCCCGCTTGAAAAAGTTTTTTTATTACTCCACGCATTGCTGATGGTCCGTCCGTATAACAGGGTTCAGTGAGGCACACGGGTAGCCCTTTACGTGCTACATGAGTAACCCGGATCATAGACGCTTCGGATTTGGCGTAAAGAGGCAAAATTGCCAAAAATATATAGCTCTAGAGAAACGCGTGTGATTTGCTGACAATTAACAATGGTTACCCATTGCTTCATAAAGTAGTAGAACGATACAGAGGCTCCATTTTCCACCCTAGAAAAGCAGGATTAGAAAGCTGCTTTGAGCTGTTTTTTGAATTTTACGAATTGCTCCGATAGTTCACAAGCGAGTTTTTGAAAAATAAATCATTGAGTTCTGTCATGTTACGCAGTAAAACAATTGGCTAAGGACGGGTACCTAAGTGTAAGGCAGTGTCTTTAGTTTTGACATATCATAGTTAGACCCATAGGAATGCATCGGCAAGCGACTGTTGTAAATCATATTCAAACTTGGTGGGTCTTGCTAAAGCCAAGTTTTCTGGCTGTGTTTTGATTTAATCCCCGACTACTTCACGCATATTAAGAGCATCAAAAGGAAGCTTTTTAGCAGTGCTAAAGCAGTTTCTTATTATGCCTTGTTAAACAAACCAGCCAAAGGATCTCTACTTGTAGACCAAAGATGGGTAAATGTCTAAATTAAGTTCTCTCTTCGTACATGCTTAAGATGGCTGAGGGTTGTAGTGCCAGATAGGGATGCCTGTCCCCTACCAATACCATATATTTGTGGTTGTCTTTTTCTATCAGCGCAAGAAAAAATAGCAGCAGTAAAAAATCGTACGAACTTTCCGTCCAACCTAATAAAATTGCTTCAGGTCTCCCAATTGGTTGTCATCTCCCTTATTGTTGTCGTCAGTGGAGTCTTGGCGGGGTAAGTGGGCTAAGATTAGAAGTTAGCATCCATTGCCTGACGAATAACATACAAAAGTACTATGGATGATATATTTTTCTGGTTTTCTCTAATGAATATAACAAAATCGTTTTAATAAAACCTCATCTGGCTGTTCTAGACCCCCCGTCTACCCCTACGGACAAGGCCAACAGTACCCTCAGCAACAACAGTATCCCCCTCAACAGCAGTACCCTCCGCAACAGCAGTATCCCCCTCAACAACAATATCCCCAGAACCAATATCCCCAACAACCTCAGCAGCCCGCCTATGGCAACCCTCCTCCCCCACAACAGGGATACCCCCAGGGCTATAACGGAGGCAACGGATACGGTGGCTACAACAAACCGCCAGTCTATCCCCAAGGCCAGGATGGTGGATACAATGGAGCTCCTCAGAACCCCCCTTATGGAGGAAATGGTGGAGGAATCTATGATCCCGTGACCCCACCACCAGGAGATGACTGCTAAACGTATTTACTGACACTTTTCCAGCATTTATTGATTGATTGACATCACTTTTTTGGGAGGAAATTAAATTTTTTTTCTTTTTGTGATGGATAAAGAAACTTTTCTATTACAGTTGACTGTAATAGAAAAGAGTGGTAAAGATGTAAGACCAAAGGTTTTGTCTGTTCTTCGAAGCTTATCGAATTTTCTGTGATTGCACAACCTGAAACGCGTTTCGGCAGAGAGGATTCCAGAAAATGCGTCATTGTGACTAATAAAATATGCGACAAAAGAGTAGAAGGTTGGGATATCTGTTTACGAAGTCTCTATAATCTATAAGACATCATAATCAGCTAGAATATTCCTGGTGTTGCCGGGTATTTCAACCGCCGATGACGTATTTTTTGGACGCGTTTTTTCTGCTCCTTCGCACCGATAAAAAAACAAATCTCTCTGTCCATTCGGGCACTCATTCGATCTTCCATCAACCCTTCGACCTAGTCGAGCCTCGCTAACGTTCTTATTTGGACCCTAACTTACTATTTTAAGTGATTTTTACTATTATGGCCCCGAATCCACAGCGCATGTATTCTTCATTCACCATGCCAATCGACCCATGGCCTCAGCAGATGAACGATTACAAGAAAGGAGAGGAAGTTGGTTCTGGAAACTTTGCTACCGTATATCGGGGTAGTCTGGCTTCGGATCCTAGCAAGAAATGCGCTCTCAAAGTTATCAAGGTGGGTGAATCTATGAAACTCGATGCTTTCGTGACACATACGCGACTTTTTCTCAGGTTTTTTTTAACGAACTGACAATTGGCGACCTATTTGTGCATCTGACAAGGAAAGTACTTTTATGGGGGCTCCTACTTTTTGACGGGACATATCTCAAAAAATCAGAAAAAATGCGCTGATCAAGGATATATAAATCTTAGCTGCCCATTTTAGGTTTTTAGGGGTGAAAACTCAATCGGAAGTTGGTTTAAAGTCCTATATAAACCCCTTTTCGCTTAATTTTTCACAGGTTTACAATTTTTATTTTGGCTTAAAATGGTGTTTATTGAGTTTCTAAGACGTAATAAGTCAGCCTTGGCCCAAAAATTTATTTTTACGACCTTCAACTTCAAAAACAGTTTATTCAGCCCAAAAGGGAAATCGAACCCGTCCGGCGTCCCCCTCTTGATTCCCAGACTACGGCACTAACCACTCGGCCACACCGCTCTCTTCCGAAGGAAGAGACCGACTCACGGCAACCCGAAGTGTTTCCTGGCTCCTTTCGACACTTCGCCCATTTTGTATCGGTTGAAATCAAACAAAATGTCACAAAAGAATTTTTCGTGGGATTTTCCGACCGAAAAATATTTTTCTCGGAATTATTTTATTTCTTTTGTCAATTTTGACACTTCGTTTGGACGAAACTCAAAACTGGGCGGGAAACATTTTTCTCTATTTCGGGTTGCCGTGCGACTGCGCTTTTTATAGTTTTGAATGCCTGCGCCTTTTGTAGGGAAATTAAGGCAGTTTTTGGGCACTTTCACCCATAAAAACCTAAAATGGGCAGCTAAGATTTAAATATCCTTGATCAGCACATTTTTTCTGATTTTTTGAGATATGCCCCGTCAAAAAGTAGGAGCCCCCATAAAAGTACTTTCCTTGTGAGATACTTTTCGAACTAAATTGAAAAATGTGTATTATTTTAGGCATCCAGGTGAAGTGTAATATAAATTTGTGGTATTTTTAGCTCAGCGATATCGATGAAAAGTCCAGAGCTCTTCAGCAACAAGAACTCGGCTTCCTCAGGGACCTCGCCCACAAGAATATTGTCCAAGCGTACACTTCTTTCTTCGTTGATGTAAGTGCAATACGACTACTTGCAAAATATTCTTTGTGTATTTGCAGCTGAAGACATACGTTCTGGTTATGGAGGACATGGGAGATCAGGATTTGGAGGCATATGTCAGACATGAACTCCTCTCCGAATATCGTCTGATCCCCGAATACCGAATCTGGAGATATTTGACTCAGATTGCTGATGCCCTCACCTTTGTTCACAGCAAGAATGTGCTTCATAGAGGTGAGTTTTAACCGAGAGATAAGTAATTCGAAGTGCTTGGCTTAGCAGAGAAAAAGATCTGCATGTTACGCTATTTCAGTCAAGGATGATGAAAAGTGTTTTGAAGGAGTTTTTTTATTACTTATTTCGTATGTTATTGTAGATCTGAAAACCTCCAATATCCTCAAGTCCGGATCTCTGATCAAGGTGGGCGACTTTGGACTGAGCAAACGGGTCAAGCCCGGAGGAAAGTACACTGAAAGATGTGGAACACCCTTCTACCTCGCTCCAGAACGCATGGGAAAAAAGGCTTATGGATTCCCATCAGATGTGTGGAGTTTGGGTTGTATTTTCTATGAAGTAAGTGGATTACTCTAGAATGTCGATTTCTACTTAATTTATCCTTTTCCCGATCAAGTTTGCCTTACGTTTCCAACATTATTGGGCAAAGTTGTTATCTTTCGTTTAGTATAATATAAATTTTTCAGATGTGCACTGGGGTGTCTCCCTACTTTGGTGAACGGTCCAACGAGTACAGTCTGAGAACCAAAATCGTCCATTCCGATTGCCCACCCATCTCCGAAGATTGTTACAGCTTTTTTGTGGAGGATTTGATTGCCTCCATGCTCCAAAAGGACCCCGCTTATCGCCCAGATGCCGCGTTTGTCGCCGCTTACGCCCGCAAGATTGACAATTACTACAGAACCAAGTTCCCAGATCTTCCCGACATCTAAATATATCCAATATCAGCAACGATTATCAACTTTCACTTCATACGTTCTAACCTCCAAAATATTGTTGTTTTTTCATTACAATAGTTACTCATAATAATGTCGTCCTTAATAAATTGCGCTTATACAGGTTTATTGACTTTGGTATGTTAACATCAGTATGTACAAACAGAATAACAAACGTTTATATTATGTTGTAGTAGACATCTAATCTATTTGAAGAACCGTTTCCGATATGTCCCTGGGGCCGAATCCGGATGAACCGAGCCGAATCCACTGGCCCTGCGAGGACAGGGGCAGTATCCTCCGTCCTTTCCAGTCAGTCCAGGCGCTCCATCTTCGGCCGGTCTACCATCTCGTCCATCTAGACCGGGTTCTCCAATTGGCCCTTCTTCTCCTGGAGGCCCTTGTTCTCCGGGTACAGCATAGTTGCCTTGTCTTCCTGGATGTCCAGGCAAGCCCTGAGGGCCAATAGGACCTGGGGGACCCAGTTGTGGCACCGCCCTGGTCCCATCCAATCCATGGATTCCAGGTCTTCCCGGTGTTCCTCTTTCTCCCTCCGGCCCTGCATCTCCCTCTGGTCCAGGTGGTCCTTGATAGGCATCAATGCCGGGCTGACCTCTCAGGCCGGGATATCCATTTGGTCCGGGCAGTCCCACGGGCCCCGGCAAGCCTGGAGGTCCAGTTCTTCCCGGAGGACATTGGATACAGCCTCCTTTCTTGGGGAAGTCGCCAATCAGCGCTATTCCAGGTGCTCCCGGTCTGCCTTTCTTTCCGTTCTCCCCATCTTCGCCTCTCTCACCCTTCTCTCCGGCTGCGCCAGGTGGTCCTGGAGGGCAGTTGTTCCGCTGGCAAGCACAGCCGGCATTTCTCTTTATCCTCTCCGAAGACGAAGACGATAGAACATACATCCCTTTCCAGGCGTCGTCCGCATTGTTTCGGAATTCAATCATATCACTCATGATGTCGGCGTAGAGCGAGTTCATGTCCTGGTAGATGTAGACCATCGTTGCCAAGTAGGCCAGGATAAAAACCCCGGCCGTGCTCGAGGCGAGCGTCACCAAGAGTTTGGTCATCTGAAAGTTGGGAGTTTGGAATGTTTTAGGGTAAAAGTACGATCCATTACACATTATACGAAAGATTAATTTTTTAAATTGTGTAAAATACAGAGCATAGATAATGAAAAAAGACCTGAAAAGGTCTAAAATCAAGGAATGGGGGAACTGTTGTTGAACAAAAAATCTTTTGGAGCCATTTTTGACCTAAAATAAGATCGGAATTTTATTGCCGCTATTGCAAAATAGGAATACTGTACTACTATAACCGATAAGACCATTTACGTTTACAGATCCAACTGTTTAGTTAGAAATACGATAAGCAATACACCCACGTCATCAGAGAAATAAAAAAGTGAGTCCCTCGAGGGGACTAGGTGTGATGGGGGTGATTTCAGTGGAAGTGAGTCCGAGCCCTCACTTTTATAGCGCGAACACATTCCATTGACGAAAAGAGTGGAAGGAAAGGAGGTCCCATCACCTTCAGCGCCACCGGGTCTGGAATCTCCATTGTCTCAATTTTCACACTGATAATCGCTGATAAAGCGAACAAATTGCGAGCGATTTTGAGAGAGTGGGGGATAACAAGGAGAGGAACGAGAGAAAACGAGAAATTTTATGTCATACATCCTAGAAACGTCATGAATAATACGAAAACTGAATGGACTTTGATATTTTTGTAGTTTCATGTTAACCATGTACAATATTACAATATAAAAAGTGGTTGTTAGCCTAGGGTTTTTCATTAACATGTTCTGTATTCTGAGCAATAAAGTGATAGATGATTTCCATTTATTTCGAATGATTTTACGTTCATTACGCTCATTATCTGGACATTATCCGCTGATTACAATTGCGATCTGCGGTAAAACCCTTTTGATCTCATTTTAAATGGTTAATTGCCACCTTTAAAGGCTACAAATAGACGATAATGAAAACTAGGGGTTCAAATACCTCAATTATGATATTTTCCATATCTCTAATGTTATGTTTCATATAACTTTGTCAAATTTAGTAAGACTTCCGTCCTTTTTCTGCTCCCTCATCGCACTTCCTTGACTCCTGCGATGATAAACGACCCCTCTCCTCAATGTCCAACAGCCTTTTTCTTCGACGGAAATCGTAAATCTTGAGAGTCCAATCGAAGTTTATTTTTATCCGAAGAAAGCCCGCTGGAATCGAAAGACAAAAGAAGGAATTCCAGGAGAGCGGAGTTATTGTTTTTCCACGTTTCCGTTGACGAATCGAATTCCCATCCACTCGCTGTCACTGAGTCATCCGAGAGTGGAGGAAATCTTCGGGAAAATTTGACAATTCGCCGAATGAACTCTGACTTATAAAGAAACAATCTGTCAAAAAATGTCAGAGGAATGATTATTGGGGTTTGAAAAAAGTCATTGAATAGTTTTTATATTAATCTTGGCAAAAAAATTAGTTTTAGAGAAATTCTTGCCCGAAAATTTTGATGATGTATTAGGTCGTCCAGAAAGTTCGTTCGTTTCTTCATTGCTTTGTTTTACAAGGATTGTTTGTTCTTTGGCAAATGGAATATATTTATTTGATACAGCTTTTTCTCATCTACAAAACTGGCTGTATCAAATAAATATACACCCTTTGCCAAACAACAAACAATCCTCGGAAAACAAAGCAATGAAAAAAAACGAACGAACTTTCTGGACGACCTAATAAATAACGAATTAATGTCGAGAATAAGGTTAAACTGCGTTCATAATTTACTGATAGAAATGCAGATTGAAAAGTCATCCATTTTTGTCCGTAAATCTGCAATTTCTTGCAAAAAGAAATAAAAAGGTTTTGATGACTCAAATAAAACAAGTACTTTTACCTGTTTCGCCAAACAGTAGCGATAAGGAACTAATTGTTTTACATGTTTTCCCTCCAAAACTCATCCAAATCCCCATTTTAATCATCAATTTGTCGCTGAGAATGATCCCAAACAAAGCCGCTGAGAGAGTAGCGCCCTTTGAAGTACCCTTTTAAAAGTTTTCATCTGAATTTTGCCGAAACTCATCTTCGGAAGTCATAAAATCACCTTTTTCTTCTCCTTTTGGCGTCTCATTGTCTGATCGCACGTGAAAAAAATGAAATTTCATCGGTGAATTCATCGACGAAATTCGGGGAAAAGCCTCGCTGAACTCTTATGATTACAGAAGATGACGGATTAGCCGGATGTCCGATGGGAAGAATGTTGCTTTAATTTTTGGATGACAAGTATAATATAAGGTCTCTGGGTGAGGGGGGATGATGGATCTGGGGCAGGAGAATGGTTGTTGGACGGTTAGAGGCATAATGGACAAGATCAGAAACTTTTCAAGGCCTTTCCTTCGGCATTCCATTCGAGCAAAAATATAAATTATAATGTGTTGTAATCTACAATCCACATGAATTGTTTGATTCCTGAGGTAATTTCTAAGTCACTTTTGCTTCCTCATATTATTTCATACTTTTTTTCATTCAGTTTCCTTGTTTGCACTATATTATACTGGATGTCAAAAGAAATTTTTTTTTGTCCAAGACAACAAATTAGTTCTCGACTTGTTAAAAAACTTGTCAAGCTTTAGTCTCGACATGTTAAAAAAACCTGTCAAGCTTTGTGGAATTGCCTCCGCGAACTCGCAAATCCCTCGAGTCTCTGACAATGAGGAAGGAATTTGTTTTGGGATTAGCGCTTCACTGATCCTAATCAGGCCCCGTTCCGAAGACGCGAGCGAAAGTGCGAACATCGGGACGTTCCGTGATTTATGTCAAACCAATGTTATTCCAAGCTCGGATCTGGGGGACGTCTATAAAAACAGCAAAAGTGTGGAGCTACCGAAAACAAGATTTACTGATAACTTTTGGAGCGATTTCTGGAAAAAAGAGCCATTTGACAAGGTGATAAATGGGTTGGTGTTTGACGTCTTGTTGTTAGGAAAGCGTGGGCAAAAGGTTGCTAGATTTGTGGCTTAGTGCGGCAATTTGATTTGTTTTGCCAATTTTATTGCTCTTGGTTAAGACGATGACTAAAAAAATGTCGAAATAAGGGCAGGCAGAGAACGCCATGTCACAGTAAGACGCAGACAAGAGCAAGAGGTAAATTTTTAACTTCTTTGGCCACAAAAATAAGAGTCGCAAGATGACTCTTCCTTATTGCATTCCAGATCAAACAACTCATCCATCTATGTCGTTCAGAGCACAGACCCTTCGAGATTTAATTGCTATTGTTTTTAATTAATGGATTCTTAAATTTTTCGTGCGACGGAAATGCGAAATTCGTTGTAAAAAGTAGGAAAAAAGTAGTAAAGGGTGTCGGAAATGAGGGATCAAACAAGATATCGAGCAGATCTTTTTACGCATTCGCTCTTTCCGCTAGAAATTTGAAATTTTAGGGGAAATTTTAGAATTCAAATTTAATTTTAATACAATGTCATTTAGATGTCAACCAAGACTGATTTAAATATTATTATTATAAACATATTTTATACAAACATGGCTTGATTGTAATTCGGATTACTAATATAATTTCAGACACTTGTGTTGAGTCCCATCAGGGTTTGAGGGACCGGGGAATGGCGTCTTCTGAGGCCTTCAGGGGATTCGATGAAAACCGGAGGCTCCGTTTTCTCGGCTTCGTTGAATGCCTAAAATACGAGGATAAGTTCGCAAGTAAAATTTTTATTAAATTATACTCGATAAGTATAATATAAAAATTCGATTGACGCAAAACTCACTTCATTGTCGTATCTCCTGTTCATGGTGGGTGAGAATGTCTGTAAATCCACTGGCTCTTTGTCGCTGTTGATTAATCCCCGCCTTCTTTGGCCGAGATTCCAAAAGTAGAAGAAAATCATGATTATCACCTAAAATGCCGCCATAAATTGTTCTAATCTTCAACTAGTACACTTCCAAAGCTCCTAATAATAACCTACAATAATAATTCCGACAATAGAGAGGAAGGCAGTCAAGTATTTGAGGTAATTCTCCATCTCCCTGGACCTGCACCACGGCTGATCTCCTTTGTTCCATTCGAAGCGGTAGGACGTTGGATTGTTGTAATCCGCCACTAATTCGCCTGGAAATGAGTTCTTTCATCAGTGACAGCAATTTCAGATTAAACAAAACATCAGATTGTATTGTAAAAGACAAGAATTATATTACAGTAGACCGACGAAACTTACATCTAAACTCTTCAGTCCCCTTGGTCCAATGACTTTGAAAGCACTCAAACTTCACCACATCGCCCTGCAAATAGCCTGAGGCAAACGCCGGGAATTTCATCAGATATTCGGGGTATTCAATATTGATGGGGCCACAGCTGTTATCTACAATAAAAATAAGACAGTTATGCCATGCAAAATCAAAAAAAACTTTGTGAGTCTACTCACAATGCCTGAGGGTGTCTTTTCGATCCAATTCGAAGGTATTCCAATGATCTTGAAGCTCCAATCCGAGGATCTTTGAATTGAACAAGACATAATCATGAAGACAGGGAACACTGTCGCCACACTCGGCGATGATGGCTGCTGGGTTGTCCGGACAATTCTCTCGGCCATATTGTTCCGTGAGCTGACCTTGCAGAGGCTGCATGACCACTAAAAAATCAAAATTTTTCAAGTGCGGTATAAAAATGATGACATTATAAACGAAAAACGTGTTATTATTAGGAGCAGATCATAATAAAATGGCTTACAATTAGGGTTGTTCTGCAGATCTCGGCATCGTTGGACCAGCTGAATCAAATCTTGGCCAGTGCGTCCTCGGAACATGTAGATTCCACTAAAATTATATTATTTTAGATCACCAAGTCTAATATTCGAGAAAAAAATTAATTAATCAGGCGATAAAAATTTCCAATTTTCTAGGATTTATCTTTGTGACCTATAGAAGGTAACTAAATAATAAAACGCTCCTACTTTTCATATTTGGGTGCCACCTTGTAGATGGGAGTGTTCTTCATGGACACCTCCGGGAACACCTCAAACTTCTTGTCTTCATCCCTGCTCGTTACAAACATGTTGTCAGTGGGCATGAACTGATTCAAAACTCCTTGTGTATTCTGACTTCCTGGACCTCCGGTTCCGGGAACTCGATCTAAAAATTTTTTGTCATATTTAATATAAGGAGATAATTATATGACTTCATTATACAAGTTTTTGCTTAGACTTACACATATTGATGATCTGTCCTCGAATTGCATCCGAATTGACGTCATTAATACTGAGCCCCTGATATAACGAGCCCGTGCTTTGATCTGGGAACGGCCGAATAAGGCCCGAGACTCGAGGAAGGTCGTATCTCTGGCGGAGCTCCGCATCTCGAGTGTTATCTCCATCCGGACGAACGCCATAACGAGGTGGAACTGACACCTAAAACATTTCAAATCAGCTAAAAATATTTTTAATTTAAGACCGCACGGTGCAAAAAAGGGAAATTTTGCACAGTGCAATCAAATAGAAAACATCTCTCTAAAACAATGTTCCGGTGACAATAAAAAATTTAACAGCTATCTTGTCATAAATCCCAATTAACAATGTTCCGTTGATTTAGTGTTTTGGAAAAATCGAAAATTCAAAATTATTGTTTTCTGACTGCACTGTGCATTTTTGCGTTAATTTTTTCGACCTCTCAAGGGAATTGAGTCAAAATTCCACCAACCTGAACATCCAGAATTCCCATACTCTCTTGGTACATAGACAATCTATCAATATCCAACGCATAACTTTCTCGGATTCGAATTCCAATCTCAGCCTCCTCAAGTACAACATAAATCTCGGGCTGACCTCTTTCCACATTGTTCACATATATCAGAACTCCTTTAAATCGTTGTAATCTCATCGTATCGAAGTAGCGGAGAAGATTTCCGACGATAATATTCGTGCGGTATCTGAACCTTCGAGTATCGCCTCGGGCGGTCACGTGGACTCGGTCGGTGCCCGAGGCTTCGATGGCGACTCCGGTGATGACTGTGCCATTGGTGGGCTGGACAAGGTCAGCTTGAGACATGTAGCGGCCGAGCAAACCTAAAACACAGTCCGTAGAATTTTTTCGGTGTCAAGATCTGTATGTTGTACTTGAGGTACCTTGATAGCAATATAAAACTTACTGAAGTCCACTTTTCTGTTGGGGTATCTCTCCAATCGGACTTGAATCCTCACTTCTGGATTATGGACCGTCTTCGGGATGTACAGTAAAGTGTAAACTCCGGGTTCACTAAAGATGAATTTCTGATTGTCGATGGTGCTGAAAGTCCCAGCACCCAGCCCATAACCGACAGCCGATGGCTGGTATTGTTGACAGGCCGAAGAGGGACGACGCCAGTAGAACATTTGACAACGGAATTTGGCGAACTTGCAACACAAATGATAGGGCATGTAGTCGTGGTGGAAGGCGGAGAGACCGGGGACCTCGAATTGGCCCAAATAAGGAGAAGAACCGAACTCATAGGCCCGCAGGGGAAAGCCCGGATTGTAATGCATATTCTCGACGACTTTGATCACTGGCTGATACGTGGTTTGTTGCAGGAAACCCTCGGCGTCATAACAGCAGACCTGGCCGTAATGGGTGGCGTAGCGACTGAAATTTGAAAAATTTTCAATCAAAAAATGTTACAGTATATACTACAGTAATAGCCAACATAATCAAATATCTCAAATAGTAAATTCTACTGAATTTTTCTAAGAAATTCCCATTTTAAATCCCCACCAAGTGTGACATAAATCAATTTAAAATCTTTCCCAACCTACTTCATATGGTCGTCTCTTGTTCGACTACTCGTTGTCGAGGACCCATAAACATTCTGAGCACTCATATAACAATTCTCGGCACCAATCATCTCCGTACAAGTGATATCGCGGAAGGCCTGCGAACACCGAGGATGGGGCATAAATCTCCCCAAATCCAGGCGGGCCTGAGTCTCCGTACACGGACACGATGCGTTGGTCTCGACCTCGCGGAGGAAGTTCCATTGAGCTCCGTCTTCATCGTACCAATCATGGCACATTTCTCGGGCCTTCTGTTCCACAAACCTCTCACGAACTTCGGCTTCAGAATAGGAAAATGTGGTGGTCTCGTACATGGGATTGTTCATGGTCCAGAGGAAATGGAGGGAAATCGGAGCGGAGACAAGGCTGCAATCAAAATATTAGCGTAACGATTTACTACGCCAACTTTCAGCCCAATCCATTCCTCCCAACCTACCCAGAAATCAGCGAGGGCGGAGTCGGCTCATTGGCTCTGATGGGAGCCAATTTCAGATATCCAAATCGATAAGAATACAGTTCATACATCCTCTCCCAATCCGTCAAATACCACTGCTCCACTTGATAAAGATTAATCGCCTCTTCTTGAGGGTTAAATCGATGGTCCAAGTCATTTCTGTTGGAGTAGGTGGCCAGTCTGCAGAGGACCCGATGTTCCGGCCGGAATTTCTTCAACTGATCGTCCTTGAACTCTTTATAGCCGATAACATAGAGACCCAGCTGAACAGAGTAGATGGTGTCGTCCGAAATTCGGAACCGAATATCCCTTTGGCCAGTGGTGTAGAGATCGGGATTTGTGAAGTTTCGGGGATACCAAGAAATGGGCATTACTTGGAAAGGGAGCGGATTCTTGAACCAATCATAGATGTTTCCAATATCGAGACGCATTGGATCGAGGGTTGGAGGAACTGAATGAAGAGATATTACGGTATGTTTGATAGTTAGAATGTCAAAATTTATATTGTCAATGAAATTAGATACGTCAGGGTGGCATGACAACAGCTGTCTAAAACAATGTCAACCTACCAAAATACACGTATCCCACATAGGCTTTCTCATCATTGGCTTTGTTCTGCTGCGGTTGGAAGTACAAAGTCTTGGTTCCCCAATCATAAATCCTGGGCACCGTACATCTGGCAATACTCGGATTCAGCACGGTGCAAGTGGCTGACTAAAAATACAAATGATTACAATTACTACCACCCCCATCTACTACAATGTAACCACGCCAAAACCCCTTACCATACGCTGTTCTATCATCAAAATATAGGTTTGTCCGGGATCCAGACACATGGCATTGATGTCGATCGTCATTTCACCCAACATGTTGACGATGTTCGGGTAAATCAACATGGGATAAGTGCCTCCGGTCTTGTTGGAGCAGCCTCCCGGTCTCACAACATCATCAACTCGGAACATGTACCGTCCTCTCACCATGTGAGGGACGGCGGATCTCTCGGCCAACACTTTTGGAGTGTTTTTGTACATCTGTGTTGGGTCTACATCAACAAAACCGGTGTGATTTCCGCCGTTGAAGAGAGCCTGAAACAGATTTTTGATGAGATCGTATTCTTTATTTTCAATAAAATAATTTTGAAATTGCAAAAAAATCCCCAAATTTACCAAAAAGTTTCCTCAAAGTTTAATCAAACCTGGACAACTTTCATTTTCAAGCGTAATATAATTTCTGATCTCAACTCCACTTACCCTACACCTTCCACTCCTCGAATTGGCCCTGAAATCGGCTGCATCGAACCCGAGCTTCTCATAATTCAATATGACATAACTCAATCTTCCCGGGTTGTCGCTCAGCCAGACCACTTGATACGTGCTCAGCTGTCCCGCATCCAAATCAGACCGTCCCGACACCGCCGACGCTGTGTTGTACCAGGTAACCACCAACGCAGTGTCGGCGCGGAAGGCCGTGGCCCCGGCCACTCCCTCTTGAAGCCAGCGCATCATCTCGTCCAAGAAGAAGTCCGAGTTCGCATCACATCTGACATAAGCCCCGTCCACATTGGGACACGGACGAGAGGGGCCGGCCCCGAAGAAGGCGGATTGCTGGATGGTCCCATCAGGACCAAGACCGCCAGGACCGCCACGACCATGCAGAGATTGGCGGCGAATCAAGCGGAAGAAGACTCCAGTTCGGAGGCCGGGGATCGCGTCCTGAGTGATCTGCTGCTTGCAAAGATAGGGCGCAATCATGGCCGGATCTTGGACACGGGGCCAATCCGTACTGTCGGGGCCAATATTGATGGTCGGACCTTGGTCCAGGACAGTGGCAAAGGCCAAATATCCATTGACGGAAATCTGAAATCATGGATAATATAAAAATATATTACAAGTTAAGCAATTTGCAACAGTTTTTTTAAATCCTTTCCGGAAAAATTTAGATAAGTCTTTGATGATTTAACTTACGATTGTGTAATTGTACCATCCTCCATAGAACGGGAAGAAATGGTGGAGATCAATGGTCTGCCCTGAGGTCAGCATGCCCGGCACCACCTCCAAATCGCCATGTTCAGGACCAAAAGGCACCAGATTCACTGAAACGATATTAAATATAGTGGAGACAAAGTCTCAAAACCCGAATTTACATAAATGCTCAACGTAAATAACATATTTTTCATGTAAGATACAGTCCAAAATGCTCTTACCTCCATAATAAGCATTTGTTCCGGTACCAGTGAACAGTCCAGGGGCTTCATTTGGCCCCACATTCCCTGGATTTTGTGATATTGCAATTGGAAAATATGACAGTAAGACCAAAGATATGGTCAATTTCAATCTGATCATTGGAGTTCTGATGTCATCAAGTTGAGATTTGCTCTAAAAATAATTATAAAAATTCAAGACGAATAAAACTTATTACACATAGTCATCAGGCCGAAAAATGGAAATTAGACAGAATTCAGGCGGTAAGAGATGAATAATCGAGATGGAAGTGGTCATTCTGATCGCGAAGAAGATGCTACTGTCTAGATTTTACTACTATCTAAGATCTAAACTCATCAAAAACAAAATTATATTAATATTGGTCAAAAGGATAAGCCAATTTTGAGCCAAAAGACCATAAAAAATTACAATGCAAAGTCTCTCGCCCTGAGGGCGAATTAAGAAAAAACGTAAAAACGAAGAAATGGACGTCAGAGAACCCTTGACCGGCCAAGTATTTGTGGCCAAACCTGCGCGTCTCAAGTCTGTAAACATTGTCCTTTGACCTGAACTGACCCCCACCCCTGCTCCCATACCCCATCAGCTCCCGTCTCCCCCTGAAATGTTGTGTAAACACTCCCGTTTAGTTCACCGGCGGACGTTATATTACTTTATGCGTCATCCTGTCCCCAAGTCATGAGAGCCAAAAGAATAATCAAGTAAAAAGAAGGAGTAAGGTAAACGGGATAGTAATACAAGTTAGTATTAGAAGTTATAGAGTGTCTAGAACCAAGGATTACTGTATTTTAGAAATTTTTGAAGAAATTATGACTAATGTTAATAACTATAATGAGCGACGCTATTTGGCCTAATATTTCCACAATTTAGCTCTACGGAGAAGAGAAGACAGACTGGTCGAACGCTTATTTTTAGACACCTACATCCCCTAATTTTCCTTATCTTAAACATCTCTGGATTTTGTATAACCAATGTCATGTGTAATATAGTGAGCTCATCATCTTGCCAAATCCTTCTCGAATACAGATTGAGACATTATCAATGAACGCTTAATCAAACACTAACATTTCCATCTTTTCTTTTAAAAAATTTTGGATCAAATGTGATGACCAATGCCAAGTGCAATATAAAATTACCCTCAACATTAGTCAATTCATTGTTAAATCAACATACCAGATGATAAATTATTATTTTATTACGAAACATACTAGTATTCAAATTTTATGCGATTTTTATAATAATTTTTGATTATTAATGTCAAGTGCATTTGCAAGTGTAATATAACTTTTCTCTTTTCATATCGCTTTCTTTTAAAAACTAAATTTGGTATTTTATGTTTGTTTGCAGAGTGTTCTTGACAATCTACAACCCCCAATGACCACCAACTTCCTCTAGCAGTCAACCTAATCCCCAGAACAAAAGGTCACGTCGTGATCGGTGAAGGAATGCGCAAACTGATCTTCAAATAAGTCGAAATCGGTTTAGAAACGAGGGAAAAGTAATCTCAGCGGCCTTTTCGTATACCCAATCTTGTTCTCGAGTGGGTTAAGTCGCGCATTTCTGCGGTCTATGCAAATTTCTCGCGACCATTTAAAAGCGAAATTTGATGGGAAAAACTGACAAATGGACAGTAAGACACGAGATTTGTGTGAAAACGGTGATTTCTTACATTAGCAGATAAAGAACTAAAATGATCAATGAGCTCATGAACTCACAAATTGGAACATCAGAAAACTTCAACATCAGGTCTTCAAGTACAATATCCTGGTTCTTGATCTCATCCTACAGTTTATTGTCCATATTCTGTCACTGAAGCTTCTACCATCTCTGGCCATCGTCGTTTGCAGTCGATTTCCCAGGAAAAATATAACAATTTTCTGACTTTCGCAGTTTTCTCGGACGCAGCTTGCCGAAAAATAATTGTAAAAAAATAATTTTCCGACGAGAGGAGTCCTAAATCAAGGAGAATTTGGAGATTGTCGTCAAATTATCATGTCAGACGCTGAACAGACCGATAATGAGGATTTCTCCGAGCTGAAGACAGCTCAGAATAGGAAGAACAAAAAGGCTGGAGGATGGCAATCATTAGGTGAGTGGATCTCTTTTTTTTATGTTTATTTCTTAGGTCTCGACCATCCTATCTTCAAGGCTATTCAAAGGCAGGGATATAATCAACCAACTCCCATCCAGAGAAAAGCGATTCCACCGATTTTGGATGGAAAGGACACTGTGGCCATGAGCAGAACAGGATCTGGAAAGACCGCCGCTTTTGTGATTCCTATGCTTCAGAAATTGAAACAGAGGGATATGAAGGGAGCCAGAGCTCTGTTGCTCTCTCCGACGAGAGAATTGGCAATGCAAACCTTTAAAGTTGTCAAAGAAGTAAGTCTTTATGTTATTCATGATGTTCAATGTAATTTCTTGCAGTTGGGACGTTTTACTGGCCTGAGATGTGCTTGTTTAGTCGGAGGAGATAATATGGAGGATCAATTTGAATCCCTTCATCAGAATCCTGACATGTAAGTTTATACAATGTCTTATTTTGTTATTTTTCTTTTAGAATTCTGGCGACGCCTGGGAGACTGCTCCATATTGCGGTGGAAATGAACCTGAAGTTGACCTTTGTGGAGTATGTAGTATTCGACGAGGCGGATCGTTTGTTTGAGATGGGATTGGCTGAACAATTACACGATATTCTTAAAAGATTGCCTGATAATAGACAAACCCTATTATTCTCGGCTACACTGCCCAAAATGTTGATCGAATTTGCGAACGCTGGTCTCTCAGAGCCGGTACTTGGTAAGTTGTTATATTTTTTTATTTGTGCTGGGTTTAGTTTATGATTATATTATCCTTTAGTTCGATTGGATGTTGAGACCAAAATCAGTGATAAACTGACGATGCAATTCTTTTCAACTCGAATGAATGATAAACTTGGAGCTTTGCTATCTCTTGCTCGCGAAGCTGAAAGGAACAAGGAGCAGACGATTATTTTTTGCGCGACCATCAGACATGTGGAATATTATGTTGCGATGTTCAAAGAGACTGGAATCATCGCTTCGTATCTGCATTCACAAATGGAACCATCGAGTAGAAGGTTCAATATTCAACGATTTAGAGACAAAGTAACCATGCTCTTGGTGGTCACTGATGTCGCTGCTCGAGGTGTTGATATTCCTCTTTTGGACTGTGTTATCAATGTTCATTTCCCTGCCAAACCAAAATTATTTGTTCACAGAGTCGGTAAGTGTGGTATTTCCTCATTGAGATATATTAGAGAAAAAAAAATTATATGGCACTCCTCATCTGGTAAAAACTAAACTCATATCTTTTTAGGGCGTGTTGCTCGTGCTGGAAAGTCTGGAAGGGCCATTAGCTTGGTCTCCCCCGATGAATACGCCTATCTGATGGATCTGCTCCTCTTTCTTAATGTCCCTTTGCGAATTGCAAAGGAAAGAGAAGCATATAATGAACAGGTCTCTACTTTCGGAAGATTCCCGGAAGCCCTAGTCCATTTGGAAGATGATTTTATCAAATATACCCATGAAAGAGCTCTTGAGATTGTAAGTTTTAATGATACATGAATACAGTGTCCAAAAATTAGGAAGCTTCAAAATTGAAGAACACTCTGAAGATTAATGTCATACCCTGTATTCTTGATGTTTAGAGTGACCTGAGAAACAAATCGGAGAATGCGATGAAGAAGTTCATTTCCACCAAGCCTCCCCCATCAGCAGAATCCGTGCGAAGAGCCAAGGCCGAGCTGGCCAAAATTGAATCCCCCATCCATCCGTATTTCAAAGAGTTTTGTGGAACCGAGGAACAAACGAACTTTTTGAATGGAATCAAAAATTGGCGCCCTCAGGCAACAATCTTCGAATTGAATGTGGGCTCCAAGAATCAAGGAGCTCAGATTATGAAATTGAAAAGGAAAAAACATCAGAAGATTATAGACAAAAAGAAGTATGGACAAAAGGACGAGCAGGGAGGAGAGGATGAAGGAGAAGATAAGATTGAAAATGAGGAAGCCGATGAAACTTCGATTCAGAAGACTTTCAATGAAGTGGTTTCGGGTCGAAAGTTCGATCCAGAATTTACGCAAAAACCGAAGAAAAGAAAGTTGGATGAGGAGAAACAGAAGGAAAAGGAACAGAACTATCTTCGTTATACTCCGGCTGATCAAAACACCGAAAGACAGCTCGCAGTCAACGACAACTTTGAAAGAGCGGCTCAGGAAGTTAGCATAGACATCAACGCTGACGATGACAAAGGAATCTACAAGATGCAGCACAAAAAGAAATGGTAAGATTAGATTTAAAATGGTGTTGTTATTAGTATGAGATCACATTGATTTTTCTTTTTTTTTGTAAAGCATATTGTCTATTTTAGGGATCGAAAACACAAGAAGTTCATAACAGATCCCAGCGCATCTGTTAAACGAATCCGAACCGAAGAAGGGACCTGGGTCCCGGCTTCGTACAAATCTGGACGATACGAGCAATGGACAAAGAAACAAAAAGTCGGAGTGGCTGATGATGATGACCAACAAGACGAACCGAGACGAAAGAAATTCAAAGGGAAGATGCCTCAGGGCCCCAAGGTCAGATCCGAGAGGAAATCAGGACCTCAAATCGCGAAAGAAAGGAAACGGAAGGAGAAGATCCAGAACTTCCAAAATGAACGAAGACACAAAAGACTCCAAAGAAGCACTAATAAGAGTAAATTCTCTAAGGTCAGGAAGTAATTGTTACTTGTTATTGCACTTGTTAATCTTTATTGTTGCGAATAAATTTATGTTTGGTCTAAATTTCCTAAAGAAAGATTATTTTGAAATAAAGGAAAGAGGAATTTTGAGCTTGTGAGGGATAAGAACAGCAATGAAGAGACTTTTTTTTGTCATTTTGTTTACTTTTTTACGTTTTATCCATAAAAAATGTAAAAAAATCATGGGTTTCTGCAAGCACAACCCACTATAATATAATTATTTGATTCGTAATGAACGAATAGACCTTCTGCAGCCTAGTTTTACGTAAATCGTATTTTTCCGCAGGCTACAAGTATCCTCTGTGTTTGTCTCCTCCCCCTCCGATCTTTTACTTGTGGCATTCCGCCCAAAGTAAAAATATTTTTGGCGCGAAAATGTTGTTCGAGCTGCTTGTGAGCGCGCTTTTTACCCTCATTTTGGTTTAGATCTCCATTGCGGACAGTCGCTTGTTACCCTTCTCCATCACCATGTTCGAGGCCAAGCTTTCCCAGTCTCTGTTGTTGAAGAGAGTTATCGATTCCATCAAGGATTTGGTTACGGATGCTCCATTCGACTGTAGCGAGACCGCTCTCAGCCTCCAGGTAGGGATTTGACTTTCATTTTGCTGACTTTGGAGATCCATTTCTGTTATCCACGGTGGACAGCATAAATTGTTGTTGTAAATGGAATTTAATGGCTCGATTTTAGTCTATGGACGGTTCCCACGTCGCCCTCGTCTCTCTGCGTCTTGGAGTCGGGATTTTCGACGTCTATCGTTGTGATAGAGCTGTCAATCTTGGTCTCAGCTTGGTCCACATGTCCAATGCTTTGAAATGCGCCAAGAACGACGACTCGTGCGCCATCAAATACGACGAAGAGGAAGGAGATGGTTTGACTTTGACCTTCGAGGATAACAAAGGCAGGAAACAGGAGATTCTTGTAAAACTTATGGACATTGACTGTGAACATCTTGGAGTCCCTGACCAGAAGTACTCATGTATCATCGAGATGCCATCTCAAGAGTTCGCCAGGACCGTCCGAGATCTATCCAATTATTCTGATACAGTGGTAATCAACTGTCAGAAGGATGGAGTTCAATTCAAGGCGACCGGAGAAGGAGGTACCAACACAGTCAGCTTTTCATCGGAAGGAAATGATGAGGAGGAAGAGAATGAGGTAGGATTTTATTTTGCTTTCCTTGTTTGTCTAGGTTGGAAAAGCACATGGATTTTTTGCTATGAATACTTGTTTTGAAAAGTATAGCATTGATCATGGGGAATGCAATCTAATTCCTTTATTTTTCAGCGAGTTAGCGTCAATGTCAAAGAGCCAGTCAAGCTCAGTTTCTCCATCAAATACCTGAATCAATTCTCGAAGGCCGCCAGTATTTCACCTAGAGTTCGTCTATCGCTGGCTGCAGCTGTTCCCGTTGTTGTCGAATTCCAGATCGAAGACGATGGATTCCTCAAGTTCTACTTGGCCCCCAAGATCGACGACGACGCCGACATGGACTCCTAACCTTTTGTCCTATTTATTATCCTTTATATTTTCAATACTCGCAATTTCCTGTACTAACTTCAATAAATTTCATTGTTTTGATTCGCTTGTGGGTTTTTCTCGGTTTCATATGACCCTCCATCTTTGCTCTGGATCTTCTGATTCCTCCGATTGGACTTGCAGTTTTCAATATTATCCGAAATTGACCTGCAGCTAGAGCAGAATGCCGTGAGCTTTCTTTCATTTTCAAAGGTGAAAAAATGAGCGAGTTGCCAAAAAAAATCGAAATCAGGCAAAAATTTTTTTTATTTTGGGCAGAAAGTCGGTATTCTTTATAATTGATCTTGCCACTATTATACCCCTTACACAAGTAAGAAATGAATCCGAGCTTACAACAACAACATTTTATTTGGAACCGTAACATAATAAAACCAAATAGGTCACAAGTTATATTCATTTTTTTGTATGCATTTATCCACGAAGACGAAAAACTAGTTGTAGAGTAGAGCCTTTTTGAACGTTGTAATCTCTGACAGGGCGGTGGTCGTCGAGCTGTCTTCCGTTGAAGATGAGACGTTGCTCTTCTTGCGGAGTACCTTCCTTTTCCTGGATCTTGGCTTTCACGTTCTCGCCGGTATCAGAAGCTTTGACCTCCAAGGGGACGATCTTACCAGTGAGGGTCTTAACGAAGATCTGAAATGTGTCTTCTGACATAGAGTTTGACCAAGATAAAAGCGGACTTACTGTCTTTTACCGAGACCAACATTTGGACGCCAGAGTCAGGTCTGCGGGTAAAGGTGATCTTCGTGTTTTCCGCCTCATTGTCATCAACCTCGACAGTAACTTTCTTGCCTGCGGACGTCTCAACAGTAATCTTCATACTTCTTCAAAGGATCGGAATCAGTTATCGAAAAAAATGTTTTACTATTCATGCTCAAAAGTTCGGACAGTTTATCGCCTTGATAAATTGGATTCCGAACTTTGAACTTTTGAGCGCGAGTAGTAGAGGTTTTACCGAAATTATCACAAAATCACGTCTATTTTTCAGAAACGAAAGGTTGCATTCGTGGCAAAGTCGCCAAAACTTTTTCCCAAAGAATTGTATTCGCCAAGCTGTTTGATCGGCCTCGAAATCACCCAGTCAAGGTATAAAATGAACGACTAAAGTAGCCAAGTATTTACAACGGTATCGTAATCGCTTGTATTGTACGGGATTCCTATAACTTTCAAGAATTTAACAAAACAGTTTATTAGGATTAAGAAGTTGTATAAAATGAGTCATAAATTCGTGTTCATTTATCCCTAAAGACGCAACAACAGATGAAGAGTGTCGCCGTTGTGGATACTGTATTCTCTGAGCCTCAAGTTTCCTCTGAGTTCCGTTCCTTTGAACATTAGACGCTGCATGTCTGGTGGAGTGCCGTGTTGGTCCTGGATCTTTGCCTTCACATTCTCCGTGGTATCCGAAGCCTTTACATTCAACGTGAAGGTCTTACCAACCAGAGTCGTGACAAAGATCTGAAATGTGTCTTCTGAAAAGAAATCTTAACCACGGTAAAGTCACTTCACGTCAATCTAGCGCATTTCCTGACCCGTTCACACGTTTCATCCACACACTATCGAAATCAAAAGATTTTAGGTATCAAAATTCTTTTAGAAGCACTTTTGCAGCACGAAAATTATGTCAAAAAAATAAAGGAAATTTTAAAACGTTATTTTCCGACCAGAAAACAAGGTTTTGTACCGACAAGCCAAAAAAAAAACAGCCAAAGATCTTCTCCTAAATTAATTTTTGCAAAATTATATTTGTGAAGAAACGCCACTTCGTTCAGATGGTCAGGAAACAGCTTCACTGTCGCTGGATTGACGTGCACTTACCGCAGACTGCGTATTGTTTGGCAGCCTTTTTAACCGAGACCAACATTCTGATTCCAAAGTCCGGCTCCCGGACAAAGGCTATCTTTGTGTTTTCCGCTTCATTCTCATCAACATCGACGGCAACTTTCTTGCCCGCGGACGTCTCAACAGTGATCTTCATACTTCAATTTAGTGTCTTTGTTACCTAAAATTACGTTGTTATAAAAAGAAAAAAAATTGAAAAAACCGGGACGTTTCTTCGCTTTCCCGCGAAAACGATTTTTTGAAATTTGACATTTGAAACACGACGAATGTTTTGGTGCCATCATACTGTAGCTTGGACTTCGCAGCAAGAGTCATCAACCCCGACAGTAACCTTAGTGTCTGCGGACTTCTCAACTGTAATCTTCATTCTTCTTCAAAGGATCGGAATCAGTTACCTAAAAAAAATTTTTTAGTTTTACCAAAATTATCGCAAAATCGCGCATAGTTGCCAGAAACTCGACTCTTTCGACACGCGTAAAAAATAAAAAAATCCCGTACAAAATTCACAAAAGTATCAGCAATTGTAAGAAGACAAAAAGTTTATTTTTCCTTCAAATTTATTTCTTGGATTCCTTCTTGTCGTTGTTGTCGTCCTCATCATGTTCATTGTCCTTGACCACCAGTTCGATTCTTTTATTTCGATCGCTTACAGTGGGACCATGGAATTTATGTTCGGGGTCCCAGTCCAAGGGGTCAGTCGGTTTGATCCCGTTGGCCTAAAACACGAATAAAAATCTTTAAAATCCGTAACTAATTAGTCTTAAGAAAGTGTTAATCTTCTCTATTATTAATCATATTATAATTATTTTCTTTCTTACCTTGGCTGCATATTGTACACAATAATACAAGTAGGGGTAGTCCGGGATACTGTGATACATCAGAGAGTCCACATATTGCATGATGGTTACGAACTGTCGCTTCGGGCAGTCGACCAGGAACTCTTCCATGGCCTCTCCGGATCGAACAGCTTCCTTCCACTTGAGGACTTCCTCCTTATCCGATCCCCTCAGCTTCCTCCATGGGAGTTGACCGGCTGTCCATTCGACGACCATGTAAAGCCAGGCCTCAATATCATCTTTTCGGGATTGCTCCATTTGTCTCAAGGCTGCCATTGCCGCGTATCTGGTGGTACCGCGGAATGGGGCCGAAGCTCGAGGAATTCGGAGATCTTTGGATTCGGATTCCCTTAAAATTGATGGAGAAAATGAATTAAAAACAGTGCCATTGCTTTCCAACAATATAGTTGGCCTATTCTAGAGGCCTTGCAAAATATTTTCTACTTCTGCCAAATTATTTTTCACTGTTATTGTAAGCTACAGGAACCTCAATGATGACTTCAAAATCGTCCAATTTCTAAGTATAAAAACCATTGCGGCATATTCATACCCCATAAACTTCCTGCACAATCCAAAATCCAGCATATAGATGATGTGATGTTCATTAGTGTCGGGTCTCCCGATGGCAAAATTTCCCGGTTTGATATCTCGATGGAGATAACCAATACGATGAAGATCTTCGATGGACATTAGAGATTGTTCGGCTGCCTTCAGGGCCGTATTCAACGAGAAACGTTGGCGGTCGCGTTCCACACGAAGCTCCCAAAGATTTCGACCAACCTAAAGTAATATAATTTTAGCCAAAGCCAAAAACAAAAACGATTGTAAATGGAAATTAAAAGATGAAAAAGACTAAAAAAGACCTTGAAGGCATCACTCGTTACATTTCCATACTAATACATCACCATTACTTACCAGTTTCATGACCAGATATCTGAACCTTCCCTCGACTTTTCCTCGATCAATAATCGTGCAAAAATGAGGACTCTTGATCATGAAAGCGCCTCGAAGGACCCGACAATCCATTGTTAGCACTTGTTTCTTCACATCGATCGTCTCACATTTGGCCGCAAACAGTTCTCCTTCCTTGGACTTGACTTCGTATACAGCACCAAACCCGCCTTTCCCCAGCAATTTGACAATCTAAAAACAACTTCGAATACAGTGCCCAGACTCACTTCGTATTCATTACGTCGTGTCCGCAACATTTCGCCATTCTGCGGCAACTTTTCGTTGGTTTCATCAACCATTTTCGGCTTGTACCAAAGACAGCTGATGCTGGAGAAAACGACCGATGACTGGAAGCAAAAGAACGAAATAGCGAGCTTCTTCACCTTTAAATAAGCTCATTTTACTCCAGAAATTTGCATAAAGTTTCAAAAGTTAGAATAAAACTTTTCAAAATATATTTTTGGTCCGCAGACTGCGTATTGTTTGGCAGCTCGCGCCCGACTTTAATAATTTCGACAAAATTCTGTCGGGAAAAGTATTTTTCAAAGAAGCGGTCAAAGCACATGTGGTTGTGAATAGGTGACGGTTGTATTCAGCTATTTTGTTATGTCGGCAGCGTCAACGCCATTGGTAAGACATTAATTTTTATTTTACATTATTTTAGTTCGAAAAAGATCAATAAGACAAGACATCTTGCTTGTATTCTAGTTGTATCCTGGTTTTTAGATTAGAAAACGAGTACATGATAGTTTATTCTGTATTACTAATTGGTTTGATTTTAGACACCGCGGAGATCAGGTCGAAAACATGTAAAGAAAAAAATCACCGATTTTCGTCTTCGCAATTGGCGGATAAAATTCATATTCGGGGTGTCAGATCCTCTGTTCACGGACTTTTCTCTTCATATTGAAGGAGAGCGGACTGATACTTACGATTATTGGACGACTTCTGCGGTGATTTCAGTTGATTTGCCCAACTATGTGAAGACGGCTGGAGGGACTCTGTATTCCTTAGAAGGAGGGCCAGACAAAAAGTTGATGATTAAAGGTAGTGTTTTCAGACATTCTTTTTGCTATTCAGACCAATTTGAATAAATTTTTAGAAGGATTCCCAGCAAGACTGATCAATTTATTTTCGGATGGATTCCCCGAGAATTGGATGAGTATTTGTCTCAAGTTTGTGTCTGCATTGTAGGTTTGCTTTTTTCAAAATTATTACTTATCGGTTTAGGAAAAAGCTGGCACCCGGAGTCCTGAAGGCAGCTGAGAACTCACAGAAGATCGAAAGGCGATTACCGTCGCCGATTAAGAGTCCAAAAGCAATTCAGAAGGAGAATAGGACGACATTGTCTAAGTCTTTAACTCCAAAACGAAGTCCAGTTGCACGGGCGCTCAATTTCCTTCGATCTTCCGCGCAGAAAGCTAGGAAACGGTTGTCTCCGAAGAAGTCAAATGTTGAGCTTGACACCAGCACTCCAAAAATCAGGAATGAAAAAGGATTCTCGCCAAGAAAAACGATCTATAAGGTAGGATATAACCTTTTAGTTGCGTAAAAATTACAAGTTGTCTCTGAAACGCAACATATATTATTTTTTTATTGTTTTAGCTCGGTCGCCTTTCAATAACAAAATCACCAAAGAAGACAGTAAAGCGGCCGAATCCTGTTGTCGATGATGTCGAGAACACGCCTGTAAAGGGCGGAAACCTTCAAAAGATTGCTGACGAGGTCCTTCTGTCCACTCCATCTTGTAGTTCAACAGCTGCTGCAACAAATTCGAAAAGCGAGCGAAAAAAGGTCTGGAGACTTGAACAGACTCAAACATTAAAGGTAAGTGGGATATAACTTTTTTTTATTGTATTTTTAGACTGCTCTCGACATGTTTCATCCAACATCGGAGCAGGGTTGGAAGAACGTTGCGGCTGCTTTGAATGACAAATTTACAATTGAAGAGTGTCGACAGAAGGCAGAGAAACAGTTCAAATACACTGTGGAGGAAACGGAAAAAGTTGGACCAAAAGAATTCTTTGATATTGTTGAGAAAATGGAGAGCACCAAATTTGGGACGTTGAAACATATGGAAACCAAAGAAGAAATGGCCACATTTTTAAGCAGATGGAGACTGGAGCAACAAAGGGAGAAGAAGACGGAATGTGTAGATGATTCCGCCAGTGACGATTCATTTGCAGTGGTAAGTTTGGAGATTTTTAATTTGAATGGCTAGTGTAATATAAATTTGGATAAAAAATGTGTGCTTTAATGGAGTAGAGAGAACATTTTTATGAAATGAATGGGAGTGGGGTATATGATCTGTTTTTGTTCACTTTTGTTTTATTTTGACCATTTTAGGATGTAATAAACGCCGCCAAACAAATCCGTCGACCAGTTGGAGAATGCAATGTCAGAACTCCATCCAGACGTCAATATATCCCGATTCCAGTTGCGCTAAGCGAGTCTGCATCGGAACGCGACAGGAAACTGGATGAAGAGTTTGCGGTCCCAGATTGGTAAGCATATTATATTAGACGTGGTAATGAAAAATTTGATCGGAATCTGGTGGACGTGAGATAATGAATCGTTTTTGCAGGTCCAACCGCCAGAAAGTCATTTTCCGGCTTAGAAACCATCGACCACCCACGCGAAGACCTCAGAAACCCAAAGAAGATGAAGATTACCTCATGAATTCCTCTCAGTTCTCATTTTGATTAACTTCTGCTTTAACGTCATTGATCTCATGAACTCGAATGATCTGTAGTCCAAGAATTCTATAATATCCTTTATTGTTTATAAAGTTACTCAGCGATTAATTTTATATCCATGTAAAATTGCCTGTTTATTTATGGATTGTAAATAAATTGATGTGCTCTCATGAAGTTCTGTGAGTAGCATGGAGAATTTTGAAGTTATTTAGAACGACCATGACGTAGTATATTTGGCATTATGTTCCATTCCTCGTCTTCTTTTCCTTTGACAGGATTTACCCAATTTTCAGCGACCTCTTCATCTCCACTTGTATCGATCCCCGGCTCCAGAACCAGCTCTGTACACGAAACGAAGGCGGTAAACATAAGAACAAGGATTGGTAAATAGGAATACGGATTCATAATTTATTTTTAAATCTTAGCATCTAATAAATGTTCCTGGTTTATATAGAAAAAGTTTGGACCGTTTGAACTGATATCTAAGCAGTTGGGAAAACAATAAAAAAATCAGGATGTCATGTTTGTGCGTCAATATTCGTACTCTTCGTATGTTTGTGCGTCAATATTCATACTCTATGTTTGTTTTCATTTTGAAAAACGTTTTATGTGTGCGATATATTGTATTTTATTATAGAAACATGAACAAATTATTTTTATAACTCAACACAAAATCTCTTGGTTTGGATTTATTTGTGGGCTTGGATGACAGTGAAACCGATGCCCAATTACTGTAGTTATATCGCCGCCAAATATTTTTCGTGACACTTCGTCCAAAAATCCAATAATTTTTTTTCCGCAATAAAATAATTTTATTTTCCCGAAAAGATAACGGGACGAATCGAACAAGTTCAAACTCAGCTGACTAATGACTTACAGAGATGACATCCTCAAGAGTTTGAAGGAGCGAGACAGATTCACCTCCCAGTTCAGCCGAATCGTCGAAAGTTGTAAGAATTCATTTTTAGAGGTGTAAAGTAGTGAAACTCGTGATTTTTTAAGTACTTTTCAGATGTTTCAATATCCGATTCGTTGAATTATGTCCTCAGCAGACAGTCGATGGGCGGAGGAGGCTCTGTGTAAGTTCGTTTTATTTATTTTTTGAATTTTAGTTTGTGTTAGAAATGTCAATTTTTGTCGAATTCTAATGCCTATTAACAGATACGAAGTTTACTGTATTTCGACTCCATTGAATAAGTTTACTTTCAGCGACGTCTCCAAGGATAGCCAAGAATTACGGAACGAATTGGCTGAAGTTTATAAAAAGAAGGCTGCCAATGACGAATTGCTGATAGAAGCACAGAAGAAGGTCAGAGAACTCGAGAAACGACTAACTGAGGTAGTTGAAAGCAAGGGTGGACTCGAACATGAGGTCAAGGAGTTGAAAATTGAGTTGGAAAAGAAAGAATTGGAACTCCAGGAACTGAAAACTACTAACGAATTGCTAAATGATGAACTTTTGGCTCTGAACGTAAGGTTTATTACTTATTTGCTTTTACTTTTAGATGGAAACTCAATCTCTGAATAAGAAATTTGTGGATGCAGACCAAGAAAGAGTGGTGTTGATCAATAAAATCAAGGAATTGAAGGAAAAGGAGATCGAATATATGAATGAATTTAATGATAAGGAGCATCAGTAAGTTATCTACTTTTTTGAAATGAATGATGTACAGAATGTTTTATTACATTGAAATTTCTTTCAGAATTCGCCTCCAAAGACTCCGATCCGAGATTGATGACGCGACTAAGCCCTCGAGTCAAAATTCATCGAGAAGAAGCTCCCGGAAGTACAGTGAGACATTTTCTACCACCTCAACCTTCGATTCCATACCCAGTCGATGTGAATATAAATTTGTAAGACTTTTCTTTTTCCTATATCTGAACATTTAGGAATGTGATGGAAACGGAGAAGTCAACGATTGTGTATGGAACAGGTCTGGTCGAATATTTTACACTGGAGGTAGTGACAAGCTGATTCGAGTCTGGGAGCCTCAAGCGAATGCACCTCCCATTCTGAAGGCGAAGATTGCGGGATCAACCAAAGCCATAAACCGATTGGATCTACATCCGGATAGTCCATTATTATTGAGTGCTTGCAGCGATAACACGGTCTACTTATTCAACACTGATGACAAAAGGAGAAGGGTGGGTTTAGAATATGAATTGAGATTTTCATCTGCTTTTATAACGGTATTGTTTTAGTTTGCATTTACTGGGCACTCGGATAAAGTAATGGCCGCCCGTTTCATCGCTCAAGCCAATCGAATTGTTTCCGGTTCCAGTGATCGTACCCTCAGGATATGGGATATCAACTCGGGAGCTTGTAAGGCCTTTTTTATTTTTAAATCAAGCTTTGTAGCATTTTATATTATCCATGACCATTTCAGGTGTCCGAACTTTAATGCCAGCTTCGATGTGCTCGGATGTGGCCACGTGTAATCGAGGCATTGCCAGTTCTCATTACGATAAATGGATTCGATTGTGGGATGGGAAATCGGAAACTCCATACCATCAGATCAAAATGGGCGGCAAGATTACGTCACTCCATTTATCTACAGGTAATTTAAATTCATTATTTCTTATTGGTTTAGATGGTCAACTACTCCTCGCTTGCTGTCGTGATGAGACTTTGTCCCTGATAGACCTCCGCCAAAATGAGATTGTCCATATTTATGCGGCCGATCAGTTCAGAACTTCCTATGAATACTGTAAATGCGCGATCAGCCCAGGTGGCGGATATGTCTCGGCGGGCTCCTGGGACGGGCAATTGTATATATTTAACCTGCAGAGCACCAAACTGGAGAAAGTACTAACCGGACATGAGTAAGTCACCTGTCTTGTATTATTCTTCATTTTTTTGTAATTTAGATATTGATGACTAAAGTAATTTAATTTTTGTTTCAGTAACAGCCCAGTCTACTCATTGGCCTGGAATCCGAACGATGGATCGATAATTTCCACGGACAAGAAGCGAACTGCCTGTTTGTGGATGTAATCCTTATATCACAGCCAACTCTAGCCATTAACGCCTCAGGGCATTTCCCTCAAACTACGAGTTTTACATTTCAAATATTATTTATTATTTTGTGGGTGCGTTTTTTTGTAACTCTCAAAGAGAATAAATGTAAATTGGATAGAAAAGTTTGGATGTCATACATGATTTAAAACAATTTTTGATTGAAAATTTCAAAACAGTTGTAGCAACCCGGGTTAAAAAATTGCGAGGACAGTATATGTTGCGGGTTGATGATGTTGTTAGGCAAGGGAAGTGCTTTCTTTGAGGAACTTTTTTTCCAATAGTCATCATTTTCTCAACAGTAATATTGATGTTGAATTGCATGGTCAAGACAAGCTATTATGACATCTTCCCAGCCTAAGGCTGATCGCCCTTCACCTCCAATCTCAACTCTTCCCCTTGGCTGTTTGCATAGAGTTTCATAGGTCGTTGAAGCGCCGTCTTTTCCTCCTCCTTTCTTCCCCCGCTCACCTTTAATGTCCAGGAGTACGGAGGGGTGCTGGGTTGGCTGTGGTGTGTTTGCTGACGCATCCATGGGGCTCGGGAAATGCAAATCGCCAAATTCCTTTCCATTTTTATGGTCAAGCGGGGACCTTCTTCTTGATTACCTTATCACGGACCGCTTATCGACGTCCTTTTTCCGATCCTCCAGTTGAGTTACAAGCATTTCCGATGTTTACTGGTTAGATCAGGAGTCAAGGGTGTCTTGGGTGATGTTTTGATGACATTTTGAGGTCAATAATCAGCTTGTTTTTTACTCTTTCATGACTAATATTTAAAACAATATTATAAAGGTCAAATCTGATAGGAATCCGTTGAGTCAGCTGGTGAAAGTGATAAGAATATGACTGTTTAAGACAGATTTGGCAACTTGTGTCAACCTCTGACACAAAATTAGTTTTAAATTTTCATTATCCATGAAGAGTTTTGATATCAAAATTTATTTTTTCTTGTGATTCTGAGACAATGTTTTGCCATGTGCACCTTAAGTAAACAAACAAAATATTTTCCCTCAGGTCTTCCGATTACTCATGAGATTTATCTTGTTCTGGAGGGGTTTAAAATTCCATTTCTTACAATTTTTGAGGTCAAAAATTGTGGAAATTTATTCTAACCTCATCGAAGTGCTATTTACTAATTTTCGATCATGTTTTGGACCTTGGCATACCTGTTAGAATCGTTTTACAACTAAAGTCCGTATGCAAAAATCAATTTTTTTATTAGTAATCCTCCATTTTCTCCCTAAAAATCTCATTTTCCCACCGACTTTCGCCGCCCGATCGCCAAATTTGATAACCCCTGAGGCTTCTTCGTATTTAATATACATAACGCTTACTCATGGGGACCTCTTCTCGTCCAAAAAACCGCTGATTTGTTTGATTTTCCGTGATTCACCGGGGGCCTAAGAAAGTTTTTTGTAAATTCGATACGTTTGAATGGGTAACAATGGAGGGAACGGTTTGGAAATACTTCAACCGGGTCCGGCTGAGGTCTAGGACAAGGAAGAGGGGGGATTTAGTAAGGTCAAACAAACCATTCTTAAGTCGAAATCCAATTGTAAGGTCAGTTGTTTTTGATCAAATACTTGGCAGAGGGGCTGAATACTACTGTAGAATTACTTTACAATACTATATAAACATTTGGCAGACTTTATGACATAAAAAAGCTAGTAATTTAACACTTTACCCTACTCTTATACATACTTTATATTATACTTGCTCTCTTGATGACGTAATAAAAACGGCATTCCTAAGCGTATTTTACGTTGAAACAGGATATCTAACAGATGAGTCGACCGCTATTTCCATATGATTTCCCATTTTCCAGACCTCTTGATATGATTCATTGCGCAAACAAAGCCCCGACCCCGCTTTTGACCGGGTCATGGACAATGTTTGGGATACGAATATTTAATTTTCGGCGTGACAAGTGCCATCACAAAGGTGTAAATTGATCTTTGAACTATTATGCACAAATCAAGGCCGATTTAAAAATTTTTTGCGATGATTATTGTTTGGCATCTTCGTCTTTTGATCTTATTTTAGGTAAAAGTCATCAATTTGATGTGGTATCTCTGTTTGCTGATAGTTTTGCGCTGTTCTTATTAATTAGTAAGGAAATTTTGGTCCAAAAAATGGCAACGTTTTCTTGGCTAAATTTTATTTTCAATTGATGATTTTTTTGATCAAACTCGCGAAATGTGTTTAATAATACTGTTAAATTACTCGTACAAATTTTACAATACTTTATTCCAGGCCTAGAATGCCCAGGCCACTACAACCGAGGGTCCTGGACCTTCGCTTGTACCTCCGGAACACAGTAATCCTCTCGCTGTTCGTCGGCGGAGTCTATTCCCAGATCGGCGGAGGAATCGGCGGACTCGGCGCTGGCGGAGGACTTCCTGGAGGGGGGAATATCCCCGGCGGAGGATTTCAACAGCAAAACATAGCTCCGCAAGATTCGGGGAACTTATTTACGGGCACCGGCACTAACCCCTTTTATGGCGTCAACCTGGTCCCGTTCGGGCCTGAAGTTGGAGATCATCCGGTGCATCCTGGCCTCTTAACTGCTGGGCAAACCATCGATCTTCACTCTTACTTCCCATTTTACGGTGGACTTTACAATTACACCACGGTAGGAAAGAAATTTTTTAAATACTTGAGAAATTTAATGTTCCAGATATCAGTAAATGGATACATGTCGTTTGCCACGGTCCTAGATCAAGGCCCAACCATTAATGTTGGGCCTGATGCTACGGATTGGCCAAGGCAACAAGATCCGGCCATGATCGCACCTTATTTGTGCAAACAGCAGGTGAGAATTGATGGATAAGATAAAAAGTCCTTGCTCTTTGTAAAAGCCGTTACTTTTCTTGTTGTAAGATGACATCTTATGACATTTCCTTCCAGATTAATCAAAATCGAGGTCCCGCTCAACGTGCCGGCATCTATTATCGACTAATGATGAGACAAAACATGTTCGGCCGTGGAGCCGGCAACATGAACATCGAAGGCCCCTCGATGGAGGGATCTTCTATGTTCGGCTATCGAACTCAGACTTGTCCCGGCCAAGGAGATTCCTATGTGCAATGTTCGGCCCAGGGGGACTATTTCTTGGACGAAATGATGAGATGGCTTCAGGAGGGAGTTGCTGGCGCCAATGCCTTCCGCGCGGACATGGCCTTGGTTGTGACCTGGTACAACACCGCCTCGGCTCTCTCCGGTCGCGCTGATATGGATGCGGGACAGTTGGCGACCTATCAAGTTGTCTGGCTGGCCGAGAGATCGGCCCGACTGAGTTATGTCATGCTGAATTATGACAAACTCGGCTTCGATGCGGCCGATATTCGGATGAATTCGAGGTCCGGAAGATGTCAGGCCCTCTTCAATGGAGGAAATCACACCGGAATGGTGCTGGTCGACCCCACCCAAGAGTACAAAAACACTCCAAAAGTGTTGGCCCAGAGATCGGGAGTCCCTCACATGGTGAGAGGACGGTACATGTTCCGAGTTGACGATGTTGTGAGGCCGGGAGGCTGCTCCAACAAGACCGGAGGGACTTATCCCATCATGATCTACCCCAATATTGTGAACATGTTGGGCGAAATGAGTGTGGACATCAATGCCATCTGTTTGGATCGAAGTCAGACCTATATTCTGATGATTGAGCAACGTCAGGTAAGAAAGCATTGGTTCTATTAGACTCTCTGTTGGTTTAGACAGCAACTTGCACAGTGATCAACACGGCTTTGGCTCGCTGTCATCTCCCGAAGATCTATGATTGGGGCACAAAAACGGTCTATTTCCAACCGCAGAGTATGGGAGCCAACGATGAGAAGGCGTTTGTGGGATACATCTACTTCGGTAAGACCCTAACTTCTTCTTTTTCATGCCTACCCATCAAAAAATATTCATATTTTTTTCAGTTCCGCCAACGTTAGATCCAATGCGTTTGGACATCGGAAACTTATACGACTGGTACAAAAACCCCATACCGTACGTGGCCATGCCCATCTCATGGTTCCCGAGGAATTTTACAAATCCGGATATAAACTATTTCGATAACACTCAAGTTCGGATCTCGGACGACGCCTTATACAGTGTCCAGCTGGGACTTTACGTAATTGGATACAAGGAGAGCGATGATAACAAGGTAATCCTACTGTTGCATCCTTGTAATGAGATTTTTTAGAAAATTATTTTAAAAAATTTATATTCCACTTGATGACAAAAAAAAGTAAATTTCAGATCAAAAAATTCCGTCCCGAGCACCGAGTGCTCTGTCGGCTAGCCAGTTATTCGAATCGAAATCAACCGGAATATCGATGGACAGCCCAGAAAGAGAGGATTAACCTAAACCAAGTGGAACAATGGTATTTGACGGACTGGGAGAGAATGCACGAATTGTACACGTTCAGAGTTGGATATCTGAAATTGGCACCTCTCAGAGGAAACGAGCAACAATTTGTGGCGCCTCATCTGCTATCTGGGTAAGTTCGTTATATTGTAGTAGTTCTAGTACAATATAAATTGAAGAAAATGTGTATGTCATTAAAGAATAATAAGTGAAAGGTGTAGAAAAATTACGAAAATGAAAAATACGACAAAATGACACATTTTTAAATCGAAAATCAATAATTTTTGGCGCGAAACTTTTTTTTGAACAAATTTGTTAATTTTCAGTGTGATTTTATGGACAAATTTGGAATTTACACCCAAATTAAAACCTAAAAATAATATTTATCACAATTTTTAATTAGAACCCTAGATTTTACATCCATAAAGATGAAAAATTATATTGTTTTAGTCTCGTTTCTGCTCCGATTTCCCTCCATTGGCTGTGGACCACGAACAATCCTCGGTTTGACACTACCACTTACTCGTCTCAAGAATCCGAAGGTCGTCAAGAATTCGTCAGTCTAAAGGCTACGGAGATGTGCCACGATTGGTATGATGAAGATGGGGCTCAATGGAACTTCATCCGCGACACCGAGACCAATTCGTCCTGTCCTTGTGTGGAAAGTCAGGCCAAATACGATCTGGGAAGATTCATGCCGCATCCTCGATGCTCGCAGACCTTTAGAGACATCACTTGCACGACGATGATCGGAGCCAAGAATTGTTACATGAGTTCTTCCAATATCTACGGCGCTCATGCTGGAAGGACTGTTAATTACGGATACGAAGCCGAAAGAACAAGGTAAAAGCGGGTTTATGGTGGAGAATTATTCTCTCTAAACACCTAAGTACCCCAACAGTTTTTCAAAACATATTTCTTATCGTTAGGTCATCATTTTTATGTCTCACATTATACTGGGTGATTTGAATTTTTTTCTTTTAGTCTTTTCCCCACCCATTATGGCCAAGTTTGTTGCTACGATGAGAAAGGATTCCTCCAACAAACCACCTACCAGCCAGTCATCAAAGTGATTGAGGAAACTCCTTACAATCCGGGCTTTCCCCTCAGAGCATACGAGTTTGGCACTTCTCCATATATGGGTCAGTTCGAGGTCCCTGGACTCTCCGCCTTCCATCACGACTATATGCCGTATTTCTTGTGTTGCAAGTTCGCCAAGTTCCGTTGCCAACTCTTCTATTGGCGTCGTCCCTCCTCCGGCTGCCAACAATATCAACCACCCGCGATTGGAGAGGCCCTCGGGGCCGGAACCTTCCACACGGTCGACAATGAGAAGTTCATCTTCAATGAGCCCGGAGTCTACACTTTGTTGTACATCCCGAAGACAGTGTTCACTCCAGAAGTCCGTATTCAGGTCAGATTGGAGAGGTACCCCAACAGGAGAGTCGACTTCTCACTTCTCGGCCGATATCTGAGTCAAGAACAGCTTGTCCAGCCGACCAATGCCACTGTAATCACGGGAATTGCTGTTGAAGCGACGGGCACGGACCGAGTCCATGTTCTGGCCAGAGGGGACACGAGGAGGTTCAGATATAGAACAAGTGTCATCGTGGGGAATATCCTCAGATATTTTGACACTATGCATCTGCAACGCTTCAAAGGAGTGCTCATTTATGTGAACAATGTGGAAAGAGGGCAGCCGGAGGTCTATGTGGTGCTGGAGGAGGCTCAGATTGGGGTGAGGATCAGAGAAAGTTACAGTATGGACATTGATCGGATGCCTCAATATCAGGAGTCCATGGGAATGTTGGACATTCAGTTGTCGGTCCCACCGCAATATGGAGTGGTGAGTAGCTTTCAGCTGCTTTTAAGCCATGGCAATTTTTGATTTGTAATGAAAATTTTATATTTTAGCGTCCTGATGGAGATAAAACTCGGGAACAAGAACAAAGACAGCGATATGCCCTCCCAAGAGTGGCCGGATTACTTCGACCGTTCCCAGAGACAGCCACTGGCAGCTTCATGAACACCATTACGTTGTCTGATGTTAATTCCGAGACCATTCGGCAACAAATTATCACCAATTGTAAGTGTAATATGATTTTGGACCGAAAACCACAATTTTTGTTGAGTCATGTATTGATTTGACTGCTGCAAATATAAGGCATACTAATTTGCTATATTTTAGACAAGGTTCCCGGCAGTGGCGAGACCTTTACCGACTACAATCAAGCAACTCTCAACCAATACATTCCCACGGATAACATGTTCAGTACAAGTAGAGATGAGGACAAGAAGTTCGAGGTGTTCCCGGAGGCCGTGATGAAGAATCAGCCCATTTACAAGACTTCTGAAGTCTACGAAACGTGAGTTTCAAAAAACATTTGAATGATAATATAATTTTAGCGTGGCCTATCGATTCCGCCCTATGACTGGTCAGGAACTCCAACAACTCATAAACTTCTGCGCTGAATTGGCTGGATCCAACACCAGTGAGTTGAAAATTTAAGGCGCTTTTGATATTACTTATATTAGACTAGACAAAATGAACTAAAATTTTAGTCAATCTCCAACCTCTGGCTGGTCAGATCTATCAAGACTCGGCGCAACAAAGATGTCCCGACAATCCACAGAAGATCCTGACGGATTGCGGAGACAATGTTCCTTGCTTATACGACTACACGATGATGAATGCTGAGATCCTCGGGAACGAGGCCAAGAATGCGTGGAATGCCTTCGTTTACGATCGGAATCAGGCCATCAGGCAATGTAAGGGACTTGTCTCGACTAAAACATTTATTTTTCAATTAAATTACCTAGTGTAATATTTGCTATGTTACAGACAACAGCTGTGGACCCATTATGATTGAGTACCCCGAATATCTTATGAAGACTCCAGCGTTGAGTTCAAGCTATTTGGAGGGAGATACCGCGAGATTTGAGTGTTTCCAGACTCATTGGATTCGAGGGGATCATGATTACAAATGTAAGTTTAAGCTATGAAAGTTTTGTTTCGATTTTTTGGCCTTTTTACTGCGAAGATCATGGCTTTCGACTCTAAATTTAATCTCATTCTTTAGGCAGTATCGTGGTCGACTACAACAACCCCAACACTTACCGTTTCGAATGGAATAAGGGCTGGCAACCGTGGTGCCGCTCTCGAGAAATGGACAACTTCCTCAAGTGGCTGACCGCCATCATATCCATCATGGCCATTATTATGGTTTTCATATTGATCTTCTTCTTCTGCTGGACGTTGAAGATGAAACGACAACAGGAAAGAGAGCAGAACAAGAGCAGTAGATTCACGCGATCCGTGGATGACTCGACGTATCCGAGGAAGGAGGACATCGACATTAATGGCTTCCGAAGAGAGCCCGACTTCAAGGGTCCCCCAGAATCCGAACTCCGCGCCAGACGCCCGGTGGGCCCGGTCCATCAAGATGAGGGCGAGTCTTTGGTCGGTCTTAACACTAGTGTCTAAAAAACGGAAAATCATTCCAGTTCACGCCTATGATATCAAAAATTACTCTGTAATTATGGTCTACCTATTGTCTAAGCACTGTATAACTACTTTCTGGTTACTGCTCTCACTGCCTTGCCAATTTTCTCTGTAAGTGTCATATCTGTGTTATTTATATTAGCTACTTTCTATTGTTTAAAAAATGTTTACCTCTTGTTGTAGAAACTAATAAACTAATTGTTACAAATGTGGGAAGGGCTTAGGATTTACATACCAAAAACTTATTTAAATTAGATTTTGATTTATGCAAAATATTGGCACTAAAAAATCCTTTTGAATATATTAATGTGTTCAAGAAATCACACGTCCTTAATATGACTTCCGTGTCCGTGAATTGTAAAGTTTGTTCCGTACTTCCAATTTCTTTGTTTTCCTTTTTCGGACATTACTGATAACCGCTGATAATGACCGCAGAAAACGCCTGCGGGCTTGAGTGCAATGACTGTACAAAAAGTAATACGCTAATATCATCGCAGAGCTCAATTCACCGTTTACACCTTGTTATAACCAATATCATCCGTATTATTGATCAGGCGAAAACTGAGGTGATATGCTTTATTTATGAAATAACATTAAAGGATGTGGCCAAATGCCCCGAAATGGCCGCGTCAATCTTGTCCCCCGGTTTGCACGGGGAGACTCCAGGCGGGGTTCCCGTTAGAATCAAATCTCCCGGTTCCAAAGTCATGAATTGGCTGGTGAATTCGATCAAAGTGGGGATGTCGAAGAACATTTCGGAGGTCCTCTCACATTGTCGGGGCTCTCCATTCACAGCACATTGTAGCTCGAGTTGATGGGGATCGGGGATGTCCGACTTCTCGATGAATCCATGCAGTGCACAGCCAGTGTCGAAGGCCTTGGCCAGGAACCAGGGATGCCCGTTCTCGATTAGTTTGTCCTGAAAATGAGTTTATATTGGTGTGTCTACGTATAGCTTATTTATTGTTTTTGTATCAAAAGTTGACTATCAATGCAAAGGAGCATGTCTGACAATGAGGTTCCAATTTTTCGGTTCTACCTAAACTTTTCGACCTTAAATTTAAGAAGACTATCTATGCCTCATGTAGCCTGTAAAATTTCACGCCAATCTTGGCATTATTTACGGACTGTCATCCTTTTTTGAATTTACAAATATCTCACAATTTCATTAAAAATTTTCTTTGAATTGTGTTCTCCGCGAGCGGCGCAATATATAATTTCAATATAGTGGCATTTCCTCTACCTACCAGCACATCCCTTGCCGTCATGTCCAACGCCAGCGTGTAGCCAGCAACATGTTCATAGGCATCTTCTTTCTTCACAAATCTCGCAGGCTTTCCAATCACAACTCCCAATTCGACTTCATGAACCAACTTCCCGCAGCCCTCAGGCACCCTTATGTTCTGTTTGTTGGAGATGATGGAGCTTGACGGTTTCATGAACACAATCGGTTCAGCGGGCGGGGCTTTCCCATCTTGGTAATTGCGGCCAATGCAGATTACTTTCTTCGAGATTTGACGGTAATCTGGAGCGGGTCTGAAACGAGATTAAATTAGAGACTATTTAGCTAGTTTACAATTACTTTTTAACAAAACTATGTCTTGAAATGACCTTATACTTTATGCATACATGAATTTTTTCTAAATTAATATTCAACTCACTTTGTCCGTTGAACTACTTCGTTGGCAAGTCTGGCAAGTCTCATGGCAACCGATTGCTTGGGCTGAGGTCTGAAGAAGACGATTCTTGAGCGACGATAACGAGTATTCCGCTTATAAAGTAGTCCGGGCCCCGCCCCTCGAGGCCCTAAAGGAAACACCTGTGAAGATCGCCTCAGGGCAAAAGGGAAGCCCCCACATATTTGGGAGAGTGGGCAAACAGCTGCCAACTTCTTCTAAAGGGATCCGTGGGCCTTTAGAAGCAAACGGCCTAGGGGCTTTTCTTCTAAAGGGATCAAGAACAGGCTCTAACGGCTTTAAAGGCCGGTTTGATTGATCTGCCGATACGAATTGGATATATTCGGGAATGACTGGAAAGCCTTTAACGCCGGAACAAGTCCAGGATGACTTTGTAGCAGTCATTAGCAGAAAAGTGATCCCAAAGCACGTAAAGATATGATGAGAACCACTTACGCAACAGACTGCATGAAAAACCGATGTCTCTTGTCCTTAGCTGTTTTAAGCCCGGTTAACCACCATTCTCTGAGCATCATCTTGACCTGAATATCAAGTTTAGTTACAGAAGAAAGTAAATGGAAAAGTAATTATTTAAATTAATTCATAGTAACATTTGATTCTGGTCTATTAGCCTCTATAGTACTACAATATATTACCTTAATTTTTTTTCTTCAAAAATTTTGGAGCTTTGCATACGTCTGGTCATAGTCGACCAAACGTGTAGAAAATGCGATCATTTCCCCCTCTGACCTTAGCCTTGAGTATCTTCAGACAGAGTACACCAAAAATAAAATAACTTACCGTATAAAGTTGTAGATGTACCTTCTCCAGAACACCGAATGTTGTCAAACTAACAATTCCTTTGGATTACCGATACTTTAAGTATTCCCTTCCCATTTCTCAACATTTTTTTCTCCATTTCTCACGTCGGATCACCGCAAGGCGAACGTATTTTAACTGGACACCGTACCTATAAATAACAAAAAAACAACGTGTGTTTGCAAAACCAAACAAAAAGCAAGGGAATTACGTAGACGTAGTAGCGGGGAGAGCAAGAGCAATCAAAAATATTATACTAGAAGTTCGTACTTGCTTTTTGGAAATTCACGTATACAAACAAAAACAGTGAAGAGGAAGGTCGGAAGACTTTTATGGGGACTGCAAAGATCGGTGGTGGGATTGATAAGGATTTTGAGTGGATTCGAGAAAATTCTGAGAAAATATTACACTTATTGCTATGTCACCCTATCTGATATTGGACTTGATTTTTTCGAGTTTTCTACCCTGTGTGCGTTGTCCAGTTTCTCTCAAGGTACATAATGCAGCGATAGAAGAAAATTTAACATCCTTTATTGCTATTTTATCATCTATTGCGTCATTCTCTATATTATCCATGACATGAGATCTCAAGCAGAAAATTGGTAATTTCAAAAGCTTTGTTAAAATTCCAAAATATTTGTATAGAAACCTAAGGCATCCTAGACCATCATAAACGTTTATTCCATTCCAATCAGCAAACTACTGATCTGTTTTCTACTTTTAAATTATCCATGATTTCAGATGCAAATAAAAGTTTGCTTTTTTAATCCGCTGTTAGTTCGAGATCAATCTCAAACACCACCCACTTTATGGATGTAAGTTTTGTGTTCTCCAACCCTTAGATCATCTTCGGTTTGGTCTGTTTATGTGTCTGTCCATACAATCTGACTTCGTATTCTGTATCAAAGATTTTTGGTTTTTTTTTAAGATACGAACCAGACCCAAATCATTCCCCCATTTTTTATTCACTGATAAGACCCGAATTTAATGACAGATCACGTGCATCGACCCCACCTAGACACATGCCACTTTTTTTGGGCTTTCCCGGCATTAAAGCAGGGGAATCCCGGCTCAAAACGAGAGACCTCCCGGAAACAAATCTAGAGAGTAGCCCGAGGGCGTGAATAATGAAGGGAGGTCATGGGGTCATACAAACGAATATACCTGCAGAACCTTTAATTTATCGTCGCTTTAGAACAATTATAGAAACAACTTTCTACAGAAGTCAACATTGAAAAATCTATATGTTACAAAAACATCTACAGTACATCACATATAAACATCTACGGTATACATATTATTTACATATGAAATATAACGTGCATAATCAATCTCCCATTATAATTAATCCTCAATAATGACGTTTGTGACCTTCAATAGTCACGCCGTCTTTTTCTTTGTTGATCATTTGACTTTCGTATTGCGTATCAATAAATTGAGTCTCTAAAGATATGAATCACAACTTTACGTCGTCTTTATTCTCTGATTAGAAGTCATTTTAATTAAAGACCACGTGTCTTAGACTTGGCTAGAGATTGCCCTAAACATTTTTTAGGGCAATTCACATATTGAATTAGATCAAAGAAAAGATCATCAAAAAATAAAAAGATGCGAAACTCAACAGATATAAATAAGACGACAAGAAGTTGACTAATAGGACGTCAACATAAATTTTGTCTAATCCAGGAATCAAATTTTATAATAAAAAGAGAAATAAACAGAGCACAGATGACCTCACAACGTTAGCAAAAACATTCAAGGAGACCTTCGTTGATTATAAATGACCTTATCAAGAACCCGTCTCGAAAAAAGTTTCTTTTCCATAAGACCCAACTTCTTCTTACAATTGGTCTCCGAAAATGAGTAAACCTTGCTAATTGTATACCGTCGACGACGGCAAGCCCTTTGTAAAGCCAAAGTTAACCGATCTATCAGATGTAGACCCAAGTATTGCCAATTTCCCTCACTGTACATGCACTTTTCCTCAATTTTTTGACCATTTATTTTATAATTCACCCTCTTTTATCGCTGACGTCGTTATACAATCTAGATAATCATAAGAACTCTTTCAGATCGACGATTTATTGGCCACATGAGCTCAACAGTTCAAAGTGAGTAAATCCAGCAGTTTTTTCGGACCCCAATCAATTGTTATATTCCGTCCTAAAATTTATTGATTTTATAAATATTTTTGGAAAAATAAAAGATAATTTTTCTTGCAAATTTAGCAGAAATGTCGTCAAATTTGGCCAACTTCCGTCAGTTAGCGAAGAAAATCGTCTGCGTTGGGCGAAATTACCGTGAACATGCAGCTGAACTCAACAATCCCGTCCCAAAGAAGCCAATGCTGTTCCTGAAAAGCACAAACGCTCTTTTGGCTGATGGTGGAACGATAATTGCCCCTCCAGGTTGTCAGGATCTTCATCAAGAAGTTGAATTGGCTTTGGTAATAGCAAAAACAGCAAAGAATGTCAAGAAGGAGGATGCCTATAATTATATTGGTGGATACACAGTCGCTTTGGACATGACCGCAAGAGATCTTCAGGTAAGAACGTTTTTGTGGTTATGTTTGGCATTTAGGTTGTGTTCTAATTCGATTGGGTATCTTATCTATAAAGAATTTACGTTTTTATACCTGTTTTGATCAAAATTATACGAGATTTGCCCTTTGACGGGTTGTTTACGCTAAGGAATCTTTCGATTTTTAATAAGTAAAAATTACTTGCAGCTTTTTATGGAAAAAATTGATATTGCTATAAAATAATCAAAATGGTTTTCTTTTTTACGATTTGTTGATATTATACATGATTAAGTTTATGTTTTGTTTGATCCTTTCTCCTATATTACGGCTTAAACGTCTCATTAATTTATTTCCTTTCAGAATGAGTTCAAAAGTAAAGGATCTCCATGGTTTTTGGCCAAAAGTTTTGACACTTCATGTCCAGTGGCTGGGTTCGTCGATAAATCCAAGGTCCAAGATCCCCATAAACTGGAACTAGAATGTAAGATTAACGGCGAGGTCAAGCAGAGGGATCTCACCGACAGCATGATATTCGACATCCCTACTTTGATAGAGTTTACAACTAGTTATGTTACACTCGAGCCAGGAGATCTTCTTTTAACCGGAACGCCTAAGGGCGTTTGTTCTTGTAAAGCCGGTGATACCATCGAAATCCGGCTCTCGGACCTGGTCAAGGCCAGTTTCGTAGTCGGAAAGTAGATTTATTAGTTGTATTTTCGATATTAAATAGTCAAATAAATTTAGTTTGAAGTCACAAAAAATCGGCTGGTATGAAAACATTATACTTTCAAGGCCCAGAAAAGCCCATTGCGTAAATATTGGTCACTTGTTATGTTTCCCGTATGTTCATGCCCTCCAAAAGACCCCGACCTCCCGTTGCGCAATTACCGTACTCCGCGCAACATTCTCTCGCTGTTTTTGGAATAAATTAAAATAAATTTTCCCATAATTAATTGAACAATCGTCTAGAACAATATAAGAAGCGGCGGAAATGACCTCCCAACTTTAAAGGGAATCTTCCTCCTTTTTTGTGTGCGCAATTACTCTCTTAATGAAAACAGATGGACACTCAACCCGATTCCGCACACTTAACAATATTTCCGAGGGATAAGGTGCAGTCTCATACTTGGTTCGTCTACTATAAGGTCGAGAATCCCGTTGATCATGAGCGAGCGCAGTGAAAGCCCCGTCCCAGAGTACTGTCAGGCATTTGATGTTGTGGGTAAGTCATTTTGCCATCGTAAAAATTTTTTTTCTTTTCTTATGTATGATAATTAATTTCAGCTAATGATGGGAGTACTAAAAGATATCTCTTTCCAAAAGCTTTGGATCTGAACCGACCTAAACGCCCACGGACTACCTTCTCAACGGATCAGTTAAAAATATTAGAATCCGAATTTCAGAAGAATCCGTATTTGGTGGGGTCGGAGAGATGTGCGTTAGCCAGAAGATTACATTTGAAAGAAATCCAAGTGAAGGTCTGGTTCCAGAATCGAAGAACAAAGACTAAGAAGGGATCCGATGGAGAGAAGGACACCAAGAGGTAAGAGAATCACTCTCGCAATCAGATATAACGTCAAAAATTCAGCCAAAAGTCATCGATTTCCCCGACCGCAAACCTAAATCAGTGTCACCCACAAGATCCCGCTATCCTGGGTATTCATAGCATGGCCTGTGAGCTGAAGCAGCCTCTATACTTGAATATCCCAACAAACATTGCTCAGAATCCATTCGTTCCTCCCAATTTCAGTCAATTTTATGTCGATTTCCTCCGATAAATCGTTGGTTTCGAAAGGATAACTTTATTTATTGTCATCAACAACAGCTAATAAATATGGAACAAACGCTCTGATTATTCGATTTTGCTGATAAATTTGCCAACAATAACAAAATTCTCAACCAAAAACCGCTTATCTTGCATATGAGGTAACGAAACCCGATTTCATTTACATTTCCCCATTTTCCATGACGAGCTGATATCATCATCGTGATATACGCGATAATGAGAGCAGTCAGAAGGAAATGCCCTCTTTGTTGTGGTCAGTCAGTAGTTTGGGGATCTCTTCCCAGTCTTGATAAGATCGATTTTTTGTTTATTTCGGCCTCCGAAGAGTTTTTTTTTGCACGTGTGTTATCTAAATGATATGGGAACATTGAAACTGATCAAACTGTTACATGCCAAACATGTTTACATGCATGTAAAAAATCCTTTTGTCCAATTTTTATAGATTTTTTTTCGAAATTTTGTTGTTACAAAAAGTGCTTGCAAGCGATTCCTAGAAACTTGCATGAATCTAGCATGCTTGAAGTTTCTGTTAGCAAGTCGCTTTTAAGATTTTTGAATCATCATGTTCTTGCCATTTCTGACAATGAAATCATGAAATTAACCTTTGTGTGAGCTCCCCTCATATTATCCTTGAAATTATAGGGTTTCGAAAGATAAAATTAGTTCTCAAATAAATTGTTGTGTTTACAAGACTCTAAACATATGTTTATTGTGTCTCCATTTTAGCCCATATTGGACTCGCTGTGATTCATTTTCTTCGGTTTCCCGCGGGAAACCTTTAGTGCCCGTTTTTCCTTCCATTTCACGTCTTTTGTTACGGATCAACTTACGATTTGAGGCGGAGGACGGGTTGCTCGACGTGTTTGATGTTATATATTCTCGCCAAATTTTAGCCAATTTTGCATGTTCGGGTCTCATACAACGTTACTTTTGAGTAAAAACTCGATTTTAGGTACCTATCCGGAAGATGCTAGATGTGTCGCATGCATTCAGGGAACATGGACGGTTGGTAAGGATTTTATTTTTATTGTTATGAATTTAGATCTACATTATCCTTGGAGTCGTTGTCTTGGCCGTTGCACCATGCGGATATCACATGGTCGCGCTCAATGTACCTACAAAAAATATACAGAAGGCTTTAAAAGCTGAGATACTCCGTGATTATGGTCTTACCATCTCTGATTCTGCAATGGATCTGTTATGGTAAGAGTTTTATATTGATTTAGTCCTGAAAGTTCATGGATAATGCTATTTTCTAATTTTTATGAAATTTCCAGGGGTCTTATCGTATCCTGTCAAAGCATTGGTGCATTGATCGGATGTTTGTTACTAATGCCCTTGGAATCTGCTTTTGGAATCAAGAATACGTTGATGTTGTACAGCAATGGAGTTCTATTATGCGGAAGTATCTTCTTGTTTCTCTCGTACAACTTTAATACAGCGTTGATGTTGGTACTGGGAAGGATACTGGTTGGTATTTACACTGGTTTATCTTCTGCGTTGGCGCCGATGTACGTCGCGGAGTTGGCTCCTTCCAAAATTAAGGTATGATTACATGAATTGTTGATGATGATTGTCGAATCGGCGTTTTGGTGATGTTAGTGCTATGATTTCAGGGCAGTCTGGGATGCTTTGTCCATATCTCCGTTTGTTTTGGAGCCGTATTGGGCGCGTTCTTCTCCTTAGAATCGTTCTTGGGAAGCGAGGCCTTCTGGAATGTCCTACTTTTTCTCCCAGCAATCTTCGCTGTTATCCAGATGGTAATTTGTCGTCAGATTCCTCACACTCCGAACTTCTTTCTGGCCAAGGATGACACCGAAATGGCCGCGGAGTCTATTCGTTTCTTCTATGGATTTGAAGGACTTTCTGACCAAGAATTAATGGCAAAATATCGATCGCTGGTCACAAAATTGCCTCCCCAGCTGAGTTTCCGACAGTCCATAGCCAACCCAACTAACAGGAAGATGATTTTCATTGGAATGGTGGTCAGTGCTACTCAAATTTTGAGTGGAAGTATGGCCACCGTAGCGTATAGTACAAGGTAATTAAAGTTGTGTTTGATACTAGTTTCTTAAACTACTCTTCGCTTACTCATGACGGTTACAGTATGTTCAACTCGCTTTCGATTATCAACGGTCTTGTTCCGCTGTTCCCCACGTTCGGCGCCCTTCTGAGCATCTTCCTGACCCTTCCCGCCCTTCGGTTGGTCGAGACTTATGGTCGAAAACGGCTTCTAATCAACACTCTCATCATGTGTGCTACTGCCACTTATCTTTTGTGCTTCTTCTCCCTTATTGTCAAAGGGTTTAGTAAGTTTTATATATCGTTTTGTGGTACATTACACTTTAGATGCCGGGTCTTGGGCTTCCTTTATGTTTTTCGTTGGATTCCTGCTTCTGGGAGTGGGCTACAATCTGGGAACTGGACCGGTCTCGTACTTTATCCCAGCAGAACTTGTCAGCCCGGATTCGGTGGGATCAGCCTTGAGCGTTGCGGTGGCTACCAACTGGACCTTCACTTTGCTCACGACTTTCTTGTACTACCCTCTGAACGAAGCAGTCGGCGGATGGAGTTACCTCATGTTCGCGATTCCTACGTAAGTCTGAAACTTTCTTACTGTCGAAGTTTGCCCAAATGACATGTTTTTTGACATGGATAATGTAAGGTAATGTAATGCATGCATTCCAGGACTCTGTGTATCATCTTCCTCAACCGAAACCTCCCAGAGACCAAGTTCCCTAGCCTTATTCAGAGCGATGGCGTTATCCTCGCCTGCAATGTCCTTCCCGAATATGCAAACCTCGAAGAAAGTACGGATTCCTTCAATTACGGGACGATTTGATCGAAATACTTCATTTTTAAAAACTCTTTAGCTTCTTACTTTTCCACGGGTTCCGTTTTTTTAGTTTGGCCGATGCATTTTGATGTATGTACTATATGAGATACGAGATTTTTTGTTATACGGTAGTGTAATACGAGTATGTAAGCCAGTTGTGGATGTGATTTATAAAATAAAAGATCGTGTGCTTTAGTTGTGTGTTGTCTCCGAGTTACTGCATTGTGGGCAACGTGTGGAAGTGGATGATTATTTGGTCCGGGTCCCACCACGAAACTCTTGAGCCCAATCCGCAAAAAAACGGCTCGTAAAAAACAGAAAGCTAGCTGTGGTAAATTCCCGCTGGTAATCACGTCAAATTCTGAAGAATGGAGTTCATCGACTGGGAATCCGAAGGTCTCAACGAAAATTTTGTTGGTGGATTGAGTGTAAGCCATGGCTAATATTTATTTTATTTTTCCCCCAATCCTTTCAACATTTTCTGGTAAACTTATCCGTTGGCCTTGATTCCAGGCTTGGAAACAGTTTTTCTTCCAAGGAACGGATGATGGTTTGGAGCAGAACAAGTTGAAGACAATTGGTCGTTTCGCCGGCATCCTCACCAATTTCTACATGATCTCAAGGGGAATTGTTCCATTCGAAATTGCTCGAGTGGGTCGTTATCCGAACAAAGTCTCCTTCTTCGGAATTGTGGAGCAAAAATTGAGTAAATTGAACGATCCGCGAAACCGGGCGATCATGAAGAAGATCAGAGAAATCACCGAACTCATAAAAGAGGGGAAGGTAAGGGTTATTTTACCTGTTCTTAAGCCCCCGATAACCCTGTATTCTTTCTTTTATCAGCATCATTATGGGTATGTTGCGTCAGGCGACGTAACTATTGACAATTTCTATTTTTTGAATTCAGGTTGAGATCTACCAAATGATACTGCACAGTGCGGATGACATGGGGGATAGCAGGAAGGCTGTGGAAGAGTTGTCAATCTCATTGAAGACTTCAGAAGGAGATAATGTAAAATTGACGTAAGGGTTATTGTTTCTTACAATTATTTTGGGTTTAGTTTTGGAGATCTAGAATATGATGTTGATTTTAAGTCCGTTGGATTCGATGAATTTATTCGGACATTCTTCCGAATTTTGTGCAAGATCCAAGGGTACTGTTCATCACTTCCAAGGTTGTCCAAGAAGCATGCTCTGTACTTTAAGGCCACCTTGTTCGAGGCGATACCTCAGCCAAACTTTGGGCTTTTAACTGCTGAGGATGTAAAGTTTGATTATTCCGGACTTTCTAATGAAATTCTTGACGAAACTTGCTTGTACAGGCATAGAAAAGACGAAAAAAGACTGGCGTAAGTGTTAGTTTTTGATTTTTTTTGGCTATTCTTATATTATATTACATAAGAAGTTGTATTACTTTAGATCTGCCACGTTGTTCCGCCATAAACCTGTGGAACCTTCACGTTTAACCGAATGTGTCCAAGATTATTTGAACGAAATAGTAGAAGAAGAAAAGGTATGCAACCGGAGAATCATTTGTATTACGTTACACGCATTTCAGGACAAAAATCCTGAAAATCATCAGATTCCAATCGAAGAAACGTCGCTTTTCCGAGATGTCAGTGTAAGTGGCGTCTTGGAGGTGCTACTTCTTACATTTAAAAAAATCTGTAAAAAATTTTCAGATTCGTCAATCGCTTCCAAAGTCCGGTTCTGCCAGGAAAAGAGGACGTCAGCAGAAGGTATCATCTCCTCTCGAAGTCGAGTCTGTTAGGGTAAGTTCGTTTATTACTTCAAGTTTTAATTTTTAGGCCGATGACGCGCAAATTGGAGATGATGGTTACGATGAGCGCCCGATTCCTCGAAGAGATTCGTTGGAAGAGGTTGAGGTGAGGGAGTAATCCGGGAATGCATTTTATATGTTATTACCTGAAATTTTTTCATTTTATAAATTGTTGCTAAATGTTCCGACTTTACGAGAAAGTATTGGTTTACTTCTAAAAAGAAACGTAGATGATGTTTTTAGGCTCTGCTCGGAACAACCCAACAAATAAACAATTTAACCGTCGAGGATCGGCCAATGAATGTGGAAAATTCGAAGCTCGATGATACCGATGCAGAACTTCAGGATATTATGGATTCTCTCAGCAAATCCCAAAGGTTCCCGAAGAAAGATGTACAAAAACGCAAAAAAGGTAGCCGTGGAAGAAAAAGAAAGTGATGCAAGTGAGGTTCTACGTTAGTATTGATCAATTTATTCATTTTTTTGATGTTTTAGCGTTGTATATATTATGTATGCTGTTAGAGTTTATTGTTGTTACTAACTGTTATAAGCTGTTATTTTTACGCGTTTGTTTTGTTGGAGGATAAAGTTTTAGTTATTATTTTGGACATTTTTTAGCTAGTCAATTTTAGTTCTGCATGAGCCCTGCCGGAAGTTAATCGCTCATGTTTTTCAACCTTGTTTTAAGCCAGCTACTACAACAGATTACGGTCTTTGTCAGAGAAAGACTTTGGATTTGAAAGTTTTAATGAAATAATAATTCAAAGGTCCTTTCTGAAGTTTCCATTTCAATAAGTAGCTATTTTTTCGACTGGTCGGTTCATTCCATCGAGATATTACAATTGTGTGCAGTAGAAGATGCTTAGCGCCAGGGTAGAACCCTTCGATGTGACGCGCCCTTCGTGTCTTGGCGAGTACATTTCTTTTCCACGATTTTCAATGTCTTATTGTTAGGCCATCTAAGAATAGTATTTTTAGCTGCCATCGCGGTGATTGTCTTGTATTGGGTGATAGCTATCCCGACGATTGTCATTATTCACCTCAAGTTCATTCGTTCCGTGGGTTCTGAAGACGACGACGAGAAGACAAAGGAGTCCAAGAAGAAGGCTAAGAAGGGAAAGAAGAGCAAGAAATCCAAGTCTGAGGATTAATTTATATGACACTTGACTGGTTTGGTATTACACTTTGGATTTGAGTAAATTGCCAGCTCTTTTTCTTGTTTTTTTCCTCAGATTACTGTTTAAAACAGTTACTATAAAAACATTCGAGGCAATGACGTCATATGTTTATTCTTTCCATATAAAAATTGCTTCGATTGAGCAGAAAATTACCCGTCAAATGATGCGAAATTGACTCGAAATGCCTTGATATTGTTGAGATCATATGTCTTGGACTCTTTTTTTCTATGGCCACGACCAGTTTTTGTACTTTTTATGTCGAATTATGTCAGCACATCGGAATCGGGCCACATCGATTTCAAATGATATGCTAAAATACGGTGATTTAATGTCAGCGAATATTTTGATGACGAAGAATAGCGTTTTTAATTAACTTACTTTTGCTCCGGACCTCTGACCAATCTCATGTTTGTGATTACATCAAAAGCTACAGTATCCTCACTGGTTTTATCTTGGATTTCCTCGCCCTCAAAGAACTCCCCTGGCCTCACTCGGACGTTGTGATACAAGGGATCGGCGATCTTATCAAAGTTCTCGAATTCGCAGCATTGAAGATAGAGTCTGAAAGAAGTTGTTTGGGAAACAATAACACCTACGGTTGATGTTTTCCGTATGATTTGTCGAACCCTCCCACCCAGCTTTTCTTTTCGCACGACCGACGGAACGCTCGCTCATCGCAGTCCTAAAATACGACTGTGTGAAATGAAAACGAACTCGATTACTGTAGAGATATTGCACTTACAGCATACGTCTTCTCAAAACACTCGGGCTTCGAGCAAAGTAAGGCGGGCTGTCCATCTCTCGAGACCTCCAACCCAAACGGGATTTTGTTCTCGCCGCAGGTATGGCCCGAAACACTCATCACTCCCATTAAGTACAATATACAACGTTTCAGACGCATGGCTGAAAAGAGTTGACTCTTGGAGAATAAGCGGAGAGGAACCGGCTTTTATGTTATCGGTGAAAACGATCCCGAAGATGAGCTCGTTTTTTGAAAAGGAAAGCGAAAAGAACATGTTGGAAAACATGGTGAAATCGGTATGAAAATGGGCGATCAAGCATGCATGAAGGGATCAGGGCCGGATAAAAGGGAGGCAATTTAAAAGTATAATCAGAAAAATGATGGACTTAACCATGGTAAAAGGGCGATTCATACCACAGAACCTACAAAATAACCATAAACTCATTTTACTTCAATTTTTTCAAACCAAAAAAAAACAAAAAAGTTTCCTGTTTTGGGTGACTAAAATTAAATGATCAAAAGAAGAACGCCAGTCATCTCCAAAATTAGGTTAATGATGACAAAATCCGTGAATGATGATGAAAAAAAATCATCTAATGATGACAAACGACGCCTCCCAGATCACCCATCAATTATGAGAGGGATTACTTTTTATGGAGTAACTCAACAGCCCTTTCAAGTGGCTGAAAACAAAATGTTTGTTTTTACAGAAGAAGAGAGGGAGAGGAGGTAAGGTGAGATCATTCGAAGGGATTTATTTGGCTTTAGCAAAAAACTAGTATTTCAAATAGGGTTCGTCATTTTGGTCGCTAAATAAGGGGTTTTAGAGATGATGGAAGGTAATAGATGGTGGCTGCGGAACTTGCATAAACAACGTACTCAAAATCAGAAAAAATAAAAAAAAAAATTTTAATTTTTCGGAGAAACTTTTAATCGTGTTTTGCAGAAACAACGGATTTACAGGGCAACTTCGTTTTTTGTCATTTCCTTATCGATAAAGAAAAGTTTTTGAAAAGAAAATTTTTATCACGGGTTCCCTTTTTAAATTTTAGCAAAACAGTAAAAAAATATTGGAAATTTTCGACTTTTGTCAAATTTTCGAAAAGAAAGGGCTGTTTACTCTACCAGTAATTAAAAAATACTAGCGTTCCCACAAATAATTCAAGCTCATTTCACTCTACAGTGCAATGTTTTTCCACTCTTCACCCTCAAATTCGACTAAAATCCCTCCCCGCACAGTGAAGCTCATTATGCCCTGCGGCATTAATGCGGCGATACAAAAGAAAAATGAAATAAAATGAATCGAAATTTACCCAATAAAAGGTTGGAGTGAACAAGTCTCGGGTCGTTCGTTGATGAGAGTCACTTGACGCGACGACGGAGACCCCCATATGAAGAAAAGTTTCTCTGCTTTTTGGTTCTTAACACGACAAAATTTGGTTGTTCATACAAAGGGACCGAGATATTTGGGGAGAAGGGGGACTATTGTAAGGAAAACAGCGGTGTATAAGGTAAAATGGGGTCGAATTAATGATCTCAGATGGTTTAAAAATTGGAAATTGTGTCAAACGAAAGACAATGTAAGAAAAAGCGGAAAAAACTTGATAAGAAATAGCGGGCCTATCAAATAAATCGAAAAAATCACTATTTTCTCTACAAAAGTATCTGGAACTGAGGTATTACTAATAGCTCTCTGCTCCTTCAAATTGAATCAAAAAACTTTACCGACGCCTAGAATAAGTCAAGTCATCGATGTAAAGCCTGTTTCTAGACAGAGTGAAGGCCCGAGTTCCTCAAAAGTTGGTAAAAGAAAGTATCAAAAAGGAGTAATGTAAAAACAGAAGACCTAATGAAGAAAATGGGGATGACAATAAAGGATGAGCCACTAATGGGTTGTCAAGGAAACAACATGGATGATAAATTCAAAGTTAAAAAAGAAGGCATTTCTTCCAAAATTTTAAAGAAAATATAAAAATGGGACAATTATAATAGAGTATCACTGGCTCGTTCTCTGTGGGTAAATCGATGGTAAAAAGCTCTGGCTTAAAAGTTATTTCAAGCCAGAGACAAGCAAAACTTTATTTATCTCTCCCATTAGGCCCCACTCCCTTACTTTCATCCTTCGCGCAGTAAAAGCGGCCGAACCCTCGGCCCTACTGCTTGACGGCGCCCCAACTTTGACATGGAGAAATGTAAGGGAATTTAAAAAACAAAGTCCTCCGGGCCCATATAAAATGAGGAGGAAAATTGGGCCGGAGGGCATTGCCTCAGGCAAAATTAAGTCGAATAAATGCGGAAAAGAGCATGACAAATGGGTTAGTTTGGTGGTGTAAATCGCCGAAATAATACAACAAAGAAAGAAATGGAAGAAAAATGGAGAGTAAGAAATGACGGGTCAACTTGTCGTATATTATACATGAGACCTTTGGCCAGATTACTAATCCCATATGCACTCCACAAACATGTGTGCAAATAATAAATCAGGGAACTTGAACATGCTTTTAGAGAGCTATATTACATTTTGAGTGCAACATCTAGGCCACTGAGAAGGTTATTTAGGCATTTCTTTGGCGGTCACATAAAAAATCTTGGTCGTTTCTGCAAAGCGCGGTCTAGAAATGATGCATATATGTAATCATAAAACAATATTCCAAATTTGTCCCAGGTTTCATCAAAATCTGAGCGTCGCACTTTAAATTACGTCCCTGTAAACCAAAAAAACCAATGTTGCAAAAATAAATAAACAGAGATAGTGAAGTAAAGTCGCTTGTAACAACGTTCTAAACAATGTTTTTTGTTCCGATTGAATCCCGACCCGATCTCCCATCCATTTCGATAAGAATAATGTCAAAACAGGAGGGGAAATGTCAATTAATGGCTGTTTACAGCGATCGCAACTGATGGTCGGAGGCGATTATCGAGGACGAAGAGGACTCCGATAAGAGCCCCCTCCCTTCTCCAAGACTGAATGGGCTTAAATTGGGGGGTCATTTCGAGGGTTTAATGGGCTCCAAACAAATACATATCCGCGGAAGAGAAAGAGACTAATTTCCGATGAAACCGAAAGTTGATGCAGTAATTTGGAGGGCTGCTGCAAGTAGGTTATTGTGGTTTGTTGAAGTTATGCGCTAGTCTTAACATAAGATGTTGATGAGAAAAAAATGATGACAATTTGTCCTGAACAACAAGGCCTGTTGCAATACTTACTACACATTTGAAGCCACTTCTCCAACCAAATTTTGCAAAGATTTATTCTCTCTTAAAGCTCCACATTTGCATATAAATTACAACAATGAATAAATTAGAGGACCCGAATAAATTACAAAACCGAGGAAAGCAGACCTTTGGCTGATACAAAGTCCCGTTGAGAGAACGGGAATCCACATCGGACCTCGAATCTGAGGGTTTCATTCAAACAAACACCCGATCTCCATAAAACAACATCGTCATTATGTTTCCGGAGGCCATAATTAAAGTGCTGCGCACATTTATGACTGTTGGAGGGGATTTTCCCAAGGATTACGGCTTCATCCGTCTTCTGGCAGTTCAATGGGCAGAGATTTTGGATCGTCTGCAAATAATTTTTTTGTTTTTTTAATTTGGGGGGCATCTAGTTTCCGCCCAGTTATTGGCGGATTACAACAAAAGCGGCACTTTTTGAGGTTCAAATGGTTATAATCCATTAATTTTTGTAAAGCGAGAGCTAAAAATTTTTCTGCAGCCTTGAAATGATTTCTCATTGCCCTAGCCCATCTTTCATCATAGTTAGCACATTACTCTGAGGTTACTATAACAGCAACAAAGCGGCTTCACTTACTTTACTGGCCGGATCGAAGGCCTCAAAGCAATCCTGTCCAAAGTCCGAGAAATGCCAATCCGATCCCCTCAAGGCACACTGAGTAATTGGGCTACTGTAATCTACCCACGCGCAATCCATCGACCTTCTTTCTAAACTTTTATGATTACTATAAGTATCATCAAGTGCATCACAAAAGTTTGACCCAAATTCAGTAATAGACTTACGCCAATGGTAAAGTTCTGGCCTTGACACCACTTCAGCGATCATAGAGACTACCAATATCACACAAACGGTTAACATGATGGCTTCTGTAAATAAACGTAAACGATTTTTGTCACCAATTATCCAGTACAATATCACGATCGACCTGATTTCGTATTTATACCCGCACGTATCCTGTTACAATACAATAAAAGATAAGAACGAGTTATCTTTACTCTTTGACCACTTTTACTGTGCTTATTTATGTCGCCGCAGCCCAAGGGCGGTGCATCGAAAGTCAGGTAATGGATGTTTATCACTTGCGCAATTGAGGGCGGAGGCAAAAAGTCACCGAAAAAACTGGTAGTTAATCGAAATGCTTCGAATTGAATGAATGGGCCCTTTCCTTTTCGTCGATGACGCCCCATCCATCAAATTGTATTATCCACGATGACCACGTAAATAATATCAAAAATGACCGTATACGACGTCAAAAATGGACACCGGAAGGAGCCTAGAGGAGATTCTGGTATCTTACAGCAAACTATATTAGAATAAAGGATGAGGGAAGATTTCATCTATATTGTAGTAGGCAGGTGGATGACTTAAATAGTGAACTTGGAGATGAAACCAGCTAGATTATGATCTGAAACTCTTGCAAATCTCTGAGGGCCCCTATTCTTCGTCATTTACGGTAGTGGATACATTACGCAACGAGTAAGAAACAAAAAATAAGGAAAGTTTTAAAAATTCATCTATTCAACAAAAAGTAAAAAAACTTTTATTCTTTTTCACAAAACTTTAAATTTTGACTATAATACTAACTTCCTAAAATGTAACAGATTCACATGAAGTATCGCCCATTCCCGACCGTTCCCGGCATTTCTTCAATGTTCTCCTTATCAATTCCGATCTTTTTTATTCTGCCGTTCGTTCCGGCGTCTCAAACCGGAACCTTGAACCGCTAACTGAACCGAGAAGGTGCTAAACCGATTTTCTTTATTTATCTTCGCGCAATTTATTTGCTTTCGCCCGAGGCAATGGAGCAGGGTGCTTTGATCAGGGATCCGGGTCTTATAATGGGCAACACAATCAGCGACAGAAGTGGGAAGGTTGGGGGAAAGGATTCAGCAGAGTTCAAAGGCAGCTTCCAAAAATCAGACCAATCAACTTTATTTGCACCAAGACACAAAAATAAACGTTTCATAAAAAGCACAGCGGGAGAACCATCCATACCTATGGTGAAAGTCGGCTTGGTAGTGTGGCCATCTCCAATTTCGGCTGAAAAAAATAAAGTGCAGTTATATTATTGCTTGCGTATTTGCATACAATATTCGCACATGTTGTAAGTAGGTGGTTGGTTGCGACTTGAAATTTTTAGAATAAATTTGCCCTGATAAAATTTTCGTTAACAAACGGAATTTTCTTTTCTTTTTTTTCATGAGAGAGAGCACGCAAAATGAGAGGTAGTCAGAGAAAAAGAAAATCAAAGTTACCCCAGTCGAAATCCTCCGATTTTATAGGGACCACGGCAAATGAGAGATCGTCAGAGAAAACGGAATCGCGAGTTACCCCAGTCAAACTAATACGGCGAAAATGCGGATATAGTGTGGAAATTCTTCTTTCGTCGGCTTCCTTGTGAAGTCCTGGCCACAACAACATCGGAAGACGGAAGACCCGTGGAACCTGGACCCAAAGACCGCCTGCCCCCGACGGACCCAAGTGACCCGGCCACCCTCGACGAAACTCACCCTGGACCCATGGAACCAGACTACCGACGAAGTTACTTGGAAATCGTTTATTGGGAGCCGTTGAACCACCCAGTGCCTACATACCGGCCGACGTTCACCATTATCTGCGAGATGCCGGCCGCCGATTGTCTACCCCTGAAGGGTGCCGTTCTCCCTCGACGAAGTATCTTGGAAATCGTGTATTGGGTGCCGTGGAGACGTCCAGTTGTTGTCGGAGGGCGTCCGGGCTGCCTACCGGGCGTTTCGAGGATGCTGCAACTGGAAGCCGCCAGTTCAGGGGCAGCTGCCGTGGCTGGCTGTTGTGGCCTAATTTTTGAATGGCCGAGCCTTCGGGTTCGGCCTGATAAAAGCGAGAACTTAGGGTAGAAGTGTCGGAGTTTCTGAAAGCGAGAGGGTGTTTAAAATGCAGAAACGCCAGAGAAAAAGAAATGAACGTTACCCCAGTGCAAATTCTCCTGATAAAAAATAGCACCGTAAAATGAGAGGCGTTAGAGAAAAAGAAAACGCTAGTTACCCCATTTTCAACTCAATGAACGTTATATGTTGAAGGTATGAAAGAAAAAGCGGGGGTTTTGGTGTTATTGACAACATTCAGTCTGTGAGAGACTCTAACGACAGCATCAAATAATGTAACTGCTAGGATCCGCAAAATTCGACCAATTTTGAAAGTGAAGTCCAAGTTCAGGCATTCAAAATCTCAAAGTTAACAAAATCTAAGTTTCAGCGCATTGAAATTAGCCACATATAACCAAAAAAAGGATCTTCAATTTGTTATGTGTAACATAAGTGAAAAATGTAAGTGAGCATTGATCGTATATGCGTTTCTTAATGTCATTTTAACCGCTTTACTTTGTCATCACGTCCGGTCCAAATAGAAGAAAAGCCACGGTTGAGATGGTCTCACGAGCTGCGCCCGCGATTTTGAATTCGCCGGCGACATGTTATACGAAAGAATATCAAATTTCGTAATAATTGCCTCAGGGCTCTAATATTGTAGGCACAAAATATTATTTTCACGTAGACCTGATATACCAAGCACCAAGTTTCTATCGTTGTCGATCTTCGAGTTTTGCTAAATATAAGGTTTTGCCTTGTTTTGAGCCTGTTTTTGTACCCATTTTTGGACCCCTTTTTGGCATGTAGTGGTAAAAGTAAGACAGTTGCTCCAAATATCGTTCTCTGTAATTCAAGATACATGTGTTGTTGAACGTTTTTAGGTCTAGTTAGACCTCAATGATATGCCTCCTTTGAGAAACGTTGGCGACAATGACGTCAATTTTGGGCTAAATTTTGATGATTTTTGCGTATATCTGCCTATATCTTTTTTCAAACGCCTTTTATCGACAAAATCGTCCTCTGTAATTGTAGACAGGAGGCTTGTCAATGTGTAGGAACTTGTCTTATAATTCAGAGACCAACAGTTTTTTCGAAACGTTGGCGACAATGACGTCTACTTTTGGCTAAATTTTGATGATTTTTGCATATTTCTGCCACCCACTTTTTCAAACATGTTCGAAACAAATTGTTTTTGGATATTACGAAAATTAGAATGGAAAAATATAATTTCTGAAAGGATTTCGAAATGGATTTGGCATTCAAAGAGTCATTCCGTGTCATCTTCTCCATCAATGTCTTCATCAATTTGGCTTGTGTCAAGCCCAAATTCGTCGTACAGCACCGTCCTTTCGTGAGCCCATCGCAGTAAGCTGTCCGCCTGTAAAGCGTGGGTTTTAATAGCAATTTCTTTATCAATAAGTATTGTGAATGAATATCCCCCATACTAATACCTGTTCTATTTTCAGCGTAACCTTTTCTGTTCGACTTACAATCTTACTCCTATCACTGGTTTTAATTCTCAGCATATCCCTATTCACCATTGCATGGGTGCTCTCTATTGACTGCTCTGTAAAGAAATTAACAGTGTTGTGTCTGTTCATAAAGTCAACCATGTGGATGATTGTCTGGTGGAATTTGTGGCCGGGTTTTTCGTTAGAAAAATTTTGCTTTAGCTGTTCGGTTAATGTCTTAATAAGCCTTTTGAATTGTTCGACCTCTTCCGCTGAAAATTTCCTGGCCTGCGTATAATTTTGAATATCTCGGAGTGTTTTTAAGACTTGGATGCAGTTTTGGACAACTTTCGACAATTCTGATAGTCTTGTTCCAGATTTTGTTTTTGCGTTCTCATCAAATTCGTCGATGCGTTTGGTGAGAGGGCCTTTTTCTACAATTACAGATAATAATTTAATGGATCAAGCATTTTTGAAAAAGAGGGAGGCAGAAATATGCAAAAAATCAATAAAATTAAGCCCAAAAGTTGAAGTCATTCACACCAACGTTTCGAAAAAACTATTGGTCCCTGAATTATAAGAGAAGTTTCTACACATTGACAAGAGTCTTGTCTACAATTGCAGAAGACGATTTCGTCGGTACAAGGCGTTTAAAAAAAGGTCTAGGGAGAAATACGTAAAAATCATCAAAATTTAGCCAAAAGTAGACGTCATTGTCGCCAACGTTTCGAAAAAACTATTGGTCCCTGAATTATAAGGCAAGTTCCTACACATTGACAAGCCTCTTGTCTACAATTACAGAGGACGATTTTGTCAATAAAAAACGTTTGAAAAAAGATATAGGCAGATATATGCAAAAATCATCAAAATTAAGCCCAAAATTGACGTCATTGTCGCCAACGTTTCTCAAAGGAGGCATATCATTGAGGTCTAACTAGACCTAAAAACGTTCAACAACACATGTATCTTGAATTACAGAGAACGATATTTGGAGCAACTGTCTTACTTTTACCACTACATGCCAAAAAGGGGTCCAAAAATGGGTACAAAAACAGGCTCAAAACAAGGCAAAACCTTATATTTAGCAAAACTCGAAGATCGACAACGATAGAAACTTGGTGCTTGGTATATCAGGTCTACGTGAAAATAATATTTTGTGCCTACAATATTAGAGCCCTGAGGCTATTATTACGAAATTTGATATTCTTTCGTATAACATGTCGCCGGCGAATTCAAAATCGCGGGCGCAGCTCGGGAGACCATCTCAACCGTGGCTTGGACCGAACGTGTCATATTAGTAAAGATACCAGTTTTGTAATCAAAAAGTTTCGCGCGGAAATTGAATCTTGGCATTCCGTTGCAACTCGGAATGAAAAAACAAAATTTTTTCTGGGTTTTTTGCTCGGCCCAAAATTGCTTCCAATGGGCCGGCTTGGTGTTCGTTTTGTTTTGAAATGCTCTATCCGCTTTTATGTAGCATCATTGATGTCTTTGACATCAAAAACGTCCGAGATTTATAACATTGAGGGCTTCTTTTGGGAAGAGGAAAAGGAACTTTTTTTATTTTTTAAATCCGTTCTGGCATGATAATTCATCTATTATATTCGCATTTTTGAGAGTTGCGTTCTAACCTTTCAACCGCGATGCCATCTAAGTTATATTATTTTAGCTCAAAATGGCTAGTGTTATCCTGCCAAATCAGCCAGTGGTCATCGACAATGGCTCGGGCTCAATCAAGGCCGGCTTTGCGGGTGAGGATGGACCTCGAGTAGTGTTCCCGAATTATGTGGGGGTTGTGAAACATTCGCGGGTCATGGCTGGAGGTATCGTTAAGGATAGCTTGGTCGGTAAGTACACTTTATTTTATTTTTTTTTGCGTTTTTAGGTATAAAGTCTTCTGTTCCAAATATGTATTGAGACTGTATCACTATTAGCTCCAGAAATCTTTCATTATGGTTTTATTCTACATTTCAATGTTATCCATGGTGTAAATCTTACAAAATCTTTTTTCAGGATCTGATGCGCAGAAGTACAGAGGCCTGTTGGCTCTTAGATATCCTATGGAGCACGGTATAGTTACAGATTGGAATGCTATGCAGCAAATATGGGAGTTTGCGTATTCCCCCGAGCAATTAAATGTAAGTTAAACCTCATGCCGTTATTTATTTTTTAGTGTAATTCCGCTGACCATCCGGTACTTCTATCAGAGGCTCCTCTGAATCCTCTGCAAAATAGAGAGAAGGCAATGGAGATCTTCTTTGAGACCTTTGGAGTCCCTTCCATTCACGTACAGATGCAGGCCGTTCTAAGTTTATATGCTGCTGGACGAACAACTGGAGTTGTCCTAGACTCGGGAGACGGTGTGACACATTCAGTACCGGTTTACGAAGGATTTGCCATTGAGCCAGCGTACGTTGTGCTATATTTGTGGCCAATGATAATATGGGATGTTACGAATAATATAATTATTTAGAATCCAACGGATTGATGTCGCTGGACGCGATGTAACAAACTATCTGAAGCTTCTACTGCGAAAGGAAGGCCATATTTTCCATCGATCCAATGAATTTGAATTGGTCCGAGAGATGAAAGAATCTATTTGCCAAGTCCTCCCATACCACTCAAACATCACCAAGGAAGATCCGGTAGGTGTAACAGAGTCGTATTTGACTTTGACCAAGTCGAAGATTAAATAAGTTTTGAGTAGATTATTGAATTTTTAGGTTAAATCTTATACGATGGCGGACGGACAAACAATTCGAGTTGGAAATGCCAGATTCCAGGCTCCAGAAGTGTTGTTCCGGCCGGAGATTATTGGACTAGAGTACTGCGGACTAGCCCAATGTATAAACAATTCAATCAGCGTAAGTTCCCGGCCTTTTTGATCCATTGTCACGTATAAGGTAATATGGTTTTTTTGTCTGATCCCGGTTAATATCTTTTTTTTCGTTCCTTTGTTTGGAGGGATCTTCTTTTGTATAGACGCGTCTTTTGTGATGTTTTCGGAGAGAAAAGCGGGTCATTACAGAGTAAACATGAGGGGGGTACGATAGAAAAAGTCGAAAAAATTACTTGTGTCCTTTGCAGATGTCGGACACAGAATTGCGAAAAGAATTGTACAATAACATCCTGCTGTCAGGCGGGTCCACTCTGTTTCCCGGCTTCGGCGAACGTGTTCTCCACGAGGTCCGAAAACATATTCCCGCCGATCTCAAGGTCCGCATCTCCGCCCCTCAAGAACGAATCCACTCCACCTGGACCGGCGGCTCCATCCTGGCCACATTGGACACGTTCCGCAAGATTGTTCGGACCAAGGCCCAATACGAAAACGAAGGTAAAAACTTGGCCAGAAAAGCGTATTAGCTTGTGTTGGATGGATGATATCAGCGTGCTTCCTCTTGTAATTTATGTAATATTGATAATTTTATTACGAACAACTCAGGATTTTTATGATGTCCATTATTTTGTTTGTGAAATAAGTAAAAATCCGTCAAGTATAATATAAATTGAAGAAATTTCAGTTGGTTTTTAGGGCTTTGAAGGGAAATACTCAGTTCTGATTGTAAAATACACGATCTTCCAGTAACTGATCAGTTTTTCAGAAAACTTTTGTTTTGCCTTTTACTTTTTTTATATTACTTTAGACACCTGATCTAGAAAAAATTTGCATTTGATCAAAAGTCGAGAGCTAAGCCCTCCAATCTGGTTTCCCAATCAATGCTATGATTCACAGCAAAGGGACGTGTCGAAATGTTCCCTTGACAACGTTCTCTTCATAATAACGTGATAAATTCACTCTTTGGACCCTTCTTTGTTAAAAAAACGTGAATTTCAATCAAATCCTGCAAAAGAAAATGGAAGGATAATGTTATGCAATAGAATGACAAAAAGATTTTCAAAACGGAAAATATAAACTTTGTGTATAATCAGGAAACAGCGTAAAGCAGTGTAAAATTACAGTAAATGTAATCATTCAGGTCGCAAGATGGTGATTTACGATGTAAACTTAAGTTATACCTTGGTGAAAAACCAGCTCGACCAAATGTACTTTGTTTCTTAAGTTATTGCAGTTGTTGTTAAAACTGCAATAATTGTGCGCTGTAAACAAGGGGCTGGATGAGGGTCATGTGGTCAGTCAGAGCAGAAGCCAAAGTGGAAAGCCACGATTAAAAGTGCATTTAAATCCCGTCCCCAACTTATTTCTGTCCATTTATAGCTATGGCATTAAAGATCTGGCATTTTTTTGTTCCAGGAAAGTCCGTATTCTCGTGCATAAAGTACAGGGACATTGTACTTTCAGTCTAACGGATGTACTTTCCAGACTCTTCCATCCGACTCAAATAAGAGAAAAAATGCCCTTTCGAAATATGAGAGGCTTTAAAAAGACGCGTTATTCAGCAGCATTCATAAAGACCCAAACTATGTAGCCGTTCGGTGTGAAGGGTCTGATCTTACCCATCTAATCTTTTGCGACAAATTTTTGCGGCTATAAATAGCCTTCGTTCGATGGGTTCTCTTATTATCCCATTTTAAAAAGTGCTGTCGGAATATCTGCTGGCCCCATTTCATAAGGCATGGGCCATTAATTCCGGTCTTTGGCCACCGCTCTCCAGATTAATCCCTATGATAATGAAATATAGCGTTTTTTACCCTCTAAAGTTTCAAGGAGCTCCTGCAGGGAATAATATCCGCTACTTTACAAAGTTTTTCCCCCAATTTGGAGTCTTTTCGAACATAATTAGTTGAAAATTCGTCTTCCATTTCGAAAACAAAGAATTTCTAAAGATTTGCGATGAAGGCCCCACTTTTCTAAGGGTCCGCGGCCAGTCGAACCCTTCGTATTTTTCTCTGATGACCCTCCAATGCTCGGAACACCAGCTGAATTCATTTTCGGACCATTTTCTCTTCAACTTCCCTTTAGGTTCAGAACCATTCTCATCCAAATGTTGTTATTTCATCATGATTTCCAGAGTGTAGTCGAAGCTTGCATAAGCCTTGGGAATCTACGTCAATCTCAAAGTATAACAAACGTATTTGATGAGAAATCTGCTTACTGAAAGACTATTATTTTTGCAGACACATACGAAATTTTTTTATGGTTATACGTTCAAAGTAGGCTTATCTTGCCTACATCACCTGCGTTATTCTGCTGACTTCGTTTTGAGAGGTCAGCAGACTTACCAAACGTCTGGTCACATTTACCCCTTTTTCGTCTGACGTCTCTCCCCGATTTCGCATATTTCTGTTATCTTTTTCCTGTCTCTCTTGAAAAAGAAACAGTCTTTCTCGGTTCTCCTTGCCTACCAATTCTCCCCTCAAATCACACGATCTTTTCAGCCCCATCGTAACAGGTCACACTCGTAACAGGCAGTGCAATGAGCGTGGTTTTCGAAACGCGAAGGGCGGAGTCGGGGCGAAAAAGTTCGAACAAGACAGAGAGGGCGGAGAATGCGAGAAAAAGCAAGAAGATTGCTCCAAAAGAAGAGGAACGACAACGATTGTGTTATAAAAGATGGAAGTGACGAAGAGAGTGGTGAGAGTGAACAGAGAACGGAAAGGAAATTCACTCTCTCTCCCCAAAAGGCTCAGTCAGCTGAGTTTTCGCGGTGTTGAGCGGTCGGTCGAGTTTTTCGTGGCTGGTAGGTGCTGCGACTTGTCGATATGGGACATTTTCTGCATGTAGACGTAGCTGACTTCGTTGTAACATCAACTATCCTAATAAAAACGCCTTTCCAATTTTCAGGCAATGAATATTGCGGTTTTAACATAGAAAATGCTGGATTTTTCGCGAATTGTTTATCGATTTCATGATTTTTGGCTGATAAAAGGGGCGAGACAAGTCTGCTCGGGGCATTCTCTTGATTCATCGGGGTTATCGATCATTGCGTGTTTATCGATTTTTCGTGTTGTTTCTATCGTTATTGTTATTACATTGTTCTGATTTTAGTTCGAATTATCTGATCCGAAGATGCAAATTTTCGTCAAGACTTTGACCGGCAAGACCATCACCTTGGAGGTGGAGGGAAGCGACACCATCGAGAATGTGAAAGCCAAGATCCAAGACAAGGAGGGCATTCCCCCAGACCAGCAACGTCTGATCTTCGCTGGAAAGCAACTGGAGGATGGTCGCACCCTGTCCGACTACAACATCCAAAAGGAGTCCACCCTCCACTTGGTCCTCCGTCTTCGTGGTGGAATGCAAATCTTTGTGAAGACCCTCACCGGGAAGACCATCACCTTGGAGGTTGAGGCTTCTGATACCATCGAGAACGTGAAGGCCAAGATCCAGGACAAGGAAGGAATTCCCCCAGACCAGCAACGCTTGATCTTCGCCGGTAAGTATTGATTTTTGACGTTTCTTTGTTTTTCTTTAGATACGGGACTGTAAAGTTTTCTGAATTAACCCTTTCATTTCAGGCAAGCAGCTGGAGGATGGTCGCACTTTGTCCGACTACAACATCCAAAAGGAGTCCACCCTTCACTTGGTCCTCCGTCTCCGTGGTGGTATGCAGATCTTTGTGAAGACCTTGACCGGCAAGACCATCACTCTTGAGGTCGAGGCGTCCGACACCATCGAAAATGTCAAGGCCAAGATCCAGGACAAGGAAGGTATCCCCCCAGACCAGCAACGTCTCATCTTTGCCGGAAAACAATTGGAAGATGGAAGAACCCTTTCTGATTATAACATCCAGAAGGAATCCACTCTCCATTTGGTGCTCCGGTTGAGAGGTGGAATGCAGATTTTCGTCAAAACTCTCACTGGCAAGACCATCACCTTGGAGGTCGAAGCCAGCGACACCATCGAAAATGTCAAGGCCAAGATCCAGGACAAGGAAGGCATTCCCCCAGATCAGCAGCGTTTGATCTTTGCTGGTAAGTTTTTGATTGTAAACTTGATTTTAAGCTTTAGAACATGTCTTATTTTTGAATTTTAGGTAAGCAGTTGGAAGATGGTCGCACGCTGTCTGACTACAACATCCAGAAGGAATCAACCCTCCACTTGGTTCTCCGACTTCGTGGTGGTATGCAGATCTTCGTGAAGACCCTGACTGGAAAGACCATCACTCTTGAGGTTGAAGCCAGCGACACGATCGAGAATGTCAAGGCAAAGATCCAAGACAAGGAAGGAATCCCACCAGACCAACAGAGATTGATCTTCGCCGGAAAACAACTCGAAGATGGCCGTACTCTTTCCGACTACAACATCCAGAAGGAATCTACACTCCATTTGGTGTTGAGGTTGAGAGGAGGAATGCAAATCTTCGTGAAAACGTTGACTGGAAAGACAATCACATTGGAAGTCGAAGCTTCGGACACGATCGAGAACGTGAAGGCCAAGATTCAGGACAAAGAAGGAATCCCCCCAGATCAGCAAAGATTGATCTTCGCCGGAAAACAGTTGGAAGATGGGCGCACCCTCTCGGACTACAACATCCAAAAGGAGTCCACCCTCCACTTGGTCCTCCGTCTTCGTGGTGGTATGCAGATCTTCGTTAAGACCCTCACTGGCAAGACCATCACCTTGGAGGTCGAGGCTTCTGATACCATCGAGAACGTGAAGGCCAAGATCCAGGACAAGGAAGGAATTCCCCCAGACCAGCAACGTCTCATCTTCGCCGGAAAACAACTTGAAGATGGCCGCACTCTCTCTGACTACAACATCCAGAAGGAGTCCACTCTCCATCTGGTCCTCCGTCTTCGTGGTGGTCAATAAATGCTCGAGATCTCCAAAATGTACACGAATTGGCTTACTTGATTTAACCTATTACTTGTGAACCGAATAAACTGGTTTTGTTATAATCTGGCAGATTTGTTTTTTTTTGTTATTAGTTTACAAACGGGAAGAAAGTAGAATGTGTAGTGTCTAACGGCTTTTCAACGCACACGGAAAAATTGTCGCTGTTTTTATTCCCTGCGGAACTTGTTATGGTTATCGCATAATGGATCTGGATGCCGCAGCAATGACAGGTGCGACGAATTCGTAATGAAGTTGTCGTCAGAACTCGTTCAGCCCACTTGGGAGTTGAGTTATAACCCACAGCGTTCTGTACTTTTTTGGAATGATTCCGACACCGATTTTTTCGAATTTTTCTAAAATAGCCCGCATTTACGCGGGTGTCGCTAGGGAATACTGTAAGATTGACGTGTAAAATTTACAGTGATTATAGAGTAAAGAGAGATCTTTCCAACGATACAACTTACGTAAATTAATATAAAAAAAGAAATTTGTAATCAGCGCTGAAAAATGACCGACTTTGGATTTTCGGCGCTAAAGATTGCCCTTAGGCAGATCTTTTAGAAGAAGTGGATGGTACCACCTTCTGCGGAATTTAATTCTCTACAACATATCCAAAAACTACAAGATTTTACTGCTTTTCCGTCGAATTATGCCTCAAAAATGCAATTTTTGCACTAGTTTTAACAATATTTTTAAAATATTTGCACTTTAAGGGCATTATTACAAAAACAGAGTCGTACATATTGAAGCTTGCATGGTAGCTGAGCATACTGCTTAATTTTACCCTGTCATCTTTCTCCATCTTCAAAAACAACGGAGCTAAAGTTTGGTGCTTGGACCCAGCATAGAAATGCCCTAAGGGCGAATTTCAAAAATGCGATGGTGCCACTGAACGTATAATAAGCGTTCAAACAGCCATGCTCAAAAGGCAACGATTCAATTCCTTCTTCTGTGACTGCTCCGAGATTTCCATGCAACATCATGAATACGTAAATGTGTTCATGAGGCCACCGATGTTTCAAACTATTCCGGAAACTGATTTTTTCCTCAAATTTGGCGTACCTGTTGTACAAAAAATTCTATGTTCAGTGGTACCATCGCATTTTTGAAATTCGCCCTTAGGGCATTTCTATGCTGGGTCCAAGCACCAAACTTTAGCTCCGTTGTTTTTGAAGATGGAGAAAGATGACAGGGTAAAATTAAACAGTATGCTCAGGTACCATGCAAGCTTCAATATGTACGACTTTTTTTTTGCAATAATGCCCTTAAAGTGCAAATATTTTAAAAATATTGGTAAAACTAGTGCAAAAATTGCATTTTTGAGGCATAATTCGACGGAAAAGCAGTAAAATCTTGTAGTTTTTGGATATGTTGTAGAGAATTAAATTCCGCAGAAGGTGGTACCATCCACTTCTTCTAAAAGATCTGCCTAAGGGCAATCTTTAGCGCCGAAAATCCAAAGTCGGTCATTTTTCAGCGCTGATTACAAATTTCTTTTTCCATATTAATTTACGTAAGTTGTATCGTTGGAAAGATCTCTCTTTACTCTATAATCACTGTAAATTTTACACGTCAATCTTACAGTATTCCCTAGCGACACCCGCGTAAATGCGGGCTATTTTAGAAAAATTCGAAAAAATCGGTGTCGGAATCATTCCAAAAAAGTACAGAACGCTGTGTAACCAATTTCTTAACATCGTAATCGACAATAAGCAAATACAAAACATCTCAGGTTGAACCAGTTTATTCCGAACAACAAGTTATAAAAAAGAGAGTAAATGCAAGAACAAAAATATTATATTGGATGGGTATATACAATGAGGGTTATATTTGGATCCAAATCGAATAAATTAATCAAGATTGTTGGGACAGGAGGCCCTATGAGCGACTAGTTGTCCATGACTGGGAAAGGCGTGCATGCATTGGCAAACGAACATCTGGGTGTTGTTGATTCGGTTGAGATGTTGGGCACGGACGCGATCCAGATGTTCGTTGACTTTGCTCAAGGATTGGGCGATTGACTGATCGATTTGGGCAAAGAAATTTGACGAGGGATTACCATTGGAGCTAACGGGTTGACGAGTAATAGGACGGAAACAAGGATGGTGTCGACGACGACGTGGGGTCTTGGTCTGAAATCATAACATAAATGAGGAGGGAGAGGAGGAAACAGACTTTGTTAGGGTGTTATGAATGGCTGTTAGACAAGTGCGAGAACAAAACGAACATTTAAACAAAATTGACCTCATTGCGATCATGATAATCTTGAAGGACCGTCTCCAAACTCTTGATTTGGTTCTGATAATCGACCACCATTGGGTCAATATCCACTTGCTGATCATTCCTTTCTTCCTCCAAGACTCTGACAATGGTCTTCTGAGTCTCCACCTCCTCTTCCTTCTTTCTCAATTGCCTTTTGAGTTCGGAGATTTCCTCCACTTTCAGATCGAGCATCTTCTTCAACTCAACATTAAGACTGCATTGCTCTTCGTAATATCTGGCCAACTCATCTCTTTCATTCTGCAGATCATTAGGCTCGAATCCTTGAGCAGTCTGAGTCGAGAGCATGGAACTATTCATGGATTTGATATCATCCAGTTCTTCAAGTCTTCTCAGTTGTTCTTGGGCATGTTGATAGGGATTCGTGGATGTGGAACTGTCAAATGGAGGAGCAGATGGAAGATTCAGAGAATTCAAACTCTCCGGAGCTTCGATTTGAGAGCCACTACCAGACATCTTCAACGAATGAAGACTTTCAGCCAACGAATTAAACTTGTCCATGTGGGTGGTTAAAGTGGCCAAGGTAGAGGTCGAGTTCTTGACATGATCGGCAACCAAAGCTTCAAGCTCGTTGACTTTCTCTTCCTTTTGCTGAACCAACTTCTTGAGATCTTCATTCTGTTCTTTGAGACATTGCATCTAAACAGAACTTTGATAAGTATTCTTCAACTCACCTCTTCTTCATTCTCGACCTTTTTCGCAGTCTTAATCTCCATAACAGTGTTGAGAACCTGATCAAGGACAGTCTGATTGACTTTGTACTCTTCCAACAATCTCTTCATGGCTTGTTCCGTTGAATTCTCGTTGACGAATTGACTCAAGGCTAAAATAAAACGGATAATTAAGGGAACCTAAACACAACAGATACAAGATAGAAACGAACGTACTGAGAAACTGAGGAAGTGGGAAAGGATCTGACTTGATGAGCGCTTCGGCTCCAGCCTTGACCGAACCGTCTTCACTCATATGGTATTCGGAGACCGTGTGAGAAGTGAGGTCTCTGTAGTCCACATCCTCCCTCTCCGGCTCGAGATTCTCATCACGCTCGTCAAGAACACTGAAGTCACTTCCAACATCATCATCATCCATCTCCGGATCGGATACGACCACCTCTTCTTTTGGTTTAACTTCCTCCATCTAAAGTGAGAATCAAGATTAGAAAGGAGATGAGTAAGAGCAAATGCACGAAACAAGCAGACCACACTTTCGAAATACCGTCTAAATTATATTGATCAACCCGAGATTCAGCAAACCCCTTTTTACAACTGTTCTTACATTATCCTTGCTAAAACGAATGAGTAATAACAAAAAAATGGCCGCAGTATTGATCTAAACCTTTTCAAAACAGAGAAACAGCTGACCTTTGACAGGCTGAATAGCAACTCGATGAACAATGGAAACTTTAATCGATAATGAAATTCAAAACCAGCAACGCCGATGGGTAATTCAAAGTGTTTGCGGTAAATCAATTTGCAACTCAGATGGTAACCAAGCCGAGAGAAAACACTTCGTGTGACTTTTTTTTCCGACTCACTGCATGGACAATTTTTTGTTTACGATTTGCATTCTTTCGGCAAATGCCGGGCGCAGTTTGGGACATATAATTGGACCAATTACAACATGAATTATGATAAAATATCGGAGCAAAACCAAGAATTCACGCAAAAATTTTGTTAATACTTTTATAATAACTTTAGATCTCTTTATACGCGGCCGTTACACGCAAAATTTGGCTACCGAAATATACCTGCATAAAACTTTCATCGTATAAAATGGTCTTGCAGACTGCACGAAACAAAAATTTTCTAGCTTCGAGAAAAGTTTGTTTCTTCGTGGGTTTGCTTCGATTTTCGCATGTCTTACTGTATCCGTAATTGTGGCTTGCCTTTCGCTTATTTCAGGCGAATAAAGTTTATTTTTACACTTTCAGATATTACACATAAAAATGGAACCTACAAATCACGAAGGAGACGACATCCAGGTGATTGAAGCTCCTCAAGAGCGTACCGAAGGAGCTTTACGGACTGCACAGACAGTAGTTATCTCTCGTGAGGCCTGTAAGAATTCTACTTTCTTTTCTGCATTAAGGTTTTTATTGTACTTGATTAAATGTCTGGGACCCTTCTGACTTTCTTCTACTTTAGATGCGTCTGCAGTCCCCACACCGTCCCGAGTCATTCCTGGCCGCCCAGTTGCTCGTCCCACGTATCGCACATTTTACACCAATCAATCGCCTCTTGTCCGACTGGGCAATAACCTTCCGGCGATGGTCCCTCGGATTGATGGTTACAGGTCCAAACCGACACCGATGAGAGCTCAAACTGGTCTTCGGAGTACCGAAACAACAGCAGCCACGAGCAACTCTGATACTGATCCGTTGGATTCAACGATTTCTGAAGTCGCCAAGGCCCCGACTTCATCTTCCACATCTAATGGGAATCAGCCTACTCTCAGTTTTGCCGTTAGAGCTGGCGCTCAACCATCGGACGTTAGATCAGCGAATGGAGTGAGACCGGGAGTGCCTTTTACTCGACCTCCAGGAGAAAGAAGGTCTTATTATGTGAATGGAGAGCACGTTGTTCCACTCAGCGATGATGAAGAAGAAGCTAACAGGGCTGCTGCCCAAAAGAAGACAACTCCGGTGTTGAAGCCGAGAATCATTAACGAAGACCATGCCAGGATTGTTCAAGCTAAACTGGCGACTGCCAGAGAGAGTGCGCTTAAAGCGGCCAAGTTTAAAGATAAGATGTCTAAATCTCCACTAAGGAAGTCGACCGAACCAATAAAAAGTCCACCAAGGAAGTCGACTGATCCGAGACCGGACCCTATGTTGAATGTGACTACGAAGACGCCCTTCCCTCAGACCATCAACCTGACCAAGCCAGACAAGGTGAAAAGAAGCACCCTCGAGATTGTCAATGATCCCTCGTTGTCCAAACCTCGAGGGACAATGATCATGGATAAAGTTTATGAGATCAGGGTATGTCATGGTTAATATACATTTTGTTGGTTTTTAGTTAACCGAGCAGTTAAGAAGTTAGTAAAAGGAATCAGTATTCGTTTTGCAACCCCAAAACCCGAGAAAATATATATTTGTTATATGTGATTTATCGTTTATGTTGCACTTGCTGTTTAGATGCCGGAAGCCGTCACCATTCGCCTAACCGATGAAGAGAATGAAATAATGAACCGTTTGAAAGCAAAGGGAACTGTGAGGACATACGCGGGACACATGGATGACCTACGTCAATTCAAGACCGCTCTCTCATATTGCAGTAGACTAATTGATTATCAATATGAAATTATCAAGGACATGAGTGAGAGACTTCAAGAATTCAAGAAGAATGGAGATGAGTGGAGAAGAGAGGCCAAGAAATTGCAAAGACAGGTGGCTTGTCGGATCATCAAACCTCACATCACCAAGTACAAAACTCCTTATTCAAAGGCTAGCCGAAAGAAGAAGATCCGGGCAAAGCTGAAGGAAATGGTCACTGAAACCTTTGAATACAACGAGGAGGACATGAAAAAATTATTACGAGAAACTTTTCCAGAGGCATTTTATGTTCCCGAGCCTTCTCAAGACGAGCAAAAAGAAGGATTCAGGAAGGAAGATGATGATGAGGATGATGAAGATTACATCCCACAGCATGTCTACATGCCTGGACAGGTCCCGCATGAGTCCCTTTACTATTAATTAAAGCCTTGTAGTATAAGTTGGTAGTCCAAAAACAGTTTTTAAAACATTTTTTTATGTTGTTCTTCTATTTGATCTCGATGAATTCGCTTTTATGAATGTTTTTTCTAAATTGTATTGTTTTTGTTACAGTAAACTTTAAATTCTAATGATGGTTGTATCTTGACCAGCTTGTAATTTCCATATTTTCAGTATCTTGCAATGCGTTTTTACTAGTGTTGGCGACAGTTTAGTATTAATTTTATATTTACGTAAGAGATAGACATCAAATATATGTAGATCGTATTGAACTTGGTGTTACACATGGTCGTCGCATCAGTATTTTGGACTCTCTCGAGTTGCACTGGATGTCAATTGGCCATCGAAGGACTTAACAAGTAAGATCTTACCCTTATTGAATCGGTATTTTAGATTTCACAATGATTCCATGGTATTCTTCACCTTTTCCACTGGGTTATTAATTGTTGTTGCTGGAATTTTGACTAGACCAAGTGTAATATGGAGGAGAAATATTCCTTTCAGGTAAGTGCAGGCTGTTTAGAAGGTTTCTAGGTCAATTTCAGAGCGTACCTTCCACTTGCCATCTTCGCATTTATTGTCAATTTGATAAACAATCAAAGCATTTACTTCGGAGTCCCGTTTCCTCTACAAATTGTTTTCCGCTCGGTAGGAAATTAAGGCCATTATGTTCTACGCGCTTTACTTTTGCCATAATATCCGATTTTAGGGTACACTTGTAGCTAATGTCATCTTAACTTACTTTCTGAACAACAAGGTCCACTCTAAATTAAAGTATTTCTCAATTGTTCTTATCACTTTGGGCATTGGGATCTTCACTTTTGGGACGAAATGGCAAGAAGAGCAGCTAAAATACGACTATGACTTCATTTTTTACATTGGTATGTTTTTTGGTATGTATTTTTTTTTTAAATGACTGTCGATTGCATTGGTTGTAATTTTTTTTTCTTATCGAATGCTGTTTTAGGAATTGCTCTAATGACAATTTGTCTTTTTTTGTCTTCCTATATGGGGATATTTCAAGAAAATATGTTCAAGGAATACGGTAGACATCCCGATGAAGTTATGTGGGGAATGGTAAGCCAAATTTCATTGTGTTTACCGATTTAGAATGCAATTCCTCTTCCGTTCTACTTGTTCTACTATAAGAATCTTGCAAATACATTTGTGGATTTCTGTAATAGCAACAATTTTGTTATCCTTGACATCACCTTTCCCATTACTGAACTTTGGCTATTTTTAGTCGGAATATTGGCGTTACAGTAAGTCTTGGAATGTGAAATGACTGGAAATGGCAGTAGCTGTAATTGATTATTGTATTTTTAGATACACCTGCGTCAAAAGTGTCTATCGCCTCAATTCTCGGATGAATTCCCTCAACCTGACAATGATTTTGACCCTCCGAAAGTTTTTGAACTTATTTTTCTCGGTGATTTTATTCAAAAATACCTTTGGGAGCATCCATCTCTTTGGAACAGTACTGGTTTTTGTAGGAACATATCTATTTTACACCGAGAAACGGGAAAAAGTTGAATGAACGAGCTACTTATCATGTGTAATATCTAAATTATTGAATATTCGGTCTGTGATTACATAATTTAAGAAAATATTATATAAAAAAATAAATGATAAACATCATGGAGTCAATATTGAAGTTAGCGATCAGGTAGTAAAACCAGAAGTACTTCATTTACATAAGGAGTGATAGCAATAAAAGCAGGTCACATATCCAGTTCCCTTGGCCGCCGTTGGTTGGAAACACGCTTGGGAAGGAACATATACACTTGTGAGTCATTTTTCCAAGCATTAGTGGCGTAGGATGGATTAATCCAACAAAGTTTTATGCGATTTTTACATTTTGGGCTAAAATAATATAAAATTATAATTTTTTATATTTTCTTTTTTAACATAGCCTGTAAACAGTAAGCATAGAATAGATGCCCAAGTAAGAGTGCGTGTTGTGGTTTAACACTTCATATGGTCGCCTTCTGTACCTTATTTTAGTCATCCAATTGGTCAAAATGATTATTCTTGGTAAACAAAGCTTATTCTTGATGTCTGAGTCTTTTTTAAAATAGCTATTTGCATTATACTTTTATTCTTGGGCTTTAAAATTTTATTGCGGTAACATTTCTGATCTGTTTTTGATTGGAATTTGCCCTTTTGTCTAGTATAATATACTTTGATCACCCGCTCGACCCCCCTCACATTCAAAAACTGTTGGTGATTCCGAGAATCAATCGGTATCCGCTTCAAGCCGCTAAGTTTCCCATTTAAAGCCCTGAGGGCGAAAAAGGTGTGGACGAGAAAAATTTGAGGCGGGAAAGGGAGGAAAGTCTTTGTTTTTGCAACGTGGAAACGAAACCATTAATCGGACAATATCTGTGAATGATAAGTAAATTTTGTTGGGGATGGAGAGCAATGTAAGTTTATTTTGCCCTTAAATTTAATTGAAAGATGTGCTATTTATGGACCCAAAGTAATGTTTCTAGTCTACTTTTATGTAGACTGGAAACAGTTACTTTTGGGCTGTTTTGTATGCAAATAAGAAGCGGAACCAAAATTGCCAGCAAGATTTGCAGTCGTTATGTTGTAATCATCATATAGGGGTGGTGCGATTTAAAATTTTTCGTCTTGACTGGCAAAAACCCCCGATTTCTTGGCTGTAGGGCCTCCAGCCAAGAATTTGATATTCTTGACTGAAATTCAGACAGCAATATTTCGTTTCTTGACTGCTTGCTTATTTTTGACTGTAAACCAGCCAAGAAATCAAAAATTGTTGGCTGAATTTCAGACAGCAAATTCTTGCCTGAAACTCAGACAAGAAATCAAAGATTTCTGTCTGAACAGTAGACAAAATGTTTCTGTTCAGTCAAAAAGAAATTGGCTGGCAACTCAGCCAAGAAATCGAAGACTTCTTGGCTGTAGTTCAGCCAAAATTTCTTGGCTCAGCCAAAAAAAACTGACTGACATTCAGTCAAACTATTTGACTGGGAAATTTTTTTTGTATTTATTGGCGTTGAAAAGCGCAGTAAATTTGATGGTATTTAATAAAATAGCGAAAGATCAAGATTTATCACATAATAATAAAAAAATTGATTATAGCCTAAAAACTTGGCAAACGATATAGATCTTGTTTTAGCCGAAACAGCCTAAAACAAGGTATAGTCAAGCGCCATTTGCCAAAAATCGTGAGGAAACTATACGTGTATGTACTTGGGGCTTGATTCCTTGTTGTTTTCAACGGAAATGTGGACTTGAAGAAGTTTTTTCGACCAAAAGTTATATTGCACATGGCAAGTAAAACATTTTGAAACGTCAAAGTTACCTAATACGCTCCCTTTTGACATCAGGAATTGACCAGAAAGCTCATGCAGCACGAAACTTGTCTCCTCGAACGGGCAGTTTAGCTAAAACCTCAAAAATCAAATAAATGGTACTCACAATTTGTTTTCTTCTTGGACGTGACCTTTCTGGGTGAGAAACTGGAGTTCCAATGGTGAACGGGACAAGGCAAGTTCCATTTTGTTGTTCCACAGGTCTCCAAAGGTATTTTTGAGCTTTACCTGCCGATACCCGAGTTATTTGGCAGGAAACATCTAAAACACAGAGAAATTAAAAAAAAACTAAAAAAATTAGCTGAAAACGCGTGGAAATTCAAGTGTCCAAACAATAAAAACAAGAAAGGAGCACGACATCGTGCATTTTCGTTCCTGATTGTGTTTGATCCCAGCGCGAAAAAATTCCCATTTTCGGCCAGAAGTTTTCGTTTTTTTGCATGTTTCGAGTTCTCGCGTTTCGTGAGATTTCTACGTTTTTGACAGGAAATGTTTTGAACCTGTTGTTATTCGACCAGTCATTTTTTGGCCGACCTGTCCACGTTACCCGCGTTCAATTTGTAAGTTGATTATGCTTTCCTTTTCTTTTAGGTAAAAGTATGTTATCCAAGGGCAAAAATGATGGTTTTTGTCTTTTTTCGCTAGGGACAAGAGAAAAAACGGGTAAAAGTTGGAACATCTTTATGTTAGCTATTTTTTAGATCGTAAACTAGAGGTACTCAGTCGATTTCTCTCGAGCCTTTTATTTTCTGTCGAATTTTACCTAAAAAAGGGCAAAGAGAAGTGAAAATAGCTTACCTGTCGCCGGGAAACATTGTTTATGCCTAAATTACAGCACGTAATCTACGAACCTGATGTAATACAGCTCCCTTCTGAGATGTGCGCTGCAAACAACTTCTGATTGGACCCGTCCCTTCAAAATCCAACGACCCGACCGCAAGAAAAAATAGTCCAGCTTGCTGTCTACAACTGACAACCGGCGCATCAACATTTGGATGAACGGGTATGAAGCCACACTAACGACAGTTGTAATTTTTTCCGGAATACATACGAATCTCATTTTTAGGGCATCTTGTTTTGTTTGAAATTCAGAAGTTTTATCCAAAATCCAGCCAAGAAATCGAAGATTTCTGGCTGAATTTGAGTCAAAATATTTTTGCGCAGCCAAAAAAGCCTGGCTGAGATTCAGACAAACAAATTCTGGCTGAATTTCAGCCAAATTTGTTTGGCTGAGCCAAAAGGCTTGGCTGAAAGTTCAGCCAAGAACTCTGAGATTTCTGGCTGAATTTCAGCCAAAATTTTTTGGTCCAGCCAAAAAAAAATCGACTAAAATTTAGTCAAAAAAAGGGATTTCTTGACCAAATTTTGGGCAAAAATTTCTGCCTGAATTTCAGCCAAGAATACCAAATTCTTGGCTGGAGGCCCTACAGCCAAGAAATCGGGGGTTTTTGCCAGTCAAGACGAAAAATTTTAAATCGCACCATGGTGCGATTTAAGTGCACCACCCCTATATTTGGACTGATCTTTTTTAAAATTAATTTTTTTTTTGTTTTTTCTAAAAGAAAATTGTTGATTCAAATGGTTTACAGACTGCGGTCTTCCTAATGGAGACTGATCAGATTCATTTTCTTACGGAAAATTTGAATTTTGAGGCAGAACTCATATTTTTTTTGATTTTTTGCTTCAAAAATTTAAATTTTGATGTTTTTGAAAGTAAAAATCACTCTTTAATCTTTCATAGATTATTAAAAATGATGATAACTACTGAATTATGTCCATTTCGGTATCGAAATGTTATTGCCTTAAGGCATTTTGACCGCCCTGAGCTTAAGAATACACATTAATGTCTGGGATTAGTTGCCGACGAGTTTTTGCATCTTATCGATTGCAAACCGACGTGTTTTGAATGTAAGATACTAATTGCTGCTTATTAGCCTTTGAATTGAAACTTTCACCCCAAACAGGTTGGCTTAGCCGGTCCGGGATGAGATTAGATCTGATGAACAAGTTCTTCCCGTGAATTATATATTCCTATTAAAGTTTTTTCCGTTTTACACACTAAAAAGTAAAGACCTGGGCGTTTCCGGTTAAGCGCCTTTTAAATAATCGAAATTCAGATAATTTTCGGAGCCATTTGGGTGGGGTAACCAAATTTTGATGATAAACCTACATATTTATAGGAATGTTTATGATTTTGGACGTCATACGAGACATTGTTAAAGGGTCTGGGGTACTTTATTTTATGGTTTAAGACGATTACTTTTAATTTTTTTCATTTTACCATTCAGTTTAGTCATCTTTTTTAAAATAAAAATAAAATTTTTGCGGAATTTTCCAAGAACCCCGGGTTTTTATATGACTCAACCCAAAATTGACCTCAATAAGTGCGATTTATTCCGTTTCCTCTGCAACACATCCGTTTCCGGGCCTTATCTGATCTAATATCCAATATTATTCTAGCTGTCTTTTGAGTTTTCCGCCCCAAAATGGGATTCGGAGCCGGCGATCGCTATGGAGTAAGCTCTTAAAACAAATTTTAATAATTTTTTTCTAAAAATCTGGTGAGAAAAACAGGGGTTTGGATTGATTTGAAACAGAAATTTAATCTTATTTTTTCCAGACTCTAGAAAGTTGCCTCGAGCACGACCAGCAAGTGATGAGCACCACGAAAGCGGACTTGGACGCGTTCAGAGCGAGAAAAGTGGCGCTAATTACTGGGATCTCGGGACAGGATGGCTCATATTTGGCTGAATTGTTGTTGAGCAAGGGATATAAAGTTCACGGGATCATCAGAAGGTCATCGTCTTTCAATACCGCCAGAATCGAACATCTTTACTCCGATCCAATTGCTCATGTCGGTAAGGAAAAATAAGGTTGTAATTCGAGAAGTAGTCGTCAGATTTTAATGAACAACGATACATTGAAAGATTACAGGACTGAAAAAGTTCTGCAAAAGGTTCAAATCATATAGCTAGACTTCTTGCGGTATAATCCTTGTTTTGGTAAAGACATGAATTCCACAAAAAAAATTGATTTTTTTGTCTGAAAATTTAACGCTATAGAAATGAAAGTTGAGTTGATAAAAATGCCTATTAGATGTTCAAATTTTGACAATAATCGAAACAATAATCATGTGACAATAATCATTTTTTGTATAGTCATCATATGTAATATAAAACGATTCAAGGAAGTGCTTCCTTTTCCCTCCATTATGGCGATATGACCGACTCATCATGTCTAATCAAGCTGATTACTCAGATCCAACCAACCGAAGTCTATCATTTGGCCGCTCAAAGTCATGTCAAAGTTTCTTTTGATCTCCCCGAATATACGGCTGAAGTTGATGCGGTAGGAACGCTGCGATTGTTGGACGCGATCCATGCTTGTGGACTCACCAAGAAGGTCAGATTTTATCAAGCGTCAACTTCTGAGCTCTATGGAAAAGTTCAAGAGATCCCACAAAAGGAAACAACTCCTTTTTATCCCAGATCTCCTTATGGTAAGGGAAGTTTTGGAGGGAATCGGTGGATTTAATCGGGCTATCGAATAATATCTGCCTCACTGGAGGATATGACAGACTCTGGAGTGAAATTTAGGGCTTGAAAGGCCAAGAATATCAAATTCTGACATTAATTTAGGATTAGGCGAAGTTTTTTGCGGGAGAGTTGAAAAATTACCTTAAGAAGTGATAAAATTTACGTATCTGCCTTTGAATACGTGTAATGCCCTCTAAACTTTCTATTTTAGCCGTCGCCAAGCTCTACTCCTACTGGATCGTCGTCAATTACCGCGAGGCCTACGAGATGTTCGCCGCAAATGGAATTCTTTTCAACCATGAGAGTCCAAGAAGAGGAGAGACGTTTGTGACCCGAAAAATCACTCGAGGCGTCGCCAAGATCTCTCTGGGGCAACAAGAATGTCTGGAACTGGGAAATCTGAATTCCTTGAGAGATTGGGGGCATGCCAAGGAATACGTGGAGGCAATGTGGAGAATTCTCCAACACGACAACCCCGATGACTTTGTAATTGCGACTGGAAAACAGTACTCGGTCAAGCAGTTCGTGGAGTACGCTTTTGCAGAGATCGGAAAAGAGATTATGTAAGTTCTTCGAGAATCTTCAGATTTGGCCTAGTACAATATAAAAATATAGCCGAAAATTGTATAGAGACTAACAGTACTAAACCAAATCTATGCTATATCACTCAGAGAATCAGATTATTTCACTTCCGGCGTTTGTAATTTCAATTTTTAAAAAGTCAAGTTTTCGCGGTGGGACCAGAAAAATTTTAATTTTTTCGATTTCAGCTGGGAAGGTGAAGGTGTGAATGAGATCGGAAGAGAGACGGACTCGGGAGTGATCAGAGTCAAAGTCAACCCGAAGTATTATCGACCGACCGAAGTCGAAAATCTGATCGGCGACGCTTCAAAGGCCGCGAAAATCTTGGGCTGGGAACCCAAAATAAGTGTCGATGAACTGGTCAAAGAGATGGTCCGAGAAGACGTGGCCCTCATGAAGGCCAACCCCATGGCCTAGAGTCTGTAATAGCACTTTAATATCTAATTTATTCAATCTTCATACTTTGATGTTTAAACAAGTGTAATATTAGCCCGAAGCTGTCGTTATTTTGTATTTTCCAATTAATTCCAAAGCTCATAAAAAATATTTATTGAGATTTGATGGATAATTGTGTGAAAGACCGTACCAAATTTACAATATTTGATATTATTTTAGACGTTTTTAACCCTCCCTCGAACACAAAGGCCTCTTTTCGAATTGCATTTGGAATTCGGATAGCGATCACAGTCGGAATTCACTTTGCACGGCCTCCCTTTCTGGTATATGGGCTTGTGGAAGATGTTTCCGCTAAAATTTGAAGTTCGTAAGATCAAGAAATCTCATAAATGAATAAAAAATGCTGTCGAAACTTACGCTGGAGAGTAGTTGCAGACCAAGAATGCGAATTGGGGACAGAGTTTGACTGCGCAGCCAACGGAGGTCGTGTCGCCCCAGGCCATTTGGGTGAAATGACCGATCCCTTTGCTGAATTCCTTTGGAGTGAACTCTAAAGTTGGGTCAATCCCAAAATTCGGAAGCTCTTTCCACCAAAATTCGGTGGCGTTGTCAACCAGAATTGCTAGAATGCCATGTTTTACATGTTTGAGACATTTTACTGTAATTTCCAGAAAATCGTCATCGTGACACCTTTAATGTCGCTATTTTCAGAGCTCCAACTGAGTAATTAGGTTTTGCTGAGCTAGTTCGTAATTTACAAAAATTTTTACAACATAAAATACGTCTAGAATTTGATTCCGGGTTCGCGATGACGTATTTTCTGGATTTTTCGAAATATCCCGGAAGGTTCAGGGTTTGAGTTTTTCTTGATGTAAGATGCGATAACTCACACGGATCAATGTTCTGCGTCCACGTATACATCGCTTCGCCCGTGAATTGCCGCTTTTCCGGAGGCGAGTGCTCAAACTTGCATCGCTCCGCCCACTTTTTGGCAATTTTTTCGAGTCCCAGATTGTATTTCTGAAAAGATTACGGTAGTTTGTTATCTGTAAAACTGTTTTTTCTAAGAATTACTGCTGATTGAAAATTACTTTTGTCAAAAAAATAAATAAATTTTGCTCGTCAACTTTTACTTTTTTAAAATTACGGTAAAAAATTTATTGTGGATTACTGTATGTAGATTCAAAGAAATATTGTTTGACATTACGCATGCCTGACTTACAAATTCGTACATATTTTTGGCACTTGGCAAACTCCTCCCGTCCTTATTCACCACATTTCCATGGGCCAAGTCCCTCCGATAGCGGTTGTGGTTCTTCAAAACAGCTTGCCGATGCCGCATCTGCAAATCCTCCGCATTTGCAGCCAAGAGAAGGGTAATCAAAACTACAGCAGGAATTGCAGCCATTTTACAGTCCATCTTTTCTCCTTTTCTTCCATCTCTTTCAGGAAAAAACAGGTTTAAATAAAAAATTTAAAGGTTAAAGGTGAAGGAAATGGGAATATGATCGTTTTTATTGTACTTTATGACGTTTCTCGAGGGCTTCCGGGGGAACAGAGGTTATTGCAAGTTGAGTGGAGTCAGGTGAGTGAGCGCTGCCAAAAGAATACTGTAGTTTCGGGTGGAAGAGTTGAATTTTGAGTTGAAATTAATCATTCTAGAGGTTTCAGAGATACCAAACGTTTTTAGGGTTCAGAGAACACCAAACGTTGTCATTTTGACATCTATTTTTCAAATAATTTATATTATCCATGGTAAAATTCGGTGTGGCAAATGCCCAAAGATTGATCCACGAATTCTCCGCCTCCTTCAAGCCCATAAAGGATCATTTATTGTATATAAACCATATAAAATAAGCGGAGATTCGTAGAGAAAAAGCTGTTTTCTTGTGGATTCTGACTGTAGGGGAAGATGAATGATAGCGAAATTAATAATGACGGGTATTCTCAATACATATTTACATTGAGACCTCTTCTTTTGGCCGATCGAAGAGTGGGCGTAAAGTTGAGAGGAGGGGTTTCGGAGACGGGGCCAAGAATCGACTGGTCGGCGTTTCTGGGGGTGAAAAGGCGGGGAGTTCGCACTTGGGACGCGACAATCAACATACGCGAGTTCAAGTAGTTCTCCCAGTAGTCCTGAAATAAAAGCTACAGTAACCTGAAAATGCTACAGTAATCCTAGGATTGTTAAAACTAGAACATCCTTATCGAAAACTACAGTAACCAAACAATAATTTGATACGAATTTTTTCAAATTAAAAATAAAGCAACAATCACTTACCTCAGGCAGCAGCAACAACCTCTCCATGAGTTGTCGCTGTCTCTCGGCCTCCGCTCCATAATCATTCCGGTCCAAAGTATTTATTTCATCCCTCCGACCTCCTCGAACCACCGTCACCCCAATGGATATTGCCAAGTTAGGGATGGTCATCTTGTTGGTATGACTGAATTTAGCCACCTTTTGAAGGTGCAGGCAAATGAAGGCGAGGGTGTCCTTGTTTGGTTCGGGGAGTTCGGCAAAAGCTTTCATTAATAAGTCGCCGGAGGGGTCGCGGACTGCTTGAAGGAATTCGTTATACGAAGAGTTGGGGATTAAGGGCTCCTATAAACACCACGTTATCACAATTCAGCAATAACACAAAAAATTATGTTACACTTGATATCAGATCAAAAATAATATTTAAAAAAAAACCCTCTCACCTTCAAGTTCATTAAGAACCGCTTGACAGAGGACGTGAGAACTTCTGTGTGTTCATTCTGCAGTTGAGGAATGATGTTTCCGGCCATATTCGCCAAAAGTTTGGTGACCAATTCCTTATTGCCAGGAACTCGATACAGACCCTCGGCCTCTAGTCTGGAGTTCTCAATCTCATAAATAAGGCGGATAAGGATGGCTGGGACTAGTGGAGGGGTCGTGGGACAGAGATCGGCCAATCTGGGGACCTTCTTTTTCTGAGGTGTTCCTTTCGAAGTCTTGTCCGCCGTGAATGGTAAACAAGGTCGAGGAGCTCGGGCTTTGCAGTTGTTGTGGAGGTAGATGTGACAGTCTACAAATGATCAGTCTAACATTCAACAATCTCAGCAAACACAACGTAAAACTCATAAAATCCACCATTTGTAATATAAATAACAACTCCAGCCTTACCCTTGCATTTGACTACATTCTGCATAGTGACAGTTCGATTACAGACGGCACAATTCTTCATGAGAGCTCCTTTTCCGCTCTCAAAGTAGTGATCACATTCCAAAATCGGTCTTCCTTTTGTCCAAGAAGATCCCAATCCAGTCAATGGACTTCTTCTAAATATCAAATAATCATTAATCACCAAATTACTTACAAATCCGCATTACTGGCTCCCAATCTAAAGGACCTCTGGCTAACAGGAGTGTGGCTATAAGCATCATGCCCTCGGGGTTCGGACATGGATCTCTTGCCTCCTCGATGGACTTCCACACTGGCCTTGGTCGCAGACCGACCTCGAGGATCGACAGTAATTGTGGTGACAGTGGTAATCTCGTCCTCATGGACTTCATCTCTGAATTTCTTTGGGGGCGTCGAGAGATGACCTTCATCTTCATCCACCTCTTGGATATTCTCATGAAGAAGCCGACTTCTCTTGGTCACATGACTCTTGGTTCTTTGTGCATCGGTATCCACACTCTTGGAGCGACGTTGATAAGTCCGGTTGTAGCGAAGATGGACTTCATCAATGTTCTCTTCATCATCCAAGGATTTGTCGAAATCAACCTCGAGTCCAAAGTCATTGGAACGAGTGGCTCTGGACTTGTTGAGATTGTCGCTTCTTCGTTCATCGAACTTGCTCAAGTTCATGAGCCGACCAAACGCCGCAGTGTCCTTCAGCTCATTCTGAAACAAGTATAATATAAATAGTGGCCTGAAACAAGTTAAGAAATACGAAAGCAACTTCATAAAATCCCTAAAGTTTTCCAAACACACTTTGATACATTCAAATTCATTTCATCCAAAAAAATGTATATCAGTTTAGACCTAAATCAATTGAAAAATAAAAGAATAATATCGCTTACCTCCATCAAAGTCCTGATGCTCCTGATCCTTTGTTGATATTCGTTAATCTCTTTCTTCAGATCATCTCTCTGACTGATCAATGCCCCGACTTTGGCATTAGAATCATGATAACGCTCTTTAAGAAGCTCGTATTCGGCTCTCAACTCCCTAAAAAATGCAAATCAACATTAAACTAAAACTACTCGCTCTTTCTCTTGCTCCAAACGATGAGCCTTCTCTTCGGCCAGCATACAATGCTCCGAGGATTCCTTCCATTTTCTTCTCAGTTGTTCACATAATTCCACCAAATCCAGGCATTCTAAAAACTAACTTATTAAAAAGCAAAATGGATCTTTACTATCTTCGGTATTAACTACTTACCCTTCTCTCGTCCTCTCAATTGGGCAAAACACTGAAGGACAAAGTCGCTGTAATTGCAAACAACACTCGCACTTTCTTGTTGTAGTAGGTTCAGGTCTCGACGGTCCATTTTCCTCGACCCGACTGATACTATTCCATTCAATTCGACTTGCCTTGGTGGTCCGACACTTTTTTGTTGCGTTCCGATTTTTTTCTCGCGCAGCCAATAATTTGAAACGTCTTTTTGGCGGTCACTTGTTTTCGTGGTGGGGCCCGACTACGGATGGAGTGGATTGCTGATTATGAATAATTGGCCACAGCCTTTTGGGGCTCGTTTAAGCAGAACCTCTGAAATAACCAATCATCCATATTTTTGATGTAAAAATTCAACAATACGTTCGAATATCGATAATCATTTTTATTATCTAAAACAACGTCTATTATAATACAATTGAACAACTAAAGCAAGGCTCATTCCGGTTTCTTTTCGAAATACGTCTTCCAGAAATTCCATCGAGTAGCTCCAAGGCCAAGATGAAACCTGAATTTATCTGCATTGACCTTGGCCAGATGACTTTGAGTGAGGCCAAAGAGGCCTGTTTTGAAGTGATCCGTTGGCCATCGTTGCTGATATTTGTTGTCGATGATCTCTTGGAGGGCTGAAACACTTTCTTTAATTTTAAAGTTTCCTAATATTGCAGTATCCGTAACTTTTTGCCATAATTTTCACCTTTACCTAGTACAATATAAATTGTCGAAATACAGCGTATTTTTTTCAACCGTAATCAAAATTTCCTACCTCTCATGTTAGCTTCATGCTTCACATTCTTTCCGCTCAAAGGATCTTCCAATTGTTCAGGGTTCTCGGTGATTCTGGGGTTGTGTAATCGATTTACTTCGCTTTCCAAGAATAACTTCAGATTCCTGGCACGACTTTTGTTCTTATCCACCGGCCATTTAGCGAGTAACCGCATGTACTGTTTGTGTACATGGCCCATCTACAATTTAGAGGCATTAGCAATAAAGGAATCATCTTTATACTAGCAGGATATTGGTACATTAACCATAATCATCAATTTAAATCAAGCTTTTTTTAGGGTTTACAGTGGAATCAAACTCAACAACAATGTAAAAGTAAAAACAGTAAAAAAATCAAATTCAACAAGCTTTAATTATCATCTGAATCATATTCCCCGTTCTCGACCTTCATCATGATCATTTTGGCTTCCGTTTCGATGTAATCAAGGTCCAATTCAGAGATGTCTGACTTCTGAAGACTCTTTCTAATCTCCTTGAGCTCTTCCCGAACTTGTTCCAACACCTTTTCATCAACAATTTGGATCCATATGCAATAATCGTCAATAAAAAGTTGATTAAACAGATAAATGAAGTCATGAGATGAATTGTAGAACCGTTTCCTTAGGGCAAGTAGACAATGGAGGAGGCAGGATCGTCCTGGAACAAACCGTACTACTCAAACACTACAATGGATCGCCAAAACTCCAAAAAATAACTTACCTTTCTCTAGTATAACATCCAGATCTTCCAGTTCTTTTTTGCACAAATCAAAGTTTCTGTACAGACAATAACACAAGGTCCTACGTATTGCTGAGGTTATGGAGTCTTTTAAAGTTGAAAATCTCACAAAATTTGATATTGACGGGGATATTTTAGCTACCATAACATCGGATTGGACGTTTGGCTCCCAATCATTTATCCTGAGATCCAGCAGATACGAAAACAATATATCCAATAGAGAATACATGATCTGTTTGTTCTCCTCTGCAGTGAATCTTTTCAGTTTGATGACCTTTAAGTCCTTTAGTATCAATCGGTCGTCGTCGTTGAAGGTGAATATATTTGATGGCAAAGATGACTAAAAAAATTTTTCATAGATGCTTATAAGGCCAATTTGATGTCATATACATCATAGATTTCCTCCTAATCCCTTCAATAAACTTATTATAACATTATTTGTTATTGAACTACTCACCTTTATAATCTGGGTCAACTCATCTGGAACATCGAATAAATCCGCAAGATAATGCTCGGAATCAAAGGATTTCTCGTCGTTCTTAACCATGATATCATAGCGTTTTGTGATCTCAACTTCATCTGGATTTCTGATGGCAAATAAATCTTCAAGTTCTTCCCCAAATTTCTTCATGATTCCCATTTTATACCATCCAAATCCATAGCCAAACTTCTTTATTTCTTCGAGGTTCGGCGATTCCTCTTCTTTCTGAAGCTTCTGATCAGCCAAGACTCCCTCTGTAATATTATTCATCAAGTTTTGATATAATCAAGTATAGTATAAGATAACAACTAACCAATTTCCTCTTCCAATTCTTCCACATTACTTTGTCCAGAGGGTCTTTGAGGCTTCAGAAGTTCACTGAGCATTTCCAGATCCTTGAATTCTTCACCTTTGTTCTGTTTTGGCACTTTGATTACAAAGGTACCTAAAGTAATATATTAAAGCTTCGCGTCTATTGTCCTAAAAAATAAGAAAAAACAACTAAAAAGAGCTTACCACTATCAGCTTCATAGTCGCTCGACGAATTTTCGGGAATACCAACAAATCCAGGCAAGTACAACCTGAGGAAATAAGGGGCGGCTGAGAAAATGAATGTCTTTTCGCAAAAATCAATCTCCGCATCCCGAATATTGGCATTAGGGGCTTTTATGGTCACAACAACATGCTCCTCTGTCTGTTCTAGCTTGAAGAATGGAGTTATCATCTGAACATCAGGTGTCTAACATAATATCCGGCTTCATTTCTGCTCAATATAACTTCGCAATCAAAACGAGAACAACACAAAAAACAATACAAGGGTCATGTTGCTCTTATTATTTTATTTACACAATATTAGTACATCGAAAGAACTAAACAAAACTGATTTGAGGTCGTTGCTGTTCCTCGGCCAGTGAATTTAGAACTTTACAGTAGTATACCCTTCGCTCCGCTGCAAATTTATCGTTGATCCTACTGAAATCCATCTGCTTGACATCCGTTAGACCTTCTTTGAGACACTAAAGCATAAAACTTATATTATACATAATATAAGGTTTTCAATGCAGTCAAAAGCGGCTAAAATTGAGAAAAAACTTGCTTGAAAGATAATATGAAGATATTCCAATATGTAGATCCCGCAACTTCCATTTACCGTCATTTTTGGGCAGTCTAAAACCCGATACTCATTGCCGAAAAAGCCCTTGATCTTCTGATAAAATTGCCAACAATGAGGAGGCCGGGTGTCTGACATCGGATCTAATTGCCATAGGACATTTTGGATAGGATCATGAACTAATAGAGTCCAATGACAACCTCCAGACACGACTGTTGGATCGATGTTATCATTGAGAATGAAGGCTGTCCATTTATTTTTATCCGCCTCGACTGATTCTAGAAGCTTCTGAGTCTCGGAATTCCGACGTCCAGCATGCTTGATCAGTTCACACAAAAAAGCGTAAACCAGACATACCTAAACATGCAAAATTACAAGAACAAATGACTTACTTCTTCTTTTTTCGGCCCTAAAATCTCGTCTTTTAGGTACGTGGCTCCAAAATTTACTGCTGTGTCGGTCAACCAACCCGCATATATTGACCGGAAGTCCTCCTCGAACACCGTAAAATCCTCATACGTACAGATCTTCCGGTTTGAGGCAAACCTAGACATCAATTTCGCTAAAATTCGATAATTTTTTATTTGAAGCAGAATGCCAACAATTTCAAAGCCCTGAAACGAAAACATTTGGTCGTCGGGAAATTTAGAATTCGACTAGTTTAGCGAAAGGGAGGTTTGTGGGACATTTGTGGAAAAGTTTGTTAGGTCTTTTTGACACGAAAAAGTGAAGGTTTACATCGTAGGAATGTCTCCGATGTTAAAATAGAAAAGAACCTATACATTCTACAGTAACGATCAAAAAATGTGCTTATTCTTCTACGAAATACAGTAATCTTTTACTTTTTTGTTTCCACATATCTGCCAGCAGGGCTGATGGAGAAAATCCGGATATTCAGTCGGCCACAACTTGATCATCGAAGAGAACGGTTGACTGTTTCACACCAGTACCCGGACCGTATTCGATTGTCATGAAGTCACTGCAAATAATTCCGAACTGATGTGAATTAAATACTGGTTAAACATACGTTATATTACTTGCACAAAAATTGAATCTTTTTCTAAGAACATGGCAGGTGTAATATAAATTCGTATAAAACTTCTTACCCTGGATAACAACGTAGGCAGAATCGACTAAAAGGTGTGACGATGAATCTGTCCAAATTTCAAGAAGAAAATTTATTTTTCGTCTCATTTTGGAATCAGTCTTACTTTGAACAGACGAATCGACTGGTCGACTTCCAAAAAATGCCTGAAAAGAAGCGAAAAGTAATCGTGGCGTCCAGGGTTCACACGCAAGGCGAGAAGGAGACGAAGATAGTTACCACCCGAACTCAGGTAGGACAAAATAGAACTACTCATCAGTTTTTACGTGATCCACTTTGTCTAAAATTTAAAATCACCTTAACTTCTCGGAATCGTTTATTACTTATCTCGGCGCTGGTTGAAGATTCAGGAGGGAAATTTGCAAGAAATGATCTATGATCTTTCTGGATGCGGAAAATTTTGGATATTTCGTATAACCTCATGGTACGCGTGTTTTATTTTTAGGGTGCATTATTAAGGGGGTCTAAAATTAGGACAATAACTTTTGTCATGGACCAAGAATGTCATTGAATCTGATTTTCGTTTCAGAAGACTCAGTAGTCTTTCACAACTAAATTTTTAGTCCACTGGTCCCACCAAACAGTCCAAGCCCAAAGCTTCGACCCCTGCCGGTACTCCCAAGGCCACCAAGAACGCCAATAACCGCAAAACAGTAACTCAAACCCTTCCATCTCCGAAGAATGCAGCTAAACCTTCTCCAAACCCCAAGACCACCTCTTCAATGCCCTCTCCAACTCCCAAAACTGCCGCTGCGACCACTCCAATCAAGCGTATCCCGGCAAAAGCAAGTCCCGCTCAAACGGCCAGACCCGCCGAACCTCCCCCATCAGTCGTCAATGAGCCTGCCGAACCTCTGGCTGCTGCTCCAGTGACTGCCGAGCCAGTGGCAGCGGCCACGCCGACTGTAAGACCAGCTTTGCCCACTCTCAAACCTGCCGCTAAACCAATGGTCAGTGAGGCTACCGTTGAGCCCGAAAAGACAACAACGACTGCCTACACGGACTTGCAGAAGCCTAAATCCCCAGCCAAGGCTGAAAAAGTCCCAGCAAGAAACTATGAAGCCACCAAAACCATGGGCGGCGGACTCGATTATTCGATTTTAGTGAAGCCGCAGAAGCCGATGGTAAGACCTAAAATTATATAAATGTTTAAGAGTAGAATAAGTTCGACAATTTTTGATAGAGTTGTAGATATAGTAAGGATATAATATTTTCAGTTTTACAAAGATCAGGCTTGGCTGACCTTATTCATTGTCAACACCAGCAAATTTCGACTTTGTTTCCGAATCATCCCTCCGAATTCTAAAAATTTTACTGTAACCCCGCTCAGTGGATTCGTCGAAATTGGCAAATCAACATATGTGGCTATTCAGAGACTTGTAAGTTTCTTTTATACGACTTTCGTTTCCTACAATGAATTTATTTGTTTTCATTTTTTTAATGCTCGTCCGGATTACTGTAGCCCGTAATTGTGATTCCAGAAGATGGCCGTTGAGTACGAGGATCGTCTGGAGATTGAGTTTGGGCCTGATACGGGAGTTCAACAAGCCGCCGTCCTATTCGATGACGCTTATTGTGATTCGGATAAAATGGAAGTTCTCATTACTTGTACCAACCAACCGGAGCCGGTCAAGAAGTCATCAAAACCCACATAAAAACTGTATTTTTTTTAAATGCAAGATTTGGTCATTTGCTTGTATGAAAATAAATGGAACCTTTATTTCCTTGATTAATTTTATATTACACTTGGGCCAAGCTCGGGCAGATTTCCAGTATAAGGTAATGTGATGACGAATTCCAAAACGTTTAGAGAGGAGACAACGGATTGCTTCAGTTTGCATGAAAATAAAGGACATTGTTCTACATTTTAATTTCATTCTCTCTGTTCACAAATCTGTTTTTGTTTATCCTTACCATCCGATAAACAACATTGTTTTTTAGGTATTTTGAAACGAAGAGACCAGATATAAACATGTTTTTTCTTTCTCTTCCCACAAAAAGCCCTTTGAAAAAGAAGAATGGCCGGATTTATACAGCGATATTGTACATGGTGTTGTAGGAATTTTGGGCATTATTTTAGTCGAGATTAGTCGTGTTTTTGAACTATAAATGGGTGTTTAAGTTCTGCATTACAGTTGCAGAGTAAAAGCGAAGATGAGTGATCAACTCCATGAAGAGTCGACCTTGAAAGCCGGTCATCCACCAGCGGAGAAAGTTTCTGGAAGAAGAAGAATAACCAGGAAGGAAAGATCGGCCAGTATGGGTGAAAATGGCGAGGAAAACGATGGCCCGATGATGGAGTGGGATGAGAAAAAGATGAAGATGACAAAAGCGGAGATCAGAGAGGTGGGTCGATTACCTTCAATACATTGTTTTAGCTGCACCGTGCACAGCCGAGCGACCGGATCCGCGCCAAACACGAGAAACCGCTGCCTTGTCATGAACCACAGTCCAATCGCAAGACTACTCGCAAATCTCATGAATTTGAGCTGTTCCAACCAAAGAGGTTCAACTAGACGTGTCTCGCAACAAAAAAGTTCTCACTGGTACTGCTAATTTATGTTATCCATGTAATTTTACCTAGAATAGGTATTTAAAAGGTGCAAAGAGAAATAAACTTTTTCAATCGTCAACCCTATTCTTGTTTGCATGCGCTGGTTTATCAAAAAAGAAGAATCGCGCTGCTTACATTTGGTTCCACCACGAAAACGCTGGGCCGCCAATATTCTTGTTCGAAATGCGCAAATTCTCGCGCAGTTCGATCTGTAACAAAGAGCGATCAAATTTTGATCTTCCTTACTCGGTGTTTACTTCTTCACCGAGCGAATGTTGTGAGTTATGGATAAGAAAAATTCGAATCTTTTGACGGCTGATAGTGCCGATGTCGCCTGCAATTACAGCGACTTTGTTCTTCAATGTTTCACACAACTGCGGGGTCGCGAACAAGGTAAACTGGCCTTCTGAGTTATTTGTAACTGTGTTTCTAGCATTAGATCAAAGAAATTAGTCTAATTTATATTATCCTTCAGAATGTCTGGATCTCGTTGAATTATGCGATCAGTTGAGGAGAAAGTGGAAGCATTCCTCAGAACACTGCGTCCTGGCTGAAGAAAAGGCCCATCGGCTTGAACAGGAGAAAGAGTGAGTTGTTTAATGTTGATTTTTTATTTTTTAGGGAGTTGAGAGCCGAATACGAGCTTCTCAAAGAGCGTTATCATGATTCTAATGCCAAAGTCGGAGCTTTGATCAGTCAAAGGGATGATCTGAAGAAAGAGATCAATGATTACCAACAAAGAATCAGAAGTATCAGAACTTTGATGGAAGTAAGCGATTTCAGAGAAGACAAGACCAAGATTTTTATTAGAATTGAGGTGTACCTATAATTATATTTTTTAGAAGGAACTCAAGGACACTGCGGCATTTGGTCGATTGATGAATTTGAGTAAATTTGATGAGAAGAAGCACGACAATTTGAATAAATCTCGTGCCACTCGATCCAACGACTATAATTTAGACGTGGACTTTGATAAATCTTTGGATGATGAGGAGAACATTGATGAAGTCCATCTTCGCTACAACCGGACTTATCAACGTCGCTCCAAGAGTGTCGATACCGATGCACAAAGAACGAAGAGTCATGTGACTAAGAGAAGCCGGCATCTTCATGAGAATATCCAGGAGGTGGATGAAGATGAAGGCCATCTCTCGACGCCCCCGAAGAAATTCAGAGATGAAGCCAATGAGGACGAGATTACTACTGTCACCACAATTACTGTCGACCCTCGAGGTCGATCTGCGACCAGAGCCAGTGTGGAAGTCCATCGATCCAATCGGAGGTCCATGTCCGAGTCCAAGGCAATGGATATGTTCAGTCAGACACCGTTGAGCAATAAGTCATATAGACTCGGCACAAGCAGCAACGACTTGTATGTCATTGTTTAAAGTTTCATTTCAGTTTTACATGACGTTTAGGAATATTATTTTAGACGGACTCCATTGACAGCCATGGGATCATCTTGGACGAAGGGAAGGCCGATCTTGGAATGTGATCACTACTTCGAAAGTGGCAAGATGGCACTGATGAAGAGTTGTGTTGTCTGCAATCGAACTGTGACCATGCAAAATGTTTTAAAATGCAAGGGTAGGATTATAAGACACTTGATGCCTAATTTTAATTCATTAAAAAAAAGTATTTTGTTTAATTGACCAATCACAAATGATATTTTCAGAATGCAACCTCTACATCCATAGCAACTGCCTCTCCAGGGCACCACGACCATGTCTTCCATTTGCGGACAAGAATAAAAAGGGTACCCCGCAGAAGAAAAAGATCCCTAGATTGGCGGATCTCTGTCCCAGCAGCCCCCCTCTTGTCCCAGCCACCTTGATCCGTCTGATTTATGAAATTGAAGCCAACAGAATGGAATCTGAGGGCCTTTATCGAGTCCCCGGGAACAGAGATTTGGTCGCCAAACTTTTGTTCACAATGAGTTCGAATATCATCCCACAGTTGCAGAATGAACACACAGAAGTCTTGACCTCTGCTGTCAAGAAATTCTTGATGAATTTGAAAGTAAGGAGGTGTATTGGATGCTTTTTTATGGTCATTATAGTTTGATGTCAAGTATAATATAATTGTTGGCTGTTTGTAGGAGCCATTGATCCCCAACTCTTCCTACAATGAGTTTATCCAAGCTTCTCGCCAAGAGTCGGATGATTCCTTGAAGAAAGCGATCACCGATCTTCCAGACCCGCACAAAGATACCTTGGCTTTCTTGTGTTCCCATCTCCAAAAAGTGGAACGATTTGGGTATGCCAACAAAATGACCATTGAAATCTTGGCTGAGAGGATGGGAGGAGCTGTTCTGAGAGGTGGAAGAAAGGATTCGTTGAATAGTTTGGAGAGGGGAAGCAATCATAATGAGGCCAAGACGATGGAGAGGCTGCTCACGTTGAATAATGTAAGAGACTGTTGGTTTGGGGGAGTGTTTGAATTGGAGGTGGTGTGAAATTGTGGAAGGTACCTTGTGAAAAAATTTTGAGGGAGTAGGGATAAAGTTTAAGGCTGATTTTCGGTGATTTTTTACTCGATTTTCCTTCATGATTGTATCAAAAATTTTTGATTTTAAAGACTTTTATGTTTGTGTGATTACAGGAGTACTGGAGCGACTACTTGAACTCCCGGATGTTATACATGGCCACTTCGAGAACGCCCCGATTCCAAACGCCCAGAAACGCCGACCAGTCGATTCTTGGCCCCGTCTCCGAAACCCCTCCTCTCAACTTTACCCCCACCCTCAGATCCGCCAAACGTCGTGGTCTAAATGTGAATTTGTATTGATCAGAATCTCCAAATATTTTTACGCAATCTCAAAATCCTGTCTTAATATTGTAATAATGGGTTAGGTTAGAATGTGGGCATGGTGCTTTTTGTTTTTTCTCCACAATAAATCCGTTTGGTAATAAATAATTGCTAAAAAGGTGGGGAGAAATGAAAGACGGTCAGGTTGGTTTTTTTGGCATGGCAAATGTAAAAATATCAACTGAAAAAAATGTTTAGGGAAGTCATAAATGCATAACATGTAGTTTTTGTGAACAGCTAAACAAACAACTGATTAGGAGTTCCTTTTTTGGCCCACCTTTTATCATAAATGTTTTTGATAACTCCGCAAATGTTTCCATTGTTTTCTTTAGGTTTTATATTGTAAAAATATATTTAATTTCAAAGTGGTTTTCAAAGAGTTTCGAAGCGCTTGAAAGTGTTTTCTCAATATGTATTGTTTTCGTTTCAAGACCCAAAATTCTTTTTTGAAATTTTGAATTTTCGGTATGTTTACATTGCCTGGAAGATCGAAGGAGAAGCAAAACATAATTTCTCCTCACTCTTTGCTGGAATTTATCAAGGATTACCCTCAGGCGGTTAATGCTTCTGTCGAATTTGTCCGCCGTCCTTGGCATGGAAAGGGCGGGGAAAGGATCAGAGATACCATCGGATATGTAAGACAAAATAAAATTTGAGCTTCATGGACTGTTTCTACCAGAGATTGCCACGGTCAAAATGTCGGCTCCGGCTCTTAGCTCCCAGAGCCGGAGCCGAGGCCACATTTGCAGCTCCGGCTCCGGCTCTTGGCTCCGTGCAAAATTTAAAAAGGCCTCCGGCTCCGAATCCCATGCAAAATGTTTTTAAAAAATATTTTTCCAAAAATAAAAGTTATTAGTGCCAGAAATCATACATCCAACGTTTCTGCAGTCAAGTCACATCCTCCGCAGTGTTTTTCAAGCAATTTGGTTTAACAAGATCACGAAATTTTTAATTTTCTGACCGCTGGGAAGCCTGGCTCCGACTTTGGGCTCGGGAGCCGGAGCCGACCCCAAAATTTCGGGCTCCGGAGCCGTGGCAATCTCTGGTTTCTACTCGATCTTTTTAGGTGTGCGGCTATTTGGAAGGGAAGAAATTTGGTCAAGGGAAATTGAAATTTATTGAGTTGAGGATAAAACCCCTGGAATTTTCGATAATCGCCTTCCGTAATTCGATTGAGATTGTAATTTCTTGGAGTATTTATGCATTTCGGATCCATCGGACTGTCAACGATTACTTTATGAGATCAAAAATACGTCTGCTTCATGATCTGGCAAAATATTTTCAAGGTAAAGTGCGGGATCTTTCGGAAATTCTAAATGATTACTGTACTATTTAGACAACTTTACTGGAGAATTGGGACTGTCCGTAAGTGTGGACACTCCAAGAACTGATCTGATGCCATTTATGGAATTCATTGATCGGATAAAAAGTAATCTTAATTGGGCAAAAGTTCCACATCCAATGTTACAGTATCTAGAAGAGTGTGAATTTGAGTCTTTGGAGGTGTCAATTTCGTGTTCACTTCCTTGTAAGTTGTGTTTTTTTAATTCAAAATTCAATCTCTTGTCACCGTTTTTCAGATCTCGAATCCCTATTTCATATTGCCGTATCTACCGTTACCCTGGACAATCTTCGTTTTAAATTCACAGTCCTTCAAGACTACCCGCCCAATCCATCGATAAAAACTCTAAATCTGATCGACGGTTCATTCTTCCTCCTTGCCGGTCAATTCGAGAGTTTAATCGAAAATTTGCCCAAAAGAATGCCCAATCTGACTACCGTAACAATTACAGTAGACCCTTTCCGAAAAGATTCCCTGAAGGGATGGCTAAAAGAGATTCCCAAGTTAAAAAGGCAGGCAACCAGATTCAAATATAATTTGAATATCATCCACAAGATCCCTTATTCGGATTGGAACCCTCTGGTTCAACATATGATGGCTGTAACCACACCAAAACCGAATGGGAAAATTACGAGCGAGAGATGCGAATGGACTCTCGAACCGGTCATTTTCACAGCACAAAGATCTTTGCCACCGGAATCTATTATTAGAGTTGAGATGTAAATGTAAAATATTTGATGACATAAATTATTGCAAATAATTTCATTTACACTACTCTGATTGGAAACTAATGGGTTAATTGATTATAAAATTATAGAAGAGAAAACGGTTCGAAGAGTCTAATTATTCGGAAACCGGAAAGAATTTTGGCAAATGAACGTTAATTTAGAGGGTAAAGTTATATAGGGAGTGCTGTAATTGGAAGAATGAATGGCGAATTAAGTTGTTGTAGGTTAAAGCTTCAAGGAATAATGGGAATACGAAACACTATTAGAAAATTTATGGCAACGACGAACCTAATTTCGAAAATCAAAAAAATACGCAGATTAAAAAAATTACGATTATGTTGCTAAAATTAGTGATGAGCAAACATAGTTATGGGCCTACAAACCTAATGAGATTAGCAACGTTAAGACATATTAGAAACCCTTTGTACAAACAAGTTGCAACTTCTGTATTATATAATTTAACAAACAAAAAACAGGTAAATAAAGGAAAGACGAGGTTAAAAAAAGAAATTATTACTCTCAAAGAGAAGGCAACTAAATTGCATACTTTTACCACCAGTTGTTCAAATTTTGGCTATAAGTTGCGACAAAGTTAGATTATATTCTACTTGAGGCTTTAGTCATCATGGACATTATGAGATTAAAATCTGACACGATTAAGATGATTTTTGTTTATAAATACTGTTTAGGATACAGTAAGAGTGCATAAAAAAATAATAAATGTTGGTTTAGCGATCAGGTTTCTTCCATAATTGTGGTTTATATATCGGAAATTGTTTTTTCATTACTTTTTTATTGTTTGACGCGAAAATTTATGGATCGAGTTTGAAAAAGGGCGTGAAATGGACGTCTATGTAATTCCTGAGGATCTTTGGCCTTGTTATACCTAATATCTAAACATTACTGCTTTTCTCCGCACTTTCGTTATATTACACTAGACAAAGTTGGTGTGAGAAATGGGGATTTTCGGCAAATTCAAGCAATTTTCTGTCCGCATTTATCGTTTTTTAAACTCTACTACTTTCAAACTTCCCTATTTTTCCTATCAATTACTATCTTTTTCCTCTTACAAAACAAATTCCCCTTTGCAATCAAACAACGTTTTTTGGAGATAATTGCGCCGTATTTGCGACTGTTTGGTTGATGGTTAACGATACATTTAATTCCAGTGAAATTCAAATCATTTGTTTTTTAATTGGACAGGTTTTTGGAGACCGCAAGCGAATGTCGCATTCCTCCACTTTAAGGTCAAAAAAGAGAGGAAACCCTGAGGGCAGGAACTGGTTTCTCCCGGGGATTTGTTCCGAAAAGAGGGGAATAAGGTTCAGTGCGAGTGGAAAGTACTGTAAAGTGGGGAGAGTGTTAATTAGCAGTGTAAATTACTATAATTTGTCGGAAAAAGTATAAAAAATTTGTGTAAATTTCGTAAACAAAAAGTAAAATTAACTCTGACTTAAATTTAAATTTTAGCGGTTTACTTTTTTATCTCTAGTTTTATCGGATTACTGTAATTTTTAGATTAAACTTGAAATTTTTTCATTATTTTAATAATTTAGATGTCCCCTCCATTTTTTGATGAAGAATAACAAGCTAATTAGCTGCTCAAATAAATAAATCTAGTCACGTTTCTTCGCGCCTCCATTTTTTTCTTCAATTTTCACTTTTTCGACAAAAAAATGTTTTGCGATCCGAGCTGAGGAGTCTAAAATTGGTGGTTTAGACCAAAAAGATTAATAAAGTGACCTTAAAACTGCAAGTAAAACAGCTAAAACCGCACAGAATGCAAAGCCAATACGTTAGGAGTCAGAACACCTCTCAAACTTGCCCAAAGTCCCTATTTTTCACATCAACTTTGTCTAGTGTAATATAACGAAAGTGCGGAGAAAAGCAGTAATGTCCAGATATTAGGTATAACACGCCCAAAGATCCTCAGGAATTACATAGACGTCCATTTCACGCCCTTTTTCAAACTCGATCCATAAATTTTCGCGTCAAACAATAAAAAAGTAATGAAAAAACAATTTCCGATATATAAACCACAATTATGGAAGAAACCTGATCGCTAAACCAACATTTATTATTTTTTTTATGCACTCTTACTGTATCCTAAACAGTATTTATAAACAAAAATCATCTTAATCGTGTCAGATTTTAATCTCATAATGTCCATGATGACTAAAGCCTCAAGTTTAATTTAATTCCTTCGTTTCTTTGCAGAGTTTATAGCCCGAAACGTGAACAAGTAGTAGTAGAAGTAAGGTAGTTCTCTTTTCTTGTATATTCAGGGTAATAATTTATTTTTTAACCCTTTCCTTCTATTATTTACTTGCATTTTCTTGTTTGTTATACCAAAAGTTGCACAACTTGGGTATATAAAGGGTATAAATGTCCTGGGGGCATTAATTTTTGGAAGAAAGTAATAATTGTTGCCTGCCAATTTTTTGATAGTGTAATCAGATTTTTTTAAAGTCTCGCCTTGCCATATTCTTGCTAGAATGTGTTGCAACCTACGAAAAGTTAACTCGCCACTCAGTCTACCAATTACAACACTCCCGATATAACTTTAATTAATGTTCCTTTGCCAAAATTCTTTCCGGTTTCCGAATAATTAGACCCTCCGAACCGTTTGCTCTTCCACAATGTTCTAACCAACCCATTTCCAATCAGAGTAGTGTAATTTGCGCGCATTGAAATAAACAAAATAGATGATTACATCAGAAAAGCAAGTGCTGGAATGTGGGCCTTGCTGAAGGGCTGGGGGTGTAAGGGGATGCTGGAAGTATATTAGGCTGGTCGGAAAGTTTTTTTTTTTTAAATTTTTTGCGCTGATAGACAGAGAAAACCTACCTCGTATCAACACTATATGGTGCTGGTATTGGGCAGGTATAACAATCTGACAGAACAACCCTCGGCTGCCTGGAGCCTGTACGAGCTAAGAAATTAACATGGGAATTTACCCATGTCCAGTGGGGACCTGATACAGCGGCAAAAAACGTACCATTTTGGATATGGGAAGCATCAAAAAATGTGGCAAAATACCTCCCTCTCCAAGTCAATAAAAACTCAGATTTCAAAAGCGCGCCCGCTCTTTTTGTGTGGAAAATGGGCACGCCCTTCAAAACTGAGTTTTTTCACTTGGAGAGGGAAGCATTTTGCCACATTTTTGATACTTCCCGGATGCAAAATGGTACGTTTTTTGCCACTGGATCAGGTCCCCCACTCTAGACTTGCGATTAAACCGGGGCTAGCCGTCGCAAAGCGAATCTAGGCAATTCTAAGGCGCGACGAATCCGCGCGAAAGTTGAGTACAATGTCGCTCGTCAATCGCGTTGCTGAAGTGAACAGCGATTTGATTTTTCTGCGACACACTTCATTTTCTCAATAGCGATGCGATTCTCGATGCGACAGAGTGTTCATTATTTTCCCGACGACTTATACTAATTGTCGACCGTATGCTCTCATTGTCAGTTAGCATAACAAAATTATAGATCCCTAGCAATTGTATTTACTCTCTTGCTGGCTGCAATTTGGGTTCTAAAAATTTTATAAACATACTACATCTGGTAAATTTACTGTTCAACCCGAGTAGTGCAACCTTTCTGAAGGAAAGGCTTTCTAAAGGTCCCTCGGATTCTGTGACACCGTTTAGAGTTCAGTTTGCAACAATTTTTAGCCATTGTAATCAGTAATTAACCATTAATTGCCGAGATTCCTACTAAATTCCTTCGATTACGCAACAATCCTTCCAATTTCCTCTCCAATTTTTAGTTTTCTCGACGAACTTGGAGTTGTCGTGTGGATGTACCCACTCCCAATCATTTCAATTATCTTTGTTCTCTTTAATTAGTCAAAACTTTTACTTTTTTCGGTTCAAACCCACTACTTTTCGGTTTAAGACCCTCGTTTTTTGGGGTTGTTTAATGTCATTTAATGTCACCGTATTCCCTAATTCGCTTCCATTTGAGGCCCCAAACTTCCGAATGCCTGAGGGCATTGCGCGGCTGTTATCAGTTGTCGCTCCGCCCGCGGGCGTTTTTTTCGCTTCGATCAGCTCGCGATTCCATTTTCGTTTTTTAATTCCGTTATTCCCATTGTTCGCGCGCTATTTGAATACCTTTAATAAAAGTGCAATTCGGTTGTAAATCATTTTAATTTCTCTTGCCTGGAGGGCGAGTTCATTCGAGAAGATGGGCAATTGGTGGGGAGGTGACTACAAGCGATCCTTAGGAACTTTTACCGTCTTCTTTAATTCATTTCAAGGCTCTTAAATTAAGTTATAAGCTATTATACATGACGTCATGTATAATATAACAACCCACTTACTTGACCGTGCCGACCTTCTCACAGTATTTTTTAGTTTTTATTGAGTATTTGCTTTCTTCTTGGACCTATCTATGGCCTCAATATTAAACTAGATCACATTTATAATATATGCTTTTAATGTCATGTATAATATCCCAGATTCCTTACTAATAAAAAGTTTCAATTTGTAATACTGCATGACCCCTACTGTAGTTATTCATCTACTTTTGGTCTAACATTTTTCCCTTTCAAAACACCAAAACATCTGATATTATCCATGACCTCGAGTATAACATAAAGAAACCCTAACTTCTCTCTCTGTATGATTGCTCGTCTCTTTGGAGTAATCTAATTTGAATAAATAAACTTCCGCGGGCGTGATTGAACTACGACACCAATCACATCCTTCCATTTATTACCTTGCACTGTTGTTTTCTTCGATTACTTACAGCAATTTCACGACTGTAGTCTTAGTATAACCGTTTAGAAATATTTTTTGCAGCCTGGTTAATTACAGAAAATAAATTTGTCATGTTCTGAGACCATTTATCACTTTCAGACTTATATCATACATGATGACCAAAAATCAAAACTTACAGTAATCTATAGATGGTTTTTTAAAATAATTAAAAAATTACTTTGCAAACTTGCTTCTAGATGAAGTTGTAATCTATACTAGAATTTCGAGCTCATTTACTGTTTGATTTTTACTTTTCCTTGCCCTTTTTCTTCCGAATTTTCGAGTATTTTACTTTTTTCTCTCTCCCTTTTCGTCTGTTAATGATCGCCAATTTTTTCACTATCACTTTCATCGACCGTAATGGGTGTGGCCTGAGAGTATTTATTCCGGTTTGGCGCTTTACAACAAACAAACAGATTCCATCAATTAAAAGATTGTTTTAATAGTAGTGTTAACAAAGATTCCGCGTTCATCAAGTGACTTTTTTCGCGTTTTTTCGGTTTACTCATTGTTTACGAGAGACGAGATTGTTTGATGGTAAGGCCGTGGATGTCGTCCACGACCACCATTCAGCATTTATTCACACTTTTGAGTGCATTTTTTTTCAGCCGAGACCCGCCATGTTCAAGGTCTCCAAATCCTACTCTCGCAAACATGAACGCAAACGCGACGACAACTTTGTGTTGCCCGGCTACAATGCTCCGCCTCCAATAAATCGCTCCGAACAAATCGAGTACTCTTCGGTGAGGAACGGCCGCTCTCCCGGCCCCTACGGCCGCGAGGGATACCGGCAAGAGATCGAGGGCGAACGTTCGTATCAGGCCGAACGTTCGTTCTCGGGCACCGCCGGAGCAGCCGGCGAACGCGGAGTGCATGTGGAGCGCTCCTTCAGCGGAGATCGTGCTGGGTTTGCGGGCGAACGTGCGGGATATGAAGCTGCTCGCTCCCAAGGCCTTCGACGCACTGCCAGCAATGACAGATACCATCAAGAACGTGCATACAGTGCTCAGAACGCGGCCCAGGAACGGGGTTACACCGAGAATGAGAGGGCTTGGCATTCCAGTGCCAGCCATGCCCGCTCTCCCCCTCCGGCCCATTCCCCTCGCTCAGAACGAGGAGTGTACCAAGCTGGAGGCGGTGGATACTTTGTCTCGTCTCCTCCACCATCCAGACTGAGCAGTCGGCAACATGACACCGCATACAGCGCCTATCATTACAATGAACGTCAACAACGTGAGGCCAAAAGAGCCGAGTTGAGAGAAGCGGCCAGAGAACGCTACTTTAAGACCAGACAGCCCTTCCATGAGAAGACTGAATGGGAGACCAAGGAGCACTACGAGAGGAAGGTGAAGAGAGTCAAGAAGCCTCAAGAACAGATCAAATACGTTGTACGTGAGGTCAAGGTAGGTGTGCTGTGCGATTTACAAGGTGTGAAGTGCTGTGATAATAGTCTTTTTGGTAGCCTCTTACAGGTTAATATTAATGTCTAAAATAGTATAATACAACCAGCGATGTTGAGAACTACCACTATTCTCTCATTTTGTGTGATATTTTCGTTGAATTGAGAGTTTTAGGCCAGCGATGAAGGACAATATAATGGGCCTCCAACGCCTCGAGCGCCGACCCCAACCGGACCCAAATGGGATATCAATGAGGACGGAAATACCAAGAGAACTGTCACTGAACGGCATCATGTACGGGTGATATTACATCATATTGCGCATGATGATCTAATGATTGCTGTGATCTAACAACCAGTCTGACCAAAGTAATCAAATTATTTTAGGAGACTCCTCTCAACATCCAGAGGCCAATTCCTCAACAAGAAGTCGTTGCCGACGAGAACTTGGATACTTTCGACAACCTCAACGATCTTCCCGAACAAGTTCCACTTCAAGAGCACGAAGATGAGATGCAGAGATTCGATGAGGACATCCACACCAAGACCCAGTTCTACGAAATGGAGGGTAACCTCAACAAGAAGACCGATGACATCCTCACCTTCGTCGAGGCCCTCCGCGAAGGCCTTCTGAATCTGTCTTCAGGCACTGGAGAATTCCACGATCTGGTCAGTGGAGCCACAATCTCGTTGGAGAGAGCGGCCGAACTGGGCTACATTAAGAGTGACATCAACGAAATCTTGAATGGACGACATGGAATCCGTCATCCAGAGACTCAACAGGAGCTCACTCTGCTCGAGGCCATCAGAATCGGACTCTTCGATCCCGAGAAACGTCAGTTCCGGGATCTCCAAACCGGCGAGATCCTCTGGAGTTACGATCCAGTCTGCAATTCCGAGACCCAACGTCGTCTCATCAAATTGGGCGTCTTGAAGGTACCTCCACTCAGTGTGGAGAATGCTGTTCGCAAAAACGCGATTGACTCTCGTACCGGCATCTTCAAGGGTCAGTATGCCAAGGAGCCAATGCCTTTGAGAGAGGCTCTCCAAAACGGGTACCTCCAATTCGGATCCGCTTCGCCAAGGGTGGTGGCTCCATCGTTGACCGACGTCATCAGAGAGCGTCTCATCGACCCAGTCCAAGGAAAGTTCATCGACAAACACAGCAACGAAGAGATCTCGTTCCGTGATGCTTGTCGCCGCGGTGGAGATACCCTCCTCAACCAAAATGTCCGTGAAGTCGTCAACACCAAAGCCAATAAGCGGCTCACTTTGGCCGACGCCATCTACGAGAAGGCCATCAACCAGAATGACGGAACCTTCAACGACCTCAGAGCCGGCACTCCTTTGAATCTCCGCGATGCATACGAACGTGGATTCATTGGAAAGCCGCTGACTTTAACGGAGGCTGTTGAGAAGGGTCACATCGACGCATCCGGCCGTGTTACCGAGCCCGGAACTGGCCATCATTACACCTTGATTGAGGCTTTGGCTCATGGAGTTTTGGACCCTGACGCCGGACACATCCGTGACAAGAGCACCGGAGAAGTCATCAGCGTCGTTGAAGCCCTCGAGAGAGGATTCTTGCTGCCAGAAGGACAATTCTCCGTCGATGGACGCAACGTTGACATCCGCCATGCTAAGCATGATGGCATCTTGGTCGGACGTCATCGTTACAGTATCTTCGATGTCCAGGGAATCAAGAAACAGGGTCGCTCTCTGACCTTCAACGAGGCGGTCAACGAGGGACTTTTGGATGCCAGAGCCGAGAAATTGGACGGCATCAACTTCGCTGGAGCCGCTGACTTCGGAGTCATCGACCGCAACCTTCAGCGCACCTTGACTCAACCAATTGGTCTTAAAGACGGCCATCGTGAGGTGAATCTTGTTCAAGCGGTTGGAGCTGGACTTATTGACCCCAAACGAGGTGTTCTGCTCCATCACGGCCGTGAATCCAGCCCTCGGGAGCTGTATGACGCCGGTCTTTTGTCATTGAGAGGCGCCATCAAGTTGACCGGACTCTTGGATATTCATCCCGCTTTGATTACCGGAGCCCGCAAGATCGAGGAGCAGAAGAGAAGAATCGGAAAGCCCAGCAAAGAGACAAAGGTCCAGGATGATCACATCAAGTTGACCATTGAGGAAGCCATGAAGCAAGGACTTTTGGACACCCGCAATCAGCGGTTCCGCAACGGAAAGGAAGAGATCAGTCTGGATGACGCTCTCAACCGCGGCCTTGTCCATCTGAATGACGAATGGATCGTGCCCAAGAACCAGGTCTCTCAGGGTGGTCCCACTTTGGAAGAGACGGTCAAGGAGACCCTCACCCACACCCAACAAGAGCTCGCTCCCCAGATCTTCCCCGACAAATCGTTGGAAGAGAACGTGGAGACCAAGCGACGGGTGCGACGAACTGAGGCCAAGGCCGAAGGAGGGCCGGGATCGGCTACTTATCGTGCCATTACTGGAGGAAAGGATGGAACTCAGCCCTTGTCCTTCCGAACTGTTGGACAACCCCATGTGGAGGAGTCCGAACACTCCTGGGTCTTCGACAGTCAGACTGGCCGTTTGACTGATGCTGTCACCGGAGAACTGTTGACTTTGGACGCCGCCGTCCGTTCGGGACGTCTTCCCAAAGACGAGCTCAGAGTTCGTGATGCTCTCTCGGGCCGTGAGATGAGCTTCGTCGAGGCCGAACAATGGGGAATTGTCTCGGCCAAGGATGGGTTCTACTTGGACAAGACCAACAACAGAAGAGTCTCTCTGGCCGAAGCTGCTCAACAACATCGTGTGTACCCGACTGGAGGAGTCCCTGATCACGCTGGAGATGCCGTTGTCACCAAAGTCAAGGTCCAGAAGAGAGAAGAAACCGCCAAAAAAGAGGCCATCAATGCGCGCCCCGAGATTGATGGAGATTACAATCTGACCAGATTCCTGGCCAATGGATTGTACGAAAATGGAACCTTCCTCCACCCCGAAACTGAAAAAGAATTGACCCTAAAGGAACTTATCCTTCACGGATTCCTCTCTCCGTATCAAACCAAGGTTGTTGACAAACAAAAAGGAGAGCAGATCAACTTGATGGAAGCCATCGACAGAAGAATTGTTGATGAAGTAGCCGGCACAGTCAAGGACACAAAGACGGGAAGAACCTATCAGATCGAGGAGGCCTTGAGAAATGGACTGATTAAGGAAGAAGCTTCCAGGGGAGCCATCGAAGGAAAGGGCGGAAGATTCGACATGAACACCGGAGTCTTCCATCCCCGTCCAAAGAGCTCTCTATCCAGACATTCCACTCATTCCGTCAGCCAACCGCATCAACAAGTTGTTGAGATTGGAGGACGAAATGTTCCCGTGAATACGATCAAAGGAGCCGATGGAGTCGAGAGAGGAGAGTATGTGGATCCCCAGACCGGCATGAAATTCACTGTCCAAGCATCGAGCAGAACCAGCAAGCATTAACCTACCAATCGACATCTTTTGTAAGTGATACTATCACTTCAAAACTTTTTTTTAACCCTAAACAATCAACTTCAAACCAATCCTAAAATAATCTCATTCCAGACGTAAATAACATATTCTCATGCATAATTATCAACGCTCACTTCCTTCTACATGTATACGACCAGCCAAGACAAGCCTGAAGTCGCCGTTGGTCCAAAACACTGCCTATTTTCTTCACAAAAAAAGGAAAAATTACAGTATTCTAATATGATCTATCTGTCCGAACAAGCATTCTAGACCTCTGTGAATCTGTTCTTTCGTATTTTACATCGATAAATGTAAATAAACTTCAAAAAAAAACAGTGGTTTCAACATTAGACCGACGTTAACAGTGATTAAATTCCATATGATTCTTAATCGTCTTTATTTTTCACTTTACATATCCATGGAATCATCACTTTCGGGTGGGATGAGCTCAAAAAAAGCTTTTAGAATTAATATATAATGCAGAAAAAAATACTTAAGACTTGTGCATAGGACTAAAAAATATAATAAATTATCAAAATACCGTGTAAATACTCAAACTGGATGGATCTACATACCCGACAAAAAAAAAGATCTCGGTTGATGCTAAATGGAGGAGCTCTAAAAAGATTACTTTAGCATCAACTCGAGGTAATGTTATATTATACATAAAGACATCTTATGGAATTCTGGAGGCATTAGAGGGAGGTCGAAGACGACTAGGTTTGGCACCATTCAGGTCTATTCTGGTTTGGCTGGACTGTCTGGAGCCTGGATTGGACACAGAAGGAGCGTCTGAGAGACCTCCAGTTCGAGGTCGAATGATTCCCGAGGTAAGGGATCTGGGCTGTTGGATGTTGGACATGGAACGCTGAGCGTAGAAATTGCTGGATGGACGGGCGTCAGTGCTCGCTGGGGTCTAAATAATACATAAGAAAGTTCAACCAGCAACCTCTCCAAATCATATCATAACCACCTTACTTTGGACCTTGCAATAGCCATAAGAGACGAAGATTTGTTGGGAGGTTGTATTACTGGAGTTGTCCTTCCATTATTAATCTTGCTTACGCCCATCGGTGGTCGGTAAGGTACTCCAGTGCCCATTTGTGGGGCCCTAACAACGTTCGGTCTGATCGGGGCGGACTGTCTTCTATTCGGGACTGGGGCTGATCCATTCGGCTGGGCTTTAATCACATTTGGAGTGGGTTTCGGGGAGGTAACTACGTTAGGTCGGGGGCCTGCCGGCCGAGTGTTGGAGAGTGGTCGAGGTGGGAGGATCGGACGCTTGGCCGCTGATTGGATCGAGGCTGATGCCGGCTAAAACATTATATTATACTTGCATAAAAGCAAAATAAATTCTTAGTTGGTCTGTCAAATAAAAATGGTTCTCACTTTAACTCTGACTGGAGCCGGCTTCGGAGAGGGCGCTGGTCTTGCCGGAGGTGCGGATCGGACCGGCCTTGGCTGGGTTCGGACTGCCGAAGCTGGCTTCGCTGTTGGTTTGGCTGATAATGGAGGGCCAGCTGTGGCCGCATAGATCTTGGCCATTTCTGGGGCCACATTCGGGCCGAATTCTTCATCAAATTGCTTCTTCTTCTCTTCAATTTTGGGCTTCTTTATCGAATCAGCCATTAAATCCTTGAATAAAATCTCGGCTCCCTGATCTCCGATACATCTGGCAATTGCTCCGATGGCCGTGTAGGCGCCATCTCTTACATCTGGAGTGGCATCTGAGGTGAGTTCGCTTAATCGCGGAGCCAGGATCTTGATCTGATCTCTCGGAGCTGTCTTCTGATTTAATTTGTTGAAGATGCGACCAATAAAAAGTAGAAATTGCCTCCGGGTATGGGGATTCTGATTGGATAAAGCGGTTAAAAGATGTTCTGAGAAGTGATGGAGATGGATCTAAAACATGAATACTCAACAGTTCAAGCTTTGAACTTACATAATTTGCAATTTCATCCAGACATTTATTTAAAGCGTCAGCAAAGACCTCCTTTTTCTCCTTGGATTTAGTGATCAGAGCCAAAAATACTGAAGGTAAGACTGGTTCGAAGAGATGTCGGAGACCTTTGACAACGCCTTGAACCGATTTGACCGCCAGGGATACCACGATTACATTAGAATCCTTCTCAATTATCCTTTTCAGTTCTCCAATGAGACCACGGAAGATTTCAAGGTCAGGAACAAGCTTCGGATGCTTCTCCAATGACGCTAATAACGCCTTAAATACATTGTTTTAGTCGTAGAAAAGAAACATAAAATTCATAAAGCCTGCAGAACAAAACTTATATTACACTAGACGTCAAAACTTACTTCTAAAGCCTCTTTTCTCTCCTGCCATTTTTTTGAAACTAGCCACTCATCAAATTCCTTCGGAAGATCCTTAATGATGTCCCTTGGTTCTAACAGATCCCACGGATCAATATCTTCAGCTGATTCTGCAGCTTTCTCTTCAGTTCCATTCTCAGAGGTCTGTCCATTTTGAACTATGGCTGGTCCCGCATTTTCACCCACAACAGCATGCTCCGCAGCCCATTTTTCTGCATCTTCCTTTGCTTTTTCCGAGTATTCTTTTATCTAGGAAAACAATAAACAAATGTTAAAAACTCACTTTTTCGTCATTCCACTGAGATCCGTCAGCCAATGTTTGTGTAGCTTTATCTCCAATAAGTCTTACAATACCTCCTAAAACCAAAAACGCAGTGTCGCGGACATTCTTATCAGCTTCGGTGGTATTCTAAAAAAGAATTACATTAGAAAAGGGGGAATACGTAAAAACAAGTAGTAAAGACGTAAAAAGTTGTCCTAAAAACGAACAACGATGCCGACGAAAACTTACTTTAACCACTCGAGGAATAACGGCTTTAATAAAAGCCATAGGACGATTATGTTGTGAGAAATGTGTTAAAATTTTGAAAGTTAACACATTAAGTTGTTGCTTCACCGCTGGATGAGGCTTTTTCAACGCTTCTTCCATGGCATTAGGCAATCGATCGATGCTACACTAAAAACAAAAATAGATATGAAGATTTAAAAAAACTCACATATTCTATTAAAGCCTCCGTACATTCGATTAGAGGGGCTTTAACAACTTCTTTTTGCTCCTTGAACTTCTCAAACAAAATGGGCGCAAGAACGGTTGAATGATGATCAAAATGTTCTCTGAGTCCTCTGACAAGTCCTGTTATTAATTTAATTGAGTTGGCGACGACGTTTACATTCATATCTTTGATCACAATCTAAACAGTAAAAAACAAATTAATCTAAAACCGAACAAGTAATTAATTAAAATCCTCACCATCTTGAGCCGAGTAACAAGATCCGAGTATGATACGGTAGTGGCCAAGCGAGGATGATCATTCATGAGCTTTTGAAGAGATTCCAAGCCTTCAATCCTCTCCTTCCAGTTCTTCGACTCCAATAAATTACGCTGATCATTTGGCCACTTGGCTAATACGTCAAATTCGTCAATAAATTCGAATGCCATATCTAAAATGACTCATAATTTACATCCTACAACAAAAAACAAGTTGAAAAGATTCCTTTTTATATTATCCACGGCTCGGCACGTATTCGAATGAAAATATTTCGAAACTTCCTCACAATTGGCACATGCCCAAACAAAAAGTAACCGGAAGCCAGCATTTTTGCCAGATTTTCCATTTCTCCATTTTCCATCAAAGATATTTTTTGACATTTCGTAAACGCCGATAATTTTGTGACACTTCGCGCTATAAACCAATACCGACACGCGCGACAGCTGAATTTGAACAAGAAAATATTGCTGTTGTCGGATTTTGTCAGCTAGCTAGCTAACTGGGGTCAACATTATTTTAACAAAATGGAAAAAAGCGAGCTTATCCATCTAGCTCGAAGCTTCCAAGAATTTACCGATGAGTGCAAGCTTGAGGACGCCCGACATAAAACTTTCACCAACTGGCCATATGACTCTGATCCCAAGGCAACACTCACTTCATCGAAAGTAAGATTAAATTACGGACATCAATTAATTTTTGATCTCTTTATTTTTTAATTTAGCTATCGCAATGCGGCTTTACCATGTCGACGGTTGATGAGAGTGAACCGTCCGCAGAATGTGTGTGGTGCTCGAAAGATGTTGTGTTTGATCCCACAGATGACCCATTGTAAGTCCGTCCTTTATTGTCATATTCTGTTTAGAAGCGAAGAATGCCATCGAAATGGATGCCCCATGTTCAAATATCGTAAACCAGAAAAACAGTGGTCCGTTCAAGAGATGTTTGCTGCTGTGACTTTCAAGAAGAGTGTTGCTGCAGTATGTTTTTGTCGTTTCCTTGACATTTCAGCTTTATTTTTCTATGGTAAACCAATTTTTTAATTGTTTTAGGTGATTTCCATGGTTTCTGAGCACCGAAAAGTATTGGAAAACACCGAAGACGAAACGCAAAAGAGAATTCACGATCTTCTCATCAAGGCCAACCGAGCTTGTTAACATTTCGATTAAATGTGCATTATGTTTCATCACAAATATTACTTCACTCACCTCACAAAACATTATTATTATCTTATCGAATTAGAGGTTTTAAATTGTTTCCTTTGTCTTGTGAAATAAATCTCTGAGTATTTTCTTGCATTTTTATGTACATGAACGACCAATTTCAGTAGGTCCCGGCTCCCAAAGGTCAGCACTTTGTGCCCACGGCGATTTTTTAATTTATTGTTTCCGTCCAAAAATCGTCGAAAAAATATTTTTTTCTCCACAAAATTGCTCTCAAAAAATGGTTGTAACGCCGAAGAAGTCGTCGCCGAAGCCTGCATACCGAACTCCTACGAAAATCCTTCAAGAGCGATATCAGCGCTTCATCGAACCTCCAAAGCTATGCACCAGAAAAGAAATGGTAAGTTTTGGTTGAGACGACAGGGCTAAATAAAGGATTTTTGGCAACGAAGAGGAGGGTCTTACTTTCTTGATTGACTGCGTTTTAGTCTTCGAGCTTGTTTACTAGCAAAATTTTAAGTTTTTGCATTTTTTTGGTGTTGTAGATTAGCTGTTTCCAAATTTGATGCATTTGGAGATAAACGGAATGTTGTAATGTTTCATAGATGTCCAGTTGCTCGTTGACAAAGATGCATGGTAGTTTACTGCGTTTTACATTGAAAAGCTCTAATTGTTTACCTTTTGTTATCCATGCTCTTTCAGTGTATGCAACATCCAAGGGAATGCCAACGCATGCGCAACGATGCTCGCCTTTGTCGCACCGCTCCAATGAGCTTCAAGATCGGAAAGACACGGTCCGTGATGGGTTCGAATCGACCGAAAGTCGTGAGTTTCAAGGAAACTCGTAAGTTATTGGTCTTGCTTTGTTATTCCGCTTTTAGCACCACCTTTAAGTGATTACTATAGTCCAAGCAAGCTCGAACAGTATCTGGACCAAGTGTTCTCCAAGATCCACACCGTTGGAAGCGGATCGTTTGGGAATGTAGGTTCTTTTCGCAAGGTTCATGGGTGGTATGATTTGAAGGTCTTTTTTGGACCACAAATGCGTATGCAGTGTATTTGATTTGCATCTTCTTTCAGGTATACTGCATGAAATCACTGGAAGATGGCGGCTATTACGCCGTCAAATGCTCTCGAGAACCGTATCGTTCCCGTCGTCACAGGACTGAGAAACAGCGAGAAGTGATGTTTCTGGAACGCTTGGATCATAGCAATATCATCCACTTCTATTCGGCTTGGGAGGAGAACGACCTTCTTTACATCCAGACCGAATTGTGCGAGAAATCTCTTCAGACTTACATCATGGACATGGACGGACAAATACCGGAAGGGACCATTTGGAATGCGTTTGTGGACATGCTGCAGGTAAGTGGCGTTTTATTGCGTTGGATCTCATGCGTAATATCGTTTTGGAATGTTGTCGCTCTGGTTTCAGGCGTGCAAATACATCCATTCATTAGACATTGTACATGTGGACATCAAGCCTGACAATATTTTCATTTCCACCAAGCAAGTCTTCAAGCTTGGTGATTTTGGAATAGCCGTGGATTTGAAAAACGTGAGTTGCTTGCTTTTTATTTGGTTGTCTTTCTTATCTGGCATCATCCAGTACGCTATCGAATATTTCAGGATTCAAGTCTTGATCAAGATCATGAAGGAGACGCCAAATACCTAGCCAAAGAAGCCCTCAATATGGAGACAGTAACCACGAAGATGGACATGTTCAGTCTTGGCCTCTCAATCTTCCAAATGGCCACCGATCTCTGGGTCCCGGCCAATGGGCAAGCCTGGCAAGATGTAAGAGACCTAAAGTTTAGCAAGGATATATTGGAAAGTAAGTTTAGTGAGGTCTCAGGGCGTTTGGTTCTTTTTTATCGCTTTTAATACCCTTTCTTTCAGAATGCGAGTCGTCATTGAGGAAGATCCTTTTAAGAATGATGGATCCTGATCCTGAGGAACGCCCTGAGGCCAAGGAAGTCCTGAAGTTGGAAGAAGTCAGAGGCAAAGCCAAGAGAAGGATCGTTACCACCGCCAATTTGGTAAGTTATTAAAGTTGTAACTGGGAATAATCTTGTGGTGCTTGACGTTACAGTAGACAATTCTGAACATGTGTAAATAATATAAATGGTGATTTCAGAGCTGGAACGATTCCCGAATGTCGTACTCAGAGTCCAGTTTCAAGGATCGTCTCCTCACTCCCCCATCTCAGCGCCTCTTCGAGAACTCGTCTATGTACACTCCTGTTCGTCGTCCTCCCTCTCTCAAACGCTGCTTCAAAATACTACCGGAGCAGTTTCTTCCCTCCCAAGTACTAACTGAGTCATCCTTCGGGTAAGATGTCATGTGAAAAAAAGGATGTAAATAACCTGTCTAATTATATTTTCTATGTTTACCATGTGAATTGTATAACATATTAGGTATTTTGAGTCCTATTTTATTAACGTTGTTTTTTATATCACTATAGCGAGATTTATTTTTAATGAATAAAGTTAGACTGACCTGAACTTACATTAGTTAGGTTTTTATATCAATGATGACCCAATTTGGGAGAACGGGTTGCAAAAAAATTTCGGAATTATATAGAAAACTACTCTCACACATGCCCTTTATTCGAAAAATCGCATAATAAATTAGATAAAAGTATAAAATGATATTATTTTACCCAGTCTTGGCCACAACTTCATTTAACGCTGATTTCAGTTGCTGTAGACAAACATTCTGTCTAGATTCTAGGACATTCCACGCTTCTGCTTTCGGGATTCTTTCTTTGAAAGGCGCCAAAACATTGTTCCAATCCATTTCGATGAGATTCTTGATCTTTTGAATATTCTCCATGAGATCAGCCATTTTCAAAAGAGCTTTTCCATAAGTCTAAAAGCTAAATAACATAACAATTTGACAATCCTAACCTGTACAATGCTAGTTAAGACAAAACACGTTGAAATTGGGATTGGAGGAGAGTTCAGTGAAGCCTTGAGAAGCTGATTTATGAGGAACGAGCTGCCGAGTTCACCTCCATCAACATTGGTAGTGTAAAAACAAGTCTTCAGCAAAAGTTTCACCTTGTTTCCTTCTTCTGGGAGCCAAACAGAGGACTCTTCTGCCGATACATTTCCCAATTCGATGACTTTCTTCAATCTAAATTTAGAAATTTCCAAAAAACTACAGTAATCTTACATTTCATCTGGATTCATCCTCAATAGCACACAATTCGATACGACCAAACTGACGAGACGATCTCGGATAAAGGGTCTGAGTCTTACTAGCATGGTGAAGATAGTGGCCACACTCTCGATGAGATCCCCATCAGATGCGACCAGTTTCTAAAAGGTGATGGTTAAAGTCAGGTAGAATAATATAAAAAGGTCCATATAAAGACAAATTTGACTTTATAAAACAATCACCTACAGTATATCGCTCACAAATCCAAGCTACAGTATATTCCAAAGCGATTTCATTCTGTGCATCCAACCGAATTTCCGAATCATCGGCAGATCCCTTGATAGTCTGCCCATTCAGCAGGCTCTCAAAGAAGTTGTGGGCCATGGAGATCCTCCTAATATCATTAAAGTCTTTACTCGTGGTCACATCTATCTGATCGTTGATGTTTCTCTTCAAAGAGTTGCAGAACTTCGCATTCTCTGGCTCTTTTCTGTACTTGGTTAGTCTGGTTCTGAGATTCTTATGCTCGACGGCCATTTTGTGGATCCAATCATCAAAACACTTCTTGATATCAGGATTATAAGACTGTACCGGAGTTGTTTCGAGAGTTCTTGAGGCAGCTATACAGAATTGCCATAAGTTTTAATCAAATTTATATTACACTTACCTACAGGGAAGGTCGGAGCTGATGAAACTGGACTCTCTCTAATCTCTGATGTCGATATTGACGCTCGTTTTGTTGCCACAGGAGTCTTAAGCGGGGCCGGTCCCTTTACAGGCGTGGAGAGACCAGTACCGTCTCCTGAGGGGGCAAACAGAGCAGCCTTTTCTTCATTACTGATCACGGAATCTGTTTTGTGAAGAGGAGTCTTCGGCTTCACAACGGATTGATTCTCTATTATGCTGGTGCTCAGAACAGTCCTCGCACTCTCCAGCGCCTTGATCTTCTCTATCAGAACCTTAGTCTTGAAAAGTTCCGGTTTGAATTCGGCCACGGGATCATTCAAATTGTTCTGTGATGTTTTCGGAGATGAAAACGATCCGTTTAATGTCTATAACAGCACAAATAATACCACTTCCAAAAAACAAGGTCTTACTTTATTTAAGGACTGGTTCAACTTCTCGACTCTTCTCCTTTCCCATTTCTCTTTCTCCATTTGCACTTCATTCTCAAGTTGCTCCTCAAACTCTCGAAATGCAGAAGCATTTAGCTCTTCCTGAATTCGCTCTTGACGAGTTTTACGTCCCGGTCTCAGCTCGCCTTCTTTTTCTTCGATGAAAAGCTTTCTAAAAACAGAAAAATAAAAAAATGCATATGGATAACAACATACCTGATCTCTGCCTCGATTTCAGAGAACGGAACCAAATTCTGACTTTTATGGAAGCGTCCAAGCATTGCAAACTCGATGGGGGAGAACTCAGCTGAGAAACAAAAAAAAAATTTTTTTCGAAAAATAATTCCGAAAAATAGGAAGACTTGACTCAGAGCGTCAAGTGTGACGCCGAACTGGAGAAAACTACAGTCGAGTTCATCAGATATTGCAATACGATATTGGGGCTGTTGATTTCCGACGCTCTTCTAACTGGCAAAAGGTCAAAGATCCAGCATAACTACCCTTCTATTTATTATCTTTTACAATCCCAAACTCTTTGTAAACCCCATAAAAATTTTAATAAATCATCAAATCTTTGAAAAATCACAAGTTCTTTATGTATCACAGGGTAAAATCACAAGAAAAAATTATGGCGGTTAACATATTGCAAATGCTTAAAAATTAATGTAAAATAAACATAATAAATTATTATAATCTCCAATGGCGACTAATGTTTTAAAAAGAAATCAAAGTATCCACCGGCGCTGACCGCCGTTTCCTCGGAGCTTAGACCTTCACCATCGTATGTTCTGAGCGGGGAGATGAACAAGATCTCCTTTTCGAGGATAATTCCAGCCTGCTGCAGCCATTTTGCGTGAAGATTTGACAAATCTCTGCGACAGGTAGAAGGACAGTCGACTCCGGCGCTGTCAGGGTTCTTCAGAGGGGAGAACTCGTCTGACCGTTCAACTTGGAACACAAGAAAGTTTCTGAAACATAAAATCATCAAATAAAAAAAAATCAGGTCTCAAGTATTATACGAATTCTTTAAAAAAATGTAAAATGCTTACTTTGAAGCCGGGAAAACATCAAAAATGAATCTCTCCAATTTGACTCCATTCTCTCTGTTGATAGTTTTATGAAAGACCATGTCCATCACCGGATCATAGAAAGGGATCTTTTTTCTGGCAATGTGATAAGGGAGATGAAGTTGGCAAGCTTCTTTCAGGAAATCGAGAGAGAACAAATGATTCGCGATTGATCCGGCGCGGTATTTCAGTTTTCCATCGTCTGTTCTCTCTGCTGCCAACTCCTTCGGGAGCTCCGTATATTCTACAACTGTTGGTTTTCCATTCTCCAAACAGATAACCCCAACCTTCTCTGAGGGAACTTTCTTTTCCACAACCTGCAAATATCAAAGGTAAATCGATTTCATATCAGAATTGCTCAAAAGTTTATAATCGATAATTCTGGTGTATTCTCACCTTGGCAGCACAATCAGCCTCTTTTTCGATGAACTTGGAAAGGAAAATGGGATCTCCGACTCGACAAAGGATGTTATCAACACAATAGACGTGGACGTACCGGACTCCGCTGCTTTCTAATTCGGAAAGATGTGGCCTGAGAGAGTCGTAGAGACCTCCGTTACCATCTAAAATTACACGGTAAAAAACAATTCCCAAAAATGTCCCTAAAATTTTAAAACAAAAATTAACGCAAAAGTGACTTACTAGGAGCCATAAAATAAGTTCCATCCTTTTGCAAGAATTTCTTCCCTTCAAAGCTGAAAGCCGGAATCTCTTGCTGCTCAAAGATTACAATGTCATCACGTGGGAAATCCAGATCAGTGCACAAATCATCAATATGCTCTTTGATGGCTTTATGAGTGCTCTTACTAACCATAATATACCACAGAATCTTGGGGTCCGAACTAGGATATCTGTTCTTCGCCAATTCCTTCAACCGGACAATCTGAGCTGCTTGATATCGAAGAAGAGTATTAAAAGGTTTTTCTAGACCCAACTCGAAGGTCCCCTTTGGTCTATCAGCCCCAAGACGAGTTGCCTGGCCGCCACAAAGAACCAGAACACAAAGTTCCCCTTTGGAAATGGCCTCCATGCCCTTCGCTGCAATATTACGCCGCGGCGTTACGATACTTTTGGAAAAAAACGGTCCTAAATAAGGAAAAAAAGTCTAAAGAGCTAACCTTGATCCTTCATTTTTTCCCGTTCATTGGCATACTCTGGCTTGACCAGGTATCGATCTTTTGGAATCTGATCGTAAGACTTCACTTCTGAAAATTCATGTTTTAAAACGAAACATTAAGTTTTCCACGCCAAAAACAAAACAACTTACCATTTGTGGGCTTGTGGTAAACATAATCTCCATCTTCATACAAAACTAGCCCTGGGACCACAGTCGAGTCATCCAACTTCTTAAAATCCTCGTTCACCTTGAAATTGAAGTCCATGATCGAAAGGACAACCCACTAAAAAATAAAAACAATACTTTTACAGTCAAAACACATTTTCAAAAATTTTCACGACAAAACAAAAAAAATCCGACACCTTCATCGTATGGAGAACAAAACTTTTCACCAGCCTGAGGCCAAATTTTTGACGTTTCAATCATTTTGCGCAATTATTTCCCTCACTAATGTATTTTCTCTTTCCCGCCGCGAAAAAATTTCCCTGGCATTCCGCTCCAAGTAGGTACGGTGGGAACGGGAATTTTTTCTTTGCGAATTCCTACGTTATCGTTTTCGAATAAAGAATCTGTAAGAAATTGCTCTGCTACATCTGGAATTGAGTTATTTTGCCTACGTCCGTATTAGTGCCGTAATTTTATATGCAATTTTTGTTTTTGACCGTGGTTTTCTTGTCGAAAGATGAGACTTTTACATGTTTTAGGAAAAATTTCATTTGTTACTTTCCTGATATCTTCTCGTTTTATTACTTTCTCGTGCTGTTTCGAGTTATATTGTTCATTATTCTGTGATTTACAGGTTTTAGTGGGTCCCCATAGCTAGAAAGCTATAAATTCAACATGTCTGGCGGACACGAAGAGTTGAAGTTGAACGCCGATGATGCCTTCAAGCTGTTGGCTTGCGATTCTCACATCGGTACCACCCAGGCCGATTTCCAGAGCGAACAATACGTCTACAAGAGACGTCCCGATGGTAAGTTCTTCCTGAATTAGTTTGTGTTTTGATTTTTAGGTGTAAGATGATAGGAAACTGCCTTGCACTTGATTTTCGAATGTTTATAACCCCATTTTATTGTAGGTACCTACCTGATCAATCTCGGAAAGACATGGGAGAAGCTGTTGTTGGCCGCTCGTGCCATCGCCGCTGTTGAGAACCCAGCTGATGTGTGCGTCGTTTCTTCCCGTGAATACGCTCAGCGTGCGCTTCTGAAGTACGCCGCCCACACCGGAGCTACCCCCATCTTCGGCCGTTTCGTTCCCGGATCTTTGACCAATCAGATCCAAAAGAACTTCCGTGAGCCCCGTCTCATCGTTGTCTCGGACCCTCGTCTCGACCATCAGGCCATCACTGAGGCTTCTTATGTCAACATCCCAGTTATTGCCTTCACCAACTCGGATTCGCCTTTGAAGCACGTCGATATTGCCATTCCATGCAACAACAAGGTACGCTCTTCATCATTTTCATTTATTGCATTTAAGACCTTTTTTATGTTTAATTTCGACTGTTTCTTTCAAATTCATGATTAGAATCGCAATTTATTTTTGTTGTGTATATTCTTCTTGTTTTAGGGAATCCAATCCACTGGTCTTTTGTGGTGGTTCTTGGCTCGTGAAGTCCTCCAACTCCGCGGAAAGATCTCCCGTGCCACTGGATTTGTCCTTGACGACAAGCTGATCATGCCCGACTTGTACTTCTACCGTGACCCCGAAGAGACCAAGAAGGAAGAGGTCGGAGAAACCGTCGAAGACAAGCGCGACGTGTTCGATGCTGGTAGCACGAAGCCTGAGGACTTCTCTACTGGAATCCCTGGCACTGAACCCATGAAGATTGACTTCAAATTCAAACAGATCGACGATTGGGCCGCCGCTTCAGACCCAACCCAGGGTGGTGAAGCCGGAGAACAAACCGCCACCGGAACCGAATGGGGAACCGCCGCCGGCTCCAACTGGTAAAAGATTGAGTGGACACCCGCGCAGTTTATATTGTTTTATCCTTTTGTTGATCGCTGCGTATAAATTCTGTTGTTTTCTGGTTAAATGAAGATAATATTTGAATTTGGCTACTTTATTAGAGCTAATTGTCTTGTCAACATGAGGTTATGGGATTAGATATTCTGTGGTGACTTTATTTATCCAATAATTGCAATTGGAGGTGGAGTTTGGATGTGCTGTACGGGCTGCCCTAGATTTTGTGGGTTAATAGAGGGAGGGGTACGAGTATGAATGGGTCCGTAAACAAATGGAGGGACAGATAAGGGAGATGTAACAGGAGGAGCGAATGGGTTGAAAGTTGTAGATCTAGTAGGGATCGTTGCGTGAAATGGAGGATGAAATGGCCATCTTTGTCTTGTTCGATTAAAATTTGTCATCTCACCCAAATTCAGAGGTTGTGGATCAGTGAATCTAAAGGGCGGTGCGGCAGTTGAAGATCCAATTCTTCTTGTAAAACTCCAGAATCCAGGGTTAGTTGACCTTGGACTCCACGATGGAGAACTAGTTCTTCTACTTGTCACGTTTTGAAGGGCAAATTTACATTTATGAGGCTTGATCTGAAGTTGTCTTTGGGCTTTTTTGGTGGCATTCTTGAGTAGATTCTGGATTTGTTCGCAAGTTTGTTGCCGAGTAAGGGCGTCGTTGTTTCTGATTGCCTGGAAGTAATCATCTCTGTTGATTGAATAAAGTACAGGGTGACCCAAAATAACGGAGACAAAAGATTTCCCGTTTTTTCTGCGACTTATTAAGATTCATGAGTGACTCCTTATTTATATTACAGTACCACATTAGGGTAGTTTTATTTAACGATAGTTTTGTTGTACGACGCTCTTCTGTCTTGAACGACATCAATATATCCGGTTGACTCGGACCCTTCTGCCCGTGGGGTCTTTTTACAAGAAAGCTGCCTTACTCAAAAAAGAAAACGCGGAATAGTTTGAGATTTGCAGTGAATAATTATCGTAATAAGACCTTTAAAATGAGCTATCATACTAAGCTTAACTATCGATGGTTCAGAAGTTGCAGCCGAGTATTTTCAGGCAGTTGAAGTGCAAAAATTGGCCTTTTTTGAAAATGTAAGCGTAAGAAGGAGTTTAAATGTTAGATAAGGCAAAATGTAATACGAGTTACTAGAACATGATTAAAGGAACACCATAAAAGCAAAAGAGAAACATCTTGTAACTGCTACGGAATGCTATTTGGTAATCAGTAGAATTCTGCCTTATTTTTGCCTTAGGCGGAATACCGGTCGAGCCGGTGACACAGAAAGACCGAAAGTGCCCTAGGCTGATTCTTAAGAGTCGTATTCATAAGTGTACAGGAGCATAATGCGCCGTTTTGATCCATCTTGTCATTCTGTTATCGATAACCCATCTTTCTCAAAGCAGCGTGCCGTGGGGTAGTTCTGGGCGAGAAACTTGTTAAGGAAAAGCTGTCGCAACCAGCAAGCAATCACAGATTTTTTCAGAATCATTGTATTTATGAATAGAACACGTACTAGTGGTTTTAGCTTTATTCGAAAAGAACTGAATTTTTTACGGAAAAAATTTGGAAAAAATGGCGATCTTCAATGTTGAGATCGGTACCACCGTAGAAATAAAAACCATATCCCAAAAACCTATGTAACTGCTTTCTTACAGACATAGTAGTCTAACAAAGCAAATTGAACTTGCCATTTCTGCGGCTGTAGTACAGCCAGGCTTTACACAACACAAGGGAATTAAAATTGAGGGCCAAAAAAACGGCGCAAAGCATCTTTCTTAAGCTGTAACTTTTTACTGCGACATGATGATTCCACCAAATTCTCGTGGATTATAAAGAAGGTGTTATAGAATATAACCCGCTGTCGTTTATGGTTCTCTAACGCCCGGTTTTCGCGGTGGGACCCTTCAAAAATTGTCTCCGTTATTTTGGGTCACCCTGTATAATAAGATTATACCTAGTTAGGAGGGTATACCTATACCTAGTGTAATAGCATCAAGGACAAGCTTACATTAATTTGAGCGTCCAGGTTCCTCACATCATCCGAAGCCCCACTTAATCTCTGTTGTCGTTCATCAGAATACTGTTGTTGCAATCGATCTCTCTCTGCTTTCCATTGTTCAGCCACTGTCTGATTCTGAACATTGATGATGTCATCGATCTTCTGTTTGATCTGGGCTTTCGTTAAGGTCTGATTCTTCAGAAGCTGATCAATCTCGCTTCTTTCCGTCGCATTCAGAAGTCGGGCTGCTCTTTGGAATGAACTCAGGACATCAGCAACAGTCGGACCAACAAAGAAAAGCAATGAGAATATTAGAAGCTTGATTAACATCACATCAATTAGAGGTTATGAGCCAAAAAAATATAATGTGTTTTTACAGTAAACGCGGATCGGAGTTTCTCTCAAAAATGGATATCGCTCAGGTAACAATCAGATTTAGGGCTTTATATCTGGCTAAATTGGGGTGAGACTCCCCCAATGACATGATGAAATGGTGCATCAACCCTTAATCCGGCTTTGGGGGCGCTTCAAAACAGTTTGAAATCTGGGCTGGAACCTTCGAAAAAGATCTGAACAAGACGTCACGCAGTGTGACAAGATGCGTCATGCTTTCATAAACTACATCTACCACTCGTATTTTACACCCCTTCCGGTTACTTCTCGGAGTTTTGCGGAAAATATAGTCAGTAGAGTCATTACTGTATATTATCCACCAGGGAAATATGCTAAATCCATATATTTAATGGCTTAAAACGCTTGATAATTGAAATAATAAGGGAGATTCGAGTCAGCTAAGTAGTGTGTACGAGCATCTGAGGATTACGGTATCTATTTACATCAGCAATCGGCCTTGTATTGGACTTTGGTGGAGACTTTATGAAGATTGGTGGAGAACTGACGGAGGTCCACTTCTTCTGCATCTACAATATTCCTGGCAGTGGAATCGGCCCAATCGTCAGGAAGGTTCTCATCATTCTCGAGATGTTTGCCAAAGATGAGGACATCAAATGAGCAATCCACTTCGATTATGGGGAGGAAGGAAACGCATGAGACGATCTGTCTAAAATAATGTCATAAATTTTGGAACCAAACGACATGTAGAAAGATTTAGGCTTAACAAGGTAGATAAAAGCGTACGACACCCCATTCAATCCAGAACTTACTTTAGGACATCCGAGATTTCTTGTTTTATCCGTTTTTCGCAGACCTCCTTGGCTTGACCCTCCCTAAAAACGAATGAAATCATCGCCCAAACACACTCACCCAAACGATTCATCCGTCTCCACATTGAACTCCCATCGTTCCAGCACCTCCTTCGTCTTGACGTCCTGAATCACCAAGACCAAACGTTTCACGCGCTTCAAGGCAAGCCAATCTAAAATAATATCAGATTCGTTCTTTCCTTTACGATTTTTAATCCAAAGCCTTATGGCTGTGAAAACAAGTCTAAACATTGAAAGAAGTGCATAAAGAACTTACATTCAACTTGTTTTAGAAGGGGATTCAAGAAGTTCCGTAGTTTTTCGTCTTTAGTTACCATCAATGCCATATTGTACTTCTTCTCTTTGACAAACATCTCCGGAGGGTATATTCCGCGTTGGAACAAAATGCTGTTAATCCCATAGTCTGCAAAGATGCTACATGAAGCTGTCTGCATTGTCTCGTGCTTACCAAAGAACTCTTTGACCATCTGGGCAGATCCCTTTAGTGTAATAGTTGATCTCGTGGCCGTATCGGTCATGGCAACACGTCTTGTAAGCAAAATTGATTCTGTTTTTCCGATTTTTTTGTTTTTTTTTTTTGAAATCCGGGAAACCCGGCGAATGTTTTCGTTGTGGAGTCTCGGCGAAATTTCTATGTTATACGATGAAAAATGGCTGGAAAAGTTTACAACTTTTTTGCCCTTTTGCAAGTTCTTTGTTTGTTTTTATTTTATAGCTCTTTTGTGGTTTGATGGAGCTGTTTTTTGCTGAAGGTTATCGCGAAATGCACTTCAATAGTCTTTAAATTATTGTTTATTTATATTTTTTCTGATGGTGAACCAGTCATTAAAACCAGTCATCGTTTATCGGCTTTTATACTTGTAAAAGAGAGTTTAGACCTCTGTGTGACGTTTTATTGTCCAAACATGTACGTGAATCATTTCATTGTTGTAAAACATGATATTTATGCATGTCTTGATGTGGAAGGAAATCTAGTGGAGGAACGACTACTTTGAGGCCTCTACTTTTTAATTTTCTTTGTTATGCGTTGCGCTCCTCATCTTCGTTCAGGTCGAGCGAGACAGTGCTTTTGTCTCGCGTTTTCGACCTATATTAACCTTGTTTTAAAAAAAAAAGAATTCGTCTTCAGAAATACGAAATAAGCAAGTTAAAAGCAACAGCCGAGATTGGTATCTGCTCCCGACTTCTCGAAAGCCACTTCAAAAGCCGTTCGGTCAGTCGGCTGTCCATCTGTGGCCTTGGGGGTTCGTTCTTTTTTTTCGCTGCGGATCGATAAACGAGGGGCGAAGAGAGAAAGAACGGGGCTAACTGGAGGCTCTCTCAATCCCGACTGGCCTGATTTCCCTCGGAGAAGGAGTGGTTATTGTTTTTGCCATCGAAAACAACGGATCTGGTGACGAGTATAATAATTGAGAGCAAGGATGGCTTGTCAAACTGGAATTAAACGTAAGTTATGAATCCCTTGAAGAGTTAATTTTTATTATTTTGTAGCTGATGCCGAGTTGAAGAAGTTCTTTGAAGATTGCAAGAGGGAAAAGGTCAGGTTGGCCAAGTTTGTCATCAATAAAGGTAAGAATTTTAATGCTTTTTTTGAATTTTAGGTATTAACAAAAAAAAAAACGAATTTTTGCCTCTATAATGATCTGTATATTATAATACTGACTTCAAAAAAATGGCTAGGCGTTTTGAGAGTTTAGAAATTTAACACCTTTTTGTATTGTACTTGTTGATGTTTAACATATTTTAGAGAGAATCGCAGTGAATTTCCACACGGCTCCGTCGAAAGACTGGAAGAAGGACTGGTCGGCCAATCTACCAAATTGCGTTGACTCCTACGAGCCATGTTTTATCCTCTTCCGTGTGGAATCGAACCACGATTGGGTCCTGATCAGGTAAATACATATTTATTAGTTCTTACCTTTAGAGTTTAGTTTCGCCGATGACAAGGCCTCCATCAAGGACAAAATGCTGTTAGCTGCGACGAAGGCCACTTTTAAGAATGAATTTGGAGTCAGTTTTATTAGACATGACGTCCAGGTATCCAACAAGAATGAGTTGACCTTGGATAAGATTGAAAAGAAGTTGGCTGGCCCCAAGATTGAATCTGCCCCAGCTAACGCTCATCCAGATCTGCCTTACACTCATATCGAAAGGGAGTTGAGCACTGTAGCCAAGGACAAAATTAATTTACCTCAACCTCAGGGATCCAAGGTAAGTCAGGTTTAATTTAATGTCATTTTGTTTAGGCCTTATTGCGCGGAGTCCAATTTCCCGTCGACCAAGATGCCATTGAATTGTTGAAGCAGTTTTCTGAGGGCAATATTGATTTTGTTCAACTCTCAGTGGACACTTTGAATGAGGCCATTAAACTCGAAAGCCATAAAAATCAGCTCAATCCAAGCGAATTGAATGCCAATATCTCCCGACAAAAGCCTCGGTACACATTCTACAGGTTGAGGGAGGTCGATGGAGAGCCAGTTTGTAAGGATTTCTTTGATTGACTTTATTGTAGTTTATAAATGTTATATTACTGTAGATGACAATATAAAATTTTTCGTTTTTAGTCTTTATCTACTCGGTTCCTCCATCAGCATCATGCACTATCAAAGAGTTGATGCTTTTCTCGTCTTGCAAAGCCCCTTTTGTCAGCGAAGTTGAGAATGTTTGCGGAGTCAAGGTGACAAAAAAGGTAAATTATTATATTTTTGATGTCTTTATAATATAATGAGGTTTTACAAGGCATTCCAGACCTTTTGATGACTTGATTTTTAGATTGAAGTCGATTCCCGAGAGAAGTTGGATGCGGATGCCCTCTCATCTTATGTTAGACCAGTCGTCCACACCGAAGCTGCCCCCGTTGTCCGGCCCCCAAGACCCGGAGGCGGTCCCCGAAGACTCCCTCCGAAGGTCGCTAATTAATTCGCATTTCCTTGCTTAAATCTCCGTCCATCGAATGCCAACCCGAATTTGTTAATAGTACTGTTTAGATAGATAGATTTCCCACGCTTTAATTAGTGCATAACTTAATGAATAAGTAATAAATCCAATTCAAAATGGTTGTACGATCTTCGGCATGGACTGCGAGGTATTTGACAGCTTTGGAATGATGTTTGAGCCCTATATTGAATTGTTTTTAAATAGTTTAGAACCAAGTATAATATAATTTAAGTTGTTATCTTATCTATTTTATCGGCGGATCCGATAACGCCGGTATAATAACAAATATATGTTATATTGCAATGCGGTTAATCGGGGATTGATTTTCGCTTAATCTTGGCCACATTTCGGCCAAATGAAGTCAATTACACATCTGGACTCCCCAAACTGAATTTTTTTTGGGATTGGAAAGACTCATCTTTACCCTTTTCGCGAAGAATCTGAAACTTTGACTTGAAAATTATTGTACGAGTTATTTTGGAGACGAATCTTAAATAATGTAGTGTTTACAGTATGTTACCGTATGCGGTTTTGTACATCTTGATGATCTCAGTGCAATGCCGGCAACGGAGAGCCGTCACTTCGGATAAAGAAAGGCTTTGGGAAGACGGCGTGATCCCTTATTCCATCAACCAGACATACGATGGTAAGTTGTTTGCATTATATTGTATACATCATGACTTTGGAAAATGAATGGAATGGACGGTGAAACAACTGGAAATTTGGGATGAAAATATCAGCAATGATATCAGTCTTGAATTCGTTCCGGTTTCACCGTCACAGCCCATTTCTTGACGACCCAACACTCTTTCCAAGGGAATTACAAGCGATTATTCCAGGCGGCGATGCAACATTGGATGGAGCGAACATGTCTCACATTTCAAAGATACGATCCGCTAAGACATTCTGATTACATTCTTTTCACTCCGGACAAGTGTGGGTAAGTCTTTCTATTCTATGAACTTTTTGATATTTTATTTTATATGTACTGACGTTAGGATCCAAATTTTGATGTAATTTTTGCAGCTGCTGCTCTCATGTTGGCCGGAAAGGAGGAGGAGCTCAGATCATATCGATTGGCGAGAGGTGTGACAAATTGGGAATTGTAGTTCATGAGATTGGCCACGTTGTTGGGTTTTGGCATGAGCACACGAGGCCGGATCGGGATGAATTCGTGGATGTTGTTAGAGAAAATATACTGAAAGGTGAGAGTAATAAAGATGTTTTTAATGGCTTCAATACATCTGCAAATGGGTACTGGATCCGTTTGATTCAAAGGGGCGGCTTTTTATATTTCTAGACATCGGCGATGACTATTCTTTGTAGGATTTTTCTATTCTTTTTACTTCTTTATCTTCCAGGCCAGGACTACAACTTTGACAAGGCCAAGTCTAACGAGATCGACTCCCTTCACGAGACCTATGATTACCATTCCATTATGCATTACGCTCGGGACACCTTCTCCAAACAGAAAGGGCTTGATACGATAAGGCCTAAGGGAATTTACAGCAACCAAATGGCACCATTTATCGGACAACGGCTTGAATTGAGCAGAGGAGACATCAGACAGACTAACAAATTATATCATTGTCCTAGTAGGCTGATTTTTTTGTATATCTTATCTAGTGTAATATTTTTTTATTCTAGAATAATTTAAAGGTACGGTCAAGCTGACATTTTTGTATTTTAGGATGTTTCCAGACGTTTGCCTCATCAACCGGCCGATTATACACTGATGGGGATTGTGCTGACTTTGTTTGGCGAATAATTTCTTCTGAAGGTCAAAATATTCGAATTAACCTAACTCTATCCAAAATATTCTCAAATTCAACCGAAGACTGCGATCATAACACAACTGAGTTGCTGAGAATTCGGGATGGGGGAAGTTTGAAGTCATCTGTGGTGAAGGAGTACTGTAATTCGAAAGGTGACGTCACTTTTACTTCTTACAATTCAAAGATGATACTCGAACTAAGGTCGCAGAAAACACCTGGAAAAGTCTTGATTGGGAAGTTTACAGGTAAGTTTTTTCTACATTACATCTATTTAATCACTAATAATTGTAATTTTGATATTACTTTAGTTGACTGTGGAGGTCTAATTGAAGGCTCCCGAGGTCTCTTGGAGTCTCCAAATTGGCCAAACCCGTACTCAGAGGGCTTAAATTGCCTCTGGGTGATAAGGGTACCAGCTGGGTATCGAGTGGCTGTCAGATTCAGCTATTTTCAAGTGAGTTCACATCACCTACTACAATATAATTTCTTCAGTTGGAATCGCAAAAGGACTGTCTCTATGATCGCTTGGATATCTACGAGACACATTTGAATAAAACCGAGGTGTTGGCGACTCTTTGTGGGACCTCTTTTCCTGACACAATCGCGACTAAAAACTCGAATGAGGTGATCATTAAGTTTTCGAGTGATCAGTCGATTCAAAAAAACGGGTTTCAGCTGGAATATTTGAAAGGTAACGTTTCATAATATGGAAGTAAAAAAATCATGTGAAAATTTTGACAATTTAAAAATTTCTTATATTATTTTAGACTAAATTTATATTATTTTACCTTCAGAGATCGATGAATGTCTCTCCGGAGCGAATAAATGCGAGCAGAAGTGTAAAAATGAGATTGGCGGGTACACATGTGAATGCTACATGGGCTACAGACTAAATGAAGATGGATTTAGTTGTGTGGAGACCTGTGGAGGGGTCATTTCATCGCCTAAGGGGATTATTACAAGTCCGAATTGGCCCGAAGATTACGACGCTGACTCGAGTTGTATTTGGAAATTGGAAGCGCCGGAGAATCATCAGGTTTGAAGCAAAAAAATTGTGTAGATATTTTCTCTGGCCGTCTCTCCGGGTTTTCATTGTCTCTCGCCAAAAAATATTTATTGAAAATCTCCGATGCTTCTCTTAATTAAGAGCTGAAATTTCAAACAAACGAAATAATGACTGTTTGAATAATTACTCTAAAATTTGAAGGAGTTAGGTGGCGTTACCTTCGAGCGTTGAACCTTTTAATCTGATGATGACATTTATTTGCAGCGGAAGTACTCCAAGTGCGACGCTCAGATTTTGATGAAACTTGGCACAAATTTAGAATAATTTTTTCTAAGGTATATGCGAGAATCCTAGCTCGCGCTTTGCAGAAACAACCGAGATTTTTAGATCGAAAGTCGGCGAAAACTTAGGACTTTTTGCCGAATTTCGGCACGAAAAGTTTCATGCCTATTTCAACTGTAAAATATAATGGTTCTACAAAAAATCAAAATTTTCCGCCCGAAACTGCCAAAGTTATAGCCAAAAAGCGCTTTTCTCTCTGACCGCTCTCCACGTTTAGCGTGCTCTCTCTGCTGCAAAAATCGTTCGATATCTCGGCGACGTCCGCAAAGCGCAAGCTAAAACTTTCAGGAATTGATATTTAGTCCATACCCGAAGTGTGTGCAAAATTTAAGGAAAATCTGAGCATCGCACTTGGAGTACAGGGTGGGCCACTCGAAACTCCCAACCTCTTTTCAAGGGTTTCTCCGCCAATAATGCACCAATTTCTATAAAATTTATATCAAATTGAAGCTGAGACACCCCATTTCTTGTCCACCAAATATGGCCCGTCTAACTTCACGGAAGCACCCGTACTGACCTTTTACATTTTCATTCCAAATTTTGGAGCCCGAAATCGGTGAAACTTAGAAAATTTTTGGAATGATTTTCAATTGAGTTTCTCGGACTTAGAAAATTTTCGGATTTCTTGCTAGAAAAAAGTCGCCAAATTCGTGGAAAAAAGTTTTAAGAAATTAAAGTTTATGTCCGTACCAAGCGTGTTAAACCCATATTTCAATCAGGCGAGGTACCAATTTGGGCGAATGAGAACGAAAGCTGTTTTCTTGTGCAATCTAAGCCTGGAAAGTTTCTATGCATCTTCGGGGTGGATGTCGTCATGCATGTCGACAGTTTCGTCCATTTTTTAACATTTTGAAAAATTTCGAATAATTAAGCCTGTCGCCCCAGATCACGAAAGCAACGCCTTGAAGAATAATTTTGTCTATTCCGTTGACTACCATCATTTTTTTCTATTGCTTATAAGACTTTTATTTAGCCAAAGGCGCGAACATTTTCCAATTCCAAGAAACTCAACTGGATATCATTCCAAAAATTTTCTAAGTTTCACCGATTTCGGGCTCAAAAATTTGGAATGAAAATGTAAAAGGTCAGTACGGGTGCTTCCGTGAAGTTAGACGGGCCATATTTGGTGGACAAGAAATGGGGTGTCTCAGCTTCAATTTGATATAAATTTTATAGAAATTGGTGCATTATTGGCGGAGAAACACTTGAAAAGATGTTGGGAGTTTCGAGTGGCCCACCCTGTACTTCCCCTGTTAGTACAATATAAAAATTTGTTTTGCTGGATGAATAAAACTGATTTTGGTCTAAACAATGTTTGCAATATATTTTTATATATTTTTTTTTTAAATAATTTTGAATATTTCCAGATCTTCCTGACCATCCACAACTACTCCATCGAGGGGCTGAACTCGGAATGTTCCTATGATTTCCTCAAAATAAGTCGCATCGACATCGCCCCTCAAAATGAGACATTTATAAAGTTGTGTGGCGAGGAATCGGATGTTCTCTCTTTTCGCTCGGCTTCCAACTCTCTGCTACTAGAATTTAATTCCGATTCTTCGATGCAAAAAACGGGATTTTTTGCAAATTACGTCTTTGACTTGGATGAATGTAAAATTACATCTACTTGTTCACATATTTGTGAGAATACGATCGACTCATATGTTTGCACATGCCCTGAAGGGATGGTTCTGAGCGAGGATACTGTAACATGCAGAGAAGAAAAGTGTACGGTGCAGATCAATGAGGCCAATGGGTTGATTAGTAGTGTAAAAATGGAGGAGAAGAAGAGCAATGAGTGCTTCTATCATCTGATTACAACTCCCGGACATCAGTTAGTGCTGGTAAGTGATACTTGATAAATCTTTTAACTGTTATTTTATTAAACTTCGCCATCTTAAAAAGAATTATTAATCAAAATAATTTTAATAGCAATTTTTTATGATTACAATTTTAGCCATTGATAAATATTAATTACTCCATAAATAGTTGTAAAATGCTTTCCAGACCTTCCAAGACTTCCATTTCGACTCCTCTTGTCTTAAAGACCATATTGATGTATACGATGGAGCTGATCTTACCTCATCAAATTTGATCGGAAAATTGTGTGGGGGCATTCTCCCTCCGACAGTAACATCGTCTGGAAACGAACTTTTATTGGCAGTATACTTGAATAATTTTGGGGAAGCGAAAGGATTCAACGCCTCCTTTAAATCTGGTAAGTCCTTTCAGGGGGTAATGATACTATTGCCGTGCTCAATTTACCTCTGAAATATTCCTGGGATTTTTAGCTCAATATTTGCGAAAAGATCAACAGGATTTTTTATATCTGTAAATTGTGTTTTCTTTTCTCAAAAACTGCGTCTTCAGAATGTGGGGGCCAGATTTCGGTGGAGCGTTCGCCCGGCTACATCTACTCCCACACCGGATTCGGGGACTCCAAATATTTCCCGTCGATGGATTGTCGTTGGGAACTCTCAAAATCCCCGAATCTCAACTCCGGAACTACCGTAATCCGATTACTTTTCAAACATTTCCTCCTGGAATCGGATGAGAACTGTGATTATGATTATGTGCAAGTTTCCGAACGAGAGGATTACGGTGATTGGACTACGAAGTCGAGGTTTTGTGGGAGGACTCCGATTCGACCAGTGTTTTCGACCAAAAAACATCTAATGTTGAGGTTTGTTTCGGACAGAACCTTCGAAGACAAAGGCTTTATCATCGAATACAGTATGATCGACCTCAGTGATGACGTCATTACTACCTTAAATACGACTGAAGATAGCGAGAGGGCCAAGAATTTGGTGGTTTACGAATAATTGGAATAATTTATATGGTTTCCAATCTAAAAATCTCGATTTTTTGTTCAGTTCCATTAGAATCTAAAGGCTAAAACATTCCCATTTTATCAATATAACTTTGTAATCTATACTAATAATGAACAAGGTAATAAAGATGATCTAACTGTGTAGTTTGCAATTAAGAGAATTCTAGATCACATCACACAGCACGACTATCAGTTAAATCATTCCACGTTTTTTTCCGTCTAAGGGGCTTAACTTAAGTCCTGAGGAAAAAAAACGATAAAAAAAGGGATTAAAACTATTTCGAGGAGTCTAAGATCGGTTGATTACAGTCAGCTAGCGACTGAACTTATCGTTGAGTTCGAAACTACAGACTGAAAAGATTTCAATTGAAGTATTTGGTATCGTAGGACCAAACAAAAAATTGATCAACTCAAAAGTTTCACAGGCATGTTTTAGAAAGGATACGTTTGAATCCCTGCAAGTTCCAGCTTGCCGTTTATCATGGCCGCTGATTTTCAAAGATTGATTTTGGCGAGAACAATGGGACATGGCACTACTGCAATTAACAAATGGGTCGGGGCCAATTATAATATTTTGAGTCAAAATCCGACCAACTTATTCTTAGTACTTTACATTGCTTTCGCTAAACATAAGTACAGTGAGGGATCTAATCTAGTGGAAAAAACGTATTATTTTGCATCCGGGGAGTATCAAAAATGTGGCGAAATGCCTCTCTCTCCAACTAAAAAACTCCGTTTTGAACTGCGCGCCCTTTATCAATTAAATCTTTTCTGACATAAAACTCCTAAAACTCGTCAACCACAAGTCCTCGCTTAATGTTTTCTAGCATAAAATCGTCTTAAAACGTACTTAATACTGCTTATGATCAAAAGTTTGTAATTACTCGATAATTACTGATTTGGCTATCCCTAAAATGTAATCCGCGTATCTAAATGTAGTCCTTCTACTTCTCCACTAGAAGTCCTATAGTATTTACAGTAGCTTTAAGGCAATTTGAGCCTTTTTGTGACCCATTGAAATGGTGAGTTTATCGTACTTATCTGTCTATGTATTTATCCCACGTTTTTTTCAAAAATCACCTGATCTTGCATCTTTTTCCTACACCGTTCTAGACCGTTCCCATCAACGGAAAATGATTGAAGATCGGATTTAAAGTGTCTAATGGCGATGATAAGGGGTCTCTTATAAGGGCTCATCTGTACAAACATTACGTTCGCCTCCGGAATGAGGACCCAGATTTTTTTGCTTTCATTTTTAATCGGCTCTGTTTTTGGATGGTTTAGAGATGAATACGTGAGGGAAAAGGTATTTCCATTGGCTGCAGCTGCATATAGCGATGACCCGGAGGCTTGTGTTGAAAAAATATTCAAAAATGCAACGGTAAGCGCTGCTTTGGTTTCATTTTTGGAAAATTTAACTTTTTTTGATGTTCTTGAATTTATAATTAAGCGTAAAACACATTGAAGTGACCATTAAGAGCTATTTTTGTCATTTTCTTACTCTTTGCGTTCATTTGAGACCATGAAACAGAATGCCAATCTTGGCGGCAAAATTTGAATTTGAATTTTGAATTAGATTTTGGGCATTTTAGGTAAGAACAAAAGTAACGAGGTTATGTGGGAATGGCTATGTTGAGCCGGAGGATTGTTTTGCCTACACTGGAGTCGCCCACGATGAGAAAGTCATCTTCATTTCCTTCAGGTAAGTTGATGTAAAAAGTAGCGGAAGTGCTTTCCGATTTTTATGAAATTTTGTACGAGCAATCTAAATATGACAGAAATTTTGCAGAGGCACGAACGGGATCATCCAACTCATCTACGAAGCCCGTCGCACCGTTTTCCGCAACAAAATCCCCACCCAAGCCGGAGGCAATGTCAGCGAATACTTTTACAGTGTCTACAGGTCCATTCTGGACACGGGACTGGCCCGAGAAGTCCTCCAGTTGAGACACGATCATCCCGATTATGATATTATTGTAACAGGCCACTCGTTGGGAGGAGCGATGGCTTCAATTGCGGCTTTTGATTTAGTGACCTTTGCCAAAGTTGATGCGGAAAAAGTGAAGCTGGTGACTTTTGGGCAGCCGAGGACCGGCGACAGAGAATTTGCGGAGGTTCATGACGAATTGGTGGGTTGCTGTAATTTACAACCTATTTTTTGCATAATAGAAAAGCGGCTTACAGTAAGAAAACTTGGAAAATTTCTTTCAGATTCCGCACGCCTACCGCATCACTCACGCCCGCGACGTTGTCCCTCACGTTCCTCCCCTCAACTTCCAAGGCTACTATCATCACGCCACTGAGGTGTGGTATAACAACAAGATGTTGCCGGGCGATGGATACATCATCTGTGAGGAACTGGAGTCTAATAATTGCAGCAACCGGAACTATGTGAACCACTCAGTCCTCGCCCATCTCTATTACTACAACATCCTTGTCTCCGATTTTGGAATTGCTGGATGCCCTGCGGATTTAAAGAATGTCAGACGTTTAGGATGAGGGCAAAATATTTTCTTGTCATGTGAAATAAACGACCAGATTGATTGATCTTCAATTAAAAAATTTTTTTAAGCAAACATGTTTCGGCGTATAAGATGTCGCACATTTGTGAGTGTGACAGAATGTAGTTGTTAGCGATGTAAAATTTATTCCAATAAAACCTCTCGTTAAACTTTCATAAAAACTTATATGGCGGTGTTTTTGAGAACCTCAAATCGAGTGGAAGTAAAGGGAGCGACAAGACCGATCGGATGTACGACAAAGGGATATGAGTGGATCTGGGGATCAAACAGTGCGCGAATTCCATGGGATCGGTGGCCAATTGAAGGTTAATTAAGTGCTCTTCGTATGCGATATGACCAATCCACTCGAAAAAGGATGTTTGAGGAGAGGAGCACAAAGTTCTGTATACTCCTATAGGAGAAAATCTGGGAGATTGTTGATGGTTTTGGAGGAAGACGGGAGTTTTTGATTAAAAATCTCTTTTGGAGATTATTAATCACAGTACTACTGTAAGTCTGGAGTTACTATGAAGTATATGTACACATGTATGTGCGCATAATAATTAGGCAAATTAAACGCAAGACAAAATCGAATTTATTTTACTCTGATAGCTGCGAAAATTGTCAATAAACCTGAAACATTGTGTTACCGTAACCCTTGTGGTACCCAAACCGCTCTAAACATCGTTGTCAAGACGTGTCGAGTTGTCGCGGCACCATATATTACACCACAATCTGCATGATTGTGTGGAAACTTGGGATCATCACTAATCCAATTGTCCTTTTTATTCGCCGCAACAAGTGTAATGTGTTGTAAGTGCGGTTGCATAACGATGATATAACACCTTTTACGGGCAATTAGCCGCCAAAAAGTTTCAGGAAATCGTGGAAAAAATAAGGGAAACTTGGTTAGTTGCGCTTGTAACGGCAGATAGATACAATATTGGGCCGTCTTCTCGGATATTGCCCTTTAATGGCTGTGTCTCGGTTATTTCTTGCAATTACCTTAAGCTCTCACCTGCATCATGGTCACCGCAAAAGCCACAAACGACCCGACCAGCTTCGGATGATGTAACGACAATCTTTTCTCTAATTACAAGCCGGAGGAGATTAGTCGCGGGAATCTCGGGGAATACGTTATAACATAATATCCCCGCTGCTCATTTCCTCCGGATCTTCCAAGTTTAGAGCCTCGAGGCATAAACTTCCGAATATCAGATTCGCATGCTTCCATTTGCCATCAAAACATATCATTTTTGCCAATATAAACACCTCTTTTGTCATGGGTAATATAATAATGTAACTCATACGTTATGTTACCGCCATCCCTAATGACTAACCTTGCGCCCACTTAAAATACGACCGGAAAGACTGGCGCGACACCCCAAAGGAAGCGGTTAGGCTCCCCGAAATAGAGCCGGGATATTATAGGCGATCAAAGTGGGCGCGTGAAATTGTGCGTGACATCCTGCGGGCGGAAGAAAAAATACGGTCCTGCCGCCGTAGTCACTGTCCTATAAACAATTATCCTTTCATATCCCCCCTCCGGTCGGTAAATATTTGTCGCAAAGACGGAATTTAATATGCCCAGAAGTTGGGTTACGGTAGAATGGAGGATGATATTATCAGAGGTCAGATGGAGCCGTGAGAGTGACAGGATCACAACTCAGACTTTAAAATAAAATCTAAATAGCATTAACTTTCTAAAAATTGATTGTGGCTTGTTAAAAATCGATAGAAAGAAGTAATCCACAAATAAAAAATCTCATTTCTGGTCTTTTACAGCTACTCACAAGAAAATAACCCACAATTTCATACACTAGAATGTCTTCTATAGAATCGACATCAAGCTGTTCTCAAAGTCTTGACCATTTTTTACGACTTTTTGGTATCCATGTAACGTATGTTTGAACCTGAGTGTTTGCTATTTAAAGGAACTAAAACTTAAGAAAATAGCGCTTATTACATTTTATGAGCCTTAGAGCCCCAAAAGCACAAAAATTCTACTCAAAATTTTAATTGGTTTATTTGAAATTGACTTCTAACTTTCTGTTATGTACAATATAAATTGATGTCCTAATTGTCACCAATTTGAAAATCACTTTAAATCTTTCTCAATTCCGCCCTCAAATTACTTATTTAACAACTTGATCTCTCGTTTCTTCACTTCCGCCATCTCAAGCCCATCTTATTTTATATTATACATCAAATCCCTTGCTTCCCAGCTCTCTTTTCCCTCCCGCCTTCCTTTTTGACACGATTCTAACATATTGTCGTCTTACTGTAATCTCTTTTCTCCCAAAGCCGGTCTCTAAAAGGAGTGCGAAGAGAGTGTGCGGCGAAGGAGAGGGAGAGAGAAAAAGGGAAAAAAGATTTTCTCAGTTCGAAAGCCAACCAATGACTTTTGACTCCGCCCCTTTTTATGGTTGCTCGTTGTGAACCGAGCGAGAGTCAGAAGGAGAAGGGGATTGCTGGTGGGGCTTGAGTCATTATGACAGGCAAGGTAAGGGAAAAGGGAGTAAATGTGGACGTGACATTTGATTTTGGGATATCAGCCTTTGATTGGTAACATTTTTTTAACATTTTGCTTTTATAAACTCCTGTTTACAAGTGATGGAGACTGTAAACAGGTTTTGACCGATTTGATCTTAGCATGTGCTTATTGGGTTTACTTTATATGGTCAAGTTTATATGATCAACTTTTATTACACTTGGTCTAGTCCTTATATCATGCTGATTTTGCATTACACCTTGTTTCTTGGCCTCACAAATTGACCGAGATGTCATTGTCGTTAAATTTATTCTTTAATTTACCCCTAAATCCTCTGTTTAACTTCCTGAATCGACCAAGGAAGAGCCTTTTTCCTCTGAACGTCATTCCCTTTCCTCCAACTTTTTTTCTCCCATCACTAGCTACTCCCTAACTGCTCACATACTCCCTAACTACTCATATAACTCACTCCACTCACAGTCAGCAAGTTTTTTTGTCATCGCCATGCTCGGTGATATCGCAGGATTAATAAAACATGAAGCTTTTTTGGGTTGGGGATTACCAGAGGTGGATGGAGAAGATTCGTGACTGGAAAAAGGTTATTTAGCTATACCGAGGGCACAAAACGATGGGCTGACCCTGGGATGACCTTGTGCTACATGCTATGGTAGCTTAACGATCTGATTTTCCTGCAGTTCCGGGCCCTTTCATCAGATCGATTACATTAGGAATTACACAACTTTCAAATGGCGATTTCTCGGAATTACTGAGCAATACAATGTCATCATTACGAACATGACTTCATGACGTCTTTCGCTTTGAATCCATGTACTTTTTCCTTCAATGGTTATATTTTCTTTACCGTAAATTTTGACCTTTTCGCACACTCATCATCATTCCATAAACAACCCCAAACCCAATAAAAGTGTGCTGATTTTGAATCTTTTCGCTGTAAATTGCAATATTTGTTTATTTACCACCCTCAGGCGACGTCAGACGACGTCTGTGCTCATTATTTTTGTATGTTTTCAACACGACTTTACCGAGTAATTACCTTTTCTCGAATCCATGCAAAGCCCCTCTGTGAATAGCCGCAGATTGGTTTTTGGCTTATGGACTGGCCGAATATTATTCCCAGAGACGATTGACGTTTAATTTCTGAATATTTAGCCCCTAAGGGGAAATTTGAAGAAGACGCGGAAATTCGGAGAAAATGACATTTTTTGTTATTCTAGGGAGAAAAATCTGCAGACTCAGTACTTGGCGAAATTTGTTACTGCAATTACTACTTCGATTTTACCCGTAACCTGACTCGTTTCCCGTCACGGAGTGCAGTTTCAACCCAACATTCCATTATCATATTCCTGTAAAGAAATGTCGGCACCGTCGAGTGAGTTACTTTAAGCTACTTTTTTTGGGTCGTACGGTAACTCTTTGCTGCTTATTACGTCGGAGGAAACTTATTTTGAGGATTGCTCCGAAAGCCCTTTAGGCAAAAAGACAAGGGTCCTCCAAGGGGCTTTATTGTCTTCGCCGAAGCATACGGTAACTACTTGTTATTACTTTGGAACCATGACTTACTAATAAGAGATTCGGAGAGGAGAAAATTGGTATGACAAAGGGTTACTGTAGCCGGCGTTCCGACCAACTTTTTAGTCTCAAAAATCAGAAATTTGAATATTAAAATTTTGCAAACCTTGAAATTAAAACATCTAAATTCTAGGCCGAATTTTGATGGACACTCCGTGTCGAGTCTGCCACGACAATTCCTCCGGTAAACATTATGGTATCTACAGTTGCGATGGGTGCTCTGGATTTTTCAAACGAAGTGTCCGAAGAAACCGCCAATACGTTTGTAAAAATAAGGGAGGTGCAGATGAAGGGAAGTGTGTGGTGGATAAGGTTAGAAGGAATCAATGCCGTGCATGTCGCCTCAGGAAATGTGTGGAAATTGGGATGAACAAGGAGGCTGTTCAACATGAACGAGGGCCCAGATCAAGGTAACTAAGATAATAAAAATGATTCAAGATCCTGATTCAAAATCATTGAAAATAATTTTATAATGCCTTATGTGTATTTTCACACCATTTCCAGCACCTTGAAAAAGATGGCGATGATGAATCGCTTCTCCTCGCTGACCTCTCAGATTTCCCCACCGATGGCTCCTTTGGATATTTTTAATGCCAAAAAACCAGCAAATCCTATGCTGGCGTTTGCAAAGATGGCACAGAATCTACGTCAGAACCTGTTTAACCAACTGCAAACATCACCTGGAGGCTTTCTTTTCAATGGGAATACGAATAACATGTTCGGAGTCATGGGAAATTTGGTGAGTTTTCGGAATTTTCTCTTTTTTTAGAAAAGAAATGGATACTTGGGTGTATAATATTATGATGTCTTAAACTAAAATAACAATTTGTCAGAGCTAAGAACACGTTGGTGCGGTATGAAATGCATTTTTTGGACAGTGATTACATTACGCATGACCCTTTCTTTGTTTTCGACTTTTTAAATAATTATTTTTCTTCAATCCTTATTTTAATTAATCTACAATGTAAGCAGAAGTCCGATAGAGTAGCTTGAAAACAAAAAAATCCAGATTTACCTCTGAAATCAAAAACAAAAAGTATATTATACTTGACCTCCAGATCTGTGATCTCATTTCAAACTTTTGTGAATTCCGGATCCCAAATCCCCTCATTCCGCCAACCGTACCCACCTCCGACCTCTTGAACGCCCCGAGTACAAGTTACTGAGGGCAAACAGAGAGAGAGAGGGTTTAGAGTAGTGGATTGGGGTCATTTTCCAAGGTGAAGATCCTTCAGAGAATTGAGAAAAAAAGGTCATGGCGAGCATCGTCTTTCCACTAATGCAAACAAACTCTCTGCATGGACACAGTTTAAATTACGGATGTCGCAATTAAGTGAGGATGGCCGATTTCCGGCTGAGAGTGGCGAAAAGAAATTATAAAAAAATTATAAACGGAGAGGACAAGGACGGAAAATATTGGAATTCTTGAGGACTTTGAGGGCACAGCGACTTGCTCACAACATTTTTAATAGCAGAAAGAAGCGGAGAGTCTAATTTAAAATTATCAGTAGCAGATTTAACAGCTAAATTAACATAAAAATTTAAACTTTGTGACTTTTTTGCGGTAAGCATCCGAAACAATGTCGGGATTACGATAACTTCCCGACTGGCTTTTTGACTTTAAGCGTCGGCACTCAAGCATTAGCCAATCAGCGAAGAGCTGGGGAAAAAGATGACTTTTTGGAGAAAATGGGAAACCTTGAGGAGGGAATGTAAAATAAGAATAACTAGTGGTTAGTAATACTAAGTCAAGACATTGATCTTTAATCTACAAGACCTTTGAATACATATTGAATTGAGTTTATGAGGAAAAGTAATGTGTATATGTACATATACATGTAGTGTTTACAATTAGTCATCATTTCTTTGGAATTTTATAAATTTATGGAACTGTCTGCTATAACTTCTTATAGCTTTTCGGCTTTTGAGATTTCATATTTTCACATGAAAAATTCAGATTTATCTCTCTTAGATTCTTTTTATCAAATTTCTATCATTAATGTCATGTATAATATTTATAAAATACTCATCCCCCCTTTTTTGCAGAACAAACCATCAACTTCTGTGTCCGTGGACGCCTGTATGCTTCGGCTGCTCAGCTGGGCCCGCACATTCCTCTCTTTGTTCCCGACAATCGGGCAGGATGAACAGGTAAATAATTAAGGGATTTAATTTATCCGATCGGCTTTTTGATGGCCATGCAAGATGGATGACCCGGGACGAAATGTCCGCGATCCATTTTCCGGTAATTAATTGGCTGGCTTCTTAATTTATTTTTAAAACAAAGTTGAGACTCTCCGGGTTATGGTAAAAATTTGAAATTTATATTATGCATGACATCTGACACAAAATTTAAAATTTATGGTATCATGTACAACATTGTGGGTATATTTGGATGGCAATGCCCTTGTAACATCCGGTCCTTTGTTAAGTGGGCTGGGGACCACTTAAGCCGGCCCACAAACACCTCTCAAAGAGTGCGCGAACATCTGGGCAGGGGATGAACAAGGTTAAACAGAAGTGAAGAGGGGCAATATTGAATACCGATTAAGCAATTTTTAATGGGATTAGCCCTTGTTTTATGTGTGGTGCAAATATGGGGCATATTAAGCGACATTAGACTTCATAAATGGGACAAAACTAGAATTATCATCAAAAATGCCAAGGATAATATAAAATTAATGTGAAAAGCTCAATAATCCTCAAATATGGAAACTGTTTTCAGCTGCAAATCATCTCACAATGCCTGGGACGACTGTTTCTGATCAGTGCATTTGAAGCGAACCTTTTGTCATCCGGGAACGCCCAAGCCATGGACGAATCTGATCTCAAGGAGCAGATCAGGTCACTTATTCTGCAGTTGGAAGAGCTTCAACTGGACGAAACTGAGTATGGATATGTCAGGAACCTAGTCTTACTCAAAGGTAAATAATTTTAAAGATTTTTTTACAAATTTTTATTTTTTGTGAGTTGTATGTGCATATTATACTAGTGCAATAAAAATAAATACCAAATCTTTTAGAAAAGTACCCCCAAATGGTGCAAATGGTGCAGCCAGCCCTGGCCCAGCACCAACAACTCCGCTATCCCAGCCAGACGATGCGATTCTGCCAGTCGATGATATTCATCGACAAATTGAACCAAGTCAACAACTCCGATCTCCTGAACACCCTGCGGCTATTAGTCTCCACCAAATCCCCGACTTCTTCGAATACCGATTTTGCGAGTCTGTTCTCCACCGACCTGAGCGTATCTTCCCCATCCAACACCTCGGATGAGGAGGATTTGGAGGAGGATAAGAAAAGCGAGAGATCAGAGGGAATGGAGAGAGTGCTCAAGAAAGAGAACAAATCCAATTCCTTCTCGGTCTCCGCTCTCACTGGCACTGATCAGAATGTTCATTAAGTTAATAATAATTTTGTGTAATTTTAAATTGTAATCTGACGATTTGCCTTTTACTCATGCCTTTTTTGTAATATTCCTTGTCCAATTCGGTAAAATTAATATTTATTTCACTATTTATTCCCTGGTATTGTTCATTGCTATAGTTGAAAGTATTGTCTATAAAAATGATGTTTTACAATAAATTTTTCTTTACTTCAAAAATTTCTAAAAACGCTTGACATTGCACTTGCCATTACACCATTTAAAAATCATCTGCAAGTACTTTTGTGATGATACCCAAGATGGGAGACTTAAATTTGACAATTAGTTGACTAAAAAATGCTGGAATAATACACATCTGACGAGGAACCTGTCCGAAAGTAGAGATGACTTGTTCTCCATGAGGGTGCTAGTCAGGTAATTAAATGTATGATAGTAAGTGATGAGAGAACAGGTCATGCCAAACATTTTTGTTATCTGATAACTCACAAATTGCATTTGGGCATTGAGTAATTCTCTTTTCTGATTTGAAAAAGGAGAAAGAGATAAAACGTTTCAAAAACCCACGTTCTTTATTTACATCGCTTCTTTTTCACCTATCTTACAATTAGTAAAAAAAGAGTTCTAGTAATCCACTTCAAAAGTAGGATCAGACCAATTTTGAGATTTTTTTTATTTATAATTTAGGTCCCATACAAACCCTTGCGGGTACAATTCTTTCAACTTTAACCTTATTTCTGACATTTCGTTCCAATCAATAATTCGTGGCACTTCGCAACAAATTAAAAAAATATTTTTCTGACTCAACTTTACGTGGTCTGTTGATAACACGCCTTCAATTTGCCAGAGTTGTGGTTTTGTTACACTTACAATTTTTTTATTATGTACTTTTTTTGGAAACATACCTCAGGCGATGAGTCATTTGCTGTTTTTCTTTTGAAGAGCGACAATAGATAATAAAATGTTTTGAAATCGTCTTCTACATCCTTTTTTCGCTTATTTTATCGCGGTTTTCTTCTATACCCATCGAATTCCACGTTCTATTACCGTTTTTTTAGGATGCCTGAAGCTTCTCCATCTTTTGGTCACTCATCTTCTGATGAATATGGTCTTAATGCTCTAACCGAAGAGTCTACAGACAACCCAACCACTACATTTGAGGAGAGTGTTGATGCTTGTTCTTCGGCTGCCTCCACTTCTGGATCTGATAAAGATGAGGAAGAGATAAAAGAGAAGAAAGAGAGTCCCCTGAAGCTCCGGAAATTTGTACTGGATTACTTTCGGTTTTATTCAAGTGCTGCTCAGCGCAATATGGAATTTGCCCATCAATCTCAGTTATCTCAGAGGATGTTAAGGTTTCTGGTAAGAGTTTTTGTTTGAGTTTTGTTGTATTACACTGGGTATATTTGATACAAAAGTTGATATTTCGACTTGGTTTTTGTCGTTTCGGTCGTCCAAATGGCTGCTATGGGTGACTTCTCACATATTTGTCTTATATTTTGTGTAGATGCAACCAATTTTCTAATATTTTTTATATGACACTACAATTTTTTTCCAAACGATGTTTGTTTTTTGTGTTCCCTAACCAAAAAAAGTAATTATCTGGTTGGATTACTTATTACTTTTGCCTTACTTTCAGCTCTGTTCCAACCGCATCTTCTCCACGCTCCTCGGAAGTTCCGATAGTATCGCTGCCGTCCCATCTTCCTTTTATATCACCTCTTCCCGCTGCTATATTTACTTCTACAGCCAAAATATTTGCCTACTCGCCTGGTTATGTTACTTGGGCGATACTAGTGCGGACAAAGGAGTGATATTCGTCAGAAAATATTACTCTGCCAATGACATTTGTGTCGATAAACATGTCGTAAAGTTGATTTACTTGGCCAAAAGTAAGTGCTATTTTAAGATTACGGTACTACGTTATTAGAACTGGACATCTCATTGGAGATAGATTCGAATCTTCGAACTCGAGTTGTCGACCAATTACTGTCAGATGCCAAGTTGAAGGTCGGAAAATTTGGGGAGTATGATACAGAATATCTGCACTATGGCATAGCACCAATGAAGATGTTTGCATACGAAGGGATCCCCAGCTGTCTCTTCATGAAGAATGATATTCAAATCGCGTCGGAAATCCCGGGAGGAGATGAGAATTGGGAATTTTTGGCGGAACAGAAGGCTATTTTGGTCAGGGAGAGCTGTAAGTGGTTTGAATAAGAGTGTTAGAGTATTAACGTTTATTTAAAAACCGTAGTTTCTTGAGTTGGAAAGTTACGCAATTAAAAAAAAATTTTTATTGCTCCGTTTTGACCTCTAAAACAATATAATTTCAGATCTGGCTGAAGCTTTCCTCTATCCTTGCAAAGAATTGTATCTGGACGACTCTAACTTTTTAGCCCTGCTTCAGTATCTTCCGTGAGTTTATCTTTATCATTTTGATTAATTTTTTTATTACTTTAGACTCCCAGAAATGCCAAAATTGGAAGTCCTAAGGATGGAAGCGAAATTCGCAGATATGTTTGACAAAAAGACTTTGGAATATTACGAGGAGATACTAACCGAATTGGAGAGAGTTGCTCCAAATTGTAAAGTTGAGGTCTGTGTGGATACCTGCATCAATTGTAGAAGATACGAAGATCATATTCCGGTGTTGAAGAAGATCGTCAAGGCTCTTCAAGACGTTTTGGAATTGATGAAGGCTCGTCAGAGGCTGTTTTTTATCAGTAATGTGAATGTGAACATGCCTCTCTCGGTAAGTGAATATTGTGTGTGTATAAGGATGGTGATGATATTTTTTTTGAAACTTTATAGGGTTTTATTGAATGAAGTTTGTGAGAAAATACTGGAGAAAGCGAACGTTTGTCGTTTGAACATTTAAAATTTATTTTTATAAAAATTTTCTTGACCAAACTTTGGATCAAGTACAATATAATTTAAATTTCAGGAAATGGGTTATCAATTTGAATTCTTCGAATCCCTGTGTGATATCGTGGAGTGTTCTAGTTTCTCCTTCAATCCCCAGAGTTGGGAATACATCGCCTCCGTAGACGATCCCCCTACAGTCGATGGAGAAAGAAGGGGTCTTTTTAATGTCGAATGCAAATTTAACGATGTTACCCTCCAACTACTGGGCGATAAGGACATTGAAATTGTTGAATAGTTGTTAATATTTTGTTTTTGTTATGTTGTTATTAATAATAATTGTTTTATTCAAGGTTTCATGGGATTTGTTGACCTTAATGTCTGGTAGAATATAAGATGTTGGTGGAAATGCGGAAATTTGTGAAAAATGTTGATTGAAACGAAAGCTGAAGAGTTTATTGTGACATGAACAGTTTTTTAGCTAAAAATTTCAAGTAAAGGTTGGTAAATATAAAGTAAAAATAAAAGTTTTTGATTCGAAAATTACAATGTAAGTCTTATCGGGGCCTCTTATGTACCGATTGACCGAATTTAGGAGTACGGTACGTGCAAAGAAATGATTTTTCCGACTACAGAACGCGCCGGTAAACAGATAAATATTACAATAATCATGTTTTCGTAATGTTTGCTTTAATTCAAACCCCGACAATAGGCTACAAATTCCTTATTTTGTGCAACTGCTGATAAACAGCCTTATATGTAAAGTTGCAATATTCGCCTTGCATCAATGTATGAATGCATGTTTTCATTAGGATTCTGGAGATAAGCAAAGTTACTGTCAGTCAAAAAAACGTAAAATAAGGCAAAGACGACTAGTAATAACAACGAGAATCCCGTGCACATTTTATTTTATTTACTTCAGAACATATGCAACTTTTCCAAATTCAATAAATATTATCTTACATTTAAAATGGAAATTTACCAGATCCGAAGTTGATTTTGATGAATTCTCTTGTTCTGGTATCAATCAATGAACACTCTTTTAAATTTTCCAAATTTTTTGCCAAACTTGTTCCTAGGATTACATTCGAAATCGCAGTCCTTGTCCTCGCAATAGGCGCTTCTGCAGCTGGTCCGACGGGTCTTGCAGACCGAACGACACAGTGTTACACAAACAGCTTCCTTACAGTGCGCCTTGACATTATAAACAAGGAGTCCGAAGAAAATAAAAATGAACAGGGAAGTAAGTAGCCGCATTTTTTGACAAAATTTTGATGAACCGTTTTTTATAGCCACTGTTATCGTTCTATAAATAGTTGTTTTGATCAATATGATATTTTTTCAAGTTGGAAAGGGTACCAAAGTTGATGACGCAAAATAAGATTAGAATTTCAAAGAAATAGCGCAAATTTTGGGCGTATTTTGATAAAGCAATCGAAATTTTTTGTCGAAAAAAATTAAAATTTTCTAATTACGGCAACCCAATCCCTCAAAAATTACGAGACATCCAACTGTTATTAAGCTGGGACCAATTATAAAAGAGTAATTAGTCAGGTTTCCCTAATTATTACGTAATATTTACACAAATACCGTATTCTTGGCGACTTCCGGAAGGCAGTCCATAAAAACCGTGATTCCATTTAGCTTGATTGCATGAATAATATTCTAATTTTTTGTTTTATGCTTTATTGGTAATAAGTAACATGTTCTATTTGTCATTTTTTTCAAAACGCCTTCCTCGGCTCCCGCACCTTATTCACAATTTTCCCGGCCATTATGGCCACATTTCTGAACTGCTCGATCTCATATTGCCAGCCAGTCAAATAGTCGTCCACCATATAGGGAAGATCGTTCTCTTTACAGAACTTTTTCACCATAGGCATCACCTGAAATTATTGAGTTTTCAATTTGGCGACTGACAGGAAGACTTGACTCTTGGGTCAAGTGTTGTCCTCGATTTTTGTAAATTTTAGCAAGTAAACGCTTTGAGAAAATGACGCCTTAATGGTTCAGCTTCATCAAAACCTACCCCTCTCCCCTCGACTTCTTCTTTCCGAGGAAAAGAGTCGACTCATGTGTCAAGTCTTCCCCTTTTCCTCTAAATCCCTGTTCCCAACGCAAACTAACTTACTTTGTTAAGATTGTGTCTGGGCATGGTTGGGAAGAGATGATGCTCGATCTGATAGTTCAATCCACCCCACAACCAGTCGATAAATCGACCAGGACGCATATTTCTGGTGGTATAAAGTTGAAGGCTGGGGTAGTTCTCCAGAATAGCCGCATTGTCTGTAACATTAATACTTTATCACGCCTTTACCGTCTATGTTTATTGAAAATTGTAAAAACTTACAAGAGAACTTATCTGTGGAGTAATGATTGAAAGTCACCACATGAGCCAAGAGGAAACCGCCGAATAATTGGGAAATTAAGAAGTAAGTGACCATGGTCTGGACATCCGGAAGGCAATAAAGTTGGAGCAGGACGAAGAACCAGTGGATGGACAGGGTGATCTGCTCGTACTTGGCTTTTTGGCGATGAACCTGAGAGATTTTTATATTATGCATAAGATCTAATAGAAAAAATTTAAAAAAAAACTACAAAAGGAGATGTAAAATAAGGTAAAGATTGTAGAAACGCACATCATAGAAGCTTGTGTCCATGGACAGCACAAATCCGATCGACTGGGCCAGCCAGCTGAGTCGGAGGAAGGGCATGAAGAAGGTCCAGTAGATGTGTTGATAGGGCAGCATCTGCATCACCCAAGAAGTTGCTTCCAAGAGCTAAAATTATTGTTGTACAACAACCTTTTTGAATATGAAATTTCAAAATTTCAGAGCCAAGCTTTGCTTCAGTAATACCTTTAAATCGGAGGCCACAGTCGCCCAGAAGGGCATCAGATCAATGTCCCCATCTCGGCCCACGACGTTCGTCGCAGCATGATGAACATTGTGCTGATGTTTCCATCCATTCGAAGAAAACCCTTGGAGAAGATTGCCCACAATGTAAGACATGTAATCATTCCACAGAGGATTCTAAAAGAAAAAATGTAAAATGATGACAAAAATCTAATGTTTTGGATAAAACTCTGTAAATATGCAAATTTTCAGTGATAATACCTTGAAATGCTGATGATGACAGTACTCATGGATCATCCATCCCAGCTGTTGCCAAGCCAATCCCATCAACAGGGCCGAGGGAATGTAAATTCGATGGTATTGGAGGTAAATGGCAATCCCGATCAAGCCAATGGCTTCGGTGAATTTGCGGGCAAAGAAAAGGTTGTCCCCATTCAGCAGACCCTTTTCCCTGACCTCCATCCGCAGTTTGTCAAAGTTCTCAGCGATCTGTTTGGCCTTCTCATCCGACATCTCCCATTTCCCCATATTCACATCGTATAATTCGGACATTGTGGGGTCCTGGAAAGAGGGGATTGTGTAAACTGCAATTTTTTTGGAAACTGGAGACAATGATATTCATTTTTATAGCTACTACTCGTGGTTATAGTATATGCCTTCTTGAACCTATTTTTTTCAATCTCATGAGATTTTGTGAAACTGTTAGGCAATTTTGATTTTTAAATTTTTGTAAAGATTTTTTGCCAAGGACAAACTACTTTGTAAAAAACTCTCTAGCTATAAAGTGACATATTGAATGTAATTTTTCTTCGTATTTTACCCATCTTACCTTGACCTGAAAGTCGGGGACGACCTCTCCTTGCTCCTTTCTCATGTCCATCAACGCCTTGTACGCCTTCTTGGATCCCACGTGGAATGTGTGAAAGACGGTGGTGGCATCTTTGTTCTTGTAAGTGGTCAACGCATTTCCCCCGGGATGCCAAGCCAACGTCTCTTTTGTGATCTTTACCCATTTCCCATCCACCTTTATATAAAAATCTTCGTATGCCTCAGGCTCTCTGATCACCATCTCCGAAAGTGGCTCAAGTTTGAGGGCTCTGAAGCTTGTTTTCAAATAGTTTTGTAAGGAAATTAAATTAGTGGTTACAAAGGCAAAGTTTAGCGGTTAAATTCCAACTGAGAATGGGGTGAGATGACTCTCAAAGAGTGACGTCATCGTAGTAAGAGAATGGAATTAAATTGTAAAAGTATTAAAAAACACATTTAAAAAAGATTATCATCAATAAATGAGCGTTTTGTGGCCATCTTGGGCATTGCAGTTAGGACGAATCAAATAAAAAACAATCGCGCCAAGACCCAAAAAAATTAAAATGGAATTTTTTTCAAAAAAATATAAGGATCTTGGCCTCAGGCAACTCAAACGATAATCACAAATTTTTTTATCAAATTTACTATAGCTATTCAAAACTCCGGATGAACTTTTGACCTCCAAAAAAATAAATTTGATTCAAAAACGAGCGCTAAATCCGATGATAAATAAACAAAAGATTTACAAACCACGGTGATCCGGCTCGCCAAAACACGCCGCAGTTTTATGATTCTCACGTTTTTCGACAAAAAAAAGGAACGGTGATGTCTGCACCGTCTTCAAATTTCTAAAAAACTAATTTTTTATGGAAAAAATTGAAAAAAAGGCGATCTTAAATGTTGAGGAGGTCGGCACCACCGGAGAAATGAAACCTTAGCCTAGAAACCTAAGCGACTGCTTGTATAGGGACCTAGTAGTATAGCGAAACATACGAACTTGCCATCTCTGCAGCAGTAGTACCCCCAGGCTCCACGGAACACAGGGGAACTTAAGGACCAAAAAAAGGGCGCAAGGCATCTTTGTTAAGCTGTAACGTTTTACTGCGACACAATGATTCTACCAAATTTTCATGGCGTTTAGAGAAGGTGTTATAAAATATAATGCTCTCTCGCTTGTGTTTCTCTAACGCCTTGTTTTCGCGGTGGGACACTTAAAAAAATTTGTCTCCGTTATTTTGGGTCACCCTGTATAGCGCATAAAAGGGCATCAATTCCTGAAAATTTTGGCTCGAGCTTTGCAGCCATACCCGAGATTTCACAGCCTTTTCGAAAAATCTGGACGGCTCTTTTGCAAAATTTGAGGTAAAAATTTCGAATAAGTGTTGTAAAATTCTAGCTTTACGTTGAATAAACCTTAACTAAGCTATGCGGGAAATACTCCTCATTAAAATTACCCTCTACACAACAAAAATTAACTACAACGAATCCATTTTTCTGCTTTTTATACATATACTTTACCATAAATAAAATTTGTCGCAAATTTGATGACTTTTATAGCCGCAATTCAACCCAAATGTATTTACAGAACAGAACACAACACCACAAAACAAAAGGCAGCCGAATAATCGGCGAGATTTCTTCTCTTTATCGAGACTGGTCAATCAATCGCGGGGGGAAAGGTCGTCTAATTCCCGCCTGTAAAAGCTCCACAAAACAAGGAATCTGGGAGGGAACGTGAAAGGGAAAAGGGAACAGAGAATTGACACATTTGGCAAGTCCAATTCCCTAATTCATCGACGGAAACAAGCGAGATCATCGTTTTCTGAGTGGACTGATAAGGGAAGATAAGATGGCGGGTTCAATCAATCGTTTATTTCAGAGTCTGAGGGAACGGGGCTGTTGTGAAAAACTAAAGTTTTGGAGGAATCAAGGCAAAGGATTGAAAAAATAAGTGTTTGAAATAAAAGTAATCGAAAAAATTGTTTGAAAAAAAATGTGAATAACCCCCAGAAAGATGTCTGAAATATGTTCTTAAGCTTCCAAATGCATAGATCCCCTTATGTCAGGGATTAAATTTTCTTCAGCTTTAGTTATCCCTTCCAATCCTCCACAAAAAATTGTGTTTTTGGACTTTACATTCTTCTCTCCCAAATTTCGTCATATTCTCCTGCAATTTTTCCTTTTTGGAGGTCCATTCAGATACCATCGGAAATTAATTCGATTATCTATTACTGTAGGGAGCAAGCGCATTGTAACTTTTGATGGAATCTTGGGCTTTGGTGGGCAAATTGAAGACTGACTGTGAATTTTCAAACAAAAAAATTCGATAAAACGCTTTTTTCGAATCAAAATTGAAGTATGAAAACATCAAGGGCTATAAAGAGTTTCTTGATGACAATTGGCAAAACTTTGAAACTTCAAGTAAAGATTTTACTCTAAAAAAAATTATTTTTCGGCTAATGCTCTTCGAAGTGTCTTCTATACATTTTCAATAAATTCTATATCATCTGAGGCACAAAGTATTTGCTTCGCATCCAATAATAACCCCAAAAAAGTTCCAAAAACCCCTCCAAACTGTCGCGAATTTACGTGAGTTTTAAAAACAGTACCCCCTAAAATACCGCTGAATTCCCTGTGAATTTCTGTGATAGATTTCTCTCTCTCCGAACATCGCAATAAGAGTTCCTTTTGGGAGGGGCGGACCGTTCCATGGAGTGGCGCCACACTCTTTTCCCGATAAGAATTGCAAGAGTTATGTTTCTGCTCTCGCTTTTAAAGTGTCAAAACTTTATTTTGCAGACAAAATCTGTTGGAAATGTGTGCTAATTGCAACTGTGTAATACAAAAATAAAATTTAAAGGTGACAAAAGAGGAGATGGACAAAATGGGGCTTCAAGTTTCGTTATCGGCAGAGATATTTTAATTGATGACTTCTGTCGCCGACGTTATCAAAGGACCAAAGTTGCAACTGGCGACAAATGGAAACACAATTGGGTTGTTTTCCGACAAGATGTTCCTCTTCCAATCACGCTTGATTATCGAACTCACAACAGCTTTTAAAAGAGCTGTAAATAGATAGAAAACATATATTTACATATCTGATCTCCATTGCATCGACAACCTGCGGGGACACAAACATGTCTGTTTGAGATGAAAACTTGGTCAGTTCAAAGTCTAGATTTAATTGTAAGAGGAGGATCTTTAAATCTTGGCGTTCAGATTTCCTTAAATTTTACCTCGCGTTCTAGACCAGCTATAGATCATTTACTACAAGGTCTAGGTCATACTTTTCGGGTGTGACCAAGATATTTAATGGTCAGAGCCGCCTCTCATCCAATTTTTTTTGCCCTCTACTGTTTTACACTTGATCTTTAAATGTTGGTCCACAGAAATGCCCAAAAAATCAGAAAGTTGGATTTTGCTCACGGAAAAAGATTATTTTTTTGATGGAAAAGAAGGTTTATTTCCGTAGGATCGGTCAGAAAAGACTGTATTATTTACAAATCAAATGTGGACTTTTTGGCCCCATCGTATCTTTGTTCCTCGGCTTCAAACCCCACAATTCGCAGCGGTCAGCTCCTCTTCTTTATCCTCTCAGCTCCCAGCTAGCCATCTCATTTTTTTCTCCCGCCCAACCAGCAATTGGAATATAGTCCATGTCCCCCAACGTGCTTCACGTAATAAAGCCCATCCTTCTCTTCATCAGCTGGACAAAAACAATGGCCTTTGAATGCAGACTGTCGACTTGTCGTTGTACCTCGGCCGTCGATTGTCCCGCATATTTGCACAGCCGAGCGAAGAGGAAACCGAAATAAATTTGTGACGGAATGTCGAACAGTCAACGGATCTCGGCCCTTGTCTTTCCCTGCACATCTACTTGTATCCGGACATGTTCGACATGTCCTGCTTGTTATCAGCGCTACTGTATTTTGTATTTTTAAATGGCGAAGCGAAGGTTATTGTGGTTACAAGATCCCCGGAGAGCGGCGTTAACAAGCCGTTGCCGCCTTATCAGGTAGGGGGATTTCGGAAGGATTAAATCTTTATTTGAAAAGTGTAAAATGGGTTGGCAACTTGAAGCAAGATCCTCTGCAAATCAGAAGCTGTTATTGATACCTTTGAAAGGTTGAACATGGTTTTCCGAGCGTCTAGTGACAATACTGAGTCGGAGACAGCCAAAGGCGCGCTCCAGGGTTAATAATTTTAACCCTAATTTCTAAATTTTTTGGTCAAGAAAGTTTTGAAACTTGTGAAAGATACAATGTGTTAGATCACCTACTTAAAAATTTGAGAAATTCAAATTTTATTTCTGTTTCAGATGCGTGCTGTTTTCATGGATGCGATGAGTGAACACATCTCCGAATCCGAGCGAGTCCGAGGCTTCCTGAGTCTGATCCAGACAAGATTGGCCAAGAAAAAAATAAAATTGGCCAAAGTAGAAGTTCAGCGGGATGCTGAGGTAAGTTCAATTCAGCTTCAAACATACATTTTAATTAGTTTTTGCTTTCTTTTGCGTCATCTGAACGCGATTGTTTGTTGACGCCGCCTACAAGGATTGTCGGTGCAAAAGTCAAACAGTTTTTTTTTGAAGAGCAAAATTTGAAACTAGAATTTGAGGAAATAGGAATCTATCAAAATACCAAAGCTTGTAAATCTATTGTCTTCTAGTTGATGCAATGGATCCGGGCCAAAGACGCGAATCAGATCAACCAAGGGCTGGAAGGGGCCGATGTCATCAATCAGCCGGTCGCTGATTACATGTTTCAGGTAAAGTTGAGACGCTAGAAGAACGTTTTTTATATGTCTCTTGTATTGTCATCGGATTTAGCTATTGTCATCGTATTTTACCAAAATTTTTACTCTTCTTAGTCCGACATGGTGCTAAACACCCAGCAGAGTCGAGTTCTGGCTGATGCCGCCTTACAAGATCTCCAAGAAGTTGATCCGTTGGAAGGGAAAAACTTAACCACCCAGCTCCACGATATTTATGGGCAAATCCCCGAGATAAAAGATGAAAATGAAGAGAATGAAGACGTGGAATGGGCCGAAACTCTGGCCGAATATGAAGAAAGTATTCGAGAAAAACGCGAGACTAACTCTCACAAGAATTGTAATAAAACCCTGAGGCATCGGAGGAAACGACAAGCCCAAACCGGGCCATCTTTCCCCAAGAACCAATGGACTGTAGGGCAGCCAATCTCCTATTATTTCCATTCAAATCTAAGTCCCAGTACCAGGAATTTAATCCGGAAAGGAATCAAGTTCTGGGAGGAGAACACCTGCATTACTTTCGAAGAGAATGGAAGTTTCCATCCGCGGGTGCGCTTCTTCCAAGGCGGAGGCTGCTATTCGCAAGTTGGGAAGGCTTTTGGACAAGCTGAACAGGTTGTGTCCATTGGAAGGGGGTGCGAACAGTTTGGGATCATCACTCATGAAGTTGGACATACCATGGGTAGGGTCTTTGTCGTTTTTTTTTTAATTTAAAAGCTTTTTTTCGAAAGAAAGCAGAGCTCTTAAAAAATTTTTAATTTTTAAGCTATAATCACTACATTAAAAATTGATTTTTTAGTAGAGAGATGAAATTATAACCCCTTAAAAATCGGCTTTTGTTTCAAAAACCTTACTCCAATTCTACTATAATATTATTTCCAGGATTTTTCCACAGTCAATCCCGTTACGACCGAGATTCCTACGTCAAAATTGTTTATTCCAATCTCTCCCCAACTTTGGCATCGCAATTTTCGAAACAAACAGAATCCACGAACAATAACTACGGAGTCCCATATGATTATGGGTCTGTTATGCATTACGCGGACAGTAAGTTCAGTTGGCAAACATTACCGAAATTTCAGCCGATGCTTCCAAAGGGGTGGTCACAATGCTGGCCAAGGACAAGATTTATCAGCACACCATGGGAAACAATGTTGGGCCAAGCTTTGCGGATCTGCTGGCCATGAATATTTATTAGTAGGTGGAAAGCAAAACTGATTTTTTAACAATTATATCAACTTTTTTTTAGTTCTGGTGTCTACTATAGTATCATTTTTAGTGGATGCACCAAAAATTGTGCCAATGGAGTGATCTGTCGGAACGGAGGATTCAGAAGACATGATTCTTGCGACACCTGTATTTGCCCATCCGGATTTGGTGGGAAGGATTGCTCGGAATTGCCTGAGGGCCAATTCTTTGCCGAAAAGAATTGTGGCCAAGTAATCGCGGCCTCAAAGGAATGGCAGACGTTGAGTAATCGGGTTGTTTCGAAGCAAGTTACTCTCGCTGATCGACATTCTTCTTGCACGTGGCATATCAAGGTGAGACTTTAACATACGATGACTAAGTCCAAGTTTTTTTGAGGTTTTTAAAAAAATCAAAAAAAAATATTTTTTAGGCGCCAGCAGACGAAAAAGTTCAAATAAAACTGTTGGATGTCTATGGAGCATGTTCAGCGGGCTGCTTTTACTCTGGAATTGAAATTAAAATTAAAGATTTCTCAATGACTGGATCAAGGTGAGAGTCCCTAATTAACGGTAAAATATAACCTTCAGGGTCTGTTGCCAGTCGGATGCGGACAATTTAGGATATCTGGAAAGCGAAGGCGACACTGCAGTTATCATCGCCTTCTCCGCCTACAAAACGAGAGGCTTCAAGTTGCAGTTTAGATCGGGTAAGAAACTTATCGACCGCAGGACGAGGGTTGTTGAATATCTCGGATGACTTTGCGAAGAGATAGCTAAAGTTTGCAGTAATTTCATATGCATATAACCCAAGAAACTTCAGAGAAAAATTTGAAAAAATTTAATAATTTTTCTTTGAGTATCTGCTCATTACATTATTTTAGTCATCTAAAGTGTAATATCAAAATTTTTAATTAAATTCTTTCCAATTTTTTTCCATTACATAGCCTGATGTTTAACCTAAACATCTCAACTTTCAGTTCGCTACACCTCAAAGCCCTCCTGTGAGGACAAACAATCGGATTGTGCCCGTCTTTCCTCCCTCTGCTCCCATGCCCGATACTACAAATTAATGTCGGATCGATGTCCCAAGACCTGTCTCCGATGTCAGCCTATTATCGAGACCAAGGCGGAGACTCAGATCCGCAATTTGGCGCCGGATTTCGATGCGGACGAGAAGCCGCGCCCAGAATGCGATGAGACGGAGGTCTGCGAGCACTGGCAGAAGAATGGATTTTGTGAATCCGACTTTTATTCCACCGAAATCAAGAAACGGCATTGTGGAAAGACCTGCAAATTGTGCAATCCCTAATAATTTCGAATCATTTGAGTCATAATAATAAAATTACATGATTCTTGCAAAAATCATCATGGGTAATATAACAAAACTCTCATAAATGCTTTTTTTCTATGAATTTAAAAATACAAAGCATATTTTACGTCAAAGCTGGCAATTTCCGGTAGTTTTAGAGCCTCTGTATCACTTGAAACAGGACGCCAAAAATGGCGGGAAATTCAAAATTAGGATTTTTTTTGTTTCTGATTTTCTTGAGCCCGGTAAAATAGCGTTTGCAGACGACACCGTATTTTAAAAGGAATTTTAATAAAAAATCTTGATATTTTCTATTATTTATTTTTTATACTCATCTCCGCCATGTATAACATAAGAATTTCATTGCAATAATGGTCGGTTCCCACAAAATAAATCTCAGTTCTTTTCGCAATATTACAAATGGAATGTCGAGAGTAGTAAACAGCTCTTACCGAGTTTAGAAGTGCATTCTCCACGGTTCATTTCCCCTTTCGAATGTTTTTTTTTTGATTGACTTCTCTTTTTGCCTCAAGTCAAACGACCCGTTTTCTATTTTTGGAATGTCATAAATCTCATTTTACGATATTTCTTGCCTGAATTTTTGTTTCTCCATCTCACTGCGATTACAATTTCTTTAACGTAAATAGTTATGTAACAATTGTAAAAAATTTTTGTTTTCGATTTCCCCTTATGAGTCACCCGCAGGGCATTTGAAGGGAAGAAAAATTTTGTTTCAGAACCCGGTTCAAGATCGATTTCTTTCTTCTTTTTTTACTCTTTCTAATTTATAAAAAAATGGGCGGAGCCTATTTTCTTGGCCCATTCTTTGGCCGAAAACATTTGGCCGGATAATTTTAGAACCGCGTGACTCTTTCGAAATCCAATTGTTTATCGTGTGTTTCGCGGCTCAGTAATTTATACCCGCTTCAGATTACAGCGGGTTTCTCTGATAAATTCATGTTGTTGTAGATGGGTAAATTTGGGGAAATTTTGAAATGTTTTAATATGAATTTTTAGTCAATTATCCGTTTGTCAAAGCTCGTTTTTCCGAAATTCACGTGTTTTTCCTCCGAAAAGGGGATTATATTATACTGGAGACCTAAAATATGCGCATAACTAAAATTACACGAGGTTTCGCGCTGTTTTGAGCGTTTGTTTTTGGAGAATTTACCTCAAGTCATATTTAGAATGTAATAAAATTTAAAAAATTAGTTTAAGCACTTTAAAATAGTGTAAAATTAAAAGGTTTTGAAGGAAAAAAATAAAAATAAAATTTTGATTTTCCGATAGTAAGATCTGGTAAAAGGCATCTGTCGCTTTAAAATTAATGGGGTCCCATATGCATAGCAGATACAGGCAAGAAAAAGTTAGGAGCAAAAAGTTACTAGCCGAAAATGTGAGAAGTAAAAAATGGAATTGTCATCATTTTTTGGTAGCCAATATTTGTTATAATAAATACTGCTGGATTCCTAGAGACTATTTCTTAGAGGCTGTTATGTCTGATCACAACGTCTACTTCATGAAAATTTTTAGCTACAATGTAAAAACATTTTTTTCGCAAAGTCATCATGTATAATATAAAATTGCATAGAAATCGGTAACAGAATGAGGTTAATTTAAAATACTGCCATTTTAAGCATTTTTGGGCAGTCTATCATTTTGTAAAATAGAATCCAGCTAAAAATCCTTCCTACCGCAATCTTTCGTCCTTCTATTCTCCGATGACCTCATATTTAATATGAATTTTCAATTTTTCTATTCGCAGTCTTTTTCAAAATTGCTGTACTTGTAAAATACGTCACACAATGTGCCAAGTAATCTAAATTTTCCGCAATCACTTTAAATTTAGTCATCTTTCCATCAGATTTTTCGGTTTTCTATTTGATTTTATGACCTTGAAACATTGATTGCCTTTGCCCTATTCCCCCCCCCCCTTTTTTTTCTTTTTTTTGACCCAGCTGGTCCTTTCTCATCCCTCTTCTTTTTTTTATTTTTTCACTGTGATACCGCGTAAACAAACGGAGTTTCCAGGGCTACAATTCGAACAAAACCCTCGGATTAAAGGCGTTTCCTTTAATTAATCCACTTAGCTTTTTTCAAGATTACAAGTGGTCGTCGTAGGATACCGTAATTACAATAGCTTTTAAACTTTATTTTTTTACGTAAAAATGGAATTTCGTAAAATTTTATGTCACGTTTAGGTAGTTTAATGTAATCCTAATCCTCTAAAACTACTGTGATTTGCATGTTTATTACAGCTATTCACACACCCTGAGCTTGTCATTATAATTTCTCACGAAATGTAGTGGATGGGAGTGTTCTTTGGACTGCATTTTGTCATGTGTAATATAATTTAATCCGCGATGTAACGTATTTTTCTTGGTCTTTCGGAGTTTGTAGATCGTTTGTTTAGGTGTCAAAAATGCCGATTACTACTCGCTCGACTGTCACTACATCCCGTGGAGGGACCACCACTCAGCATCAGGTCATTCCCATGTGGACGATCAAACTGATTACCGCGGTAAGTGGGGAATCTTCAAATACGATCTAAACTTCAAAGTAAGAACACGGTCAGTCAAGATCGTATGTTCAAAATTTACACCAGATCAGAGTTTGTTCACTCGAAGAAATTCATCTTTTTATACAGGGTGACAAATAAAAAATGCAACTTTTTTTCATGGGTCCTGCCGCGAAAATGTTTAGGTGTAGCGAAATATTTTTTATACCATTAAATTCTCCGTGTTTTTCTGTCCTAGTCTTTTGATTTTCATGCCCATATCGATTGATTATCATCTTTGTATTGAGTGTCAAACAGAGGGACCTCGATTTTAAACCTGTCTCGGGAAGAAAAAGGACAGTGTGAGATTGCTAAACTGCTCGGTGTAGGAAAATCTGCTATGCCAAAAGCCACCAAACGAATCCACGAGCTTGGCCACGATGTTAAGTGTCCAGGAAATAGAAGAAAGCGCATCTTGAATACTTCTGGCAACTTTGAGATCATCAAAAAGCGAGTGAAGCAAAATCTGATGGTGTCCATGAAAAAGATTGCCCGGCAGACCGTCATCAACACAACAGCTGGTCGATGAATGGCCAGTAATGCACCATAGCGCAAGCCTAACAAGCTCCAAAAGACCTAGCGCCTCACGGAACACTACAAGCAAGTACGGCTCAAAAAATGTCGAAAACTCAAGCGTCGCGCCGCAGCTCAGCGATGAGAGAAGGTCCTGTTCGCGGATGAGAAGTATTTCAACATCGAGCAGGCCTACAACCACCAGAATTGCAGGAGTTGGACTGTTGAGAGTCAAAAACCGTCCGCCATTTTTGAACCCAGTAAAAATCCGACCTCTCATGGCCTGGGGCAAAGTCTTGCGCCAGCGGCGTGATATCCTTGGTTTTCCTTGGTTTTCTTGGATAAAGGGGCCAGAACCAAACCGATAAGTCTACCAGCGACATTTTGTACACCATCGTGATTCCGTGGGCTCAGTAGCACTTTGGCGGTTCAAAACAGACACCGTAGCATGATTCCCCCATCAGCTATAAAGCAAAAAAGACGCAAGGCCAGGAAAGGACCTGTTTTCCCGATTTTATGTGGTCTGCGAAATGGCCGTCTACTCGCTGGATCTGAATCCGGTGGACTATGTTTTTTGTTGAGTTAGAAGCCAGGACCTCTAGTTCACGCCAAAAAAGTTTGGAGCCGCTAATTGATTGCTGCGGTAAGAACGGAACCGATTTCCCCAAAAAAAGCTTCGGCGAATCGGCCAAAATTTAAAGTCACGTTTTGAGCTCTATCTCGGGGCCAAGAACAGCCACCTTAAAACTGGTCGAGCATACTATTAACAATGCTCTATGTTACTGATATTCACCGTTACTTTGGTTAAGTTTGGTGTTTTAGACAAAATATGGCCATAAATATGAGTTGCATTTTTTCTTTGTCACCCTGTATTATACATACATGACAAGAATACACTCCATTTCAAAATGATAGACACGCCTATAAAATTTTCGATTGCGGTGTCGGGGTTCAGTTGACGGATACGAAACCTTAACAGGTTGAGAGAGGAGGTTTGAAAACCTACACCTACAAATAAATTTTCTCATTGCACTGTAATTGCACTTTACACAAAAGATTTTCCGAATTTTGGGTGTTTCAAAATGATAGACACGGTTGCTATTTTTGCTAAAAACTTGGGAATATGGGCCCCATAGTGCCTGAAATTCTTAGTATGACTGTATTGCAACGGTCTGGACTTTACTGAGCTCAAAAAGCCCAAATTTTTATGCAATTGTCCCGGAATTGCACATATACCTCCATTTTGTGCAATCTGGCCTGCATCTGTCAGAAGTCCACTTTCCATGGGCACAGACAGTGCAGATGCGACCTATGGTATGTAGTGGAGTAGATCCAGTCAGTTTTCCCCAGTATGCGACAAAAAAATGCGTGGCATTTGCAACAAAAACTGCTTCCGCTGCGACATAGTCAGCTTTGAAGGCTACCCTACGTTTCGAAACAAGCTAGATGCGAAGAAAAACTTCTAGGCTGGAATGTTTAGGTTTTTGTAAATACGTTTAGCACGGTAGCATCTGCAGCATTGCTTCAGCAGGTCCGCAGTGCACCATTCTTTTGTGAATCTGTGCAAAGTAGGCTTAAAAATGGGTCAAAAAGGGCTTTTTGGAAACTTGACGTTTTCTGGCGTTGGCCCGACTGAGCCTGGACATATGGATTATGTAATAACGTTTGTATGTGGTTTTTCAAGATAGTTCAGAGCTTTTTTGGTTGTGCAAACCACAGGCACCTGCTTGAGAAGCTTTAGAAGTGACGACTTTCGCTGCGGAATCAGTTTTCGTTGCAATTTCCGCGCATTTTTGTGTTGCATACTGGTGAAAACTGACTAGATCTACTCCATTACATACCATTGGTCGCATCTGCACTGTCTGTGCCCACGGAAAGTGGACTTCTGACAGATGCAGGCCAGATTGCACCAAATGGAGGTATATGTGCAATTCCGGGACAATTGCATAAAAATTTGGGCTTTTTGAGCTCAGTAAAGTCCAGACCGTTGCAATACAGTCATACTAAGAATTTCAGGCACTATGGGGCCCATATTCCCAAGTTTTTAGCAAAAATAGCAACCGTGTCTATCATTTTTAAACACCCAAAATTCGGAAAATCTTTTGTGTAAAGTGCAATTACAGTGCAATGAGAAAATTTATTTGTAGGTGTAGGTTTTCAAACCTCCTCTCTCAACCTGTTAAGGTTTCGTATCCGTCAACTGAACCCCGACACCGCAATTGAAAATTTTATAGGCGTGTCTATCATTTTGAAATGGAGTGTAAAGTCATCAAAAGATCTATTCAAAACTGAAATTTTATTGCTAATTATGACCTATGTACATACCTGTATATACATACATCTTTAGATTCTTTCGACCGTCGTCCTGGTCCTGGTGCTCCTCCAATCGACCGGCCAATGGCAACGGTATACCAAGACTTACATCTGCATCACCCTCACCACTGGATACCTCCTTGGCTGGTCCCTTCCCTCCGTTCTCAACCGATTCCTCCCTTTCCACAAGGTCGATGTCGCCCTCCACACCTTCAGCTGTGTGCTGGCCGTTCTGTCGCTGGTCTTGGCCGCGATTTACCTGCTGGATAACAGGGATTACTCCAGATCCGACGATTACCGTTATATGATTGGAATCGCGATTTGCATTGGAGTGGAAGTCATCCTGTTGTTCGTCCTGGTCTCCTGGGTCTGTTATGGAAACTACACCATCGTCGACACTCGCTAAAAACCTTGCCGTCTAAACGTATCTCAGCGCATCATGATGCATTTATTAGCTTAGTTGGCATGCTTACAATTCTCATTATATCAAGTTGTAAAGTACTTCGAATTGCTTAATATGTCGTATCAAGTTTTTTAATCATGATTTTTACTTGTTTTATTAGAACGATTAATAAACAAAAAAATAAGAAATGGCGGCAAATGTGATACCCTGTATAAACGGCATTTTCTAAACTCAATCCTTGATGTTTTGGGGTTTCTATGGCCCGAACATTCTTGTAAATCCAATCTACTAATGCAGCTTACAATCTAATTCTATCAACCCTCGTCCCGCCACGAAAACAACGAGAGTTGAAAAACTCTTGGCATTCCGTTGTAAGCGAATTTTTTCTTTGTTAGGAACGCAAAAAGACGCGAAATCTGCTGCATTGCATATTCCGGGCCAATAATTTGTTTTATATTTTTTTTGTCACATTGATTTACCCGATATTTTTAGAGGACATGAGTTTCCGTGGAGGTAGAGGAGGTGGTCGTGGTGGAGGCCGAGGAGGCGGCGGTGGCTTCAGAGGCGGTCGTGGTGGCGGCGGCGGAGGCCGTGGCAACTGGCAAGACCAGGGACCACCAGAACAAGTCGTAGGTAAGTGTTTTGATGCCCTGGTTTTTATTCATAACTTAGGTGATGATTTGAATGATAGAATCGAACGTCTTGACTGTATTTTGGCCTAAAACACGGTATTTTGTGATAAGATACAAAGCCTTGTTGCTTAAACGCCGTTGAAAACTCCTAGGTTTTTGTTTTGCTGCAATTTCATCAAGAAATCACTGCATATTCACCTTGCTTATGTGTTCTTTTCAGAAGTTGGTCAATTCCTTCATGCTTGTGAGAATGATCTCGTTTGTACGACAACCTGTGGAAAGATTCCGTTCTTCAACGCTCCAGTTTACTTCCAGAATAAAGAACAGATTGGTAAAATAGACGAAATCTATGGAAGTCCTCAAGAAAATGTAAGTTTTGTTTATATTATCGTTGTTTTCTTTTAGAATTCGCTTGTACTCAGCTAATTGTGTTCCTTCCCTAGTTTGAACATTATTGGCCTATTTTTTTATTTACACATCATGATGAATATAATTACGTCTTATTTTCAGGGGTTCACAGTAAAACTCAGTGATGGCGTCAAAGCTGGCTCCTTCAAATCCGAGCAGAAGCTGTTTATCGACCCAGCCAAACTTCTTCCAGTCGAAAGATTCACAAATCCCCAGAAATCTGGAGGCCGCGGGCGAGGAGGGGCCCGAGGAGGTCGTGGAGCTCCTGGAGGTGGAAGGGGTGGCTTTGGAGGAGGCCGAGGCGGTGGTGGTGGACGTGGTAGTTTCGGCGGCGACCGAGGCCGAGGTGGATTTGGAGGTCGCGGCGGAGGCGATCGTGGAGGTCGCGGAGGCTTTGGAGGAGGCCGTGGAGGATTCGGAGGTGGAGATCGTGGCCGAGGAGGTAAGTACTGGAATTCTTTTATTAAATACTACTTTCTATATCAAAGTAGAGTCAGGCTAAACCGCTTTTTAAGATCTATTATTCTTTTTGTACCTATTATAATATAAATTTGCTTATTTTCAGGTCGCGGTGGTGGATTCAACCGAGGCGGTGGTGGTGGCGACTTCAAACGTAACAGCTCCTTCGGTGGAAGCGGCGGCGGTGGTGGCCCGCAGAACAAACGCACGAAATTCGATGATTAATCAATCAGTTGTTGATCTTGTTGTGAATTGTTATTGTTTTTCGTTGTTAACTCCCCTTGTTTCTCCAGTTTTTAATCGTTTTAAAATCTTGAAATAAATAATAAGTTTAATTAACTGACTAAATTACATCCACGGGGTGCTAAAAAAAGGGATTACACTATTTTTGAAATGATAATTTCATGTATTGTACAAGGTGTTAAATTTAACAGGTGGAGAAGTCCCAGAGTCGGACAGTTCGATCGAAAGAAGCCGAGAGGACCAGTTGGTCGTTGAATTGGACACTTGTCACACCATCAGCATGGCCTTGAAGGGTGCAGATTCTCTTTCCGTCACTTATTTTCCACATCTAAAGGGTGTCTAGCATAATATCCCCAATCTCACCTTAATGGTTCGATCATCCGATGCGCTGACCATTCTCCAATCATCGATTTGGACAGATCTGACGACTCGGGTGTGTCCTTCGGCCTGTCTCCAATCAATTGTGTATAAACATTTCAGATTTCTAAAGTCCCACGCCTTGATGGTCGAGTCCACAGATCCGGTGACCAATCTGATGTTATCAAATCTCAGACAAGTTACAGCATCAGCATGACAGTTGTTTAATGTGGCGATAGCCATAGATTGGGACTGCCTTGTGTCCCACAGACGGACAGTCCGGTCAGCCGAACCTGAAGCCAATTGGGCAAGTTCGGCACGGTGTTGGAGACAGAGAACAGAGTCAGTGTGGCCGCTAAAACATGAATTATTACTTCACGCATCCTCAAAATCCCCGAACCATCTGACGAACACAAATTTATAAAACGGTTAAATTATATTATACTAGGCTTACTGTAATGTCCGAAGACAATGTCCTCGTTCAATATTCCAAATCTTGAGTGTTTGATCGTACGATCCGCTGATCAGAGATTCACTTTCCATCTGAATCCATCATTTATCACATTTTTTTCTCTTACCTGTAAGCATCTTACAGTGTCCGTATGTCCTCTCAAGGTCTGGCGACAAGCGACGTGACTCCAATTTGGAGTCATCGACAGATCCCATATTCTCACTGATCTATCGGCCGATCCACTGGCTAATCGGCCTTCATCCAAATGCAGGCATCGTACAGCAGCAACATGCCCATTCAAAGTCATTTGGCCCAGGCCTCCACAATTGGTTCGGCGATCCCAGAGACGAATTGTGTTGTCATAACCGGCAGAGACAATACGTTCGGAGTCAAACTGGACGCAGGACACTCCCTCAGTATGGCCCAGGAATTCACGGACAACACAGCGGCCGGCATGCCAATTTCTCCACAATCTGAATATAAATTTATATTACGGTAGATATCACAAAATCAAATTCTTAATTTTGGTGCAAAAAATAAATAGTGAAAATAATAAAAACTACCTTCGAATAGAATTTTTCTTACCGTAACCGCTCCTCGAAGACCCTTTTCCACTCAAATTCTCCTTCCTTATTGCTCAAGGCGGCGATTTGTTGCCGTTCTGCGATCCTCGAGCCAAGCCGATACTTATCCGGGTCCTTACAAAAGGACTTCCAAAGCGATTGCTCGAGGGCAATTCTATGCCATCTTCGGGAAACACGGAGGCATCTATAGAGTTCTACTGAAAATCGGATGGCATCAAGTACAATGTAAAAATTAACCAAACTAGTATCAATCCCACTATCAGAAGCCCAGTTAAGTTCAATCCATTCTTAAAATCAACCTAAAAAGCAGTAAGAACTTACTAGGTTCTAGCATGGAGAAGATGTGTAATATCAGGGTGTCCGGTAAATGATTGAACAGCGAATCCTCGCTGGTCGACGGCGTTTCATCGATGGTTTCGACAATTTCCGGGAGCTCTGTTACTGCTCTTTGTGTCACTTTCACCACCGTCTTCCGATCCGTACATTTCTAAGCCCACTTTACATTACTTTAGATGACTTACCAACAAATCGACCAGAAAATCCTGTTTTTCATCCAAACTGAGGCCTTCCATAAAGGCTTTGATCATCTAAATTTTCAGACTACACTATTTAACAACCAAATTTCAACTTATTTCTACTGTTCTCCCCTTCAACTTGAATCAAAAAGTTGCCCATCTGACCTGCCAAAAACACATTTTTTACATTGTATCCATAAAAAATTTCCCGGGAAACCCAAAGCTTTCGATTAACAAGGCTCTAGTCAACTAATATTATCAGAAATACTATGCAAACTTTGCCAAAACACAGTGAACCATCTAATTTTACATTCAAATCTTCAACCGACCCTTCTCCGATTCGATTTGTTTGCATCAAACGGCGGGGAAGGGTTGTAGTCGGTGCTGGGAATGCTGATCGCATAGTTTGGCTGGCTTGTCGAGGGCTGCTCGGGTGCTGGGACCCACGCAGCGATGGAATGTGAGGGGTTTGATGGTGAAGGTTGCATAATGGTGTCAAAACATGTCTGATACTACAAAAACCACGTTTACAATGCTCCAAAAGCATCAATCAATCAATATTTTGGGAGTATTCCACCGCTGCTTAATAATTTCAGACGCTCAAAAATAATTATTTTACTCATGTTAATCAATAGATTCAAATTCTTTTCAATCTGTGCCCGGAGGCAGATCGTCGATGCCCGGAGGCGCTTCAATCGATGAGTCGTAGCCGCGGGGCTCAGAGCGTTCGGTCCGGCGGGAGGACCGTTCTCGGGATCGTTCTCGTTCGTGTTTTCGGCTTCTTTTCTTGTCCTTGTCATAAGAATCGTCACGGTCTCTGGAGCGGCGTCGCTCACGGTCGTCGCGACTACGTTTTGAACGTTCTAAAACGGGTAGTTGATTAGAAACGGAGTGTAAAACACAAGCAAAATTAAAAATTCTATATTTCTTCAGAAAGTATCGAATGTCCAAAGCATCGAAAAAATGTCGTTTTACTCTAATTTCCGCTAAAATACACAGATTTTTTTCTCCGAAATTAATTCTTGGACCGCTTCCTGGTCATTACGCCCAGAATCAACTTACTTTCACGGTCGCGATCTCTGTCCCGATCCCTTTCGTAATCCCTCTCTTCTTTCCGTCGTTTCGGTGATGCACTTCTGCTATGCCTTCGTCTTCTCCGTCGACCATCATCTTCTGAGTCATCTCTTTCCCGTCTATATCTGGGAGCTCTTTCTTCATCAAAACCGCCTGGGGGTGGAAATTGGCGACCCATCAGAGGGGGTGGCCTATTGGAATATTGGGTGGGACCTTGGCCAAATCCAGCCGAAACATGCATCGGAGGGGCGTTGAACATTGGCGGTGGCATATTCATCATTCCTAAAACAGTAACATAAAAATTAAAATTTTTTACCTCCTCCGATATTTGGTGGTGGAACATTCGGATTAAAGTTGGGCGGAGGCACTGAAACATCGAATGGAGCCACTGTATCGTCTCCCGGAGGCCCATCAACTCCAGGTGGGCCATCCGAAGGAACTGCCATGGGAGTATTCGAACCTGGCGCAACAAAAGATTCGGGAGGTTTATTGAAGTTTAGGATCTGGATTGAGGTTGATGTGGCATCAGGAGAAGAGGGTTCGGAGTCCGAAGGTCGAAGAAGGGTCTAAAGAAAACGTATTTCTTCATATTCTCCAGGATTTTCCTAAATTTATAAAAGAAGAATTAAACCCTTACGTCTGTGGGAGGTTTGCTGAGATCATAAATCATTTTGTTGGCCTTCTGCGGGCGTTCAGGACCTGCCAAGTTCACCAAATGCCTTCCTCCACTCATATTCAAATTGGGGATATTAATTTGAGTTGAATTGAGGTTGATCCCGGCCATTATCACCCGATTTATCTCTTTCTGAGTACCATATTCTGACCGAAGTTTCCGTTGTCGTTCACAATACAAGTTCCATGTTTCTTCCGTAAATCCATAATTGAAATAGTCTGTTACGTCAGCTCCGGGCTTTTGCCAAGGCTTTTCCTCCATGGCGGCCAAATCGAGATCATAGATCACTTTCCCATCATGCTCAGGCTCCCCATCCATATCCACCTTACTAACCGGTCCCGTTTGCTTCTGAAAGGGAGCATTCTTCTTGATCTCACCAATGGTAACCATCATGTCATCATCGGACGAAGAATCGTCGTCAAATAAATGTTGACCTTAACCATAAAGATTAATATTTGAGTTATACCTAAATTTCAAAAAAGATCTAAAAATTCTCACCATCATTCTTATCGCCATCTCCTTGAGAACCCCCATTGTTTTCGGCTACTTCTTCTGTCTAGAAATAAAGGAGCTTAGAAATTAAGAAAAGCAATGGTTAAAAATCTGTGACCTGTTATAAGAATCCTTCAAAACGAACTTACATTCTCTTCATTATCCTCATTGCCCGGTGGGATTTCAGCGGGCGTGTCAAACCCAGCAATCGACATGGTGAATTTAACAAAAAATTAATAAAGATTTTATAATGCTCAGGACGCTCAACAACAAATTCAACAAGTAATTATGAACGTGCTGCCAACAGCAAGTACATCTTCTACAAAAATACGGAAAAAAAATGCTAGAGAAATAACGAATTAGACGAAATGCCACAAAATTATTGTTGCGAAATGTCACATATTGAATAGGCCCTGAAAAGTTGAAAGTGGCCGCTGTAGATAAAACAGATGTTCCAGTTCTTGTCAGAGATTCACTATTTTTCTACAATATTTTTTTTATTTTATTTAGTATTTTATGTTACACTTGATCCCAGTTCAATTTTTTATTTCATTTTCGTCAGTTATTCATCATCTTCGTTCGGAAATAGGTTAGTGGAAGAGAGATGATATCCGACTGTTTTCCATCCCGAAAGCGGTTAGATCACTTTGATAAATCAAGGAGAGCCTTTATTCCCCATGTGTTTTTTGTACATTCTTTTGTTCTCGTGTTTATATTTGGCGGCCCATGGACAAATCCCTGTGGATTACGGTAAAACTGTCGAATGGGGTAAGTGGCAGGTTTTAAATGGAGTTTTGGATATAATCCATGAGATTTTTACTAAAAAAATATGTATCTTTGCATAAAAGAAGTGTAGGTAAAAGTTTTTGCTCTCAGAACGTCGCACGCTCTACTGTGACTCCACTCACGATCAAATCAACTCCGGGTTGTGCTGGCTAACCGTCGGAAAAGACGGCCAACCGAAGCCGGCCAGGTGCAATAAAGAGTTGGCAAGATTGGAGAACAACCAAGAAGAGGTCAGATTTACGTGTGATATCGAGTGTGATGGAGCTGACAGAGACTCTGTGGTCTCCAAGTACCCCAACTCCAACCGGCATTGCATCAGATTCTGGTCATACAACACCCAGAGAGTCGATGAGATCTATGGGAAACCAAAGTGGTATATCTGGAGAAATGGGCTCTGCGCGATGGACAGGATCTCCCTGGAGGTCCATTGTGGATTCCCTAGTACAACCTAAGTCCTGTCCTTGGTTTATATAAGCAATATTATGTACGCAATAAACTACCATATACCTCAAGTTTTGCCATCTTTTTCATGGAGTTAAAAAAAATATAGAACTCATCATCATGAACTTCTAAGGGCCGAAGGCACCTTCAACAGCCATTCTGCTCGACTTTGAGCATGGGCAATATATTTTTTCAAGGAAGAAATTACAAAATTAACGTACCCACTTAGAATTTGGCATTCAAATCGGTAAAAAACTTCTGATTTATCGGGAGTTGTTTCTTCATTTATGGTCCCATCTTTTTATCATAAATTTGACAACAAAAGCAATGTTTCTTCAGTATCTCATAGAATTTTATTATATTAGGTTGTCCAACAAATAATGACCCTCTGTGAGAGGGGCAAAGTTTAAAGCCTCTAAAAAAGGCAAGCGATGATGGAATTTCGAAATATTATATAATTTTGTAGCTGAGATTTCAGGCTTTCGTTTGATGCATCGTTTATCATATTGGGACCAAATTACAGTAATTTAGCCCTAATCAAAAATTATCAAAAAAAAGTCGGTTCGCGCTGTCATCTTTTACGGGCAAAAACAGGACGCGAAAGTTTCAGAAGCTATGCAAAGTATCAACGCTGTGTTCGACTAGTGTGTTCTGAGTCTGAACACGGTGAAACGATGGATTTAAAAATTACGATTTGACGGCAAGGGACACAAAGATAAAGTACGGAATCCGAACTTTATCAATTTACCCTGAGGTCGTCGGTTGACGAATATCCTAGAATCAATATTCAACGCGTCTCTGACATTGTCTGGCTGCTGAAATAATCGGCGGCTAACCATTTGATGTCGATGGAATTCAAAAAATGCTCGGCAACTTTTTCCCATGTTATTGGGTCAAAGCAAAGATTGGAATCTTTACATTTCTCGCGTTTGCGTTCCGTTTTCTGGATCGAAACGTTGCCTCTGATGAAAAGAGGACCTACTGGGACAACCAGACCAGATATGCTGAACGGAGTCCTCCGAGGGTATCACTGCGGCACTTGTCAAAGCCCGACTCCCCCCAAAACAAGGTGATGACTAGTTCTTGATGGTGCAGCATGGGCATAGTACAATACAGCTTCTTGAAAGCTGGCCAAAATGTAGATACCATCCCCTACTGTATCCAGATAGGCAGTTTAAGGCAGCGTCTGTCTTCAACGATGCGCCGCAGAAGTCCAAAAATTCTTAGCGGCTACACGGAACCTCTAGTTTGAAAGATGACCCTCCAGAAGCAGATTTAATAGAGATACGAGACTGTCCCTCGTCCAGCCTATTTGTCAAAGCTGGCCTATTCACATTACCATCAGTTCAAGAATCTAGCACGTTTCATCAGTGGTAGGGAATTCGACAATCAAGACACCCTTGAAAAGGCCTTAAAAAGTTTCATCGGCTCCAGAAGCCAGGGTTGCAAAGCTACAGACATAAAAAAAATTTTGGCACGTTGTAACAAGCGTGATAAAGCGCATGATAATTATTTTGATTAAATAGATCGCAGTTATTACGGTAAATTTTACCAAAAAAATAAATTTTTCGAAGAGGGTCATTATTTGTTGGACAACCTAATACTAGATATCTGATATTATTTGGCGTCTTTTTTCAATGAATTCTTATATACTGCTCTCTGAGCATGTGCAAATCTTCTCCAGTTTCCTGAATCCATCTGACACACACTTTGCCGCCTGTCCGTACGAATTTATCCTGCTGATTTGATCCAAATTTACACTAAATTTGGTCTGTCCATCTGATTGTGTGACTTGAACTGAGGCCTCAAACATGGCGTTGTTGGGTTGAGCCTTGAGGGTTAGACGGATAAATGAGATCACTGATTTGATATTGGTATCTCCAATGAATTTATTCCAATGCCAGCGATTATTGTTTTTGACCTAAAGTGATGTCATCATAAATTTGTAATTAATATCTCTAGGTTTCTCGTAGATATCATAATGTAATCTTTAGTCCTTTTACCTTATCATTGGCTTTCAGAAGTCTAGCATCTACAATCTTCTCCAACTTGACGGGTTGACAAAGTTTATTGACTGGTGTTAATTCCATATTGATTTCGTGGATAACTTCTTCAGCTGCTGCTTTTGCCATTTTATCAGCTACGTCTAGAGGTGTCTCCTCTTGACATACGCAGAAATGCTCATCGATATCAGCATCTTTGCAGGTTCTGAAAAGTCATCATCAGATATCTAGTATAATTTCAAAATTATACCCTCAAAGGCTGAGGGTACCCACCGATCTTCAGGTATCTCGTGAAAGAGACTGTGTCCTCTGTTTTTGAACGTGTCTGTTCGTTTCACATCAATTTTGTGAGTAACTATGTCCACCAAAGTCTCATAGACATCGTATTGGTTGGTAAAACGCCACAGATTATTCTTCAGATTTTCTTTCGCCTCAGGGTATCTTTTGAATAGGCTTTCGGGAGGGCGAGCGAACAGAAAAGGCATTCGCTCTTCGTATCTGCCGATCAGAGTTGATCTGAAATTATATTAAACATGATTGGTACTGTAAGATAATTTTCTTGCCTGATGTCGTCAAATCGGTTCCCATGATCCGACATGAAGATGATAACAGTCTCTCTGAGCAGTTCTTTCATGTGGATTCGCTGAAGCCAGGTGTAGAGGAGATTGTCGAGTCTTTCGATCATATTTATGTCATCATGAGAGAGTTTCCAGAGAAAGGAGAAGAGGAAATAAGGGATAGATTGCGATGTTTGGGCCTCTATAAACCTTTAAAAAGTAAAATACGATCTTGCTATAGCTTTACGAAGAGCTATAAAAAAAAATTTAATTTAAATTTTTTATATTATCCATGGCAGATTTTGAAATCTTACCTCTCAATAGACGCCAAGACGTGTTCTGTCTCTGGCATATTTAGATAACAGAAGGGAGACATCGTTCTGTATATCGGATTGTCATTTAGGATGTGCCCAAATGGCCGGAAATACACATCAGTGGGCTGATACTTGAACCCCATCGCTTTGTACGACCAGACCCCTGGCTGTTCCTCGGCCAGCAAAGTATTATAGCCATTCTGAGAGAAGTTCTTCCAAATGAAAGGCCAAGAGTCAACGAACTCCTTTTGTGGGTCTAACGGGAGTTCCGAGGCTTTCACAGTAACCCTCCGACCAGTTGTTAAGGCGATCATGTTTGGCGATGTATTGTCATCAATCTTGGCGTACCCTCGGAAATCAAATCCACCAATCTTGCTTGTCAAATAGCTAGAATAGCAGCTCATTCAATGAACATATCTTTGAGATATTTCGATAGTACTTTGGTCATGTATAAGCTCACAAAAAGCTGATCTTACCCATAAGTTTTTGGCAGATTTCTGATGACATTGCTTCGACTCACTGAGTCGATTCCTATGATCATCACATTCGGTCGATATTTCCCGTCATTCTTCGGTGCTTTAGGGAAGATTGGATTTACTGAGGCAAAAATATCAATATAAGCCTTGTTTTCGCCATAAGATCCACGAAAAACACATCCATTGGCTCCCTAAAATTCCAAGTTGAAGTCTTCAAAACAATAGCAAAAAATTATAACTTACATTCATCGAAATTGAGCCTTTAAATTCGCGGTAAGGGTCATAGATTACATTGTAATCGGAGCCATTCTGTCGTCGAAAGAGGGCGTATTTTAGGTCTCTTAGATTATGTTGTCTGGCCAAACCTTCATCCAAATAGAGCCGATTTAACCTCACCGTGACAAAACTTGGCTGCACTCTTTGGCATTTGAGTTCGGCTGGATGTCTAACATAAGATAAGATGGTGGGATCAAATGGGTCGATTATTGGAAATCGACAAGCTTGTGTCTTCGAATATGTGTAATTTCGAGTTGAATTTAAATATGTAATCAGACGTTGGCCTAAAATCCAAATATATAGTTGTTTTGCCAAATAGGTTACTGTACGTACCGTATTCCAACTCGACATTTTGTTTGTATTTGAATACGGGCCAAATAAAGAAGTAGAAGAAAAGAGAGAAAGAGAATATTCCCAGGATCTCCTTGGGGCGTAGACGACGCTTTCTTGCCGCTTTCATCGCCATTACTTTGATTTTTCACGCTCTCGCCCTAAGGGCAAATGGCGGATAAATTGGGTCGCAGAGATCATTATCAAAACAAAAAATAATAAGGATACATTTTACATTTACTGTTTGCAGCTGAAACGTATTCCATTCGATTAGTTTTTTTATATTATACTAGACATGAGGCATGAATAACATAAATTTTTATCGATTTTGATGCCTATATGATTTGGAAATGCCTCTGATAGCGTTCTTCGCTCTCTCACTTACTGTCTGAGCAAAGGTAAAGAATGCATGGGGATGATTCAACTTTAAAATTGTCCCAAATTCCACAATCATAGAGGTTCCCAGTGGGAAATAAATTAAAATTATAATGATCCCATTGGAAGTGCATAAAAATGATGTAGCCGGCCCATTGCGTCTTGTGATCGGACATGTTGCTAACGTTCCTTCTATTCTCCTTAACACTGAATGTTTTGGCTGCGCCCGGGAGCTCAACGAGTGCCCCCGGGCCGGCCCCTCCAGCCACTTCGGATCCGGCGCCAGCTCCCCCAAGTTCGGTCCCCGTTAGTCCAGGAAATGCTACGATAGGTCCGAGCCCCGTCACTCCCGGCAACGTTACAATAGAACCGGGCCCCGTGAGTCCAGGCAATGTTACAAAAGGTCCGGGCTCCGTGAGCCCAGGCAATGTTACAACACCACCCGCTCCGGTGACTGGAACTAGTCAAAAAGTAGATCCAAGTGCACCCACTGCCAATCCAGCTACGCCCTCAAGAGGACCCTCAAGTCCAGTTACTCAGCCCGTAGAAACAACGACCCAATCCTTCATTAACCATAAAGTTTTGAAGAAATACATGGTAAGTGGCTTGTTTCTTGGGAAAAATAGTGCAGAATACGGTCGAAACGCGGGTACTGGCTTTCTTATGGTATTTACAACCAATTCAAACCAAATTAGCAGGGGTTACATGACTTCAGAATTAACAATGATCATTCTTTTGACCCTAGCTGAGGCCTTGGCCACCCGCTGACCAAAATTTACTCAACATCTCGCAGCTTCTGTATATTGCAATACCAAATTTGTAGAAGCAAATCTTGAGCCCGCTTCACCTATCACTGCAAAATATGAACTCAATCCAACCAATTCTCTCAGAGTCATGTGGCCTCAATTTATATTATACATGAGAATGTTGACATTATCAAAAAAAAGTGTTTCAGTTCACCGCCACAGCGTTCTGGCCAGTAAGCCAGCTCTCCAAATACTGTTCAAAATACAACTTATCGCCTGCGGTAATTCCGGACGAACAATCGAATCAAATCATTAACAGTAGGTTGCTTAAACGCCGTCGTAAGTTGCTCTCAACTCATCTAAAGCACTCTTTTGAAGCTCGTTTGAATCTGGAGGGCCAAGATGGGAGGCATTTTATGGATGGAGTACCTCTGGTTCCGCATGCTGCGATCGGGCTCATCTTCGACAAAGAGAAAAACAAGTTTACTTGGCTGGATGGAAAAAGTGAGGTCAATTACACCAACTTCCTCAATCCCAATGAGAAAGACGAAGCGCCGAAAAGGGAGAAGAACAGCTATTACGTGCAGATGCTGCACTGTCCGCCGGAAGAGAGAGGGAAATGGCTCTATGTAAATGAAACTGTCTACACCACGGTCCTTTTGTGTAATCACAAGTCCGAATAAACTCGATCAATGTTGAAAGCCATTCTAAAATTTATCATTTGTGTTCATATCATAAATCGCCTACATTCCCTCAAAACTAAGCCAATATTTCCTAACATACACCGCTAAATTTATTGGATTTACAACTGATAACAACTAAAACAACTACTGTAACAAACAAAAAATAACATGTCGGTAAACTGTAACCCACGTTAACGAAAAAAATAACAAATAGAACCTGAAATGTGACATTACACTTGACTCTCATTTCCGAGCTCTTCTTCCACCTTTCTTCTTCTTTGGACTCTCTTCTTCCTCCTCATCCTCAATATAAGTCTTTCGCTTTCCGGAAGATCTAGTGGATCTTCGGGCAATGGGAGTGCTCTCAAAGATTGGGCGGAGGTTACTCAATCTGGTCGTATCCTCAGTCGTTTCTGGGATTCGGGTTTCTTCCACAACATCCACATCCATCTGTTCTCCGGATACTTCCAGATTCTCTGATCCCTGATCGCTTTCAAATGATCCATCGCCTTGCCCAACTTGTTCCTCTTGACTAACATCACCACCCTCAACTCCACTATCCTCCGGATCTCCATTCCCCTCAGTTTCCTCGTCCACAGACGTATTACCAGAACCCGAATCATCAATGCTCGAATAAGTTTCTAAACAACAAAATCAATAATAAAAAAATGGAATTACCGTTCTCCATATAAAATGCCTCAGTTCCGAAGACACGGTACATGATTAATGGGGCTTGAGAAGCTGGTTTGGACCGGAAAGGCTGAGTGGAAGTTGGTGTGGCAGTTGGAGGGTTTGATGGAGTGGGCGCAACGGACTCTAAACAACAGATTTTATATGAAAATAAGGACCTTTGTCATATAAATTAAGAATAATACATACGTGATAGTACTTGACTGTTCATCTGAAGTTCTCCCATCTCATTAACCGCCTCTTCCACGCTCTCAATCAATGTTTTTCCTTGAGATGGAGGTAGAGGACCTGATTCGGGGATACCCGAGAGTCCCGGAGCTTGTGTTCTAGTCATTTCTGGGTCAGGTTGGAAAGAAAAGGATTCATTCAGGCCGTGGAAAGAGTCCTGACGTCTTTCGGGAGTTCTCCGGAGAGACTCTTGGAATTCAGATGGACTGGGAGGAAGGAGAGTTTGAGATCGAGAGAATGGTTGAGGAGCAAGGTCCGGAGATGGCGAACGGGGCTGACCACCCGCTTCTGGCGGGGGCTCTTCTCTCTGAGGACTAGTGGCATCATCCTGCAACAAATTGCATCAATACGTATCCAAGGTTCAATAAAAACTTATGTTAAACTAAAAAAAACTCACTGAACTCTCATACACAGCGTTGTCCGCCAAAATTTTGGTGGTCTCTCGTCTACAGTCGGCTTCAATAGTCTTGAACAGACCTTGGCTTCGAAGGAAAGACGTCTTCATTAAAACAGCAGACCTAAAATAATACACACGGAAAGAAGAATGAACTTACCCAACATTACCAAAGGAACTTGGTCCAAGATCATAGAGCTTGATGTTTTGAGCGTAGTTCAAGGCTCTGGCAGTTTGATTAAAAACAGTTGAGGAGTCGCCGGGCTCGGTGTTGAAAGAAGCGCGGAATCTTCTCTTATGGACTTCGATTCGATCCAAATTCGAGCAGAACTTTTGCACCATTTGAATGTTGTAGGTCAGAGCTTTGATAAAACCTTTGAAGTCAAGGTTATCAAACGTGATAACTTTTTCTTCCGATCCCAGACTAAAATCAGAAGAATGTTGGGCTTGAAGACTTACTTGAAATGACAGGTCGTATTGCCTTTATCGTAAGTAAATGCGAGAATAAACTCCTCCACAATTATCTAAACAATCACAATGCGGTTATCCTTGCATTAACTTACATCATTCTCGTCATAGCAAAGGAATTTGAAAGCCTTTAACTAAAACAATATAAATTAAATAAATACGCAATAATTTGACGTACCGTTTTATCTTCAATATACTTCTCAGCCGCTGTGAGATATGGCCGGACTTCGTTGACTGAAAGATGGCATTGATCGAATTTGTACAAAATTAAATTGTGAATGGGTTGCTCAACAAACATGGTCGGCGGAAGAAGACCTCGATGCTTTATGTATTGAGTCATCACCAATGTGGAGAATCGGGCCATCACCTTTACCCTCGCCTCTTTTGAGCGAACTTTGTTGTGAATATAAGTATCGAAAAAAGTCTCCCATCCCTAAATCAATATAAAACAAATTAAACTTGAGAAAACAGACCTTTAAATACGGGTTACTTGAGTGTTTGGGCATATTTACACCTGATCTCCTTGATAAATCAAAAAATTAACAAAAATCTTAAAAAAAAGTTTTCTGAAATCAAAAAAAGTGTAAAAAACAGTAGATCAGAATTTCGTGGCGGGACGCAGGCGGAACCACACCGCGTTTGTCCCCGAAACTTTTTGGTGGATCCTCAACGGTATAATTCTTCTGTACAGAGATGGTGGGACTTGCGGACAAGAAGAAGTCGTACTCAGTGCAACTCGGGGGTATTTTGTATAAGGAGCCCACCAATAAGGTAATTTTTACCCACTTTTTTAGATTGTTCTTTAGATGCATTTCCGACTTCCGGGAGAACCATTGACTCTGGTCATTTTCGAACGCACACTGATGTTTATGAGAAAATTTGAAGTTCTCTACATCATTGAGCTGGCTGCGGACTCAGAATTTTCGTTTTCTAAGCATCACTTCGAGCTTTTCACCAAGGACGCCGATCAGGTGGTAAGGACAATCTATTTAGACCCAACGGTCTGGTTTCATTTTAGTTACATCATTTGAACTTCTGCTTGGAAAATCGTGCCGATGAGCAAAACTTCTGCAATTTTTTTTCTCGGGTTTTAAAAAATAATGCAGAGAATGGACAAAAGGATCCTTTGGTAGGTCATGGAGAAGGTCCTGAACAGCCTGTTGGAGGCACTGCGCTGAACAGTGAGTATGTCAAAACGTTGGTGACGAAGTTTTCGTCTGAAGCAGGCCGTCTTTTTGGTCATATTATTGTTGACCTGGCTGAAAGTTTTGGAAGAGCCATTCAGAGTGTCGGAAAACAGCCGCACATTTCGGATTCAGCGACTCACACAACCATCAAACAGTCGGTTAAACGCAAACGCCCTCCTCCCCGTAACACCAGTCATGGTGAGGTTTTGCGGATGCTGAGAGACTCCTATTCGTCTGGTAAGTACAATATGAAATATTCAGTTTTTGTGTTTAGGTTATTCTGAAGGCGCTGAAAAGGCTTCTACCGAGTTGTCGGATGACGGTTCTTTAGAGGACGGAATAGCACAACACCAAAAGAGGATTCGAAAAAACCCCGCCAAAAGATGCGGGCCAAGAAAGGTTTGAATATTCTCTATTCATGCATTGCTTTTTTGGACAATGATTTATATTATCCGTGTTTAGGTAGCACCAACTCAAGCGGAAGACAACGGTATCGAGATTCCTGAAAAAGAAGAGAGCCAGGCCGAGGACAACGAAGATCCTTCCGATGACAGTGACGACTCCTCAGATGAATCAAACCTGGAAACACAGAGAGAACCCGCCATTCAGACTAGTTCTAAGGTCTCCTTTTGATTTTTCAGCATTTTATACATCCTTTATATTATCCATGTTTAGATGTCCCCGATCCAAGCGGAAGAGCGCAAGGATCAGATCCCCCAAAAGGAAGAGATCCAGGCCGAGGACTATCCTGTCTGTTCCGATGGTGGCACCGATTCCAGCGACGAGTTCGAGGCCGCCGTGGTCCCTATTGGTGCGAGAAGAGGATGAATAAACCCAGGAAAATGGCCCGGATGAAGTAAAAGAAAACAACGGGTCCGACCATTAAAATAATTTTCAAATTCTCATCAAATTGCATAATAATATATTGTCTTACTCATTCTTTATTTTTTGTTGTTGTCATTCATATTTTTTTAATAAATACGCGATGAAAGAAGGCGTAAATATTGTTGAGAGCCTTGGAAAAGTATTATTAACTTCTTATTTTAATTTAGGCATTGAATTCGTAAGAAAGCCGATAAATTTGAGGGAAAAGCGTTTTGTCAACCAGTTTGTCCTTGTGGATCATGCGCGGGGTCTCTGGAAAGGCATGTTATGCAATTTTACTTCATTAAAAAATTTCGCTTACCCCCATCATTCTCCTGGAAATATATATTCCGGCCTCTCATCATGTAATGAACTTCAAATATTTGCGAGGTAATTGGCTTTAGGACCAAAGCCGGCCGTATATTACATGTTTTGGGGACAGTCCAGGGCAAAATTGTTTTCGCGGAATGCAAGAACGTCTTTTTCCACCGACTCCCGTTGTAATGCAACATCTAAATCACATATCAGCTGTTTTGATTACAAACTTTGGACAGAGTAAAGTTTTTAGAGACGACTTACATTAATATTATATAATCTGGTGAAGTCATTAGGCCAGTAACCGGTAATGTAGACAATACAAGTGTCATTTAGCTTGATGGGCTCGGTGTAGATCTTGTCAGTCTCGATTATTTCATTCGATTCGACTTTGAAGAGATATAAAACATCAAAAAATAGAAGGGAAATTGTGTCATCACAGGCGATGATGTGTCGGATCTAAATTTTTAATTTTTCGTAAATACGAAGAAATATATTACAGTGCTGATTAGCTAATATGGAGATCATTGATGGTCATACTATGACAAAAAATGGCCGTTTTTTGCCATCTTTGTGACCTTCTGGCAAGTACAATATCCCAAATCAGTTTACTCACCCTTCTTTTTGTAAGAATATCCTTTTCGATGACGTTTTTTGTCTCCAAATCGTATTGAATAATCTTGACCAGAGTAGGAAGCGTCATCAATATGTAAAGTTTGTTTTTTGCCATAGTCATCATTGGTTTAGTTGATGGCAAAAGGTTTATCACTAGCAAAGATGTTGGGTCAAGATCGTGAAGCAGGCTCTTGGAGAGTATGGCTAGTCCATATTGGTTAGTGCCGACCTCTTTGATCTCCGAGAAATAAAGATTCCCTTTTTGGGAATCCAAAATTGTGGAAATCCGGTCAAAATCCGTCGATAAATCCATCCAAGACTCTATGAATTGACTGTGTCCATTAGTGTAGCCGAGTGTAAAATTAGCTTCTCTCTTCGCATAATCGAATTCACTATCAACAACTTGTAATTTCGGACACTGGGAGTAGTTCTTCACCAATTTAAAGTGAATTTGAATGGGTTTTCGAGAAGAAGTGGATAGTTTGCTGATAAAACCTGCAAGATGATGGTCGAAACTGGCTTCGGGCATTGAGTTGCTGAGCGATCTGGAGGTTGAGGCCATAAATTCGTCGAATTTTTGAACGGGGCATTCCCCATGAAGGCATTTTACATGGTTTCGAAGACAAAGATGGAAAAATTTTCGGTTCAGACACGAGAATTTGTCGGTTTGGGGAACGAAATGGTAATTTTCCAGGATCTCCAGGACTGTAAATCTCTTCCATATTAAGTAAGAGATCTGAAATCGGTAAAAACTTTAGTTTAAAATTGAAAAAGTAGGATAAAAGACTTTTCCTAGTTTGGAGCCGGAAATCTCGTTTTTATTTTGGAAAACGAAAGCCAAAACATTTATTTTTGAGTTTGGGAATCCCTAATGCCTGGCGAGAAAAGCTCTCGGGCATCTTCAGACTTTTTTCAATCCAAAATTTTATATTAAACTAATCTGCAGTAGTATAAACTCACATCCTCAGGCAATTTCCGCAAAATCTGAATCCCGACTTCCTTTTCGTTCTTCATAATTGCTTTGGGAGCCCGATTCAGGTCAAGGAGCAGCTGTTTTCAAAACAAAAACAAGTAAGTTATCTGCTCAAAAAGCGACGGAACTATTTACAAAACATTTGGGGAAGCACATGTCCTGCTGAAATAGCTCGAAGTAAGGGGAATTGAATAAAAAGAGAGGGTACAAACAACAGCCAATTACTCAACGGCCTCCAATTTTGGTCATTTTAAAACTGTTTAAAGTGACGAAGGGGCTAATCCGGGAGATTAGCTTAGAGTTCATCGCGTGTTCCAAGTTATACGTTTTCCCATTGCCTAGTGCGAGAAATTCCAAAAAGTTTATTTGAGAGTCAGAATTACGCTATTTCTACCTTAATTCATGCTAGTATGATGGTCGTATTATAGTTTAAATTTTGCATCCAATTTTTGCTTGAATAATTCGAATTCCATAGTCAAAATTTGACAGTTCATCTGGTATAACACAAAACCAAAACGAAGGAAGAGCACAAACTTTATGTTGTACTTTATAACAACAACAAAATGAATTAAAAAATCAACAAGATTAGAAAACTTAGAGAAGGGTTATTAGCGCCTCCGGTTGCTGAGGAGCTTCTTCTTGTTCTTCTGGATGTCCTTCACGAGTTTGGCTTGCTGCAATAAACTTATATATACTCCTTCTACTCCTTTTTACCTCTTCTTTTTGCTTTCTGATCGATTCCAATTTCCTCATAGAGTTCTCCACCAACGCCTGGCACTTCTCTTCTTCTCGGCTTAGACGTTCGAGGCCTTCTTGTAAAGTTGTTTCCGTCTCGGCTAGATTCCACATGGCTTCCAACTGAAATATTTTCTTAATCTCAAGGATAATATAAAAACATCCTCATTCGATGCAAAACTTACATGATTTTGTCCATCAATAGCTATGTTAGGCAGTTGTAACTTCCGCTGTCTTTGTCTCTTCTGTGTTGGGGGTACTGTAACACTATTTGAAGAACCCTGCTCTTGATGGACAATTATCGGCGGTCTTTGAGGAGTGGTGTTCTTTTTGGACTCTTCCTAAACCGCAATTAAAACGAGTTCGATCACGTATTCTCTGAACTCACGTATTTTCTGATAGCTTCAGCTGTTTCTTCATCAATACCAAACACTTGTTGTTCCATCGCGGCAAAGGGGTCCGGCTTCGCGGGGTCCGATGTTGGAGTCGGATCTGTTGGAACCGGAGGTTCTGGCCGGGTTTGTTTCGGTTTTCGGAGATCAATAACAGGCTAAACACAAACAATGTTGAATAAAACTACATTTTCCTTACCTTTCTATCCTCATCTGAATCGGAGCTACTGTCATCTTGATTTAACGGATGAGTAAGGGCCTTCTTCGTCACCGGTTGAGAGCTCTGTGAGTTGTTGGAGCTTGTCCTTGCCCTCTCTTCTCGTTGTCGATCCTGCTCGAATTGTTTTAACATTTTGTCCGCCATTTGGCTGATTTTCTTTTTGCTCGGTAAATTCCCATGAGTTTCCACAAATTCCTCCACCGTATCTGGAAGCCGCTTCCTTTTCTTGGCCTCGGAGGCAGCTGCAGATGTTGATGTAGCCGGTTGGAGGACTAAAATCGAACAATTTTATCTTATCCATGACGTCAAACATAAAAAGTTGAAGAAAAATTTACTCTCAAGTCCGGTTATTGGTGCCTTCGGGCCAACTCGTCTGATAGATTCGATTGCTTTCCGGACAGCGCTAGTTTCATCTTCATCTGAGGACTCCGAGCTTGACTGTGAGGCGGTTGCGCCGAGAACGGATTCCCCTCCAAGGGTGTACTGTTTCATTCGAGTGGCCAGCATCTTCTGGCTCTTCTTGTTCATCAAGTTCTGGATTGAGTTTGGCATCCGTTTCTCGTAGCCTTTCTTTTCTGGGACCACTAAAATTTGAAATTCTTCAAAATTATTACTCAAACTTCCTAGTATAAGATGTAAAACCTCTCTTACCCATCTTCACCGGGTTTTTATCGCGTTTCTGGGACTCTAAGACTTCTTGCTTTAGGTTCTTGAGCAAAGTCGGATTGGTTGCTGCTGGAGTGCTGGTAATCGAACTTGTTTCGCTATTGTTTCCATTATTAAACTGAAGCTCCGAATTTGCAACAGATACTTTATCCTGAACAGGAGACGTTATTGGGCTAGGCGGTTCAGGAATGGGTCTGCTGTTATTTCTCTGAACAATCTGACCAGGGCGAGCAATCGGTTCGATTCTTTTATGTTGTTCTGGGGGCTTCGACTGAGCCCTTGAACGTTCAGGCGATGGCCTTGAGGATCGTGAACGTTCTGGAGGTCGAGAAGAAGTCCTCGAGCTTCTGTCTTCATGATGCCGATCATCTCTTCTCCTATCATCTTCCCGGTAATCTCTTCTTTCTCTCCGATCATCCATTCTGTTCCTAAAATCATCGAATCTCTCGAATCTCGACTCTCTGTAATCATTCCTTCTATACGATCCTCTACTATGTGGTCGATCCTCTTCTTTAATCCTTCGGTCATCAACCAGTCGATGATCTCCCGAGTTTCTCCGTCCAAAATCTTCGAAAGGACCTTCTCTTGGATATGGATTACTCTCTCGATATCCTGGACCAAATCGGTCACGGTGATCATAGAACAGTGGCCTTGCATAGGGATCAGACATCATTTGGGGAGGCACTGGAAGGCCATGACCAAAAAAGGCGCCAAATGGAGGAGCTTGGGGCATTCTGAGATCAGGTGGAGGTAGTGGAATATTTGGCGGATTCTGTCGGCCACTTGCTGACTTCTTCCTTGGTGGGTCCTTTCTTGGAGGGTTAGGTTTTGGTTTCGCCTTCTTGTTTGACTTTTTGGGCATCTGCAATTGAAATCTTAGATCATCAAACACATCAAGTACAACATAAGAAATATACTCACTTCAATTTCAAAAGAGTATGATGACCCTTCCGACTCCGGCTGTTGAATTCCGGCGTCTTCCAGGACACTTTGACGGACTCGCAGTGAATTCAATCTTATCTTATGATCGGCCGAGTTTACGTGCTGAAAATTATGATTTCATGGCTAAGATAACATCACATGTTGGTGGACGAACTTTTACATATTGCAACCCAAAACTCACATTGCATCAGTTCATTCCTCCCTTCCCGCCTATAATACACGAATCAGTGATCCAAAAAAATGTTTCCCAAACTTTATTTTTACGTGGCAGTTCGCGTCTAGAGTCCCGCAGGGTGCGGCGTCATTTTATACGATAAATTATATTTGGTTTCAAACAGCAAGTGTTATATCGCCAAAACCCCAAAAAAAGCCTTTAAAAGATAAAACCTACCGTGACGTAACTGGGAATGTCTGTGCATACGAATTGGCAGAGAATACAGCGTTGTTCAGGGGATTCAATTCCTTTGGAAGTCTGATCTTGTTTCCATTTGATTTGGTGAGAGACGGCGACAAAGTGTTCAGTGAGTTCCTGCAAACGATAGATAAAATAAAAATTTTTTGATTCTCGTTCTCAATCAACCGTCTTTAAATACGGGCTTTTTTCAAATTTATACTTTACTCTGTACTAGGTAAATTCTATTATAATAGAAAACTTTTAATCTAATCCTTCAGTCCTTTCCCTAGCCTAAAATCATTCTTCCAACAGATCGTATTTCTCTTCCATCAATTCTAGAGAAATTACAATTATTTAACTTCGAGTTACATGCAAAAAACCACAATATTGCACATGATAAACCACAGACTTTAATTCTATTTATTTTATTCTCACCCAATTCGACGTGAAGTGTTTGACACAAAGATGGCACTTAAATGACATTTACAATATTCGTATAGAAGTCATTGGGCCGAATCTAAACTCCAAAAAACTTATGCATCTTCGATTAATCCTCTCTGATAAGCGAAAATACATTTTAAGGTATTTCCGCTGGTCAGATAATCAAAATACTATGTTTGTCCGATGTAGACGGATGCTTTGTTCTCCTTTTTCATGGATATTAGTTTACTTTTTATACAAATACAAGGTTTACAATGTAAGAACTCAAGGTTAGGGGGTTAAACAAGGAGAAGGTGGTGAATATAAGTTCTACGATTGGTTGATTTGTACTATTGAGCGCTCCACATCCCTCAGGCGTTATCACAGTCAAGGAAAGGCATCGAAAACTCAAGGGTCGTTAGAAAATTGGGATCGGAAGTTGATAACCGGAGTGAGAAAATTTGGAAAAATATGGAGTATTCGGGGGGAGGGAGGGATACCCGTCATTCTTCGGGGCCAGAGGCTCAATCGTCTTCCCATTCACTGTCATTCTCTGCCTCGGATTCTGAAATTTGATGCTCTGCTTGATAAATTTATTCTCCTTACCATCCGAGTTGTTCATATTCTTCCGCCTTTCTTCCAAAGCCCTGGCCAACGCTCCAGCAATGCCGCCCATCTGTTGGGAACCTGGTACCGATTTCCTATTCGTCTCAACTTCCTGTTGATCCACCTAAAAATCAAGACAATCTCATGTGTAATATAATCAAAAAACCTACATGTTTGAGTTGAGCTCCTTGTCGTATCTGTTCCATCATGTTATCCCGGGCATTTCCGGTCGCTGCCAGGGGAGATCTCTCGGCTGGAGGGTCAACATGCCGAAGCTTGGCACCTTTTTGGATTGCTTGAAGCAGGTCCGACCTGCCGTCAGAAGCTGGAGCCGAGGCCGGCTTCGGTGGAGGTTTTGGTTCTGACGATGGAGCTTTGTTGTTGTTCACGCTGTTGAGGGCTCCTGGAGGTGGGGGAGGGGGCGGTGGTGGAGGTATTGAAGAGCTGGAGGACTGGGTTGAAGGGGGTGGGGGAGGTGCTGGGGGTGGTGGTTGGGGACGACTGGCCGACGATTGGGAGGCTGGAGGCATTGGGGGTGGTGGAGGAGGAGTCTGTGGGCCATTCGAATATGATGTCTGAAAAAAAACATTTAAAAGTTAAAATGTTCAAAAAATTAAGTTACACATTACAATAACATTAAAATTAATCTTACTTTAATTTTAGCAAACCTTTTCCCTTTAGATCTCTTAAAAACTTTGAGGACATTCTTCAAGCTCATTCTAACCTGAATAACCGCATCAAGGACGAGAGCCTGACTCAAAATAAACGGAGGCTTCCCAAAAAAGGCGCAAAGAAAGAGATCGCAAGTCCAAAAACCGCGCGCAAAAATTGGCGATCACAGAGTAAAATTACTCTGAGGGCCCCTATTATCATGTCAAATATCCTCGGTTATCTATTACACAACTCTATAAGCATAGGCAACTTTAATACGCAGAGATTATTACCTAAAATCTGCTAAAGATTCAAACAATCGTCCCCTTTCCGTGATCTGCGCCCTATATACAAAAAACGTCCGTACTTCATTCACTCTAAAACCAATGTCTTACCGTTCTAGCTTCAATTGGAGGCGGCCTGAGCGGTCGGTGTTGCTGCATGGAGGCATCTCTCATCGGAGCTGGTGGAGGTTGTGACGGTGGAGTGGGAGGAACAGACTGTTGCCCATGTGACCCATAACCTCCTCCATATCCCCCTGTGTTATATGACCCATATTCATGCTGTCCACCGTAATGATCCGCCGCCGGCGGACGAGGTGGAGCAGCTGGCCTAGGATAAGATGAATGTTGGACGGATTGGATGGACTGGGCCTGATGAATCGGATTATGATGATATGAGGCGGTGGCGGGCTGAACAATGGCTGGGCTGGATTGCACCGAAGGGACTGGCGGGGGAATGTTTCCCGGAGCTTCTTGATAGTTGTTGATAAAGGTTCGCACAAAAGCAATGTCGTCCGGCTTCATATCCTCGGGGTTTTGGCCGGCAGCCCTCAGCAATTCCTTGACGCTCTCGTCGAGGGGTTCTCCTTCACAGAAATTCTGACTGAATCCCCCGTCCACGTCCCAGCCGAGGTGAGCCTTATGTCTGAAATAATGCCGAATTATACAACACATAAAAATACGTCCCGCTCTCCTACTATCCCCAAAAAGTCGCTGTAATCGGCTAAACTATTACAATCTCCCCCAAGCCCTGTCGTAAAATGCATATAATGCTTACTGGAAATTGGTGGGATGTCCAATATCTTCTTTCCGGATCCTTGGCTTCTTTTTATTCTTCTTATCCTTGGCCTTCGCCTTCTTCGGATCGACCGGTGAGTTGTGTTGATAAATTCCAAAATGAGGCACGCTTCCGACGTCCGTAATCCCGGCTGCTGGGGGTTTACTTGGGGGCTGAGGTCGAGATGGGGCTTGTTTTGTCGATCCATTTGGCGCTTTTCCATCTAAAAGTATTGCATTAATCCTAGTCATCCAACAACATCGTTTCTCAAATTCTAACTACCCTTGGGTCGGACAATGGACAAGATACTTTCAACCAAGATCATGGCCAACATTTGATATGGACCTTGATGTAGATCTTAGGATCATAAAATCCACCACACACCCATACAAGAGAAGAAACTAGAAAATGAAGTCAGAATCCCTACAAATTTCTGGAAAACGACTAGAAACTGCAGCAAAAGAGGGATGATTTCGTCATGTGTAATGTAGGAAGTACCTGTAATCAAGCGTTCCTGGAATTTTATGCGCTTCCTATTGTCCTTCTTCGCGAGCTTCAAGCATTTCTCGCGTCGAAACTCGCCCGGCACTTCATTTGCTGGAGCCTCATTGTAATGTAAGCTGGCGGGGCCCTCAAAAACATGGCGCAGTCGGATCGGCATCCGCAAATCCTTGTGTGGCGGAGGGAGCGGGGGTGGGGCAGCGGGACGAGAGCCCATGCTTTGTAGCGGATCTGAACGATTGCGTAAGACGAACGGCTCCTTCAAAATCTTCAAACTCTGGCGATCACAGAACTGTAGATCATCTGGTGCGAAATCGGGCAAAAACTCGTCTTCCCGATAGAAATATTGGTCGATTCTATTGTAGATGGCGTTCTGACCGCCGTTCCGAGCCCAGAATCCGTTCTCGTCGTTCTGCAGGCGTCTAATCGTAAACTGTTCTAGCCGATCAGTTGGATCAACTGGTCCATCAAGAAGAATACGACCATACCCAATGTTCCGATCGTACGAGATGTGGTCTTGCGGAGAGCTAAGGCTGTGGCGAGGGTCCTCGGAATCCAGCGACTTCTCAAACTTCGGAATGGACTTCTGACTCGAAGACAAACAAATCCCCGGATCTCCGGGGATCCGGTTGCGCAATTCCAATTCGGTATTCGCGTCTCTAACTGACCGGGTTTCTGGGATCTGCTTCATGAAACTGGTTGTGAGTTGGTTGTGTTGGAGGTCGGGGTTGAGGTAGATCGGCCTGGGACGTTGGATTTTGTGGGGTTTTGGGGTCCGGATCGTCCCGATCCGACCAAAACTCGAGAGAAGTTTGTAATCCGTGAGAGGTTCGTGGTTGCTGACATAAAAGTAGGTGTCGTTCATGGTCGGGAGGTATTCTTTCAAATTTCAGACAATCATCATCGTTTACCATCAACCTATTTCCGTCTACATCTTCACCATGATCAACATTCAAACTTGATTGAAGAACATCAAAATACGCCTTCTTATTCTTGAACTAACGACCTAATTCGATGACGTAACAATGGATGGACCGATCCTTGAGGGAAATCGTAGGTGAGAACAGTATGCCCGGCCACTCGAGACAATATTCGATATTGGGTGACAGCGGAAGAAGCGAGGACAAGTGATTGGTTTCGTTTACACAGAGCCGGCGGTCACTCGAAAGCGCATCGTTTCCCTGTTGCTATCGCGGAGTGTTTTGACTCGAAACAAACACAAAAAAAACCTTACTCTCGCTGAATTACGTTGTTTTCGACGTGATCGAGGGTTTAAGCCGTTTGAATCGGGGGTAATTCGATGAAGTGAAAGTCGAAATGAGGTTTCTATTACTTTGAGAGCCCATACTTGGATGCGTGATCAAAGGAACCTACTCCATTCAATTTTTTCTAATATTGCACATGATTTCTGATGTGATGGTGCAAAATTTAGACCATAAAACCTTCTGGCCCACTGTACAATCCCTATACGGCTTCACTATACTGTTTCCACAGTGTAGCGACTATATTTTGTCCTTTCTCACAGTTCCTTGAAACCCCTTTCTCTATTTACTCTCAAAAACAAACACATCGGACTTACTGCCTTTTTGTTCTTGTTCATATCGCTTCTCCAGATGAATCTTAAAGCCATGTGCTTCTTCGTCGTCCGAGAAATTCAAGCCGAAAACACTCCCGTCTCCTTCGAACGTCAGGAATTTCGGACATTGTTGATAAGTTTTGGCTCGAAATCCTCGATATCTACAATTCAAGGATTGAAGTTGATGTCATGGACAATATAAGACCATTCAAAACTTGCTTACAATACTTGTTCCCAGAGCTGATTTCCATTGTAAATGTCGAATAATGCCAGGCTGTACAGTTTCCGTTGATAATCCTTGATCAGCGAGACCACTCCCACATGCTGATGTTGCCATTGGTCCCTCACACTTTTCAAAAGTTGGATGACTCCAGCTGCAAGTGACACACGATCAGGACCGAGGACTTCGAACATCAGTTCATTTTCGGGCCGTGTTAACAGTTTCGACCCAGAATTTGTGGGACGTTCCTTCCGTCGCCGCGAATCTTGTTGATAATTCATTCGGGGATTGGGAGCAAATGCTTGGATGGCGCCTTGGTGTTGAGGCCATTGAGCTGCACCGATCATTGTGATATGTGAGATTTCGGGTCCCCTGAGACTAGTCCAATACCGTCCGACTTGTGTTAAGTAGATTTGAGATGAGTTTCGATGCTATTCTTTCAATCCAGCTGTGCCTCCTAAAACCTGATTATTAACAAAAAAATTAACTTACACTTGACATAAAAGGGCGTTTAAAATGGATGAATCAGATGCTACCTTCCTCTTCAACTGACTTTGGTAAATGCTAGGGGGAGTCTTCAACCTCCAAACATCTAGGAAACAATACCTTCAACTGCCTCGAGTGCCTCCGGAGTCGGCGCTGAAATTATGGCGCGCCAATTAAACCCATAAAAATGGAAGATTAATGCTTATGAACCGAAAAGGAACGCATCAAGGTGTATATAAACCGCCCTCTCCTCGCATAAATAAGGAAGAATCCGAACTTTGAAATTGAGATTTTTGGGGCAATGATTCATTAGTTTCTTGTCCGACTTTTCAAACACCAAAAGGGACGAGGGGTTCGCTAATAGACCGACTGTAAAAGGCGAAACACACCCATATTATGCGACTCACACAGCTCTGCATTGTTTACGCAATCACGTAAAGACAAAAGGAAACAGTTGTAGACAATATGGCTATTATAATATCTCAGAAAACGGTCGAGTTCAATAGAAAAAAGCTCGCACAGACTTGTCAACTGGTCAAGAAAACGTCGAAAAGCTTTTACAAAAACAAAAACTTTTCGCTCAGCGAAAAAACGTTTAGCCACATCATGAATAATATAAAATTGTTTCCGAAACTAAAATGTATTTTGGAAGAATAAAAAGAAAACCAGGAAATTTTTAAGTCTCACAGGGCATCCGGGTTTGCAACTAACCCCCGAGACAGAATTCATAGATAAGGGCCAAAATTGTACGATTAGGAACGCGAAGGGGAGAGGTCGACATGAATAATATAATTTAATCACGAATCCGAACAAAAACCCCACACACAGACGGCTGGCCAACACAGATTGATCCCCAAACCGCTGGACTTTCGGATTTTTTTCGTTATTCATCAAAGGAGATGGAAATCAGACGGATAATCAATAAATGAAATCATGTTGCGAAGTGTCACTGAATCTATCGATTTTCGTAATGGCTCTACTCGCGGGCAAACTGTTCATGGATTCATAGTTGTTTTGGCTCAGTTCTTGAGGAAGGTTCTTCCAATAATTTCCCCGCAATATATAACAATAACGACCCTCCCTTCTCAACTTAAGATACTAAAATAATGTTCGAAGCATGGTTCTTTGTTTGTTAAACGATTATTCTTGTGGATTTGTCGCGAGATTATGAGCAAAGGCGGAGCGCGACCTTTGTTAGAAGAGTCAACAGGTATTACCGTGTTTTTTTGGGTTTGAGTTCGACTTTTATGTTGTCCTTGATTTAAATGTCGTGGAGCAGCAAAAACAAGCGGTCTCCTGTATGAATCTTCGCGTTTGTTGTTTTACTTTTCGCGTTATGCATTAGTCCAACATTTCCAATGAATTCCGTTTCAGCAGCAACATGTCCGGACGTGGAAAGGGAGGAAAGGGCCTTGGAAAAGGAGGAGCCAAGCGCCATCGCAAAGTTCTTCGTGATAACATCCAGGGAATCACCAAGCCCGCCATTCGTCGTCTCGCTCGTCGTGGTGGAGTCAAGCGTATTTCCGGACTGATCTACGAAGAGACCCGTGGTGTCCTGAAGGTGTTCTTGGAGAATGTGATCCGTGATGCTGTCACTTACTGTGAGCACGCCAAAAGAAAGACTGTCACCGCCATGGATGTCGTCTATGCTCTGAAGCGGCAAGGCCGCACTCTCTACGGATTCGGTGGATAATTTTGAGATGCTTCCGATCTTGTACATGATATTAACCTTGACTCGTAATTAAGACTCACTTTATCGTTTTATTTTAATTGTGCATGCACTTATTTATCCAATAAATCCAAGATACTCATAGTTCGATTCATGTGCAGTCATTTTAACGGTTCGAGCCTGCTTTATCAACAGGAAAATTTGAGAATTGGGTTGTAATAGGCACAAGATGGGTTTAACATCAAGAGATAAACGGGATATCTATTACCGACTAGCAAAGAGCAATGGTTGGCGAGCCAGGAGTGCCTACAAACTCATGCAGATCCAAGAGCATTTCAATATCTTCAAAGGTAACGGTTTTTGACTTATCTCCGCCTTTAGTCTCATGGAAAGTATAAATTCTATTCAGATGTCTCGAAAGTAGTTGATCTCTGTGCCGCTCCCGGTTCATGGAGCCAGGTGATAACCTCAGAGTTACACACAAAGCACGAGGACCCGTCGCAAGTGAGGATAGTTGCAGTTGATCTTCAACCAATGGCGCCCTTGCCTGGAGTGATTCAGCTAAAAGGGGACATCACCGAGGAATCGACGGCCGAAGCTATTATCGGACACTTTGATGGACAAAAAGCGGATCTTGTCGTCTGTGATGGAGCTCCCGATGTCACTGGTCTCCACGCTTTTGATGAATTTCTCCAAGGACAACTAGTATTCGCCGCTTTTAATATAAGCACATTTGTATTGAAAGAGGGAGGAACATTTGTGTCCAAGGTGTTCTTAGCTGGCGATGGAGTCCTCTTGAAGACACAGATGAGCTTATTCTTCAAGCACGTTGACTTCTACAAACCTCAGAGCAGTCGGATCAGCAGTTCAGGTAGGGTAATTTTATTTGTTCATTCTTTTTCTTTTAGAATCCTTTATTGTTTGTCGAGAATACCAACCACCAGCGGGGTATACTCCGAATCTAAAGAATATCCTGCACAGTCCTGATTATGGTAAGGTGGCGTCATCTTTTTTATGGATAATATAATTTTAGAGAGAGCCAAAGAAGATCTGAAGGACATCAACAAAGCAGTGGTCCCTTTTATGTGTTGTGGAGATCTTAGTGGATTCGACTCGGAAAGAAGTTTTGATTTGGATACCAAAGGACTTCTCGATCAGCTTCGGGATAAATTGGGATCAGTCGAACTAAAGGAAGGCCTTAGGGCAGTAGCCCCGCCAACAGAACCCGCTTATAAAGAAGCCTTGGAGAAGAAGAAGACTGGTTTGTTGGATCGACCAGTTTAACTTTGAGTTTGTTATTGTTTTCTGTTACCCTTGTTGATTTTTATAAATAAAGTAAAATTTTTTTTACTTGGTTGTCAAAACTTATTCGTTTTAAACGATCACTTATTTAACAATACAATTATGGCCAAGAAATCAGCGACAACTGCCATTATTGCTATCGCAATAATACATTGTCATCTCCTTTTGATCTGGCTGAAATAGGCGCTTCGTATGTTCGTAAATACTCGTACTCCGTATTTCCTGACGAGTCTGGATGAAGGCCGTCGTTTGTCCCATCTAATTCGCCATCAGTAGAGTTCCGATGTCTAGTTGAAGATTGAGATTCGGTTGATCCTCGATTTGCTTTGTTATTTTCGTCAGCTCTGGTGGTAATAGGAGCTTGATAGGTTTGCAAGTATTCGTAGACTCCTTGTTCGGCTTTTTTCATCTTCTTTTCGTACTCTATGTAACTGTATTCTCCTTCATCTGGACTACTCCTTGTGCTGATTATACTCTCTCTCCCAGGATTACTCCTATTCTTCTTCGTTGGCCCGATGAATTGCTGAAGCGCCGCCACTCGAGTAGATGACATGTTTGCGGGCTCAACTCCAGCAACCCTTAACATCTCGATGATACATTCATTTACATCGGGGTCATCGCAAAATTTGGGTGGAGTGGGTTGTTGTCCAGAAGTCTGTCTAGAATACAATAATTTGTCTGATGGATGTTTCCGTGAACTTACGGTTGATTCATTGGGTCCACCATATTGAATTTTCGTGGTATTAACTTGGCCTTTGTCCGGCTCAATTTCTCGCGCAGCCGTTTTCGCTTAGATTCTCGTGCGCCGCTTGGTTTTGTTTTAGCTGAAACTGAATGGAAATTGTAATTGGATGCCTCTAGAATACGCTGCAGTGCCATTTTTACTAGTTATAAACGGAAATATTCCAAAACCGTTCTTACATTCCTTCCATTCCTTGTCAGTTTCGTATCTTTTTTCTAACTGCTCTCTCACGCTCTCTGCTTCTATGATGTTTGAAAAATTGAGCCCAAAGACATCGTGATCACCCTCGAAAGTCAGCAGGTTTGGACATTCCACTGGTTTGAGGCAAAACCCGCGATATCTGAAAGTTATGTCATGTGTTTTGTAACAATGACAATTTTTTGGCTATCAGCAGCCAAAGTTGACTAAGCGCATAACCAACGGCTTACAATTGTTGTTCCCACAAGAGGTTTCCATTGTCAATGTCCAATAATGTCAGAGTCATCAACCCGCTCCGTTTGTCTTTAACCAAAAAGAAGACCCCAAACTCGTGGTGCTCCCAATGATTTCCGACGCCCTTGAGTAGTTGGATGACCCCAGAAGCCAGTGAAATACGATCTGGGCCAAGGACTTTGAAGAAGAATTCATTTTCAAGGGGAGTCAGGAGATCTGATCCACTGCTACAAGGTCGGCCTCTCTCTGACAACGACTTTTGATGGTCGGAGCCTGAGGGAGATGGGAGCGTGGTCTCAATTAGACCTTCTTCAAGAGAGAGGCGGTGAATTGAGCTTTCCGCCATCGAATGACTGATGATTTGAACAGAAGTCCTTTGCTTTATACTTTTATTCTTTCTCTACTTTTTGACTGCAAAAATTGTTTACAACTAGTGGCTAGATTAGGAAAGAATCGTGTCCAATGCTTGAATTCTCAGTAAAAGTTAAGCGAATCGCTTTTTACACTGTAGTGTTCGTGTTTGTACAATCAAGTTTGCTGAACTTTCTCCCGGAGCTGCCACAAAAATTCCACGAAATTTTTGATGACTGCTAAACTTAATTTTACCATTTTCTGGAAAAATTACGTAATTCGTCGAAAAGTTGTCGTTACATTCCATAATTTGACGTTCAATTAACCTTTGTAAATACAGCGAAATGGCTGTGATTACGTGATAAATAAAACTTCAAAAAATTTAGGTAAGGGATATCGAGGCCGATGATTACGAAAATCATATTTATTTTTTTTGAATACAGATTTTTTGTGTAAACTAAATACTAAAATTTTTACAACCATCCATTTTATTTGTTTCATGTTATCCTTCCCATTCAAACATAATCCTTTTTATTATTCTGAACTCCGCATAACAACGAAAACATTAACAATATTTCAAACATAACAATCAAAACAGGAAGAATGATTAACAACCTCGATTTACAACTTTTTACAGGACTTTTTAAGCCTCGTCTTCTATGATTTGGATAAGTTTTTGTTTGGGTTTCTTTTCAATCGGAGTTTTGAAGGCTTCTGGGATTTGTGAGCCATCTTCCTCGGCTTCTGATTCGGAATCTGAAGCGCCACGGACGTCAATGTCAAATTCTACGGCATTCTAAAAACAAAACGGCTTCATTTTCTCATGATTCATATTATCATCCAATTTTGTGTCTAAATTATAAAATAAATCATCAAAATCACTTACAGGATCTTCTTCTTCGCTGTCACTAGAATCAGAGCTTGATTCCTGTTCCTCCACAGGCTTCTCCTCTTCTTCATCATCGCTTTTGGTCTTTTTGGCAATGGGAACAATCGAAATTCCACTCAAAGAACCGCTGATTCCCTCTTCTGTCTTCCTCTTCAGTTCAGCATTGGCAGCAGCGATCAATGGCATAAATTCGCGGCATCTTTCGAGCACCGACGACTTCTTGAAAGGCGGGAATTCTCGGGCCAAAAAGTTTTTGGCCAAGTTTCTCTTGTCTTCGCTCATTTTGTCTGCAAAAGTGGTAAACTAAAATCAAACCCCTTAATATTATACTACAGCATGCATATACCTCTGAATCACTCATTACCAAAAAGTCATTACCAAAAAATCAACAAATATTAGGTAAAAAACCTCTAAAACAACGTAAAATCTCGATAAATTTGCAATAATTTATTTGACCACCGTAAATTATTCAATAATCATACTAAATTAGCTTCAAAACTATATAGAACACCAGAAAATAACCCTAGAAGCTATTAAAGCAATATTTTCTAATCTAATTATATTATACTAGCTAAATTTAAGACACCAGAATTGCGTTCGGACAGGGGTTCTCTTGATACAAACAAAAATGAACCGTAAAGTGCGGTTTACATGTGAAAACACCGTATTTTGAGGGATAAATCATCAAGTGTAATGTAATAATCAATATGGGGAGAAAAGCCTTTGTTCATGGGATTATGGAGACACCATTACTGGCATTGGATCACAGAGTTTCAGCTTGTTGGACGAGATGTTGGTGGAGGAATTCGGGTTGTTTGTTGAGCTGGGCAAATTGGGCCTAAAACAAAAAAAAAATACAAAATTTGATAGTAAAAATCAACTCGAATACGATTACATTACACTACCTACCAAAGTATCTTGATCCCAATCAAAGTAGACGACGGCTGCAGGTATTAAACCATAATCGGCAAACGATTTTTGTTCATTATCAAAGCAATTCTCCGGGTTTGCCGGGTCTGTGAGCACAAAGGTTCCAAACTCTGTTGCAACCTTGGACGCGATGAACTCTCTGAGCGTTGAGAATCTCTCGTGGACACTGAAAACTCCCTAAAACGCAAGAAATAGAAAATTGCAGGTTCTACTTACCTGTAAAACATAATGATTGGGGAATCTGACCCTGATCAGCGTGTATTTATAGTTGTACTTCCTCAATCTGGCGTCTTCTTCTCTCATTTTAGAAGTCCTCAATGTCGTCAGCCTTTCAGCTTCTTGTTCTCGGATCTTCTGCTCTCTTTTCAGTTCTTCTGGAGTTAAGATGAAAAAGTCAGGCGGCACTTCGGCTTTGGGAATTGGTTTCGATGGATCTACTCGAAATACCTAAAACAATATACACTTTAATCAAAAAATTACTGACCTTAGGATCTCTATGAAGCTTCAACGAGACGGGTTCGCCGGCTTCCAGAGCCGATAAACTATCCTGAAGAGTCCCCAAAGCATCTGGACCTTCATCTTTGAAGACCAAAAAGATCTCTTTGTGGCCATCGGGTCCATCCAACAATTGTTCCGCAAATCCAACACCTCGAAGGAACTCCTCGGCTCCCTTCACGGGCTTTATCTTCTCCGTAAACACCTTGTTTGTCGTTCTGATTTTCTTAAATTTAGGCTCATCTGGATTCTGAAGGATATTCGAGATATACTTGTTGATAATAGGAAGGGCCAGATCAACCTTATCCTGCCGATTGAGCGACCAGATCATGATAATGGACGCTTCAATCGGCTCATCTTTGATTTGAGCGGCCAGAAATTGTTCTACGGCTTCGATCATCTAAAATAATATAAGGTCAAAGACGTTGACGCTTTATTCATTGGATTAAGATTAAAACATCACGTATGAAAACCTAAAACTCAAGAGAACAAAAAAAAGAAACTCACATCTTTCTTGGGCAGAACGATGTCCTCATCAAATAGATCACAAGTGTAGAACACCGAAGAAATTTGGTCTGTATGCTCAAAGAGCTTCTCGCCATCTCGCTCATCTCTTCGATAGTCTACTTCAGCCTCTTGGGCATTTCTGCGTTCTTCTTCTTCCAACCTTTTCCTAGCTTCTTCTCTAATCTTCTTCTGTGCGTAAGTAAGGTGTTGTTCTGAGCCCTGGAGTCGTCGTTCATGAGCATCAGCAAGTTGACTGGCTGTTTGGCGTCTTGCCTCCGTGTCCTGGAAAAGAAAGACATCAATTTAGACATAAAAAACCGAAGGCAACTCTACACTTTCATTTCTGATCATGTAATATCGAGAATACTCCTTAAACTTAAAAAAAGAAAACGAAATAAACTTACAGGAGGCGGCTGGTAGGTCCGAATAGGAGCAGAAGCGTGTGAAGGAGACTGGGAAGGACTTCCAGCCAAAACTTGCCCTTTCCCGGCCTTCTTGAACTTCTTGTCAAGCTTTTTATTCTCCAAAAACTTCTTCAATTTATTCATCTCGTCTTCGGAGTCTGAATAAGGTCCCGGACCTGACAATTCACCGGGAGAGCCCTGAAAATGTTGGTGTGGGCAACAGCATAGTTTGTAAAGAAAGCGGCCAAACATTCAGTCAGTCAGTCACGAGAGTTCAGTATCATTCATAAATGAAAAAAAGGGGAGAAAGTAATAGATTTATTGTGTTTGTTTTTCAAAAAGGTCAAATAGTCGTTATTTCATCACAAAAAATCTAAAAATCAGTAATGTTCACACGAATAACCATGCGACGGTATTTTCACAAGGCAAGCTGCGCCCGAAGTTATACTGAAACTTTTATTTCGATGGTGCATGTCAAACAATTGGCTGCAATTTTCCTCGAAAATGTAAACCATGGTATTTTTTATCATTTAGTGAAGAAAAAATAGTACAAATTCGCACTTTGTCTTGAAGATTTTGGATTAGCTACTTAGCTTGACCTCAAATTTTCTCTCGAAAATTCCCTTTGGGCGCACCTCGCGGAAGCTTTTGGTAAACGAGGTCATGTCTAAAATCTTCTTGCAACAGAATGCCAAGGTTCTGAATGAATCAGAAAGTCGTGTGTGGAAATTTATTTCGCAACCCCATCTGATGCAATTTTTCTGTTTCCCGTTGTCCACAACTTACTTTACTCCTTCTGTAGGTTCACTGTTTTATTCTTTTCGCAAAACCCGTTTATTTCGCTTATTTTTTGTTTCTCCTTGATTTTTTCTTCAGATTTCGCGTTTTTATATTGATTTTTGGACCACTTATAAGTCTACAATTACAGGACTACTGTCTATAGAAATAGTCCTTCTCAAAGATGCCGAAGAATAAGGGAAAGGGAGGAAAGAATCGAAGGAGAGGAAAGAATGAGAACGATGTTATGAAAAGAGAGTTGATCCGCCGTGATGGAGACGATCAGGGTGAGTTTTTTTACCTTTTTCTTCATGTTTTAGGCGAAATTAAGTATGAGGATGATTGCACCATTTCTTTGAAAGCTTTTTGACAGGTTGATTTTATGAACCCTTTCATCAACTCATGTCTATTATCCCGAACCCCATTTCTTCCTCGAAATTTTTGTGTCGTTTGAGTATACCAATCAAATTTTTCTAAAATTCCTCTTTTAGCCTATGCTCAAGTGACCAAAATGTTGGGAAACGGGCGTTTGACGGCTCAATGTTTTGATGGAAAAGAACGTTTATGCCATATTCGAGGGAAACTCCGAAAGAAGGTGTGGATCAACACTGGAGACATCATCCTGGTGGGTCTCCGAGGATATCAGGAGTCCAAGGCCGATGTTATTCTGAAATACACCACTGACGAAGCCAGAATATTGAAGAATGAAGGTCAACTTCCAGAATCGGCCCGATTGAATGAAGGAGAAGAGCAAAACGAGGCTGATGTGGAGTTCGGTAAGAGTTTTTGTTCTTTGGATGTGTTTAGGTGGAGAGTGAAGAATGTTTAGACTCAGATCAGATTGTTTTGTGATTAAAATTACATTATCCATGTTTCAGTTGACTTTGGCGATGATGATGAGGAGGACGATGAGGGCGTTCGTGCCCAAGACCGTGTCTACGACATCACCTCATCCGAATCGGACTCGGATGAAGAAGAGGAGTCGGATGACGAGGCCCCCGCTCTAGCCGAACCAGCTCCATCCAAGAACAAAGCCCCGGCCAAACCGAAATGGGCGGAGTCATCAGAATCCGATGATTCGGACGATGAAGATGATGAAGATCCCGAATTGATGGCCGAACGTGGCCAATTCAAGAAGCCCGGCGGCCGAGATCGCTACGGAAAGGCGACCAAAGGCAAGAAGGGAAAGTAATTTTGTTGTATTCACAGTGGTATAATTATGTTCTCTGCTAAATTCCAGATTGTTTTTAATGGTATTTTCTTTGGATAAATGAATGATAAACAAGTCTGCGGTCAATGGGAGAGTATTTATGCGCTCTGAGGTGATTTTGGAGCTAGAAATGGCAATTTTAGGTAAAAAAAGAAAAAATGACGTCATGCACGATCATGTGTAATATAGAAAAGTTACATTTTAGGCCGGATTTGGTCGGTAAATCACGATCCAATTGTAATCGAAGTGTCGAAAGGCCAGTTTCTTTCATCTAAAACAATATCAAGGCGTTTTTTTTATTTCCGGAAACTGGATTTCCCACTTGGAGATCAGCCCTTTCTCCCAAATTAGATAATTCCTCGGCGGCCTGATATAAATCTCCACTTGCTCGCGGCATTTCCGCTGCTAGAAAGACGACTTTTTTCCACGTCGAGCCTAAAACAAGGTCTGTTGATTACTTAATTTTATTGTTACTTTGTATTTTTATGCCATTTTGATAATTTGTATGGGTAAAATGAACTTCATATTTTATTTTACAGGCGGTTGATCTAATTTTTTACCAAGGATTTCATGTTATTACTAATTTTATATTATTTTAGTGATGCCCAAATCAGAATGGGCCAAGTGGAAGGCGACTTTCGCCTCGAATTACAAGGCCATCATCGTGTCGGCTTGCGCGGCCTACGCTCTGGTCGCTTTGGCGTCTTCAATGAGCCGGGCGCACACTGTAACTTCCACTCATCGGCCTCAAATCATCCGAGATCTCAGTAATCGAAACGAAATTTCTGAAGACACAAAAAGAATTGACAAAACAACGGCGATTGGCGATGAAAACGGATCGTATAAGGATTCGAGAGTCGTCGAGAGCAGTGATAATTTGACGCCCAGTCGAAGCCCTGAGGCGATAAATGTTGAAGATCTGAAACCATCGACTCCAGATGTTGAATTCAGCATTTCAACGACCCCATACAACCATGGAATCGATGTGTTGAGTGAAAAGGAAGGTCAAGAGACCGCTAGTAGTGACAGTACCACTGATAAGGATTCTACGACAACAGCAGCGACAGAAAACGAAAAATTGTTTGATGACTTTAAAGGTGAAACTAAACCAAGTTCCACTGTCTCTAGTGAGGGTTTGAAAGGGAAATCTGGATCCAAAACGACTGTGGCTGAAACAACAAAAGATTCTGAATCTTCCACACTCTCAACACTGTTCAGCGATGGCCTAATTACTGAGAAATCGACCACCGAAAAAGAGGACTCAACTGATGGTCAAGGAGAAGATAAATTAGCTACAACTGGCAATTCTGATGTCATTGGAAGTTCCTCTAAATCTAGTGTAGACTCTGAGAGTTCAAAAAGTTCGTCAAAAACTACACTCAGTCCTATCCCTGAAGCTGAGGAGGAAGAGATCACCAAAAAGGAGGAAAAAGAAGGAGAAAATGGCTTTATTGGAAATGCCGAGCAAACTACTGCTTCTACAAGCAAAGCCAGTGAATCTACAGCCAAAGGAGGTAGATACATCGCTACTAAATCAACTTCAGAGGCGTCTACCAGCCAGGATGACATTAAATTTTCGACCCGGACCGGCTCTACCTCGGAGAAGATTTCAGATGACGTCACTGAAACTACCACCGTCCAAACTTTAGAATCCTCTACTTCAACGAATGCAGAATCACCTGCTGTGTCAGAAAAAACAGTATCCGAAGAGACGACAACGAGTATTGATCAAAATTTGGAGGTGATTGTGATTGATGACATTAAGAAAAAAATCGAGAAAAACGAAACTCCCAGTCCAGTGATTGACAACAAAAATACTGGAAAACTGATTACTGAGTTGGGAGGAGGTAACAATCGGGCGATTGAAGAGGTGCCGAAGACTTCTGGGAACTCTGAAAATATTGGAATTGCTGATTCTGTTGATATCAGTGGAACTGAGGTCAATGGGACAAAGAATAATGACGATATCAACTTTGGATTGCAGAAAGTAAGTGATTACTGGTAAATTTATTGAATAAAAATTGCCAAAATAAATATTTTTTATATTACACTAGATACTTCTCTCATTTTAGGGCGAGGAGAAGCGAGATGGCCCTGCAACTGACTTCTAGGACATGTATTTACATCGTATTTCATTACCATGCACTTTCAACCATTATTTATTTACCTATTTGTGGCCATTTTGAATAATAAAAATAGTTTGTAAACAGATTACAGTATGATTACGTCACCTGCAACAGGTCTATTTGTCCGAAAAATGTCTCTTACTCTCTCGTTTTTGCACAATCTCTGCTGTTCTCGCATATTCCCAGATTTTAATGCGATTAAAAGGCCAAAAAAGGTGCAAATCGGATATAAAAAAGGAAGTGAAAGGGGGTTTTGTCGGATGAATGCGTTCAAAAGGAAGCGCCCGAGACAGAGAGAACAACGGAGGTCAAGTTGCGAGCTGAGAAAAACAGACAAATTTGAATACAGTAGAAATTTGATGTCATGGATAATATAAAAATGACAAAATTAGCGACCAATTTTGATGGGAGGACAAATTTCTGTGTCATAATCAAATTTCTGAATTTTTAACCCCCTGAGGGCCTCGATTTCCCATTAATTTTCCTCCTTTTCGACAGCATTTGTAAGCATTTTTGTTTTCGCACTGTGCAAAAAAAAGTTGATTTGATTGCACGGTGCAGTCCGAAACCCCTCAATTCTCTTTGAAATCTCGCCGGAAATTCATTTTTCAGAACGCAAACGCTTCCTTCCCTTTGCAAACTTGACGACAAATTGCCGCGACTCCCGGCAATTGTGTCAAAAGCTTTCAGCGACATGACCAGCGACAACATCAATTTGTCGCAAGTTTCCGTTAGAAATTTTGGGTTTGCGACAAACGTGAAAGACGTCGTGTGCGATGAATCGAGCCAGGTGACTTGTCGCGGCGACAAAATTTCAGCGTCAAACTTGAAATTGCTGCGACAAAAGGCGCGACTTGATGGAAAAGTCAAATGAAAAGCTGCGATGAGGTCGATGGCGATGGGAGAACATTGTTGCACTGTGCAGAATCCTTACAACTTGTCGCTGCTGACTGGAAAGGAGGAAAAGTGCACAGTGCGGTTTTGTTTTGAAGGGAATTTATTGCACTGTGCGAGTCGTCGTTGAACTTGGCGGTTGCACGGTGCGAACGGCGGAGAGGATTGAAAATTTGCACGGTGCGAAAAAATATGAATAATAATTTCGCACAGTGCGAAAAAAAGTAATTGTTGATGATTAAAAATTAAAGAAAAAGTAATTAAAAAAAATTGTAAATAGTTTATAAACGTGTATTTTACTGAGTAACACTAATAATTGCCAAATAATTTGCTGAAAGACGCCAAGTTTTGCATAAAATAATATAAATATGGAATAAATAAAAGTTTAGATCAAGAATTCTGGAGATGTGAAGGGAGATATATCGAATACCATGGATGAAAAGAATATTTGAGTACGGGGATCGTCGATCTTCCTGCAAACGGCCGCCCAATTAATCATAAAACAAGCGGGGAAATGAGCGAAAATAAGCGGGAATTTCGGTAAATAGAGTCCTGAAAAAGTATGACTCGCCTTTCTAATTAGTCTAATTACTGGCCGGGCTCTGTTTTTCTGTACATTTCAGTCGACCATAGCCAATAAGAGGACTCCAAGTTGGGGGAATTGAAGTTATCGGCCGGGAGTTGGAGTCGTTGTGGTTGGTAGGGCTAAAATACGGAGCAATATTTCGCATGGATTCGGGAAATAATCAAAAAAAAATTTTTTAGAACCAAAAATTTCTAAAAATTTCATTTTTTGACAAAAAATTCCAAGTATAAAAAAATGTAATGTGTAGTTTCAACAAAATCGATGACTTTTGAGCCACAATTTTCATAAATTTATTCAAAATTTTCCCTAATTTTCAAAAAAATTTCACCCATTTTAGCTCCCATAAAACCCCAAAAATCTCACCATCGGATACACCGGATTGCCCATGCCCATGTTGTTGGTGTTGTCGCTCTCATGCAGCACCTTGACCTCCCTCTTTTCCTCCCGAACTTCCTCGCAGGCCCTCTTCTCGGCCCTCTGATTGGTCGGATTCGAATTCCGATTTCTTACGATCCGATTAATGGAAGAGACCGAGGGCGCCGTCTCCGCGTCACAGACCCCGTCCTCGATCAGCTTCTCGCGGATCTCCCACGCAAACATTGTGGGATTCTGGAGTTTGTAGAGATTGATGGTGCTGACCACTTTTGGAGTCGCCACTTTGGGCTTCGAACCGCCGATTACACCTGAAAACAGGACATTAACAGTTTCAGAAATCCATAAAAATGTGTTAAAAACAATTTTTAGTACTTGTCCGCCAAAAACAACCTCAAAAATCATCAATATTTATATTACACTTGACATCAGATAGCAAGCTTTTGAAAAATATAATGTCCAAATCTCTGAAAATGAGATAAATGTGCCCCATCCGGACTAACTAGGACCTCAGTGGCTTCTAGATACGGAATTTCCACCCTTTATCATTCTGTTGTGGCATTGTGTTTTTGGCGCCAAAATTGAAATTCAAATTTTTAAATGGATTTTTTTACCAAAAAAGTGCACAAATAGCCGTATGATGTATAGAATAGCCATCTAAGGTGTTGTTAAAGTTAATTTAGTCAAAAAAAAAATTAAATGTAAACCCATGACATCTACATGTATACCTATATGTATATTACTATAATAATATTACACCTGCCTGGTCTGATGCTTCCGGTCTCATGAAACCGTCCCAAAATCTTGGACACGCATCCATGACTGACCCGCAGTTGTCGTGAGATGTCGCAGGGCCTCACGCCTCGCCTCCAAAGGTCCACAATCTTGTTCCGGATGTGATCGGGCAAGGGTCGGCCGTTCACAAACACCCCGCCCAGCTGGTTCACTCCAGTATGAGCTGAAAAGTAATGCAATTACCGTCTAAGGGGCTGAATGACGTACTCGAATACACGTTGCAATCGTTGCTTTGACTAGAAATCCCACTCGAAGTGCTCACGGTAACTGCGGCCGCTGCGGCCGCCGCCATTAGCTGTTGGTAATTGACGTTGTTGTTGGACGTAGCGGGGTTCACAAGGAAGTTCTGGTTCGGAGGTAGTGACGGATCGATATGTGGAGGGGTCTGGGAACACTAAATTTTATTATATTACTTTAGATGGGGCTAGGATAATGAAAAGGTAAAAAAATGTGGCCAAACTGACAGCTGTGTAAGGATTAGGCCAGAACATGACCCCATGGGTCATTTGCTGGTCGTGGATAACATGCGGGTCCAGTCCTTGATGATGTGAGATCGGGTGGGCGACCGGCGGGGGCTGGTGCATCTGCTGTAAAATACGAATCAAATCAGTTAATCGGGAAATTTCAGAAATCCGCAAAGGAAAATACAACGATTTTAGAGTAAAATACAAGTGTATTACCACATTTTTTACCGTTTCTGACATGACTTGAGTCAAGTGTAATATAAATTTTGTCATAAAAATGAAAACGAGGTAAGTTAAACAGCTAGAATAGCAAAATGTATCACAAACAAGATGGAAATAGTTTTTTCAAAGGGAAAAATCATCTAAATTGAGGCGAAATCGACATTATTTGTAAGATCTAGGTCAAGTACAATATAAAAATTTTTATTTTTGGTCAAAATTAAGCAGATAGATGATCTGGAAATCTTTGTAAAAACTTGAAAAGTTATGTTTCAATGTCTGAAAAGCAAAAAAATTAAAAAATTTTAGGAAAATGATCAAACAGGTAAAACTGATGGTGCAATGGTCTAAAATAAGGTCATAACTCTCTTCAGACCTTAAAATTGACGTCAAATCAAATTTCTCAGTCAACTACACCCTTCATAGTTCACAAAGAAACACTTTCCCCTCCACAAAGACTTCCAAAAATACCCCATTTTCTTATTTTTCCTTGATTTAGTCATCAAATTGCTAATTTCGGATCAATGTCTCCAACTGCCCTCGGAATTACCGTAATCTTCCCTGGACGCTTCAGTGAGTTCCCTGCGACGGAAACGGCCCAGCGGAGGACACGGTCCGTCGGAGCGTAGCCGATGGCTTCTAACTGAAATTCGGGGATCCCAAAAAAGTGGGCGGAGCCTCGGTTGAGGGCGGCTATTCAACAAGTTTTCCGGGCTAATGTCGGACCAGAGATGACCACAGTAGGGCGCGACAGATTAACCTAAATATATTTTTTATTCGCTGCAAAGGGGGCGTCCTCCTTTTCGGGGATGAATAATTTAGGGTTAATTACCGTAAAACTTGAGGATTTTTATGTCTTACTGTGAGAATTTTATTGTAAAAGTTGTTGTGTTAAGGTTACAACAGAATCTCATAGGTTCAGCTCAGAAAAAGACCAAGATTAGCAAAAAAAAATCGAGGAAATTTTAGATCTGTTATCATGGAGAATATAAAAATGGCCTCGAGTTCTGGCATGACTAGAAAAAATAGACTGTAAAAACTCGTTAATTCCAGTATTTTTAGCATTTTAGCGATAGGTAAAAATAATATAATAATTTAATTTTTGATGTCATGGTTAATATAAAAAATGAAAAAAACCCGAGGATTTGATGACAAACTTTTTGGTTTGAGCTTTTCAAATAATCCATGGTCATTTTACATCCAAAAAATTATAATGAACGATATATTAGCAACGAGGTCAGCTCTCACGGGCAATATTTTAAAAATGATGACTAAAAGTGGAAACAACTTTTTTTAGCCTTCAGAAGCTCGTGTAAATTAAATTTTATGGTCTTGAAATGTCGAGTCATCACTTCGACATAAGTTGCAGCACCATTTTAGACTTTACGTTTGTAGAATTTGATAAAATTTTACCTTCTCCTTGGTGCAGGTCTAAATTTTGCTGTCTAAAATAACAAAAAGCCCTTTATGACTCCATAAATCGCCTATTTTCCAGCTTTCATCCCGCAGACCTCTACATAGCAACTTTTTAATAACCCAAAAGCCCCGCTCCTTACACTGTCAGCGCTCTCAAATTGTAAAAAAGTTGGGGGGAAAGAAAAGGAAAATGAATGCAAATTCCTTGAGGAATACCATAATGGTTTTGGGGAAGACGCAGATTCGAGGCGAAGAGGGAGGGAAACCATTAAAGTGCTGGGAATCAATTAGACAAAGTGTCTTCTGGAGCCGGCTCCCTCCCTTTCTCTCTCCCAATTTTAGCTGGTTTTTGCGGCAATAATCGCGACAAAATGGAGAAGTTTCGGCGGCTGCACGGTGCAACGGAATTTTGGTTCGAATGCACTGTGCGGTTTGAACTTAAATTGCACTGTGCGCCGATGAATGGCAAAAAAGATGATGCACAGTGCAAAAGAATTCCATTGTGCCATCAAATCATTGCACAGTGCGCGAAAAATTTTTGTTGGAACTTCAAGGAAAAATTCGATTTGACTTTGCACTGTGCAAAAAACGATTGCCGAAAAACGGAAAGCGATCTGCACTGTGCAATCGAACCTTTGAAACGCGCGATAAACCGTTTTCGAATTGCACAGTGCAATCCGTTTCGACTTTTTGACCCTTGCACTGTGCATCAAGAAATGTCTGAAAGTCCCTTTGCACCGTGCAAAGAAACCTTTTTTCGGAATTCGCACAGTGCAATATTTTGCCCGCACTGTGCGATTGTAAAGCTCTAACGGCACAGTGCATTCAAAGTTTAAGACTTTTATCGGCGGAATTTGGAATGCAGATGATGCGCAACATTATTTTTATATTTAATTGTCGTATTTTCCAATTATTTTCGAATATGAAAATTTAAAATTTAAGATTTTTTTATTTTGGAGTAGTACTGTAACTTGAGTTTTTCCTCCGACCCGATCCTCTCCTTCCATTTTGAATATTCATAGTCTAAAAAAGCGATGTTAGTTGTCAAAGGATTTCATTTCTCTCTGTTTCGAATAAAAAACTGAAGAAAAGGGGAAAAGGCGGGCGACTTCTTATTGGCTCCTTTGAAATGTCAAAAAACAGAAACTCGATTAAAAGGATACTGTAGGAAAAGAAAGGAGAAAGTAAAAAATCAAAATAATTGTAATTGGAAAGTAAAAAAAGGAGAAAAAATGTAAAACTTGAGGTGTAACGAGGGTAACAGAGACTCCGGAATCTAAAAAAATGGCCTTTTTACAGTATAAAATTAGCTAGAAAATGAGCTGCAAGCAAAAATACTCAAATGTTTTTACATTTTTTTCCAATTTTTACAAACTTAATACAATTTAAATGTCATAAATGCCTCTAAAATGGCCTCAAAATGCTTCCAAAATACCTTTGAAATTGTATTCAAGCATTCTCTATACCAATCACACCATAAGCAGTCAATTTTTAACAATTTTACGAGCCCTTTTTGTCATCACTAATATCCTCAAATTTCCCTCAAATCATCTCCCTGACTTTCCCTGATGCCCTCCAAAATGTGTGGAACCCCATTTCCCTCGGAAAGTGTTCAAAACATTAGCCTCGCATACAAACAAACCCTCAATGTCACAACCTTTGCCGGCGACGACCTTTAAATTAAATAAAAAAGGGGGAGAATTTAGCTCCTGAATAAGGCTACCGGAAATCGACGGCGCTTATGATCGTTCTGCCTCTCGCCCAGCCATAATTTTTGAAGGTTACTCCGGAAATCCCTCACAAATAAGGGACGCACTCCCGGTCGGAACAGGGGGCCATTAGTCATAACGGAAGGGAGGTGTGAAGTAGGGGAGGATCGAAGTTGAAGGCTTGGGTGATAAGGAGATGATGACGACTTGATGATACGGTATGGAAGTCGCGGCAAAAAGTCCTCGGAATTTTTCGCGGCCCCCAAATTCCGTCGCACTTCGAAAAGTTGATTTGTCGCTGCGAAAAATGGAAATCGCGCGCGACGTAAGGCAAAACAAACAAAATTGCACTGTGCAAAACGTTTTTTTCGAGTTCATGCACGGTGCGGAGTCGCAGAAAATTCCAAGGACTTTTTTATTTTCACAAAGTGCCTGGACATTTGTCCGCGATCCGCACCGCGCATAAAAATTCGCGATTTCTTGCACCGTGCACTCACCTCTTTTGGGTTTGCACTGTGCATCTGAAATATCGCTGCGACATAAGCTTTTCTCGACTGCGCCGATGCGATTCTGGTCAAAAATGTGCACAGTGCAATCGGCTTTTTTGAGGTTTGCACGGTGCGCAAAGGCAAAGATCCACAGTGCGTTGGCGACAAAAGTTCAAGATGCACAGTGCGAAAGCGAAATGATGTCCAGGCACCTTGTGGAAGAAGTTCAGTTGGTTGGAAGTGCCTGACTCTTTTAAAATTTCTGCAGGGGCCTTTTGAAATCATCGTTGAAGTCACAACATTGGCGGAATCAAAAAATTCTTATAGCCCAAAAAATTGGATACCAAGGTTTTTTGGATGGTCTTCAATGTCCACAACCGACTTTATGAATATCCGTGGGTTAGGTCATCATTTTTTGACTTCTTTTCAAAAAATAACGAATTGATTTCACTTTGAAAACAGGATTTAAAATTTTCATTTTTCACATGTGTTTCATTTGTTATCAGAGAAAGGGAACTTATTCAACTTTATCCTTGTCATCGCTAGTGTTGCAAATAATATTAGGTCGTCCAGAAAGTTGGTTCGTTTTTTTCATTGCTTTGCTTTACCATGATTGTTTGTTGTTTGGCAAAGGGTATATATTTACTTGATACAGCCAGTTTTGTAGAGGAGAAAAAGCTCTATCAAATAAATATATTCCATTTTGCCAAAGAACAAACAATCCCTGTAAAACAAAGCAATGAAAAAACGAACGAACTTTCTGGACGGCCTAATAAAACTTAACACTACTTACAATAGTGACGTCATACCGGCTCAAAAATCTAATTTCATTATCTCTTATTGGCTTTTACATCATCCTTCTCAGTTTTCCTCTTCTCGGTCGACCATTTTACACTCAAATCCTACGTTCCGAACTGCCATCCAATCGCAAATGACCGAATAATGAGTGCACTGTGCGGTCACAATAATCATCGCAATATCCCCTCTCGGACATGATCAGGCGCCCCCTCTCCGATATCCCCCCTCTCCTCACTTTTTATTCATCCCAAAGCGGTAAAATGAAAAGCGATGGGGGAAGGATTGATCCGGGGCTGGGAAAAGGAGCGAATGGGAGCTGAAGATCTGGGTCAACAGGTCGAGAATGGAACATAAAGAGGATCTGTGGCTAATGGAATGTGTGTATAATGGTATCCGATCTAGACGACGGAATCATTGGCAAAAAATGAAGAAAAAAAATTATATTACACTTGATAATTATAGCCAAAATTTGCATTTCTCAATCAGCCCAGAAAACTGTGCTAAACCACTGACCATGACTTTTTAGCAGGCACTGTAATCGTTTACATCAAAAAATTTACAAAAAAGAAAAATTTATATTACCCTTGACCTGATAACAAAACATAAAGGCCAAGCACTTTGGGAACTTGATCAATCCTTACATAAATCGCTATTAGTGCAAATTAAAGTCTCCGAAGATCATATTTATTATCAATCAAATGTAAAAATGAAAAAAAAACAAACTGTAAATTCAGTTTCAACGGGTTTTACCCAAATATTATTAACGAACGGCTAAAAAAGGTGAGGTTATAAAGACTAGGGGTCACAACAATACTGAAGAGGTAAAAAATTAATAAGAGCGAATATCAAACATATACCAACGACTAATATGTACAAAAATTAACAAAAACACCCAAAGAGACTACTGTAACATCGAAGACTAACTGATACTTCTAAACGACTATAACTAGTACCTAAAAATTCACATATCTTCGAAAGAATTCGACCATGTGCTCCGAATATTCACTAATGAAGCTGGCTGGAGGCCTTTCCGTTTGTTCGGTGACCAAAATTTTGTCAATCAAATTGAGCAAAAAGTAAGAGTAATGGTCTTCGGGGACTGGAGGGAAATCAGCTTCGGTGATCTTGTTGGAAAGCGAATAACGGTTATCTCTCTCGCCAAAGAATGGGTTCACACCAGCAGTCAGCTAAAAAACAGATCGAATCATCTGGGATCCATAAAAATAAAATTTTTTGGGACAAGATCGAAGTGCCGACACACACTGCTTCTAAATTCAGAAAAAAAAAATTTCGCGTACCTCATACAACAAACAGCCCAGACTCCAGACATCCGAAGCATACGTGTACCCCGATTGGAGGGTTCTCTCAGGCGACAAATAATACGGAGTTCCACAAACGGTCTTCACTTCCTCCGTATTGATCGAATTCATCCGGCTCAGACCAAAGTCGCTGATCTTGACCAAAAAATTGTCTGCCATTAGGATATTTGCTGGCTTCAAATCTGAAATATATCATCTATAGAACATTTCAAGCTCCTCCGTCGCTAGTGGAGCAAAAATGAAGAAATAATTACGATTTTTGTATGATAAAATTATATTATACACGAAAAACCTCTTCTTACCTCGATGAAGACATCTGCAACTGTGCATAAATGCAATTCCACATGCAACCTGTTGAAAAATGTGCCAAATTCTGTATTCTGGAAGCAACTTGTACTCCACCAACAAGTTGTGATGGAGATATTGTTCCAAGGTCCCTTGACTCATGTATTCAACAACCAGAATCAAGCTTAGACTTCCATTAAGCTGAAAATATTGCACTTCAATACTGAGAAAATAAAGAAGGCAGACAAAGAGATAATGACTCCATCAATATTATACATACCGGCTGTTCGAAGGAATTATAAATCTCCACAATGTTGGGATGCTTCACCTTTGACGTAATCTGGTACTCTTTCTTGGTGCTCTTCAACTGGCTGGCTTCAGTTATCTTGGTCAGCTAAAATTAGTGGGTCAACATTAGAAGAATTCATCGAATTGTCGGATATTATACATGACACCAAGATCACGTCAAACTTGGACCAAGTTTTATACCAAAAGCGTGGAAATTGCATCACCACTGCATATGCACCCATGTTTACTAGAGAACAAGAAATATTTCAGAAAATCTTACATTTACCACCTTCAAGGCGACCATTTCCTTCATCCTCGTGTCGAGCTTGTGATTGTGATTTTTGGCCAAATAAACTTTTGCAAATGCGCCAGACCCAAGGTTAGAGATAATTTGGTATCCATCAATTCGATTGGGATATGAAATTTGAGGTTTCTTCGCTGATTGGAAGGCGGAATGTTGGAACGATGCAGCTTGAGGAACAACTCTTTTCTTGTTGTCAAGTCTGCTGAACAACCGTCCATCGGTCACGGGAAGGGTGTAAGTGTTCTTTCCAACCATGTTTCCGAGTGGTTGTGGAGGATTTGACGAAAACTTATGTTATCCTTGATGGTCTTGACGCAATGTTACAGGGTTAGTGTCTGAAAGGAAAAATAGAGCTAAAAAGGTGAAGATAAGATTTTCGAATGCGACAATCGTCAGAACATGTTTTGAAGCTCCAAAAAATCCGACAAAAGCGACAAAAATCAGCACCTTTTTCTTCAAGGAAAGAGTTGACGCATTGTTGAGCCAAGTGTTCCTCTAAATAGGGAAAATGCGGGATCGCGGGAAATAAGCGACACAAATAGTCCGTAACGTTGTTGATATTTAGAAAGACCCTTTTCGGCAGGACAGAAGAAAAGTCAATGTATATGGTAGACATCAGTTACCTTATCCATGGGTTATCCGGTCAAATTTCCAATGAAAACAAAAAAGGGCCTCCAATGGCAACCTGAACTTTTGCTCGTAAGATGACTCAAAGCAAGGTAAACATTAACCATTGCCATCTTGTATTCGAGTAGTTTGATGACTCACAAATCTCATCATTTATGGTATAATTTAATGCCATCTTTGAGCCAAGGCCCAACTTTGTTGTCCTCCATTGCCGTATAAAGGTCATAACCTAACTTTTACTCTCCATTTCCGCCTCTGTGTAGGGTCTAATCGGTCTATAAATCCGTTTGATTACTTTTGAACTCCAAATAAAAAATAAAACTGTTTTTACTGAGTAAACAAGACTATTTTAAAAAGTTGCCTCGACTATTTCAGGGCGTTTCCAGACATTTCCGTGTATTTACACTTTGCTGGATGACATTTCCGTAAACCCGTGTACAAAGTGGTAAAAAAGGAAGGTGTTCATGTTCACTTTTCACTAGAGCGGAAAAGGATTTGAAGCCAAAAAGAGGACAGATCTGTTGTCAATCGAAAGAATTTGTAGTGTATACTCGACTCTTCTGCTCGTATCTGACTCACGGCTAATCTTTGGGCATTTTTTTTATATTCTACTGGAGAATGACCAACATTTTGATTTTACTCTTGATAAATGTGATGGCCACAGTCTCTTTTGATGTCAATCCCAATATCAACGCTACTCTAAGACGATACGCGACCGAAGATGAGAATAGAGAAGAGAATCAAGTGAGTGTCATCACTTTTTCGCCTTATTTTGAATTTATTTGGACGGGTTTTGTCTAAAATAATATAAAATTATTTGAGCTTGCCTAAAACGAATGTACGCTCACTATTTACAAGCAATTTACGATATCCTGGATACCCGATACTTCCAAAAATTTTACTCTTTCAACCGTAAATGCAACATTTTTTTGCGAAAATTGAAATGTCTGGTTATGACGTCATCAAAGTTGAATTCAAATGGAAATATTGGGATTATTTTAGGTAATAAACTCAAGAACAAAGCCGGAATGGATGGTGACTCTCGGCAGGGATACTTATGGCCTCTCCTTGACTCCTTATAACTATCCAAATTTGAGGTTGAAGTCGATGAATGTTTTTTATGACAAACAGGAGAAGCCATTGTATATTACAGTCCACGATGACATGGACAACTTGAATTTGATTGGAAATTCGATGCCAATTAGTTTAGAGAGGCTCAAGGAGAAGATGCGGTGAGTTAGGTGAAGATTAAGGAGAATTCAGGTTTTCGTGGTGGGACATAAAATGACGACTTTGTGAAGGCAAAAAAGCTATTGGAATCGCCAGGAGGCGTTGGTTAGCTCAAAATTGAATTGGGATTTTTATTCAGCTATCCTTTAGCGTTTATTTGCTAAAAAATCCGCTATAATGAAAGATTCTTCGGATTCTTCCAGACTTTTTTTTCACTTTTCTTTTAATAATGGAAAAGTCTAGGGTTTTGCAACGAAAACATCTTGATCAAAACCCGCTAGAAGAGTATGCATTTTAATTTTAGCGAGAAATTCGAATTGGGCCAGATTCTAATCGAAGCTTGCGCATCAATAAGACCGGATGGAAAGCTGATGATGAACACTTTGTGGGCAGAAAACCCCGAGGCCGATTCGGACCTTTTCATCTTCGACGGCGATGAAAAGAATCCAGAGAAATTTCTGAGTCCCACCAGTCTACCCATTAGTTTGTGTGGATTTAGGTATAAAGTAAGCAAAAAATTACAACTTTTCAATCAGATATAACTTAATTTTTAACACAAAAATAATGTTCATCGCTATTTAGGGAAAAGATCAGTACCTTTTGGTGACAGTCCGGCCAAAAAGACGAGTGGAAATGCAGGTTTCTCAAGTCAAATTACTCTTCAACAAGCCGCTAAATGAATGCCTAAAGGAAGATAAAGAGCTTGCGGGTCAATTTTTTGTCGCTCAAAAGTTCACAATCCACTATTCCGGCGACATTGTAAGATTTGATACAATTTCCAGGCCAAATGTCATTATTTTTGGGTTTCGGACAAGTTATACGATGAAAGGTGTCGGATGACTTAAAATACAGTATGACATTTGGCTTTAGATTGACTAAATATACTCTTTATAGTCTATTTTGAAGATTTAGAAATTTTTGGATTATCATACTGTATAAAAATTTAGTTGAAATGCTCGGCCATTTACTGGAATCAGCACGGTGCGGCTCATCGAATTACAGTAACCAACAATACTGTATTAAAAGATCACATGGAGAAACGAGAGAATTTTACAAAATACAATTCACTGACGCCAAAGTCGGTCTCCATTGCCAACAATTCCATGGTGATTTTGTGGAGTAATCTCCCGATTTGGCCGTTCCCTTCGGCCCCCTCATTACTCACTTATGACCGGTAATTCTTAGACGTTTTATTACCATATTGGTTTTATTTCAGCCCCATCCCATTTCAGTACATTTCGGGGATGAACATGGAGTTGCCAACAGATTTATTGAGCTATCTGAACAACCGAGTTGTAACTTTTATGGAAAAACTTGATATTCCTGGATTGTCGTTGGCTTTGGCTAAGAATGAGTTACTAAAATTGGCTGTTTGTGGGTTTTCAAAGTTTAAAATCAAAGGTTTTAATTTAGCTTTATGAGTTTTGATAAAAAATTTATATTAACCATGAACGAAATTGATATAAATTCGCAAAAATTTTTTAGCATTCGGATATTCCGACGTGATGAAGAAAATTACGCTGACTCCAGACGATAAAATACGCATAGGCTCGATTAGTAAGACGATTACATCGACCGGAATCTTCTTATTGGTCGAGAGCGGAGATCTGGGGATCGACGAAAGGGTCTTCGGATTTGCTGGTATTTTTGGTAAGGGAATTTAATAAATTTATCTTCTTTTTTACACTACATGTATAATTTTTAATAGTTTTCACACTTTTATTTGCGACATTTAATTCAAATTAAATTTTTCCGCAATTTTTGGCATTCTGTTTCAAGGTATGGATCTTGCAGTTTTAATGTTGTAACGAGGTAATTGATACTCTGAATAGATCGAAGAAGCCAAAGTTTTAAAAAAATTGGCGATTTAATGGTTTTTAGTATGGTATTCATGAGAGCTTTGGTATATCATTTTTGAGATCTTCTTGTTAAATTTTAGTGTCCAATTGTAAGCAAAAATATAGAACAATAATTTCCCAATACTCACGCATTCACCCATGAACTTTAAGGTATGGATATGGCCGTAAACGACTCCTATCCCCGTTATGTCGATGAAATCACGGTCCGTCACCTCCTCTCTCACACCGTTGGTGCTTGGTCCAATGTGGGTGATGACCCGGTGTTCAAGTCCGAGAAGACGTCAGTCACTGAAATGATTCGCGAAACCATCTCTAAACATCCACTGACCAAACCCCCAGGGCTTGAGTATCAATACTCGAATGTTGGCTATGCAATCCTGGGGAAAGTGATCGAATATAGGAGTGGAATGCCGTACAATGAATTTATAAATCGAAGGATCTTCATTCCCATCGGGTTGGGACGACAGATGACGTTGAGTGGGAGGTTTAGAGCTCCTCCAGAGTAAGGATTTCATTGCTTATATTTCTTCAGCATAAATGAAATGTTGGCAGAACCTCTTTGTAGCTCTATTCCGGCCCTACGACAATTTTGATCGAAATTTTCAATGATTTCCAGATATTATCTTTGATGACTTCAATTTTTGTACAAAAGTCATCGTTTTCTAAACTTTTTTCTCTACAACCCAGTGTAATTTGACGGCAATTTCTCTTCCAGAGGCTCGGTTCTCTACTACGCGACACCAGACTCCCCTGACGACCCCTACGACCTTCCCCATCCCTCAGTTCTTGAGGCCTGTTGTGGATGGGTGTTGTCGCCTTCAGCTACCGTTAAATTCTTAACCCATGTCGATGGATTTCCCTTGAAGAAGGATATAATCCGTCTGGAGTCGTTTTATCAAATGGGATCACCTACGAGGCAGTCCAATTACACTTATGGGTTTGGTTGGTCGATAAATGAACGGGGATTCAACGGGAGATCTCATCAAGGACAGATGCCTAGCTCACTCAGTTTCCTGGTCCGCACGGACAGTGGGATCGAATTGGCTATTTCGATGAATAGAGTGAGTATCTTCGAGTAGTGATGTCATCTTTTTGGACCACTTATGTTACACTAGACATCAAGTAGAATACGTTGAAATTTTAGCAGACTAAAAACGCCTCTAGATGTCCAAATCGATAATGATGGGACATAACAAAAAATTTTATCCGTCTTTACTTTCAGTACCCTCAACGATTCATCGGTGACACAGAACTTGCCTATCTTGCTCATCACATCACCTCCGTTTTTGAAGGCCCGGACCTAAACGGGATCGACCATTTTATGGACAATGAAGTTGTCGTATTCTAGGACACTTTTGATGTTTGATCTCGGAGTAAAAACTCACTGGTGTAATTCAAATTTTTGACAACCAACTACTACAGCATAATGCAAAACCGTTTACTCGTTGTTAAGCACAACTGAATATAGATAGCGTCTACGTATTGGCGTTGTCATTACTACCCGGCACACTGTATGGCGTCGTATATTTCCTCGGCCGTCCTCTTCCCCTTCGAATGGTGGGCTGGAAGAGTTGACCCAGGTCAAGTGTTTCCTTGTCCTGCACAAACACCGTCGGCACCTGTTTGTTGATTTCGTTCACACAGTCGTTCCAGTTCTTCAGTTCCTCGGCCCGAGTCTTGGGCTTACTGAAGAAGGCGAGGATTTCCCGGAATTCCGCCACTTTTTCCGGATCCCTTTCCTCGAGGCGATTGTAATATAAAGCGGTCGAGAAGAGCTTGAAATTGAGGAGCCCACCGAACCTTTCAGCCGTCTGAGCCGTCTTCCACAGCTTTTCGCAGTCGCTTTTAGACGCGAATTGGAATTTAGGTTTGGCGGGGACAAAGTTGGAGGTCTGAGATCTGGTGGATAAGGTACTGCTGGTGGTTATGGGGACTAAAAACATTCCAATCGTACTTTAAATTGTTTTTTCATTAATTTTAATTAGTCGCTGGTATATATCAAACTTCTCAAAACACCTAAATAATCATCAATTTTGCGGGAAATTCCAGAAAATACGTCATGATGACACGCAAAATTACTAGACAAATCTGCAATTTCCTCACATAATTGATTAAAAATGTTCAGTCATGGTCAAAAAAATTTTAATCATGCCCATTGTTTCGAAAATTTTAAGTCCTCAGATGACGGATTTTTTAGAATTTTTCAAAAAATGATGACAACAAAAAAATTTTTTTATAGCCATTAAATAATCTTACCAGAAGTTGTCGCAGTAGCCGGCACAACCACCTCATTTGGCTCGTCCTTTATAACAGTTGTAACTGATGTTGTAGTAGGCACAAAGACATAATCGTCATCTTGATTCGACCCGGTTTCTTTTGATTTTGATGGATTTGCCGTGGAAGTGGAGGCAGCCTGAACAAATTGGACCGGAATCAGATTGGCTGCATTGGTTATAGTTGAAGACGTTGGCAATTGAATTATTCTGGGAAGGCTTTGAAGTGAAGTCGACGAAAGATTGCTCATGTCCCGATTTGCGATTCCATCCCATCCTGACCTGGCTTGCACCAATTCCGTGAGCTTTTGAATGCTCTCTTGTTGTTTTACAATCAGATCATGAGCATTATGAAGTTTGGCGAAGGTATTCAAAAGGAGATCCTCGTGACGCACCAATCGCTTTTCCATTTGCGATATTCGGTCGTTTAGAACGCGGAGATCGTCGGTTGAAACTGAAAATGTAAGCTAGAATGGTTTATTTATCGAGAATATTTTATATTATACATGATGTTTAATATAAATCTGTTTCTTTCCGGAAAAGAGAAATAACAAACTCCAAGGCAACAAACAGAATTTGGACAAAATTCAAAGTAATCATCCCGAAATTCAAGATTTTTAAATTCCAGAAAATCTGTCATGGTGACATGTTTTCACCGATGAAATAAATCAAAGTTCTGGCTGAAGTGTTGTTTTATGTGCAAAACGGATATCATTAAAAAATTTTCTCGTATACGAAAATACGACTGTCCACTTTGGCCAACGATGACGGATTTTATGGAATTTTAGGAAAAATCGTAAAGATCAAATCTTTGATTTCTTCGAAAACAGGCCCAAATTGATGAGTTTTGATGAGTGAACCAACCTGAGATGTACAAATTACTGGGGTCCAAGGCGATGGGGGCCACCGGATTCGCTTGCCCCTCCTTGCTGGTGGTGTCCACTACATTCGCAACGCCATTGCAGTTATCTTTCTCCATCAAGAGGCGGTTCGCGTACTCAATTGCATCGTCCTTATTCCCAAACAGGCCTTTGATCACGCCGCTCTCGGTCTTCCCGTCGAATTGCACTGTCAGATTCCCATCCGAATTCAAATTCCCATCCAAATACGTGTGGCCACAGACAATGAAATGGTCGGACTGAGGAAGATGGACGACGATGAACTTGTCGTCCGGATCTGAGCTGCTGGAGGGGTCCATCCCTAAAATTGGGATCAAAATTTATATTACACTAGGCGAGAGGGTCATTAAAACGCAAAATAATATTAGAGATAGGAAAATTAAAAGTTAGCTTGTTTCCTAAAATACGGAAATCGGAATAATCTTTCAAAAAAATTACAAATACTGTAATATAGCACTACTATTTAATAAAAAATTAGTACCTTCCCAAACAGGTCATCATTTAAAAAAACAAGCTTTATTTTGGAATATCCCACTAAATCAAGGTGTTTGAATACGAAATGCCCCTTGCAGACCCGCAACTTGACCCATTAACCCACAAATCTCGCCAGATTTTATATTACTCTAGACCCGTTTCCCCTCGTTTCCCTCGATTCGTATCGAAATTCGAAAAGATTTTAATTCGCGGCCTCAAAATCAATTTTCTGGAGGTCCGAATATATTTTTTTCTCTTACGAGATATTTGTGGAAAGGAGGCGGACCCAAAACGCCGCTTTTCTTGCATTTTCTGTCCGCTCTCTCGTTTTCGCGCGCTCTCTCGGCGGTGTGCTGCTCAACGCCCCGTCCCGCGTTTATTTTCCCCATTTTTTGTCGCTCTCCGAATTTGAATCTACAATTCGTTTGCAGAAAACTCAAAGAAGAGGAGTTCTGGGCAAAATTTTTCTAGAATTTGGGCAGTGTAATATAAGAATTATGGGAATATCCGAAAATTTTAAAATTAAGGGTGCAAAAATAGATGTAAATGGGTTGGGAACAAAGTGATGACCACAAATCGTGCAGAAAACAATTGAATTTTCTAAGAAAATTAGGATGAACAGCACTAATTCATGTTTTTTGTCTGATTTTTTCTAATTTCAAAAAAAAATTATTGGGAGAATTCGATTTCTTGGAGCCGAATGGCAAAAAATGCCTCAAATTGTAGTAGTGAATCCTGTTTATTTTCCCTCCTGATTCTACAATGGATATTTATTTACAGCCTTGGCCAAATTCCTGGCCTTTTCCACCATCAGTCGGGGCTTTAATTTGGCCACCATGTTGGATATAAACCGGGGAATGGGAAGGTTGAGATCGGCGCAGAAGATCATCATAAATTTGGTGTTGTTTTCGTCGATTGGTCGGAAATAATAGCCTCCCAAGTATTGCTTTGTCCGCACAAATCCTTCCTGAGGTCCCCATTTCCCGTGCTCGGTGCCGGTTGAGCCCATTATTACTGAGCCATCGTCCTGCCGATAGACCTAAAGCGAGTTTTTAGTCATCAAAAAATTGCCAAAGCAATTCATTAACAATACTAGATTATATGGTCGAAATCAGACACAAACTTACACTTGTGGCATCAATGGCATCTCTTGATGACAATGCCAAGCGTTTCTTCACAACATGTCGCATAACAAATGTCTGGAAACGCAAAATCTGATTAGAAAATACGGAAACGACTCTATAGATAAAATGATTGCTCACCTCTTCACTGAGCCGCTCTATTACATTGGCCATGGCCAGCATTTCATCCCATTTGACTCGGAATTCAAACCAAGGGAATAGTAATCGTTCCAGGTGTTCTACTGATGTCTAAAATGGCATTTTTTCGCATTCATATTGCAATACAAAGCAATATGGCTTTGAATTAAATTACCGGCAGGTCCATGACCAGCATGAGCATGTTCTCTTTGGCTTCCTCGAACTCGGCCGACTTCCTCGAATACACTTTAACGTCGGCCTCATCCCATTCCAACTGCGACCAGCACTCTGCCCAATCGCTTTCCACCAACGTCTTTATCTGCGAGCAAGCCCTCTGGCCCAACTCAATATATTCGTGCTCATTCAGCGTCTCCGGCATCTAAAACATAACGGGAATTCGGATTGATTTTATCATCACGTTGTAACTGCATTAATAAAATGTCGAGAACATCCCCCGGCGGACTTGAATCCGCGGATCGCGGGAGATACGGCGACAAAAAGCCGCCCTCACGAAGTTCGGTCACCAATAATATAATGTCGACCTGCAGCGCGCGCCTTTTGTACGCTCAGAAGCAATTAAGGGAATTGGGGGTTTTAAGGTCAGCGTGGGGCTGTTAGGGCATAGTTAGAGGGATCTAAAGAGGATCAATGGGTGAACCAATGGCTTTTTTGTTGTCTTGAAACAACTTGGGTTACGTAAAGCTTGCAATTTGCAAATCTCTAAGCTTCGAAACGTTGGAAAATATCTATTGATTAAACTGAAAAAAACGACGCCAAGAGCCGAGAATTAAAGTCGGGATGGCTCAAAAAGAATCGCCGAATGGATGGTGACAATGCCATTGCAGATGTCGCTCCAAAAAATGAGTTCAAGCGAGGGAAAGGCAGCTTGTTTTTTTGGAAACCAGTTCAATCAAAAGAAGATTACATATCGCGAGATTATGTCATCCGTGGTTCGCAATGACATAACTCTCTCGATCACTTTCATCCGTTAAGCCAGGCGGAACAGCGGAAGAACGGGGTTGAGCGGAGAAGTCGTCGAACAGAAGCCTTGGAGAAGGGTACAGAGAACTGAGAGTAAGAGGTAGGAAGGGCCTTTACTTCTCGAAAACAAGACCCATTTAACCCTCAACGAACAGCTTGCCGGTCAGTTCGTGAACGCTGTAATAAAAACGGATACGTGAAACGCGTTTCTTGTCGATTTTTGTGACCATCAGATAACAGGAGAGAAGACGAAAACACAAAACAAGGTGCAAATATTTAGCATTATGCAAACAAGCAGATACTATGTACGGAATTTGATCTTACATGTCTTTTTGACATGTTGTGCTTGTTGTATTTACATCATCGCTTCATAAACCACGTTTATAATTTCAACTTATAGCATGCAACGGTACAGGTACTTTTACCATTTTTCAACCGTTTTGGGGTCTGTGTTTGTTTCTGATTTTGTAAACACTATTTATTATATATTTCGAATCAATCAATGTTTTTGGCGCGTTCTGCGCTTCGAAATGTATCAGGCGGCAAGATAAGATGCGCATATCAAAGTGGAGGGCGAGTAACAGACTTGGCGGCAATGTCTCCTGGGCAGTCTTGATTGCATTCATCACAATATAAGTTTTCCATGATGACTTAAAAATTCAAACATGACGTCATAAATTTTTTATTCTGTGCTAAAAAGTTTGCTTACTCATAAAGTCATAATACAACCTTCTATTCAAAATTGTACGGTCAGCATTCCTGCACACAAAGTAGACGTATAAAATAAGCTTTATTACATCTGTTTACAGCTTTTGCCTAGTGAAGTTACGCCCTCTAATGATGAGAAAAACATTAAACAATTCATACAATTTTTGACGTAAAAGTATACATAATTCAATGAATCCTGTGTTATTGATTGTCGTAAAATTGACTTTCCTCCGACAGGGCCCTTTATAAACAGTAAAAACCCGTTTCTCGATCTAAATCTTCCCAGCACATGATTTCCCTCCGAGTCCCACCACGATATCCCTGATTCTTCAAAATATTTGGCATTCCGCATCAGCATTTTCGGCTTTTATTCTCGGGTTTTAGCGCGCGGATTTTGTGGCCAGAAATGTCGTAAATTTATTATTTATAGCCGTGTTTTTCATGAATTTTAATTCCTCCTTTATTTATCGAATGTTTTAGATAAAATTTCCATCTGGTCGCTTATGTCGTGATGGATCAGAACGACGTTGTTCCAGTCGATAAACCGCTCGCAAAGTGGCGAGAAGTCCAAGTTGCTGCACCTCCGTCGCCACTGTAAGTGTGTTTAATTTATTTTTTGATAATTTAGGCTTTGGATATTGTTTTATCCCTCACAAGAAGAGAAAATCCTAAATTCGTAGAAAAATGGAAGAAACGGGTTACTGTCAAAATTTTTAATGAGATGCATGTGTTCTCCGAAAACCTCGGAAAGTATCTTGATACTTTTTTGTGGATAAAATTATATTAATGCTGATATTCTACCAGAAACTTTTTCAGACCTCGTCATGGACACAAAGCAGTCGCTATCAAGCACTATATGATCGTATTTGGTGGTGGAAATGAGGGTATTGTCAACGAGCTCTACGTGTTTAACACGCACACGAATATTTGGCATAAGCCTGTTGTTCGAGGAGAGCCAATGCCTGGCCTCGCGGCCTTTGGAATGGATACAGATGGAGAGAAGATATATATTTTTGGAGGAATGATCGACCCAAAGAAGTAAGAGACTTGTTATTAAGTTTTATTAATGTCTGAGAGTGTTTAATATTTATCTGATCAAGTCTGGAGTAGTTTGTGCCTATAATTTAAGATAATATCTAAAATAATATAAATTTTTTTACAGATATTCGGACCAATTTTACGAGCTGGACTCGAGACGTTGGGAATACCGTAATCTGAGAATCCGAGCCCCCAGAAATAACGATCCCTCGCCTTGTGGTCGTCTCGGCCACACTCTAAATATTGACCGAGATCGAATCGCCTATATATTTGGTGGAATGGCCCGAGATGAAGATGGATCTGTCAAGTATCTGGACGATCTCTACATGCTCGATCTTGCTCCAAACAAACCCTTGACTTATGAGAAGATCCAGGCTGGCCAAGGCCCATCTCCGAGAGAGTCCCACACCTCGACTTTGTATGAAAATGATAAACAGAAGTTCCTTTTCATATACGGCGGGATGAATGGGGATCGTCTCGGAGATATGTGGATCTTGGATTTGGTCCATTTAGCATGGAGAGAGATCCAGCCCCACGGAGAGATTCCCAGACCGAGGTCTCTTCATTCGGCCAGTTTAGTAGGAGATAGGTAAGGAATTGATGTTTTATTTTCTATTCTTAGCTCTGTAGTGTCCAATAGTATATAGAAAAGTATAAAAAATCTCACGAAAATATGAATTCAGTCATTTTTTGAGCTTGATCATGAAAATTTTAAAAAATCGAACCGATCTCCTTTCAGAGTCTTCGTATTCGGTGGATGGGTCCCAGTAACCCCAGAAGACGTACCCCAAGACGGTTCACCCTATCTAGACTGGCGCTGTTCCAACGATATACACTCGTTCCACGTCCTCAACAACCGATGGGAAAGCTTCCAGGAAGCTGTCACAGATGAAAAAAACTCTTTTCCCAATGCTAGAGCCGGACACTCGGCCTGTGTAATCAACAATCGAGTTTATATTTGGTCGGGGAGAGACGGGATCAGAAGGACAGGGTCGAGTGTAAAATGCTGCAAGGACTTCTACTTCCTCGAAACACAGCCTCCCGCCACTCCAGGCCCAATTCAATTGGCTAAAGCCACTCTCGACACGATTGAAATCACCTGGGCTCGAATTCCGAATGCTGATTCGTACCATGTGGAGGTGAAGAAATTGGGACCAGATGATCAAGGTGAGATTTTAATTTGGATTTGAATGTTTTCTGAGTTACGAAAAGGGTTGAAGAACTTGGAACTGTTAGATGTAACAATTATCATTGTCATTTCAGCCCAATCTCAACGACGGATCATGTCTCAACAGAATGGGCAGAGAATTAAACGAATCCATGTCCCCGGATCCAGTCCCCCAACTCAACCCCCCAATCCAAGAGCCATTCCCTACCGTCAGATCACTCCGGATGGCCGAGTCTACACCCGCCCGGCAGGCATCGCCTACCGGACTCCCCAGTCCCAGCCTCTTCCCACTTCCGCCACCTATTCCAATGGTCATCCCCCAACTCCGGAGAAGGTCCAATATCAACAATCCTACGCTCCCCAGACCTTGTCCACGCCCTATCAGCCAACCCAGCCGACATTGGAGGCCCAGATGCCCAGCAATATACTGGAGGACCCGGAGCCCGAATCCAGTTCGGTCGAACAGAAGCTGGAGGATCCCGCGGACATATCCCTATCCGATAAACCCGCTCCCCTCCTAGATCCGGCAAATATTTCACTTGAATCCGAGAAACCTCAGACCGCAGAACAGCCCCCACAGGACCCGGGACTCTCAACAAATCCACCAGCAGAGCCAAGTCAAAATGAAAGTCAGATTTCTGGAAGCGAGACCAATCCAGAGGAACCCGCAGAACCAAATCCACCAGAATCCGAAGCGAAACCGACTGCATCAGGCTTTGTGGAACCGAGATCAACTCCAGAGGCCTTTGTATCCCCAGCGCTCCCGCCTTCAGAAGCAGCGGAAAGTCCTCAGGTAAGAAATCGCCATTTAATTATATTGTACTGGACAAAATTGAAGATTTTTTTGCAAATTTTCAGATCTCACCTCAAAAACCTCGTCAGTCGGAATGGTGCTACGTTGGCCAGACTGTGACTCCCACATTCAAGGTCGTCGAGTACTTCCAAGAAACGCCCGAGGGGCAGAAGAGCGTTAAATTGGAATCCGGATTCATCTACCAGTTCAGAGTCAGCGCTGTAAATATCTGTGGCCAAAGCCCGTGGTCTGACCCTGTTTCCTACAAAACTGGAGTGCCTGGATTCCCGGGAGCCCCCTCTTCCATCAAGATTTCCAAAGGCGACAATTGTGCCCATCTCAGTTGGGAGCCCCCAACCAATCCAAATGGAGTCATTGTAGAGTACAGTGTGTACTTGGCGATGAAACCAAACGTCGGAGGAGAGAACAACTCCTTCCTCAAGGTCTATAGCGGCACTGAACCCTCGTGCACAGTCGACGGACACTACTTGGACAACGCTTTAGTGGACACCACACCAAAACCCGCAGTTATTTTCAGAATCGCGGCAAGAAACCAGAAGGTAAGTTGGAAAAAAATAAGAAAATGGCTTGAGAAGCAAGCTAGTCAAACGTTCTTTTGTCGAGACCATTTTCTGATTGCGAAAAACGGGTTTATCAACGCGAATTTTTATATTATACTTGATGACTCACCGTTCCAGGGATACGGCCCGGCTACGCAGGTCCGCTGGCTCCAAGAAAACCGGATGCCGGCCCCCATGTCGATCCAACTCCAACATTCTCAGCCCCATCCTTCCACTTACACTCGAATAGCACCCTCAGCTCTACCCCCACCCACCTACACCAAGAGAGTCCGGATCGAATAAACCGCTAAAAACTTTGTCATTTTAATATATACCCTGACCTCAAGCTGTAGAATATAGCGCGCTATATTGTGAAACACTGTAATAAAAATATTTTTACAAACGCAAAGAGTTATGGACTTGGGTTTAGCAAGAAAAGAGACGAAGGCAGACTTTTTGAAACGTTCGATCATATAAAATTCCCCTATCAAGCAGGGCGCAGCTCGGCAATAAAGGAAATAATTTGGCGCCCAATTCAACGCGTTTCTTCGAAAAGGTAATTCACGTTCGGTCCAAGCCGCAGTTGAGATGGGATCCCGAGCTGCGCCCACGATTTGTAATTCGTAGGGGACATCTTATACGAAGGAAGACCAAATTTTGCAATGATTGCCTCAGGGCTCTAAAAATTCATGCACAAAATATTATTTTAACGTAGATCCGATATACCAAGTATCATCTTTCTGTCGCTGTCTATCTTCGACTTTGGATAAATATCAGATTTTGCCTAGTTTTGAGCCTGCTTTTGTACCCATTTTTTGACCACTTTTTGGCTTGTAATGATAAAAGTAAGATAGTTATTCGAAATATCGCTCTTTGATGTTCTAGAGAGCCTTTTTGTGTAACCCTTTTAGGTAATGCCAGACCTCAGTGGTGTCCCCCCTTTTCAAAACGTTTGCTCCAATGACGTCAATTTTAGGCCAAATTTTGCTGATTTTTCGAAATTTCTGCCTATATTTTTTTTCAGAAGTCCTTTATCGAAAAAATCGCGATTTGAGTGGTTAGAGAAGATCCTTGTCGATGTACAGAAACTTGCATTTTCATCCAACGACCAATAGTTTTTTCAAAACGTTTGCTCCAATGAGGTACACTTTGGGGAAATTTTGCTGATTTTTCGAAATTTCTGCCTGTATTTTTTTTCAGAAGTCCTTTATGGAAAAAATCGCGATTTGACGGTTTAGAGAACAGCCTTGTCGATGTGTAGAAACTTGCATTTTCATCCAACGACCAATAGTTTTTTTAAAACGTTTGCTTCAATGAGATTGACACTTTGTGGAAAATTTGATGATTTTTGCATATTTCTGTCTGCATCTTTTTTACTGCCGTTTGTCGAGGAAATAATTATCTTTAATTGTAGACAAGCAGCATGATTAGATTTAGTAACCGGCATATACATCAACGACTAAAATATTTTTGAAAAATGGAGGTCAACATAGTACATCTATAAGAAAATTGCATTCTATTCGAGTAGCCATCCACTATCTCTATGTTTTGCGAGTTAATGAAATAAGACTGAAATACCCGTCTCGTTTTAATCATTTAGCTGCTGTTTCAGTTAAATAACTTTGAACTTTGCCAACGGCAGAAAAAGATGAAGGAGGTGAGTTTTGTCTTCATGGCGTCTACCCTACATCTTCAGAGTCATTCAACGAACCTGGAACTTCGCAATCGAAAAGAAAGAGGAACCAAATTAAAAAAAAGTCTGCGAAATTCAGCTACAAGAGCAAGTGCGCGAAAATGAGGCTTAAGAAGTTTACATTACCAGAAATCGAGGGTAAGCACGGCTTCTTTGCACCTAAAACAGTTATAAAAGAACAGTCAAAATGCCTCTTATAACATATCTTAAGATAACCCCTCATTATGTTTAAGCTGCAATGCTCGTTCCACCAGTTCCCACTGCTGAGACACCAAGGGAGTTGTTCTCCTTTTCATATCCGTCAGGCACAGCCAGTAATCCTATCAAAAGAATAGTAAAGGCAGACACCTTCGACCATTGGAATACGTTGATGTCAACGGTTGCTATACAATTTGGGAAATTACAATCAGAAGTCAGCATAGCAAGCAAGAAAGGAGAATTTGAGGCGGAAGCTAAACATTCTCAACATCAGCTCGAACTACAGGCAGAAATTTCGAAAAATCAGCAAAATTTCCCCAAAGTGTACCTCATTGGAGCAAACGTTTTGAAAAAACTATTGGTCGTTGGATGAAAATGCAAGTTTCTGTACATCGACAAGGATCTTCTCTAACCACTCAAATCGCGATTTTTTCGATAAAGGACTTCTGAAAAAAAATATAGGCAGAAATTTCGAAAAATCAGCAAAATTTGGCCTAAAATTGACGTCATTGGAGCAAACGTTTTGAAAAGGGGGGACACCACTGAGGTCTGGCATTACCTAAAAGGGTTACACAAAAAGGCTCTCTAGAACATCAAAGAGCGATATTTCGAATAACTATCTTACTTTTATCATTACAAGCCAAAAAGTGGTCAAAAAATGGGTACAAAAGCAGGCTCAAAACTAGGCAAAATCTGATATTTATCCAAAGTCGAAGATAGACAGCGACAGAAAGATGATACTTGGTATATCGGATCTACGTTAAAATAATATTTTGTGCATGAATTTTTAGAGCCCTGAGGCAATCATTGCAAAATTTGGTCTTCCTTCGTATAAGATGTCCCCTACGAATTACAAATCGCGGGCGCAGCTCGGGATCCCATCTCAACTGCGGCTTTTCTTCTATTTGGACCGAACGTGTAATTGCGAATTCAGAGCTCATCGAGGCGTTTGGTGATTAAATCAGTAATTCAAGGTGAATCTATTCATTTCTGGTGCTGCCGACATCAAGAGAACTGACATGGAGTAAGTTTGTCGATTTTTTCGGTGATTTGTCGCTATTTCAAGTGGTTTTAGCTGTGAATTTTGCTGTTTGTTCCCTGCGAAGCAAAAATTTGGTACTCGGATTTATGAAAACAGCAAACTTTATTGGTTTTATCCTCACAAATTCATTATTTTTTGCTAACGATTTTCATGTTTCAGTTTTTACACTCCTTACGACCTCATCAAAGATGTGGGCGACAGCTTCTACGAACAGATGCAGTCGAAAAAATGGACAGAGCGAAAAGAGCCCATCGAGAAATTGGTGGGGATCGTCGACAAAAACCCAAAATTAGTGCCGAATGACAGTGAATATCACCGGCTGATTGATGAGCTGAGCAAGGTAAGTCCTTCTTTTTGCTTTTCTGTTGGATTTTAGGTTGACCGTTGGAGGTACTTTTGATAAATGACGCTTGATGTTAAGCATCATGTGTAATATTAAAGCTTCTTTTCTAGATCTTGGCCAAAGATGCCAACATCATCGTCGCCGCATTGGCGGCACAACTGCTTACAAGGATTGCTCGTGGATTGGGAAGGAACTTTGAGGTGCACGCGTCCAGTGTCATTGGAATCTGTTTGACCCGGTTGAAAGAAGTGAAGGCCAGTGTGAAAGAGCCGTGCTGCGAGTGTTTGGACGCTTGTTATGAGACCACGGTAAGTTGGATCGCGTTTTATTGGAGTTTAAGTAAGAATTATGCTTTTTTATTATATTAGACCTTTGCCAACGCCATCGAGCCGATCAAGGAAGCCTTGAATTCCAAGGCGGTAGGAAGTCGACTACAAGCTTGTGAATTTTTCAAGCGATGTTTTCTACAAATCGATTTTCAAACGGCGAAGAAATGCAGTAGTGCCACCAAAGAGGCCGTAGAATTGTTGTGCAAGGTAAGGTTTACATTTATATTCTAAAATTGTTCCGTCTTTAGCTCGCTCTTGGATCAGACCCCGCGCTTCGAGATGCGGCCATGCAGGCATTGGCTGCGTTTATGAGGGCCATCGGCAAACAAATTGCTGCGCCTTTGTTGGAAACAGTTGCTCAAGACAAGTTGAAGATGAATAAGGTAAATTAATATGGAATTTTGTTGGTTGGCTGAGTTTTTGATATTTTCAAACTTCAAATAGGGACATAATTGCATTGTTTGCAGGTTGAGGAGTATTACGAGAACTTTATTGTGGAATTCCCTCCACAACAAGCACCTCCGAAGCCCGCGGCCCAACAGAAAGCTGCCCCAGAAGCCGCCAAGAAAACCGCCTCATCGACTGCCTCTCAGCCCGTTGCACAGCCTGTCGAGGACGATGAAGACGATTTCTTGACCCCCTACGACCTCGTTCCGCACCTTACTGATGCATTTTACGAAGGACTTCAGTCGAAGAAATGGTCCGAAAGGAAGGAACCCTTGGAGAATCTGAGTCAAGTCGTTGAGAAGAACCCCAAGTTGAAGCCAAATGACAGCGAATTCCATAGACTCATAGATGAGTTGTCAAAAATCTTGGCCAAGGATTCGAATATACTGGTAACGGCGGCCGCAGCAAGTCTTTTGGCGAAGATTGCCAGAGGGTTAAAGAAGAATTTCGAAGTTCACGCACCCTCGGTGATTGCCATTTGCTTCTTGAGGCTGAAGGAAGTCAAACCGACCGTCAAGGAACCTTGTACGGACTGTTTGGAAGCTTGTTATTTGACTACTGTAAGGAATTTACATTACTTTAGATACGTTAGAGACAGATTTTGTTTAGGTTATCTTTTAATTTTTTTTTGCAGAATTTCGCAGCCGTTGTTGAGCCAATCAAGGATGCTTTGGTTACAAAGGCGCCAGGAACGAAGCTCGCGGCGTGCGAGTTTTTTAAGCAAGCCATGTTGAAGATGGACCTCCAGACCGCCAAAAAGTCCTCGCAAACCACGAAGTTGGTGGTGGATCAGCTGGTGAAGCTGGCCTTGGGCTCGGATCCGGCATGCAGAGACGCTGCGATGCAGGCATTGGCCGCGTTTATGAGGGCCGTCGGGCAACAACTGGCCGTTCCATTGCTGGGCGAGGTGCAAGGAGACAAGCTGAAGATGGCCAAAGTCGAGGAATACTTTAATGCATATGTTCAGGAATACCCTCCAGTGACTGCAGCAGCTCCGCCACCGGCTCAGAAAGCGCCAGAGAAGAAGGTTGTTCGGCCGGGACAACGACCAAACAAGGTGGGATTTGTTGAGATTGTACTTGATATTGGCTTAGGGTTTGGTGAAGTTTGGGGTTGTTTTGGGTTTGAAAATGGGTTGGGTAGTAAGAAATTTTCTGAATCGCACGAGGTTTTAATTTTAAAAGTTTTGGGTGAAATGGTCAAGTTTCTGGAGCTTGATCATGGGTAAGGTCCATTTATTTGGGTTTTTTCGTTTTCAGTCAGCCGTAGACACTGTAGGCAGAGCAATGTCACGACTCATGAAGACACTGTTGCCTTAATTTTAGCTGTTGAGTAGTTATGAATAGTTATATTACACTAGGTAACAGTAAACAATTTTGTTTTCCAAAATAAAGTTCCGGGGGGAGAAGATTACTTTCCATGGGAGCCCAAGTGTTTTGACCTTGTGTCTTTGTTTTCCGCAAATTTTCGATTTCACCAACGTTTTTTCTCGATGATATTAACCATGTGTTCCGTGTTTAGCCGAGGCCCGTGGAGCCCGTGGAAGAGCCCCCAATCGAGAGCCGAACCCGCACGCCGACGCCGGAAAGCCCCATGTGAGTGAAGCAAGGGAATAGCCTTTCTTTTCCGTCCGTTTCAGATCATATTCGGATCGCGGTTTCTGTGGTTTAAAGGATTTTCGCCAACTTTTTTTGAGGGAAAATAGATTTGTTTTGTTGGGTCGTGTATAAGGAGATTATTTGCAGAGACGTGCAAGAAGTGTACAGACCGGAGCCGGCCTTCGTTGAGACCCCCATGGTCCGCCAAGCCAGGTCGGCGGCGGCTCCGAAGATGGAAGAACTGGGCGATTACCTGACCAAAAGCGCCGGCGTGCCACTGGAATCCCTCCTCAAGCTGAGCTATCAAGTTCCTAGACCCAACTCGGATCACTCGATGAAAGAGGTACGTTTTGAGCGAGCTTCTCATCCTTTTTTTGGAGCGCTTTTTATATTGCACTTGGTCAGGGTATGTTTACTTTTGTTGTTTTTAGATGCTGGACAGCGCTCCGATGGAAAAGGACAATTCGGACCCAAAACTGGTGCTCTTGGACGCGCTGAAAGCACTGAATTCGACGGATTTGGTTGTGGCCAACGGGGCTGTGGTCGATTTATTCGCCTTGGCTCAAGATGCCATCGACGCCAAACTGTTGGCACCGAAGACCGAAGGAATCATCGACCCGATCGGATTCCGTCTCACCGAATGTGCCGAACTCTTGACCTCGGACCCATCGCCCACCCAGCAACAGGACGTGGTGAACTTTTTGAAGAACGCTTCCAACTTTTTGCTGCGGTTACTGCCCCAAAAGGACGTGGCCAAGAATATAAACCCGGATCTCTTCAATAAACTCTTCCGCCCACTGTTCGAGTTGTGGTCTCTGGACAATGTAAAGTCGGAAGGAAAGTCCTCCATCAAGCACGTGGCCATCCAATTGGCCGAGAACGTCTCCCCGAACGTGGTCTTTGTTTGGCTGGCTCAGGCCATGTTACCCTTGCTCAGAGAAGTGGGGGAAGTGGAGAAAGAAACAGGGGAACATGATTATAAGAAGACCAAACCTGGAGCAGAGTTCCATTTGCTCCTTCAAACGGCTAATAAGGTAGGGTTGAATGGATTTTGAGAGCCTGTAAAGTCGGGGAATTCAGTCTTGGAAATGACGTTTTTTAGTGCTTAATTTTTATTATGTAGTAGAAAAGACTGAAGGCTAGAACGATGGACCCTTTTCAGGTAGTGGAAGTTGTCCGAGAAGACCCTCAACGCCCCCTGAACCATCTGGAAATCCATCGGGCATTCGCCCCATTGACTGAATTGGCCTTGAACAAGTCCATTTTCTCGGCGCAGAGTCTGATCAGGAATGGAGTGGTGGGTGTAGTCCAACGATTCATCCAACCGTGCGTCGAGAAAGCGGTCCCCGCAGCGGTCCGGTTGAGTTCGGAACATCCGACTTACTCCAGCTACGCCATCAAGTGTGTGAATGCATTTTTCAACAGAACCATCGAGCAGCAGGCGGCCAAGAACCCGGAATACTTGACCAAAGTTCTGTGGACGTCATTGGAGAAGTTTAGAGATGGAAGTAAATATCAGGAGGTGGGTAGTTTATCTTGTTTTATATTATTTTCGGGATAGAAGGTGATCATGGAAGGATAGGAAATTAAATAGATTTTTTCGGTATTTTTTGCTTTTTTGATTAATTTTGGTGTAGGTTACACTGGATTTTTGAGATTAAATTTGTCATGAGTAATACAGAACCTTTGTAAATTATGCCTAATTTTGGTTTTTTTAGGCTCTTGACACATTGTATTTGGTCTATAAACTTATGAAATCGGATGAGTCGTGCAAGAAGGCATACCAAGCACAGTGGGACAAATGTATGAAGCATTCGATCTTCGATGAAGTGGCCATGGATATCATCCAGAAATACGATGAAGTTCTCAAGCAAAATGGAGACTTTGATATCCACGCATACGTGTTCGACAAATACGTTGATGACGAGACGAAAGAATTGTATCAAAGGATCAGTAATTTGTGCCGGAGATTGAGGAATTCCCCGAGCATCTTTGGAGGCCAGGTACCAAGTTCATCCGGCCAAACGGGTTCCAACGGACAAAGTGTAAAGTCCAACTTCTTGAAGGTAAGGGAGCATAGAGAGGATTGAAAGAGATAATGGGGTGGTATTGAGAAGTTATTTGGAGGAGATCTTGGCAAATTTTTGAGATATCTAATATAATTTTGGTAGGAATTAGTAAATGTTTGATTGTTATTTTTGTTGTGAGCAGCTCTAAGGCTTTTTGAGGCGACTGATCTCGATTTTTTTGAGGGGTTCTTGTCATATAGAACAATAGAAATGGTTTTTTGAAATGCTTATTGTTTCTTTCCAGGATATGAAACGGTATTCTCTGCCTCTGAACCAATCAGTCGTCGAGGAGAACAACGAGAACACTCTACAGCTTTTCAAAGGCCAGAAGACTCCCCAACGGACAGATGAGAACGAGTTCACCCAAGATTTGTTCAAAACAATTTCTAAAAAACGGCCAGCTTGTGTCCAACCGACCGTCCAATTGGAGAAGAGAACCCTCGACTTTGTGACCCGTCCCTCCATCCCAGAATAACTCGAAACACGGAAATCTCTCCGTCCAGCTTCACCAAGTGCAAATTGAAATGATCGCAGGACTTGTGAAATACGGCTATTGTAATGTAAAATACTCGCTTCGGAAAGTAACCATCTCATTGTAATTGTATTTACTAACCCTAAAATCATTGTCTTAAAATAAAATTTTATGAATGGAAAGGTGTGCTTACTTAGGGATATCGTTTAGATTTATGGGCCGTCACGTCAATAGCGCATTTCCTGAACCGTTTCGAAACTTCGTATCGTTTTCATTGGCTTAAAAGAGAGACGAAATGTCGCGAAATTATCGGCACTTTTTCTCGCCCGAAACAATTGCTTTTTTTCGAAAAGGAAGAAAAACGACAAGAAAATGCTTTTTATCGGATAGTGACATTTCGTTTTCAACGAATCGCCAAAAGGGGCGGGAATTTTTTTCTTTTATTTTGGATTGACGTGGCCTTTGGTTTTTTTTATCCGGCATTACAAGGTCCCTTCGTCACATTGTAACTCATGAAAATGCTAGCGAAGCCTGAGCCAATAGCCAATCGTCGATAGTTCGGCGGTCCTTTCTCGGGATGAGGGATCAGATCAGTCCTGCTGCAAGTAGTTACAAGCGTCCCGTTTCTCGTGTACTCGAGGAGAAATTGGTTACAGGAGCTTTGGCCGTAATCGTAATTTTCTAGACCGAAATTATCGGTTTCCCCGACCATTTTTCGATACACAGCGCTGATATTATCGTAAGCATTGTTGACTTGAAGGGGAATGTCGTCGTTCTCGTCCAACAAAGCGATAAGAGAGTTCGAGGAATTGAAGGTAACGTTCAGACATTGGCCTAAGATAAGATTTTTAGAAAATTATCGTCAAAAGTGGGTAGTTTGGTGGATTATATTATTAAGAAGCCCACCTTCGCTGAAATCGATTGACTTCGGGATCAGCGACTTGTCGAGACGATCGCGATCATCGACATCTACATTGTACACGGTAGTGGAGTCAATGTCATAGTGGACATTCAAGAAACCATGGTTGTACTCTAAAAGGAGTTAGTAACTGGGTCAGAATCCAGGGCAACTCCAATTTTGTATAAAAGTTTAATAAAATGCAAAATCTGCGATTGCAAAATCCCGGCGGTTTTAGAATCAGGCGACCTTACTTACTTTGAAAACTATTGAATGGCGTGACGTTGTGGATTATGTTGACATCATTTCGATTAATTTTGACGCCCAGGGAGTCGTTGAAGATCTGGATCTTCAGAAAGACATCTTCAACGGGCTTTTTTCGGATGATCTTGTACAGCTCTGACTCTGAAATAAATCTCAACCGTCAGAGGGTCAAATATTTTTTTGTTTAAGAGTGTTTTCTCTTACCGTCATCTCCGTAAATCCGAACCTGATCTCTGCGAAGATGGACCCGGACTCGAGGAACGCTATGGCCCACACTCCCATTGCTACTCTTTAACACCACCTCGGCGGGAGTGCTGGACCGTATTTTTAGAGTGACATTCACCACGTCTCCTGCATACCATCCTTGGAATCGCTCACGGATCTCGCAAACATGACGCGAGTGGGTTACGGTGACAAGGAAAAGAAGTGGGAATAAATGTAAGATCATTTTGACTTCAATCTGATGCTAATGGGCAAATTGGGCCTTTTTATGTATTAATTACTGGCTAAATTGGATTTGTTGTAATTGGAAAATCGATTTCGTCGATGCTAATGAGCAGGAAATTGAATTGAGCTGCATAAAGAAACCACGGAGACGATGATCTTGGCAGAAAGAAAGGAGTGTTCGATAAGTGGGAATTCTTGTTCAAGACGCATATATCGGATCAATTACTGTTACTGTTATAATAACTTTAGTTTGCAAATTGTGTTATATTAGGTTGTCCAACAAATAATGAGCCTCCTCGAAGGGGTCAAAGTTTAAAGTCTATAAACAACGCTGGAAGGCCATCTGAACTTTCTGAAGCCACCCTGAGGTCACTGGTCGAAGAAGATCCTGGAATTGACATCCGACGCCTTTCAGAGATCACAGGGGCTTTGAAATCATCGGTGGCTAACCACCTGAAGTCGATGGAATTCAAGAAAATGCTCGACAAATGGGTACCCCATGAGTTGACCGAAGCAGAGAAATCCCGAAGAATGGAGGCATCGCGATTGCTGCTTTTGCGAGCCGAAGAACCTGGTTTTCTGGACCGAATAGTCACGTGTGATGAAAAGTCGAATACGACAATCGGACAAGGCCGCCCAATGGTGTCCTCCGGGGGGTTCCACCACGGCACTTCCCAAAGCCGGCGCAATGGTATGTCGGAGTGGTCCGATCATTTTGCATGATAATGCGCGGCCTCATACGGCAAAAACCACCCTGCTGAAGCTACAGGAGTTGGGCTACGAAACGCTCTTGCACCCCTCTTAAGGCCCCGACTTGACATCTACTGATTACCACCTGTTCAAGGATCTAGCACGTTTCATCAATGGTGGGGAATTCGACAATCAAGACGCCCTTGAAAAGGCCTTCAAAAGTTTCATTGGCGCCAGAAAGCCGGATTTCTACGTTCACGTTGGAGCAAGTGTGTTCAAGCTCACGGTAATTATTTTGGTTAATAGATTGTTATTATTGCGGTAAATTTTGTTATAAAAGTAAAATTAAGAATAAATGTGAAATCATTTTGACATCAATCTGATGCTAATGGGCAACTTGGGTCTTTTTATGTATTAATTACTGGCTAAATTGGATTTGTTGTAATTGGAAAATCGATTTCGTCATTGCTAATGATGTGCTTGCGCCAATTGCGTTATTAAAATTTTTCATAAAACCTGCTAAATTGTAAAATCGCAAGACAATTTTATCGCCTTCCAAATGTGTTTATGTTAATTTTTTTACAACAAATGCCTCACACAAAATTTCAAAGCACTTTTCATCACTAATAAATATGTTCATAACATAAAAGAAAGGAGCAAAAATTGAAGCAGAACGTAATTATGGACTTGTCGACGTTTTCGGATCTTCTGGTATTTGACAACTTCCATTGGCGATCGTGTATCCAACAAAGTCGTTGACGTATTCTAGACCGATAGCCAAACGACGATAATCCGGCTTCCCCCCGTCCGGATGGGGGATCGTGTTATTCTGACCGCATGCGCTTACAACTGATTCCTCGCTATTGTAAATAATCGAAATTATGTTACAAATGGTTCCGGTGTTGTTGTAAGATACGTCGAATTGAACGTTATCGGCAACCAATCGCCTCACAATCGCTGGATAATCGTTATCACTGTTCACCCAGAGCGGGAAATGATCTTCTCTGTCCAAGAGGGCCACAAATCCATATAATCTGAACCGTACAGTAAGACATTGACCTGAAAAAGTGACAAGTAAAGCAAAAATCTTATAAAAAAATTAACACACACTCTGTCCTCTAGAAAAGTTTCAATTTTTAAGACCGCCCTATAAAAAAGGAACTTTCAGAAATTAACCAGCGGCTTAGATAGGACACATGAATTTACAGAGAGTCAGCGTCCTTGTCATCGCTGTTGCAGCCTTTCCAAGTTTTAATTTTCACCTTTGTAGGCTTACCTTCAAAAAAATTAATGGGGATTGGAATAAAGGGTTTGTAGTCTCGTTGGTCATCCGTCATGTCCACCTTCAACAAACTGGTCGTAGAGTCGTCGTAGTTTATTTCTAAACTCCCATGGAGATAAACTGAAATTCATTTGAGATTGTCCGTTACCTCATCTGTTTCTAGGCCTTGCTCTACAAATAATTTTTTCTTTTTACCGTCTGTTACGAATGTGATCGGCGGAATCCCAAGGTCATTTTGATTGAGTTGAATGGCTACAATTGAGTTCTCGATCCGGATCTCAACCTCTGCAATCGGAACCGGAGACTCCTTCTGATTGTCGGACCAAGTCTCATCTGAAACCGAAAGCATTTGCAACGCAAGACTTCAGCAGTACTCACTCTGAGCCCCGTAGACTCTGATTCGTCGCCGGCTCACATGAATCCTCATGAGGAGCACCCGAGTTGGGTGAACGTGAACACCATACTTATACAGACTTATTTCGGCCGGTGTGTCAGAAGTGAAATTCAACGTTACAAAGATACGATCTCCATTGGCCCAGCCTTGGAACCGCTCACGGACATATAAAATATCGGCGGCCTGGGTGACCACGAAGAGAAAAACAGAGAAGCGGAACATATTAAAGACGTGTATGAAGATGGAACGACTCTTAAATAGAATTTAAACGTCACAGTACATCCAATAGAAACAATTGTATGTGATTATTAACCATTTTAATGAGAAGATCGAAACCGAAGCCCTGTCTTTACGGACTACGCTCTTGGTGAAGGGTGTTTCAAGAAATATGACAGAAATTTTTGCGAATATCGTTGTGCTCTTTGCACCTATCCAAGAAGTTTACCCAAAATTGGTCGTTTACCATGCAAGACGATATAAAAAATAACAAACAACAATAAAAGCTCAGATTTTTATATACAAGCGCGGTCACAACACCATAGTATTCAAAACATTCGGTTGATAAATCGCCGCAACGTTTACAATCAGCCTAAGGTCGCTGCAATCGCATCCCACAACTTCGCAGACCCTTTCCATCGACAAAATCATCGGTGATGAAGCCGAAATATTGTCATCCGTATCCTCATCGGTTGTATTCGACGACAGCCAGCTGCGGTGTTCTTTTCCTGGAGACTTAACTGAAACCACCGACAAATTCCGTAGCTTGGACATTGCAATTGCAGCTGGTGGGTTTGGTGCGCGGAACTGGGGCTCTTCAGGCTTCGGAGGGCTAACTGGGCCCGGCGATTCGACTTCCATCACCGTAGACTGGCTGGTATTGGCTCTGCTTTCGGTGTAAAGACACTCCGACTTCTCTTCGGAGGTAATCAACTTGACCAAAGTCTGACTTTTGCTCAGCAAACCGCTTAGTTTGTCCTCCAAGAAGCTGATCAAAAAGTTTGGCTTGACATCGATTTTGTAGAGCAACAGAAACTGTTCCAACATTGCGACCACCGCATCCGAGGGGCTTGTGACTTGCTGATCTTCAACTCGACAATTCTCTGCCGAAACGATTCGAACCGTATAATCCGTCAGATCGCCGACCACGACCATCGCTGAAGTCGGGCCCTCGATGGTCGTTGACTTCTGACTAGAGCGGGGGGAATCGGCGACGTTTGAGTTTTGACGACGATGCCGAGAAGGTCGGGGTGGAAGGCCATGGACAGTGGAGTAGACGGAGCCTGTGAGGGCTGAACTGGTGGACGAAGAGAGCGAAGCCAACGCATCGCAAGGCTCTCCGGTCGGGTGTTTGACGTCGTCGTAGATGGCGTTAAAAGTGTCTTCAATTTCTGATTCCCGGAGATCCACACCTGAAAAATAGAAATAAAAATTAAAAGAAAGTTTTTTCTTCACAACTCTCTAAAAAAGATGTTTACCTGACAGCACAAAATGTGGCGAATACGAAGCGCAAACCCCAGCCAGCAACGATCTTCCCAGATCTCCATTTGCATGAGCACATGAACTCACTGACTGGGACGAATGCGAACTCGAGGCCGGCGACTGTTCGCCACTTTGAGTTCCGCTGGCTTGACGAGGAAGCGAGTTCTGAATCAACGAACTGATCAATTCTTGCCCGGACACCTGGACATCTTCCTCATCAAAGATCAATTCTATTCGACTTGGCGGATTTATGGCCCGAGTTTTGGGTGGGGGCTCGTCCAGATCGATGGGAAATTTGGAGGATCCATCTGGAAGTGAAGGAGAAAACTGAGACGACACGGAAGACGAGGATCGTTTGGTTCTTGCCGATGGATGTATTGGCATTGAGGGAGCAGGATCGATATGTTGGGAAGTGCTTGAGGAGCTGAGATCGGTCATGAAATCATCCATAAGGTCCGATTGAGCGTTCAACGAAGAACTTCCAACAATATTTACCGGATTCGAGGGTCTGGTTGGGGATAAAAGTTCTGAAATCCAAACAGATTATATGTTATACCGCACTGTTCGATTTGTTATATTTTCGGCACATCATATCAGAGAACATGACCAAAAAAATTGTGCCTTACCTCCTCTCCTACATTCCACATTCGAGCAGCGGATGAAATACGACATGACAAAGAGGATCTCGCTGATTAAGTGAGGGTTCTTCCCAATGATCACAGTTTTGGCCAATTTGTCGCCTCCTCCCACGATTCCAAACAGATCCATTAATTGGGCCAATCGGACGTTGTATGGATGGCCGGAAGCGTCGATAACACTCTAAAAATTAAGCGTATTACTTCTTCTCACATTTATAAAATCACTTGTAGCAACTTACAGTTCCCAGAAGCAATGATCTTTCATTTTGTGGGATCGTATCGGGCGGGGCAACACTCGCTACCCAGGCCAAATGATTCATGAGGACGGCCGAAAGGAGGGTGGATAAAAAGCTGGAAAAATCAAAATAAATCTCAACACATTTTCTACACCGAAAAGGCGTAGATTCTGGATTATTAGAAACTCCGTTTAACATCCACAATAATATAGAAGCCACTTACAAATGAGTCTCTTTCCGATCCAGTTGTTCAATCAACTTCGCCAAGGAAGAACAGAACTTTTGAGCCGTATCATTCTGCTGTTGCGGGTCCAACAAGGACAGCCAAACTGGCTGTCGCAACCTCAGCGAATTGTACAACAAACAAATTGAGTTTGCAAATTGTTTGTAGGCCTGATAGACGCAGTAAAAGAATTGACTTCGGGATAATGAAGCCTTGTAAATCCCGGTTTCCAACTTTAAAATCTCTCGTTCGATCTGCAGAATATGTTGGAACAAGAAATCCCGCTCCTTGGCGTCGAAGATAAGAGCAAATCCAATTTGTTTCTGGTCGTCGTTACTGTCATTGACTGAAGAACAGGAACTCATGCGGGATCGACTGCCCCAACGGACGGCTGGACCTGCAATCAAAGGATCAGCTTTCCCAAGCATCTAAAATTTGAAAAAAAAAAATCTAGCCCTTACCTTCATCCGCCAAGCCTCTCAACGACAGTTGTTTGCGACGATTTTTGCTCAACTGACTCGGTGAGAATGCTCGGACTTCCTCGTGGATCGTATCATCGGTGTCCATCTGAAGCGACGAGTTTCGTATCCGATGAAAACGTCTTGGAGGGTCGGCGGACGAATTTTTCCTTCGAAGATCGTCGCGGAGTGTGTCCAATGAGCGGACTGTTGCGTAAAGTTGACTTTGACAATCTGATTCAGATCCGAACATGTTGTTCATAAGATTGAGCTCACTAAAAATTAAAAATTGAGACATTGAAGTCAAAATACTTACTCGTAAGCCCCACTGAATTTGGACGCCTTTGGCACGAAGAAGACTCGGCTCAGCATCACCGAGTTTGTTTGACTGAAACATAAAAAAAATATCTTCGTTAGCCATGAATCTTACGGTAAAGCGTGAAACTTGAGAGATCCAGTCTTCGAAGACGTTGGCAGAGTGCCAAAGACCATTCGACCAATTTGTGGAATATCTGAACGATGCCGGAGGAACTGAAAATTTTACGTAACAAAACCCTTCTTATAAAATCGTATAAAATGTCTCCAACAACGTGAATCCGGAAAATCCTTACATAAAACCGTCCACAACTGCCTTTCCGAGCATCATCCAGTTGTTTGTCCTCAATCGATATCACAGTTTCCGAATCATACAGTAATCTCTGATCATTCTCATTGAAGATGACCAATCGAATGTCCGACCGTTGGATTTTCCGTGTCTGGCCAACACTAAAAGCAAAACAACATAAAAAGAGAACAATAAACATACCATAAGTCGCTGTGCCGTTCGAATTCATCAATGGGAGCCGTTTCCAGCATGGTCGGGTTGGGCGAAGTGGCGGCGGAGGTGGAGGGCGCGCTCTCCCCATTTCCGCGGCCGAACCAATTCCGTACGGTGGCCGAGAAGCCACGAGCATTGCTGTTTACGGAGACTTGGGATAATGTCGGTGACGCGCCACCGCCGACATAGCGGTCCAATTCAGTAAAGTTTTGATTCCAGGAAATTTCGCTAAAAATTATGCTGTAATATAAAGTCAGACCCGTTTCGAACACACTGCAGACATCACGGGTTGTCTGTTCTGTTAAAAAAGCAATCAACACAGAGACACCGGACGGAAAATCAATATTCTGTCAATATTAGTCATGGTAGATGGCATGAATAATTGACTCTTCACAGTCACAGCCTCTCTCTTAGTACATGGAAAGGTCGTCAAAACGAAATGAATTGATCGAAATTCCGAGTTCTGTCGACATTATACTAGGTAACAAAATGGCTCAATAAAAAACCAATTTTTAATAATGAAAACGCACTTAAAAGGTAAAATTGACCCCAAAGAAGGCACACAGATCAAAATTTGAGGTATAACCCTGAAGCACCAGGTCCGCCAATATTATCCATGACAAAGAAAAACTACTAAACTTAAAAGCCCATATAACGCAACAAATCGATTGGTTAATCCGCACTGATCGTGTTCTCAATGTTTATATATCCAAAATATATTTCAACAACATCTGAGAACGACTGAAATCAGGCGATGCTCCAATATTGTACTTGCCGACGAAAGTCGAGAAAGTTGTCCTTCAAGTGCCGTAAAAGCTGTACCGGATCGGTGACCTTCTAAAGCAACAAGAAACAACTAAAATACAGTCAGTTTACCGCGGTAAAACGAGATACAATTCTCGTGAGAACGTGCCGAACGAGAACGATCGATAGATCGAGAACCCGAGCTGCGCCCGAGGGAACGCCCACGTGCGCACTTTTATACGAAAAATATTGATTGAATTTATAAAATTCGACACAGTAATGTAAATTGGGTATTTTCTTATAGTTTTGTGCAACTTGAAAGCGGATTTTTTCGTTTGTGATTAAAATTTCTCATGAAAATTGAAATATACAGTCCAACATACATTTTTTAATTATTGATGACTTTTGCGGATTGTTTTGGAAAAAATGATGATGTAAGGTAATTCTAGTGCAACTCTGACACTATTAAGTGTCATAAATGAAGCAGGTTCTCTATTTATTTATTAAATTTTCAACTTGTGTCCAATATTTTGATGTGTAATGTAATGAAAATCGCATTGGACTTCGTCATTACCGCTAGTTGTCCAATCTTCCCTCCAGCTATTGGGCTGGCAATCTCTTCGTTTTTTGGAGGTTCTTTTGTTACTTCATAAGAAGATGAAATGCAAATCATCTATGTTTTCTTTATTTTCTCGGCCCAATTAGAGAGAAGAGGTCAGAGCGTTCCGAAAAATCGCCAGCCGACAAAAAAACTTGGCCCCTCTCGAGTCGTGGGGCCGCTTGACAACCAGAAAGCCGAGAGAGAGACGCCTCTGCTTAATCCAGGCCGAGGAAAATGGCGACATTTTTCGTGGCGCCCTCTTCCAGAGGCCCGTCTGACATTTCCGTATGTAAATCTAATTGCGAATCCGCATAGTTTTGCGTTATTTTTCCCAAAAAAATCGCCTCTCAATCCTCTCTGAAGTAATACCTGCCAATTTGAATATTCTGGCCTTTTATTTTGCTTGTGAGAAAACAAACTTATGAAGAGAGTGTGAAAAGGTAGGAGGGGGTTAGAGAAACGACCTCCAAAAAGTTGGAGGGAAAAAAGAGTATGGGGAAAGGGGAGAGGAGGTAGAACTGGGTCGAGTTGAAATGTTCAATGTAAGGGGGATATTACGCAGTAGCTTGGTTCACACAAAACATGTGCCGAAAATATTTTTGGCTGCAAGTAGAGTCAATAATATTGACTGCGGAGACCGGGAGATGGGCTAGGCTTTAATCAGGTCTTGAATAAGTAAAAGTGGCAAATTTGAACGATATCGTTGGATGATATATAGTTGTGACCCTTCATGTTACATGTTGGACTTGCATCTGTTGTCGTTTTATTATGTAATATTCCTTATTTTCTACCGTGAAGTGGCTAAGGCCGACTACCAGATTTCCCTTATCCTTGTCCACAATCTCGGCTAACATTGATAAGAAAAAAGCGATTTTTTTGTCAAAAAATATGCTTATCTTCTATATAAAACTTGGTTTTTTCGAGGCCACCAATTTCGCCTTTTTTGTTGTTGATGATACCAAAATTTTTTTATGACACAATATTGCATTTGATGACGTATATTTTTTTTTAAAACCATGTCGCCGTGAGCTTAAGTTTAAGATTGCCTTAATTATTGCTTATATTTAAGTCAATTGCCTTAAAATTTTAGTAAGTATGAGAATAAGATCCGTACTTTGCTCACTCTTTTCTTTCTCCCTTAGGCTGTTGTTATTGCGTCTATAAAATCCTTGAGAAAAAGAAGGAAGAACAACAGTGATTCAGCTGGGCTTTCTCTTTTTTATGAACCCTTGTGATGCAAGGGGAAGTAACCAAACGGATTAGTCCATTTATTAAGCGCTTCACTCAATAAATCCTCATGTTTTCCATTTATCACACAATTTTCCTTGTATATAGATTTTTTGAACTTTTAATTTGTTGATAAGCACTTTGGGGAATCAATTATTTTCTGGCTGTAAAGCTTTTTTTCGTTGTCAGAGTACTTATAGGAAACTTGCTAGACTGTGAAAAAATTGTAAAGTTTGTTGAAGTAATGCCAAAAATCTCAACCTGATAATAAATATAATAGAAAGAAATTCCAGGAGTGTGACGCTTAAATTTCCACGAAACTTGGGACAAATTTAGATTGACATTTCTGAGGGTATTTTTTCAGATTTTTTTGCTTACAATTGGCCAAAGCTAGTAAGAATTTTTTGTGACAATGAGATGCAAAAAATTCGAGCTTTTTTGAAATTTTTCACCAAAAAATTGGTAGTCTGAAAAGTGTTGTAGGAACTGCAATTCTTTGAATACTATAATACACTTTGTGCTGCCTCGCAAAATCACTTTATTCTTACGAATATTCCCCATTCTCTGATGTAAAATACCTCTCGTTTCTTCCGTCTTCGGCATTGGATTTCACGTGCTGTTTGTCCACATCACTCCCTTTCGGTGGCCTTCTTTACTATTCGCAAACGTGATGTTCTCCGTTGGCTTGCTGACCATGGTCTCCTCCATCGTCATGACCAACATGGGTGCGAAAATTGAGGAAGAAAAAGAGCGAAGCGCCCGCGGGGGATTCTCCATTTGTGTGTGGTCGGTGAGCCGTGTCGAGGGTCTCTTCAGAATCCGCAATATCTAATTTCTTTTATTTTCCTCGCTCTTGATCTTTTCCCCTTTCGTTTTACCTTGTTTTAGCAGTCTTTTCATCTGAATCCAGTCATCTTTCTGGTCTCTGAGGCTCTTGTTCTCCCTAACTTGTTGACTCTGTCTGCATTTCAAAACTTTTCCTCCAATTTTAACTGTTTTCCAGTAGTTCAAAATTGAGTGTCTACGTCGAAAATCATTTTTTACGTCTCTAAAATCCCTATAATCCTTTTGTTTGGGTCTCGAGTCTCTGAGAATCGAGTGATCTCTAGTGTTTGCGTCCTTTCTCCTCGAGATTTCTTTGAAATTATTTGTAGTCAAAGCTTTTGCTAAAGATTTCCATAGGTCATTACCTAAGGCCTGGGGTCTCTAAAAAGTAGGCTAATCTTGTTTTGTTTTCTTTACTCTAATAGGTTGATGGTCTATTTTACACAACCAGCTCTTTTGTCAGCCTTTTTCTCCCTGGAGTCTCCAAAAAAAGTAATGTTTTACAATTTTCTCTCCTCCTTTTCATCCTGTTCTCTGCTTCTACGGCCTCTCCAAACCCTGTACTCTCTCCTCTCTCTTCCATTCAAAGCCTTTTGCATTGAGCCCCTGAGGCAGTTAGCCTCTTCAAATTTCCTTTTTTCTCTCCCACTTCCCTCAGACTCTCCGAAAACCCAATAATCTCTCTCCTTTTCTCTAGCACTCTCTTTGTTTGGGCAGTCTCTCGCCTCCCTCATCCCAATTCCCTTCCAAATTTTCGGAGCTCGAGGCTTTCGAACGCGTTTTTCACTTTTACTGCGGTCAGCCGGTTACTCTCCCCAATGCATCCCAAATTACCATAGAGTAAACCGGAATGTTTGGGTGGAGATTTTGCCAGTTTATTGCCGCAGTACGCATAAATTCGGCGGAGTTTATGCTCGTTTGAAGCAAGAGTTTTGGTGATTTCGATCTTTTCAATTTAATAATTTCGTTTTTATAGCGGCTTAATCTTTACAATCGTTTTTTGTCAGGTCCAAAAATAAATGGGAAATCGTAAGGAATCAGGACTCCGCTTACTTTGGAGAGATTGGTTGGTTGGAAATCTCTTTTAGTCTGAAAACCCGGCTACAGTAGAGTTACGTGCTCAAATGGAAACCCTCAGATTTTGATGCGAGTTGGTACAAAATGAGCTTGTTCCCTTCTAAAAACTCTGTGAGATTTTTAACTTGCGCCTTTTTTGGACAACCCAGATTTAACAATAAGTTGCAAATTAGGCATAAGCTCGGTACATTTTTATAAGTCGCGGATGACAAATTGGCGTCCTGTTTCTTACGATTAGCGATCTATTTATACAAGTCGTCAATGTCTTCTAAAACAACGATGCGATTGAAAGTTTTTTTGTTAGGCCAACTCTTTGTAGATCTGTTTTAATGATCGTCATGTTCACTACAACATGACGTCATTTAATTAGTAAAAAAGAGCTAAAAATATAGAAATGGCATCCAAATATCATTTCGAATGGGCTTTGAGATGTTCATTAAATTTTTGGATCCTCTAGGGCTCAAATCGTATATAATAAAAAAGAGAATGCTCGAAGCTCAGATTTTATTCAAACTTTACATAGCAATTCTGTCTAGACCAAATATCATCACCCAAAAATTTTTACCTTCCATTTTCTGTGGAGAGACGGGATAGTGAACGGTCTTTATAGGCGAGAGATTACGTAAAATTAGGAGTGTCGGAAAGGCAAAAAAAAGTTTTTACAAATTTTTTTTGTTAGAGCAGTATTTTTGCAAAGAAAAGATTATTTTTGGTAGGGGAAATCTCATCACATTCTAATTTTCCACCTTGCTATTTACATTGCAAAATCACCGTTGCGCAAGCTAAAAAATCTCATTTATCTCTTAAAAACGTTTTCTCTAAATCTTCGATTACTTTCATCATAATTTGACATCAATTCCAATTGAATAATTTATCCTTTGTTTCGGATTTCTGGGACATTTGGATGGCCATAATCCGTTCGGATTTGGCCTTGGTTTACAATGTTTATGATGCTATTCGGGCGGAATTTAATCCCCCAACAATAATCTCCTCCCTTTCTCCTTCTTTTTGTGGAATATAATTAATTCCAAAAGCAGAGCGAAGGAAGGCTTAATTTGCGGGTGTTTTTTGCGGTTACTATGGCGTTATGGATAATGTGAGCGGTTCTTTGTGCAGTTATGTGTTTCGGAAACCCGAGTTCTTCATGCGGTTGGGACATACGACATCAGGAGATGTAATCTAAACTTTTTGGCTCAAGCGTGCCCGAAAAAACGCAAAATTTTGGAAATTTTTGTCATGAATGATACAAAAAAGTTGTCTGAATCCGAAAATTTGGCTTTCTACAATTTCTAGAGGGCTTTAAGATCAACGCCAGCGTATTCCACCTTGCTTGCTGACTAAACTTATATTACATTTGACCTAAATTTACATATAAATCCTATAAAAAAATAATGACAGCCCATTTCTCCCGGAACTACCTAAGCAAAATAAGCGATGAGCAATCGTTTTTCGACTCATCCCCCCGTACGTCACCACATTTTTCTCAACAAAAATGGAATAAATTATACTCCACAAACATGTTGACCCCATCAAATCCGATTTATGAATTTGCCTAGAATCACATGACTTTCCTGTTATTGTTTCTATTATTTCCCACATTGTTGATATAGAGGGACGATAATGATTTTCGCCCCGGTTCTTCCGCGTGATCTTTTTTGTTTGGAAACGGGGGGTCGACGTGGATAATATCGGGGCCACAGTTCCGTTTTCGGAAATACAATTCTGTTTACGATTAATCATCCCTCGAGGTGGGAAGATCAATTAGATTGGAGAAATCGACCGGTCGCTATCCCTTGCTTAGATTTGGTCTCAAGACGATCTTGGCATTCTGTTATAAGCTGGAAAAAATTTCTTTTCACCTTCCTACAGGCCGAACTGTCAAATAACAGAATTCCTGATGTTTTCAGGACGTTTTTTTACATATTCACCTCAACTTTTGAAGGATCATTCAATTTTATACCTAAAATAATATAAATTTGACAAAACTTCCCATCGACCGGTCGGTTTTCGCCCTCTATATGACACGTCACTACTGTTTACAATCTTGATCCGCTACTTGTAGTAATTTTTACAATGTGTTTTTGTTTTTATAGCTTCTACGAACCTTTTTCCATTCCTTCTCTGATATTATCCATGAGAAAATCGATCAATTTTTACTCCGTTCGCCTTCAAAGCAGTTGAAGGGAACGTCGTTCGATGACGTTACAGCGCATAATTTTGCATTCGTTTCGATTGGTTATTCTCAGAGGCTATGATTTTAATTGGTCTTGTGTTGATTATTGATCAGCAAGGTCCTCTTTGTGGAATTTGGTTGACCGTTTTAATCAAAATCCTCGGTAATATTGGCGTTTTACAAGTTAATCAAGCCTTTATTCTGTAAGGCCATGGAAATCTTTTTTTTGCTTATGTTAAAAAGTTTTTATTAAGATTGCGCGCATTTTTCTAAATTTTGCAACATTTTTTCTAAAGAATAATGTTATGTATTGATGTGTATATTTTTTTTCAGTTGCGCTTAATTGAAGACTTCCATTGATTTAGTGGGTTTCGTCTAATTTAGCCACACGAACAAAGCAAACTTTAATTTTTTCGTCGAAAAAATTAAAAACAAGCCAAGAGATGTCGAGCGACGAGAGCACTGATAAAGAGGTATGTCTTAATGTATTTTGTCTTCTTTTTAGGTATCAGGAAAAGTTATTGTTATGCAAAATTATTTGTCAAATTTCTTCGAAAGAACGAGATCTTCGAAATTTTCCGTCTTTTAAAGCTAAATTAAAGCTTGTTGCCCTCCTTTTACTCTTGAAGGTTCAGAAATTGTATTCTTACACTATTTTCAAGGAGTGGACCAAAAATGATTTTTTTTTTCCAAAATTTGGAAAAATTCCTGATCTGCAGTATAACATAACATGGCTAATTTTCCTTGGTTTCAGTGCCCTTTGTGCATGGAGCCCTTCGACTTCGATGATGTGCACTTTTATCCCTGCACATGCCAATATCAAGTAAGTTTTTTATATATTTTCTGTTGTTTCTGTGTTTTGGGTCTTGTGCGATTATAAGACGTCAATTTGGTCCACGTTATGGCCACAAATCCACCATAATTTGCTATACAATATACGAATCATGTCTCTTTGCTTCAGATATGTCGGTTTTGCTGGCATCGTATACGAGAAGACGAGAACGGGCTTTGTCCGGCCTGTCGACAACCCTACTCGGATCAACCGGTCACATTCCAACCGCTCAGCACCACCGATATGCAGCGAATCAAGACCGAGAAGAAGCAATCCAAGCAGAAATCGAAGCCGGCCGACTGTCGAAAGCATCTAGCCAATTACAGGGTACTCCAAAAGAACCTGGTCTACGTGGTTGGATTGTCGAATCGAATGGCTGATGTGGAGATCCTGAAGAAACCGGACTACTTTGGGAAGTACGGGAAGGTGTTGAAGATTGCTGTAGGGGCGGCTGTACAACTGAATCCGAGCCAACCTCCGTCCTGCACGGCTTACGTTACTTATGAGAAGGTGGAATCCGCCCTAAGGGCAATTGAGGTAAGAGTTTCTTTTTTTTTGCTTGAACTTTAGGGGAGACTCCGCGATATTTTCGGATATGGCTAAAATTTTTTGAATACGAAAAAATAAATCGACAGGTTTTGCTCTGTGAATGTAAATAGGGAATGGTTAACTTTTATTTTGCAGGCCGTCAACAATCTCATAGTGGAGGGCCGAATGCTAAAGGCATCCTTGGGGACCACCAAATACTGCTCGACGTTCCTTCGAGGGTCGGCTTGTCATAAGCCAGAATGTATGTACCTTCATGAGATCGCCGATGATGAGATCTCGTTTACAAAAGAGGATATGCACGCTGGAAAACACACGGAATACGAGAGAAAACTGCATGAACAATTGGCACAGAGAGCACGGGCAGAAACGCTGAGGAAAAGACTACATAGACAGTCGTAGGTTGATTTAGATTTTTTTGTCTGAAGTTTAGAAAAGATTTGCATTTTTTTCGAAATGACGGACGTGTAGAGCAAAAGACAACTAATATTTTTGTCATTGATAATGTAGAAAGGCATGACAAATAGATAAGTTGGATGTTTCAGAGAATCGGAACAAGTCCCGAATACAAAGAACAAGTCCTCATCGCCCCCAGTCTGTGATCGTCTAGAGCCAGAACCCCCAACCACAAGCTCCGCCGTCTCCGCACCTCGGCTAGCCAGTCTAAGCGACGCCATTGTCACAGAAACCAAAACACAGCGAAAAAAGAAGGCCAAACAAAATTCAGAGACCAAATCAGAAAGTGTAAGGAGAATGTCTTGAAAGTATTTTTTGGATATTTTTTTTAATTTAGTTTTTATATTGTAATTGACTTTTTTAGTCACAAGAAAGCCACAGATCGAAATCCCGCACAGATTCCTCTCCCAGCAGACAAAAAGAGTCGTCCACGAGCAGAAAATCCACTCCAGTGTCGACTTCCAGTACAGAAGACCGACCAGAAAGTGTGGAAAGGCAAAAGGTACGGATTTTTAAAAGTTGTGTTTTGTTTTGGTGTTTAGGATGGCTTCAAAGCTTGGGCTTTCGACCAAAAAATGTGCGAAATGTGTGAGGTAGTGATGGCTTTATTTTCAGGACACCCGCTCCATATCTGCGTCCCCCGCGAGCGTTCCATCCAAACCTCCAGGCTTCGAGCACTACGAACCTGTCCCCTCATCGACTCCTTCGGACTCGAATAAGGAGAATGAGGCCGATCCGGAGCCCGAAGAAATCGCGGCAGAGCCGGCCAAATATACTACTTGTGATGAGCTGGAACGCATGATTCTGGCTCAACACCCCGCCGCAAAGGACGAAGGGCCCATGCCAAGTGGATTCCCGGCCAGCAGCTACAATTTCGATGATGATTTGGGCTTCGATCCCTTCTCAGAGTCGTCCAAAGGCCTGGCGGACCTTGTACTTGAAGAAAAGACGATGTAAGTTTTAACAGTTGATGTTGTAGGTGTCTAAATTACATGGTTTAGCAGTTATCTTTGTCCGGATTTCAGAATTTAGTCATTGATTGGAGTTTTCAGAGCAAAAATTATGATAGAATAGACAGTTGAGGGCAAGGAGATACAATTTTTTTGTAAGAATATGATTGATTTTTACTTTCAGGCCAAAAGAGACCCCTCCACCAGTTCATCGACGTCTCCCCGCCTTCCCGAATGCCGCACAGACCAATGCCGCGACCCAACAAAGGCTAGAAGAGATGTTTGCGAATGCCAGACATCAACCACAAGGGCAACATCACAGCCTTGTGGGCATGATGATGGATAATACGGGCCATCAGCAACCTCCAGCACAATCTCAGCGCCTCTTTGAGAGGATCCAGAACCGCCCACCGGGGCTGGATTCGGACTGGAAAACGTCGGAATCAACCCCTCCACTTCTTCAGTCCATTTTCTCGGCTTATCAATCGAACGGCCAATCGGGAAGCCTCCAACAACAGCAATCTATGTCCAGCCAACAGTCCAATATGGTCAGCCAACAGCAGCAGCAACAGTCCATGGCCAACCAGCAGAGCAATTTAGTGAATCAGCAATCCAGCATGGCCAGTCAAGCACAACAGAATGGAGTGTATAACGCCGCCATGCATGAATACCTGTACAGACAGCATTTGATATTCCGCGAACAGGCTGTCGCCGCCCTCATGGCCGCTACAAGCCATTCCAATTCCATGTCCCGAGCCCCGAATTCGCATAGTCCAACGCCCCCTCAAGATCAGGCGACTTTACAAAATCCTCTGGCACAACTCTACGGCCAGTCACAAACACAGAACGTTTTGGCACAGCAATTACAGAAGTTGCAGGCACAGTACAGACAGATGAATGGAGCTCAACAACCGGGGCAGGACTGGAGAGAAGGCTTTAAGGCTATGTTGCCCAATGTCAACGTCAGGTTCGAAGGTGAGAAAAACGGGATATTGAGGTTATTTTGTGATTTTGCGCGTTGTTTTAGGCATTATTGTTGGTTATGATTGTGATTATAAACCTTGACTCTAATTTCTTTGCAGGTTCATCCACAAATCAATCGATGGAACCCGTCACAACATCCGCCCAACAGCCCAGCTCCAATCCCTCGGCCTCGGCGATCTACAACGGCTACGGCCTGGGACAACAACAACAACAGCAGCTGGTCGCCGGCATTCAAAGCCTCCTCAGTCACCAACAACAGCAGCAACAACATCAGGCTGCCCTCTATCAGCAACAACAAATGCTCTACCATCAGCACCAAATGGCCATGCAGAACTCGACGCTCCCCGTTCAGCCCTCCTGGGTCCCTCCCCCACCCGGATTCCCGCAGGCTGCCACAAATCAGGCCGACCATTAAGGCGTGGATTCCATCAACTGGACTAGTCTGTTTCATCACACTGATGAACATCCCCACCATCTCCCGGACTGTTTCGCTTTTCTATTTTTTGGCCGTATATTGTATGTTGCGGGTACAGTGTACTTTGTTATCGCCGTGTTTCTAAATAATAAACGGTTTACACCGCTATAATTTTTTTTGTATATTGATAATGATGAGAGGAAGATTGGCGAACTTTGGAAGAAAAAAGTTAGGAATGAATCGGGAGCCACTAGCTGGAGGCATTTATAATCGTCGTTGCGATATAAATCGGAAATTTTTATTGGTTTTGGAAATGGAGTTAGAAAATCCAGCCTGTAAACTGGCCGCAACATACTGGTTGCCCGCAAGTGTCACGACGCCGATTTTGGACAATGGAGTTAAAAAAAACTGATAGAAAAGGCTTCTTCATCACTGATGCTTTTACATGACAATTGCAATCCCGATTTCAGCAATCACCACTACAGAAATTGCTAGATTTTGCTGTTCATAGATTCATGCTACAGTTTAACTTTCAAGTTACATGCTGTATTTCACGATATTACGGTAGAATTTGTAACAGAGAGACACTTGACTCATCGCGGGTCAGGTCTCACTTTGGAATTTCTTTTTTATTTTTTTCGGAGTTTATCGACTTTTTCATAGTTTCTGATTTGAAACGTTCGTTTTCTTTGTTGGCTTCGTCTTATCACGTCCAGAACGTGTTATTCTTCTTTAATTTTAAGGGTTAAATCATGGCTGACCAGGTCGAGGTACAAAAACCGACCAAAATCTCCTTTAACGTCAAGAAGCAAGTCGTCTCTAATGTTGTTCAAGGGAAGGATGCTCATTCCGATCATGAAGACGACCAACAGGAGATTACTCATTTAGAAGGCGGCCTGGTCAATGGGTAAGAGATTATTTTTACTGTTTTGCCTTAAGTTCTCATAGGTAATACATTTTTATCGATTCTTTTAACTTCAAACTTCTTTTTGTAGCATACCCAAGGAAAAGAAGAAGGATCCCGTGATTGAACGACGGAAAGACGTTGCTGATTGGAGAATCAAACGGTTGTTGCAGCTGAAAGAAGAAGGACATGCTACAGATAGTCAATTGGCCACTTTAAGGTTGTTGCAGGAAGCGAGAGGGGATGTCCCGGTATCAGAAGGAGCAATGGAGGTTACTGAAAATGTGAGTTGTTTTTTTCTTTTTTTTTTTCTCCTTCTAGATGAACAAATTTATATTACATTTGATTATCCTGCAGGAAAAGGAAAGCAAGGCTAAGACGCTATCCAAGACTGATGAGGAAGCGGATGACTGTGACCCTGATTACGACAAGATAAGCTACAATGATTTTGGATACGCCTTTCTACGAGGACTTGGCTGGAAAAAGGAAGAGGGTCTGGGGAAAACGAACAAGCGAGCAGTTCCGCTCATGGTTTACGAAAAGGCCAAAATTTTCAAACTGAACACCGAGAAAGCTGTCAGACCTAACCAGAAAGATGCTGATAAGAATGAACCAGCTCCTCAGCTCGCCGAAGGTGTCCCAGTTTTTATTGAAGACCATAAAAAATATAAAGGATGTTATGGACGACTGAAGTTCATGGATGACATTACCAGAAAGGCTGTGGTCAGGTTAACAACCGGAGAGGAAGTTGAAACATCGGTTTTGGTGCTAACAGCGATCACGGAAAAGGAATTTACAGCTGCTGGGAAAACTATTAGTGAGTTTGAAACCTAAAAATTTATTGTGTATTATTTAATTTTTTTTTGATTTTATTTATGTCGTTTTAGATAAAAAGACCTATGAACAGGAAGAAAAGAGGATCAGAGACCAAAACGATCAACGGAACGGCCGGGAAAATGGGAAATCCGAGAAATATAAGCCAGAGAAGAAGAAGCCAAAAGAGGAATCTGATGACGATATAGAGATCATAGAAGCATCAACCAGCGAAATGTGGGTGGCACCAAGTCTGTTGGTCAGAATGATTGATAAAAAATACAAGAAAGGAGATTATTACAAGCAAAAGATGGTCGTTGTAGATGCCGCTTCGAGAGATCATTGCGAATTGAGGGACGATAGAGGAAGAATTCATAGTAAGTTTTTTCATTTTTAGCAGAGTAATATTCGTTGTGGAAAAGTGGTAGCGAGTTTGGGCCGTCTGAAAGCAAAGTTTTAATTAAATTTTCATTTTTTCTGGCATAAGATAAAATTTTCTTTATTTTAGCTCTTAGACAAGCCCAGTTGGAAACAGTAATACCCCGTGAGCTCGGAACCCCTGTCATGTTTGTCACTGGGAAACATAAAGGCCGCGCAGGACGATTGGTGGAGAAAGACAAGGAAAGAGAACGGCTATGGGTCAGCATCAGTGGAATCGACGATCCAATCAAGGCACACTTTGATGATGTTTGTGAATATAAGGGACAATTGGAGGAATTAGAGTATTAAGAACGTTGTTCGATTGTTGGGAACGTTAACAATGTTATCTATGAAGCTCTTTGTTTAATAAATGGGAACAGTTAACATAAATAATATATTTTTTGGTCGTACGAGGGGAGAAAAGTATTATTTCATTCATGAACTCTTGTAGAGCCTTTGCGTTGTTTTAGTTAGTGACGCAGCAAGATTGGAACCAATTATAAGTAGATTTGCAGGGGTGGTCAGCAGACCCTATTTTTCCGATTTTCGGCCCGCGGCCCGGCCCGTCTAATTGACCGGCCCGGCCCGTCTAGTCTTTTTCCAGGCCCGGCCCGGCCCGGCCCGTGACGGGCCTGGCCCGGCCCGGCCCGTGCAGGCCCGTCTATAGAGGGTTCTGCGAACTGCGCCCAGGCTCGGGATCTAAACTGAGGCAAAAAAGGCGTTGATCTAGCTAGTAAAGGATCAATGTGATAGTTTTGTGGTTCTATAATGGAACTAGAGACTTGTAAACGTTTTAGAACTTGAGAAACAGCAACTATAACAACATCAATTAATTTTCCCGGCGCGAAAACAATGAATGCCAACGGTTTGGCATTGTATTTTAGACGGGCCGGGCCGGGCCGGAAAAACCCCAGGCCCGCGGCCCGGCCCGGCCCGGCCCGTGACGGGCCCGGCCCGTTTGTCAATTTCCATTTTTGAGGCCGGCCGGCCCGTTTGGGCCGGGCCGGGCCGGCCCGGCCCGCCGACCACCCCTGTAGATTTGGTCACACAGAAAAAGTTGACTCAACATTCGCGCGTCAACTTTTTCTCTCCATAAATTATTTTGGCTTCGTGGAAACTGGACAGAGTGAAATTGGACAGAGTGAAATTGGACAGAAATAATTTGGACAGAGCGTGGAAATTGGACAGAGTGAAATTGGACAGAGTGAAACTCGACAGATTTTTTTCACTGCAAAAAATAATTATTTGATGGTTCAATATTGACATTTCGTACGATTGCAGTGAAAATCTGTCCAATTTCACTCTGTCCAATTTTGGCCGCGCGCGCGTATTCGTCGAGACTGGAGAAGATTGATTCTGTCTTCTATTTTTCATTGTTTTAGACAGATTCTGTTGCCGTTTTGTTTCTTTTGATTTTTTATAAGAGATGAGTCATAGATAATGTAGCAGAAAAAAATCTTTCAGATAACAGATAGTTTTTGATGGAAAAGCTAGCTGGGGGTTCTTTAGTTAAAATTTTACGGGGTTTTAAAGCTGATTTTTCTATACGGTTTTGACAATTTAACTTATTTTATTGAAGATGGAGGCGGCACAGATGAAGATCGCGGAGAAGTTGATTATACTGAATGACCGAAGTCTGGGGATGCTTACTCGGATCTACAATGTCAAGAAGGCTTGTGCGGATCCAAAATCGAAGCCCAGGTTCCTTCAGGAAAAGAATCTTGAGTCTGCGATTTCCCACTTGACCAAAAAATTTCCGCAGATGGATTTGAAGAGGAACTCGGTAAGTTTCTTCTCTATTTCTATGTTTTGTCGATTTTAGAGTGCCATGTCAAACGTAGATGCAGTCAAAGGCGATATAATGAAGAATCTTTCTCTGTATTACTACACTTTTGTTGAACTCCTTGATCTGAAGGATCATATCCTGCAGTTGCTTACTCAGATGGATGCCAATCAAGTTACTCTGGATATATCGTTGAACTACGATCTGACTGCCGGATTCCTGAACTTGATATCCAGCTTTGTCTCTTTGATGTTGATGCTGGCTCGAATTGAGGATCGAAAGGCAATCTTGGCCTTGTACAATGCTGCCTATGACTTGTCAAATCAACGATCAGAGCTGTCCTTTCCGCGTCTAGGTCAGATGGTTGTGGATTACGATAATCCGATGAAGAAATTAGTGGAGGATTTCAATCCGATCAATAGAGTAAGTTTAATATTTTTTTATTAAGCTTTATGTTTAGGCAGATGAGGACATGAATTTATATTTTCAGCTCGTTCACTCAGCTCTCCGAAGTCTTTATGATATATATTTGCGAAGAAATATCTCCGCGGAGCAGTGTCGGAACGCCGGGATGATGTCCTTGATAGCAAAACCACAAGAAATGATTTTCGCGGCCCTCACCAATACGGTTTCTTGTGAGTATTTGAGCATTGAGACGATGGACAAGTGGATCATATGTAAGCTCTCACAAATTATTTTTGTTTTTCTGTTTTTAGGCAATTTGGCAATCAACTTTTGTCTAATACATATAATTGTTATGTAAAATAATATATTTTTTTTCAGTTGGAACGACCGTGTGCCACAACACCCTTCTACAAGACCTTTTTGTCGTACAGATGTTCCACAAAGTCCTGGAGCATTCATTATCACTTCAGTTGTTCCGGGATGAGCCTTTACTTCTGTATCCTTGGTTAATATCGTTTTTCGAAGCGCAAAAGGGAGCTTCCAAACGAGTACAAGAGCTGAAACAGATGTCACAAGATGCTCTACAGAATTGTGGCGCTTTCCATGCACACAGGAGACAGTTTATTCGAACGGCATTGAGAGAAATGACGTGCTTATTGAAGGATAAACCCGCTCTTTTCGGTAGGTTAATTTAAGAATAAATTTAAAAATAGAGTTTCATGGGTTTTTGGGGCTCTTTAGGGCCTTTTGTAATGTTTAACGCGCTTCTGGCAGCTTTTAAAAATCTTTTTTTTTGCATCAGATATCACTTACCATAGAATTGATCAATTTTTTTCAAAATTTTTTATTTTTTCAGGCCCTAAGACCCTGTTTGTGTGGATGGCACTCTCTTTTGCGCGTGATGAAGTGCTTTGGCTTCTACGACACGCAGATCTTGTGCATGTCAACAAAAAATTAAGAACTGCCCTCGAACAAGTTGTCCAAGATCGAAATCTCGCCGAAATCTTGTACTTCATGTGTGAACTTCGCAATCTTTTGGCTCAAAATCAACTTATAATTAATCGGTATTACCGCGACTTCATGTACAGCCACGATGCGATTGCCCTAAGGGAGTTGGTCGAGGAAAATCCGGGGATTTTAGCGAGATTACCGGAGAATGAAGCTCATTTATTGAAATGTTTCATTGACTCAGTGGCTCAGATCAAGGACCAAGACGTCAATTTGAGCGGACTAAGGTATGGTGATTTAAATATGGCAAGTTGGTGACATTTTATACGATGAAATTTCGTTTGCAAAATTTTTCGTATAAAATGTCTCCGGATCTAGAATTTTGATTGAAAATGGTTTGTAATGGATGTGTATGCATTTCAGATTAGACTGGTTCCGCTTCCAAGCCAACACCAGTGTCCGCCGATCCGGATTTGACTTCCGCGACCATAAGGAGCTGGCCTACCTTTGCAATATCACCGTTTTCCACACGAAAATGATTGATATAATCCCGGAGATGATAAAGGAATCAAGTGACTTGTCGATCTACTGTTTTTACCCACAGCAATTTGACCAGCAGCTGGAGAATACCCTCAATTTCCCTGCACAAAGTCGATTTTCAGTCGCGTTTGCCGAATTAACGGATGATTTTGCTTATGCAACGCATGAAATGTGCCCGGAAGAGAAGGATCATATCTTGGAAAGAGGTGGGGAAGAGATTTCACGTCGTTTTGGAGGATTTGTAATTAAGAATTGAGCTTTTTAGACATTAATTTACCTTGTTTTAGCTGTCCTTTCGGCCAATGCCTCGTTGGAAAAGTTGGCCCTTCAAACTGCCCGATTGTTCGATGAAGTCGCCAAAGAAGAGCATCAACTCTCCGATCAGACATCTCCCAGAAGTTGCGCGCAAATGATCGCTGTCAATTATCAGTTCCAATCCGGCGATAAAAAGCAAAGCCAGCCCTACATCCAGATGCCCGGATTCGAATCCCACAGACAGAAAAGCTCCGCAACGGATCTGAATGAACTCGAAAGAAGGAATTTGTATCTGGTTGAGCTTTGTCAGAGCATTTCTCAAAGTACCAGGATCAAAGTGACGGACCATTTATTCCATCCAAAGGCCTTCCTTCATAACAACTTGGAGGTGGTTTTTATGAGAAATCTGGTGAATTATACGAAGAATCCGAATGGACAGTATCCGAAACGACCCTCGGAAGTTCTGGACTATGTAAAAAGCGAAATGGCAGCACTCCAGAGAGTCGACGATTGCTGTAAGTTGAAAATTTTGGGGTTTGTATATTATAGTAGGGATCTAATGGGATGATTTTTGAAAAAGTGAGGTTTCAAAGGAATATTTGAGTTGGTTTGGAGAGAAAAGTAATTGAAATCCATTTTCAGTAAACGTAAACGTCTCCCAGATCTTCAACGACGCCCTTCTCCAACAAACTCAGCCCTTGGATTCGTTCGGCCATCCCACAATCTCCCAGATCTACTACGCCTTCTACTCCGATCTCCTCCACAAGGCCTCGCTCTGCCAGTTGATGTACTCAGACCACTTAAAGGCATTCATTTCGGCCATCGACACCGATCTTCCGGCTGATCAATACACAGATCCGAGAGAATTAAGGGCCCTGGCCCAATTAATCGGCCCCTATGGAGTGAAGTATATAACGGAGAAGGTGATCAACCTTGTGGCATCGCAAATCGGAGAGATTCTGCGGTTAATCCGACAAAAACCTCAAAGGGATTTGTTGAAAGAGGCGAGGGTTTCGTATTCTTCGCCGGAACGAATGAGGGAATTGATCCGGGCCTTGTCTGATCCAAACATCGCTTCGCAGATGGTCCAGAATGGCCATAAAAAATCGGCAACCATGCAAAGTAACAGTAAGTCACAGAATCAGACCATGCTTTCCTTGGGGGGTTGGAAATTTTGACATACGCGACAAGTTATACGATGAAATGTGCTTTTACAAAAAAAATCGGAAATTTTTAGTGTTATTGATGGGGGAAAGAATTTATAGGGAAGAAAATTTGTATCAAAGAGATTCCATTAGTTATGACACTATTTTGTTTTAACTAATTTTAATGGTACTGTAATTTGTCTCTATTTTTAGTTTCGCTCCACAGCTCTGGTTCCTCAAATGCAGGTGGATCGTCCAGTTCGGCAACGAATAACAACTCACCAACCGCCGGAGGATCACCAATAGAGTCCATCCTGCAAAGAGTCATAATCATTGGAGAGATCTGCGCCTTCAGAGATCTGATTTATGATGCTTTGAACTATTGCCTCAAACAAAGAATGCCATTTTTACTGCATTCTCTGGAAGATTTGGTGGAAGCCACAACGCCAGAAGTTAGAGGTAGGCATTTTATTGCAGTTTAGGAAAATTCCGGCAAGGCCTGAGCGACTTTGGAGGTGGAATTGAGGTTATCGTGGCAGGACCTAAAATCAAGTGTAATGTTATACTTTTTTGAAAATTTTCAGTTCAAATCGCCGAAGTTTGCGCCGCGGCAGGCATGAAACAGGACGTTGACTATGGATTGGTCGGTGTTTTGAGGATGAAATTTGGCCTTCCTCAACAACGAGGCCATCCAACTCCGGAAATGGTCGACCATTACGAACTGTGCTGTCTGTGCATGGTATTTATTGCAATCGCACTACCGAAGCTCTCCAAAAACCGACAATCCATTTATAAACCAAGCCTTTGCAGTGAGTTTTTTGAATGCAATAGTTGTTTTGTTGCCATGTGCAATATAATTTTTGATTTTTTTTTGATTATTACAGAGTTTAAAAGTAATAATTATGGGTTTTAGCCACCGAAAATAATTGTCATACCATCGCGAAGGCCATTGGAACCATTTGTGGCTCGGTTTTCGCACTCCATTCAACGGACGAAATCCCCGATCGAATGAGGGAATTCTTGGCGGTAAGAGATGGCTTTTATTTCAGTGTCATCGAAATAGTTACCATTTTTTTTTTTTTTTGAATTCTGAAACCTAGAGTTACATCAGTGTTTTAAGAAAAGTGAAAAATCTCAGAATTTTTATGCGAATCTGAAAAAGTTTGATGATTTTAACTAAAGTTTCAGCTCGCCTCTCGCTCCCTCCTCCAAAACTCGAACCCCACGGACCCCGACGGGTCACGTCTCAACCAATCCTTGTACATTCTACTCGAACAAATTGTCAAAAACTCCTCCTGGCTCAATTACAACCTCCTCGAATCGTGTTTCCCGTATGCCCTGATCAGATCCGCCTATCTGAACGCCTACAGAGCCGAGACCTTGCCTATAAACAAGTAGTGTCATATTAGATCTATTTTGTTATTGTAGTAGACAGTCAATCTTTATTTTTTTTTTGATCAAAAATCTCTTCAATAGAGTATTTAATTGTATGAGCAATAACGACATCTTGTGAATATTTTCCGGACAATTCAGACTTATTTACGCAAGCTTTAACAGTCATATTATTGTATATTTTGTCATATCTTGTACGATTTTTTCATATTTATTGTAATAAATTATTCAAATATAGCTTAAATTATACAAAATTGTCGTTGAGATCGTAACGTGTCGTACTTAAAACTTTTAGTCCAACTTCTCCCACAATCGTTGATAAAATTCGCCATTTTGGAGCAAAAATATCATCATCTGGACGAACATGACGAGCCCGACGGCCAAATGAGCACCAGTGTAGGCGAGGCCGGGGGTGGAGAAGAAAATCTTAAAAGTTTCAGACATTGATACTGATCGTTCAAAAATTTTAAATAATTTTGGCAATTTTTCCCTACTATTTACAATATAATCCTTACCAATCCGCTGAGCGTTGTCACAACTAAGCTCATAAACATCTGAGTAAACACATTCCAGTCAGGAAGTACTTTCCAGATGCTAAATATCTCGTTGTTCAGCCCACGCATTTGTGCGATATACATCCAATTATAGCCGGCTCTGAGAAGGGAATTGGCAATGTTGGCGATAACAAAGCCCGGAGCTCCAATATAATGCATGAGGCCGATGTTGAGGGCCAAATGGATCAGGGAGGATATGAAAAGGAACTTTGTGTGTTTTAAGATGCCTTCCGATGACATTGCAGCGAAGGCGAAGCATTCGAGAAGACCGTTCATAGCCATCGACAGCAGATAAAAGGCGTATAAGGTGAGGATGAAGGCTCCGCGGTTCTGTTTAAGGAGTTCACCTGGAACAATACGATGTAAAAATACTTTAAATTGAATCTCCGACAGTCCGGTATATACCAACTATATTATCCATCACTGACCTCCATAAATCTGAACAGCAATCGATGAATACGGGATTGCAAATACACAAACCACCATTCCAAGTGTGAAAATATTCCGCAACAATGCTTGGAAGAATTCAATTAACGGCCTGGGCACAGAAGCAGCTTGACTTCTCTCCAATCGCGATGAAAAATAAACGGCACAGCTCTCTTCCAACGGCCTGAGCACAATCCTTACAACCAATGATCCCAGACGCTCTATCGCATCGTATGCCGCTAAAACATTATGGTTGAAATATTGGAATTTCGAGTTATGTTATATTACACTAGATACTTACCTTGCTCGCTTAAACTTAATTGTTTGGTGAAAGTCATCACGTAAGCTGATCCATCAGTAAGAACTTGCTTCTGAGCTGAATGCAGTAACAGGGTAGCCAGTAACCTGAGGTACTTGAGCTCGTATTTTGGCACCATCTGCATAAATGGCCAAAAGTCCAATTCTTTGCGGAAATAGGCGCGGATGAAGGAGAAGTAGAGCAGTAATGTGTAGATAAGAGATCCAAACAGCTGAAAATATCATAAGCATAATTTAGAGACCTTCAATCGTTCTTAGAGCAAACAAAAATTCCATTAAACACCTTATTTTAGATGTCACACATGACAGAAATCCTATTTCAGTCAAAAATCATTTGATTTTTAATGTAGGACCTTACGGAATGTCACAATAACCCCTTACCTGTCCACAACACAGTGCTGTTGTTGAAGATACACCCGCAAGAATCAAAAATAAGGCCACAAACTTGTTGGAAATGAGCAAGAATGATTGGGAGAACGCGAACAGATTGTTTTGCCCGTTTTTCATTGCTAAAATAGCCAGAGGCTCGGCCAGACTTTCCATAAGTGAGGCCATACAAAAGCATCCCACCAGGACGGTGTAATCAGCCTCGGAGACAGCCGACATTGTGGGTAACAGGGTCCAGACGAACGACAGAAGTAAGGCGATCGGAATCGCTAATATCGGGCTAAAAGTAATCGTAGATAAAGTAAAATTGATTGTTACATCTGTAAGATCATTCTTCTTCTCTAGTGAACGTAAAACTTCAAAGCGGCCTTCTTCAGACAAGAAATAATCTTACCTTATCCACGCATAGACCATGGAATCCTTCACAGTCAAATCGGCACTCAAACATGTCTTCCGGAGAGGCTCGGAAACCAGGAAATTGATCGTCATGTAGAGCAGGTTCAGTCTGTACCCAAAATTAAGAACAAAAAGAGCTGAATAACTCACCGGACATTAATTAATCCAAGAACTTCACCACTAACCGTCCGAATAAAGTACATGTTAATTAGAAAGGTAAATAACCGTCCAACGATCTTAAAAAACGAGGATAAAAGATTGTACAAAATACGGAATAGGTGGCAGCAACATTTTAGACGTCAACTTACCTGCCCAGTGAAGTTGGCCTTCAGAATATCTCCTATCGATGACACCATTTTGATTAGGATAATATAATACAAAAAACTAGATATATCCTGTCTTTTGTTCCAAAATAATCATGAAAATAGCCTAAAAATACACCTCCACCATCAACACATCGATTTCTAGAAAGAAAATAATTATTTTTACAGCTTTCATCGTATAAAATGTCCCTCAGATAGGTTTCGTCGTATAAAATGGCGAGCAAAATTGCTTTTCAAATTCGCGCGCTCTTTTATTCGACGTGTTCTAGTGGAGGAAGAGAGTGAGCTAATGCTCGCCACGCGGCCGGTCCCGTCTGGCGAAGACGAAAAAACCCTCCGGGCTTCCGCAAAGCGGAGGAAACTCTCGAGTGCACTGTGCGATGCACTCTCGCCTTCACTCTCGCACGGTGCGGGTTTTTTTCAAGAATGTTCGGTTGGGTTTTTGAACAAAACTTACAGGAATTTGGCGGGTTTTGTGGGCGATTATGGCTCGTAATGTTAGTTTATAGAGCATTGAAGCTTTCCAAGGCTGTGTTCGACTCCTGATAGTTTATTGAGCGGATTTTCGGGGTCTTTTTATGTTATCCATCAATATTTTTTCTCTTCTTATTTCTTGTAAATGTTTCCGACCAAATACCGAATAATTTTCGAACGTGGGGGTAGATTAGCGGCCTCGGTTGACGTCAACGCGGAATAAACCGTTTTAGGAACGAGCTGCCCACTAAAACCTTACTTTAGTATCGTTCGTATTTGTCCTTGACGGATTTGCATTTTTTTTGTTGAATTGTTACGCTTTTAGGTTAAATTCAGGGCGTATTCGAAGTTCTATATCATGTTTGCCATTTATTTTGCTTTGGGTAGTTATTGCGTGCCTTCTGTTCGCCTTGTTTTAAGAAGACGAGAATGAAGTGGAGAAAGTCGCATAATTTATAGAAACACACATATTTTATTGTTTCGTGCTTCCGATTCTATTGCTTTATATTGGTCTTTGTTGAAACAAGCGACGACGGATGCAAGCGCTTCATTCTTTTCCCTTTGCGGTTCGATTTTCGCTTTCATCTCCCGAATGATCTGTCTGCACTCCCCTGGGTAATTGCATCAGACTTCAATGGTTTACTTGTGTTGGCTTTTACAGCAAAAGTCGCTTGGTAAAAAATCTCTAGACAGTTCGTTTAGAGATTTCTTCCAATTTTATCGGCCTCATTTCCTCCGGGAATATCGATTTTCCCATAGATCTTTCCTCTCTAAACCAAACTAAGACCGTGGGCGCTAATTAGAGTCCCTTCGAAAAAATCCTCTTCCCTCGGCTGTAGGGCCAATTTAGTGACCATTCCCCCTTCTTTCTCCCCGAAAAAGACAACGCCATCCAGTGAGAGTTCCACGTGGAGGCGAGAGAGTGCGCTCGGGGGAGAAGGAGCAGACCTTTTTTTCGGATTTCGCCGCTTTTTGGATTTTGCAAGGGTTTTCGTCTGGAACCTGATTCCAATCATCCGGAGAAGGCTAGAATTCAGACGTTGACAATATCGGCTTGACTTTTGATGTATTCGAATATTTTTTTTTTATTTTTGAATCAAATTCAAAAATTTAAAAGTGTAAGTTACACTTCGAAGGGTCTGAATCGGTATACAATTAGATTGGGTACTTCCTAGCACCTACGAAGATGTGTACTTCGGTGGCTGGTCATATGATTTGGTTGAGATCAGCTGATTTCTATCGGCAAACGCCTTTTTCCTTCCGTTTCGACAGACGTTGCGGTGTTTTTCGGACCGAAACGAAAACGTTTTCTGAGTGCAAGAGGGTTGGTACATAGTCAGGCGGTAATTGAATGGTCTGAGTTAGAATTTAATTATTTGTCAGGTTCTACAGGCTTTTCGAGTTTTTTTTTATCTTGTTCTTGATGTTCAATTTGGAGATTGGCCTAATTTATTGGATTATCGGGACTTTTACGCAAATTTTTGATCTGGTAGAGGAAGTAAAGCTAATTGATCACGTTACAAAGATGTTTCCCGAACGCTCTCAGGTTTTTCTTTGATCTGTGTTATACTTGATGCCTTAGTTCTAAAAAGCATTTCTATTGTACCGAGAAAACATAAACCATGTTGGAAACGTGCTCTAAACCTCAATTGGGATCGATGTTCCCTGTCATTACATTTTTTTGCACGCCAGGTCACCCCATTCCCCAGTCATGGGATTGTTTCTTCAGCCTGAGGGCATCAGACGAAGAGGTCTCTTTTTTCGATGTTTTGTGATTTGATACTCTGTTATCAGCCTTTTTTTGTTCTTTTTTATTGATTTTTTCTTATTTATGGACAAAGTCTTCGAAAATTTGTTATGCATGTCTTTTTTTCTGTTACAAATGTCATGTGTAATATAATTTTTGAGAAAGCTTGCGTGTTTATCAGAATTTCGCTACATTTCTTCAGACCTTGTTTATTTTGGTTTATTTTTGCAGGTTTATCGCCGCTTTTTCGGCCCGTTTCGGAGAGCCGGGAAGTCCACAAAAATCATAAAAACAGTTGAAGCGGTGCCGAACAGAAAAGCCAAATCATGTCCTGGATTCTTAGTTGGTTCTCTGATATCCTGAACTACTTGGGTAAGTTTTTTTCGTTTTGTTCTTTTCTGACTTTAGGTAGGAGATCAACGATAAGCTGGAGTTTATATTGCGGTGTGAGACAGGTTCTTTGTAGAAGGGTCTCGTCGTTTTCTGCGATCTTAGATGTTTTTTGGAGCTATTACGGGTTCTTTTTCTTACTTATGACATGTCCAAGTGATCTAGCAAAAACCAGATTAAATTCAATTAAACTAAGGATAGTTTTGTTATAATAAGTCATAATTCTAGTGGAGTTGTGTTGTTTGTCGTCTCAGAAGGCTTCTATAATGTCCAATCCGATTTCAGGTCTAACGAAAAAATCCGGAAAGCTGGTCTTCCTCGGGCTGGACAACGCTGGTAAAACGACCTTACTGCACATGTTGAAAGATGACAGAATTGCTCAACACGTCCCCACCATGCATCCCACATCAGAAGAGCTGAGTCTGGGAGGGATAAAGTTCACCACATTCGATTTAGGAGGCCATCAACAGGGTATGGATTTAAGATTATTATTTTCTAGAATTTCGACGTCTATATTTAGATTATGATGTCATTAAGGTTAAAAATTTGATAATAAATTGTAATAGGAAATAATGTAAGTATTTGCTTGCAGCACGACGAGTATGGAAGGATTATTTCCCTGCCGTGGATGCCATTGTCTTCTTGGTGGACGCCGCGGACGGAGAACGTATCAACGAGTCGCGCGAAGAGCTGCTCTCTCTTCTCCAAGACGAACAAGTTGCCTCGGCCCCCGTCCTCATCCTCGGCAACAAAATCGACAAACCCAACGCTTTCTCGGAGGAGCATCTCAAACATTATCTGGGCATCAGTCAACAGACCACCGGCAAACAACAGATCCCCCGCTCCGAGCTCGTCAGTCGACCCATGGAGGTGTTCATGTGCTCAGTTCTGCGTCGTCAAGGCTACGGCGAAGGCTTCCGCTGGCTGAGTCAGTATCTGGACTAGACCCCATTGTAAAACCTCGATTATAAGTCGTTCTGTAATTTTCTAAAAGCTTCCGGGTAAATAAAATCGTGTTGTCTAACCAGGAAGGGAGGTGGTTTTTGGGAAGTGGGATGGTTTGAGCGGGAAATCATAGGTTTTTCAGATTTTTTATTTCACTTTACATTTTTCAGTTCGAGTTGATTGAAGGAAATCAAAAATTTTGAAAAAATTGTGTTACCCGTTATTATAATTTCCCTCCTTGAACTGTCGTATCTTCCCATTCCTTGACTACTTTCCATTTCTAATATTGTTTTATCCATCCCATTTCCCCTTTCACAACTTCCTTTAGGTCTGACCAGCAACTACAAGGTCCGATTGTACAATTTGAACTTATATTCTAGAGGTTTTACCGAGTCATTCTCCGTCTTTGTGTACGTTTCGCCTTGTCTAAACCCCCAGTCTAAGTCGCCTACAGCACTTTTATGCAGCGACAAAAACTTATCCGGCCTTTCGAATCAAATTAATAGCAAAAATATTGTTCTTGTCGTTTGTATTGGATATTTTGCGAACTAAATAAACTATTTTCTTATTAATTTGATTATAGCATGCGCGCTTCAGAAACAACCAAGGTTTTTAATCAAGAAATTGGTAAACATTTGACAATCTTTCTTTCTCTCGGGCAGGAAAAAATCTTTGGAGACGGTTGTTTCAATAGTGCAGTGGTTGCTGAGCCGGCTGACAAGCCAAACCGAGCCAGGTTCGGTTCCCAGCCTGGGCAAAGCCATTTTTGCGTTCTTACAGTTAAGAAAATATTTGCGTTAAACTTTTACAAACGTTTTATTTTTTCTGGAAGACGGTCGATTACGGTTAAAACCATCAAACTTACATGTTTTTCAAGATTAAAAAAAAGTGAAGTGTTTTTTTTCACCTAATGGGTATTTGAACCCGGTAAATATCATATGTAAAATGGTTTTACTGGCAAGCACCTAACTTCATAATGATTCTTAGGCCAACCTAGTAGCAATACGTACCATTTAGCGTTTTGAAATAACATTTATTTTGCCCCATAGCATTTATTGCTACTTAAGGGACAAATCAACCGTTTATATTTTTTTGCCCTGAGGCATTCTGCAAAAAATGAAAATGGTGCCTTGTACCATTTTTCAAGGGCTTTCCAATGGTGTATAACACTTGCCATTTGGTGAGGGTTCGTTTGTACACTTCCCTAGTCAGCACAAAAGCGGAGTCAAAATCGAGACTTGATTGTTTATTGTCGCAGAATATTTTATTAAAATTTATTGATAACCAATATTTATTTACATGTTGTACTGTAGATGTAGATACATTGAGATCGTGGAACCCGGCATAATATATGTGCATTTCATCGCAGCAGATGTCTATCCTCGGCCACAGTTGACACTGCCACAGAGCAAGTACATTCCATCGGCCTGGTTGCCGGCCAGCATGAAATTGCCGAACCCAGGGGCTCCCCAAACAGGCATGAATTGTTGAGCTGAAGACAGTACCGCCAACAGCATGAGGAGCACGATTACAATCATTTTGGAGGCCATAGCGACTAGTAGTAGACGAGTTGGACTTTTAGTTGTTGAAGGGCTTGTTTGGAAATTGTGTACCATCTCCTTTTATATGCGGACTTTGTCTCCTCCTCCAGGATCGAAAAAAGTTACCTTCATAATGGGAATTTTCGCACAAAAATTGTTTTTTCCACACTGTTCAGCCCGCGACCGACTAAAAGTGTAACGACGGAAACCGTTTAGAGAACGACCCATAAAAGTGGATACGGTAGCCAGGTCAACGAAACACAAAGTCTCATGATTCTTTGGCATCAGAGCGTATTTTGAGTATTTCAACTGGAGGTATGAGTTGGAGAAGGTTGGCAGGGTTTTGCGAATGGTTACGGTATGTTTTCCATATGGCACTAAAGTGGATTCGAACGTATGACAATGTATCTACTCAAATTCTTTAGTTCTATTCAAAGGTTTTTATGCAAACGTTGGCAAAGAACTCTGAATTTTTTGGTGAGATCAAAGCCAAACACACAAAAGACAATAGGATCATCGGACCTTGAGTATCTCCCTTGAGCTCGCTCGTTGCGGGAGGATTTGATGACTTTCAAAATGTAAAATATTGATGCGGAGTTACAAAAATTTAATGCATTTGAGAAAGTCATAACACGGGTTAAAATAAAAATTGAATATGAGTAATCATATCTTGCCAACTTCGATACTTTTATGGAGAGCTGGTCACTCATGGGCATTTTGCAAACAAAGTATCTCTGTATTTTGTCACGCGACCAGTTTCATTGATTTGATATCCAAGTTTATTGTCGTTAAATCCACTTCAAGATCATACAAATTTTCTTGTGATTTCTTGGAAGCCTAGCTTCTTGAAGAATGGCCTATAAAAAATATTCGTTTTGGCATGTTGAACAGTTTTTAGTCATCTCTTGACAGTCTTCATAAATAGATTGCAAAAACAATTAGAAGCCCAGCCCAGAATGCTCCTTTTTTACACACGCCACCGTTACAATGTAATGTTTACAATCTCCATGTGCATTTCTCGACACTCACGTCATATTCGAAAGTTCCACGTTTACATGTTCGCCGTGAACCCTGGGTTCACATGCTCCAACTCCCGTGATCTTCAAACACCCTCGGCACCACCTTTTTTGTCGGCGATCCATCTCCACCCGCTCTACAGAAACGATCCGTCATCGTGCGACCGTAAAGGCGAGAACGACGCCAAAATGGGGCCTGAGAACGGGAAAAATTGATTCCGCTACGTAAGCGAATCAGAAGGGACTGAAGTGATGCGAAAGTTTCAAGACGCCGACGTCACAAGTACAACAAACACCTTCTGGGAAGGGATGGGTCGGCGTGGGAGAGGGCGCCCGTTAAACTGTTGATATTTGTTACAGTTGGGACCAACGAGAGATCTTTGTTTGGCGCGTCTTTCGAAGGTTATTTTCGGTTAACGGGGAGAGAGTTTGGGCTCAAGTTGGGGCTCAAATATTGTTGATCTCACAGCTCACACAGCTCACTATAGTATGTAACAACAACAGCTTTAATTTCCTGCAAGTGTTAAGAAATTATAAACAAAAATTTATTGGAAAATAATGCCGCAAGCTTTGGAGATTCTTGAAAATATAAAGGGACTGACGAACACGGCAATGTAATTATTATACATGGAGTGACATTATTTTATGTTGATTGTGATACTGCCAGTGTGTTTGGAAAACGCTCCGTCACTGGTTATACTCACAGGCAGCTTGATGGATCCAGTAGATACTCAAATCATCCGCCACATCGCTGCGATTTCCACCATGTTCCACCAGAGAGTGTCTTTCAGAAAACGTGAAGGAAAGTCGGAGGCTATAGTTGGGAAAATACGGCATGTGGGATGTTTACAACATCACGACAACAAACAAGATCAGGTCATTTCTAACGTATTATTTTGCAATTTCCCAAAAAGGCTATATGAGGCTGTAGTTCAGTCAAATGAAAACATGCGTAAGATAAAAGAAATTATATTTTCGGATTCCCTGTACTTTCTGGAATATTGTTTATGTCTAGGCTAATGAAAAACTACAGTGATCCAGTGGCAAAAAACGTACCATTTTGCATCCGGGAAGTATCAAAAATGTGCAAAATGCTTCCCTCTCCAAGTGAAAAAACAAAAAACGAAATTTGAAATTTCTTCACTTGGAGAGGGATGCATTTTGCCACATTTTTGATGCTTTCCGGGTTCAAAATGGTACGGTTTTTCCCACCGGATCAGATCTCCTTGCAAGTGTTTGATTTTGTCGCACATTTTAATGCCACTGTCTTCTGATTGCTTATTATCCGTTTGGTTAAAATCACGTCAACTGGTCTCTAAAGCGAACTCTGTGATGTTACAATTTTTGAATGTTCATCCCGTGGTAAACAAAAAATGATCGCGTTACACTCCAAACGAATCGGTGAAACGGGAGGCGCTATTTTTATCGAGACCTTTGTAGTGAACGGAATCGGGGGGACGGTTGGAACGTGGGTTTCTCGTGATTTCTTGAGATCTTGGCCAATTGGCCAATTAGGAAATTGTTACAAATTACAATTTTACTGTGATTCCAATGTTACACCTTAATTTCTAATTGCATTCACTTTTTCTCCAAATTTAACAATTTTTAATGCATTTGCATTTAAGATTTTTAAGATGCCAACAATAACTTTTATACGATGACTTTTGATCTGCTAAGGTCTAATTCGAGTTCGCACAGCCTCGGGGAAACTCTAGAGTTTGTTCTTTCACCAGTCCCAGGGCTTCACTAAACATATAAATTTCCGAATATGCGTATGAATCAAGGTATTTATTATTCATTACATCTTGCTTAGCAAGAATCAAAATTATTCAAAATACGAAAGTTCAGATCATTATGTACATAGATCGTTGACCAGTATCGCGGAGATCGTTGCAGCAGACTCTTGGTTTTGTAGCGAAATCTATCCTCGTCCACAGTTGACACTCCCGCACAACAGATACAATCCACTGGCCCCATTTCCGGAGTAGACATTGCCGCCGCCGAAGCTGCCAAAGAGTGGCATAAAGTTTTGCGCCGACGTCATGGTAGTCAAGATGACGAGAACAAGGAGGACAAGAAGCTTGGCGAACATGTTTTAGTTCAGATATAGTGCTTGAAACAATAGGTGTAAGTGACCTTTGAGTTGATGGGAATGTCCAAACCATTTCCCCTTTTATACGACGAAAAACTCCGCCTTCAACGGTCAACAGTTTAAACACTCTCATGTGATGAAAAGGAAGTGTTGTAATAACGGAAAGATTCAGAAAATCAAAGGGCTAGACTGTCAACAGGCTATGGAATAAGGAATCAACTTATGGTTTATGAATGGAGTTATTTTTGAAGGCTGTCTGCGAATTGTAAGGGTGTAATGTGTACTTAATTATGTGGTGGTTTATTACAATAAGAGATAATAAAAGAACACTGAAAAATAAATTTTATATGACAATTTTATGAAGAAAAAAGGAAATCCCCTAAAAAGTGCCGATTTGAAAGCGAAGAAAGACGTATTTTAATAAAAATCGTATACATAATTGGAATCATTTCTTTATGTTGCGTTTCACCGATAACTTGAAGAGCTCTTGGCAGAAAAATTTCTTTTGTATTGGTCCATTTTGAAACTTAAAAATCTCTGTTAATTCATAAGTAATATTAATGGAAGGCTTGGCGTTCAAGCAGCGTTAGACACAAATATCTGTGGTCATCATGTTCAAAGGCTCTCAGAGAGGATCAAATATAACGACATCCTTTGATAACAACACAATTTGATTTATTTCATGCCATTGGTTAGGTAACGGCTGCTCTAGTCGAAGAACCGTAACGAGTTTATTCCTATCAAATAAAGCTTAACACTGATACATTCTGATACGTATTGCGCAGTAAAGAAAATGTGAAAGTTGTTTTTGTTTATCGTAAACTTTCGACATTAAATCAGATGCCTTTTCCAACAATCGCAACTGTTTTCAAAGCGATATCGTTTCCGTTTAGAAATGAATAAGTATTCTCTACACTAATGTTAACATCAAAGGCTTAAAAAAATGCGACGGTTCAAATGTTCAGAAAATACAATTCATAAGTATCTTCTTGTTTTTGATGTTATTTTTACTACTATATGTTCGCTATCCGACCTTACCGTAAATCTATTAATCTTTTTTTTATCGCGTCATTCTTTCGTTTCTGAAAATTTTTATGATGTTTGTCGCAGTCTGACGTCTTAATTTTTACATTACACCCGCCCTTTTTAACAGTAAAATACCTATTTTCGTCAGGGAAAGCGATTCCGAGTTTATTTTGGGAGAGTAAGTTCAATTGTTTAAACCAAATCGTTGACGAAAACAACATTTATTAAAGAGTTTAAAGTTGAAGACGGTTGATTCAAGAAGAATTCAATCTAGGCATCAAAGAACTGGACTGGAGGGATCTATTGTCAACACCGCCAAGATATTTTTTCCACAACAAAAGAAATGTTAAAATAAGGATATCAGTCTGTCGGGAAAATAATGTGGATTTGTCGCAATAAAACGTATCGCCTTGTCGCTCAATCAACATTATTTTCCCGACAGACTGATGACTTTCTTCAACAAAAAATCCCAAAACTGTAATTACACTAGGCCTTTTGTAATTCCAGAAGGGAGTCCCTTTTTCAGCTAGCTTCTTCGCTCACCTTGGCCTTGGCCGAAGGTTGCCCTGGTTGATCATTGATCTTTGTTCGCGCCGAATCCACCACGAATCCAGTCTGACCGTGTGCGGAATCGAACCCTCTCGGGGTCGGCCGAGATCTCTAACCAGTCGACTATTCGAGCGGCGATCCGGGAACGCTTCATTGTGAGAATAAGGAAAAGGAAAATCATTTTTTAATTTTTCGTAATTTCAAATTTTAATTTCTTTTTCGATAAAGGTCGCTTTTTAAAATGAAATTTCAAAATAATTTTTAGAAATTACCTGATCTTGCTTGTTGTTGTGATGTTGTGAACATCCCACATACCGTATTTTCTCAATTTTTCGCAAAAATATCATTCTCGGAGCTCAAAATTTTGTATCAAAAAGTAATGTTTTCGCCTTGCAACGTCACATACAACACCTTCTCTCACGTCATTCTATTTCAACGCCGCACTACCCATATTTGTCCCAATTTGGCGGTCTTTTCTCTCAACTCGTCATGAGAACACTCGAACCGGGCCTCTGGTTTCAATCTGTTTGAGATTGTTACACTGTTTAATCACCAGCATCACGTACGGGGAAAACAAATTAGGTGATTGGCGTCTCTTGACAAAATGAAAGAAACTTTTTTCGATCGAAAAATCTTTTTGCACAGGCTTGGGACAAGTTGAAGATTTTTGAAATTTTTTGAAATAATAGTCCTTCCAGAAAGTCGCCGGACTATTTTTTGGGACTTGCACTGTGCGAAAAGGTCAGGGTGCAAGCGACAGCCGAAAAAGCCTATGCACGGTGCAAAAGGAAAGAAATTGCACAGTGCAAAGGAAAGTTTTGTTTTCGCACAGTGCATGTCGCTGGACTGACCTTTGTCGTGTGCACTGTGCGAAAAAAAAGTCAGGGTGCGGGCGACAGCCAAAAACGCCAATTGCACGGTGCAAAGCGAAGCCCTCGCCGATCACTAGCGGAAATTCTCAGGAATTGAAATGAAGTCTTCGTAGGACATGGTGACATGATTTGAAAGAAATCTGAGCGTTACACTTGCATAGAGCTCTTGTCTTTATTAACAAGTGACCGGCAAATAGTTGCAACCTTTAATCTTAACGAAACATATATCATTTGAAACAGAATTAAAAATAATGCACAACGCAAGAAAAATTAGCTGCCTAATTTATGTTTGGACAAAGTTATGGCCGTTTTATGAAAGTGATTACATGCGGCCAAAACGCCGGCAGCTAATTTTTTTTGCGTTGTGCGCTATTTTTAATGCTCCTTCAAATGATATATATGTTTGCCGATCCCTTGTAAGGGATAAATCATAAAGTAATCACAGACTTGTTAGTCCTTCATAAATTTTAAACGTTCCTAAACAGACATCTATATCTTATTCCATTCGATGCTAACTTTAAAACAAAACTTTTAACTAGAATGCTGTCTCAAATTACACTCATGTAAGATTGATAACAGATTGAACAACTTTAAGTAACGTTTCAACAGAACAGTTCCTTCTAAAGCCCGACATTACAGCAGTTCCTGGTACAAACGACCTTCTAACCATAAATCGAACTGAAGTGAGAAAAATGATAAAAAACAGAATGAGAGCTAACAAAAAGCTTCCTTAAGTAGTAAAATTCCGTTACAGTAGTCACTGGCTCTTGAAATTCATTGGGGTTTACTCTCCTCCCCCAAAAACAGAATAGTTATCGACTTCGCCCTATTTTTTATTCAAAATCCAATTACTCCTTTACTCATGCTCATGTTTACAATGTATCTTCCCATCCCCCTGACTAATAAAAGACGCAATTTTACACAAAAAATGTCACAGTGTTTCCGCTGACTAACCGCCCTCAAAAACACCCGTACTTTTAATACGTCCTCTGATTCACTATGTAATTATTCTGTTTGTTGACGCACTTTCCCGAATGTAATAGTTTTTTCGTGTTTTTTACACTCTTATTATTTCCTTGTGACTCTCGGTGAAGGCGGCAACTTTACAACGAAATCTTTTTTCACCAATGATGTAAACCTTAGGCAGTACTGTGAACAAGTAGAGTTGTTGTGGACCGTGAACGTTTAGCTGGGGGTGGGATCGGAAAGTTTGAATAAAAAGGGTCGATGAGAAGGTTCAAACCATCGCTTCAACGCCTCTTCAACTCGACCAACACTCAGCTAAGTCCTACTGTACTCTAAGAAACTTTGCCTTGGCAGTAAAGTTCAAATCGTCGGCTAATTTTATATTGTACTAGACATCTGATCTAGAACTCTATTTCAACTCGCTACAACTCCTCTGCAACAACCTTCCCAACTCTTTAACTTTTGCCTACCACTACCTACTACAACCACTTTCTAAACCCACCCAAAATGTCCAACAAATTGATGATCCTCGTCCTCCTGACCTTGATGATTGTTATGTCATCAGCTCAACAATTCTTCCCATTATTCGGTGGCGGCGCTTATGCCCCATACGCCAACGGAAATGGCAATTATTATACTGGAAATGGAGTCGGCGGACTGTATTTACTGTGTGGTAGCATCAACTGTGGCCGTGGATAGACACATTGTACGATGAAAGGTTTACGGGTGCTTTGATCTCAAAAATTGTATTCTTGTACATTGCAAACAATAAATTAAAATACTAAGAGTTTGGTGGCGGATTTTTTGTTTTTGATTTTATAATGAAAGGTACTTTATGTCAAGATTTTTAATAATAATTTTTAAAAATCAATTGAGGTCGGAAGTGTATTTATTTTTGAATTTCACATAATTTATCGTATACTTTAGTCATCATCCTCCAACAATTCGCTTTGGAGTTTCTTGATCGTTTGCTTAACCTCCTCCTTCAACGCCTGGATCTGCTGATCGTACGTCTCCACATTATTGGACAACTTTTCCAAGGTCTCCTGAAGATCGGGATACTTCTGTTGCAATTGGTCGATCAGTTTCTTGACATCTCCGCTCTTGGGAGGCAAATCCAAGTCTTTCAATTCTTCGCCGTCCTTGGATCTCAATTGCTTCAGTTTCTCGATGATCTCTGCAATTATTGTTCAAGATAAAGTTAAGACATTAGAAAGCAAAGATAGCTGTTTACGGCAAAGTTTTTTCAACCCATAAAAAGTATTTTTTTAAGGCGATTTGTGAACTTTGCTTTGGCTGAATGATCGATGTGTTGGGAACGTTTACGTGTAAATAAGGGAAGAAGCCAAAGCGGGATGGAAAGAAAAAGATCTTCTTCTGTTACGACGGGAAATATATAGCTGCTTATATTAGAAGTCATCAAGAAAGGAATCTTCTCTAAATTTTGGCGAAATCTTGTACAAATTAAGGCTTCTGATGTGAGGTAGAACAGAATTTTGGGCGCCTTGTTATTCCTTTTTCGCTACAAACCAAAGTCTCTGATATACAAGGAACAGAAATCCTTGGCCTGAAGTTGGCAATGCATGAGCGAGAGCCGCCTTTTGCCTGCTCGAATCTCGTAATCTTCATCATTTTTTTGCATACAAAGATCGTTTAATATTTTAGTTGCGCCTGTGAAACGCAAGCTAAAATTTTCAGAAGTTGTCACGTCGTCTATAAGCTTTAAAAACCGCAATCTCCAGCAGTTAGAACTCTCCACCGTATCTCTGTGAACCCACCATCAACTTTACCCTCCTTTTCCGCCTCTTGCTTGTCATTCGGCTCTTGGCTCGGCTCAGGGCTTTGGGCCTCGATCCAGGCTACAGTAGCCACCAGGAAGAACAGAGAGAAGACGACGAAATTTCTCATTTTCAAATTGCAAATGTTCATTCCGGGCCAGCTTATATCCGGCCAAATCGACCTCGTCAGAAGGCATCTGCGCAAATAATATCCACATCTATTACATAAGTAATTTATTTTTGAATTTGGCTATTTACGCAGCAGGGTGAACGTTTTCTACGAACCTTTGTAACTTTGCTAAAATTTTTGTGTTCGGAAAGTCCAAATGAAGACTGGATAAGTCACAAAAAATTATTTTTTGAAAGATGAGGCCTATAAATTCACCAATTCACTTTTTCATCTTACGAAACAAACCTTGAGATATAAGTTGAAGGTAAACAAATAAAATTTAACAGGGGAAGTACTCCAAGTGCGACGCTCAGATTTTCTTTAAATTTTGCACACACATCGGGTATGGACTAAATATCAATTCCTGAACGTTTTAGCTCGCGCTTTGCGGGCGCCGCCGAGATATCGAATGATTTTTGCCGCCGAGAGAGCACGCTAAACGTGGAGAGCGGTCAGAGAGAAAACCGCTTTTTGGCCATAACTTTGGCAGTTTCGAGCGGAAAAATTTGATTTTTTGTAGAAACATTATCCTTTACGGGTAAAATAGGCATGAAACTTTTCGAGCCGAAATTCGGCAAAAAGTCCTTAATTTTGGCCGACTTTTTATCTAAAAATCTCGGTTGTTTCTGCAAAGCGCGAACTATTAAATTCTCGAATACATCTTATAATAAATTATTCTAAATTTGTGCCAAGATTTCATCAAAATCTGAGCGTCGCACTTGGAGTACTTCCCCTGTAAGTTTCAAAATAACTAACTATATCGTAGGTGCATCAGTGGTTATAAACGTATGGCTCATGTTGATATTGAGTGATGCTAAAGCAATATTCTAGCCTTTGCCAAGTACGCAATGAGTTGTGTTCTCTCTGGAAAATAACAGAGGAGAATACACCGTTGTTTGATTGCTCTCTTGGAACTTTATCGTTGGTGTTGGATTTGTCAGTTCCAAGATCAGATTCGTAGGCCAAGTTCAACTAAAAATGCTGAGAACAAGTTGAGTAAGCTCCTGTTATATTACTCATAGACCGTTGTATAAAGTGCTCTCTTCGCTGGAACTTTCTTTGTCTCCAATAATCATCATTTGGAGAGGCAAAAAATCAGCAAATTTGTTATTAACTAAACGCAGATTTGCTATAATTAAACTCGAATATCTTCAAAAAATCTAAACCTTCATGCAAGCACTTATTTAACTTTTTACACCATATAATATTTCGATTCAAAACCTTCCTAATCTTCCCAAAAATTGCTGACAAATCACCTTGTCCATCAATTTTATTTTAGTTTTTATGTCTGAAAATCCCCCGCCGTCCACCCAGTTTTTTGCCAATTTTATCACTTTGAATTTAGGCCCTGAGGGGGCGACGGATCCAAAACAGCTGACCTGGACAAGACGGTTGACAAATGTTTTAGAAAAAAAGGTTTCGGGTCGAGATAAAGGTGAGGGTAAACAACAACATCCACTTGTTCCGGGAGGATTTTATTGTTTGTTCTTGAGGGTCTTGAGAAGGGATGATAATTGGATAGGGAAAAGGTTAATTTCCAATATTTTTAATGATTTTTTCGCGAAAATTGTGAGGCCATTTTTGATTTTTGAGGAAACATGACGGAAATCAAAATTGTAGTCTTCAAATTTATAAGCGAGGTTTTTTAGGAGAAATTTGAAAAAATGGCCTTTCCGCTTATTGTAAATCTTATTGTGGTAAAAAATTGCAACAAAAAATTTATTTTTTCTTATGAAATCCGCAAAGAGTTGATCCCCAACTCTCTGGCTTCCACATATCGCTGAACATCTTACAGCGAGCTAGCCACAACTTTCAGGAATTGGCTATAGCCTAGACACAGTTTGTAGGCAACACTTGAAAAACTGCAAATCACAATTTTGCATTTTTTGTCATCAAATTATTCAAAAATCCGATATTCAAAAATTTTTCATGTCCTCCAAGTCTCTTACTATCATCTTGATACATCTAAAAGTATCCGATTCTCCATTCATCCTCGATTTCCCACCCCCTCAACCTAAAAAACCGGCTAACCCCGGGCCTCTGACCTCCGGAAAACCCTTTTTTCAACAAATGACATTTAAAAAGTTGCACCTAAACTTCCTCAAAATCATATTATCATCTTATCTCATAGCCAAATCCATGTTTTCAATTGTGTTTCCTACTGTAATTTGACACATGTTTAGCAGAGAATGTTGAATTGTAAAGACCTGCAATTCCGTTTTATTGGATTTCCGTTCAAAAGTTCGACGCAATCCCAATATTTCCCCCAGATGTTCGTTTTTTAAACTGGCCCGGAATTCGAATTATCTTCAGTTTGACTGGGAAGATTTCTGGGACAAAGTCTTCTCCAGAACTTTTAAAAAATTGTTATTTTTTTTTTGTAAAATACGAACCCTTTCAACGCATAATTTTTTGATATTGAAAAGCAAAAAAATTAAAGCGTATTTTAGAAGTCATGGGAGATATCGCCGCCGCCCTTCAAGCCGCTGAGCTGATCCCCAACCCCTTGCCAGTTCCGCCACAACAACTTTTAAACGTAAGTCATCAATTTTTCCTACTGTAATATCGATTATACCACAACAAAAATTTTTAAAAGGTGACATTAAATATTGTGTATTTTGAAAAGCTTTTCAAAACAAAATTTGCTGTAATAAACATCCGTATTTTAGAACTTTTATTAAAATTTCAAAATTATGATTTTTCCTTTAAAGCTAAATTTCAGGTGCAATTTGCGGGAATCAAAGTCACCCCAGGACAAGAAATCGCTATGCATCATTTGAAGAATGCCCCCAGGGTAACCCTAAATGTCGATCCTGAGTCCACATTCTCTTTGGTTATGATTGGTAGGTCATTTTATATTATAGTATACATACATATAAAATGATTTCCAATGTATTTGAACTCAATTTTAGACCCCGACAATCTCTCCCGGAAGAATCCCTCAGTCGCTGAATGGCTTCATTGGCTTGTCGCCAACATCCCTGCCAGCAACATTCAAGAGGGAATCAATGGAGGTAAAAAATATATTATAGTAGCCATACACCCCAGTAATATCGAATTTATGGCTTATAATAACATTAAATTTTGCTAAAACTACATTCAGGTCAACACCAACAGCCCTATGGATCTCCGGCTCCTCAGCCACGAACCGGAGACCATCGCTATTTGATCGTTCTCTTCGAACATCAAGGTCGTCGGATCTCGGTTCCAAAGCCAAATTCTCGGGCCAAGTTCAGCCTGAAACAATTCATCGAGAAGAACAAGCTCGGCAAGTCTCTAATCCTCGTATTTTATCTAGAAAATCTCCATTTCAGATGCCCCAATCGCTGCCAATTTCTTCATCTCCAAGAACCCCACACAATAAGGTCTAAACTCACAAGGGAAGTACTTGAAGTGTGACGCTCAGATTTTGATGAAACTTGGCACAAATTTAGAATAATTTTTTCTAAGATATATGCGGGAATCCTAGCTCGCGCTTTGCAGAAACAACCGAGATTTTTAGATCGAAAGTCGGCGAAAATTTGGGACTTTTTGCCGAATTTCGGCACGAAAAGTTTCATGCCTATTTCAACCGTAAAGAATAATGTTTCTACAAAAAATCAAATTTTTCCGCACGAAACTGCCAAAGTTATGGCCAAAAAGCGGTTTTCTCTCTGACCGTTCTCCACGTTGAGCGTGCTCTCTCGGCGGCAAAAATCGTTCAATATCTCGGCGGCGCCCGCAAAGTGCGAGCTAAAACTTTCAGGAATTGATATTTAGTCCATACCCGATGTGTGTGCAAAATTTAAAGAAAATCTGAGCGTCACACTTGAAGTACTTCCCCTGTCAGTAAATATCAATAAAAACTGTAATTAAACTGATCTTCTAGTCATAATAAATTGCAGTATCTTTCAAGAAAAATTTTAAATCACTATTTATTTAGTAAGGCAACTCAAGCAATATTTTAAATTAATTTAGATTCCCAAAAGTCGAAAATTTACAGTAAGCGAAAGTGATAATTGCACGTTTTACATTGATTCCAAGTGAAAAACCTTAAGCATTTACATGGATAAGGCGCATTACATTGGAACTAATGTAAATATTCGATATCTGGATTTACTTCTGCTCGTCTTTGTCCTTGGTTCCGTGTTTGAGCATCCGAGTGAACTCCACGTAATCAAAGCGACCGTTTTTGATGGGAGCATCGCGGAAGAGCTCGTCGACTTGCTCGTCAGTGAAACGATCGCCCATTGTTGTCATTAACTCTCGAAAACGATCTTCTGATATTGTCCCTGAAATTTTTTACCTTATTTAGGACATCAGACCAAACAAAGATTATCCTAAAACAGAAAACATAAGAAAGGAGAACATACCACTATTATCCTCATCAAAGCATTGAAAGGCGTTTCGAATCACTTCCTCCGGATCTGTTCCGGTTAATTTCTCTCCGAACAAGGTCAAAAACATGGTGAAGTTGATGGATCCAGAGGCTTCGCCAATCATCTTCTCGATGAAATCTTCATTGACTTCTTTGCCGAGGGAAGCAAACATGTCCTGAAAAAAGCAAACGGACATTACCAACAACAAAGAATCGAATATAATAACCGATTTTAATCTTATACTTGGTGTCTTGCCATATATTGGAACAAAAATATGGTCAGAATTCATTAGAGAAACGTGCGAGATATGTTTTATTAAATCAATGAGAATGCTCACCTGAAGATCCTGGTTGCTAATGAATCCATCATGATCTTGGTCGATCATGTTGAAAGCCTCCTTGAATTCTTGGATTTGAGCCTGATCGAACATCGCAAAGATGTTGGATGTAGCCCTTTGTGGTCGAGCACGACGGGAGACTGTCTTTCTGGAGGCCATTGTTGGAGTATCAGCTGCAAAAATAAATAAGTTTTAGTGAAAATTATTCTAATCAATATAAAAAATCAAATTTTAATCATTAACGAATACTCCACGAGAACATAAATTTGTAAAGAAGAAAACCAATGCCTTGTACGCCTTCTCAACTCGCTTTAGCAGAATAATTCGCGCGGATCAATAACTGACGTTATCCTTGTCACTCGGGGACCAAATTCCCCCACCCGAAGGCGCTCGTTACAAAAAGAAGCCCGAAATATTCGAAAACAAGAATTTGGAGGTCGTCGCGGATCTATTCCGAAGTGACTCATTACCATTTTCTTCCCCCGCTCTCTTCATTCCCACTAATATATTCAACAAGCAAAGATTTTTAAAAAATAAAAAAAAAGTCTAATGCCTGAGGGCCAAGCAAAAAAATAGAAAATCTTCTGACAGAATTCCGCATTCTGATTCATCGTTGTTCGACGTCGACGCTCAATTCCACCATTCACCCGTCGAAAAAAACTTTTGACACTTCGCAACAAGGCGAAACGAAATGTCCCAAATTGATCGAATTGATAAAATATCTGGTTTTTTGACAAAATTTTGTTCACGCTCGACGAAATATCCAACAAAGCAATCGGGGGCATTCCAAGAACATCATTCCGGTCATTTGCGATCAATTTGGTCGGACAGTCGGATTGATTTTGCTTTAGACATTAGCTCTTCACGCGTTTATTGATCCTCATACCTCGTGACCGGCATCATGTTCGTATTCTTTCAGTCGTAAATGCTATAGAAGTTCAAATAGAGGTAGTGATAGCAGTAAGCATAATGGGAAACTCGTATAGCAATATACTTCCATTGGGAACGCCAAGACGAAATGGAATATCAGGTCCGTCAACTTCATCGACGACGTTAGAGGAAAGTGGAGAAGCTCAGGTGAGGATTTTTGCATTCGGGATTATGTGCTTAGGTCTGTGTTGACATCATGCACATGCTGGGTGGATCATTCGCCGATTTTCCCTTGAAATTTCAAAAAATTTTCATTTAAGCCTACCTTGTCCAGTATAAAAACGCCTAGTATAAAGGCTAATACTTGCCCCTAATCTGGTCTCCACTGCAAACGATTTAGACCCGTATTCTTTTAGTTCTCATAGTAAATATTGATCTTCAGCCCAGCTCCCTAACTCCAATACGGCAGACTTCGCGACGTCGGAAGTTAACCACTGACTGCTCTGAATGTGAGTTCAAAACTCCAGAGCCAGTGGTAAAGCGTGCCAAACTCGATACTCCTAAATACATATATCAGAAACTTTTCCTCGAAGGTGCCAAGTCCGATGTTACAATACGAGCTCTGGGAATGTCATGGCACTTGCATAAGCTATACTTAGAACAATGCGATTACTTTGCCGCACTGTTTAGTGAACGATGGGGAGCCGAGAAGAAGAGGGTCTACGAGCTGGACGTCTTGGATTCGCGGGTCAACATTCCAGGTGAGATTTTATGATTATTATTGTTGGGTTTTAGGTAAAATTAGGTCAGGATTTCTCTGAGTTTGCGATTTTCATGTTGCGAGATGGTTTTCATTGATGTTTGTTGTATCTCTTACACTTCATTTTAGGCCTCGACAACGTCTTTGCTTCGTTGTATCAAAATGAAATCGAAATTGATTTGGATAACATAGGTGGAGTTTTGGCCTCAGCCTCAATGATCAATTTGGTAAGTAACTGTCGCTGTATTGGCATTATATTAAAGAACCTTTTTGTACTGTTAATGTTATCTTTTCAGCTTGTTGTAATCCAGCGTTGTGATGATGTCATGGTAGAGACCATGAATGGTTCCAATGTCCTCGAATATCTTGAACTGGCTTCAGCTTATGGTTGTCAAACAACCCGAGAAGCGGCCATGGTATTGTTAGAGAGGATGTTTTGGAAATACAGTCAAGATCCGGCGTTTTTAAAAAGGTTGTCATATGACACTTTGGTGGAAGTGTGCGCCCGAAGGGATTTGTGTATATGTGAAGGTGAAAAGGATTTGTATCATGCGATTAGGAGGGTGAGTCGTATTTTTCGAACTTTATTCTTCAATTTTAGGGTCTTTGGAACGTTTACAAATATGTTTTTTATCGAAGTTTTTGCTAATTTCATATTGAAATCGATTTTTTTCTGTTTCAGTGGTTTTACATACGAAGTAAGAACGAATTAGACTGCCCCGACTCAGATCTCAGCAAATACTTTAATTCCCAGCCGGAGCATCACTTCTACAAGTACCATTTACTCTTGAAAAACGTCCGTTTCCAACATATGATCACCTCCAAGAGGACCATGGAAAAATTAAAACATGACCATTTAATCGGCGCAGACATGCTGGACACGATGATGAAAGATCTCTGGAATACTTTGTTGGTGAATGAAGACAAAAATGAAGTGTAGGTGTGACCCTGATGTTGTCTATGAATAAGGTCTTCTTTTTTCAGTTCTGAAGAAGTTACCGACGACTTCTTTTACTCCCATTGTCGGAGATTGGGACGACATTTAGAAGAGGGAAATGTAAGTGAATTGTGAAAGTGTAATAGTAAAAGTATTTACTTTATTTTTTTATAATGTTTGATTTTGAAACTTGAAAAATCTTAATTTTTTTAGAAGTGCTGGAGATGGGCGGGATACGACTTTGGACTGGATTTGGTGGTCAGATGCCAGTTCCGAACGGTCTACTTGATCAGAAACTTCTCCAGAGACCATGGACTCTTCCAATTATCGGTTAGAAAACTTACAAGGATTCATTATAGGTAATTAATTTGTTTCGTTTTATTAAAAGTTACTCTTTTCTTCTAATTGTTTTTCTACAGCTGATTTTTTACTTTCGGATTTAAATTTTACTAATATTAGTAAGTTTTTTTCATTTTTTCAGAATGGTAATTTTGAATGCCTCCGGTCAAGTCCTGTTGGATAGTGGACGAAAAATGTGTGAGCTTGCGCTGGATGAGGTAAATTTTAGTCTTGAATATTACCTTATTTCTGGGATTTTTGGAAATTTATTGCCTAAATTTTAGAAAGAAATTGTTGGAAGTGTCTCCACCGACCTTACGAATGTGTCGATCCATTTGTTTTATTTGGCCTCGGTTCCCGGACCATCAGCGGACAAATATTGGACCGCAATTGAGTCCCCGGGACCCTCGGAAGTGAAAAATGAAGTGTAATGTACAGTTGTTGTTGCCATGAATATCTTCAAGATACTATAAGGTAATAGACCCATAAGTCTTTCCTTTTTTGGCTTTATAAATTTTTTAGGAGATTATAGTATAGAGTAGTGTATTAAAGTTGTAATAAGTAGGCCAGATTTGTAACAGTCCGTCGGGAAAACAATGATAAAAACCCGGATCCAGTAATAAGCCTAGTGTAATAAGCCCGTATTTCGTGTCTATTTCAAGAAAAGGAGTTTCCCAGTAACTAGAAATTCCATTGTAAATCGACGAAAATTTTTGTTTTTGAAAAAAAAATTTCGATTTTTTCCAAATTTTTGCACTCATGAATATCATCGAGATACCTCAAATGTCCAGTGTATTCCATCCCCGTCTACTTATTCAAAGCTTCTTTTTTTTGAATTTTTAGGTCTTTTTTGGTATCAACCAAAGGTTTTGATATTGTTCCATCCAATGTGTCTTTTCTTTTTTTTTTTTGAAAATTTTGAACTTTTGCAGTATATGTGTATTTAAAAAAAGCAATAAAAAATTTAAAATTTCTTGAATGGGGGTAATTTAAGGATAAGTAGATTTTTTATGCAATTTTAAATTTATGGCACTTGAAATTGAATCGTATTTTATGGAAGTTGATTTTGCGGATTGTCAAAAGTAATATTTTTTGGAGAAGTACGTTATTTTTAGCCCTGTGTAACCTTCGGAAAACCCTTTTGTCAGTTTTTGTCAAATGCGGCAGCATTTCGGCAAAAAATGAACTTTCTCTTCCCGAAACTCCCGAATTATGATCAAAACCCCGTTTTCTCTAACCGACTCCCCTAATTTTTCATGCTGAGCAGTGTGAAGAGAAATTGTGCAGTAATAAAGGCTTTCAAACCGATGTGAAAAACAAATATTTCTTTATTAAATCAGCTTGTTTCGAAATTTCAAAGACTTTGAACCGAAATCATTTTTTCTAACCTCGGTATAATGTCTAAATCCTCGCACGTAGGTTTCACTGTAATAACAGCAAACTGCCTATGGGTATGCCACTGGATCCATGGCATGTCTTAAGGTCCTGTAACATTTCACAACAACGTATTCGAAAAATACATTCAGAAATGCGCAGATGAATAAAAAAATGACAATGATTAATAAAAAGATGGGCTCAACTTTCTCATCTCCCGTCTTTTCGTGTCTGTCGTCCGGGGTAAACTTGGCGATCATGTAGATCCCCATGAAAAACATGGCAGCGATTATATTCATCAGAATTAAAATGGCCTGCAATTTGAATAAATTGTTCAGTTACTGTATCAACCTACATTGTAAATAATAAATGGCCATAATAACATCAGGTTATCAGAGCATGCTGCATAAATAAGAAGAAGGCAGAAGATGGCGTAGACTGTGTTCCCACCCAATGAAGCCCATTCTCCGCGGATCAATAGGTCGGCTACGGAGAATAGGGCCAACGAGCAGCCGATCAGTCCCACTCGGATCAGCAGAGTCTGAAACTTTGAGTTTTAGATCGAGTTTTTATCATTAAACGGTCATATTCTCTCGGATTTTTTCTCGATATTTTACTAGCATAAATTTGAGGTACGTTTGCAGTAGTAGGTGCAACAGGCCAAAGGTGAGCACTCTGGCAAAATCAAAAATTGCGAAAGAAACGTTTTTATCTAATCATCACTCCTTAACTCCAATGTTTCATCGACAAATCTCAGACAATATCTCAATTACAGCTTGTAAACCTCTTCGAAATCAATGACTTTTTTCAAAACAGTGTCTCGAATTTGAATCCGGTCTTAAATTTTGTCTCCCTAAATTGACTCTCCAAAAAACGAAGTACTACCGGCTCTATCAAGTGTTCTGTTTTTGTCCGATTCGTTGTATAACGAGATTGGATTTGTCATACTCACCTTGACTGACGCTTCCCAGCATCCCACCTTCAGCTCAGTTATCTCCATCAATTTCTGTGGTTGGGCCATAACTTCAAACTTCTTTTTTTCAACCTAAAAATCACCGCTATCTTTAGTATCTCAAAGCAGCTTCCGCGAAACGTGAAACTGTTTTTTTAGCAAGCTTGAAAGGCCGATCAAAAAATGTGACTGTTTTGGAAAGAAAAAACAAACCCATCTGGAAAGGACGTCAACTCGAAACAAGAAATCGAGAAAAGATGGGGAGAAGGTAAAAAAGGTTAATGACGAATACAAAAGTAAGGTAATCTGTAAAGTTTCAGTGTTGTTGACTATGCTTTGGCGTTTTGGATGTCCGTTGAAGGTTGATTTTACTTTCAGGATCTAAGTCATCATACATACAGTATCTTGTTTGGAAAGTGGTGACATTTTATACGAAAGAAGCAAGTCTTTCTGATGACAACCAAAAGTCAAAAGAACGTAAAAAATTTAATTTTATTAATAGACACGAATCGGACGAATTCGAGCAAAGAAACTTGGGTTTATATTATTCTCTGGATTAAACTCGACGTCTTCTGAATGGCTGAGTGCTCTGTAGCAAGTGACAATGACATGTTCGAAGATAATGCTGAATATAATTATCAGGACAAGGAGGATTGTTATAGCGATCATTGCCCAAAGAACAGAATCATCTTGGTCGTATTCGCCGAGCTTGGCCACAAAATAAAGAGCAATGAGAGCGTTGACGGCAATCATGTTGATGATGATTAGGAGCGCCTAGAAATTTAATTTAAGATGCGTAGGATAGTTTTGTGGGTCTTTGTATCATCAGTACGCTTTGGCCAAAGATTAAGTTGTCTTCGCGTCGAGACCCTAACCAATTTCAGAATTGTTGGGTCCCGACAAGAAAGTTTTAATAGATCAGCCAGATGCCTGAGAAATTCACTAACTCACATTGTAGATCATAAAGGGCCAAAAAAAGTATCGCTTGTCCGATTGTGCTCCATAGATTAGATGTAGGCAGAAGATAAAGTAGATCAAATTACCTGATAAGTAAAAAGCTCCCATGGAAATTAAGAACATAGAAAGTTTATACTATTATAAAAGAAGCACAAGTACCCCTACCTGAAGAATACACTTCTTGAGTAAAGAGTTGCATCAGAGAAAGAACACTGATGATACAACCAGTCATTCCAACATTAGTCGCGATATCCTAAAGATAAATTACAAAAATCCAACGGCACCTTGACAGATCCTTTGCAATAGCACACATCCACTTTCGTCTCTCGCATTTGGGAGTAGCCATCGCTCAAGCTCATGGTTAAATTAGCAGAAAAATAAGTGGCAGTGATTCAGCTGGTCGTGAGATTTTACTAATGTTCAAGTGATAAAAAAAAAGTTTACTGAATTCAATTACCGATCATTATAAGGATGAATCTTTGGCGTCTTTTGTCTTGCAACTGCTTATTCTTCAAAAGGTTCATTTGTGAAGCGCTTTAAAATTTTCTTGTTTTCTTGGGATCCGTTACTAGTCCGTTCGTAAAGTCGCTGGAATGTTTTCGGCGACATGCACTCCGCGAAACCGAAAGTTCAGTTTGCACTGTGCAATTTTTGACTTTTTGCACAGTGCAATAGGCTTTTTCGGGCTGTCGCCCGCACCCTGAGTTTTTTTTGCACAGTGCACGTCGCCGAAATCATTCCAGCGACTTTACGAACGGACTAGTACTTGATGACTCATACTTACTACTAACTGCAGGGTATTTTCACAGAAACATCGGCCAATATAAGCTTTCAAGCGAGAAAAAATGTTTTGGAAAATATATGTTCCCTTACCGTATCAGAAAGAAGAATTATAATTCTTCTTCCTATAGGAAGAACATTTGAACTTTTCATGTTGCACAATTAGATGTCATCTTGTCTGTTCACAGGGGTTATTTTTGAGAACGACGAACTCGTTTGTTACAGTTTTTGATACGAAGAATCCATTTAGAAGCCTCGTTGATGTTCTATATTTGCTATGAGCGGTTCCCATTCTCTTCGCTCCACTTCTCTCTGATTGGTTCAATTTTAGAATTGATTATCGTCTCCAAAACACTTGGAAGTTTTACCTCCTAGAATTAATAAAAATCATGGCATTTCATTTCGATAGAATGAACAGTTTAATGTACCCGTATCAATCCTATAGAACAGAAAGAAAAAAAAACAAAAAAAAAAATCAAAATCTACATAGGTAATATATTATAATTTACACTGCTACGGATGTATATTTTCTCTGAATCGTCCTGTAGCATTCAACAACAACATACTCAAAGATGAAGTTCAAAATGGCGGAAAGAATCAAGTACACAACAATAACAATCGCAATCCATGGAGGATCGTAATGCATTTCGTGTTTGTCATAACGAAACAGCGAGATTACAAGGGCTGCTGCAACGGCGTTGACGCAAAGAAGGACCAGCTGAAATAAACGACGCGAAGATGAATATGAAACCTCTAAACTAAGAATAATCAATGGCCAACAAACTTACATTGAAAACAATAAATGGCCAGAGGAAAATACGCCTATCCGAACGAGCTCCATAGATGAGAAAAACGCAAGCAACAAGATATGTGGGGTATATTGGAGAGTACTTTTGATTCACAAACATGTAGATGGTTGAAAACAGACTTAAGACAGCGCCACTTACGCCAACGGTAGCGATAACATTCTGAAAATAGAGTGAAGGATAGAGAATAATAACCACAAGTTTTTTTCGGTCGAAACTCATCAATGGATTGGCGATGCTAATTGGCAAAACGTCAGCAGCGCCTCAGGATTTTTTTGGCATTGGCGGAGAATTAGCCGATCGCAAACATGACTTTTTAATATGGAATTTAGGAAGTGAATATTGCTTGGAATATATGCAATTTATTAATTAAAAAGTCCAACAAAATAACTTCTCCTACAAAAATTTCGAAGTTATTACCTTAGCAGAACCGCTGAAGCAGCACACGATGACACTTGTTTCCCTCATTGCTAAAAAACTTTTGCTCATTTTTAATTTACAATAAGATGCGTCTTCTTCAATAGGTTCAATTTTATGAGAGTTGCAAACTCTAGAAAAGATCGTTTTAATTTATGACTCTGAGTTTACCGAATTAGCGTTATTCTTTTAAAAAAAGGCGTTACTTTTTAGTTCGTCTTTTGTCGCAACCAGCAAATAACCGTTGAAGGTGGTAAACATTAGTCACGTTCAGGTAGCGTTGTAGAGTGAGTCATAATTACTGCGGAAGAAAACGCAAGATTTTTTGATTGTCAGATAATTATTTATACATGTTTAGTATGTTACCCATACAAATTTTAAAAATATTATCCAACCAATCTTAGCCTTTTATTACTCAAGTTTTCTAACAAGGGGATTTAGCAAGATAAATAAATTATAACAACTAATTACATATGTGCTATTTAGACACGTATTCAACAAATATGGCAGATGAATGGCAACTAACCAACCAGTTTTTTACACCCTGGCGATTTCGTCTGTAGAATCTCGATTGCTGCGCGTCTTTCCGTAGCAGATGACAATGACATATTCAACAAGAATGTTGAACAGAGTGATGAGGACCAAAACAAAAGCAACTGCTGCAAGGACCAACGCGTCGCTTACATCCGGATTACGATGATGCTGAGGTCTGGACGAGAAGTACAAGACGATCACAGAGACCGTGGCTAGGAAGTTGACTATGATGAGGAGTCCCTGGAAATAATATAATTAGCTGTTGACTTCTACTGTGAGTTTCTTTATTTGTGCTTAGTTGAGGGCCTAAACATAGCAGAAAAGCAAAAAATAAATAACTTACATTATAAAACAAGAAGGGCCAAAAGTAGAACCGATTGTCGAGATGAGCTCCAAAAATGACAAGAAGGGAAACGAGGAAGTAGATCAAGCTGCAGACAGAATATTGGCAATCAATGAGCAACGCAATCACAGCGACGATACTGAGGATGCATCCAAGTGTACCAACTCCAATCGCGGTTTGCTGAAAATTGAGGGTTTAAAGAATGATGACTTTGATGACGTAAGAAAGCATTTGGAAGGAAAGGCCTTTGGTTTATTTCTTCGAGAGTCATTCAAGGTTTTTGGAACTGTATTAGCAGCAGAATAGACGTACTGTTTACAAAAAGAAAATTTACATTTTTCTTTCTTTCCCTAAAATATTTACCCCCCAAAAACGGTAACTTTTTAACGTATACATTGGAAACCATCCATAATCTAAAGCCTTGCCTTAGCCGTGCCTTCAAGACATCCAATCTTGACTCGATTCACATCCAGCAAACAGTTTTTGTCACTCATCCTCATCTCGATGAGATATTGGCCTCAAAACTGGCCGAGAATGCAGTAAAATTCACTGTTTATAAGGGACAAATTGTCATCATTTTTGCGACGTTTGTTTTTTTAGAAAATGAAGAAATCATTTGCGAACCAGTAAAGTAAAAAGTGTGAGGAAGCGTTTCGAAAAAAGAGTCAAGAAACAGATTAACGGAACAAAGGCCTCGAAAATGAGCTCAGTTTAGTCTTTTTTGTTTTGCATCCAAGTACCGGATTGGGCTTCTCTTGATCAAGCAAAATTACAAGTATGACTCAACGAATTTTTATATACAGTTTACATCTCAACATGCGCCTTGTTTACTTTCGGCCAAGAGATCGAAAAGTGCTCCTATTTTGCATGAGTGATTAGAACCGCCCCGGTAACAAAATCAAACTCATCTTATAAAACGAATAATTTATTATGCAACCATTATAAAACTGAGAATAAGTGAAACAAAAATATCGTATGTACATTCAGACATTGATCATCAGATTTCCACTGTTGCGGACCGTTTTGTAGCAAGTGACGATGACATGTTCGAAGAAGATGTTGAAGAAAGTGATCAGAACGAGGATCACGGTGGCCACGGCCAGAACCCAGGCATTGTCGACGTCCTCATGCTTCTTGTGATGGGACTTGGCGGCAAAGTACAGAACAATGATAGCGACGGTGGCGAGGATGTTGGCGACGATCAGAAGGGCCTGGAATTAACCAAAAATTATCGTAGCAACCAATCTTGCCCTTGTAAACCCCACAGAAACTATTTTTCAAAACAAATTGTTTTCGTGGCAAGACCCAATTTTTTCTCTAAACTTCTCCAACTCCTCGTTTAGGACCTAAAATTCATAACAAAAACTCCAAGCCACTACAAGGTTCACAAACTTACATTGTATACCATGAAAGGCCAAAAATACATCGGCTTATTAGAACGTGCTCCATAGATGAGAAGGAGACAGAAGATGAAGTAGATCAGGTTGCCAGAAGAATATTGGCCTCCAGTGAACAACTCGACCACCGCCAGAAGACTGAGGATACATCCAACGATTCCAACTCGGGTGACCACTTGCTAAAAATCGAGGTTATAAGTTTCTGTAATAGATAATAAAAAAAAAATGTTGCGGAGAATTAAAAAAAAATCTCTCACTTCTTTTCGCAGCCTTCTCAGATTGTAAGAATAAAATATCTAGCATAAATTTCGACAAAAAGTGAAGTTTAAGCATCAAACAACATTATTTTATGTAGAATTGATGCTTCCTTCAAAAACAATCATAAATCTTCTAACACCAGTTTTAATGGTAAAAGAAGGCGTTAAATTGCGCATCACACCAATAGATGACAAACTCATACCTTGACCGTTCCACCACAGCATCCAACATTCACTTGATTCACATCCATCGCAGAATACTCCTCGCTCATTTTTTAATTTATTATTCTCAAAACTGTCTGAAAACGAAATATTAGCCCAAAACAAACATAGATTTTAAAGACGTGCTCAATAACAGGCCAAACACGAAAAATTACACTTTTTTTGAGAAAAAGGTCATGGATAATATAAAATCGTCAAATAAAAATGAAACAGCCTAAATTTCATGGTGAAAACTGTCGCAAAACAAAGGAAAGTATCTTGCGATAATTTCTTAAAGTGTAATGTGAAAAAATTTTTTAAAGTGTATTTTAAAAAAGCAAAAATACTGCAAAAGTATACCTAAATTTACTAGAATTATTACATCATAAACAGCTATAAAACCTAAGGCTAAATTGACCGTTGAATGATTCATTCTTCACTCCTAACTCTGTTTCCCAGAGAACACATCTGATTTGGCTGCTCAAAAGCAGATGCTATCGAAAATGGAGAGCTTTTTTCAAATCTCTTTCGAAAAAATAAAAAATTTTGGTTCCTCGAACAGAAATTGATGTAAACAATACCAACACGGTGGCCAAACATCAAAAATTGCTGCAATAACCCATTGGCATAATTGGAATTTTATCCAATACTTGCTCTGGATGCCTTTTACGCCTTCAGAATCCTGTTTTTGACAAAAAATTTATACTACACCTGGCAAGACAGGTGAAATCCAAAACAGAAACTTGTTTATCTTCTCTAATAAGGCGACCTGTAATTATATCTAACTTCTGACATTTTTCTACCCATTCCACAGCTTTCCTCGACCATTTTCCACCAAAGCTTGAAAAACGCAAATATTATCCTTCTCCTTCACGTTTTATCTTCCCCAACTCACGGCGGTTTCACACAACAGAAAAGCGGGAACTTCGTTTTGTCCTTTTTTGAAGCGGGGGCGCAGCTCGCGGAGGCAAAAAATGACGTTTTTTTACTGTAACTTTTAAACTAACAGTCGAATCGAAAATCGACCAGGGATTTAGAAAATAGAAGTTGTCTTTTATCTAATGACGTATTAAACACATTGCAGAAGTGGAAACGGAGACCAATTGTCTGTGGCGCTAAATTTGCCTATGTTGAGGATACCGTATCAAAACCAAAAATCAAAATGGGAACTTGATATGAAGAAGTGGATATGTAAATACATGATTCCGAGTCGATAGACACCGAAAACGTCGAAAAAGATTGACTGAGCGAGAAGTTATGACACCCAAAAAACATGCTGATTTTTGACAATTTCGAAAAACTACAGTATCCTTCGAACAAACAGTCGGGTCAAAAATCGACCAGGGATTTAGAAACTACTTTGTCTTAGCTATATTTTGGTATACAGCATGGCTAAGTAGGTGATCAAATGAAGAGACTTGACTGTGGCCGAAAGTACATTGGTCATGTTGTAGTAGGTGAAAGTTGATCGTGAGACAAATGCAAAGGTGGTTATGAGGAGTTAGGGTGCTACTACAACTCAGTAAGCAATAATCGTTTAGAATCATCGTCGATTTTGCATTAGCGAGGACTTGTGGTACAGTACCCACCATCACCGTATCCACTTTAACTATCAAGGCTTAAGCCAATAAAAGACCATATATTACGCTTAGACTGTGCTCCTCCATCTCTATGTTTATAAATTAAACATTTAACAATTATTTTAGCTTCATATAACCACAGCTGGTGTTCATCGGGTATGCCACTAGTATATGTACAATATTGCTGTAAGCAGCGTTTAAAAAAAGTTTCGGTTATTGTTGGTCCCATAGGTTCTAATGCTTCCTTTACATCTTTGAACGGGTTTGCTTCCTCTATTTAATTAAAATACGGCCTGATTGCTGTTTTAATATTCATTTAAGTAAGCATGTTAACCGTCACTTCATTTGATGATTTTAGAAATCTTAATGTGAACTCTGAATTAATTATTGGTCTGAAAAGATCAAGAAAATTTTTTTTTTATTCTTTTAGTATCAATTACATCACACTTCTGATGAAACTGTACGATTTCTTACTAAACATGTTTCATCGTATACCTTCCTCTGCAAGCTGCGCGTTTTTTATTTTTTTCCCACCACGAAAGAGATCTTTGAAACCGCCGTGCAACTGCTCAAATGGGTTTGTAAACAGCAAACGGACCTCGAAAACATTTTGCAATTTCAAAATTTTCGAAATTTGTAAAAACAAGTAAACAAATTGCGCGAGCGGCGCCCTGACTTCTGCTAAGCCTTTTATACGATGGAACACGTCTTCAAAAAAAAACAAAATTGTGATTTATTGAATAACTTATTATGCGAATGCTTCGAATATAGGAAAAGGGCAGTGAAACAAAGAGATTTCAAATAAAATAAGACGATATATTATACATGGATTGGGCCCGGTTTTGTCCCCACCCCGGTTTTGTCCCCAAGACGGTTTTGTCCCCAGGACGTTTTTGTCCCCACTTTTTTTATTTTTTTGTCCCCACACCGGTTTTGTCCCCAGGACGTTTTGTCCCCAAGCTGGATAGTACGATTAAAAATTATGCATTCAGATGTTAATGCTGTTGGTTTGGTGCACAGTACTGATCAAGCAACATGTTCTTAGCACTTGGTACTGCATAGTACAAGGTGGTACTATATAGCACGAGGTAAAAATTAAGCTATAACGTGTGAATGACGTTGCTTTGGTACGCAGTACTGACCAGACGTTCATTTTGTGCTAAAACAAATTCGTGCTATATAGTACCATGCTAAAACACATTTTTGAAAAGTACTGGGCTTCAAACCCATAGCATTGACGTGTTATGGCTTAATTTTTACCTCGTGCTATATAGTACCACATCGTACTATACAGTACCAATCGCTAAGAACAAGTTGTTTGAGCAGTACTGTGCACCAAACCAACAGCATTAACATCTGAATGCATAATTTTTAATCGTACTATCCAGCTTGGGGACAAAAACGTCCTGGGGACAAAACCGGTGTGGGGACAAAAAATAAAAAAGTGGGGACAAAAACGTCTTGGGGACAAAACCGTCCTGGGGACAAAACCGGTCTGGGGACAAAAAGGCTCGAAAAAAGTGGGGACAAAAACGTCCTGGGGACAAAACCGTCTTGGGGACAAAACCGGGGTGGGGACAAAAACGTCCACTACGTATACATGAGACAAGATAACACAAAGTTATTTTAAACAGAGTTGAACTCATTGTCGTTACTAGTAGCCGTCCTATAGCATCTATAGACAACGTGCTCGAAGAAGATGTTGAGACAAGCCACCAGGGTCATAACTATTGTAACAAAAAATACAAATGCCGCAGTTCCTGCAGAGTCTCGATGATTATGATTGGCAACCGCGATCAGTAACGCTAATAACATGATGGTAGCGAGGATGTTGAGGACAATTAGGATTGCCTGAAAGGAGGGTTTAGTTACAAAATTTATCAGACTCATTCATGGTTTTAAAACTTACATTATAAATCAAGAATGGCCAAAAGTACCCAGGCTTGTTTGAATTTGCACCGTATATGAGCAGGATGCAGAATATGAAATAGAACACATTCCCGCCAGAAGAGGGATCTCCTGTGAGCAATGCGAGCATTGAGATCAGGCTAAAGACAATTCCGATGACTCCAATTCTGGTGACAACGTCCTGAATGAACGATATTTTCGAAAAATATTTAGTTAATGTTTTATAGCTAGAGGATAATTAAAAAAGCGTATTTTACCTTGACAGTTCCTCCACAACAAGCAACATCGACCTTTCGTTCCATCACACTCATTTTGAAAAACCTGGAAATTTTTTTTTAGCTTTTACGATCCGCTATTTATTCAAATTTTCAACCCTTGTAAGCGCCGGCAGAAATCGCCAACCTGTTTGAATGACGACTCTTATAAAGCCCGAAAATTGTCAAAAAAGGGCCTAAAGAAATCACAGCTCTGTTGCATCGTAAAATTTCATTTTCTTTTTTGGTTTTTGCGCAAAAAATATTATGCAAATTTTAAAAATTTCCAAAATAAAAAATCCCCGAATTACCTCGCGAAAGTATCTTTTTTGCTCTTTCAAAAAGCCTCGCGTTCTCTTGGAGATCTTATAGAAAGAGAGACAATTGGCAGAATGCCCGTGAAAAGGACGCAAGTGAAACAGGAGTATTTCGAAAACAAACATGACGAATTTTATTAAGACAGCCTCTTATGGCCGTTCAGAAGTTTTTTATAAAGATACTTCACAATTACACTTGTTTTGCATTTCACTAGCCTCTTCATGAAGCGGCAGGGGATTTCCTATATAGGAAAAGTATAAAAACATACTCATAGGGGTCGTTTTATACGATGGAACATGTCTACAGAAAGAAAATTGTAAAATAAGCCCCCGAAATTTGCCCCGGATAAGCTTATTTCTTGTTCAAAAAAGTGTATGTCCAAAGAAACCTCAAATTAAAGCTGACATGTTAGCTGTTTTATCATTTAAAAATTACTTTCATAGTGAATGGTGAGACACCGCAAACTTTATTAAAAAGTCATGTTCGATAACCATGATTTTTAGCCTTTTTGCAACCTCAAATAACAGCCTCCTCTGCCGTTTGTTCTTCCGGATAGACTTCTCGTTCTTGATAACTTGATGAGCAGAAACAAACTGTTTTTCGGTACGACTTCACCATCAAGATTCCAATATAAGGATTGACGAGAGGAGCCAAAGTCATGAGGATGTTCACAAAATATTGTTTTGCATCCGATTCCATTCCAAACATGTACATGTGAAACATTAGGAAGTAGGAAGGCGCCAGGAGAAGCATGGGGACACTCGCCTGTAAATCATCACCACGTGTTTAGATCACAATCTTCGTGAAAAGTAGGCGATTGTATTACAAAATAGGTCGATTAAACTACATACAGGGTGTACCAAAAAAATGGAAACTTTTTTTCATTTGTCCTGACGCGAAAATGGTTAGGTGTAGCCAAAGAAGTTTATTACTAAAAAATTCTCTGTTTTTTTCTGTCCTAGTGGTTTAATATAGCTATAAAAACAAGTTTCCATTTTTTTGGTACACCCTGTATAATCTCTACCTGAACCAACATAACCCTCGCGATTTGCTTATTAATATCATGCCATTTCGTTCCCTTATTCCGAACTCTGAATGATGACGTCACTTGGTGCATGAAATAAAATGTGGCCACATAACACATTGTGACAATCGTGAATCCATTCCACATGTAAAGTGTTTTGTGTAACGCACTCTGAAAAAGATCCTTTTTGAAGATTAAAATCAGGGGCTTGAAGGTTTTCCTGGTAAGATTCCACCTTAATATTTGGGTGGGTTGAAATACGGACTCGAATTCGACTATAAATACGTCAAACACGGCTATTTACGCACTATATAAATTAATCATTTTTATTTTTATACTACAGGGTGTGCCAAAAAAATGGACATTATTTTTCTCGATTTTTCCTGCCATGAAAGAGTTTGTGAAAAAAGGTATATATGGCATGAAAGTACTGCGCTAAAGGAACATATTGACTGTAGAATTTTTGCCATACCTGCAAAAACTTCAATCATACGGTTGCAGGAAGTTTGCCGGGTCAGCGCGCCAATTCCCGCGGCAAAATTTTAAAATTTTTTAGAGCTGCTGCAGAGACATAACAAGCAGTCTAAGCAAAACAAGGAGGCATGTTGTCTTAGGCTTTAAAAGGATTACACCCAAGCTTTGCGGAAAATGAAGAAACAATGACCAGAAGTTAGACACTCGGCCAGGGATAATCGACCTCCATTTAGACGTTTTCGGAAAAACGGTGCTCTACCAAACGTTGTCAGCATTTTGAAGCTAATTACTCTCATAAGGTGTTTATCACTCTATGATGGATATACTAAACGCATTTTTACAATAGTATCACTCAATGAGTAAGATGGCAAGCAAACCCGACTTTGATGAGAAATCAAAAATTACAAAATTTTCCTGAATTCTAACATTGAAACCCCGTCGTGGCTCTGTTTTTATCAGCATCGTTGATTTAAAAATCGATTTCCCGGAAAGCTATTCATGCAAAGGCTTCTCATTTTTGACAACTTTCTCAAATACATGAATCCCTGTACACCACAGCCATACATCCGCTCAAGGACGTCGAAATGTCTTGTCAGAAAACCTGTAAAAGAGCCGTCTTGTATATATTTTTGCCATGTTTAATGCTCCCTACATACATGTGTGCATCATTATTGGACCTACATCGTTTGAACTTGTTAGTCCTGCGAGTATATTTTTGCCATCCCGCAGAATTGTCGAATTAAATTCACTCCTCATGAAGTAGAACTCCTCCAGCCGCTCGTCAGTTGGATATAGCACAACATAACAGAAAATGAGCATACTGCCGGAGCCGATGAATGTCCAGAATACAGCCAGCGCTACGAACTTCAAGTTGGTCACCACTTTTGCTCTAAATATTAATAATTTGGATGGAAAAATATGCTAAGCTTACCGACAGACGGCTAAATACCGAAAATAGTAAGATAATGGACACACGATGAAAGTCTGGTAGTAACTGTAGACGTAAATCATAAAAATCGCGAATTGACCAACTGGATCTGCGATCTTGAAAGGCGTCTCGCCGATAATGTAGAAGTTTGCATTGTATATAATAACTATCTAAAATGTGCTTTTTATAGTGATAAGGATTCTTTGAGATTATGAGGATTTAATTAAAGTCAGATTTCATTCAAATACATACGAATGTTGACCACTTTAATTCGATCAATCGCTTACCGGTTTGCAGAAGAACGACAGAACTGTCAGGGCAATGTCAGCATACAAGTTGTAATACAGTAACACCCGATAAACATCCATCGCTGGGTCTGTTTTATATCGAATAAATAAAAAGTACAGGAAATTCCCAAAAATCGCCGCTCCAAATACAAAATATTCCACAGTCTCTAGCTCTTGAGACATGGCTTCCCGGTGGTTAACAAACCTTTTCGGCCAGTAAAAATCCGATTCAGTAGTCTGAGCAAGATTTTAAATCTTGTGCTAAACACTTGGTAATATTCTAAAAGACAATTACATATAAACTCAATTTTGAAGGACCTACTGTAGAAAAGAACATCAAAATGAGAATGGGCTAGTTTCACGTCTGCAGTAACCTTGTGCTTTCGAAAGTAATATCCTGGGGGGAAATTAGATTCGTGACGCCGTTGTTACAACATTATACAAAGTCTATGTATTAGAGTAAATTGGGGAATTAAAGAACTTTTACTTTCAACGAAACGGCATGTTGCGTTTTGACTCGTTTCTGGAATGGGTAGACTGTTGGTGTTTGGAGCTTTCGACAACTGAGTTTCAAAGGGAATTGCAAGGATTTATCTATCTAAGACATCGAAATTTGCAGTCTAGATAGGAGATATTCTGAGATATCCCACGACCTTTACAGGCTGGAGATTGTGGGAATTTATGGGACCATGATTTTTTGCCTTATTTGCGGACTGTTCATGGGAAAAGTTAAAATTTTTAGGAAAGCCTACTGGCAAAAAAGTAAGCATACCTCTCCTATGACTACTATACAATCAATATACCTATTTAAATTTGGATTTGTCTTTATTTACACAATTACCAACTTCCAGCCATTTCTTTCAATACCTAAATTACATCCTCATCTGCCGTTTGTTCTTCCGGATAAACTTCTTGTTCTCGACTACTTGAGAAGCAGCCACACAAAGCGTTTCGATACGACTTCACCATCAAGATTCCAACGTAAGGGTTGACTAAAGGAGCCAAGGTCATGAGGACATTCATGAGGTATTGCTTCAGATCGGATTCCATTCCAAAAATAAACATTTGAAAGAGAATTAGGTAAGCTGGAGCCATCAGGAGCATGGGAACACTTGCCTAAATATAGAGTTAAAAAACATCTCGGTGAGAATGAAATACAAAACTCACCTGAACCAACATAACCCTCGCAATTTGCTTATTAATGTCATGCCATTTCGTTCCCTTATGTCTAATTCGAAATGATGACGTCACTTTGTGCATGAAGTAGAATGTGACCACATAGGATGTTGCGACAATCAGAAATCCATTCCACATGCATAGTTGTAGTAGAAGGGAACTCTAAAAAGTTTTGATTAAAGTGCTAAGTGTACAAGTATCATATATAATATAGTAATTACTTACATCACGTGAGCTCGAAAGTCCGGCAAAAGACCTGTGGATGTCCTTAAGAATAGTGGTGTCAAAAGTGTCTTTTGTTGAGTAAAAATCAACCAGTCGATCCTCAGTAGGATACATTACAAATGTAGCAAAAACAGTAACACTGCCTGCGGCAATTAAAGTCCAGAAAATTGCCAACGCAATGAATTTACAGTTGGTCAGAATCTGGGCTCTGAAAGACCCAAAATTGCACTTTGTACAATTAATTTTGTTGCAATTTAAAATTGAATATTTGATGATTTTAGAGGTCTTGTTGGAAAGAACTTACTTGCACACCGCCAAATACCTGAAATAATATGACATTGGGCAGACGATAAAGGTCTGATAGAAACAGTAAATGTAAAAGCTGAAAAGAATAAAACAAGCGGCCGGATTTTCGGTCTTGAAGGGGGTATCTCCGATAAAGTAAACGTTGCCATTGTAGACTGCGATGAACTGAAAAAAATATATAAGATTTTTGTTAATGGAAGATATATATTTAACGATCTTCCTTGCTGCATTGTATATAATCAAGGCAACGTTGCTTAATTTCTACCAAAATTTTCATTTTTTTCAGTTCTTAAAATTCGGAGCAACTGCTTACCGGTTTGCATAAAAACGACAGGACTGTTAGAGCAATGTCAGCATACAAATTGTAATACAGCAGTATCCGGTAAACATCCATCGCGGGGTCTGTTTTGTACCGAATGAATAGGAAATACAAAAGATCTCCAAAAATGGCAACTCCAAATACGACATACTCAGCGGTTTTCAAGGCGTCTGACATTTGGGACTCCTAAAAAATTATAGTCAGAAAACAGTGTAAAAACCATTGAGATCAACAAGAATTTGGATAAATTGGCCAAACAGCGATTAAACTGTTTTTTTATAAAATTTTAATTTCCCTGCAATTTCGAACAAGATGAAATCGAGGTCAGTTCAAAGTGGAACCCCAAAATTCACATGGTAAATGAGGACTTCCGAGTGCATTTCAAGAGGTATAGACGAAAAACATATTTTGCTTGGCTTGTACTCGACACCTCCTACATTTACGTGTATTCTCTAATGTATTCTCCTAAAATGGAGATCTCTGAAAATTCTGACTGGCCTTGCTAAGCGCGCTAGACTATTTGAAGGACGCTATATATCATATTTACAGCGTGCAAGCTACATTTAAGCTAAGCTGATTGCCGCAAGTACGTATATGGCGTATATGTATATTACCTCTAAAATAAATGTATATATGTACAAACAGGTCAAACCACAAACAGGTCAAACCAAAGTATTAAAAAAAAAAAAAAACAATATGTAAAACAAACTTGGCCACAACGTTGTCCTCATGACTAGGCCATTTAAAAAACAAAACGTGCACGATTTAAAAAGAACTTGCCATGACACTGTAGACGTAAATACTTTTTAATGTAAGTAATTCCGCTAGTACTTGAGTAAGAAATTAAAGCAAGGATTTTGGTGTAATCTGGAAAGAAGATTATGTTACAGCAATGTACGAAGTTTACGGATTCGAACAATTCAGACATTGCTACAACCGCGTAGAGTGTAAAATTGAGTTCGTGAAGAAGTTGGTAAGTCACAAGATATACTATGGTAGAGCTTTTACAGTGATAACCATGGTAACAATTTTCATTTTGAAATACTTAAAATTACTAGTCCGTTTGCAATGTTGCAAGCGTGGTCTCGGCGACGTGCACTGGGCAAAAAAAACAGGGTTCAGTCGACATCCGAAAAAAGAATATTGCACTGTGCAAAAAGCAAAAAATTTACAATGCAAGGAATACCCTTGTTTTCCATTTTTTGCATAAGAATCACTCCAGCGACTTTGCGAACGGACTTATATTCATAACAGAAGATTTAATTACGACTAAGCGAACTGCAAATTAAGTCTGCCAAGCTGCGAATCTAAAAAGATTATTACTTTCACGTTTATACTTCGTTGCAGTCCAACATCTTCGTATGATGCAGTTCTAGGCATTTTTTGTAGTTATTATTACACCTACTTCTCAGAAGTTTTTTCCTAACTGCATAATTTCTGGGACTACAATACAAACCGTGTTAACTGGAGCTAAATTAAAGTTAGATTAAAATTTTACAATTAATGAGTTAAGTACAAAAAATAATCACTTTTGGGGTTTGTAAGTGGTAATATACACGCCGGATTAGAATTTAAGACAACAATTATGCAGTTTTGCCTAATTTGAAGCGAGTTCTTTGTTGCCTCCAGACTTTGTAATGAGTGCTATGCTATGAATTAGTCCAAAGTATTATAATTCCCTGGCGTTCAAGTGGATTGGAGTTGGTATTTCGGTACTCAAAATGGCAATTGAGGCGTTGCAGGAGGGGATTTCAAAGACATATTTGACAAACATTTATATTGTACAGACAACATTCATAATCATCGCTGAAGATACTTTTAATTGTAAGTAGAGAAAGGAACTGGTTTTTTTAATAATTTTCTGGGCCTTGTTGAATGATAGAAAGCTCAGTTTTTGACCGTTAACCTTTACCAGCCTGGGATTTTATACGTTATCGGTACAAGTTTTATCAAAGGTTAGTGTAGTGTTAATCGCTCTACGGAGGTTCGGCTGACTGAGCTTTATCGGAGGAACGATATAACACTAGCGGAAGACGTCTATATCTATTATGCTATGTTTGCAAAGCTTTGAGATTTATGCTTACAATTAGAATTTATAAATTCCCGATTTTTTTCAGTCGAGCATGTCCAGAGCACTTCTTGTAGGAGCTGTTATCTAACATTCTTGTAGCCTTAGACGTGCCTCAAAAATCTTTTTTCTTCCCCCACTTTCCTCGATGAACATTGTAACATTCCATTTTGTGGTCATCACGGCTCCATTTTCATAAGGACTTTGTAAAACACCCGTTTCGTCTGCGTTTATCATGTAATCTCGGCGGTCTGCTTATGGAAAATTTTATCAAAGTTTCAGAGTGCAATCTCTTTTTTTTCAAAGTTTAAAAAAGGAAGGAATCACGCCATTTAAGGGGCCGAGAGGACGGGGGAAGGGTCCATCTCCGCTTCCATTCACTTACATGACTTTCACGGCTTTTTCCCGCAAAAATTTTTATCTTTTTCTTACGGTAATTTTGAGTAGCGACTACATCAATTTTGTTGCTTTGCTCTCCCGAAATTACAATATTTACAGCCATTTTTGAGAGAAAATTCTCTTTGAGTAAAAGGAATGGACTTTTGACTGTGTTGTAAACTCCGGTTTTACTGTAGATTCTGATGGTTTGATTGGGTTATTTTTGTAAAAAATGCAAAGAAGCAACTTTCTTTACAAGAGGAGCGTTCTTTGTTATCTCGTTTGATTCTATTTTAAAAATTTACAAGCCATGGCTTAGGGCTTGCGTTAAACTTTAAACCGTGGTGTAGTAATTTTTTACTTTTGAACCGCAGCTTGTAAACGAGTGTTTCGGGAGGCTTAGCTCTAATTTATGGACATTTTGGGTAAAAGGGCTTAGGGGTGGATAAACGGAGACATAATTTCCAACGATATTAACTTACGATTAGTAGAAACCAAGGTGAAATTTAAGAGATATGCTATGATTGCTGTCGAAATTTAAGAAATCTGAGCGACAACACCAAACTTGTGAAAAATGTTTTGACCGTTTGAAGTTCGAAGAAGACGACATGAATGTTCAACAACATTTATTTTTTCGTAACTCTGCGACAGATTTTCATACCAAATTTTGAGCCATTTGATCCATTTCCAAACTGATTTTCTTGGAATTCTATGAATTTGTAAATCAGCGACATCCCTTATAAATCTTAATTTCTTGGTTGTAAAGGTTATCGCAAATCAAATAATTTGAAAATCAACAGTGATGACTATAGATTTTAATGCCTCAAAACACCACCGCGACCAAGCATAGGACTTGGCTTTTATTTGTTTGTAATGATTTATCACCGGTAGACTTTTTTTGAGATTTCTGCGCCAACGTTTTATTGTATCTCACTTTATACATGTTCGTATGCACCATCTCCGGTCCCCTTGACCATTATCTATTCCCTTATACACAAAAATTACGTCCTTTGTCTGTAGGGTTACATCAACTGTTCTACTAAGATCAGAATGAGCTCGAAGGAAGAGAATGGGGATCTCGAATTCGAGCAGAAGGAGCTGGAATCCATTCGGATTAAGGTCAATCAAAAATGGCTGTTGCTGAGCAAAGAATTCGTCGCTTCACACCCCGGAGGATCGGTTATCAATCAGTACAAGTAAGTTCGCAAAAAGTGTAGGTGAATTTGATTATTTAAATTCTCAAAACCCCTAAAAGGCACGTCCTTTTCGAACATGCTGATAAGAAGATCACCCCCCGAATTTCGCCGTTCATTTTGAGACGCAAAAAGACAATTTTTTGATTAGAATGTTGATAAAATATTACACTGGTAATTAGTAAAAACGGAAGAGAACGATCAAAGTGCAAACCATTGCTTTAAACTTGCAAAGAACGCCGTTTGAATGTTGTAGTAGACGTTGAAGGGAAGAAATGGACGTTAAATTGCAATTAATATTTAGAAGTCTTGGTGTTACAATATTATTAACGACCTTTGTGAGGAATAGACATGGCTCCCGGGCCGGGCCGAAATTTCGGCCCGTCGGCCGGACCGACGAGCCATGTCTAGTGAGGAAAGGATACAGCATACAGTCTGATAGCCGTCAATTTCTTTGGCGAAATATAAAGATCAAAGGACAGATTCAGTAGCTATTATTATATTACTCATCAAATCTCTGCCGTGCCACAAGTCCATAATAAATTTTTGCCGATTTTTTAGAGCTATTGAACAATCAAATTTTAAAATTTTTGCCACCCAAAGCCAAAATAGGCTAAAAATCTCAGCGTGGCCCTCTGGTACTTCCCTTGTAAAAACAATAATACATATGTGCATTTTAGAGACGCCGATGCCACTCAGATTTTCCACGCGTTCCACGAAGGCTCTTCTCAAGCCTACAAGCAGTTAGATTTCGTTGAAAAACACAACAAAATTGAGTATCCAGGAGAAGATCCTACCTTGAAAGGACATATCCAACCTTCGGAAATCAATGTTGGGGCCTATGATTACACAATTGAAGAGGTACGTCAACATTTTCATGATCTTACAAGACTTTTTGATGGATTTTTGACGACTTTTATCTTTCAGGAGAAAAGTATTGTTATGAACTTTGACAAATTGAGGAAACAGATTGAAGCCGAAGGCCTGATGGACGCGCGGCCATGGTATTATTATCGGAAAGTCGCGGAAGCCGCAGTCATGATGCTTACAGGGTTCTACTTGCAATATCTAGGATGGTAAGCTTTTCTTACTGACTAGCAGCTTAAGCGTTTCTTCATACGGCAATTTATTTACTATTAAAATTCCAGGTATGTAGTCTCCGCCCTTTGCATTGCCATGGTGTGGCAGCAACTTGGCTGGCTCACCCACGAGTTCTGTCACCATCAGCCATTCAAGAACCGAAGATTAAATGACATTGGAGCCCTATTCCTTGGAAATTTCGTTCAAGGATTCTCTCGGGATTGGTGGAAAGATAAGCACAATACTCATCATGCTGCCACCAACATCATTGACCAAGACGGAGACATTGATTTGGCGCCTATCGTGGCCATGGTCCCGGATGATTTGAAGAAATACAAACAGCCTTTGGAACAGTTCTTCCTCAAGTTCATTCCCTACCAACATCTCTACTTCACCTTTGTCCTGCCGCTGCTCAGGTTCTCGTGGACTTCGCAGAGTCTGATCCATGTGTTTGCGGCGCCCGGCTCCCAATACAAGAAAGATCAACAGCACGCTACAATCGAGCAGCTGACCCTGTTGGGACACTGGACTTGGGTCCTCTTGCAATTGTACTTGTTGCCCTCAAATGGAGTCCGCATTATGTACTTTTTGATTAGCCAAGTTCTGTCGGGGTTGATGATTGCAGTGGTTGTTACCTACAATCATAACTCGGTGGAGAAATTCCCTGGTAAGTTGAGGAAGTGAGACAGGCGTTTATTTAGAATTGTAATGCCTAGGGGCGTCTTTGGCAGGACTTAGCGGGTGTAGTACCTGTTTTGACAGATAGGTATAGAGAATGAAAGGTGATGACCGATGAAAAATACGGCCATGGCAATATTTCCACAAATTTTGCGTGGAGAAAATCAATTTCTTGTAGAGCCGTTTTACACCAAATTCAAAATGAAATGCCGTTTTTTGACCATGAAAAGTTGCCGATCTACAGATAAAATTTCTGCCTAGAAATCCTGAATATGTCCACACTAATTTAACTCCGTATCCTTCAACTCTAATCTCATCGCCTTTCCAGAGCACTCCCGTCTTCTGAACAACTTTGCCTGTCTCCACATCCTCACCACTCGCAACATGAATCCCTCCCCATTCATTGACTGGTTCTGGGGCGGCCTCAACTATCAGATCGAGCACCATCTCTTCCCAACAATGCCTCGACCCAACCTCAACCGATGCTCTCAGCTGGTGAAACAGTTCTGCAAGGAGAACAAACTCCCATATCTGGTGGATGACTACATGACCGGCTACATGGCGTCGTTGAGATTGTTGGAAAATGTGTCAAATATGGCCAACAAAGAGCACAGCAACTGAGAATTGCGGTGTGAAATCTTTTTTCCGAGCTCATTAGACATCTTCATACGTGTATTCAAATTAATGTTTTTGTAGAAGCAATAAATTACGTTACTTTGAGCAGTTTTCAAAAGGAAAAAGTAGATCAGTCGGAGATTTTTCTCTGGCTCTCTAACCCAATCTCTCGCATAAAAAAGGAACCCATTCGAAAAACGAATAAGTAAAAGAATGAATTTTAATCAGATCGAACCTTGCTCGAATTTGGCAGCAGTGCAGCAACCTCGAAAGGGTATAGCTGGCTGTTGCAACATTGTATTTCGATTCGACGGTAATTTCGCCGTCCAATTGATTACAAGGTGAAGCGCAGCGCGCGCTTTTTGAGTGTGAGGCTTGTGCCTCCGATAAATGCCGTACAATTAATTTCGACGTTCAGAAAACATTGATCGCCACCAAAATAATACTTACAAAATCAAAAATAATAAAACAGGTTTTCTCTTGCTTTCTAACCTAAACCCTCGCTCAAAAGGGGAACCCATTCGAAAAGCAACCAGGTAAAAGAACCTCTTATCCAAATTGGGCCTATCTCGGATTGCGCGGCAGTGCGGCGACCTCGAAGCCCGTCCAATTGATTACGAAGTAAAGCGCCATTTGTGCGCTTTTTGCATGTGGGGCTTGAGCCTCCGATATGAATGCGGTTTAGCCTGTCGCGACACCGACATGTCGGTGAAGGGTTCTTTGCCGTTCATTGATTTTAAAAGTAAAAAAGACCTACGAATCTTGCACAGAAATTTATGCTCTCTCAAATGCGTATGTATTTCTAATGCACAGTCCTCAAACAAGTTCACAGTGCTCTCCCAGAGCGCCCCTAAACGCTCAAGCGACTTTCAGAGCGTTAAGTATCAAAAACCTTGGCTTATCGATCTTTCGACAAGTTCCCGGTGATCGTATTCGTCCGCTGCATAAAATGATTAATTTGATTACCTTCTTGCACAAAAACCCCTCCGGGCACAAGTGGTCTTTTCGTTTCGGCCAAGAGTCAGGTCACGGGTCTGGAAAAAACGCACTGGTCATTCGGATCAATCAAATCCTTTGGGATTGTCCGTTCGGATGTACCGGAAAACGCTTCGATTGCCGGAGGGGATTTAGAAGGTCCTGATGGATGTATAAAAAATGTCTGATATCGGATATTTTGCAGCGGGGCTTTTGACACCTTTGAGGTGGTCAAAACATTTGTTTTGTTCAGTTCGGAAATGGTCGGGGTTCCGGCATCTTTAACGATGGATTTATAGGATTAAAGATAACCATTTTTATTCTGCGCTTTGCAGAAACCACAACCACTGCGATTTTAAGGTCGGAAGTTGACATGTTTTTGCAAGTTGCAGTTTTTGTCAGTCAGCTAATTGTAAGCGTTAAAAAATGTCTGAGATTTGAGCAAAAAGTTAATTTTTTCCTCGAAAAAGTCCTAAAATGGTTTACAATCTGGGCTCAATTAATTTTAAGAAAAAATTCACAGAAGTTACTGTGTGGTAGGAGTAATTAAACAGTATCTGAAATTTTCTTTTCACGTCATTTTTAATAAATTCACTTCTAAAAATAAGAATATTTGGAATAAGTCCAGTCCCGTGTTTTCTCTTCGAGAATCCAAATAACGTTTTGTGTTACAAATAAATCCATTATAGCCATGATTCATGAGATCCCGGGCTCAATGCACAGCTCACTGAAAACATTAAAATCCCCGGAAGCTCTTCAATTATCTTCCATTTACGAGATGGCCAGCAAATTATGACCGAGTCACGTCCGGTGTTTTGAGTGATGAGTTGCGAATCGCGATTTAATGTTTTAAAAATCGGCCCTCAGCGCTTTTTTTTGCTCGTGGAAATGGCCGATGGCACGGCCTGATCCGCCCTTTTCTTCGGCTCCCTTTTTCTCAGCCCCATTCTTTTGCGGCCTGGGCTTTTTTCCCTCAGGCATTTTTTCATTGATCAACTCCACATTTTCAGCAATTCTGAATGGGAAAATTTTGGGAATCGAAATTTGAATAATCGGATTTTTCTGATTTTTTTTTGGGGCTCTGAAAATGTCAAAGTTAATTTTTTTTATATAGGTTGGCAACTAAGTTATTGAAATTTTTTTTGCATTATTCCACAGAAATTCTTAAGTCAGTATGGCTAGTATCACACTATCTCACCTGTAGTAGGGTTAGAGTACTATCAAACCCAGAGGCATCGAACTCGCAGCTCGCGTGTTGGTGTAGTACCTTGAATTTGAATAAGAGAAATTTTGAGTGGTCATTTTGCAGTGCCATGCAATGCGTTTAGAACTTGAATGGCATAATGCTAATGTAGAACGTTTACAACGTCAGGACACCTTCAACAGTCTTGTGATAACATTTTGTCCCAAAAGGATCAATAGAAATTATTACGACTTCGCTTAAAATTAGGCGGTAGGCTGTCTTTCAAGGTGTTGCACGAGACGCCAAAGAAGGCAGTGCGGTTAACTCTTCGGGTAGTGACAGAGCTATTCACTACGAACCAAATATTAGCATAAACCGTCTTCCTTCTTGGAGCATGACATAAAGTCGCGACCGAATTTATCTTCATGACCTGCCTAGTGGCTCCCAAAAAGTTAACCGAGTAGTTGCTATTTTTTTCCAAGACCATTGAGCCGCTGATAAATCTAGGGCCCTGAAAAGGGACGTCTACTCTCTTTGTTAAAAAACCATACAGGAGCCAGCGACCCTAGGTGCGGTATTCTGAAGTTAAGTTAACGTTTCACACACCAATTTTAGCCCTGTTTACAAACTTTCAAAGTTTTTACCAGTCATCGTTACAGTAGCCTTTTTGCTGTTTTTATTTTTAGTATCAACTTGTTTTGTTGTTGATTGCTCGTTCTTTGGAAGGTCAAATCATCCGTCCTATTTATAATCTTGTTTTTCTAGATCTTGCAAATCCAAGCAACAGTTGACATTATAGGCGGAAATGGGTATATAATAGTATTCTTTGAGCGCTGATGTTCGTATTTGTAGACGGAGATCAACTCTGAAATTTTCTTCAGTCCTTGTACCACAAATTTTGTTATAGTATAGTAGAAAGGTCAACCTATAAACTTGACTTTTTAAAAGACGATTTCTGAGTCAGTGCGTCAGCCGTGGACATAGAAAAAAATCGATTTTGAGTTTTTTGCACTAAAATGGCTGTTGGAAGGTGCTAAGCAAAAGCGAACAATATTTTTTCCCAAAACCTTCATCAAGGTATATTTTTTTACAATTTACTGTTTTAGAAGTAACCGCGTCCAGCTGTCGTATCTTACCTTATTGGGCGATGATTTGACGGTTACTGAAGTTTTCGACCCTTGCGATGACGATGGTATCATTATTTTTCCGATTTCCCTACTGTAACATACCGTAATACTGCATCGACCGCTAAAAAACGACCGTAGAATCTTTCTTTCTGAAAATTTCACAGGCGATTTTACGATTTTTGGAATCAGCATAAAATTCTGCTCTAGAGGCAATTAAAAAAGTTCAAAAAAAGCTGCGACAAATTTCGTGGTATAGTGGTTAGTGGTCGGGACTACCAATCCAGCGACCCGGGTTCGAGTCCGGCTGGGTACGAATATCGAAAAGAAGTCGGAAATTAAATTTATTGTGATTCAGAGGATTGTATATTTTGCCATGAGCAATTATTAATGTCAATGGTAGCTGTATTCGAGGTTAAAACGGGATTTATATAATTTTAGGGGCTCAATACATGAAAAAATAAAAGTGCTTCAAACCGGTTGAAATTGATAATACTTATTCTAAGGGCTATTCTAAGACACTTTCTCGTTAACTTTTTTCGTAACTTACTGTAACATGGATTACTGTGACATGAAATCCAATTTTATTTTTCGCATACCACGGAGCGTAGACAGCTCGGACTATCGCCATATTGATAGAGATGGTTAATAACGAGTTGGTTTGCACACAAAATTTTTTTTATGGCCGCACAGTTTGAAACAACCGGGTTATTTCACGAAGTTTTGTCAGATAGCGATGATATCAAGACACACTGGAAGTGATGCGGAAATTTATTTTGTATACCTATAGTGGACCTTCGTTGCTGTTTGAACGACCTAGTCAAAAAAACTCGAGACTGGATGCAACAATTTTGAAGAAAATCCCGCTTAAGTACAAAATCTTTATCTTACTGTAGTGCATGGAACAGTAAGCTACCAAAAAAAAGTTAACGAGAAAGTGTCTTCGAATAGCCCTTAGAATAAGTATTATCAATTTCAACCGGTTTGAAGCACTTTTATTTTTTTATGTATTGAGCCCCTAAAATTATATAAATCCCGTTTTAAGCTCGAATCCAGCTACCATTGACATTAATAATTGCTCGTGGCAAAATATACAATCCTCTGAATCACAATAAATTTAATTTCCGACTTCTTTTCGATATTCGCACCCAGCCGGACTCGAACCCGGGTCGCTGGATTGGTAGTCCCGACCACTAACCACTATACCACGAAATTTGTCGCAGCTTTTTTTGAACTTTTTTTGATTGCCTCTAGAGCAGAATTTTATGCTGATTCCAAAAATCGTAAAATCGCCTGTGAAATTTTCAGAAAGAAAGATTCTACGGTCGTTTTTTAGCGGTCGATACAGTATTACGGTATGTTACAGTAGGAAAATCGGAAAAATAATGATACCATCGTTATCGCAAGGGTCGAAAACTTCAGTAACCGTCAAATCATCGCCCAATAAGGTAAGATACGACAGCTGGACGCGGTTACTTCTAAAACAGTAAATTGTAAAAAAATATACCTTGATGAAGGTTTTGGGAAAAAATATTGTTCGCTTTTGCTTAGCACCTTCCAACAGCCATTTTAGTGCAAAAAACTCAAAATCGATTTTTTCCTATGTCCACCCCTAACAGACGGCTGATGCACTGACTCAGAAATCGTCTTTTAATAGAAGCTTTTTCAAGGATTTGGGCTTCGTGATTCTGATAGAAATGCTCGGTATACAGGGTGTCCAGAGAAATGTGCCGGAAAGTTTTTGTCGATTTCTTGGCGCTCAATCAAGATATCCGAAAAATTCTTTTTGCAGGATAAAGAAGAATATGGGCGGTTTTTTGTGCAAAAGAATCATTTTCTCCGCCAGCGCGGAAGGCAGTGTATTCGGCGGAGACTTTTGATCGCTTTTTTGATCATCGCACCAACTTTAAGCGCTTTATTATGAACTTTGATGGTTGAAACAAAGATATTTGCATATTTTCATGTTTACCAAGTTTTCGGCGAAGGTATGGCGGACGCTCGCCGAATCGGCGGAGGCTATAACTCAGCTGCGGATAAGACATGGTCCAACACAATTTTTATGGCCTGGCTAGAACACCCTGCTGGCTTCGTATGCCTTCGAAAATTTTGTCACCAAGCTTTGGCAGAAGCTAAGCCATCAGAAAACCACTTGGTGCACCAGAAAACAACAAAATATTTTTTGTTCAAATTTCCTTTTGCCTTGCTGTTTCAAATCTCCGCACTATGCACTCGAACTTTATCGGTGTTGCAGCGACAGGCTGCATCGTACAGTCGCTATATGGGATCGCATTGCGATGTCGCTGTCTGAGTGATTTATTGCGTCAAAAATTTGAAGAATTTCCGGAAGTTTCAGCATCATAATAAAGCGTTTAAAATTGGTGTGATGGCCAAAAAAGCGATCAAAAGTCTCCGCCGAATACACTACTTTCCGCGCTGGCGGAAAAAATTATTCTTTCGGACAAAAAACCGCCCAAATTCTTCTTTATCTTGCAAAAAGAATTTTTCGGATATCTTTATTTAGCGCCAAGAAATCGACAAAAACTTTCCGGCACATTTCTCTGGACACCCTGTAGTAACCGGTCAGATTCTCTTCAAATTTTACATGTATTCTCTGCCTAGCTCACACACGATCTCCTCGAGAATTGTGGGTTTTTTTCATGCGTTGCCAATCTTTTGAACGATTTTTGTCGGAGAGTACGGAAAATAGAGAGGAATTGCAGAGAACTCGATTTACGAGTCATTTTGCACATTTCGCGTCGAAAGCGTTACACATCAAAAAAGAAACAAACGTAACCAAAATGCCGCCAACTATTTTGACCTAAAAATTTCAGATGTTTCTGCAAAGCAGGAGTTAAAAATCCTGCAAACATCTTTGAAAATCTGCTCTAAATTAAGACGGAGTGTCATAAAAAACGGCCTATTGGATTTACAGAGTATATCCCCCATAAACTACAAACCAAGAGATGTTCATTTTGTTTTGGACATTCCCACTGTTTCATGTTGATTTTATCCCCCATTAAAATCGAATTAAAACCGCTCTCTAAGAACGGTCGCGTGGCCGCGAACATCTGGATGTAACAAATCTTAATTTCTTTTTGTTTATTCGCCTCGTGCTGATCTCAACCTAAACTTAAGTTTGAGAAAAAGGAGTTGTAAAATTACAGATTAAACACTCCAATGATCCGGTAAAATAATTGCGAAGATGACAACGGAAGATACCTTGAAGCTTTTGAAAATTCCTCCGACTCTGATCGAGGACGAATTGAAAAGACTGGAGAATCGGGTCTGGATTCCCGATTCTGTCCATTCTTTCCGGCTAGCCGTCGTCGTCGAGGATTATGGAAGGGAATTACTGGTCAAGTTCCGGGACTCTCAAGGGTTCAATCAACAGGTACGGGTTTATTTCAAGCCATTTTTCGGTTTGTTCCAAAAGTCATCTTTGCACAGTGCGGTTATTTTTACGCTCGTTTAGTGCCGTAGATCCCCCTCTGGCTCTAAAAACAGTTGTCTCCCATCGTTCTGCACCTCCAGGGCAATTAATTTCCCTCCGATTTTTTTCCAAAACAAAGAAAAAAATCGATGGAATGACCAAAAGAACGGCCATCCTTTTCTCTTCTTTTATTAGCACGGTGCGAAAAAAAGAACAAAGCCCTCGGGGATTTTGGCCAGATATAACGACGAAACAATACGAAAGCCCTGATTAATGAGTAATTTCGAGGGGGATATTGTGGGATGTTTACGAAGATTTATCAAAATAAAAGTTGGGTAAATCCTGATCATCAACTTGATGGATAATGTATAGCGAAGGTCTACTGTATACAGAGATGATGCAAGAAAGTTCCTTGTTATATGAAAATGCAAGATACCTTGCAGAAAATCGAAGAAATCACCATAATTTTGTCAGCTGACAATTGTCAACGTGAAGAAAAATTTCCAAAAAATCTGTCATCCAAACATGAGTATTTTACAAGATAATCCCAACTCCGACTTTACCAAAATCGAAAGTCCTTAGTTTATGTAAAAGACGTTCATTACATGCAAATAGCGTGATGCCTTCCGGATTCCTTCATTTTCTCCTTTCTGTCATAATGACAGGTTTTTTGGAAATAAAAAAATTGTCGAAAAGTTTTGGAAAGAAGTTGAATAACGACTTCAGAAGGCCTGGTAGAATAATTTCTCGTAGTAAAATAACTTTAAAAACTTTGTGAAATACGAATTTCAGAAACGAGTTGAGAAATGCACCGTGCATCGAACGAGTGTCAGCCATTACTGCGCGGACATGTGCGACCTCACCGAACTGAACGAAGCATGCGCTCTGCACACGATAAGGTCCAGATATGAGCAGCAAGTTATCCATGTGAGCCAGCTTTTCATTTGTTTTCTTCTTTTATTAAAGATTTCTCTTATAAGTAATATAATTTTTACTCAAAATTGCGGACTTTCAGACGTACTCAGGGTTATTTTGTGTTGTATTGAATCCGTGGAAGCGAGTGCCTCTGTATAATGAGGAAATGATGGAAGTTTATATGAATTCCAAGCTCAATTCGACGAATCTCCCTCCTCATGTCTACGCGGTCGCACAGAATGCATACGAAGGGATAAAACTGACGACCGGAAGTGATCAGAGCATCCTTATTACGTAAGCACATTGTCCACGAAATCTCATTTTGATCCATTAACTCTTACCTACAAAATTTTCGATTTTTCGATATTACACTAGACAAAGGTTTTCAAAATTTCAGCGGCGAGAGTGGCGCGGGAAAAACGGAAAATACCAAGAAGATAATCGAATATCTGATCAAAGCAGCGAATCAGAATGGAATTCCAAGCACATCTCAGGGGATTGGCGGGGTTCAGGAGGCCATTTTGAGTGCTGGAATTGCTCTTGAGGCATTTTCCAATGCTCGAACGATCCATAATTCAAATAGTTCCAGACTTGGTAAATTCATTAAGCTGGATTTTGATGAGAAAGCGAGGTTGAATTCAGCGAATATTGAGTGTTGTAAGTTACTTTTATTGGGGCAATGGGATGGGATGATGAAGCTATGGACAAAACTAAAATAATTTCAGATCTCCTTGAGAAATCGCGAGTTGTCAGTCAGAATGAAGGCGACCGAAACTTCCACATCTTCTACGAGGTCTTTGCCAACGAAAAGTTTGCAAATATTCGCTCCAAACTTGGCCTTCGATCAGGTTTCATCACCTACAAGTACCTAAATCAAGGTGGATCTTCGGCGTTTTCCGGAATGAACGATGAGGAAAATGCTGTGGCAACAGTTGCGGCGCTGAAGAGTCTCGGTTTTGACGACAAATCAGTCGAGGAGATAGTGGAATTGATCATTGGGATCATTTTGTTGGGAGAGATGAGGTTCGGAGAGAGAAGTGGGATGGATGTCAGCTATCCGGAGAGAATGGATGGTAAGATAATTTTGCAAAGTCAGTTAGGAAGTTCTTTTGGATCAGGGGTGGTTTTATTAACAGGGGAAGTACTCCAAGTGCGACGCTCAGATTTTCTTTAAATTTTGCACACACGTCGGGAATGGACTAAATATCAATTCCTGAAAGTTTTAGCTCGCGCTTTGCGGGCGCCGCCGAGATATCGAACGATTTTTGCCGCCGAGAGAGCACGCTGAACGTGGAGAGCGGTCAGAGAGAAAAGCGCTTTTTGACCATAACTTTGGCAGTTTCGTACGGAAAAATTTGATTTTTTGTAGAAACATTATCCTTTACGGTAGAAACAGCCATGAAACTTTTCGTGCCGAAATTCGGCAAAAAGTCCTAAATTTTTGCCGACTTTCGATCTAAAAATCTCGGTTGTTTCTGCAAAGCGCGAACTAAAATTCTCGCATATATCTTAGAAAAAATTATTCTAAATTTGTGCCAAGTTTCATCAAAATCTGAGCGTCGCACTTGGAGTACTTCCCCTGTAAGTTTTGATGAGTTAAGGGCTACTGCAATTGAAAAAATTTATGAAATTCCGCTGATGAGTGTCAAACAAGTGACATAAACTTTTTTAATCAACTAACCCTCTCCTTAACTCGCCAGATCAGACAATCTTCAATTTTAGAAATCGAAACGGCCTCAAACGTCCTCCAAGTCCGCTCTTCCCGTCTTGTTGACGCTGTCACCGAGCCCTCATTCAAAGTCGGCGAACGTCTCATTCGTCGTTCACAGAACCTGAAGAAAAGTTTATTATCCGTGGCAGCCATGGCTAAGATAATATACCAAAAACTATTTGATTACATCCTACGAAAATGCAATCAAACTATTGTGGAGAAGAGCGGGAGAAGTCTGAATTCGAACCATTCCGGCCATTTTATCGGGGTTTTGGACATGGCCGGATTTGAAATCATGTCCACGAATAGTTTCGAACAGTTGTGCATTAATTTTACGAATGAGAAACTCCAACAGTTCTTTAATCATTTCATGTTCATCAAGGAGCAGAATGAATATCTGAATGAGGGAATCGAATGGGATCAAATGGACTTTGGAGATGATCTTCAACCTACCATCGAGCTGATCGAAAAGGTAAAAATGGGTCGAATTTGAATAACTTTTACTATTTTTTTGTTAAAAAGCAATATGTGTCGTATGTACAAGCCTTGACCAAGATTTGTGGGGCAAATTTGAGTATTTCATAGTCGATTTTTTGTTGGAACTTTGAGATTTTTTGTTCGGAAAAGTTCGATTTTCCATAAAAGTTGGAACTTAGTTTTATAAATATTTTTTGTAGCCAATGGGTCTTCTGAGTCTTCTACAAGAAGAGTGCATCATCCCTAACAGTAGCGATCAAACTTTGTTGGCCAAATTGGTGGAAAATTTGGCATCAGAAAACGGATTCAACAAGGTGAAGATGTCCTCGAGGTAAGGGAATAAAATTTCTGGAAAAAATTATGCGCTGCCATATCCTTTTGAAAGTAATTTCTACGCTGTTTACGATGAAAATCGGGCCAAAATTTTTGAATTTACGTTTTCCCGCCAAAATTGGCATTCTGCCTCAAGTTCTGAAATTTGTCAAAATGAATAGTTTATCTCTCTAAAGTGGGTTTCGAAGTGATCTGAGGTCTTTCCAGAAACAAATCGACCAACCATTTCCTCCTTACACATTATACTGGCCAAGTTGCGTACAATGTGGACGGATGGCTGGAGAAGAACCGAGATCAAGTCGATTCCTCAATCCTCGAGCTGCTGAACACCTCAACTCATCCTCTGCTGAAAGAGCTCTTCAAAAAAGACGAATCGAAGAGCTCTAGACGAGGATCTTTAGCTCAATCTACAGTGTCCTTTATCTACAAAGAGCAATTGTCATCGCTGCTGAACACATTGAATAGAACCCAAAGCAATTTCATTCGATGCATTGTGCCAAATACAAGTCGAAGACCCTTTGAGATGGATTCTCCTCTGGTTTTGCATCAATTGAAATGCAATGGAGTTCTGGAGGGTAAGTGGAGGATAAAGTAATTGCTCAAATTTACTGCTACAGTATCCAAAATGGCTAAAAATTTAGAAAAATATTTATGATTACTCTTTTAGGCCTCCGAATTTGTCAGCGCGGCTATCCGACTCGAATTTTCTTCGACGAATTTGTCCAACGTTATATTGTACTTGCCCCGAATATCGACCGAACTCTCAGCCCCGTAAAGCAAGTGGTTCAGATGGTGGAAGCGCTCAACTTGGATTTGGAGAAGTTCCAAATCGGAAGATCAAAGCTGTTTTGCAAGAGTGGATTTTTGTCTGAAGTAGGGTTACTGTAGCCTGGGATGAATACTGTATTTTAGCTGGAGGACTTGAGAAAAGCCAAGATTTCCGAATGCATCGTTCTTCTTCAAGCTCAAATTCGATGGTATCATGAGCAGAAACGAACGGAGGAGAAGCGAAAAGAATGGTGAGATTTTGAAAATTTGGACGGTCCAGAATTTGCGATTTTTTGTTGGTTTTGGAAAGTTGATTTGAATTTTTTTGCCCTCAAATTGAGTATCAGACAATAATATCTAAATCTTTTCAGGGAAGCCATCTCGATTATCCAAGACAACGTCCGCATGGCCATAACTTTCCATTCTTGGCCGTGGATGAAGCTCCTCAAACGAACCCGAGAATTAATCCCGATGAAACGCGAGAAAGAGCGTCTGATTCAGCTGGAAAAAGACATGGATGCCATGAAAAAGGTAGTAAATGATCGGGATTTAAATTAATTTAATTAATTCCAGCTTTGCGATTTGATGAAATCGGAAAAAGAAGAGCTGATCCACAAGAATCAAAGGCTTGAGGAACGGCTTGAAGAGGTAAGGAGGCGTCTTGGAGGGGTTTGGATTTGTTCAAAATTAGATTAGGGACAGCAAAAATAGTATTATTTTATGAATTTTTAGCTGAAAATACAAACTTTTTTAATTTTTTGATTAAAAATTTTGATTTTCAGATTGAACGTGAAACAGAGAACGAGAGAAGGAAGAAATACGACGTTGAAGAGGAGTTGCGAAGGAATGAGAACCTTCTAGAAGCTATGGAATCCAGGTTTGATGAACAACATGCCAAAATCATGGTAAGAAATATTATTTTATGGTATCCTATTAGCATACATTATGTCAGAAATGCGAGCCAAATTTGTGCAGGAAAATCGAAATTAAAATTTTTTTAAGGAGTTTATGAAGAGTGGATTATTTTAGAAGCTGTTCTGACTTCTAAATGGTGTCTAGTGAGTTCTTTTGTGCTTGCAACAGAATGCCAAGATTTCGCGGAAAATTGAAATTTGAATTTTTTTTGATGATCTTATGGTAATTTTTGATTATAAGCGGTATAATAAGGTCTAAGGAGTCCATGCAAACAAAAAAGAGTTTTTTTGCAACCTTAGGATTACTGTAATTTCACCAAAAAAACTTTCGCAGGCGTCTTCAGTAAAGTCCTGGAAAGCAGTTTTCTTTCATAAATCAATATATTTCAGAAGCTAAATACAACTCTCAAAGAAAATGTAGCGACATTAGAGCGTCTGGAAGTCGAAAAACGCCAAATGTCGACTCAATTGAGCAAATTAAAGGAGGAATTGGCTGCTGAAATCACTTTGAGAACGAATGCCGAGCAGGAATATGAGAATATTTGTATGCAGAACGAAGAACTCGAGCGTCGATACGACACCTTTCGGCCCGAACTCGACCATCTTCGCGTGGAATTGGAGAAAAAATCGGAAATTATCTTCAAATTGGAGGGAAGATTGGAAAGCTCGGAGGAAAAATTGAAGGAAATGAGGCATGACCTGGCCGAGGCCAACGTAAGAAGTGTCTCGATTTGAAGGCAATTAATTGAATACGGTTTTAGGAGAAATTGAATTCAGTGGAAAGCAGTCTTCATTCAGAACGGAGCCAAAAACGGCAATTCGAGATGAAAAACGATGAATTGGAGGAGGAATTGGCCAATTTGGAGGAGGAAGTGGACAAAATCAATGTCCAAAAAGATGCCCTGGTAAATTCTACAGTCATAAACAGTCTGTTTAGAAATTTTTGTCGTCAAAAATTTGATTTTTTTTTGAGAAAATTTGAATTATTGAATTTATTGCCCTATAATGACCTAAAATAAGGTCAAAAATTTTTTTATGAGTTTTATTTTTCAGAAAGAACAAACTCGCGTCAAAGACAACACTATCAGAAAGCTGGAGCGACAGTTGGACGAAAAGAAAACGGAGATGGAAAATTGTATAAACGAATTGAAAAAATCTCACAAAGCAAAGCAATTCGAAATGCAAAATCAGCTCGATGAACTGAAAAGAAAGGTTCTCAAACTGGAGTCCGAGAATAAACAACAAAAAGCGAAACTGGACAATGATCGGGAGACCTCCATGGAGCCTGATTTACGTAAGAAAAAAGGATGATTTTGGGATTTTTTTACACAAAAAGGATGATTTTTGGAATTTTCTGAGTGGTGCATGAGCTTCTGATTAGTTTTTTTTTTGTGTTATAAGTGAATTCCATTAATATTTTGGGGCTTTATAACTATCTGGCGTTTACATTTGACGCATAAAAAACCTTGTAGTAAAGAACAATAAAAAAAAATTTTGAGATTTTTCAGATAAAGTAACATAACATTTGTTTATAATGCCAATTTCCCCTTTTCCTCTATATCAATCCCATTTTCAGCCCGTCCCGGTAGCTCTCTCAGCCGATACGGCTCCAGACTCTCCATGAACACCTCCATTTACTCCATAAATTCCTCTTCTTCCCTGTCCGGCGCTCAAGCCACTTCTTCTGGAATTGGATCTTCAATTCGAACTTATACGAGAACCCGGCGAAACGAAGATGAACACAGACTAACGTCTTCATGTTATTCAGACACAACTTCCTCCAAATATCTCCCAAAAAGTCCGTCTTCTCATAGATTGAGTCGTCAAAGCACGTTGAGTAATGTCCATCAGGTGTTGGAGTTGGAAAGATCGGCCTCGAACTCGTCGATTCATCAGTCGAATCTTCAGAGTTCGGAGAGGAAGTGTGCTCAGACTGAAAGGGAACTTCAGACTGTCAAAACGGATCTTCAACTGGCCAAAAGAGAACTCGAAGTTTACAAACAGTCGCTGCAGGAAGCGGAAATGGTAAAAACATTTGTTTTATGCTGTAATTGAGTTGTCTAGAAGACGTATTTTGATCGAAATATGAGGTAGAGGGTCAGAGAAAAAATTTTTTTTTTGAAAAATTCAAAATTTGATTTTTCCAGACCAAAGAAAGTCAATCACGCCAACTAAAACAACTGACGAGAGAGTTTGAACAAAATGAAAAGGCCCTAAAAGAGGAAGAGACAAAGAACCAAACATTGGAATTGCATTTGAAGAAGGTTCAAAAAGATCTGGAATACTCGAGGAAGAAAGTTGAAGATACGATCGCCGAAAGTAAAAATGACATCATGGCGGAAAGGTGAGAAGATTTTACCAAATATATAGGGCAATCTTTCGTGTAATAGAGCTGAAAATCAATTTTTTGGCCACTCATGATTTTGCGCTTGAAAACAATTTCGTTTTTAAATTCGTTTAGAAAACGACTCATGGATAAGATGAATAAGATGCAAGTGGAGTATGACAACAAGATTCAGCTTCTTCAATCCAATAATCGGGCCAATGAGGGCCTCCAAACTGATTTAATCGAGACCAGAGGCCAATTGGATCGAGCGATGCTGGAGATTGGCCAATTAAATAAATTGCAGAGATCCCAGTCGACCATTGGAGAGACCTGGGAACAACAATATAGAGCGGTCATATTGGAGATGGAGGCCATCAGAGATGAAAACGCATCCTTAAAAAGCAAAATACGACGTCAATACAAACAAATCGAACTTTTGAGTCGTAAGTGTGTAGTATAATATAATTTTTGATGATTTTTTAGAACAATCGGATCTAGATGATTGTGTGTCCGAATTGGAAGACAGAATGGAGAAGATCCGGCCAAGATTTGATGGTTAGAATCACGAAGTCAGCAAAAATCTGTATAAAAAATCGATTTTTGGCGCTAAATGTGTTAAATTTGAGTTTTCAGAGGCTTAAAAGAATTGTTAGCTAGCGGATATTTTTTTGGCATACTACTAAACCCTTGAACATTGTATTTTCTTAATTTGTATGCTCACTTTTCGATCCGGTGAATCGAAAATCGAACGAAAATGCTCAAAAAATGGATATTTTTTCGGATAATCTCAGAATTTTCTTATTTTTTTGAATAAAAATATTTTTTGTCATTATCTCGGAATGAGGTGAACACTGTTTAGAAACTTGTGACTCTGTCTGTATATTATTTATTTTTTTGTGTTATAGTGTTGTTTTATATGTTGTTTATATAATAGTAATTACCACATGTTGTTTTATAGTAATGTCCAGATTGTCCATGTCATACCTGCGTACTTCGCCATGTCTACGTCAAGTTCGTCTGGCTTTTGCTGAACTTCTGGTGAGTATTTCTCGGTATTTTAATCGAATGTACCGTCGACCCAAAGAGTAGTCGAATTTACATGGGGCCCTTCGGTATTTACAAAAGGTAGTGACAAAAATTGCTTTTTGTTTTAACGAATCTCTTCATTTTATATGCTCTCCGGTCGGCAAAGACTGTTGAATATCTCGGCTGACATTGGAAAGCCCGCGCTAAATTTTTTTTTGTAACTTATGTGTCCTAGTATGAGCGCGTGGTAACTAAGGCTGGCATGACCGACGAAAAAAAAATTTTTGTTTGGCTAGCCATTTATGGGCTTTTGCTGTCACTGCTACTTTGACATCGGTTTTAACCTTATTGCTAGCTATTTTTAAGACTTCACAACCATTCTGAAACTTCAACTATTTAATAAAACTTTTTGACTAGCACAAGGTTGCGAAGCTTGGAAAAAGTCGGCAAAGTGCACCTGTATCACTGTCTTGAAGTTCTAATCGAAGCCATTTTTCACCAAAAACAGAGGGGTTTTATTTTATTTCTCCGCACTTTTGGACAATCCATTAGACAAAAGTTCAAAAGAATTTTGATCGTGTGACCGAAAAGATTTGTTCTTTGGAGTCGCTCTTCACCCTGCTTTACAACAATCTCGGAAAGTCCTAAACTCCAAGAAAGTAATATTTTCATTCAATGAACGTTATACTATGATTTGAAACCATTTTCCGAAGGCTTTGTGACATTAATTACAGTTTTTTCGACACAAAAAGAGCCGGCGGATCTGTCTCTGTTCTGACTTTTATCAGATCGGTCCTTCGTTTGACCTTCAGAAGGAAAGGAAACGTTCATTAAGTGGGCAGATAGCGGTTGCGGCGAGTTTATTAAGGGCTTGGGGAGAGTTTTGGGAGAAGCTCGTTTTTGTTCGAGAAGGGCAAGTTTTTGTTTTATTGAGGGCAAAACATTGACAAGAATCTCGGGGTTTTAGGCCAAAGTGATCCAACTTATAAAGCGAGTCTTCCATCGGGCCTTTTAATTTTTTGATTTTAGCTCGTATTCTTCAACTGCTTTCTAAATGGTTAGTATCCGCTTAGTATTCGAACCTGAAAATAACAAAAATGCTCAATTTTTTGTTTCCTATCACAGAATCTCGGCGTTTCCCAATAAAGTGGGAAAGACCAAAAAATCTCGTATCCCGTCAAATCTGTTTTGCGCAAGACTCTAAAAAATTAATTGATTATACAGTGATAGACCTGATCTAGTGGCAAAAAATGTATCATTTAGCATCCGGGAAGCATCAAAAATGTAGCAAAATACCTCCCCCTCCTAGTGAAAAAACTGTGATTTCAAAAGCGCTCTTTTTGTGAGAAAAATGGCACGTCCTTCAAAACGGATTTTTTTAGTTGGAGAAGGAGTAATTTTGCTGCATTTTTTGATACTTCCTGGATGCAAAATGGTACGTTTTTACCACTGGATCAGGTTCGTCACTGTAGAAGGGATGATAGTTATAATCGGCTTTTTTATCCACAAATTCCTTGCCCAAAATTATTCAAAGTTCTACTGTATCTTATTTATGCATATCATCATGTTTCCAAACTACAAACCGCTTTACAATCGCCCTTCTTATCTCGCTCATCTCTGTTTTTACGATCTTTTGCTCTATAATACATAACCCCCCAACTACATTGCAATTAAATTAAGTTTTGATTACTTTGAGTCATCCTGTTTCCTCTGCAAATTCCCAGGAACTACCGGATGTGTTCCTTGTTTTCCTCAGCAAATTCGCGCTACAAAACATTCAGTTCCCCTGTGTTTCCGTTCATTATCTCCTTTGGTATCCATCCGGTCACGTGGTGTGTTTTCGTTTCCTTTTTTCTTCGCGTTCTCAGCCTCTGATTTGTTTTGTAATCAAAATTTTTGAATACTCCAATGTTGGGAAATGCAATGTATGGTAAATAATGGGCAAATTATGCAATGATGTGTTTCAAAAGATGTGATTTACATTTTTCAACGGGTCTGAAGGAGGTTTAGGATTTGGCAACCAAAATTGAAAGGAATTTTTTAAGGGTTTGGTTGATGACATTTACTTCGTATGTTGCGGTATTCAAGTCTAATATTATCGTATTATCATTAAAATTTTGTAATTACAGTAGTCGATCATCTGACGGTTAAGCCTAGGGAGTTGCAATATCAAAAATGGTTTCACTACGAAAATTATATTGTAATCAAAAACAATGCCTCCGAGAAAACTCTTTTCGCGTGGTGAATGCGTCATGGACGCATTTTTTCCCCTGAGCAGAAATCAAACATGTGCCCTTGGTTCACTTTCTTCTTTTCGGAACATCTGTCGCGAAGAAGTCACTTGATTTGAAAGCGGATTCTTCCACAATTTGGCTTCAAAAAAAAATTATTTTGTCAAGATTCGCCTGGAATTTTCCACTTTTTGATATCTAAATTGAAGTCAGTTCGCTTTCCGCGTACTCGAACTCGTTCTTTGAGCTCGCTTCTCTACTTTTTATCAACGGTAGCGTGATTTAGCCCGTTGCTTTTATCATTCCCCTCTGTTTTTAAACAACTTCTTAATAGACGTTACAATTCCCTTCCGAGCATTCACCCAACCTAATAATAAAGACGTCTATTTACGGGCTTGTTGACAAAACGGTTACATTTACAATATAAAGTCTAAAGTTTAAGTTGTCACGTTCTTCCGGGGCATCGAATAGATGGGGTTATCAGCTGATCGCGGGGCCATTTCATTGCTCGTTTATTCGTATCTTATCGCTCCATGTTTGGGTTGGCACTGGTTTTGAGGCTGACATTTTGGGAGAGAGAGGTCAGAAGGGGGAGATTTTGAAAAATAAAATAAAATAGGGCTGTTACTGAGAGCCTAAAGAAAGACAATTTTTTCGTATTTCGTAGCCTGCCTGATTCGTTTTTACTATTTTCCGGATTGCCGTGAATAGCAACGATGATTAGAGAAGGGTTTTTAAACATATTCCTAGAGCTCCTCAGTGAATACACAAGGTTTTTTGTAGCTTTAGATGTTGTCTTTGACAAAAATGAAAAACGTATTTGTAGAGGTGTTGCTGTCTTCACGGATGTAGGAAAAGTTCTGTTTTGGACTTTGAAAAACGTGGGCATAAAAAGAGATAGTCCCATAAAGCACCCAATCGAAGGAGTTGCAAGTTGAGTTTGAATGATGACATAATTGTTTGTGATTTTAGAGCATACGTTAGAGAGTAGGAAAGGTTAGTTCGCGTAGATTTTAACAAGGGACCTGTGTGTTTTTAAGGCGCTTCTTATTCAATTTTGAATCTGTTATTTTATAACTAGTATCTGTGATTTCTGAAATCTATTTCCATCCTTCTTTTTAGCTTCAATTTTCACCGCTTCAGGCCAAAGAAAAACTCAGTTTTATTTTGTTTGTTTTCTCCGTTTCAAATCACCCCACGTGGACGTATAAAATCCGGGGGATCTCTCGTTTCCAAATCCTTGACCTTTTCAAATGTCATCCGTCAAGACCCTTTTTTTCGAAGAGCATTCGCTGCGAAGAGACCGCAGAGATTGCCAGCCGCATGGCCTGATCTTTGTCGGATTCTTTGTGCTCTTCTGATTCCACGGAGGCGTGCAAAACAAGATGAAAGCGGGGCTTTATGAATAATAAGAATTGCAAAATTCCTTTTGCAAAATTATGATCGAAAAAACGCAGGGAAGATTCGCGGTTTTGCGAGTGTGATAAGAAAGAAGATGCGTCGGGGCGGGCTGATCTGTGCTCTGTCATCTTCTGCTATTATTAATCGATTGTTGGGCGCCCAAAAGCTTGAGAATTTTTCTGTAGTTGATTTGGGTCTTGTTGTGCTTTCCTTTCATTGAATGATTTATATAGGAGTGAGTAGTTTTACTTTTAAAAAATGAAATTTTTGGACGAAATGGGTGTCCAAAAATCCTTTTTCCTATGCCCGCGTTTCCTTAAATTTTTGATACATCGACCTACGTATCTTCGTAGACAAAATCTATGTAAATTAGTGCCGCACATTGAGCACTTTCCGTATGATATAGAGGTGGTCACCGAAGTTCTCGACTTTTATTTTTTTTGTTGCGTCGAATTTCAGTGCTAAAATGGGTTGACATTGGTTTTGAAAAATCAGTGCCAAAAAAGCCCGGAAATTTGGAAATAACCAGTGCAGAGTTTGGTAAATCGCTGCAGGACGAAAATTAAAGTGTGCACTGATTTTTCAAAATCAATGTCAACCCATTTTTGCACCGAAATTCGACTCAACGGCAAAAATAAAAGTCGATAACTTCTGTGACCACCTTTATATTTGCAAGCAAATATTCTTGTCGCAAACGTATCCAATCTAATTAATACATATACTTTTACCGCCATGCTTGGGGGTTTTTGATGCTGCTGACTCAACACACAGGTGCTTTTCATTTATTTTGGCATTACTATCTCATTTGTAGCTACACGACCGAATCATTTGTTCTACCGCTCTTTTGACAGTTCCATTATATTATTCATTCATCCCATACCTTCTCCTTAGCCCATATTTTCTGTTCTCTTTTATAACACTTTGTGTGTGTTTTGCCGCTTTTCCAAATGACAGGCTTTTTCTTTGTTTATGGGATTGCGCAACAGGCTTGTTTTCCGCCCGAAATGCATTTATTTATTGTTTATTATTCTCTGCGCATTAGATTCTCATATAATATTGGCCGTTCTTTGTCCAGGAAACAGCTTCTCTAGAAGTTGTTTTGGAGGTCCAAGGGTGAAATGAGATTTCTCAATTCTAAATTGGGACATCTGAAAAGCGAGTTGTTGACTTGCAAGCCTGAGGCTGTTAGGGTCTGGGGTCGAGGATGTTGTGTGAATAGGTCACACTCAATTTTAATTTTTTGCTAATTCTCATCATAATGTGAGCTTTGCACCTCTAATACGTGCCTCCTTGGGGACAAATCCCTTTCAAAAACGGCAAATCTTTTCCAATTTACGATTGTTAGCCATTTTCTGCGTGTTACAAAGAGTATGCCATCAAAATTCCCTGCATTCCCCACCCCGGACATGAATTGCGATCCCCACGTGCTGGAACCTGCGAATATTGACCTCTCAAAAGGCCTTTCCTTTGGCCGACTTTTTGTGGAAACAACCCAATTGCCGAGAGAGCACTGCGACTGCGGAGACGGCCCGAGAGAGCGGGCTTTTCTCTCGCGGAAAACACTTTCTCGGGCCCGGTTTTCGGGCCAATTTTTTCGCTTTTTCGAAAGAGAATTTTTCGTTCGAACCGAGGCCAAATTCACTCGATTCCAATAGCGGTTTTTGCGATATTACTTTGGGTCATATCAGTTAATGTAGTTGAAAGATGTTAGAGACTTGTATTGTGTTTGGTAATGTGAACCTTGCCCGGATAAAATACGAAACCCCAAGGGCTTTTTATGTAGTTTCAGAAAAATGATGCAATAAGGCGAGAAAATGCCATTTTTGGGTGTAAAGGCGAGGTTTTTATGGGAAATTTATGGGTGTTTGATGATTTTTTGATTATTTTTGGTCGTTTGGTATTTAAAAAAGTAGTGTAGTAGTTTGAAAAGTATTTTGATTTACATCCAAAAGTTTGTTTGACCAGAATGTGGCCTTATTTTGAACAACTTTTTTTTGAAAAGTAAATAAAATTTTTGGATTTTTTATTATAAATTTTTTCCCATCAAAGCCGGTTATAAAGTTTGATGACATTAAGCAATTAGGGACGCCAAAAATTCCCCGAATTCTAATGCAATTATGCTGGGAAATGAGTGGTAAACAACACGTGTCCATAAATGAATTACTGAAACTCTAACGTGACGTTTTGGTTTTCAGTTCCAAGTGCATTGCGTACGTTGTCATTTGGACTTGAAATTTAAGGAATTTCTGGAATTTTTTGTGTAGAGTTTTATTTGCAAAAATATGAATTTTGGGCAAGGAAAGGAGTTACGCGGATGTCATTAGTTTTCTAAATTTGGCAGACGTATTTTGTATGGACCACACATTAATTTCGGAAAATTTTAGCATAAGAGAGCGGGCAGGGAGAAACGTTGACTTCTTCATCATCAAAGAAGTAGTGATTTCTGCAGGGAAAACCGGATTTTCTGTAAAAAAGGTGTTTACTATGAGAAACACAGACTTTACATTCTTCATTCTTCCACGCGCTAGTCTGTCAAACTTTACACAAGCTCCAATCTAAAGATTTGGTTTAAGCAAAGCGCGAGCTAAAATAAAAATCCACTGGATTTCATAGTAAATCTTACAATAATCTGAATTTTGGCAATATGTCATCAGGATATGATAGTCGGACTCTGAGAACTCCCTCTTTAATGCGAGGTCAGTTTTAGAAATTTAATCGTTGTTTTTGAACAATTACATCCCCCGTTGTTTGCAATCCAGCATTCTATTCCCGAAGACCAAGGCGGATAATCCGTTTAATAATCTTTCCGGGTTTTATGTGGATCAGGTAAAAAACAGAGCAAATTGTTGTTGGTTTCTACACGTTCCATTCCGAGATTACCCGTCTATCCGGGCGATCACGAAGCCTAGAGTTTTCAGATCACCTTTGAGTCAACTAAACTAAATTTTACCCGACAAAATCCCAACAATTCCTTTATTTCTCATCAATATAACCTAGTATAACATAAAATTTGCCTAGAAATAAAAGATAGTTCAAGTAAAGTACAAATATTTAACCAATAACTCACTTCATTTTTTGGAAATATTCATATACGTGTAGAACGCAAGGAAGTTGGAGAAATATGACCCCTGAGGGCTGTGTTTTTTTGTGTGGACTTCAGTTCTCTTCTCGATGACCTCATTCCTCTTCTTTTTCTAATCCCCATGACCCAGATGCACTCTCAGCAAGGTCTTGGCGAGAACAGTGTGCGATTTGCACTTTCCCACTACTTTGGTAATCTTAGGCTGTAAGAAAGTGCGAGGTATTTGAAGTTTGAAATTTTTTGAGTCTTTTGTACTTTTGGCGGTTTTTTTGGTTAAAAATGATAGGAAATGGCCTAAAATTTATTGGATTTGTATCTTAACTTGAGCGAGGAGTGGTAGGAAGTACTTTTATTCGTTGTGATTACAGCTAACTTGAGTGTAGACGAAATCTTTGAAGTTTTTTTTACGTTTCAGGTTTTTGATGCATTTTGATGTGTAAGATATAGAGTGATAGATTTTATATATCTACATATGAATTTTGATCTTATTGAACTACAGGTGATTTGGAGGATATTTTAAGTTTAACATAATAACTTTGGAAACCCAAAAAATCCGAAAAGTCATCATTTTTGGTCCACAGCAACTATCTAAAAAAAGATGAGGAAATAAAAAAAAACAAAAAGGTTTAAAAATGTTTGTAAAATACGAAGAAATCGAAATTGTTTGATAATTCGGCAGGTGGAGACCATATTTTTCTTGCAATTAATAAATACTCAAAATTCAAGAAAAAATGATAAAAATAAGGTAATAAATCATGTAAAACTGGCATCAAAACTAACTGGGATTGATTGTAAAATACGACATCATGCCGCGTTAGGTACAAATTTGTCTGTTTAGGATCAAATTTTCCTGTAAAATGAAAAAAATCGTGATTTTTCCCCAAAACCCCCAAACGTAAGCCATGACGATCTCAAAGGACCCTCCAAATTGTCTCCTTTTCCCAAGCATCTCGACTTTTTGTTGTTGGTCCAGTGCATTATCCCGATTACAGCGCGTTCTGCACGTACTTACAGCGTGTCTTGTAATGTTTTTTCTCCCCGACTTTTGGGGCCTCGTTTTTTGGCCTTGGCCAGGTTTGTTTTCGCAGTTTTGATTTGTTTTTTGACGTGCTTATTTCCACTTTTCTCCTCGCCCTCGGGAAACCTGAGGTCGGTTCTTTGAATTGCTTTTGAATTGGTTGTATTGGAAACTGTAAGTGTAAGTGTAGCATGCGGTGCAAAAATAGCTACAATTGGGATATTATTGCCGGAAGGGAGTGGATTTCGGTGGGGGAAAGTAGTTTACAACAGTTTGTTTTGAGGTTTACAGGGAGGACTTTGAGCTGTGGAGAGTGTTTTCGGTTGTAAAAGTTGTAGAATGTTTTTTTTTAAATCCTGGTTTAATACATTTTTAGTCGTCACAAAAAATTGTTTTTTGGCCTAGAAAAGAAAAAAAAAGACTTCTCCGATTTATGGAGAATTCGATTCTTGTAGGTGAAAAATGGCTTAATTATGCAACGTACTAGATAAAAAGCTCTCAAGCGCCAGAAATTTCTAGTTTTTGCCTTTGTTTCAACAAAAATCATCAAAAAACACCGGATTTGGCTATAAAATCATAAAATTGTAACGATTTTTGCAAATTTTTTGTTATAAAATACGATATTTCCTATTTTTAGTACCAAGTTTTTATCTATGTTTGTTCCACGCTTTGTTTTTATTGTGATCACCAATTTGAAAACCATATTGTGCTCGAAGTTTGATGAAAACCGAAAAACAAATCTTTCGAAACTGTTCCCCGAAAAGAAATCAAAATGTTATCAAGGGTTTTTATCGCGGGAATTTCGTCGATGTAATGAAAGGGTCAATATTTTCGGGGTTTCGATTGGGTTTTCCCGGAGGTTCGGGAAAATTTTCGAAAATTTTTATTTTTGATGATAAGATTGGCGGAAAAATGGGGGAAATCAATGTTCGGCTGTGACATTAAGCTTCGTATTTTATCTAGAAAATAATTTCTGGCCTCGAAATTGTATTTGGCATTAAAATTTACTCTGAATTTGCAATTTTGCCATCTTCTCAAACTTTTTGTGTTATCCATGATGACTATTCCCAAAAAAGTTGATTAAAACCTCCGTATTTTTTGTTTCGCGCCAACTCTTTTTGTCAAATTAATTTCCAAGTCTTAATTGATTTTTTCAGCCGTCAACTTGAGCCCTACCCCACAGAAATCATGACGGATAATGGAATTTCCCTCCCCGAAGAGGTGCACAATCTTTTGAATCAGTTTGTCATCTCCAGGGAACGTCTAGTCAAATTGTCCGAGGACATTGAAGCCGAATTGGAGGCCGGTTTGAAGGGAAGCAAAGGGAATTCGGTTCCGATGTTACCTTCGTATGTCCCGGCACTTCCAACTGGCAATGGTAAGGGCGCTGAGTTTTTGGGAGTTTTTCGATTTTTAGGACGACATATGCAGTAGAATTTACTGGATATTTTGACAGGTTATAGGGTAGTCTGTGTTAGTGAGAGTCATGGTTGTTGAGATCAAAAAAGTCATCAATCTCGTCGAAATTACAAAAAAAAAATATTTTTTTTAACCTTAAAATGATACTGACATATTTTACAATGATGGCAGACTCATTTTATAGTCATGTAGTTGGTATTCAAAATAAAAAATATGTTTTTTTTCACAATTTTTTTTCCAGAAACCGGCAAGTACGTAGCCATCGACCTAAGCGGGAAGAACCTCCGGATCCTCCTCCTCGTCGCGGAGGGCAAAGGAAAAGAGCCGCAGGTCACAGTCAACAATTACATTGTCTCGAACTCGATCATGAAGGGGACTGGCGAGCAGCTCTTCAACTTCATCGTCAATTGTCTCCAGAAGTTCTTGAAGGAGTTCAGTTTGGAGTCGGCCAATCTTCCCATTGGCTTCGTTTTCTCCTATCCATGCGAACTGCTGTCGATTCGGTCGGCGAGATTATTGTGGTGGACAAAGGGTTTCGATATTAAGGATTGCCTGCAGCAGGATGTCGTCCAACTGCTGCAAGACGCGCTGGAAATGAACTTGGTAGGTCGGAGGGGTATTTTGAGGTCACTTACGATCTTTTTCTTCTTTTCAATTTTACTTTATGAAATTTTTAAAATATCAAATTCAAATTGGAGGCATTTTTCGGTGCCGTATTTTACCTCATTCTTTATTTTTCAGTCCACCAAGGCCAAGATCAATGCCGTAATGAACGACACGGTGGGCCAGCTGGCCGCCGCCGCCTACAGATATGGGGAAGATTGCGTGGCCGCCGTGGTAATCGGCTACGGATGCAACTCGTCGTATCTGGAGGACACGAGCAGGATAACAAAGTTCAACGCCAAAGAAGCCGGCTATAAGCATGACAAGATGGTGGTCGTCACGGAATGGGAGGAGTTCGGAAACAATGGAGAGATCGACGACATTCTGACCAGTTTTGATAAGGAAGTGGATGACGCCTCGGTCCACAAGGGCAAACAATTGTGAGTTTGCGTTTGAATTGCAGCTATCTGACAGGTTTTTGAAACATTTTTCGGAGACTTTTTTGGCCCTGCAACGGAATGCCACGATTTGGCGGGAAATTTAAATTTTCTGCCTAGATTTTCGTTCAATTTTACAGTCAATTTTTGTTGATTTTCAGGATCGACAAGCTGACCGGAGCCCTGTATCTCGGCGATTTGGTCCGTCGCATCTTCGCCCAGCTCTCCGTCGACCGAATTCTCTTCAACGGAGCGCCCGTCGAAGCGTTGGACCAGCCCGACGGATTCCCTACAAAGTACATCTCGGAGATTCTGAGCGAAGAAGAGGGAAGTTACAAGTCGTGTCGGAGGATTTGTGACGAGATTGAGGTCCCGAATCATGGCACTGATGACTACGAAATCATGAGAAGGGTCTGCCATATTGTTTCGCAGAGATCCGCTTCGATTGTTGCCGCTGGTGAGTTGGGTTTAATTTTTTTTAAATTTTGGGCTGTCTAGTCGAGGTATTTCACATTTTTGTTCCATTACGATCTAGGCTACGTTTATTTATTTTTTTATTTTTCGGTAAAAATCGCAAAATTTTTTTATTCGGTTTCTTTTTTAATTTCCCCGATTTTTGCTTCAGAGACTTGCTAAAACTAGATCTTTGATCTTATTATACTTTTCAACGGGCATAAGAATAGCTGCACTTTCAAATCTCACCTTATTTTCCCAAACAATTCAATTTTTTCAGCGATTTCCGCCCTCCTCCGTCACATAAACCGTTCCACCATCAAGGTTGGGGTGGGTGGTGCCCTGATTCAGTTCCATCCCACTTACCATCAACTCCTCGAAGCTCAGCTCAACAACCTGGCCCCACTTCACATCAATTGGGAGCTGGTGGCGGCCGATGAAGGCAGTGTGAAGGGAGCCGCACTGTGCGCCGCTGTCGCCGAGAACCTCGGGCTATAATGCGCCCCATTCGCGGATTGGAGGAGTAGTTCCAGGGTTTTCCTCTAATATTATTATTCATAAACTAGTTTGCGCAGCTGAAACGGAATGCCAACGAGATTTTGTGGACTAAATGTTTTCGTGGTGGGACCTAAAATTGATAATTTTTATGGGTAAAATACAACAAAAAATAGGTTTTTTGTCCGCGCTTTCATTTTATAGCTCATTTTTCAAGTTCTTGTCCATTCTGCGCAAAAATTTTAAATTTCAATTCTCCCGCCAAATCTTGGCATTCCGTTACAAGGCCAGAAAAATCTCCGAAAATGCACTAAAAGTCGTCTTTTTTGTTAAAATTGTTTACTTTTCAATAGACAAATGGGTTCATTATTTTCTATATTCGTTTCTCAGACTTGCAGTACGCCTCCGTCGGGTTACTGTAACTGTTTTTTCTCTTTTCGAAATGTCTCCAAATGCCAATTCCTTACGCTCGTTTGTGTGTGTGGGCCAAATTCAAATATAAATATTCTAATTTACAAGAACATAAAAGTGTCTTATTGTTGTGTTTTCCATGAATTTTACTTCTTCTTCTTGACCTCTAAAATTGAGGGTTTTAATTTGAAAATAATAAATAAAAAAAGATATGGCAGAAATTTGAATGGAGAGGACGGTAATCGTGTCCACTGTCTCTGAAGCTCCGCTAAATGAACATTGACTGGATGCTGAGTGTGTTTTAGACGGGTTCGGACTCCCAGGACGTCACTGGAAATGGAGATTATTGCGGCCAAAATTAACTATAATTAACAAGGGCAGTGTTCGAAGCTGAGATTGTCTTTATATTTTCGATGTATGTTCAATTGGAGTAATGAATTATAATTTTACACAAAGTAACCCCTTATTAAGCTGTTCCGAGGCATTCCAGAGCTTGATGAAAGCGGAGAAAACCTACAATTTTCCTGCAAATTTAGGCGCACACCTAATTCAAGACCCCCGGCCACGATGAACGTCCAAGACCTTCATCAGCAAACACTGAACCTGTCGGACTCAGATGTTTACTGAGGGTGTGTTCAGAGGACGTCAAGCCAATTCAAATTCGAATCTCATTTTCGGGTTTATGAGCAAATTAAGACGATTCAAGAATCATGCGGCTTGGATGAACGATTTAACATCAAGATCTTATGGTGAACGCAAATAATAACGGAGATGGCTGAAATACGTATTTAAGACGCCATGATATTGCGGAAATCATTGTACGACAGGGAGATCATATTGTTCCTGAGATATGAAATTTGTTGTAGTCGCGGCTTTTGTTGTTGGACTCGTGGTAGTTGAGGTATGTGCCGTGGTTTGTATGAAAAAGTGCAAAGGCATAAAACGAGGAAGATTTTATTAACAGGGGAAGTACTCCAAGTGCGACGCTCAGATTTTCTTTAAAATTTGCACACACGTCGGGTATGGACTAAACATCAATTCCTGAAAGTTTAAGCTCACGCTTTGCGGGCGCCGCCGAGATATCGAACGATTTTTGCCGCCGAGAGAGCACGCTAAACGTGGAGAGCGGTCAGAGAGAAAAGCGCTTTTTGGCCATAACTTTGGCAGTTTCGTGCGGAAAAATTTGATTTTTTGTAGAAACATTATCCTTTACGGTTGAATCCTCAAAAGTATGCATATTGTAAATGTTCCTGAAGATTTTTTATTCACGTTGAGGGCTGATTGCCACCTTTTTAGTCCTGCAGCCCTACACCGACCACCACCAAAACTGCCACTACAACAACTGTGGCCCCAGGCCGAAAACGTCGTTCTGCGGACCCGATCGAAGTGATTCTCCACTCAAAACTACCTGCTAGCAAAGGAGAGGATTTGCTCGAGAAACTGGAAAAAGCAGCGACGTCTCAAAATTTGGATATTGAAAAATTCGGGAAGATCGAACAAGCCATCGGATTCGACGCCGACGATAATGTGGAATTAATTCATACCCTGGACAGTGATGTGGATTGCAACGAAGTGAGGTCGGCCACTAAGAAAATCATCAGCAAAGTCCCGGAGATCAGCCGAGCCTCGGTGAAATGCCACGGGCAACAATTCAGAGTCTAAAATTGTAATCGAGAATAAATTTTTCAACTCATAATCGAGGACATGAATATTTAGGCGGTTCTATGGCTTGCTAAAGTTCTATAAAATCGTCAAGCTTTTGTCAAGAAAGTATTACTGCCTCTAAGTTGCCGTCCGCACTGAAAAGATTTTCAATGTCAGTTTTATGCCGCCAGAGCCTTCTTGGACCCTTAACTTGATAAAGAAGAAATGGCCAGGAATAAAAACATATTGAGGAACATTCTGCTTTACAAGATATAGGCACTTTTTCAAAACAAGAAATGTTGATCAACAACAATGATAGAGATCTCAGAGAGTGAATCTAATGTAGTGTCTACAAACATTGTGCCCACAAGTGCCATGCCAGAAAAAAACCTGCCCGCATATGGGATTCCCGCTTGTTATCGCCCGCAAACTTTGAGCCGCCGAAGAAATATTAGTTAAATTACCCGCTTATACTCCTTACATCCCTTTACTATTCCCTTGACAATGTGGAATTAAACTCATCCTAGTAATTAAAGATAGAGTTTAGATATGTTTCTTAAAAAATTGTAGAATATATCCATACAAAAAACCCCATACGAATCCGAACCCATTTTAAACACTGGTTTGAAAATCGTATCATGGTATTTCAGTTGAAAATACCAGTAATTAGACTTCATGGTTGTTAAATGAACTTCTACTCAAACCATGATCTCAATCAGATAAGGCTCTGCAAAGGGTAATCTCCGAACTTTCCTCAACAACAATTAGTGAACTGTTGTTATGAATTCAAAATATGCCGTTGTTATAACTACAAGAAATTCCCCAACTTGTTTCGAAAACTTTATAATGAATATCAGAAAAAAATACAAACATTGTAGACTCATTTAAAAGATGGTTTCAAAAATGATCCCAGAAGCCATGGAAATGTCATTTAGACACGGAATTTCTGTCCCTGGCAAGTGATGGAGGCCTTGGGGACCTCGTCAACCTGACTCAACACCTTCTTGGTGATCAGTCTCAGCTCAGCGCAATCAACGTTTCCGTCCAGGGTGTGGTAGATTTGAGCATTTCCACTCTCATCCGAGCCAACTTCCTGCTCAACTTTGCCAAATCTTTCGGCATCCAGATTCAGAGAGGCGGCGGTGTTCTTCAGCTTCTGGATGAGTTGTTGGCTTTGAGCGACCGGGACTTTGGAGTGGAGGATGACTTCGGCGGCGTCGGCGTGACGACGTTTACGGCCTGCGGCGGCGGTGGTGGTTGTGGTGGAGGAAGAGCCGGCGGAGGAGCAGGCCTAAAATGAGTCAGTTTGGAGTTGGTGTTTGCATTTTAGATAACTTGAAAATAGGTGTAAAGCCAGTTAGAGCAAAAAAGATTGACTTATTTCCGTAGAATCTCTCCAAAATCTTTATGAACTCTCTACAGCCCTGTTCCATGGATTACATCATTGCCAAACTCACCTCCACAGCGACAAGACCGGCCAAGAAAAGAGCGAAGACGGCGGAGTTCATGGTTCAAGTTGAGGGCTAAAGAACACTGAATGTGATACCTTCCCTCCAGCATCTCCAATCTTATATAGCCTCCGGAATATTTGCTCATAACTTTTGTGATTACATCACTGAGATTTGATGAATAATTCCAGCCAATCCCCGCAACTAAAAGAGGCATTCAGAGAATGCTGGAGCCAATCCAAAATGATTGGATCGGGGAATGTTATGCAAATATTCGTTGGAAGACCCATTCCAGGGGTGGTCTATTGGATTACGCGATGCTTTGAAAGCCACAGCGAAATTGGTTACGATTTATGTCAGAGAGGAAACTTTTTGAGTAAATATGGATTTTTATTTAAATTAAAAAGTTAACATTGAAAAGCCGTTTATTCAGCGGGTTTTGCATGCGAGAGAGTACTGGAGATGAATGATGATGTCAGAGAAAGAGACATTTTCGACCATTTTTTTGAAATCTTTTTTGTGATATCGTATTTTCCGCTTCAAACCACGGCATTATTGTGTTTTCTGCCTATGACGTAAGGCTCTATCATGTTTAATTTATCAATTGAATCTTCCAAGCTTTGCAAATTTTCTTAAAAAATTTTCCCGCCCAACTAAGCATGGCTGCAAACCGGGCCAGCCCGGCCCGGCCCGGGCCGCAGGCCCGGGCTTGAATCTCCGAGCCCGGGCCCGGGCTTGGAAAATTTGGAAAGCCCGGCCCGGTTCGGCCCGGAAAATTTTTACACTAGGTTGGAAAGAAAGAAAGCGGGAAATGAAAGGAAAATTATGGGAAATTTACGCAAAATGTAAAGAAAAATTTACCAAAACCTAGGTACATAAGGTCACTTTACGTTCGCTATCAGCAGTGTGTTCGAAAAAAATGAAAAATTCTATCGAAAAAGCTTATTTTTTCCTTTTTTCCGGGCAAAACTTAGATTTCAAAAAAACCGGGCCGGCCCGGGCCGGGCCTAAAAATCGAAGCCCGGAGTCGGGCCGAGAAATTAGTCGGCCCGGCCCGGGCCGGAAAATTTTGCAAAGCCCGGCCCGGAGCCATGCCTACGCCCAACTAAAAATTCGGCATACATTCCGTCTTGAAATTGCAATCAAACATTTATTTACAGTAAAAACTGCTAAAATGACAACTCCAAATCTTTGCATTTGACATGAACCTGACTGACATCATCCAATTCCTCTTTAATTCTCTCTATGGCCATCTGAATGTCTCCACAATCGACTTCTGGATCCACTTTGTATTCCAAAACAACCTGATCCTCTTCGTCAATTCGAATGTCGGGTTTTGGAGTTAAAATCAACTCTTTGTTGATGTCATATCCATCAATGAGATTGTCCAAATCTTCAAGTAAATCATCAAGCTCGTCGATGGAGGTGGTCGAGTAAAGAGTAACCACGATTGGAGATGTTTCCCGGCGTTTTCGAGAGGCCGCTGTTGTGGTGGTTGCCTTTGTTGTCTTCTTACTGCCTTTTTTGGTGGTCTTCTTTTTGTTCTTATTCTTACTGCTCTTCTTTGTGGATGGCTTCGGAGAACATGCCTGGAAAAGTCTTTGAAACTCTGCAATAACAAATCCCAAGTTAAAGGGGAAGTACTCCAAGTGCGACGCTCAGATTTTGGTCAAACTTAGCACAGGTTTAGAATAATTTTTTTCTAAAATTTATGCGAGAATCCTAGCTCGCGCTTTGCAGGAACAACCGAGATTTTTAGATCGAAAGTCGGCGAAAATTTAGGACTTTTTGAAGAATTTCGGCATGAAAAGTTTCATGCCTATTTCAACTGTAAAGGATAATGTTTCAACAAAAAATCAATTTTTTCCGCACGAAACTGCCAAAGTTAAGGCCAAAAAGCGCTTTTCCCTCTGACCGCTCTCCACGTTTAGCGTGCTCTCTCGGCGGCAAAAATCGACCGATATCTCGGCGGTGCCCGCAAAGCGCGCGCGCGCTAAAACTTTCAGGAATTGATATTTAGTCCAAACCCGACGTGTGTGCAAAACCTTAAAAAAATCTGAGCGTCGCACTTGGAGTACTTCCCCTGTTAGTCCTAAGGTTTTCCAACTTTTTGCATTTCTTTTTTCCAGATCATATTCTAAATGTTTCAACTCAAGCTACATCAAAACGAACGGTCCTCTAAACTGTAATCTTCAGCGCAAGCATTTCACTCCCCTCAACACCCACCTCAAGAACTGAAACACACACAACTAACAAGCATATGATCACAACAGCTTTCATTCTGTCGCTAACATCACATTTGGCTTAAAATTTATCTTTTTATACTTGTCATCATTGCCGCATTTCTTCAAACCCTCGTTTACAGGTCTGACTTTCATTCAGATATTGGTTTTTATTGATGTCGTTAACCCTCAATTGTCATCTTGTCCAAAAGTTTTAATTGATCATGATACTGTCGTCAAATATTTGGTTATATTTGGAAAGTGCAGTTTTCTGTAAAAAAAGTGCATTTTTCCCACATAGTATTAGCCCTGTTACAGCTTAGGAAATTTATTAAAAGCCATTTACACCACCTCTTGGTAGCATAAATAAATCATCGGAAATTCAAAAGGTTACAATTGGCGTTAGAATTACGGAAATCCGGTCATTAATCTACCATGCTCGCTTATTTACCTTCTAAAACGTCTACAATATCAATCATCATTCTCTTAGTATTCATTACTCACTATATTTTTACCCCTCCAAATCTAAGAATCCCATCTCATTTTCATTCACTGTGGTCCCCAGAAATTTAACATAGCATGTAATTACTCCACTACCTTCGAAAAGAATTTTGGTTTACATTTTGTTCACATGTCATGAAATGTTCGACATAAAACCCAAAAAAACTTGAGGAGAAAATGTAATTTGAGACCATTTATTGGAGATCTTTCGAACTTTTTTTCTTCCTCATCGCTTTTTGAGATTCGAAAGTCCGCGGTTCGGCCCTAAAGTTCGTTCTGCAAAATGTTGCTTTGGGTTTGAGGTTGTCTTGGGAAATGTTTTTAGGAACTTTCTTTACTACATATTATATATTTCATCGCAAAAATGCAGCCAAAAATCGGTATTACAAGCCGACTCTCCGTGCCTGCAGAAGCCGCCTAGTCTACAGAAGTGGTTGAATAACTTCGTGAATGTTTTCGAAATTGATTTGTGACATGCGTAGGCCACATGGGCAAGATTTACATACAAAAAATGGGAGCTGACTAACTCTTATATGCCTTAGATTATTTTCAAAGACAAAAAAGGCGTAATATTGAAATCTTTCAGGTTTCTTCCGCATTAACTTTGATATTTCACTAGTGAACGTCGTCTTTGTCCTTTTTTGGATTACCTTAATCCGTCTGGATATCCCAACCGTCTTCTAAAGCATTCTCAGAGCCTTTGCAACTTTTTGGAACGTTTTCAATTCAGAAGCTCCACCTTTTAATCCCTTATTTACCTTACCAGTTACCCTTGTGGCTGGTTTCATGTGGGGTTTGTTACTGATTGAATTGAAATTCAATAGGTTTTTGGCTTCAAAGATCTTTTTATTCATGAATAGTGACGTCATTCACCGCTTTTGTTTGCTCAGAAAATTCTTTGGTTTTACAGTAGCCTTGGTTGGAAAGGATCGGCTTCCATAATTTTACTGACAAGGGAAGTACCCCAAGTGCGACGCTCAGATTTTCTTTAAACTTGCACACACGTCTGTCATGAAATAAGTATCAATTCCTGAAAGTTTTAGCTCGCGCTTTGTAAGCGCCGTCGAGAGAGTACGCTAAACGCGGAGAGCGGTAAGAAAGAAAAACGCCTTTAGGCCATAACTTTGCCAGGTTCGTGCGGAAAAAGTTGATTTTTTATGGAAACATTACCCTCTATAGTAGAAATAGGCATGAAACTTTTCGAGCCGAAATTCAGCATAAAGTGTTAAAATTTCGCCAACTTTTGATCAAAAAATCTCGGTTTTTTCTGCAAAGCGCGAGCTAGGATTCTCGGATATTTTTTAGAAAAAAATATTCTAAATTTGTGCCAGTTTCATCAAAATCTGAGCCTCGCACTTGGGGATTTCTACAAGGGCTCATTTTCTCCCGATTTTTTCTTCTAACAAATGACTGGGGCCCCTTTGTATTACACTTACAAGTTCGAATGTACAAAAAGTATGCATGCTCCTGACCGCAGCCACGTATAATAACTTCCTCATTCCCTGCCATGCAAATATCACCGAGTAATACAATCTTTCCGCTCCGCTGCAAATCGCTGCCGAAGATATTGTTAATTTTTACGTAATCAATTTGAAATATGCCCGCATATTCCCCGAAACCTCAACGTTTATGCTTATTATTTTTCCGAATCTTTTGCTCTTTTCGTCTCTGTCGCCTTCTTAAATATTGTTTTGCGCTTCCTTAAACACAAATCTCCATTATAATCGCTTCCGTGTCCAATTTCAGTGCAACAATCCTTGCAATCCTCTGTTTTTTTACTATACTACTATGTTTTTTTACACTTTACTTGGCACTTTTGTTTTTCCCAAAACATTTTGAATCTTACATTCATCCGTGTTAAAAAGTAATTGTTATCGACAAGGCTGGCTGTCATGGCAATCTTTGCTTTGTGATTAAAACAATAACTACAATAGTTTAAGGCAACGAGGGATGAATAAACTATGGAGTACAAATATTCATGTTATTGCTTACTTAAAAAAATGACTTGATTTTTTATACAAAATACGCAATTTTCATACGAAAATTACAATTTTAAAATGCTTTTAAATCCGAATTCCTCTTACAATTAGATACGATTAGCCATGTATTTACAGTGAAAGGGGGTGCAATTTCATAAATTAAATGTAAATGACGCCCTTTTAAACTTGCCCAGTCCAAAGGTTGACCTCAAACTTTCGGAAAGAGCCTGTTGCCTAAGGGGTTCAAGTGGTTTTGAAGAGGAATTTTGCATTTTTGGCATGATGGATAAGTAGAAGGAGTAATTTTAAATTGACTGCTTTTTTGAGGGTACAAAAAAGTCCAAAATCTTATATTTTTTATAGGGTTCTACATTCTGAATTTCAATTGAATTTTTTACATATTTTTATACGGAAACTTGCGCATGTATTCTTCAAAGATTTTGCTCGTACTCTGCCTGCATAATACGTAGCTATCAGAGATCAATTGTTAAGAATTTTTACTCTATAGGTAAGCTTAGCCGAAATTTTCCACCGAATTGAACATTATAGAGACAGCAGCAGAAAAAAACGTTTTTTGATAAATCGATTTAGACTTTTCTTAGGGCACATTACATCTCAAATTAGTGAAAATTTTTAGTTCTTCTTCACACAATTTTTATACAACCAAGAGTTCACCCGATTTGTAGGCTTCGAGTCAAGTCTTGAGCGCTTACCCAACTTCTCGACGCCGCATGCAACGCTCTGCAAGTCCAATTGTTCAACACAATACTACATAAACATCGGCATAAACAGTCGTATTGTATTTCCGCGTCTTTTATTTTATTTTTCTGTTTTTCGTCTTGAATTCCCTCGGGGCAAGGAAATCGGTTCAAAGTGGGCACTTGGCCAAAGACCTTGGCCAGTCTGAGGGTGCTCCTCGAAGGGGTTTTGAGTTGCTACTTGTGATCATTCGTATCCATGCAGAATTTTATTTTTGAATGCGTTTTATTCAGCGGAGTTATAAGGACTTCCTGTTAGCGCAGGGGAATTTCGAGGAGTTTGAGGAAAAGGAACGGTAATATAAAAATATGACGTCATGATTACAAATGCTCTTGTTTCAAGTCGCTGATATGTAACAATCAAATAAAATTGTGTTACATTTCAGCGATTTAATCTTTGTGTTTTCAGAAAAGCTGTCCTTTAAAAATAGACGATTTGGTTAAAAAGTAACCGAATTTATTGGATTTACGGAGCTCCAGCTAACGAAGTAAAACGTTCTTAAAACACAATTTGAGTTCGGATAAAACTATCCTTCTTGATATGTAGTTACGAAGTTCACGTTTGAAGTGGGCTTGTAATGTGTGGTCTTGTCAGAAAGGTTATCGAAGTAAAGTAACATATTTTTTTAGTTATGTAAGATTTCGCTGTAAGGTCTTTTCTAGTCTTTTCATAAAGTCCGTAGACTTCTTGTCGTGGCGCACTGTGCATTTTGAATCATTCTGCACGGGGCACAGGCCATTTTGAATTATCCTGCACTTTGTCATCGCCCATGTAAAATTGTGACGAAAAGTCTACGCACTTTCTGAAAAAATCACCGTTTTTTCCTAGTAAACATAATTCTTCAAGACTTAAATACAAGCTATTCCACATACAATTGTTTGATTGTAAGTCTAGACATGAGGTTGATTACAATTTCAAAACGCATTCCCTAATTTTCAAATGTATTTACACTTGTTTTTGTTTTTCTGCATTTTCCTAAAGATCTAATACATTTCATTACGATTTCTATTCATAACACTATATTTTTGATATAATATTAATAGCGCATCCACATATTCAAATCACAAGATGGGAAAAACAAAATGGGGATATCCGAAGGTCAATGGCTTTTTGCATAGTGGCTTCATGGCTTTGACCGTGAAGCCACTATGGAATGAAAAATTCAGCCGTGTATTTTATTTTTAACATTTTGAAAAAAAAAATCCAGGAAATTGCGGGAATCTTATCTTGTTTTGTGTATGTGTGTCGGGTAGGCGGGCAGTTGAAGTGCTACTTTTTTAGTGTCAATACGGGTGAAACACAGTGAAGTCTAGTAAACTGAATTTTTAAATTCAGAAAGCAGATTGTAAGTTTATTCTACAGTTTTGGACCTGATCCAGTGGCAAAAAACATACCATTTTGCATCCGGGAAGCATCAAAAAATGTAGCAAAATACCTCCTTCTCCAAGTGAAAAAACTTCGAGTTAGGAAAAATTCGATTAGGAAAATGGCGCGCCCTTCAAATCCAAGTTTTTTTAGTTGGAGAGGGAGGCATTTTGCTATATTTTTTGATGCCTCTCGGAAACAAAATGGGTCGTTTTTTACCACTGGATCATGTTCGCCACTGTAGTTTACGTTTTTAATATGGTCAAAGCCCCAACGGATAAATTTTTCTGGTAAAAATTTAGAGAGAATTAACGAAGCCTCAGCTCCCGTCATATCCCATGCTGGGCCTCAGAAAATAGCCGTCAACGTAACTGCCACAGTGCCGTCGAATTGCCTTATACCGTAAAAACAGGGTGGGCACAAAAACATCCTATACATGCACAGCGTTTACAGCCACAATTTGATTCTTTTGGCCCTTCAGATTTGTATGAAAAGTTGTGACGGCATCAACAAAAGCGTCTTAATACATTTACTCTTTAATCTGTAATCTCCTCCCTCATCTTAGAACCCCTCTTTACATCTTTGATTACGCTCCTTCGCAAATGTCAGCATACGTAATCATTAATCACTTACAGATTCACACAAATCATTATTAACTATTCTGTTTCTAATTCCAAGCGAACATTTAAATCCCTTGAAGTTTTCGCGGGTATTAGTAAGAAGTATTAAAAGCAGTATTAGTAAGCGTTGTTTTACCCAATTTTCTAACTTTTTTCTCTTCTCCGAACTCCCACTGATTACTTTAGACATTACATAGGCTTTTATTAATCCACAATGAGGTCATTTCCTTCGTAAAAACATGGTTTACGTCGGCGAAATCTTGAGGGAATTTCAAACTCTTTGCAGAGAAACAAGCCAATAGGGCTGTTATTTATTGCCAGTGTTTTCTTTATGTTTATGTGGGATGTTTAGTAATAATTGAGGTTATTTGGAGGAGGTAATTGGCTCGTTAGCATGTAGCGTGATAACGAGTTATTGGCAGCTCGTTCTTTAGATTGTGTTTTGTGGCCTTAATAATAGATTGACGTATCTTTCTTATCCTTGAATTATACCGTATATCATGGCTTATACTACATCCTTTTTCTTCTCTTCTTCAACCCCTTCTGACTACAATTTTGCTCACTTTATGACACCATTTCCCCCAATGTTTACTCATTTGTCATAATCACGGACCCCTTTGTTTCATGTGCCCTTTGGCCCCTGATCCTTGTTCCGTGTGTTCGCGCGATCTCTCCTCTTACACATCCCTCTCACAACTTACGCATTCGCCCTCTTTCAGTGTGGGGGTTGAACAATAAACGCCCAAGGAACACTTTGAGGGATTTGCGCAGCCTTCATAGACACTTTCTTTGCGAGAGAGCGCACAGAAACGACGATAAATCGGTTGGACTACGCCGAGAAAAAAAAAGTCAAGAGGACGTCTGAGAGTGTTGAAACAAAGGAAGATTGGCTCAAACAACATTGCTAATTGGCAAGAGGAGATACTTCAGAAGCCCGCAATTGTTGAATTATGTGTACCTAGCAACCGGAAAGGCCAAAGAACAGAAGGACGGTGAGAACACCCAAGCAAAGGAGAACGGCCTAAGGCTATTGGCACCTTTGAACGGGCTCTTTACAACCCCAACTACACCTGGAATTAAACACGCAGACTTTTCTCTCATTGCCAGTCTGAGAAAGTTTGCTCCGCTCCGAAACACCTACTCCCAATTGCTCCGCTCCAAACATTATTATCACTAAATTTTTTGCTCCGCTACGACCTCTCTGCTACCTTCCAAAAAACCGCTACGGCCAATTAGTGAGCACGTGAAAATGCGCAGCAAAAGCGTGGACCGCGGGGCGCGAATAAAAGTGGGCGGGGCCGAGTGGTGGTGGAACCACGGCCCGAACCGCAGCACGGCCGAGGACGCCCCCGCGGAGCCGGAGGACCCGTTGCAGGCCCAGCTCGACCGTCTCTACCGTCGAATCCTCATGTCCGCCAAGAGTTCGCGACGCTCCTCGCGACGCGGCAGCTTGTTGGAGAACCCGTTCGCGCCCCAACAACCCAAAACCTCGCCGCATTTTGTGCATGTGCAAGAGAACGGTACTGGTTACTGCTGTTGTGGTAGTCGTTTTAGTCGGATTTCTTCTTTTTTCGTTTTTTTTTCCTTTTTTTCACTTTTTGCTATGTAAGCACGCTTTGTTGCATTTTTATTCGTTTTTTTGAAATTTGATTTAATTTGCTCGAGGCTAAATTCCCCTCAGGCTTTTGACGTGCCATGATCTTTATTTGTGGCTTCCCTTTTGGCCATTTCACTCGTTTAGTATTGCTTATTTTCTCAAAACTTTTCTTCCACTAGATTTGCATTGCAAATGTACATAGTTTGGTCAATTTTAAAACAATAATTACTCGTTCTCTTTTACAAATTAATTGTAAAATCGTAGGACTCATAGACATTATAGGACCGCGAATTTTGTGAGGACAGGAGAAGTGTAAGATTATACTTATGTAGACGCGAAAGTAAAACGAAGGCAGATTTGGAATTGAGCGGCTAATAGTGTAAACAGAGGTATAAGAAGGATACTAAAGAAGACGCAAGGATTTTTGAGACACCACGGCAGAACTGAGATTAAATTTTTCATTTTTTTCAGACGTAAGAAAGCCTTCTAACGAAAAGGTCAGAAAACTGTCCAAAACACAAACTGTTTACAGGAGAAGTTTCTTATTTTTAGTGGAGACATGCCGATTTTCGTCAATATTTTCTTATCGGTTAGCAGCTAACCACAAATGCACAAGTCTCTGTGAGTTTTAGGTTTCGTTTTCCAGCTATATGCCGTTGGAAAACCGCGGCAGTTGAGATATTAAAAGTCGTCAATGCGAGGGAGCGCCAGAAATGAAGAGAGTCGGCCAGATAAAAAGCGGCTTTAATCCATAACTTACCCATTTCTGCAAGGATGAAGATGATTTTTTGCAGAAATTGTACACTAAACAAATAGTCGGACCAAAAATTTTTAAACCAAAATTATAAAAAAAGTCATCTTTAACTGTTTCTGATCCAAAACTCTCTGTGTTTTTCGTTATTCTGATTGCTATAATAAAATGTTCCTAATGAACAAAATTCCAGAAGTTTTGGTTTATTTTTCTGAATCTTCGACTTATTGAACTCAAATTATAGTCCTTTCCTAAATCCAGTTCCAAACTATTGGTTCAAACACTCCTCTTTTTTTGTTTGGATTTCTCTTTTTTACATCCACGTCTATGGCCACTTCATTTCCACTTGTATTTGCACTCAATTTTTGCAAATTTCTATACGCAAATTCCTCTTGTCTGCGAAAAAAGGAGCAAAAACTTTTTTGGACGTCACAAGTCCCTTCTGCATAACATATTATAAACCCCTGAGGCAATTACATTTTTATTTTCAACTAGTTTTAAGGATATTTTTGAATTTTGTTTCGGTTTCCAGACTCAATAAATCTTCTGTTTATGGCCTTAAAATAAGGTCATGAAATGATTTCTTGACTTTTTGCGGCCGAAAAAAGGGAAAATTTAATAAAATTTAGGGGATATTTCCGGAAACATTTGTAGGGGAATGTCAAGACATGACGATATTTGATACTAACAAGTTTTTTCAATCTTCAGGGTAATTAATTAATGGAAAAACGGGTTTCCTCTGACTGCTCTCCTGATTTGCCACACTCTCTGCAAGATTTTCAGCTTTCGGAGAAAATTTCGCCTACGCTTGTAAAGCGCAAGCTAAATTTTTTTTTAATTTTTTGCCTAGTCTCAACGAGTGTACAAAATTGACGACAGTCGTGGCTTTGATAGCGTTTTTTTTTTACAAATTTTGAGCCGTTTCCTTTCTATGACAAACAAATCTCCTTTGCCCCAAAATTTCTTCAAGCAGTGTGCCTTAAACTTTTTGATTTTTCAATAGCAAATTGCAATCTTTCGCACCTCCATTTTAACTGATGCTCAACGTTTCTATCACTCTCCTGATCTCACGATTTCTGACGTCCTTTCCCCCCGTGTTTCTGTTCCTATAAGTTACAGTTCAAGGCGTTGTCGAGGCCTCGAAGGTGTCTTCCCCTGACAATTCCAATGTTTTGTTTGTCTTTGACTGTTTCCCCGGATCCCACTAAATCCCCGCAGGGAACAACGCAAAAATATAAAATTAAGAGGCTTAAAGTTTTGTTTCAACCGCGTAATTAGAGGGGTTGATTTTGGGTCTTAATCTTATGAACCTTACGAAAGGTGACCTCCAATAATAAATATTTAAAGTTTTTAGCTTACGCTTTGTGAAACCACAAAAATGTTCCAATAGGAAGTCACAAAAAAAATTTTAAAAATTCTTTTTTTAAAAAGAAAAAAATTTGGCTACAGGCGTAGGAGTACAACTGCTGATTTTGTGTGCGCACCTGGAAAAAGGGCAAATCGAAGTTAAGATTTTTAACGATTGGTAGGTTATGATGCAATATTTTTATCAAAGAATGTCCTTGCATTAAATTAGAATTTTTTTCGTTTTTGCCCAAGCCCTCATCGAAATTTGAAAATTTTTTAAAAAAAATTCCCTCCTTTATAATTACTGCGTTTTCAAAATTACATCGGTCAACTCATATAACATCACAGAGTAATTTTACATAAAAAAATATTATAATTTCCGCTCTTTGCACTATTTTTACTTTTCCTAAATTTGTGTAATTTTGAGTTCGTTCTGCACTTTTTATTTATGTAGTTTTGTAGTAGTTTAACTAATTTTTAATTACATATGTCATTTCAGTTTTAGGCAGTGCACTGCCTTCCAGCCCCGTCTCCAACGGCCTCAGCTCACCGACTTCGGTGCATTCTGTAACCACGGCGACTTACAACGGAAATGCTGCGAAGTAAGGATACATTGACAAAAAAATAACGATGCTCGAGATGCAAGGCTTAAATTTTCTTCAAATTTTGTATATACTGACTATCTAGGGCACATATCTATTCTTGAAAATTTTAACTCGCTCTTATCAACCTCAGCCTAGATATTGAGCAGTTTTTGGATGCAATGCTTAGCTCCTTTTTACTCAAAAATCCAATTTTCAGGCCCCAGCGACGCCAATCGTTCCTGGGATCGCTGTTTTCGGGTTCAAAGGAACGTCTAAACCAACCCTCCCTCTACTCCAATGGCTACAGTCCGGCTTTAAACAATAATAATCTAAATAATAATAACGGAACAACCCCTTCCTCCACTTCTTCTGGATACTGGTCTTCCTCTCGACAGTCCTCTCCGCGCACAGAATACCCGTATTCGGGAGCGCTGGGAAGGCAAAGAGCCTCGTCGGCTTCAGTTCAATATGTCCAAAGTGTGGTGGAGCATCGGCCAAGCACCGCGAAAGAAGCGGCGTTGGAAACATTCTCTGTGATTGCGCAAAAGAGGATCTGTGTGGTCAGGAAGTTCGGAAGTCATGTGGATAATCATGTAAGCTCTTTGAAAGTGGTCCCTTGTAACTATAACTATAATATACAATCTCACAATGCTCCATAATCCTTTTAGTCATCATTTTACCGTTCCATTTTTAGGTGACATCCCTCCTGGATCGCCTGGGCCGCGACGCCAACACCGAAGCCACTTACCTCACCGTTGATCAGCAGACTGGCGCCGAGATCTTGGATGCCGTCCAGCGACCTGGACTGCCGTTGGTCTTCATCAACGGGGACTGCGTCGGCGGGATCAATGAGATGAGGACATTGCATCGGACAGGATACCTGGCAGAAGCACTAACCCCACACGATTATGATCTGATCGTTCTTGGGGGAGGTGCTGGAGGACTGGCTGCTGCTAAGGTGGGTGTTTGGCCTCTTGGAAAAGACTTGAATTTTATGTATTTGTATATCAACTTTTTATGACCTTGAATACAACAAAATCTTTGGAATTCTGGAAAGGCAAAAAACCAAAAATTGTAAAAGTAGAACTTATGAAAAAAAACAAGGTCAAGGGAAGAAAGTTTCGAGAATTTTCACAGTGTACATTAGATATTTTTCTATTATTTTGTCATCCAATACCTCCAAATTCAAGTTATATTTAACGAATCCTTCCAATCCGCTAAAGCCCTGATTAGCGATCCATTAAAACGTATCTTCAGGAAGCTGCCAGCCTTGGCAAACGCGTCGCCTGCCTCAATTACATCCCTGGCCAAGAAACGGGCGAATCGAGACCCACTGCGTCCTTGATTAATATCGACCGAATCCCGAAGAAGATCGTTCAACAAGCAGCTCTTATTGGGAATACAATGAGTAAGTTATGGGTACTTTTTAATGATCTTCTGGTCTTCAGAGAATGCCGAGAAGTATGGATGGAAAATCAAGGACAAAGAAGAGCAGGCAAACTTTAACTGGAAAACGTTGAGAGGACTGCTTCAGGAGCACGTTAATGAGATAAATAAGGAGAACCAACAGAGCTTGACCGATAGCAAGGTAGGATTATTTTACTGTCGATTGGAGTGAGGGTCAGTCATTTAGACAACAAGCTTGACGGGGGTTTTTTTTGATAATATTATATTTCTGATGACTAAACTATATAAACTTCCAGGATACAAAAAAAAATTTAAATTCATGGCGTTGATTGTACTGAAAATTAAAAGAATACTCTTTTTGAAGCCGCTGGTTTTTGTTAACAGGGGAAGTACTCCAAGTGCGACGCTCAGATTTTGATGAAACTTGGCACAAATTTAGAATATTTTTTTCTAAGATATATGCGAGAATCCTAGCTCGCGCTTTGCAGAAACAACCGAGATTTTTATATCGAAAGTCGGCCAAAATTTTGGCGTTTTTGCCGAATTTTGGCACGAAAATTTTCATGCCTATTTCTACCGTAAAGGATAATGTTTCTACAAAAAATCAAAATTTTCCGCACGAAACTGCCAAAGTTATGGCCAAAAGCGGTTTTCTCTCTGACCGCTCTCCACGTTTAGCGTGCTCTCTCGGCCGCAAAGATCGTTCAATATCTCGGCTTTGCCTTCAAAGCGCGAGTGCAAACTTTGAGGAATTGATATTTAGTCTATGCCCGAAGTGTGTGCAAAATTTTTAAAAAATCTGAGCGTCGCACTTGGAGTACTTCCCTTGCAAGGTTTTTTGGTACTTTTCAAAATATTGGATAACGTCATGGATAACTTGAGTTTTCGTTTTTCCTTACAATTTCAATAAGATCTGCAAAAATCTATTTTGAGCCTGTTTGAGACCATTTGCAGGTGACCTACCTAAATGAGCACGGAATTTTCAACGGAACTCATCAAGTCCTTCTCCAAGACAACAGAACCCTTTCGGCCGATCGTTTTATGCTCGCTGTTGGCCTCAAATCCAAGCTTCCGCAACTCAAAAACGCCGTCGATTGTTGCATCGGAGCCGACGAATTGTTCGCGCAGACGCAGAACCCCGGCAAGACCTTGTGTATTGGAGATTCTTACGTTTCTCTGGAGATTGCCGGCTTCCTAAATGCCCTGGGAAATGATGTAACAGTCCTACTCAGGTCGACTGTGATCCGAGGGTTCGACGAGGAGGTCGCGGAGAAGATTCAGAGACATATGGAGAGCTGTGGAGTCAAGTTTATGACGTAAGTTGATATCATCCTTGGCAGAAATTGTTTTTTTTTGCTAAAATTGGACTTTTTTAGTGGAATTACAACGAAATTGGAGAGGAAACAGCCTCGAACAGATGAATCACCGGGCATTGTGACAGTGTCCGGCGAGCAATCACTTCCCGACGGCGCCACTGAAGAATTCGAAATCGATTTTAACACTGTAAGCAGACGATTGTGTCATAGATAATATAAAAATTATAATTTTAGGTGCTATCAGCCGCCCAAAGAGAGCCAAGGACCACGAATCTGAATTTCCAAAAACCCAATATTAAATTGAGCACCTCCGGCAAGGTGTTGGGACGGCATGAGCAGTCGCAAACAGCCCCTCATGTGTACACGGTGGGCGATGTGCTGGAAGGAGCTATGGAATTCTCTCCGGTCTCAACTCATTCCGCCAAATTACTGATGAGAAGACTGTATTTGGTGAGTTTTGAGAGGATTTTGGCTGTTTTAGGCTGCAAAAACAAATGTTTATAGTATTATCTATGATGAATTTTAGGGCTCAATGGAAAGAACTGACTACGAGCGAGTCCTAATTTCCGTCCTGACCCCTCTGGAGTTCTGTTCTTGTGGGCTGAGTGAAAGAGAAGCGGCGCAGCACTTTGGATCCGAGAACATTACAGTTTATACATCCCCTATCACCACAATGGACGCTACAGTACCCGGGGACTGGCAGAAGTACGCTTTCTGCAAAGCGGTCTTCTTTAAAACCGAAAATGTAAGTTCGGAGGGACTGTGTGCTATTCTAGGAGTGAGAGGGGGAATCAGTTATATGGAAAGTTTTTGCGAAAATTTTTTTTGGCTAAAAAAGATTAAAAAAAATGAAATTTACAGGGGAAGTACCTCAAGTGCGACGCGTAGATTTTGATGCGTCGCACTTACGGTGCTTCCCTTGTTAGTACCAAAAAGCATCGCTGGGGCAAGTAATTAATACTTCTGACTTTGAAACAACGATTTTGCTCGTGAAGTTCCGGCAAAAGTTTCTTTTTTTGTCTGTCCGACTCTCTACGTTTTGCGTACTCTCTCACAGATCGTTGAATATCTCGTCGTGGAATATTTAATTTTTTTGAAAAAATTCGTATTTTAGGAGCGTCTGGTGGGCTTCCAAGTCCTCGCGCCAAACGCCTCCGAAATCTCCACGGGATTTGCAATGTGCCTCAAATTAAATGCCAAAAGGAAAGACTTTGATCAACTACTGGCCGTCCATCCGACCGCCTCGGAGGTAAGAAATTGATAATTGAAATTTCACTTTTTAAAAAAAAATTTACATTTTTTTAAACGATGGATTGATATATGAAATTGTATAATTTTCAGGCCTTCACTCGCCTCGAACTCCGCCAAATCGAAGCCAAGATGGCGACATTTTGAACAGAAGGAAGTAGTGGATCCAGATCTGCAAGAAATAAAATTTCACTCCAAATTTAGACCATATTTTTTATTGTTATTTTGGCTTCCAATAAATACTTATTTTTATTTTTTTGAGGAAATTTTTATTATTTTTCTTTTTTTTGATGAATTTCAAATTTTTTTATATTTTTCTGGCACCGAAGTACGCTTTCCGCGACATTTTTAAATGTCATTTACATAAAAATTTCATGAAAATTAAAATCCATTCTTTTATCTATGACGCTTAATTCTTTTTTTAGTCATCAAAATCATATGAGTAATTTGTAATTGTCTCCAGTTCTATGAAGAGTTGTAAACAGTTGATGACGCCTCTGTTAAAACGTTTTTCATTTCAGGGAATTGGGCTGACTTGTTATGCAAATAAACAACTTAAATCTACAATTACATTATACGTAACTTTATGACTTCATGTTTCGTTTCCCAGTCGTTTTATTGTAAGCACGTATGAATTTTTGAGGCTTCAAAGTTGAAGCTTCAAATATCTTTGGCAAAATTTGGTTGAACGTTTTACTCTAAGTAAAGTGCCTCTCGAGACGTTCCTTTTGTCTTTTTTGGATCTTAAAATACAAAACGACCTTCTAAGTCACAATTCATTCGGTCAAAATGTATTCAAAGTTAGCAGGCAATTGTGGCAAAACGCTCAGATTTTTATGAAACTAGGCACAAATTTGGGGTAATTTTTAAAATTCGAAAGAAACCTAAGTGAGAAATATAAAAAATCGAAGACGTTGACTTATCGACTTGAAATTTGGCATAGCGGTAGAACACGAAATTCTAAGACTTTTAATTTTTTTGATTTCCCTTCCGCCGATTTTGGCGGGAATTACGGGCGTTTGAAAATGAAATTTTTTGATTTTCTTTTGGGCGTAACTTTTTGAATTTTTCGACTTTTCCTTAGCTTCTGGCTCAGTTTCACCTTTGTTGGGGTCCAAAACTTTGCGGATTTTCAAAATTTGCATATCTTGCCCTTAGGCAAAAAAGTCCGTTTTGTCGCCAATCGGAACGGAATCAAAAATTTTCAAGTTCCATTCGTATCTGCATCTCAAAAAAATGACATTACTCCGTTACACCCCCCAAAAATAATCGACCGGTCGATAGTTATTCCCAATTTTCCGAAATTTCCATTTTTCACCATCAAGATGACGGAATTTCTGGATTTTGACGACGGATTCTGATTCAGCATGCCTGACTTACCCTAGAACCACCTTTCGTATCTTGATATCGTATTTCGTATTTTAGCTATTCCAGATTTTCCGAAATTTCCGAAAAAACTCCAAATTTTCCGGAAGCTCTTCCGGAAAAACTAGATCGAAATTCAAAAAAGTGGCTCGGTGTTGGCTCTGGAATAGACTGAAGTTACTCTGTGCGTTTTTTCGGCTTCTGATATCATGCCCTAAGGCAGATCGAATGCGGCGCGCAAAATTTTCGGGGTTTTTTCCAGAAAATCGGCCCTCAGGGCTCGGACTTCAAATTTTTCGGATTTTCGAGATAAGCCCCGTAATCGTCACGTCAAACTGCCCTAGAAACAACTTTCACTTCCCAACATACGACCATCTTACCCCGCCCGCCTAGCGACAAAGGCAAAAATTCGAAATTTTCTGGATCCGCCTTTCCAGAACTCGGCTGCCAGTGGAGCTATCGACACGATTTTGGTACCATTCGACGCAGAATCAAATTTTGGGTAATATTCATGTGCGAAACTCCAACTTTTCCTAAAATACGACCCTCCAGACCAAAATTAAATTTTTTCAGCGAACTAAATACGCCCCGAGGGCAAAAGTGTAAAATTCAAAATTCGGCTCGGGTCAATTTTCGACAAATTCCACACGCTTCAATCGTGCCAAATTTCAGCCAAATCGCTTTCGAATTCAGTGAGCACTGGCCAAATTTCGGCCAAAAGTGGGCGGTTCGGCCGAAAATTGCCCTCAGGGCGTCAGAATTCAAATTTCGTGAATCGAGACTTGGACCATCGTGTTCAGCGTGAAAAACCGGTCCAGAAACCACTTTCATTTCCTAAAATACGACTCGGCGAGGCCGGAGGCCGAGCCGAGTCGTCCCCAACAGCGGTGGACTTTGTATTTTTTTGTGCGAGACCGAGCCGAGAGAGGGAAATTCCTTTGCTTTTACGCAAGTTTGAATTTCGAGAGAGAGCGGAGAGCGAGAGAGGGAAATTCCTTTGCTTTTACGCAAGTTCGAATTTCGAGAGAGAGCGGAGAGCGAGAGAGGGAAATTCCTTTGCTTTTACGCAAGTTTGAATTTCGAGAGAGAGCGGAGAGCGAGAGAGGGAAATTCCTTTGCTTTTACGCAAGTTTGAATTTCGAGAGAGAGCGGAGAGCGAGAGAGGGAAATTCCTTTGCTTTTACGCAAGTTCGAATTTCGAGAGAGAGCGGAGAGCGAGAGACCGGAAGAGAAGACGGAGAAATAAAGCGGAATTCCCCATTCCAAGGGGGCGGGGTAAATTAGGGTTGGCTGGGGTGAGTGATTTTGATTCGAAATGTTAGCTCCGGGCCGGAGCGGAGCATGTCTTTCTCGCGGGCTTGAGTAAGTAGAACGCGCGTCAGCGCGTTTTTCTGGCCGCGCGAAGCGGGGCCAGCGACTCCAGAGGTAGTGCGCGATCAACAACCTTCATCCGTGGCAACCTTTGCGCGCACAGCGACGTCAAGGCCCCGCGAAGCGGGGGCTTGTCGAAAGAAACCTAAGTGAGAAAAGTAAAAAATCGAAGACGTTGACTTATCGACTTGAAATTTGGCATAGCGGTAGAGCAAAAAATTCTAAGACTTTTAATTTTTTTGATTTCCCTTCCGCCGATTTTGGCGGGAATTACGGCCGTTTCAAAGTGAGATTTTTTTTTCTTAGATTGGCTGTAACTTTTTTCTTACAGAGAAAAGTTTCCGAGCTTTTTACATGATGTTCATCAACTGTTCGTGACGGAACTTTGCGTTTTTTCGAAATTTTGTCATATATGCCCTGAGGGTCTCCAGCATATACGTCCGATTTTCCGGAATTTTTTGATTCCATCGTATTCAGCACGAAATTCTAAGACTTCTGAACCCAACTTACAATTTACAATTATCGACCGGTCGAAAGTTATAAGCGATTTTCGGGATTTTTCGGATTTTTCCAGATTTCACCATCAAGATGACGGAATTTCTGGATTTTGACAACGGATTCTGAATCGGCATGCCTGACTTACCCTAGAACCATGTATTTCGTTACTGTGTCGTATTTCGTATTTTAGCTATTCCAGATTTTCTGAAATTTCCGGTTTTTGGCCGAAATCTTCCGGAATTTTTTCCGGGAAAACTAGATCGAAATTCAAAAAAAGGGCTCCATGCGGTTGTCAGGGTAGGTGTGGACTACTTCTGGAATTTTTTTCGGATTCTAATACCGTCGTTGAATTCCGAGGTTCCATTTTGAAGGTCGATTTTCGGGATTTTTTGCATAAAATCCGCCCTCAGGGCTCAGACTTCAAATTTTTCGGATTTTCGAGATAAGCCCCGTAATGACCACGTCAAACTGCCCTAGAAACAACTTTCACTTCCCAACATACGACCATCTTACCCCGCCCGCCTAGCGACTTATGTCGACCCACTGTAGCTGCGCAGTTGCCAGAGGGCCGATTTTTGGCATTTTTCGCATAAATTCGGCCCTCAGGGCAATTAAAGTTCGAAATTCAAAATTCGGCTCGGGTCAATTTTTGACAAATTCGGTAAGCTTCCATCGTGCCAAATTTCAGCCCAATCGATTGCGAACTGAGTGAGCACTGCCTCCAGAAAGCGCGGGCACTTTGGATTTTTTTGTGCCAAGCCAAAGGCCGAGCCGAGAGAGGGAAATTCCTTTGCTTTTACGCAAGTTCGATTTTTTTTGCGCGGGGCCGAAAGGCGAGCCGAGAGAGGGAAATTCCTTTGCTTTTACGCAAGCTCGAATTTCGAGAGAGAGCGGAGAGCGAGAGACCGGAAGAGAAGACAGAGAAAGAAAGCGGAATTCCCCATTCCAACGGGGCGGGGTAAATTATAGTTGGCTGGGGTGAGTGATTTTGATTCGAAATATTAGCTCCGGGTCGGAGCGGAGCAAGTCGACTTTGTTTTCGAAATTTTTTTGTTTTTACGCAACTTTGGCACTTTGGTTTGATGGATTAGAGTTAGCTGATGAAAAGTAGCGCTGGCGCGCGGCCTGTCGTTGATGAAGGGTAGCGCTGGCGCGCGGCCTTTCGCTGGCAGAGGGTAGCGCTGGCGCGCGGCCTTTACATGACCATAACTGCCGGGCTTGAGTAAGTAGAACGCGCGATAGCGCGTTTTTCTGGCCGCGCGAAGCGGGGCCAGCGACTCCAGAGGTAGTGCGCGATCAGCGACACTGTGCAGGGACAACCTTTGCGCGCACAGCGACGTCAAGGCCCCGCGAAGCGGGGGCTTGTCGAAAGATACCCTAAAAAACTAAACTGAAAACTATTCAACGTTGAGATATCCGGAAAAAAACTTTCGCGAAGTTGCTACACAACATTCTAAGACTTTTGGCATCAGCGCTTAGTGGAAATTTTGCTTTTCCCGCGAGCTGCGCCCTGTTGAAAATGAAATTTTTTGACCTTAGATCGCCTGTAACTTTTTTCTTACAGAGAAACGTTTCCGAGCTCTTTGCATCATGTTCATCAACTATCTGTGACGGAACTTCGCGGATTTTCGAAATTTTGTCATATATGCCCTGAGGGTTTCTGACCTATGGGTGGAATTAGCGGGAATTTTTTGATTGAATCGTATTCTACGCAAAATTCTAAGACTTCTGAAGCCCACTTACAATTTACAATTATCGACCGGTCGAAAGTTATAAGCGATTTTCGGCATTTTTCGCTTTTTTCCAGATTTCACCATCAAGATGACGGAATTTCTGGATTTTGACAACGGATTCTGATTCAGCATGCCTGACTTACTCTAGAACCACCTTTCGTATATTGCTATCGTATTTCG